TTTTAGTTAATTTGAAGCACTGAATTCGGTAGGCAATACATATATAGGTAACAGGCAGCAACAAGGTGCAAACTGCAAAGTGAAGTTACAGACTGGAATGAAAGCACACCATAAGGGAAAATGTCGCACGTTTTTGCGCTCCCAAAATTGCCCGCTCGATGCAGATATGTGATGCATCATTGCCGTGCAGTTATTTGATGTTTGTTAAGGTTTAAAGTTCGATTTTTTTAAGCGTGTGTCACAGATTTCCTTCGCTGAAATCTTCATAACTGAATTTTGAGCCTAACTATTGTCTCTGCAGATGCGACTGGAGAATTGCGAAAGATTGTCATTGTCAACGATTTCATCCTCTCGAAATATGGACTCTCTTCAGTCTTAACAACGGAAGGGTATGCATTCTGGAACAACGCGACAGTTGTTTATGAGTTGTTACTGTAACCAGTACTCTGGAAGAAAATTGTTCATGGTAGTTGTTTGTTGAGGATTCATAATAATCTTATGGTGGCTGTCTGATGATAGAAGACTAAGGCATATATATCTCAGTACAGCGTGAGCATATAGGCTTAGTTCTTTTCTCATAGACCAGAATTATCTAAGGCTTGTTTGATGGTTCGGATCTTTGTTTCAGCTTTCGATACACTTATAACTTATTTCTGTGTAACAGTCACCGTGACTAACAGTAAGTTGTGGACGACATTATGGACTTTTCTTTGTGTTTTCCATAGTTGAAAACCACAATAATGGAAACTGGGCCGCCTGTCCTTTCCCTAGGAAGTTGTTGAATGTTCTGATCGATGGCACTTCATGGAGTACTGCAATCGTGAAGATCGCTTGCGGAAACGATGGATAACTGTGAACCCGCGAACCAGACTTTTTAACTGACACAATACCAGGTATGTAATGCAGTGATGCACTCTGCCGATAGTTTTGCCATTTTTCAGTGATCTGGTCGCTTGTGGAGAGACGCAGGTTTTGTGATAGTGTATGAATCGTAAAGTCGAAACGTTTTGAGGAAGAAGCGTTCGCTGATTATTGTTGACCGCAAATCGTAAGTATGCCTTCTTTCCATAAGGTGACCAGTCAATAGGGAATTGTGAGTAAAATATAAATGCAGAATTTTGTATGCCTACTGGTAAATTTGATCGATATTCTGTGAGTATGAAGTTGGAAAAAGCGCTCGGTTGAACGCGAAGCGGGCATGGAATGAGCTGTTAGTTGCATTTGCGAACCAACTCAGGTACTTATTCCTTTTGGATCCGAAGCTGGTGTTTACCTGATCTCGCTTGATTTAACAAGTAGTCAAAATATAACATATCATGGTAATCTTATTAATATAGTGAATGTGTAATGTAATGAATGACCTTGTTGTGGAAAAAGACGTTTTCGTGGGAGGGAGGATTTTATCGTGATGGGGATTTAAAGCCAGTACTCAGGCAGCTAGAGACTGGAGAGGGATGGATCCACTTTACTGCGGTGTAGCCTTTAATAGGGCCGCGGAAATTAGTCTGTTTAAAATAACAAAAGGGGCTCTTCGTCAAGGAGCATCCGGATCTCAATACCTGCTACGTGCTAAGATGGTTCACTGCTTATGTGGAGCAGTGTAAAATAGACTTAAATAGTTACGTTTTTTGTTGGTAGGTGAATGTTCATGGTCAGGTGGGATTTATGTAGTAATTCTTTTATTTCTGCTTTTTCTGATCCGTATTCCTTATTGCCTCGAGAAACACAACTTATGCGGTATAAACTTTTCGTATCGGTTTTAAATTAGTTAAAGATATTAATTTAGATTAGATTGGAGAATCAGAATCGGCGGGCATTTGAGATGTTAAACCACTGTGCCAGATTCATTACGTAGTATTGATTATTACGCTTTGGTAGAATTATTGAAACATTTCTGTGATTCGCTGTCTTCAGTATTTTAACTTCTGGATGACAGACGTTAGCACACGTATATTTTGCAGTTATTCTTATGCGAAAATGTCCATGCAGTTTGCAGTCCATTGCCGGCTGGAAATCTCGGTGACCTTACTAAAAAGAAAGTTTTTGGTTTACTTGAGCTGTTATACTATTAAAAATAATAAGGACAATTACATAATTTATTAGTATTACTAGCCATCAGACCCATCCTCATATTATGTTAACGCGTGCCAGAATTTGGGCGGTGATATGTGGTTTCGTTTGTCGTCCTGCCAATCCCCGCACCCAATGTATTGATTTTTCCAGCTTGTGCTTCATATGAAATTTTTCATCCGCTACCAGTTACAGTTTACACTTATGATGGCTTATTTAATCTGCAGTTGGCCCAGTAATATTTGTTGTTTTATGTAAGGTCGCTGGTAAGGGCTGTTGATTTTAGTTTGCATAACGCCTGCATGTTTCCTGTAAAATTCAAGAATGTGTGGGTCAGCCGTCAGCCAAAAAATTCAGTTTGCTTGAGCTTCGTTAATGGTACTAGAACTCGTACGCTGGCTAAAGTTGAAATGACGCCTTGCCACACAACATGATAAAGAAACAGTGGTTTTACGAATTTCCTTGATAAAAATCATGTTTTTTTAAGTGGAACGCGATTGCGGTGCTCTTATCTCAAGAACTTGTTAAGATCTCTTGAACCTCGCTTTGGAACCGATGTACGATACAATTTATCGCAGTTATTAGTGATCCGGGGTCCGCGCGCAGAAGCTGTGCTTGCAACGTTGGGATCGTGCTCTAGATGGTCTTGATATAATTATAGTCCGGTATGTTGTTTCGGATCTGCATGTTAAGAAAGCGTTTTCAAAGATAGCGGTATCGCGCATATGCAGTATGTAAGGAAATAAAATTACTGTCAGTCTACCACTTTCATACACGCTTTGGACTTGGAGTTGGGAACAGAAAAACTCAATTTCCTTTGTGGCTCTAGATCTTAAAAGTTGTTACTTACTCTTTGTAGGCTGTGGTGATATACTGTTAAGCTTCTGTTAAACTTTCACAAATGCTTTTTTTTCGTAAAAGAAACATCGAAAGGTGCAAAACGTATTAATTTCAGATCTGCGCTAATCTCCGTAGTTCGTACTCATACAATCATACGAGGAGCAATGAGAGTACTCGTATAAGAGTAATTTTTCGCATTTGCAGTGATTTGCATGTGACATTCGAAAGCGTTCTCAATGTTGCTTATGGTTCAATATACTGCAGTTGATGATGGATACTGAAGTTTGAATAAAACTGCGGGTATCCAGGTCAAACGGCGAACCTTCAGATGGATCACTTCTGGATAGTCTGTAGCCAGTTCCTCTGAGGTGTTCAAGTGTTTTTGATTTATTTTATCAGAATAGCACTTGAAACGATGTCTTCCTCGGCTCACTGGAGAGCTGCATCGCAAAAGGTGATCGGCATCCTTCTTAGTTCTGCTTATGGTCAGACCGCCGGCAAATGTCAGTTCCCATTTAGTGCCTATTCCTAAGTAGTGGTTTCGGCATGTATCTGTATTCCGATAGCGCGGCGTGTACGATATGTAGCTTTACGACTGCAGATTGTAAAGTTGATTTTGGTACGAAATGATCTACGATACATCAATAGACTAATACCGCAATCCTAAGTAAATGAAAATTTTCACTTTGGTTGTACCGCGTTCGATAAGTGTACGGTGCTCCAAATTCAGAATTTGTTCGGAATTTGACTGCTCATCCATCATTCTTCGTTTGTATGTTTCCCGTTTGTCCCTTCCACTCTTCGGCACAGAAAATCAACTGTTTAACGAAGTCGTAATTTTCTTGACCCCACAACTCGTGGCAGTTTGCTCCGATATTGCAACAAATCCGCCATTCATGAAGTTTGACGATCGCGTGCCGGCTTTTGATATGTAGTGTTATTGCGTAACGTCGGTAATGATATAACTTGTCGAATTTTGTTTTTGTGCTTGTGGAATATTTTTTGTGTAATAGAATGAAAAAGTTCTGTAAAATTAACAGAATTACTTTCAGTTGCAATTTCAGGTTTATCGTTGTGACGAGAGGTGAATTTAGAAGAGTTTGTTTTGACTCCGCCACCACCAGAAATAGTACTAACTTAAATAGCCTGTTTATTTTTGTGGGTCACTTATTTTCCGAATTTGTGCATTTTTTGTAAATCAGATGATGATGATGCACTTGATGCTCTTGTAGATTTCACATCTTTCAACATACGCGTAGAAATTTGGCCAGGCTCACAAAGCTATTTTTAATAAGAATCATTTCCACAGCATCCTGCGTTGTTTTCAGGATGGTTGAAAACTGTTTCCAGTTTGTCTGCTGAAAGACACTTATGCTTAAGCTTTTGTATATTTTGGATTTTAAAAGAATTTGTTTTGCTATAAAAGCGACTGTTGTGTTATGTTTATGTTCACCGCCGGAATTTGCACAAAGTGCGCATCACGCTTGACGGTGAGTCTAGCCATCAGCACATATACCGCATGCCTGCCTGCGGTGAAAAACTTACTTTTGTCATGGCCTGTGAATGTTCAATACGGCACCTGTAATAAAAAGTCTTAAGTGGTATTTTTCCAAACTGTTCTTTCATTTGCTGTAAATCTGGTTGAAATGAGCAGTATGATGAGAACGATAGGCAATTGGGTGCCTGTTCCGGATCAGCGATGATGCTTCAGATTCTGTGGCCGGCTCATTGCTTGTTCACGGCTGTTTGGGAAGCCGGAGAGCACGTGCTTGTTCATATTGTATGGTACATACAGCAGTGTATGATTTCTATGCAGACTGAACGGCACATGGTGTTTGTAGATCAGTGGCAGAATGACAGACTTATTCATCAGTGAATTTATTCGTGAACAAAAAGCTTTTTCATTGCTCTTTGCTTGTGATTAATTGCCATTTTGCACTCTATGTTATTCACGCGGAAGGGCAGATGTCGTCGTTGTAGTTGCGGTACTCAGTACCGTACTACACACACGGAAATGAAAACTGTTCTTGTTCTTATATATTAGCTGCCATTCCAACTGGTATGTTTGACTGCACAAATATTATATCCTTGTGCCGGCAGAATTTCTAGAGTGATTTTGGGCGTGGAAAATATTTCTCACAGCGCTGCGGTGGATCCAGTGCGATGATTTGAGAGCGAATCTAGAACTAAACTCGTTAGACTTGTTACGCTCTATAATTGCGCCTCGTTTCAAGAACACTTTTCGTTCTTGATGATAACGCCACAGGTAGTTAATGGCCAGAGAGGCACCCTTCCTGTCATTGCTTCCGTGATTAATATTTACTGGCGTGGAAGTGGGCAGCAGTTAAGGGATGCATATGGTTCAAACGATTTTCTATGCACATTCTTATGATGGACATTTACGAAGAGTTTTCCGCGTCGTGATTAACTTATTTCCTTGTCTGGCGTGTTATTTGGTTTTGGCCTTGCTTTGTTGCCCCAGTAATATTTGTCCATTTAAATGTTAGCCTTTTTCCGTCCAAAAGGTACTGGTGAAGAAAGCAAATTTTAATACAATACCAACGTACGAGTACGTGTATCATGCACACATTTCACATTTCCCGTACCTTATTTTAAGCGGTATGGTACGAATGTGTACCACCGTTCATTATGCGAATTTTATAGGTTTTCCGTGTGCCTGTAGGCTTTGCGAATTGATTTGCATATCGCTTTTAATCTGCCTTTTGAAACGCAGCTGCTAGAATTCTGTAAAATTCTATGGAAATGTTTTTATGCATAATTGAACCGACTTGACTTTCGAGTTCTATCTTGTATTAAACACTTCGACAGCATTGCGGCATGTTATGTTTGTTTTATTTCTTTGTAACAGTAGAACTTGGAAGTGTTTTTATCGGTCCACGCCATGCAGCGCGCCGAATGATTAATTATTATATTGACTGTTGCCCTTGAGCTATTTAAGCTCCCGTACTGACACGGCATAGTTTTTGCAGCAGCGTGTAAATTATAGTCATTTTCTTACAGAGAAAAGTGATTGTCATTTTCAATCAAGTTCGGTTGTTACTTTTCTATCTTTTAACTGACAGATCTTTTTAAGCCTTCTGCTCTGTCAGTATTTTGGTGTCGTCTTGCATTACTCGTATATCGAAGTGATTTTGCGGATAGTTAGTGATTAGGTCTTAATTTTCTTCGATTGTGCAATGGAAAATCTTTGTCTAGCTGGAGTATTTACAGAAAAAGAGTGGTGAGTGGAATGATTTTGTTTCAGGCGCGACAATGTCAACATTGGTCGAGACAGTGAACATTAACTACGAGGATTTCAGCGACAGCTTCTTGACCTGCACGACTTGTTTGAACCGCTACGATCCCAGCGAGCACGCGCCAAAATTGTTGCCCTGTTCGCATACTATTTGCCACACCTGTCTGGAGCGAATCGCGGAGAATGCGGCCTCTCGTAATCCACCGACATTTCGTTGCCCGATTTGCCGCAACTCGATCTCCATACCCCGTGGTGGGATCGCTGCCCTTCCACCAAGTTTCCTGGTCAACCAGTTACTCGACCTAATGGCCTCGCAGCACCGTGAAATCATCCCGAAATGCTCTAATCATTCCGGCGAAGAACTGCTGCTGTGCGAATCGTGTGATGCGGTATTTTGTACGCGCTGTAGTCTGCCGAAGCAAGTGGAAAACAAGACCGGTGAATTCGTTTGTCATCATGAGGCTACGGTTGTGCCGTTTTCGATCGCTCTGAAGCGCATGTCCAAAATTATGCTCTACAAAGCACAGCAGTGTATGCAGCGGTTAGAGGATGGTGAGCACGCCATCATCAATGAGAGCAGTGCTGTGGATGCTTCGTTTACGGCCACCAAAGCCGCCATCGATAAATCCTTCGAGACCATTTATAGCTTAGTGGAAAAACATCGCAGTCATCTGATTAACTCATTGGAAGCCTTGCGGGACCAGAAGAAAGGCATCCTTCATGATCAGCTGGAGATCCTCAAAAGTGAGAAGCGGAAAATTGAACAAGTGTGCCAATTGGATAATCCCAGTGAAGCGGCACAGGTTCACATGGAGATGCAATCGATTGGTAATAAAATTGCCGGCTTGAACACGATGCTGAGTGGCATGGGTTTGCTCTGTGATCCGCGCGAAAATTCCTACATGTTTTTCCGTTATGGGCACACCAATATCCTGCAGGAATTACGGCTGTGTCTGCAGGGCTTCGGGGAAATTAAGCATAGTCATACCTTGCCATCGCTATGCAGAGCGACGGTGTCTCCAGCCATAGCCCATTTGAGCACCGACGTCGTTGTAACATGCTACGATTTCAACGGTGAACCATGCAAGACCGGTGGGGATCCGGTGGTTGTCGTGATCAACGATGCCACGGGACGCAGTATTCACCACACACTGGTCGATAAGGAGAATGGGTCGTACGAGATCCAATTTACTCCCCCGGTGCCTGGGACATACATGATCCAGGTTAAGATATTCGATCGGCACATTCAGGGCAGTCCCTTTGAATGCCGGGCCAGCGAGCACATCAACCCGGTTTCAGTGTTCCATGGGACGGATGTGGGTCTCTCGCGGCCGGTGAATATTGTCAAAGCCAAAAATGGTAAGCTCTATGTGTTAGATAGCGGAAACGATCGAATTGCTGTGATCTCGGAGGACTTTTCACACAAGTCCACCATCAAACTACCTGATTCGGAGCGCCAGAGTGTCACGGGAATGGCATTGTCACCCAACAATACACTGGTCTGTACCAATTGGCGAACGCGCGAGGTACTGGAAGTGGATTTGGACGGCAGGATCTTGAATCGATTTACCTCGTCAGATTTTAATTGTCCATGTTCGATTGCCGTGAGTTCTAAGGGAGAGATCTTTGTGGCCGACAGTGGAGTGGGATTGATTTTGGTATTTAATGCAGCGGGTAAACTTTTGAGGAAGATCACTGGTGTAGCCGGCCATCGACTGGATCTCTTGCAAGCTATTAGCTGCTTTGAGAACGGCGACTCGCGGGACATCGTCCTGGCGGATAATATGATTAAGATTTACGATGAATCTGGACGGATGAGGACGCAAATGGGCACACGAGGCAAGGATGATATTTACCAAAGTATGGCACTGGATTCCGCTAATGATTTGCTGCTGGCCAGTAAAACAGAAAAACGCCGCAATGTGATTGAAGTATGGAAGTATAGCTCGGCGACGTTATTATTTGTGATTGATAGTTTTGAGTGTAAGTTGCGACGACCAGCGGGATTGGTTCTGGATGGTGAAAAGCAGTTGTTGATTTGCGATATGGGTGTGGGTAATAATCCCGGGGCTGTTTTGAAATATCGCTACGGATAGATTTGTGATTTCATGATTCAGTTTCTCTGCATACGAATGTAATTATCGGCTTTCCTTTCGTGTTTTGCGTTTGGTTTCTCGTATTTCTTTGGTACCAAAAATTATTTGGCGGGCATGTACAGTAGTTCGAAAGCTTTTGTTTCCTGGAGTTTGGCTTTTTGGCTGAAATGTTGTTGTGTAAATGTAAGTGATTGGCATCCTTGATTCCTTGAATATGATATTGACTTCGGTTTCAAAAAAATCTCCACAAAGTACCGTCAGCTGAACTTATGGTTAGAGTATGCTAGGTGTGTTCAGATGTGGTCTCGCAAAATCCAGCTTCTGCATACGTTACTCGAATGAATTAGATCTGGTTGTGAGCTCCATCGAATTGCTGTTGTTAAAACTGCTGTGAACCATCAACATAGTACTTACTTGCGACGTTCTTTATGGTGTGCGGGTTGTGGCACCGTTCTGCAAAAAATTACAATGACCGGCAACTATTCGCACTTTTTTCTTCGTTTAAATCCTTCTTACTGTAGGTAAAATCCATAATTAATTAACTTCTCCGCAGTCGGCAAGTAGACTACTACTGATGTTGAAAATTCAGGCTTTACAACTATCGAGACATTACGAAAGCTACTAGCTTTCGTAATGTCTCGCAACTATGTATACGAGCAAGCAAGCAGGCACTTTGTATGTAGCAACTAGCAAGCACTTCGTATTGTACCGTGCTAATGTCCACAGCGCGCTTACACAAAATTGGGGATTGTATGTTATTATTTCTTTCACATGCACCTTCAACAAATTACCGAAACTAGAATTACTTTGTATCAGCAGCCAGCCAGCCACCTACTACCACGAAAACCCTGTTGATCTTCGAGAAGACGACACCCATCCTTTATAATAAAAGATTAACAGGGGGCGTGACCAGTGTGTCTGTCAAATCCCCCAGAATCGCAGAGTGGATCAATATTCAACATTTACGGATCATTCGATAGCGCTGATTTCGTAGATGAGCCCGCAACTTTCGGATTTCAAAAAACAAACATCGTTTGAGAGAAAACTGTAAAAAACCCTACCATACAAAGTCCACGGAACCCCAACACAACCAATCAGCGAAGACTTAAAGTAACTGCCTTGCTGCAGAGCTTGCGCGGGTTATATCGTGAAACAAAATTCGAAAAATTTTGTTTGTTTTGATGTATTTGGTCTAGAGCCCCCAAACAGTAACAAATTTTTGTACGGCTACGTACGGTTTTCGCTTACGGCACCTACGGCTACGGTACGGTTACGGCAGAAATAACGGGATTGACCGTACGGTATACCGTATACGGCAGTACCGTATACGGCAAGCCCATTGTGAAACCGTGTTTTTGGCTTACGGTTACGTACGGCACTTCCGTTACAGTACCAATTTTCACTACGGTTACGTACTGTTGTGCCGTACAGTATGCCGTATACGGCAGTACAGTATACTGTTTGGGGGCTCTAATTTGGTCTGCAATGGCTTTAAGAAACATTATATTAACAGCGGTGGGTTTAAGGATAATAAAAAATTTAGGCACAAGAAAGATTTAAGTTATTTTGACAACCGAACGCACAAACGACCCAGGGGAACTTAGGGAAGTGTCCCAAGTGAGAGCTGCATGCGTCGTGAATCTTGCTGGCAGCCTGGCAGTACCAATTATCAAGTAGCTGCGGGATGACGGTGGCTGCTTGATACTTAGGTAAAAGGCAGTGTTTTGCGGTAGTTTTAACTTAATCATTTCTCTGTTGACACTGTTTCTTTAGTTTCGTATTAATAGAAGCTTTAATAAAAGCTTTAATAGAAGCTTTCGTATTAATATTATACCGATGAAAGACGGTATTTTTAAAATTAGTAATGAAAACTGATATTTACAGAAGGCGAAACGGAGCTGCTGCGCGAGCGGAGCTCGCTAAGCAGGAGGAGCAGCAATTAAGTGAGACATCGTTTGGCAGTTTTTTCTTACAGTTTATCAGCCAGCTCTGCAAGACTGCAACAATTGAACCTTTATAGTTAGTTAAGTATTAAGTAGTTAGTTGGTGTGGGATTGCCACTTGCCGCTGGAAAAAATCACTTACCGTAATTATCGAATTTGCACCCTGGGGTGCAAAAGTTCAAACGTCCTGGAGTAGGGGGTCTTATTTCGGGAGGAGGCGTTATTTCTGGGGTGGTACTATTTTTCAAACAGTATTTTTCAGAAGGGGACGTTTATTTTTCAAACAACTGCGCATTCTGTTCCATTGAAATTGAACGCAGTAGATACCGGTGTCTGCAGTTTCAGAACCTTACGAGCAGCATTCTGAAGCATAGCACCAAATTATTTTGTGACCGTTTACTGTTTATTAATTACATCATAGCAGTTATTATGAAGCAATTGGCCTTATATCTATCATTTCGTGGCGCTTAACATTTAATAACACCCCCATGGGAGGCAAATTCGGGGAGGAGCTATTTTTCAAACGGGTTATGGGAGGGGGCTTACTTATTACGGAGAGTGCCTTATTATGCGGGGAGGTGCAAATTCGATAATTACGGTAATTCGGTAATAACTTAGTTTTTGTCAGCGAAGTTAACTGTATTAGCAAATGCGGTAATTTTTATTTTAACTGCATTTATCATCAGGCAGCAGTCGATTTCCTCTGCGCACTTTGCGCGGTGTCAGCCATACTACCGTAGAAGTATAGGTAATTTTACCAGTACACTTGCAAGTTGCAACACATAATCGAATTTAAAATATAGAATTTGTAATTATGATCCGTATTCTTCCTATTAGTACAGTATCTCAATCATAATTTGAGTCTTAGCAGCCTGTATATAACGTAAATTATTTGTAGCTGATTTGTTCCGCGCAGTTTGCGCGGGGTCTACTAGTATTTTAATATTACAAAGCGTAATAATATCTGTAGTAAAAGCGCAATTTTTAATCCTAACCAATTTTTTTAATCCTTTTTTTTAGCTGGTAGGACCAAGCTTGGTTGGTACAGCTCTTTAAGTAACGCTAACAACGATATGCTCGATCTTGGCCATTTCTCGATTGCAAGAAATCTCTTTTCTCGATTTCTTGGTCATTGTCCTTGCAAGAACTTCGCGCATTTACTAGCATATGGGTTATAATTTTTGGCCGGTGCGAAACCGGTGTCGTTGTTTGTGAATTTAAAAAAGACAGCAAGTCAAATAGATCCCTCCCTAACCGTAGGCTGCACGTGCTATGCTACAAATAAATAGGAATAAAGAAGAGAAGAACATTAAATTTGAAAACGGCAGTACGTTAATGTAATCACAGTATTCCAAACAACAGGTTTGTGCTAAGTTGCTAACAAACACGACAAGAACACGGAGAAAACCATAACATAAGAAAAAGATAATTAAGTAACAAGTATTGTGCATACTACCTACAATAGATAGCGTATGTGACCTACGCCAAAGTAAATATCGTAAAAATTTAAAAAAAGGCTATTTAGCACGAAACCAATATACGGACACGGATGACGGCCGATATATATGCATCGAAATCCAGAATTTCCATACAAATAACATGGCAAAACGATAATGGTTACAATTTAATGACGTAGAAAAAGCGAGGTGGTAGAGTGGACTGCACGAAGAACCGGTAAAACGGGATGACAGTATGTGTTAGGACAACATCCGCCTTCCATGACCTGTAAACAGAATACCGTAGCTATTCTAAAATTGTATACCAATATACCAGCACTAAATTTCGATAATTACGTATAATTTTCCTGTATAGCCTGCAGCGCACCGGAAGATGTTTCTGGGAATTAACCGACAAAATCAAATAGAAAAATCAACCAGCTGGGCTTAGGAGTAAGCGGATAGCCTAACGAAAAATAATTATCCAGGTTATATGGTGCTTCCCGAGGCCACGTTCCACGATTTCCACTAGATCCACTCTCTTTTCAAGATTCTTTCAAGATTTTTTCACGACAAGTCACAACTGCAAAGCGAAATCATTGATTAAAATAGTTTCTTTGCGGCTGCCATAATCATTATGGATAATCTTACCGAAACCATTAAGGCAGACTGACCTTTCCGGTCTTAAGCACGGTTGCGAGGCCTGAGTGCAAATGGGGGGGGGGGGGGGCTGGATCGGAGCACTTCCAACCCCTCTAGCAATCTCCTTACAGACTCCGAAGCGACAATCTTGGAGCATTTGTGACAACCTTACGTCGCTGTTTGCGGAGAGTGGGCAAACGCCCGTGGCTACCACCGCCCTCACCGTCAGATGCAAGAAAAGCCACAAAACATAAGCCTATATATAAAGTAATTTGTTATATATACAACGTATACCATATGCATGAACCTATAGCAAGTACAGAGTACAACTACAGAGCTCTGTAAGTGCAACTTAGTGCAAGATCTTATATACGATACTACGCGCGGCGCCCCATAGTTTTGAGATTTTAAAAACCAAAACTTTTCATATTTTTTTAAGACTGACAACGCCACTAGATCGGCCTAGGTGTAGAACTGGGTCACATGATTTTCGTTTTTAAATTCGTTCGACCACAATCGTGCCGGCACGATGCCGCAAGCCATCCAACCCACTTTCAAGCTGACCTTCGCACTTAAAAAATTTGCACTATTCAGTGGGCAAAATCGCTAGGTAAGTGATTAACCAAGCTACCACCACTGTCCAGTAAGAAAAATCACTATTGTAGGTGCGTGAGTAACCTAGTTACCACGACTGTCCAATCCATGCGCAGTTCACTTTATAATTTCTTGGTAGGGGACATCAACAATCCGAATCAGAGCCCTTCCTTAAGAAGTTCGGTAGTAACTGCTAAGGCTATTAATATATTTACTGCTGAACTAAACAACTTCGTTCCAATCGGCCGTGGACCACAAGGAACGCGGAGACGAAGTCGCAGCTGATTCTTGTTAACCATATCGATCATCATGCGCAGAGTTTACAGATACAATGATTATAACGCATATCATATGCCTGAACGTTATTTTGAAGTGCCGTTTTGTACTTGCAGGCTTTTGAGCATGGAGCAAACTGGAGCAACAAGGTAACTCCCAAACAGGCAGCAAGGGTCCAGACGACCTCAATTTGAAACCATGGGAGAGCACGATAGCGAATGCTGACGACGTGGGACGCTCCATGCGTTTACCAATTCACTTCCGCTAGTACTTCCGGTTCGCCCGAGCGGGAGCACAAATGGACAGGCCGATCATGGTATATGGTTGGTAAGCATCGCAACATCACCCTACACTACATCTTTTTCTTTTCTGCTTTAAGACGCTCGGATCAACCGGACTGGAAGCTGCCCACATGGTAATGGAACAGAAGACAACAAAAAACCGACGAAAAATGGGCCACGGAAAATCTTTGCTCAAGCGGACCGCATCGAAACCTGCAATGAGGCAACACGGCATCTCTCGTGCGGACGGCGCTTTAAATTTCAAATGTTTTCAGTGTTAAGATCTACTGTGACTGTTGGTGTTGTATAATACTTTTTTGTTTCATCACAATTTTTTGTGTTAAATTATTGCTGTAATTATTAGTACTACAGAAGTACGCGTACTGTATTAAGTACTAACTCGTAATATGTATTTGACAGTAGAAGTATTATTTTTAGGGTGCGACTATTGTCACCCACTCGCACCCCCTTCGACTATTGCCACTCCTTGGTCATTTCTTATAAGACACAGGAATGCGGATTGTGAACCACCGACGGGTAAGAAAGCTGCCAGGGACCACTGGGTGCTGTCACTTGTCAGTGCGGAAAGAGGGGCAGCAATATGTTTATGACTCGGCGCTGCCGGCGAAACCCTCGGTACCACTTGTATCAGCACCACCGATTAAGTGCTAAGATCAACCGGAAGCGAGGACAATGGAATTCTTTTTTCGCACGTGCAGCAGCACAGGGATGGTCATAATTGTGGACTTATCGCGATCGCATTTGCTCTGGAACGTTTTAGCAAAAAATCCTGAAGATGCTAAGTTTAATGTCAAAAAAACACGTGCAGCATTCAGCGATGCGATAAGCTTCGCTTGGCGCCTTTCCTGCCGGTGGTGGCAGGAACCGAATTGAAAAAGAGCAACTAGTTGCAAAATTTGAAAGGTGGTGGCAATAGCCAAAAGGGCGTGTGGTAAGGAGTGACAATAGTCAAAGGGTGTAGGGGGTTAACAACAGTCAAGTTGAGGCAACAGCCATTTCCTAATTTTTATTAGTCACTGTAATTACGTACGTAATAGCAGTGGGGTCACTTAGTTGCCCACCTTGAGCAGGCTGTTTGGTACAACTATGTAACACGGTAACCGATCGTGTGCATCGTCTCCGACTCTCCGCATTTGAAGCGAAAATTTGATAATAATTTTGATATCATAAAAGTTAAAATTGGTACTGTGTATTGTAGTATAAATGTACTACAAGTTTATTTGATCCCAGCAGCAGCTGCTGACGAGGCCGCGACTGGAGCGACTGCTGACGCAAAGTATGACTGGAAGAAGAGATTGCGCAACTAGACGAGCGAACTAGCGAAGAACTGGAGTCCGAGATCTTCAAGCTGAAGCAGGAGCGAACTGAGATGTGCATTAAAATGGTAAATGTGGGTTGCTGTCCGCAGTACCTACTTTCTTGTCTCTTAAATCTTAATACGGTAAATAGAATTGTAAAACTATGATATGTAGTGTTCGGAATGCAGCTTACAGGCTGCTCTAATGTTGACGCAAGAACTTACTATAGCTAGAACTATTCTCACACTATAGTAAGTACTTGGTTGACGGTATAGTGAAATGTGAAAGTAGTCCGCAGTGCGCACTCCATAGTTCTCGTATCATAAGACATAACTCATTCATATTGCGAATTTGACGTGAAAATCAGGAATTTAACGAGAAAGCAGTAATTTCTTGTTGACTGTTTCCTGTTGGCCGTTATTTTAATTTGCGTGTTATGTTATCAGTCAATGTATGTACGTACGTACTGTACTTGTATTTTGGGATGCTTAAAGTCTTAAACCATGTTTCCTTAATGAATGGGGACATGAAGTGTGTAGTCTGCGGAAACCACTGCTTGGTACGATGTTTGGGCTGTTTATGGCATGAATATATTCTCATCTGCCGTTTTCTTTTTTTCAGAGCAGACTGGAACAGTCGAAGATCTCCACTAACATTCCACAGTCTCTCGTCCCAATGTTAGCCGACGCCATGGTAAATAATGAGCACTTAAATGGATTGCACTGTTAAATGTCAATTGCCGTTGTTGATTAGTAAGACACGTAGACGGTGGACGCCAGTAATGAAGGAAACTATTTAAAGATTCTCTAGTGGAATATTGACGGGAAGATGTGAATTTTGCAGGCGCACGGCGTCAATCCGTCGGCCCTAAGCGAAGCCAACAGACCTCTTGCCGCTAACAAGTTCCCCGTGCGACCAGCAGCTAAACCCACTCCAGCACGCTCACTGGCGGCCACCGCCAAAAACACTCCAACAGCCACTGCCGCGCCGAAGACGGCAACACCAACATCAGGTAAATTTTCGCCTAATTCTTCGTCGACGTCCATTGAAATGAGCTTCGACAAAAGAGCATTTCCCTTGAAAACAAATTGGGACGATGCAGTCACAGAGAAATAGCTCGAAAATCCTTTGCCTTCTTTTATTATCAAATTAATACAATAATATGGTTTTTTGTTTGGTTTTTAGTGGCTGGTTTAATAGCATCAAATTACAATTTTTTCTGTTAAGTTTTGAGCGTTAAATATTTGTGGTATCTCCTGCTACTGTTGACACCTTTGGGTGTGTAATTGTATGTGCTGCTTTGTTTTATTTCAGCGGTTTGCTTTGCGCTGCACTGTATGATAACTTAGATCGTTGCGGTTTTTAAGCGGTTTGAAGGTTTTGACGGAGTATTGGTTTCTACTTTTTAGCCCAGAAAGTGGCAACTCCGACAGCCAAACCCGTTACAGCCACTTTGCCTGTAACGGCCACTGCCGGGCAGAAATTCCTCATCCAGCAGAAAACAGCGGATGGAAAAGTCGTCTCATTCCTTGCCTCGGTGGCACCGAGTAACGGCAACACACCGACCACTGGCACCACTACCGCCGCGCCAGCGACAGCAGAAAAGACCGACAATGAGCCATCTACCAGCGCGGCTGGGGACGCTGAAGCCAGCAGCAGTGCTGCACCCGCGCAGACAACATCGGCGGATACCGAGCAGATCTCACCCGAATCTCCGCCACCGGAAGCGGCCACCATCAGCACCGCAGCCACGTAGACTGTACCGTGGCCCAGTTGCGCAGTCACTGATCCATTTATGGAAATCTCAGCGAAAAACTGCATGCTGAACTGATTGGAATGGACAGCCTGACTGTATCCTTTGCTTCCACGTCTTGTTGAATAATGTTTGCATCTTCTTTTACTTCTTCGTTAGGTTCCTTAACAGGCGAAGTTCTACCACCATAACAGAAAAATACACGTTTGATTTCGGTTGTTGGTTCTTAATTTTTCGATGCGCCAATGTGTATATAGTTCTGTACGTCATGTTTTATTTCCTTTTTTCCTGGTTTCTGATTTATGGTCGCGTCATGTGACAAATATGAGCGACATCGATATCAGCATCTCAAAATTACCGGAATAATGAGTCCTGGGTACTTCTGATGATCAACGTCCGTGCTGGAACAATAACAGTTCACGTTTCTTTTAAAGCACAAGCCTCGTGTTATGAACTTGGTCTGTATCGACGGATGTGACCAAAACTATGCTCTCCGCAAAAATTGGTAGGCACTCGAATTTTCAATTGAGTCTGGAATGTAGTTGAATTGAGTGACTGTGTCCAGAAATTGTGTCCTGCCCATATACTTGAAATATTTCAGAAACATTTATCTCTGTAATTGTCGTCCACATTACCTTACGTGTATAGCCCATGCATCGCTTACTGCCACTGGTTGCTGTAACTCAGTTTTTCGCCGGTGACCTTTCGTAAAGAATCTTAGTATCAACTAGAATTAGCTATAAACTATAATGCAGGGAAATTTTTGAGATCCCTGATGTAATGAACGAGCTTTACAGCCTCGGTGTTTGGTAGCGCAGTTGCATATTATATTTTGCACGATATTAATTAGTTGCTGTTTGCAATGATCTAACAAGTAGTAAGCCGCTGCCAGCATCTTGGGCATTTGGGAAAAACACATGAACCGGCTGAATTCCTTGATATAGTTTCTAATTTTAGCATAATGAAGTGAACGTGACTTTGTCCAGAAGTTTATTTTGCTACGACGAACGTGCACACGTCTACTAAAAATCCAGGAACTTAGTGCTGTAGTGTAGTAGTTTTTATTTCTGATTTTCATAGCTGTAGATGTTCAAAACAAAATACTTACCATTGCGAACTTGTGATGGACCATTGCCGTTATACCATGATCGTACCAGCTACGTACTCTAGGATGCTGTATCCCAAAGCTAAACGGTATTCCAACAGCAGTCACAGACAGATCATAGGGCAGTTAGTGAGCTATACCATAGTCCAAGAGTACGAATGAAGAGCAAGACTCAACACGGCATTGCCCAAGACTTGCATTGCCTTACGACTGCATACCCACTGCACAGAAACAGAAAGACTTCGTTCAAAAAATTCTCCGCATTTAATCATGGTCAATCCCATTCCCGTGCCTACCTATTACGATTTCCGAGTAAGAAACGTTTCAAAGGAGTTTTCAAGATAAAATGCCGTCCTGCGTCCATGCCAGCCCTGCAATCAGTTTTTAAAACCGCAAAGGTCACCGCGTTGAAGTCTACTCAGTAAAACAACCACAGTTTTCGGTTTCTGACGTACATGCGCTTTAATACTCCTGTGTGTGCGTAGCAGCCTACTTATAAAGGTTAAATTCTACAACTGGACTAAATCAAAATAGAAATAATATTAGAAATAATATTATCAAAACTAATAAGTACGGGATGCTTTGTGATGGTGCAAATTGTACAAGTCCCGTTCATAAGCGCAGTCATCTCACTGAAACCGCGATTTCATGTCTGGTTCACGGGTCGTCGCGTCTGGTCTAGATCTGCCATCGGCGTGAGGAGAACGGCAGAATAAAGAAAATCATAAAAAGAAAAATCCTACTTCTTTTGAAAATGCTCTTGACAATTATGCCAAACTGTTTTGCAATTTGTGTTAAGAATAGCTATAGGTGGCTGCTAAGTCCAGAGCCTGATCTGATTCCTTAATACATAAGTGACATGGTTTGGGTAATCGGTATAAATGCTGTCGGCGCTGTCGCTGCTAATAGCAAGCAAACATGCTAGCTTTTCCAAAAGTTATAACAGCGTTTTCATAAACTACTAGCTTTTCCAAAGAAAATATGACCGCGTTTTCATAAACTATATGAAACCAAGCCTCGAAAGGCTCATAAGCACTTATTCAAACTTTTCACTTCATTGAAACCATCGATTAGTAAATAAGAAACGAAAAAGACAAAGTTCTTGCAACCAATCTCCTGTAGCATGCAGTGCAGTTGTAGCGTGTAGTCTCCTGTAATGTTCACTGGCTATTCAAAACCAGGATAATCAACTGTGGATTAGTTACAGTAATTTGTAACAGCGACAATACCATTCGTACAAGTGCTGAATACACAATATCATTTTCTTCTACATCGTCCGCATAATGCAAGAGACCGAAATTTCAGAAATTGAGACCTCCCAATAAATAGGTCATCGTCAACAGTAACAAATACTAACAATTAAAATTTCCAAAACAAAAGAACGCACACCGATTCTACATCCATAAAATGCGTACAAAACTGCGGAGAGAAAAAACCAGTGTTGAACCGCATGCAAAATAATAATTACTAAATTCTAAAACATTGTAGGATTGCGATCACTCGACGTCGTCCAAAACCATCGAATTCAAAAGCAGGAACTTCTCCAAACAACAGATTCGATATGCTGCATGAAAGACTGCAAAAAATGACAGCTTTTGAGACTGAAAGGAGATCACGAATGACTGCTTTCCTTCGGCGGTGCTTATGTGTAATCGCCCGGATAGAATTCCGGCACAGAAGCCAAAATATTTTGGTTGTAAATATCAACACAACATTTAGTTTTTTCTCCGGAAACTCAGACTGTTTCGGGATTCTTTGGCAGATTGAGGGATTTGCGACGGCGGCTGCACGACCGGAAGGCTAGGCCGCGCTGCCGGGGATTTATCCCGGTCCCGTCGTCCGCTGATTGACCAACGGCGTATACCACTTTTGGGTGAAGAAGAGGCCGATGCCACTTGCAGATTGGTTAACGACTCTGCCGGGCTGGCCTTCGGTGGCATACCCATGGAAGCGGAATTTCTTTCGTTACCTTTGGTGTCGCTTTTCAGTAAATCCGCTTCCGAATGCACCGATTTGACAAGACCGGCGCTGGGGAAAAGGAATTTCTCCTGCCGCACATTGGAGGAATCGGGATTCGAATGGGGCAATGTGTGTGATGGTGAAATGGGTCCCGTGAAAGCGCCGCTGTAGCCCACTGAACGAGCTGGGGGCGCATCTGATGCGATATGCGGTACCGGTGCGGTTTTTCTACGGTCTTCCGTGTATGACTTGGGACGTAGAAATTTTGGTAATTTCACCTCGGACCGTTCGGATAAACGCAATGGTGGTTTCGTGGACAATGGTTGAGGCGGTAGCAACGCCGGTTCAGTCGGCGGAGAAGGGTGTGTCGGATCGGTGGACCCCCTTGAAAATTTTGGACAGCATAAAAAATAATCAATCAGGCAGAAATTACGAGTGTAGACAACCAGCATGAACATTCCATTTGGAGAACAGACTTGGTTAGTCAAACAACGGATTTCTAGTCCGCAACGTATGCCAGGTACAAGCGCATTCCGACGAACAACGGATCACAATTCCGAAACGGACAGTTTTAGACAGGTCAGTTCAGTCAGGATAATAACGGATCACAGACAGTAGCAATTTCAACCAGAGATCGTACAGGGTAATATGACTCGACGAAGGACATCATGTACACCAAATCAGCATAACCACAACTCACATTGCGTCGTCGCCTTGCTGGGCACGACGTTGGAAATCAATGGGACTCTGCAGGGCTCGCAAAAAGTTCTGTTGGGTATCCAGCATGGTTTTAATCTGGGCAACCCATAAATCACGTTTTTCCTTATCAGGAGCCTCAATAACGAACATTCGATCACCCGAATGCGGGCATCGTGAACGCAATGCGAAACGCACCACATCCTTCTCCACCTCGATTAACGACATTTTATTCACCTACGAAACAAACGAATTTCACGTAAAATACTCATAACGTCAGATTCCCGATTTACTATATTTGAAAATCTTTATTGTCTTTGTACCTGAATATGGCTTTTGTATAGATACACCGGGCTGCTATAAGGCTTCTTGTGCGTCCCACCGACCGCTTCACTAAAAATCACCACTTGCTCAAATAAGAATATCTGCCGCTCCTTGAATTTATTCGGTTGCGAAGGATCCTTATCCTTGTCTTTCTCCTTCTCCTTATCCTTTCCCTGGCTGGACGGAGCAGCGGCTGTTACCGTTTCGCAGACCATAAAACTGTCTTGCAGCAGTAGCTTCCCTTGAGCCGTGAGTTTCCCCTACAAAGACATGTTTACTTCATAAAAAAACTCAACACTGTTAAATCACAAACTATCACAATCCACATTCCAATCTTTATCAAAATGACATAATGATTTTACCTCAAATCCTTGCAATCTGCCGACTTCCATGAAGTCATTAGCCAGTTTACATATGCCCATAATGCAGTTCAATGCTTTACGCAGTTCTTCAGCGGGCAATTGTGCCCGTTCCGTGTACTTGAGAATGTCTTTCAGCATTAGCTGATAGCGCATAACGCGTTGAACGGGTTTGATGAGCATATCGGGTAACTTGAGCTTATGCCCCAACTTCAAACGGATGTCCTCAAAATAAGTATCGATGTATTCGGACACAATAAATTCGGACTTCGGTTTATTTTGGCAGTATACGACATAATGTTGAAATTTCCGTTCCTGTAAACATAGCTCTGATAGAATATATATCACCATGCATTCCAATGAGGCAAAATTGCTGGCTTTCGCGTATACTTTAATATTGTGATGATTACCATGCGCAAATTACTGCGCAGCCTTTTCCACAACAAGGCAAAAGCCTTGTGGCCAAATTGTTACTTTTTGCCCCAGCCAGAATATGCTACCATAGTTATCTGCATAAATGAGCCAGTTGTTATTTCAATACCTGATGTTTATTATAGATCACCATTAAAGGCCCATTACCCATTACAGATACTATAATTCAATGGTACAACACACACGCTTACATTTCCATTACGTAGTAAATTCAACACAAATCTACCAATTTCTCATAACAATGCCCGAAAGATCGAAGATTATTATTTTTAGTGTACAGAAATTTTTTAAAATATACCCAGATGGGCACTGTTTACAACCAGATTAAAGTAGTGTTACAAATCTCGCTGTTATTATGTGCTTAGTCTTCGACATCAAACTAAAAAGGTCGGTATTTACGATAACGATAGAGACTAATTAAATCTAAAAATAATATCTAGTCAGTTTCAGCAGATCTGCAGCTGCCAGAGTATAGCACCAAACCAAATACGTAATTGGTAATATAGTGTGTACTGGTGCAGTAGCTTAGAATGCAAAGCTTATCCAATGTCGGAGGAAAAAAGAGACGCGATCGATCGATCGATTACCAGTGCAAATTCTTTCGCGCTCCAGTCATCATGGAGAATAACCTGATTTAGGATGAAAATAAATTAGAAACGTGGTGGTGACGAACTGTGCGAAGGCAAACATCGACTGCGTCAGCGTGCGCATCTGAAATACAGCGTATAGAGAGGGAGCTGCAGGAAACAAGGAGCAACATATCGTCCGCTCCATCAAGATTGTCCCGACTGCAATCTGCACAGGGTTGCCTGCTACTGTACCATTTAAGTATTCGGCGACCTAATTAAAATTTGATTCCCCGCCATCATCAACAGATGCATGTGATTCAAGCGGCTTCATTACGGTTTGCATTCCCCGGCTTGGGCACTGACAAGTACCACCATATTGTCGGCATCAGACGAATAACATCATTCAATGGCATTCATGCCGCTTGCACAAAAACCAATCTAAGCACGCTGAACAGGTAAGGTTAAAGAGCAAAGATACTTAATTATTGACTGCGTACAAGCTCCCGTATTCAATGCAGTCATATGACAACAGCTTTCTGTTGAGATGCTGGCTACGCTGCAGGATTTAAAAATAGAATGAAAACGTCTTGTAACCTCCGGATTAATCGAAGCGTATGAACAATATGCACTACCACCAACTGCGTTCTATGCATATGCAAATTAGGTAAGCAATCCCTAGTGATAAAGAATGCCAACAACAGACAACTTCGTACTTACATGCTTGATGAATACGCGCGGCAATCGATCAGCAGCATCCAAACATTTCTCCAACTCTCCACAAAATGTGCTAGAGATAACGGGGGAAAAGAAGAAGAAAAAAACGTCAGAATCAATATTTGCCTATACATAAGCACATACACGTTCGTAAACAGCATATCAGCGCTACAAAGACAACGGAATCCAATATACTGCAGCCTAAATGAGAGGCAGTCAAGCCGTGAGGAGAAACAGTCGGTATAGATGATATGGCCCTACACGGCCAGACCAACGTCAATTCAATCACTATTTCCACCTCCCCAAGCGTTACAATCGCTACATTACACCAACTAAATCCTTCTATCCACAAGCTAAACAATCTAATGCACTCTAGCAACGTGGAGCTGACTCGTTAGTGCGAGAAAGAAAACCCCAAAAGGGTTCAGTACAGATAATGACCCAGAGGACGGTTGATGAACAAGAAAGCTAATGCCGACTGCAAAATAAGACTACAATACCGCACGCCTGTTTTCCTAATTATGGTACTGAGTATATTTATGCGGCTTACTCTTTATGGAAAACATATATCTGTTGGATGTTGCCAAAAATGAGCTTATCCCGTCCATTCATATCATCCGGCATGGCATTTTCATGCATATATGCAATATAACCATCGATAATCAGTCCCAAATCTTTGACGTAATCGCGCTCCGTGTCAACAAGTTCTTTTAAGACGTAACTGCAACACGAGAAGAACATGTCAGGCTATTCAATACAGCCGTGTATAATCTTCGGGGCCACATGACAGTATCGCTGAAAATAGCCGTACTCTCGCATTGTCACAGCTCGCGAGATGGGATCTAGTGTTTCCGGAACGGTTTCTTCGACAGGAGCCACAGCAGATGGAGCGGAGCTGTCCGGCTGGGCTTGACAAGAACTATCTTCCGGATTATCGCTTTTTCCCACATCCAAATTGGACCTGTCAGTTCTCTCCAGTACACTAGCTGAGCTCTGAGCAGGACTCATATTGGCAGGTGAAGTGGGCGATGCCGTGCCAATTGGCGGCTGATGATCGGTTGCAGCCGCTAATTTTGATGGATCACCGCGGGCCGACATAGGTGGTAATGCTGTGGGTGCCTGATTAAGAAAAACAACCAATACATGTCGACATAACCGCCGGAAAAAAAACGACGATTTTGCATGGGAAAACCAATTATTGCCGTGCTGCTTGCTGAATAGCTGATATCAATCAGGATACGGAGCATGCATACTGACCCAAACTGGTACACGAAATTAACGTGCTATGTTGTAACGCCCAACAGGAACATACTATTAAAGAAGCGGACTTACTGTAGAATTGACGACGAGATTTTCAATTTGGTTGGCTAATTCACTGCCTTGAGGGTGGATCGATAGGGGATCGGTAGCCGTGTTATTGACAGTGATTACAGTGCTATGTGAATCGGTGGGTGATGCCGATGATGATAATAATGATGGTGCTGAAGAAGAAGAAAACGGCAACGACTCCTGTGCGCCGCCAGCTGCTGCTGGTGAGGAAGTGTGATTTAGCGTATTTAGCGCCGGTATAGAATGAATATGTTCCATTGGAGGAGGCATTTCCGGTGGTGCTGGGCCCGTATTATCATTATCTGCTGGCGTATCAGTGTTAATAAGATTTACCACGGGAGCGCCTCCAACAGCCTGCTCAATGGTCGGATCCTCCGTACTAGTGGGCTTGCTAATCAGAGCGAGGTGATGATCGTAATCCGTTTGGACGGCTGAGGCGGTTACTGATGCTGCTGCATCGGCATCGTGCCAGACTTCTTGCTGGGCAAGAGGAGGTGCTACAGTGCCTCGGCGAATGTCATCCGGCTGAACTTGAATCTGTACGGCGTTGTTGTGCTGCGTGCTGACTTTTGTACGGGATTGGGCTGTTGTCTTCGTCACAGAGGAAAAAGAGGCGGTGGAAGAACTAGTGACGACAGCAGTAGCAGCAGACGCCGCAGTACCATCCCGAGCCGCACTGGTACCGACAGTGGAAGCAGTTGGAGGTTTTTTGTGGCCAACGGCAACAGGAGGAACGGACGACAGACTGTTTACGCCACTGTGCAAATTAACTGGTACCGCGGCGGCTGACGATGCTCCCACAACAGCCGTGCTGTTGGGATTGCTGTGACTTTTGCCCGCTGTAGAAGCTCCCATTTCAATACGATTCTGACTGAGCTTGCGCACGGGATTGGTTAACCATTTTCTGAATGTGTTTCTCCGCTTGCTGGTCGGCGCTGGCTGGGTGGCCTGAGAATGGCTATCACTGACATTGCCCGTATGTCCAGCGGCTTGTGATGCGCCAGAGGTACTGCTTTGAAGGGGAATGTTTGTTCCCGAGCCGGGTGCAGCTACAATAATGTGCATGTACAGACATTAAAACCATAACCGAATACATTTCTAACGGAATCATTGTGTTCACGTGAAATTCCATAATTTTCTACAGGATAACTTCTCTAATGGTATAGGTAGTGCAATTCCCTGATACCGGTGCTGTGGTGCATATAAAGTTTCCAGAGGGACGTTATCAAGTTATGCAAATCCGACATCTCAACGAGTGTACAACTGCTACAAGAGCACTTGAATAAATTAACGCAGGCTCTCAATCCACATGCTAAAATGCGTATGCATTCCAAAAATTACGAATTACAGACCCTTCCATATTTTTACTATGGAATATGAATTTACTCATTTGTTTAGCGAGAAAAGCATACTTACAATTAGTCGCGAGTAGCGACTTTCGATATTCAGGTCACAAAACATAATTTGATTCCGTCAAAACATAACCAAATCCAGTCAAAGTACAATAATTAATTGTTAAAATTGCTAAGAACTGCTATAGTAGTACGAAAGCCATCCGACCGGTAAGTATCACAATAAAAGAGTGAGTACGCTTCGGACGACCAAACTTTCAACGGGCATATGTAGCTTTGCAACATAAAATTAAGGGTTCAATTCAAATGTGGCGTAAAGGGAAAAATATGTTACTTTTCAGTTCTTATACGCTTTAATTTTACAATGCAAACTCTGCTGACCAATATAAAACATAAACCATTTGTCCTTACTTTATCGAATGTTCGAAATGAGCAGCTTCTTCACTCACTTTATTATTTTATTATTCACTGAAAGGCAAAGAAACCACAACACCTGTTTAGCGAAATGCACTGGTCAACATCTTTACTACACAACAACTTTCATACCACGTGCCAGGTGTTTGCATAATACTTTGTAGCAATCCTAGAATACATGTACGTGTTTCCTGCATCAAACTGCAGAGCAAATTAACTTTATTCTTTATTTTAGTAAGTTGTTACAGTAGGCATAAGTATTTTTCCTACAGGTTACAGTATTTATATCATGCATCCCTTTACAATTTATTTTACCGGTGTGCACAAATACTTTAATAACAGCAGCATAGAAAAACTGAAAGCACAAAGTTCGTAAATTGTGTGCCACAATTCAAATTCAGGGAACAAGAAACAGTCTCCGGTCGCCGCCTAGCCTATCCAGAATATTAGAATACCGGCAGTATTACAATACTTGTGCCGTCGCTCTTAACAAAAACCTATAGGTCTCTTTAAGTGCTTTTCTGAATACGCTCATCACCATTCTAGATGTAATATGTCGTTGGACTTGAGGAAAGTAAATACGTCTAATAAAGAAGACAATCCTCAGAAACTGTATATAATAATAATCATAACTAGAGTAATAATTATTCATAATTATCAATTTGCTTAAAGCAGTTTCCTGAAGTTTCCTGTAAAAAGCACAACCGCACACCCAAGTTTCACTATATTTATTGGTGTTTACACCCTGCAGTAGTTGTTTGCATATTTTTTTGTCAAAACAAAATAATTTAACTGTTTCAAAATATTTCTCATACAGTAACATAACCGTTTCAGTCAAAAGATTGATGTACGACTATGCACTGTTCTAACTTTCAGTGAAATGCAGTTCTCAACTCCACTCACCACAACATTTTCTCCAAGGGCATATTGGACAAGCACAGCTAAGATTTATTTTCATGGTGGTTCAGTATAATTAGCAGCACCTCTTGTAGCTCTTCCAGCTATGAGCAATCATATTATCGATAAATCTCAAAAAATAAGATGGACGGATCATGGAAACTAACAAGTCTCTCCATACAAAACCAAAGAAACAAACGCCAATAATGCATGCTGAAGTACTTTATCCAGCGTTGGAACAGTTAACACCCCGTAATAATCAAACCAAAGAGCCAAAAGATCACGTTACGCGTACGACAAGCGATTGCAGCAAACCAGCCACTTAATTTTGTCTAGAGAACTGAAGGCTTCGGTGATAAGCGCGGCAGAATTAACACAAACTAACAACTGTTCTACACACGAGCCTCACGGAAGACCGTGGCAAGGATTTGGGATGGTTCATTCTCAAAATAAGTCTTGTGCTAGTCACTAATAACACTCAACTATGACATTCAACAGTTGGAGAATTGCTGACGAATAACTTTAGAAACTGACTTAGATTTGGCAAAGACCAAAATTCAAACATTACAGGCACCTTCCAGGGAGCATAAGAATTCCAGCATAAGAAAAGATTACCGTCTAATAGTGGCGATGTAGAAACTGTCAGAGAAAGCGTACCGCACCTAGTGTAGTTTCAGTGTTTAATTCGTACGCGGTTACATTTTTATGCGGCAAACAGTCCTATGTTACCTAATTGTTTCATAATACTAACAGCTTTAATAACAGCTGTCTACCATCTCTATTTATATCGTTAATTTTAACCGCTGCGAATACAGAGTAACCGCACGATATACCAGTGCTATACGCCTGTGCCTAATTTTACACAGTACGCGCTCACAAAATGAACCTGCATATAGATATACATATACAGTACTTATGCTGCACAGAATGCTGACACAACCTATAATCAGATATGTTACCACTACTGAATACGTAGTATCAGGCTTGATGCCCCTTTTACGCACAAAATTTTGTTGTCATTTAGGCAAAATCTGCTCGTTAGTCAAAACATATTACTGTGCCAACACTTCCACATACGAAAATCTGTGAAGTATAACACCGCTAACTGTGGCCACCTAGCGGTAATAGCACACATTATCGATCCCAAATTCCAGCCTAACCATAAACTTTTACCTGCCAATCTTAAAAATCTCTTTCTTATAGGCGCGGCTCCTCAATTTACACTAAACCAGAGAGTCCTTTCAATAGGAAAAATAAAACTACCTATTTCGATATAGCACCGCTACCATGATCGTAAATTAATTCACAATCCTCTGTAACACATACGTATCATTTGATTAAGGAGCGATACTAACTTGTAAGGTCATGCAAACAATTTACGGCTCACACGACCAGAGATATTCTATCTTCTATTATCAAGGAAATTCAAAAACGTACCTTCACCGTGTGGATTGAAATCTATAGGCATAGTTTTGGATGGTGACAATTGTCGTGCAGATCGGTTGTTTGGCACCAAAGCAAGAATATTGGCTGGTAAGTATCCTTCGATAATCTTCTGAGCGGCCAATCCCGACTCTAATTAGTATTGTGGAAACATTATCTAATGTATATTTTTATCTACTCATGAAAACTCAGAATACATTGGACTTACTGTATCCGGAAGTGGAAGGTGCTATTCGCAAACGGACATAATAAGTGTCCGCCGACGATGACCGGTCCAGTACTTCAACACATTCGCCTTTCTGTACTGTCAGTTCACCATCGTGGATGGCTTCATAATTTTCTGTAATCGTTGCCCAATCTCCCTAAAAACACATAAAAAAATTTTCAAAATTATAGATTCAAAATACAAATTCAAACTTCCCTGTCACTACGGCAAAGTAGCACGGAATTTTAAAAAAAGCTTCACATCAACTTAATGGTTTCTAAGGGCTTCTTAGCAGGTTTTAACACTATTCCAATAAAAACCGTGTTTTATCTTTGCTTTCAAGTCTCTTCTGACAAGAGACAATCTAACCAGAAACTTTAATTACAGGATGCGCGCTTGTGAAAATTATAGGTATTACTGTGGTCTGTTCTGTTTAGTAAAATTGTGCGAAATTTGTCGTTATAACCCTGGGATCTGATTGTCGATAGCATTAATATAGTTTAATATGCAGTAACGGCAAGCCACCCCACCAAAACATACGTAACCTCCGGTCCTCCCGTAATGCCGAACGGAAATATATATGCTACTGTGGCTAAAGAGCTTTAAGTGTCATCGACGCTATTAAGAGCATCGGCATCCTTCGCTTCCGCGTACACCGACAGCAACAGAGGTCTACATCCCTTAACAATATTGATGTAATTTTTGTATGCTTCTGGTACACTCCAGTCCGGAATATTGCTCAGCTATTCGCTCCTGTAGTATTTATTGAGCGGTTGTCCGAAATACGGGAACACTACTGCAATGTATTATGCGATGTGTGGCACCCACATAGACGTTACTCTTTAAGTCCAAATTATCGATTGCAAAGACAAACATTTTGTAGTCTTTTTGTGCTAATTTTTAAACTTATCTCAGCCATACAACCTCTCACTACACTAAATACAGGTCCAAAGGTAAATGTCAATCCATATTTCAATGAACACAAATAAGGTGCCGATGTACTGTGTCAAAAGAAGCTGAATGACACCCAAATAAACGATCCTGTCGTGTAAGTAGTCATTAAAGTTGTACCGCCATCAAAAGCATTCCTTGAAAGAATACACCTTCATTGGCTACACCTACACTTCCATAAGTCAATCGATCAAAAGCTACAGAGTATAGTGCACCCTTCATCAAACCAGATGTTACTTAGTCTACACGGTGCATAACAGAAATTTCTCTTCCTGTTTTTGTTTTTCCTTGAAATCCTTGTGGCTTTCAATAAAACATTTTTAATAAAACAATCGGGTTTCTTCAAGTTAAAATTTGCGAAGAATCCACATTGCAAACTACATCCCTGTTAGTAAATCCCTGCCCTAAACCGTTCCGCAGATGTACTGTAACGCGTCATTTAAAAGCCGATACAGATTACCCAAAGGCAAAAACAGGCCCCGTAGGTGGGATTTTGGTAAAGTGTCTTCCAAAAGCAATCTGAAAGTGTACAGTACTATAGAGTATACGATATACCTTATTGTACACGCTCCGTTTCCTTCGTAAACTCAAGATCCTCATCATGGTGTTAGGCAATTAATCAGTACCACTTTACAATATTTAAACATACCACAGTGCTATAATATACTAATGGATCATCCGAAGGGAATTTAACAAACTGCAAACAGCAGTGTTAGTAAGGAATGTGGCAAACAAACTGCTTTTAAAAGAACGGATAATCAGCAGGCATTAGATCATAATGGGAACACCTGTTCCACCGGAAACCAACGTTTGAGAGGGTTTTAATGTAAATCCATATTAAGCTAACCAGAATTATAGTAATCGCCAGATTATGATTTTAATGCTCAATTCCGGGAACAATACAAGCCAGTAAATCCCAACAATCTATAATGGCAAATATCTCCCAACAACAAGAGATGCGTCTATTCTCTCTCCAGTCATGGAAGCGGAAGTCAGTAAGCAGATCAAGCGTTGCCCGGGATATGCCAACAGGAAAATGTTAGTACAAAATGTGCTGGCAACAAACTGCACCAGTCAAAATCAATCTGAGAAATGAAACGACTGGAATTTTCAGCTTGTAGTATATGCACATCATGCAGATATATTATATGACACAGGTCGTACGCGCGATCAAAAATAACGCGCGCGATCTGCTGGCAAAGAGAGTAATGCTAATATTAAACTTGCTCTCCTTGTCAGACTGTAACCCTTCAAAAGATAAAAAAGTTCGATATCATCAATACGCAATGGAATCCATGGTCTGAAAACACTCATGTATCTTCGTAGTTCACACCACCCAGTCAAGATGCCTGCACACTGGGACCTAAATTACCGGATCTTTTAGTATTCTAACCTTGAGCAATCTCCACAAGATTTCAGTATGCAAAGGAAACTGAACACAATCCCAGATGCGCATGTTCGTATTGTCCACATTTGCTGCATTGGGAGATCGTTTGGCAGACAGTTACAGCAGCTTTCCCCGATCAATTTAAGTCTGCTTCATTACATCGACATCCAGCATTAGTTAATACGTGCAACAAAGTTGTCAGAGCGCCGGTATAGAGCAGGAGTAAACTAGGGTAGGGATCTGCAGTTTCCCACACATATCCTGCACTTGTAGTACAGCATACTCCCGTTCTCCCAGCCTGAAACTTCCTGCTAATTACCGGTACGACTGCGTACAGGACCGATTTGTAACGAAAATCTCCCATGAATACGATGAACGCACCATATATGAATGTGCTCAGTGCATGTCAACGATGCCTCAAAACGTGGTTATTTCGCAAAATCACCAATAAAACGCATTTGCGCTAATTGAAATGCAGTATCCCAAATTCGCCACATTTACTTGCCTCCCAGCTAGATATTTTTTACTTGAGTGAATCAATATCGTACATTCAAAACTGAGAGTGTAAGTACTTTTCAAAATTAATATTATCATAAACTTTCACGCTGCCCTGCATTTTAGATACTTAACAACCAAAAACAAAAATACTCTGTGCAGTGTGCGCCGTATTCCATCTCGACTTTGCAACAACTGCCTATCACTAACCTGCATGGCCAGACTATAGCCTTATCCGCTGCAATGCAGCGACAAAATGTTTATTTTGCTATGAAACCCAAAAACACTGTAACCGAAAATCTCAAAAATTTTGAAAGGCTATTCTTACTCTTACTCTTCATTTTCTTCCATCCCCTTGCTCTACAGATGGAACTACTAAAAACCCAGTTTTTCAATTGCAGTAGCACATACTACATACAGTAAAATCCATTTTTCTTATGACAGGCGCGAACCTCACGAGCGCGAATCTCGAGCCAGTAAATACAACTGCAAAAAATAAAATTTCATGTATTCTTTTCAATTCTCAGCTTGTTGAAAATAACGATTGCAACCGCCTCAAACTTATGTTTGGAAATGCTTTAATTATTCTATTCTACTACTGAAACACTCGATGCGGTTGAGACATCAGTTCAAATGCTGAACTCATTTTAAATACAATTTCGAGACCATGAATTTTATAATCGTCCAAATTCACACAAATCATCTACAGCAACCAGTAAAGCATTCGAAAACAACTAAAGTCTGAACCAACAGAAGTGTTTCAAAGAAAGACATTCGACATATACGCGACGCGAACAACACATGTTAACCCGATCGTTCCTACTCGTAATCTCTTAGTGGTATTTACGCCTGCGCAGCAATATTCCGTTCATAAAGCAAAGCGACGGTGGCCTTTCTCTGCAAGTGCCTGACACCTCCATATATTACGCATATGTTTTTCTTAATAATATTAAGGGTGGACGCTTGTCAAAGGAAGACGCGCATGCGCTCTCGCTTACCTCATACAACACCTTATCGCTGCTGTCGGTGGTATTGGATGAACTGTGCGAGATGGTCGAATAACGCTCGTGATGTCCAGAAGAACCTTCTTCAAGCGAGAGCGAATCCTCATAATCCTTACTACCACGGCTATTTCTAGCACTACTTTCTTTTTGGCTAGTGCCGCCGTTCATCAACGTCGGAAGCAAGCTGCTGTTGCTGGATGGCGCTGTATCGACGGCTGCGACACAGTTATTATCCTGCACCGTAATTTCGCGCAGCTTTTGGATCCAGCTGAGTTTGACAGGCACCGTAGAGGCTTTTAAGATAATCTTCGAATCCGACAAGAGAAGGCCGGCTGTTGACTGTGACTGGCTCGCAGTGCCACTCGCTCGTCCCATCCATATGGCAAACTTACAATCCTCTCCTCCTTCAACATGCTCATGGATCGTCATACCGGCTGTCTGCAATGGAGGCGAAAAAAAATCCCACAGTCAGAGAGCGACAGAAAGCGGAAACTGGAGCTTGTTCTAATTTACAGCACGAAAGCCACACAGCCATTTCGGCATCATATACCATGTATTTATTTTTGAAAACAAATTTCTTCTGTCCGTTGGCATCCTTGATCTCCTTGGTGAATAAGATGGCCCGCTCAAAGAGGAATACTTGGTATTTCCGCCCCTTGCGGATAATTTGCTTCGGCTCCCAGACTTGTAACGAATCCACCAGGATAATCTCACCCAGCTTATCCAATGGTTCCTGTTTAGCAAGCTGGTTAGTCAGTCAGCCAATTAAACGGGCAATTTCTTATATCCTATATACAACCGACCGTGTAGCCTTCCATAAGACTTAAATTGCTGGCATCGTTGGCTTTCTGTGTTACGCTCCGAACTACGTCCAGTGCATCGCGGATTTCTCCACGCACATCCTCGCAACACAATGCTAACCTTTCCAGTAGCTGGCCATATTTAACAGTGCGTTGCACGGGTTTAATAATGTAAGAATTCATTGTTGAACTGGAATTTAAACCAAACTGGGCACCAACTTCCTAAAAATGTAGAAACAGTTGTGTGAGCAAAGCAATTTTTTTCTGCACGACATCTACAAAAGACATACCGCAAAGTAATCTCTGATGACAGGCTCGGCAATCACAGACTGGGCTTGTCGGTTATTCATACAATACGTAACGTAAATTTCAAATCGGTGACTCCATGTCATGAAACAATGTGCAACATCTTCCGGCACAGATTCGTATTTCTCCAGTTCTTTCAAGAAAACGCTGTACAAAACAAAAATACTTAAAGACTTAAGCAAATAGAAGTGTAAGAAGTACTACATGGACATGACTGCGAAAATACGTGTTTTCAAGACTGTCAAGCCTTTTTAAGCAGATAAAAGTTCTGACATATGTACGAGGATCATATTACATAAAACCTTTTAAACCGACAGTAGCAAAGACAACGAGCAAATTAAAGAGTTAGTAGCTAATGCGGTGGTTAAAACCAATTGCATAATCAAATTTTAACTTTGTCGATTAGTCCATTTCAAAGGTGCTTCATATAGATATTGGTCAATCCAGTCTATGGTTACAGCATGCACACAGTAAAAAATTACAGCATGCACACAGTAAAAAACCAAGTTATTTCTAGCAATTCCGAAATTATATCTCTGGACAACTTACTTGCAGTGGAATTCGTAGATTTCCTCAATATTGGCAAAAATCACAGGAATTTTTGCCAAGAGGCCTACTGGACGATTAACAGCGCTGGTGGGATTTTTTATCTCATTGAGGTAATACTGGAAAATTACAGAAACTGGCATTAAGGGGAAGAGACCGATGGGCATATAACCTCCGACTTACCTTAATGCAGTCAGCGAGATCCTTGACGTAGGCCTTTTCGGTCAGCAGCAACTCGGCCATCGCACCCCTGTTATCAGACATTAGGAAGAATTAATTAGACAATCACACACAATCAAGAATAACCCCCGAGAGCTCTCAACTTACTCTCTCTCTCGCAATAACTTCCGGTTCTCAACGGGCGCATCCTTAGCTGAAAACTCATGAAGTTTACCCTCCAGGGACGCGTCACTATGGCGATCATTATGCGCTTCACGTCCGTGAAGGACCACTCCTAGTTTCTGCTCGAGCTGGCGCTGATAGTGTTCCATACGCGACATAAAATCCTTTTGGCGGACATCCACCGCTGAGACCCATGACTTAATACTGGTAGCATGAGAATGGCCGTTCTCAACGAGACTGTCGGCTAACTGCATCAGTTTGCGGATTTTTTCTTTGTTTTCCTGTACAAGCCATCGTGGTGTTAATGGTACGTCGGTACGTCCACAACGTGATAAGATAATTCAAGCTCGCCCACCAATACGTATACGGCACCATTAAACCCACAACAGAGGAAACGCTAAATGGATAATTTACTGATAAATAACTAAAAATTTGGCAAACAAAACATGCGTCCATAATCTGAATCAACTTTAAGCAAACGTGATTCGGTGTACAGTTCAAAACTCGGCTTGTATCTACTCAAGTTTTACTGCTCTTATGTAATCACTGTACGAGTACCCTTCAGTTATCACGGTTAACCAGGTATTCAGCGTGAAAATTCGGTTTTCTAATTACCTTTGCAGTGCCGAGAAAATCGTTGTGCTCATTGAGAAGAGCTTCGGTGGCTGCTTGCGTGGTTCCCACTGTAGTGCGAGTGGACAGGTACAGCTCACCAGTGTCCTGGATCCACGCCAGGGCCTGCTTGGCACTGCGCTCCACGTCGATGTACCGCTGACAATGATCGAGGCGCTTTTTTCGCCGCGTCCACAGCTGCAGCACTCCATCCTCCAGATTCTGAACATGGCTCAATATCGCTACATTCAATCGACAACCAACCATTAGTCGCGGATCGGGACGGGACTGTCCAGGTAACAAAATTCACTTGGTTTACTTACCGCGGACGCCTTCCGTGGCGTGTAATTCAAGAATATCTGCGTACATGTGTTGTCCAACAACTCGGGCTAGACACTTTAAGAAAGTCTCCCCAGTCCTGCGAACATGTGTGCAGGCCTGCAAGCGTTAACAAATTTGTCAAGAAAGGGAAGCATACCTTGTAAGTTCGTAGTTCACAATTTTAAAATTTAAATTTTGAATATGGAGTACATAATTAGACGTTCGCGGACTGCGTTGGCAAGGCTTTCGCTCGCTTTGATTTCGCAACCAAACGAACACAGCCGCGAGGCAGACGGCTGAACAGCAGACGCAACAGAGAGCACTCTTGCGCGTGCTTCGGTGATAAAAATTAAAAGCCGAAGTTTAGCAGTGCTGTTGATACTCCATCGCAGATAGAATCTTGTGATAAGATAAGAGAATACCTTTGTGGAAATACACAGCCGCTTTACGACTGGAGTAACGGCGGCAGCAACAATTTTATTTGTAATTGAAACGTATTGTACAGTACAGCTGTTCAACATAGTCGGACCGCTACCGCAGTGCCCAACACAAGCTTGGAATACGCACTATTAACACATACGTGAAGTTGTGAACTAAATGTCTTGTAAGTATGCATATAGCAGTAAAAGGTTGAAAAATAGTGTACAAACACAAAGTAACAAGGTAAATGTGACAATTTAATTACAATTAAACAGGTTTGTATGGATCTAGATCCTTGTCGCGGTACAATGACAGCCGCATATTTGTCGACGACGGGCCAACGTCATAGGTACATACACAGTAGTAAGTACACATGCAGAAATGCGTAATACAATTTTAATTTATTATCGTTGTCACCAAGGAGGCAAGGAATAAAAACCAGTTTCTGTAGTTGGGCTCCAGCTTACAATAATTAGCAGTGGCAAACTTGCAAAACACAAAGTGCAACAAAGTGGACTGGTCAAAGGTCACAATATTATTATCTATGGACTATGGTTCCTAATTTCCACTTCCCATATCTGCCTGTGTCGATACAAAAAATTAAAACAGAAGGGTTGCAATGACACACACTTCACGCCTTGAAAACTTACAACTTTCAGCTTCAGCAAATCAGCGGTAGTCGTCCTGTGCATTTCCATAAAATTGTCTACAAACTACCGTAATTTCATAATACCTACAGTAGGACGACTCACAGAACTGTGGTACTACTGGAGTACATGCCGTATACTAACAAAAAGACCACTGCCGCGTTCAAAGCAGGCGTTAATTAATTAAAAATTTTAAACATTGCTTGGTCTTGATCAAGTTTTAGACTTTGAATTTTGCCGTTAAGAGCGAGGTGACGCGGCGTGTCAGAATGAAACTTAAGTTAGATCTAATACCTGTATGTAGAGTACAGGTGCAAATGCAACAGACTTTCGAGCCCCGTCGCCGGTGATTTCTGTTTCATTACAAAATTATCATTACACATCCTTATCTGCAAAGTATCTGTCCGAATCTCCCTAATAAATGCCGTCCTTCTTGTGCAGTGTTTTAATCATAAACACTGTAATCAAGCACGTTGTGTTTTATGCTGAATGAACGGTGGTTTACACTTACAGCAAAAGATCAAGGTTAATTAACTTGGTATTAAACTTCATCATATCCCTAGCTAGTAGCAACCATTGAACATGGCAAAACTCGACGTTCCCTAGATTCAGTAGTTCGTTACTCACTTTCATAAAGGCTTCCTTTTGTTCCTGATGCCTGCTGGTGAGCTTCGCAATCCATTGCATCTTGTCTACCCTTTGGGATTTGTCTCCGCCACACCAATCTTCATCGTGGCCGTATTCGTTATGCAAGGCTCCCAGGACAGCGCGCACCTACCATCCAATAATATTTGAAAATTCTCGCATTTTACATGATGACCAATTGAGATACCCGCAATCACCAATACATTTCAAATTCTGTGTGTACAGCTAGAATCGTAAGTGATATTAATTTTTAGAAAATAAAATGCTTCCTCTTTAGTACGATAGTACGAATGCATATTTTTTATGTTGATAAACAATTATTTTTTTGTAGGTACGCAGGTTGAATTACGGTCAGATATGTATAATGGTTTGGAGAACCAAATACGCGAATAATGGGAAATCGTTGACAGTTGCGGCACATACTAATTTGCTATTGGTTCACTTTCGTTTAAAATAATGCACAGGGTCAAAACACTCTCAAGGTATACGATAATATTGCCTAAATTTTAATACTGCTTATAACCCGGCCAGGATACCCTACCTGATCAGCAGCACGGTAGAATGTTACACCCGATGACATGGCCCGGTGTATTTCTTCGGTGTTACACAGTAGCTGCTGCCACTGCGAATTGACATTCTCCATTAGCCGATGGGCCACTTCAGCACCATCAATATCATTCTGTGCAATGTTTTCCGCCAGATCCTGGAATTTGGTTAACACAGGCCGAGCACTGTCGATTTCTGAGCGGACTTTGTCGTGACAGCGCAGCAACATTTCGGATTCATTCAAGGATTTAAGCGTCAGCGGAAGCGATTTGAGGGCGCATTCTTTAGCGTGGACAAAACTCAATATTTCCTGTGCCTGTTCATTGCACTGATTCAGCTGGACGACATTCTGCAATCGTATCCGGTAAATTTCAGCCACTGCCGGAATATCACTCTGTCGCTCCACAAGGAAGTCCAGTAAACTGGCCACACGCTGTTTGATGTGAGATAAATCGACCATATTCACTTGAGGAAAATTGCTCAAATACTGCGTCAATTCCTGTCCACGTGCGTACGCTTGTTGACTTAAGGCTAACAATTGGTCAACTCGGGTGTCCAGATCGCTGAACTCCTGTTTAGCGTGTGGCGCATCAATGTCCAGATCGTTCTCTTGAATGGAATCCACCCAGGAGTCAACATCCGACGCTACTTCACTGGCACTACGCTCAAACATACGCAACTTCAAATACAAATCCAAAACAATTCGTCTCGGCTCCCAAGCTGCATCTAATTCTTCACGATTAGATGCGATGATTTTCAAAGTATGCTCGATGTGGTTATAGTCTACCGATTCTAACATCGAAGCATCTCTGCAAAGTAAAAAAATTCTACATCAACTGCGGAACATGTGTACAATAGCATTAGCCACTACATCAGCCACTAACAGAAAATTTAAACCAATATGTCTGCGCAATTTACATGATGAACATGCAGATACATTCCACAGTAAGTATCTCGGAAGCAAAAATTTACACTTGCAAAACAGGTTGTAAACAGAGTTAAGTATGCAGTACTTCCGGGGAGTTTGAGTTTCGTTGTACTCTCGAGAGAATTTGTAAGCATCAGTCATACTTGAGCATGTTGTTTATTTTTTGAGGTATTTGTCGACAGCTTACCTGAGTTGGCTCAGCAATGCATATCCTTCGCGATCTGTATGCGTACAACACTCCATAACAGCTTGCCGCTCATTGCTTAAGCGATTCAACCCTTCCACAACAGATTCCAAAGAATCAACCGGCAAGTCAGCACGAACAGACTTTTTTGCTTGCTCGAGACAAGATGTCAACTGAAAGTGATAAAATCTGATTTGTCAAAAACAGGACCTTTCAAGAAACCGTGTATTATTGAGCAATGGTGTGCAGTACGAGTTTTACCGTTTTGGGGGCGAACTTTGAAATAAGATCAAAACTATATTTATAGAAAAATAATTTAGGGCACATTCTATTTCTAACTATCTGATTGTCTCAATTCAGTCTAACCGTATTTAAACTATTTATGAAATAACGTGGTAACAAATGGTAAAAATCTTTCAAATTTTGAAACCGAAATATATAAAATAATTCACTTAAAAATCTTTGAAATTAAAAAAACTGTATCTTAAGCGCAGTTTTATTCAGACAAGAAAATGTTCTGTTAATTTTGGTCTATATTCTTCACAGCATTCGCTTACGTTTGAAAGGTGGTCATAAAAAGCAACGGCAGTATCAAGCATCGTTCTTCTTGCGGATACACGACCGGCAAATTCTTTTGTTTGTTTTTCCAGGTCCAGGGAACTATTTCGTACTTCATCGATGTTTTGACCTCCCTTTTGGATTAAGCGCCTGGCAGCTTCTAGCAATTTGGCAGCATTGGTGTACGTGTTCTATAAACATATTTTATCAATGCTAACCAGTAACCATTTTGATCGATTTCCCCGCACTCGTACAAACAAATCGTTCGGTCTAGCTGGTGCATCACAAAGGCATAGAAGGAGCTAATGAACAAAGGTCTGCTGAAGAGGCTACGTCGATAAAAACGGGGTCAAGAAGCAAAAAAGGCAGAAAACCGAGCAGGACAAACTCTGGATCACGGTTGCAGTTGTCATTAAATAAATATGTATTTAAAAAAATTCACAGTTTAATACGATATTTGTATTTACCCGCAGTGCGCCTCCTCACCAATTTACAGTTATTGTTGGTATCCACTGGAGATATTATTTCCAACAAACAAATTTTAAAACTGTGCTTTGTAAAAACACTTGTGAGGTGCAGAAAAAATACGTTTATGGTTTGACCACCAAAAAATTTACGGATACAGTGTAGACCTAAAATTTTTGTTTCGAGCTAGTGAAAAGACTGGGTTATGAAACGAACAATGCCAAAATAGGGCAGTTACGATACCTACAAGAAAATGTAGGCAGTTACGATACCTAGGTATATAAAATTTAGTAAAATCACCTGTGCTACTCCTTCGAACTCGATGTGACTGTCTCGTAACTTCTTAGCCCGCAAATGTGATTTGCCAACTTCGCATGTTTTCTGCAGGAAGGGATCACCCCAAGTATTTATCCAATCGATAACCTGAAATTTAGCTGTAAACAGCTTCTCTGTAAAGCCAAGAAGAGAAATGCAAATAACCTGTCTAACATCGTCCTGAAACAATCGCAATGCCCAGTAGTTCTCCAAATGAGCTTTCTTTGCATCGCACAACTGCTGCAACTGCCGGTAATGCGCCAAAATGTTGCGAATGACATCCAGGATATGAGCAGCTTCTGAAAAATAATTTATTCTCACTTTATTGACTAAGTATTTTAATAAAGACAAGAACATGCAAGTCGCTCTAATTAGAGTGCCATTTATTTTATTTCACGAGCAAATGACTGAACCGCACACTCGAAATTCATAAAAGCAACTTTCTGTTAATGACTTACAATTGTGTCTCGAACTCACCACCATTACCCACCCCAACCCAAAAGCTAGAAATACCGCAAAGTCAACGGTGGGTTAACATTTTATGACCATTAAACCCAAACCGGGAATCTGGGCCGCCTCTGACTATTTACAATAAAGTTTCCTGTCTTCAAAGCCACCATAAAACAGTTACAAAAATCGATACAAGTAAAAGCGCAAGGTAATACAGTAAATTTATTCAAATACAAACGCATTACGTCATCGGTTTCTTAGATAATCAGCTACGAGAAAATAATATTTAGCATCAAAAATAACTTCAGAAAGGCGCACCTCTTGTGTAGTCCGCTTTGGAAACCACTTGATCTCTGCTGGACGCATCCGAGGACCCATGCAATGTGTCCAAAACTGCCTTGCCGTCGGTAGTACACTGCGAAAATCAAAGTTTATTGGCTGTCTACGCAAAGACGCAAACTAATAAATAATGATAACTCAATGAAACCATAAAAACTGAATGAAATAAGGGAAACAAATCCACCACAAACCGTACATAATCACTTAGCGCACGACGACAGAACATAATAAGCCTGTTCAGATGGTGCATAAGTTCTTTGCTGCAGCTGTGAACCTGCATAAATTAGCTGTCCATAAACGAAGAAATTCAGCAATACACATAATAAAAACTGTATGCCAATTAAATTCCGTGTACCTCCGTATATGCCTGTCCAATGGATTTAGCAACGAAGTCATGCTGATCAATTAATTTCTCCAGAGCTGCGCTTTCATTAGGGAGATTTTCGATTTGGCACGCAGCAGCCCAGGAAGGTGCATTTTTTGCAAACTAGTAAAAACAGGTATTGCATTCAGAGCATGGAAGATACTCATGAAATGAAACAAATTACATCTTCCGCCTTTCTGTGGAAGGTTGCCGATAGAGAAAGAATATTTGCTCTGTCTTTCAATCCTGTGCCAATAGCTTTCTTTTCTCGGTCCAGTTTATTGGCGACTAACTTCACAACCTGAGCCGCGTAGTGTCCGGAATCCACCAAACGACCCCCGATATCCAAAATTCGGTCAACATCGACAAACATATTCTGAAAACATTCCGCCAATACTTATTAAGCCAATTTCAAGTGAAGCAGATGAATTACGAAAAGTACACGCTTTACAACTCAACCATTACCAAACAGTCCATCTGGAGTTGCTCAAACCGATCCTGAAGTCCCTTAACTGCAGAATATGAAGTTCCAATTTCTGTATAATTTAATAAAAATTGCTGCCGGCTAGAGTTCATCCGTTCGAGCATCTACCGAAAAAAGAGAAAGGATGTGGTAATTTGTTTTGGTTTTGTCAGAGTGTCATCAGTTTACAACACCTTTTCCGCTTGTTGTTCAAATAACCGTAACTGCCGACAGTGTTCTAGTTTTTCTTGTCGTTGTTGACAAGCGTGATAGAGTTGAGCGCGAATTCCATGAAGACGCTCCAATAAAATCCGTACATTATTTAACAAAGGCTGAAAATCAGGATTTTGAGCAATTGACGATAAAGAACTGTTGATGGAAGCTGGATGAGCAGCGTCATAAGGATCGGTTCGGGAGCTCAGTCGCGACAATATTCGATGTCCTTCTTCCTCCATCTCTTCGACAGGAATAAAATTCTGATCTTTGATCTTTTTTCGAAGCTTATCGTGCTCCTTGAGCATATTATCAGCAGTGACTAGGTCATTGGCCAGATCGGCATTAAGGAGGCTTCGTTTCAGCTGTTCCGAGTTATCCAACTTCTTTGTCGTCTTGTCAATAAAATCATCAATAATCGCTTTCAGTTCCACCCATTCATTGTGATTGTAGAATAACGATCCACCGAGATCGGTCGTCAGCTGTGATGTATTGATATACTTTGGTAGCTGATCAACGGAAATCCACAAGACCTACCATAAAACAGTCCGAAGTGACCAAACATCCTAGATCATCAGCTTCTGTTTTTATAAAAACACACCTCAAAAGGAAATTTCGAACTGCTCTGAGTGGATTTCGCTTTGGTACTATCCGGTTTAATCACAAATACAGTGCGTATGGGACAACCAAACGTTTCCTGAAACGCTTTGAGCAATGCCTTTCCGCTACTGTGGGATTTTCGTAAATCCACAATGATGGTGAATCCATGGCGTCGCACTTCCTCACTACGAAACATTGTCCAGATGAGTTAAAGGTTGCACCACAGTAACTAAAGTTTTATACCTGGGGATCCCAGTTAAATATGCCATTAACTGGCGCAGATCGTCAGTCCTAACATCCTCTAGTACACTTGACGATGCTGGAAAGGTTATGATAGCGCCACCCTGCCTATCTCGACCCCCTAATAAAAGTAACCAACCAAGCGACTGATCACGCGATCTGTAATAATTAGGAAAATATTTTTGGAACAGTTTTGACGCACCAGAAAGAAACGCCAGCCTCTCTCGTAACAGGCGCAGAAGTCCACTTGCATTACTTTTGGCCATACCTGTAAAGATGGCGTAATGTATGGTCAGTAATTATATATTTAAGAGCATACATTTCATACTCAATAAACGCGGAAGCAAAATTCGCAGGCAATTGCAAAGAAACAGATATTGCTTCAAAAAACCTTACTGCGAAGAATTTAGCTACTTACTGTACTGATGATTCGCAATACCATGCATTGATGCACATCCTTTTACGGTTAATTAACCGCGGATTTACTACTTTAATAACGCTTTCGACGCTACACTTGAGCAATCACAAAACATACTCGTACTGGAAATAAATTTTGCAGGCTGATAGAACAAAATGATTCTACATGAGTCGAACTCTTGCACCAATATGAATTATACGTGTGTCACCTGTAACTTCAAAACATTTACGTACTTTTTAATACATGTCTTCAAAACGTTACTGTTATCACACTACAGTATTAATCAATAATCGGCAACTAAATCATCCATCTGAAGTAGATATTACAAACAAATAGCAGTGTAATGAATAAAAACTGAACTGTTCACCTAAAGTTTTAATCAAGTTTCAAGCTCATGGGATAAGTTTTATTTTTCCAGAGTTTTACGAAACTGGGAATACGCGAAATTTAAACATGGTGCTAAGTTGCTAACTAGTAGGGATACGTAACAGCAATTTCATTATGAATAAGAAAAGTACTGTAAATTAGAGCTTCCTGGTCTACTTGTCAGCAGAATGTTTACGGTTAATTATTTCCAAAAAATGCAGATCAATCTAAAATCCATGCACATCACACAAATTCAAACGAATAAGCAGCAAACGTACACTAAAATTACCTACAAATATGGGTTTCTAAAATTCTTAGATTTGATGTAACAGCAAGAGCAGTTAAGTTTAACACAGAAACAGTCAGAAAAAACTCGCGAGTCAGTTGTGGACAGACTCACTTCAGTCAGATCACCATTAGCACTCATTGTTGGTGAGTTCTACAGTATTATGACCATGTCAGGTTGTTAGGCATTTTTCAATACACTTCATCAACAATCATTTACGAATTATTCAGCTGTTTGCACTACGAGTAGTTATCGAGAATTCAAAGACGTTTGACTACTAAGCAGATTCCCATGTGCCTGCAGTTTATCTTTATCTTCACAAGAAATGGCTGAGAACACGCTCCCGCTTACGTATTTGATCATTGAATTTAAGATTGAAACGCTACATAAGATTACCATCGCCAAGAGCCATAACGATAAAAACTTTAGAAATATCACTCATAATATCCAATCAAATAGAAAATAAGAATGATTATATTTGAATACAATTTAAGGTAGAATGCCATGTAAAAAATTGTAAAAATGGAGAAGCAGCTTGGGATTTTGTTTGTTTCAGTGATCATAAGTTCAGTAGTAATTACACGATATTAGAAGTTGCAACAAGTTCGGACACAGAAGCGAAGTATAAAAAAACTAATAAAAGTGGTAAAACTATCGTACTCCTGGTCAGACCGCTATTTAAGTTTGGTGCCTTGCCTACAGTTACAAATGGAAGTCACGTTAAAAGTTTTTACGAGAACATAAACTGCAGTCATACTGCAATTAGTTAAATTTCCAAAGGACTTTTTGGACAGTTGAACTACTCGTGTAATTTTCATGCTGTCAGGATTATACGACAGTATCGACACTGCAAATGTGTATTCAAATATATATTACAAACATATTTCTACTAGAACGGGAACCAAAATCTTTCATGTCCACAGCACATAAGTTACAATGCTCTCCCGCAAAAAAAATGAAAACTGCGCATTTTCTGATTTGCAGTTATTAAAAATTGCAAAAGCAAACAGCATTCATTTCAAGGCAACTGATAATTTTACAGATTTACCGTTGAAAATCCTTTCGTGTCCTGGAGAATCCGAAGTTTTCACCATATTCTGCATTTTCGCGAACGTTAGCCATGCATTGTGATCATCGCAAATAAATGGCAACAATAATATCCATATTCATAAAATTCCACCATAAATACAGGCATCAAAGATTACTAGACTACTATTCAGATTTTCCGAATCCGCAGGCGCAAACCTGGCAAACATAAAGCTAAAGTGAGGCACTGAAAATAATTTTACGTTCCGAACAACTGATAAAGGGGTATTATAACGCGCATTTAGCAATCGATACCGTTTGATTAGCGGAATTGCGTTAACAAAACTTACAAGCCAAAACACTCGTCCAGGAGATTCTACAAAAAAAGCAAGCGCTTGACATATTCTATAAATGCACAATTACCAGTGCAGTAGTCAAGAACTTACGGGCATTACAAGTCAGTGTCGACAAAACTAAAGCTCACGCTTTTACTGAGCGTCAAAGAGTGGATAGGGGATAATACTTCATATTTTACTCCCAACAAATCAGAGTTGAATAAATCGTATTCGAAAATTCAGCAACCGCAAACGAACGAAAAAGCTCCAAAAAGGAAAACAAACAAGATTTTGGCATAGTGCCATCGGTTGACGGCGTGATAGGCTGATAGCACTGTAGTAAGTACATGCTACGGTATATACGGTACTCGTATACTGGCAGTATTTTCATTCATGCAGTTTGTAAAGAAGCCAGGGAGGGCATCGTCAATGGGACATCGTGGAACAGCACGTACGCGAGACATATGAATTCAAAAGCGACTAGACAGAGTCACAGAACAGAATCTCGAGTCTCGACACAGTCGGTCACACAGGGACGCGGTCGGAACGTTATTAGGAATAGGTACCGGTATATGTTTTATTATATGAATTAATATTATGAATTCTGTCTCTCTTTCTCGTCCTAATTCTGTTTTTTTTGGTATTTCATGGCTCCTTTTGTGAAATACGAGTATTGGTAATAACAAAAAACGTGTTTATAAAAAGTTTAAATCGTTGTTTTCACGTCTTTTATGCTAAATGTCTCCTTCCAGTAATTTACTAACGTCTAACGGCAACGCGCGATAACATATAATTATTGTATCTTCGTTTAGCACGTTTGCATGTACACAAGTTTATTATACAAGGTAACAAGTACTACAACTATAATAATAAAATTATTAATATTAGCATAAACTGTATAGTATTGTTCTGTACTTATTAAGTTTTATCGTATGTGATATATAAGACCGCTACTTGAGTTCACCGTTGAATCGTTGATAAGTCACTTATCATAAGTGAGCTTAAATACCATGTTTTTGATAGTCTGACAGCACTATTTAATCCATACTGGCGATACTTCTAGCTGCCATAATGCGAGCTGATCAATACTTCTGATTATTCCTTTCAAAGCTGCAATCCTAGCAGATAATTACTTATGTTTTCTTTGTTCTGTCATGATGTTAATTTCCCATTATCAGCAAGTCGATGGCGGCAACGCGCAATGGGTTATGGCCTTATGGACGTTATGGTTATGATCTTCTCTATCGACTGTTTGGAGACCTCGCAGACTCAGGATATCAGCGAACTCAAGCCTAACCCTGCCCAACACTACTACAAAGTATTTTGCGAGGGTATATGATTATCCATGAAATCGCGGCAATGGCAGATAACTCCAACTGGATGAGCAAGCTTCCCACCACTTTGCAAGTTGTCCCAATTTCCGCTATTGCTATTCCAGGTAGGCCTAAGGCTTTTCTTCGTAATCAAAAGGACGACATTGTTATCATGTGGCAGAAGCCAGAAACTCATTTCATTCATGTTGTTAAATACTGCCTGTATAAAGTAAGTAGCTTTTGTACCGCTCTACCAGATCAGAGCCCTTGATTTCGATAATTCGGCTCATGTGTCAAGTTGCAGTACAAAGTATTACGTGTCATTGGTAGAATATAAAATATTTCCGTAACAATATGAAAATATGAATTGACAATATGAAAAGATATAAAACGATAGGGAAATAATAGATAAGTCACAAGTGGAAATGATAAATGCCAGAAAAACGCAGTAAGTTATAGATTACGGCAACTAGACGATCTCAAGTCTGGTGCTCGTTTTGAAAGTGCGCACGGTACTGTACTCCTTTGGTTTGATTTTTTTGTTCGTAGACTACAGAGGTCTTTTTTAACATGTTCGCTTAGAGCGAGTGTAGAAGTCCACCATACACTAATACAGTGAATATTTTTGCTGCTACCCAGGTTCGCACGACAGTGGAACTTATTCTTTGGATCCGAATGGGCCTTTTGCTCCGGATCAACCCAACAATTTGTTGATATTCCTGAAAGCCTTCGGCTGCTTGGCGCGTCCGATTGTCTACAGATGGTCTGTTACGCAGACCCTGACCTTTACACAGCAACTGCAGACTGGAATCCGTTATCTGGATCTGCGTATTTCGCGAGGACCGGCTAGTGACCAATTCTCCATTGTTCACGGATTGTACGGAGCGGAAATCCGCGACTGCTTAACGGAAGTTAAAGCTTTTTCCCAGCAGCATCCACAAGAAGTGATTATTCTGGATATCAACCATCTGTATGCTATGAATTTGTTTGACCATCAGCAGCTGGTGGATATAATTGTCGATGCACTGGGGCCACTGTTAATTCCATGCTCGCAGAGCTTAGATAAAATTACGTTGAATGGAATTTGGCAGGGTCGCGAACGCATATTCTGTTTTTACCACAGCAACATTGCGCAGTGTTTTCCGAAGTTTATCTGGCCCGCTTGCGCAATCAGCTGTCCATGGCCCAACGTGACCGAACGAAGTCAGCTCATTACGTACCTGGATCAGAGATACGCCTGTGGACCGCCGCCGGCACAGATTTTCTATGGCACCCAGGGAATTCTTACTCCCACCGTAGCGACGATATTGCGGTACCCCTTCAAATCACTAAAGGAATTCACCGGAGAAAATACGGCAACGGCAGTTCTGCAGTGGGTTAATACAAAAAAGAGTGACAATTGGTTTAACATTATCATTTTGGACTTTGTTGAGTTAGATAATTTTACTCAGAATGTTATTCTGTTGAATTACCAAAAGCTGGAAACGATGACAATTTCATCAAGGTTTCTGGATTTCAAGCAAGACCAGAAGAACCTTGAGAAGAAGGCTACATCTTCCCCACCATAATTCCAGCGTTCGCATGGCTGAGAATTCACGTAAAGTTTAATGTTTTCGATAGAGTATTCCATTTCAGTTTTTACTGTGATCGATAGAGCCATTCGTAATTTGGACACCCGGGAAGACCCGAAGCATGTAATTACATAGTACTTTCTTGTGTATAATGTGTCCGCGTGATAATGATATTGCTCAAGAATAAAGACTTATCGCTGGGAAGTTTTGAGACTGCTCCCACTTCAAAAAATTTGTGGGTACACGTACATTTCTCTGTTCTCGTTGTTCTGAAGTGTCTGCGCAAGGGCCGGGCCGGTACGATAATAAATAATCTCTTGTCTTCACCGCTGACAACAGCTTACACATTTAAATAAAATGTATTTAGTACTACCCGTGCCGCCTTGCGGAACAAATATCAAAATTAAACTCGTGCTTTGTAGTAATTACGAGCCGTGTTGTCGTACTCGTATTCAAGTAACGGAACAAATGCCATCTTGCATCGCAATTTCGGCAACTGCAGTTTAAAAACAATTTAGTGCAAATTCCATAAAATATTCGTCAAGTGTAGAGTATATTTCATTCCATAATAGTCTTCTTGGTTGCATGGAAACCGAAAAATCAGTTAGTCTTAGAAACGTTTTTAAAAAAGATCTCAGATATTTTAAGTATGAAGTTTCCAGTCATAGCAGACCTGTCAGTGAGTATGATACTTAGTTTAGCGGGGATCAAACCCAAAAGGGGATATTGCCGCAACATGGTAAACTTCGGATATTTCGAGAATCGTTCGGCCTTTCGCGGTCTGCCTATATTCTGGATATTGTTGTTATTTTGCTTCCTTAAAATTGTAGGTAACTATGGCCTTGCACGTCATACGATTCCAGATTGTCGGAATGCTGATTTTAACTGTGAAAGAAACATATGATCATAAAAATGCTAACCCTGTAAATCTTAGCTGAATACGTAACTCGTATCAGAGAATTGTTGCAATATAAGCACACACGCTTACTTTACTTATATGAAATGGCACAATGTTGGAAGCTTAACATCCTCGTCGGCTGAAATTCATTTTTTAAAAAATGAATTTTAGCTTTATGTCAGGTAGAATCAGAATAACGGAACCACGGTAATCCATAATATCATGCATAGTTAAGTGTCGGGTTCAGGTTGTGTCTTATAATATGCAGTGCGCTTGCGCTGACCTTTGGTTTTAGTTTTTGAAAAGATATTATTAATTACACATTCGTACTGATTACTGCCTGAGATGCTATTTACGTAGGTAATAAAATATTGATAAACAGTATAGAATATTTTTGATATTGGCTTCTGCACAAGCACGGCTAGCAATACCCAAAAGTAAAGCACACATCCTCGGTCAGGATAAGAAACAACTTCCGCAGTCAGCTTGTACTTAGATTGATCAATATTCAATGCTAAAATCAACTTTCCAGATGGTGGTTCAACAAGCACGACGACTTCTTCCCCACCAATTACAATTCCCAAGCTAAAGCTGCAGTTTTATGTGAACTTAAACTACACGGCTTTTGTGAAAAATTACACGGCTGATGTGGTTATCTCCGAATGGCAGAAGCGGTTCGCCAAGGTGGACTATTCGAAAACACTGAACACCACATTATCACTGGCACTGACTCTGGCTCCACTGAATGTCACCCCAGTGCACAAACTCTGGCAGCAAGCGATCGTAGCTGATACGGAAATCTACAAAAATTTCTCTGTCGAAACTCTTGTAGGTGTAACGGAAACGTGGGACAGTCCAGATAGTACGGATTATCTGGCTCTGTCGACGAAGACAGTGGACACAATAGTCACTGACTGGCGACAAGGAAAACTGGCAATAATTGCTGATAGGCTTCTCCGGAAATTTAACAGCTCCATTCTAAACAAAACGCACCTGGCAATGGTTGATTATCTGGCTGGTCATCCCAACGTAACGTTAATGGCAGCGAATTCAACGTACTACAACATCTCCCGAATCGGTGTGGCAGCACTGATAACTTCGCTGGCGGCGAACAAGCTGAACGGATCGCAGCCTGACGTGTATGCCGGTGTGGTTGGGCTAGCACTGCGGAAAGTGGCCGAGAAACAAGGAATCGAATCTGGTTACAATTACACTTCCTTTTTAAATAATGTAATCCAGGCCGCAGCAAAATGGCCGTATGTCCACGGCCAGAGCGCTGATCTGTTTGCCAATTTTACAAAATCTGCAATTGCTAGAAACCTGGAAAAGCAGTTTGGTGACTGCGTTCAAAATCTGGACAGTGGCTATCTTGCCGGTTTGAATTATACCCTGTTTGAAATATCTTCTCAACCGCCGGTTATTGTGCCATGTAAGCACGAGTTTCAAATTCCGCGTCTTATGCATATCTGCATAAGATAAATAAAAGTGATAAAACTATAAAAGGCGGTCGGTCTGAAAGGCTCTTGATGCATATAGGTAATAATTATAAATGGGAATATTTCGTTTCTTTCCAGTGGTAGTTGTGGTGGACCTGGAGTTCCTCATAACGGGACAATTCAATTCTACAGCACTTTTGCAACTGTTACGCTACCAAAACTTGAAGCAGAACATCACGAATACGGTGGCCGGAATCAAACGGATTATGTGGCTTATTGGTGAGTAAATGGCATGCAGTTACACATACATGCAAAGTATTTACAACATCAAAAGCTGATAAGCTAATCGACCCAAAAGTTATTTCTTTGTTTTTCTAATTTCAGAAGATATAAACGTAGCAGATCATTCACAAATCCCAGCCATGGCTTGTCTGGTCAGTCTAATTAATTCTGCCGTGGCAGTCACCCTTCTGTGGCATTTCACTCGGAAGCTGCACCATTCAGAACGTTATCAACAAGTTCCGATTCTGGACGAAGACGACGAAGAGATCAATTAAAGTAGCATAAAATTGCAGCAAAACAACAACGGATTTACTACAAAAACCACAAAACAATAAAATTAAATTCCCCACAACTTCGTATAAAAAAGGCACTCAAAAATGTTGCATCACAGGTGCGGAAGATAACAAGCAGCATACATATACACAACGATCCGTGTCGAACACAAAACACTACACAATCGTTGGGGTCTTTGGTACGCCTTCATCATTCCACGCGATTTGGGCTTCGTTGCGTGCTGCTCGTGGAAGCGCCGGTAAGCACTGTAATGGACGGGACTGGACATACAGCTGCGCAGTGGCAGTCTGTAGTTTTGGCGACATGGTTCGATCTGACCGGGCCGAAGACGACGACCCGCCGCTAGGGGATGCCGTACTTATACGGTACCCATTTCCTATCGGTGATGCGGAAATGGGGCCGTTTTGAGCAAGTAAAACCGTGCCGTTAGGCGATCTGGCAATATCTGAACGGCAATCCTTTCCATCATAACCGTCCGGGGTTGTCCGTATTAACTGTCGCATTCGGTTGCTGTACTTGTAATAATCGGTCAGCTCATACGGTTTAGTTATTTCTGCTGTATAGCCAACTGGCGGTGGGCTTCCAGGGCCATTAGCAGGCAAGCGCGCCGCTGGTGTTGTAGGATGGCGGCTATGATAATCAATGGTGGTTTCCTGCCATTCTCGTGCTCGGTGGCGCCTTCGCTGATCCAAAGTGGAATACCTCAAATCTGGCTCAAGCGTTGGTGATCTGACAGTAGATTCCACATGCCTGACTCGATTACGATCCCAACTCGTTGCACGCGCCGCTGGGGACGCAGTCAGCGTGGCGGAAGTTGCTATTCGCACTGGTCCTTCAACCAGTATCTGGTGATTGATGATCTTTGGTTCTGCCCGAACAATCGGTGCCGCAGCAGCCTTCTTTTCAAGTGTAAGAGCATTGGGTAGGGAGCTAGTGTGGACCATCTCCGGTTTAGTGTGGGCATAAGCAATGGGAGACATTGTCGGATACTGCTGGTGCCGGTACCCGGTGCTCGTCTGGTACACAGCACTGGGAACATATCCAGTTCCCGGGCGGAAGTTGCTATTGCTGTGAGAACGCGAAGGCGGCGTGCTTGAGGCCTCTGGAATGGATATCGAGCTGCGACTGGTCGATGAGCGGAGTGATAGCGCCGGTGAATGCGGTGGACGGGTGAAGGACTGCAGCGAAGACGAGTCGCCCAAACCACTTGATAATGAGCTTGAGTGGGACATTTGAATATCGCGCACATCAAACGGCAACTGATCACGGTCCATAGTCACGCGCATGTCTCTGAGAGCTTTCTCTAACTCTTTCAACTGAAAACCGAAAACCATAAGAATTATGAAAGGGCAATGTTTCAAACTCCTATTAACCTTTAAATGTTCCCTTCGATATGCCTGCTTCCGCTGTCTTCTTATTGTTTTGGCGCCAGCATCATTCAGTAATTTCTCAGCGGCCTTGGTAATATTTATTTGCAGTTCATAGCGGAGTTCGAGATCAGCTAGATCCTTTTCTTCACCCGTCAACGCCTCCGATTCCATCCGATTGGATGTCAATTCGAACGCTGTGCCGATGCGTCTTCGAACTTGGGGAACGGGCTCACCGGGGTTTAGTGGTGTTTCCGGCGGTAGTTCGCCGGTTATTTGCTGCAAAGCATCTTGCTGTTAATAAAATACTTGTGTAGGCTTACTCAACTTTGACACTTGAGTCAATACAGGCTTTCATTGGCAAATAGGGACTCACCGCTTCCTCGATACATATTTCCTTCAGTTTCAATAATTTCGCAGCCAACACTTCGCATAAAGCGTCACGTTTGCTCTTCGCTGTTACAAACATTTCCTTCTTCTCAATGTCGCTCATCTGTGAAATGCTGTCATCGGAAGCGAAACCGGATGTCAAACCTGTAGAAAAGACGTTACAGACAGACAGCATGTCAACATATGTAGCTCTTGCGTTGCAATGTTCTGCACCCAGAACAATGTCTTACTTCCATCACGAACAATACGGTAGCTGTAAGAGCTGCACACGCTTCCTGATCGCGGTCTGAACGTGTCCGAGACACTGTACAAACTTGTCACATTTGTCAGCTCCGCTGCGATCTCCGCCGGGCTTCGCTGATCGACCGCATTCTGGTTTTTCTACGAATAAATTTCTTTTACAACTCTGCAGAAATGCGCATGACAGACACATGAAAATAGAGAAGCTGCTTTTCTTCTAGCACACTGACAACATTACATGAAAAATCCTATGCTATCATGTTTTATGGCTACCTTATTTCGGTGCGATGCATGACATTTTATGCGTACAACGGACGAGCAACAATACACGACGCACATTTCACAGGTACTCCGTATGATAAAACAATTTTTTCAGCACATACCCTGATCGGCATGTCAACAATCATGATTACGATACTCAGTCAGTCATAGCGCTCACGCATATTCAAGAACCGTGTCACTAATTACGAAACTGCTCGTTTCAACTTTCGAGAAGTTTTCAGTAATCTGAACAAAATTTGAAATAGAAATAATTATTTAAGAAATGAACTTGAGACTCGTTTGATTTCAATAACAGCCGGAGGACTACATGCGGAAACCCTGAAAATCTTTGCTCCAAGCAACCTAATGACAACACACGATTAGGTACGTAGCGCATTTCATTCAACTCCAGAGCATATTCTGAGCAACAAAACCTGCATTTATTTTGACAATTTTAAACATTTTATTTTATCAGTATTCAAAATTCAAATGTTCACTCCACGTATCCTGCACTGCTATTACAAAACATTTAGGAAAACAATAGTACTCGTAGAATTCTATACCAGTATTCCAGATCCTTACGACGAAGAACGTGTTAACAGCATATTCAATAAACACAATCTAAGCTGTAACCGGTTAGTCAGTCTGAACTTACAATTAGGTAAATAATATTCCGATCATTATCTGTCTCTATCTGATGCATCGTCACTTTAGTTTGCACAGTTACGTACGACCAGAAGCACATCAAATCGGAAGATGCCGTATTTGCGCCATTCCAAAAATTTCCTTAACTTGTACTTGGTACACAAGTACCGTACCTAAAGGCGTATGTGTTTTCGATTGCTTGCCTAAGCACAACAATGCGAAAGCGAATAAATGTTAACACCAATACAGTACAGCAATACCTATATGGTTATACCGCATACCTTCTTTTCCAAATAGAACTGATGTTGACTGATGGCCATGGTCCAAATTGCTTTGGCCAAAGAAGGTGTTGCCGCAAACCACACATGCACTGTAAGCTGTCCTGGTGCGAAAGTCCGCCTACTCACGGAAACTCTGAAAAGTCAAGAATTAGCGCATTGTTCGTGTCGTGCCATGCTGTTGCCGAGATATGTCCACACTTCCATTTCACAACTACGCACAAAACAAACACCGATAATTTCACCATACCAGAAATTTTTCGACAACATTTCGCAGCAACATACCCACAAATGCGATAGCAGCACATTATGATTTTCCAACACATAATATTTAACTACTGTTTGCATGCTTGAATAAGCCGGTGCATAGCGGAAGGGGGTCTAAGCAATACTAACTTACTGGGTAGTGGGATCGGAAATAGCATTAGAGAGGTCATCGCACTGATCCACGGGTTCTTCAACGGCATCTTCATACAAATTTATGCTGCTCAGTGCATGCACAACGCTGCAACAATACACACCACAAAACAGATGCGACGCAACACGATCAAAACACACAAATAATCACACATTATTCACGAAGCAACCTTACCGTCTCGCTTCAAGGACTTCAGCACTGAACTTTTTATCACGAAAAAAAAGATTTCCCAGATCTTTCCACAGAAAAACCTGAAAAAGGTCCGCTTTAGTTGACAATGAGTGGGTGTGATCTGTTGCCTCGGTACTCAGTTATAATGCTCCGTATACGGCAAGCGCCTTATGAAGAGACACAGAATCAGATCGGCAAACGAAAGAAAGGTAAAATAAAACTCCAAATTTATAATTTATCTTCATCAAAGCCAATTAAAGGGTGCGGTCGACCAGAAATACTCTGTTTGAGTTGTTAGTGATGGGGTGACAATAAAAGACAGATGGACTCCGCTCAGGATTTAAAGCTAGTAATACTGTAACCAAACTTTCACTCGATTACCTTTTCCGCTGTCTTCTTATCATCAAGTTGGTATTGGCTGATTCCTTTATAACTAATTCCGAGAATGAAATTCTCGCCATTTTTGTCGATAACATCATAATAATGGATCCCATACGTAGGCAATGTCTCAATTATCGTCAAATAGCTAAAAAAACGAGGACGTTACTTAATATTCGTTTTGTTGATCCAATTACGATTCACTGACTTCACTATCGCATTTCCTCTTGGCAGTCCTTTCCACTTCCGGTAGAACTCTAATATTCGCTCATCACTGCAACGACTTGGATTTAATATATGGTATTCCGCAGCGCCATCCTAAAACACCGCAGCTGTGCCATACCAGAAAGTCGCCGACGCAGATTCCTTGATGATTTTCGACGGCAGAAACTGGTGTTTCCTAAGCTGGTCAATTGTGCTTTCCACGCTGCAATGAAGATCAAGAGGATTATGTTTCGTCTACGCCAGCAACTGGCTCTAACTCATAACTCAGTCACACATTTATAATCATCTGCCATTACGCAAATTCACAAAGTACTTCGGCTACGCTATCAAATTATCGTAAACTTTTGTGAAATCATATGCTCAGCTGTTACAAATGCTGCAATAGGTAGGCTAAAGCGGCAAATGAATTATACGGAAATGTAGGCCATCGTACGTTCAAGTAGAAATGGATGAGCAAAAACGGACAAACAAAGATGTAGTAAGTTTTAATTCCCATTAAAGCCAATAATCAAGCTTGTGCTTTAAGACTATAAAAAGATGTCATCCGTCCAAGCATTTAATTTAACAGTTAACAATTTCCATGCCGAACGAAATTCAATTAGGTATACAAACTATACGTAACCCCATCTGTTTTATGTGTACCACAAGAAATACCGAGTGGTTAAACAGAATTAAATCTTTTAAGCAGGCATTACGAGCAAAATAATCATCAATTGTAGGTCGATCTACACGCACGTCAGCCCACGGATAACACATTCGAGACAAGTGTTAAAGGAATTCAATATCGTACGATTTGGGTTGCCGCTTGAAGCTTTTGTAAACATGGGTCGTGATCCCCGGATTTATTTTCCGTATAAACAGTTTGACCCAAAAAAGTGGAAAAGAGGAGTAACTGTTCAAGAGTGCTCCATGACGGTCGCGAAAAATGTTTATCCTACTTCATAGCACACAATATGAGCGCTTTTAAAGGCTGTCATTACTAACTTACTCAATAAAGTCACCGTAACTCGCTTGCAGAGCGTAGGATGCCAGTTCAAAAGCCGTTTCTTGCTCTGTTTGGATAACACCTTTCAAAACAAGGGCCTTTGCTTGCAAGTAAAACAGTTCCACGGTAACCGCATCGCGCAGATGTGTAATGGATTCCACAAAAAACCTGAAACGTTAATGATTCACACAGTGCTGCTGCATACACAAAACTGGACAGAGTACGGATGGAAGGAAAAACAAACAGCCTTTTTTCCACAACGCTTAAGCAAACAATAAAAAACCTACGCACATACGTATGGCTTCCATTTCAAGGACTTACTTAACCATAAAGTATAACACAATGGATTTGTTTTTCTTTGGTGCCGCAGCGAAAAATTCATGTTCCAGCACTTTCCGCTCAAGATGTAGCCAATGATAATGATTGCTGCAAGGAGTCCACAATGAATCCTTATCAGAGAAAACATTTTACAGCCAAAGTCAATTATTACGTTTCGTCCGGATAACACAGTCCGAAATACTCCTTTTCCTTCAGATTATAATGCGAGCTCACAATATCCAGTAGATCGCCGGCAGCCAGCTTCGGCTAAATTAATAATACTGACATTCAAAACAGAGATCACCAAGATGAAAATATCCCATTCCGGCTAGGTAAATATTAAAGCCAAGGGTGCCATTATTCTTCTGGCAGTCTTCCATTGAAAGTGTTTACAGAAGGTTTACTCTATTTACTGCTAATTAGCATTTTACGAACTCTAATAAGTTTAACGAGCAGGTACTGGGGCAGCCCACTGATCAAAATTGGAAAAGAATTGTTTTTACAATTACCGGGCAACTAATTAGCTTCCAAACTGGCTTAAAACTCAAAATATTTACAAAATCAAAGAAGTTCATACACATCCGAAAACATATGCACAGAATGGCGAACAACGATAAAAAGCCATTAACCACGATACCGCTAATTTACCTACGTTTATAAATATATTTCCTCGCATTTCAGTTTTTTACAAATAAGTAACGGATCATTCTAGGTCTAGAACCGACCAAACCGAAACATGACGGCACGCCGCAGAATAAGCAATTCCAGAAACAATGCTCCGAGGAAATAGCAAAAAATTTCTAATAAAATTTAAAAAAGATGCATCAAAGCTTCAAGTGCTGGAGAAGATTTCTTAATACGTTAAAAGTAAAGTTTCAAGCAGCGGCACCAGTGGCAAATCTCTAATACCGTGGATTAAGCTAGCAATATCAGAAAGTGATGAGATTGAAACTAGCATTTTGTCCAACCACAAAAATTAAATCAGCTCAAAATTTAAATGGCTTAAATTTATTTACGTAATGGTTGACGGCAGACAAAAATGAAACCGATTATCAATATCTAATTATTATCAATACGTCGCGCGAAATTTTAGGTTCGATGAATGCAGCAGTAAAAATTAAGCATTATGATTATTGTGTAATACTGACGACTCCTCAATACTGCATAATAATCATTAATGTTACAAAGTTTTAAAGTTTTGGCCCCCATTAGCCTAATTGCCAGCGACGGCATAACGTCTTACCTGAACAAAGATTTCAATCTTTCTTCCATCGAGAAGAATAATCTGGCAGTTCCGTCCCTCCGCCATCTAAAGAGAAAGCCAGATCTTCCTGTGCATGAAATTCCTTACGATATGACGCGTTTGAGATTACTGGCTCATTATTTCCACCAAACTGAGCAGACAAGCTAAGTATTACACTGCAAAAACAGTTTTTCGTTCGCACTCGAACTCAAACAGGTAGATCCATGGACAGTCAGTAAAATATGCTCGCTGGTTCTAGGCCAGAAATGAACTCTGTTACGCCAATGCAATCTCCGATCACGCTTGTCTGCTATCGCGCGCGTTGCTGCAGCTTTGCAGCTGGCTATCACAAGATTCACAACTCACAAGCCGTAAACGGATGTTGACAGTTACCACACTGCGTCTGCCACTCTGCCTAACCTGAATCACGGTGGTAACCGCACCGCTGCCGCAGGATGGCTGGTGCTGGTATAGTAGTACCGGTTAATATCGAGCATTTCTGGTAGCCATTGCACTATATTACTCGTATCAGGCGTCATCGTGTGCGTACTGCCTACTCTAGACTATGTACAATATTCCGTGGCCCCTGCTACCTGTTCTGTTAGTAAAGGTAAAGACGACCAAAACTTAATTCATTAACCTTGAGATAAAATTGTCTCATCGAAATCTCCCATTCTATTAATCCGTTGTTTCTTATTACAACGAGCATTTTTTCGAAGCGTAGGCATAATGCTCCTATCAGTCAAATTAATTAATGCACCGGCATTCCTACCGGCACACTGCTGGGATAGGTCAGTGTTGTTATGTACATTGTACGATATTATTTTGTGCTGACCAGTGAGTCTGCTGACTGACTATAACTGACTATAGCAATAACTGACTACAGCAATGGGCATTTTCACAGTGCGACGCTAATAGCAATACTTCTATACTAGTACCTACATAGACTCCTTTCAAATTTTAAAATACCGTCTACCGTCTAGTGTGTGCTGTCAAAAGGCTTACCTCACTAGCACTAAATTTTGTTGCAAATATACATAGGGAGAGGATGTATCGTAACGACGACGTATACAATTGTCGCTCAATGCGAGGGAAACCGTAGTTCATCGTAGGAAACGTTTTATTGTAGTCCTATAAGGCTTTTTCTTTGCAGAAGTCTATACAGGATCGTAGTAAGTAGTAGTACTACTTATTTATGCTGTTTATACTGTACTTTATTAGTAATTTATTTTATTAGTACTCTAGGATCGATCTAGGTAACTATTATAGAGCGGTAATGCGCCGCAACTAGACTATTTATTTTAATGTCGATCGTCTACTTTAATTTACATACCCGTCCCAAAGAATCCCAGCTTTTCGATAAATGTTTTAGCGTATTACGCTGCAAATCTTGTACAAGTTCAAGCGTTGACCTGGAAGCTCGCGTTATGGATCCCGACAGTCCGGACCGATCCATTGCGGTCAAATAAGAGTCGACGGCGTAAATATTTCCAGCCGAATTGTTACGCCGCCTCAGTGCAGGATTAGCAAGCTGGGTAACAATACTGTTGCTTTCGTCTTTTGGCTTTGCTGAATTACGATTTCGGCTCAAACTCCTGACACGCAGACGTTGGAATCGTTTTTTGGATGATGTCGGACTTGAAATGTTAACCGTGGTGTCAAAGGGGCACGAAGGTCTCCTAGGATGTTTAGATATTGCGCCGGCAGAGTTTGCCGCGACAGTACTTAATGAGCAAGATTCCACAGTAGGCATATTATATTTATATTATGTTCCAGCCCAGTAAAAATAATACAAATATATTCTGGAGGAAGCCAGCTTCTGAAATAAAAAAAGGCCATTTCATATTAGTCAGTCACTAAAAGATAATCAGCCCTATTAATATCAGTTAAAGGCTGGCCACACAGCAAAGGTCACGATTCGCGAGCTGACTTATCAAATACACGAACATATAATTACGCGCAAACCTACGATCGAGTAGTGGTGAGAATTTAGTGCGACAGTGCTTATATGCAGGATTTAAAATTGCGCAGGTTATGTTCCGAGACTGGATTACGGAGGTCGGGGCTCGCAATTTGCCAATAATAATTATTATATGATCGCATTCCAAAAGAAGTAGAAATACAGTGTATGTTACAGAACTTCAGTATATTAAGTACAAGATCTATACTTCGAATGCTGCCTTATATGGGCTCCCCTTATATTACTCTCCCTTATCTGGGCTCCCGGGCAATATGAGCAAACCTCTACATGGGCGGTTACGTTATAACTCACACTTTCGCAGCTGTTATCAGTGTTATGCCTGACTGAAAATTTTGATTTATTTAAAATACTTATTTTGCCAGTACTTTTGTAGCATTTAGTTTCTTTCAAAATGCTCAGGTTGCATCAACGGCAGATTCAAAATCTTTCTAAAATTCAAAATCTTTCTAAATTTAAGGTCTTTCTAAACATCGCCCGCTTAAATGCACTAAGAACCCCATGAAAAAATAATGTGATAAGAAATTTCGGCATTTTTCAGTTTGTTCATTGGCAAATCCGGTTGAAATTAATGAAAAATATTATTATATAGATAATATATATAAATATAATTCGGATGTGAAATTTCGGAATTCTTTGGTGTGCTCACTTGTAAATCCGGTTGAAAGAAGTAGAAAAGGGCTCTGCTATAAATCCGATAAATTCAATTTGACGGGTATTGCTAACTAGCCGGGAGCCCAGATAAGGGAGAGTAATACAAGGGAGCCCATATAAGGCAGCATTCGAAGTACTACGCGCGGCGCCCCATAGTTTTGAGATCTCTATAACCATAAAACTTCTGGAAAAACGGACAACGCCATTAGATCCGGGATAGTTCAGAAGTGGCCGGCATGTGTTTTTTTTATGAAAATATCGAGCCAGTATCAAGCCGGCATCAAGACCAGATTGATCCAACCCATCTTAAAGGTCACCTTGAAACTTTCGCTGGGTGAGTACGTGACCGAGCTACCACCACTGTCCAGTGCCCAGAACCCGTTAGGTGAAAGAGTACCGAGATACCACTACTGTCCAGTGCACAAACTCCGTTAAGTGATCTTGTGACCGAGCTACCAATACTGTCCAATGCATAGATCTCGTTAGGTAGATGGGTGACCGAGCTGCCGATACTGTCCAGTGCATAGATCCCGTTAGGTAGATGGATGACCGAGCTACCAATACTGTCCAGTGCATAGATCCCGTTAGGAAGATGGGTGACCGAGCTACCAATACTGTCCAGTCCGAGCTACCAATACTGTCCAGTGCACAGAGCCCGTTAGGTGAACGCGTGACCGAGCTACCACTACTGTCCAGTGCACGAACTCCGTTAAGTGATCTAATGGGCGAGCTAGCACTACTGTCCAGCGTATAAACTCCGTTAAGTGATCTAGTGACCGAGTTACCAGTACTGTACTTTGCATAGATCCCGTTAGGTAGGTGGGTGACCGAGCTACCAAAGCTATCCAGTGCACAGAGCCCCTTAGGTGAACGTATGACAAAACTGCAATATTACTGAGCAAAATAGAGCAGCGCCTGCTAAGTTCTTAATGGGTGACCTATCTAGCACCACTGTCCTTTTAGCGTCCTTTCAGTTTGTAATGTGATACTCTCGTGGGTGATTAGATTCGGATGGTTTTTCGCTAAGAAAATTTAACAAAAAATGATCTGTAAAGTCAAAGTAATTGCGTTCGACTGCACGAAACCAAAACATCCATTTTTTATAAAATTTTTGTTATCGGGCTCTTCAGATTTATCCGTTCTAAGTTAACAATCCGTAAACCGGCCAAGGAGTATAGAACCCAAGAAACGCGGAGGCGAAGCCGAGGCTGTTTCTTGTATAGATATAACATCAGAACTGACATACGTCGACTACAATGCATGTCGATCCGAGCGACAGTAAAAATATGCATCATTATTGAAACTTTCCATTGAGCCGAGCCATCTAATACTGTATAGAAAGCGGATATTTTTTATTTTCCGGTAGATCTTTAACGGTTGCATACATGATATTCACAAAGGCCATAACTTTCATCATGATCGAAAAACAAACACGCAAAACGAAGCCAAGCGCACATCATAACGTCTTGGTAGTTGGTAGTCAACATAGAAAACCAATAAAATTACCAATGCTGAACTAATCTTACTACCACTTGTATACCATGCAAAAGTGGTATACATAGAGAGTACGGTATAATAATATATAACGTAAGTATATATACAGGCTTCTTTTTAATGCATTTGTTTTGTGCTTCGGTCGTAATGATTAATTCGCAAGAATAATTAATTCGTAATGATTAATCATCCGCAAGCATGTCTATGATAGGATCCTACATCTTATCGACTCGTCGACATTCCTGAAGGCAAACTACAAACCTATACCCGCACCGTATAACTATGCACTATCAGACACCATGAAAATGTTCAAACCAACATAAGCGAAAACAACTGACGATTAAGATGATTTTACGACATTCGAGAACCTAGCAAATACAGAGACCGACAGAAAAAACTACAAACAAGCAGCCAGAATCCACAGGTGCCACACCAACGAGCTCGCTGGTTAAGGGCCAAACGCAGAGCGTTGTAAGGGCAAGCCCCAGATTGCTTCGGGCGTAACAACAGAAAAATCCGACCGCAAACATCCGCGCTTCCTCCATCCGTATCCAGAGCCTGGGAGATCCACGTTCGTTCCACGATACCCCAACGACATGAACAATGAAATGAAACGATCCAACGCGCAGTGAGAGTTCCAGAAGTCAACAAGGCTCCACAGCACAGATCCACGTTCTTCGGGCGCATTTACCATAAAAGCAGGATTTAGGGGTTTACCGATTGCCGCGCTGACGAGATCACTGGTTAAAAGGGCCAAACGCGAAGCGTTATAAGGGCAAGCCCCCAGATCACTCGAAGCACAACATTCAGACGCCCCAGAATGTCCCCCCTCACAGCGCATGCAGTCGCTCCCGCAGCACAGGCTCCAGCGTCCTGACGACTCCATTAGATAGGCAAGAATGGGTTCCGACGTATGACTCGAGCAGTATGAAGGTAAGTAAGGAATAATGAGAGGAATAAAAGTCACGAAAAGATGCTGCGAGAACCGAAGGCAGTTCGTACACTGGAGAGTGTATCTGTAGTTCCTATGAACAACTTGTCCCTGCCAATCTGGTTCGAACCAGAAATGGCAGGGCTCACTATTTATCCACAAAAATTCCCAAGAAGAAATCGAAAAACACAAAAGGGTTACTCTAGACGAAATTGTCTAGAGAAGACTTTAAAAGAACTCCTTATGGCGACCCGGATGCTCAACTGTGCCGGCGGACTTGTATGCACTTGTAAGTTTGCAGTTACCTGGACAGTATAGTGTTTATTTATGATAAACTTAATTAATTTGTCCCTGTCAAGATTCTTAATCTAACTCAAACTTAATCTAACCCAAATTTGTTTATCACGGTCCATAATTATACGGTAGTATGACGGTATACTCATGACCGTCGCGAAAGGCGCCCCCCTCTCCCGGAGGGAGAAAACGGGAAAATGGTGCGCCGGGAGCTGACGTAGCTAGCGCTGGCGCGAGAAAATAGACCTGGCACTGGCGCACCAAAATTACAACAGAAAAGCGTAAAAAAGTGGCTTTTTAAAGTTACTTTTCTGCGATTTTTCTTATTTTCGAGTCATTTTCGAACTGACGTGCCCCCTTATCCTCGGACCTCGCGACGGCCCTGACGGTAGTACTTGTATCTCAGTCAAATAACGTACAACTAATCCACAATTCTGGGGCGCTTTAAATACCAGTTAGTAGTGGTATGGTGTTGAATTGTCACTGTTTGGAAAAATCATCCTGAGCGTCACTGCGTAACATTTGCATTTATTTGTATCTACATTGAAAACTTGGGACTGTTTTGTACCACCAATCTCAATAGATAATATCAACTTGTTACATAATAATTTACATTAATGTGTTAATTCGTGATCGTTGCAAATCATTTAGTAGAACAGTTCAATAAATATTATGAATGTCTTAGTTCTTCTTTTTAGATTATTTTATATCCCTTCATAATTTTGTAAATGTACGTACAATACAACGGCGCTGCTTTGCTAAATAAGTTTTCCATACAACACATACAAATGGTATTGCACTCCAGTGATAAAGTGTCTACGAGAAAAATGAAAAAATTCAGGTATAAACCGACATCGACCTTAATTTTGACAGTTTTTCCAAAATATCATAATGTAGTAGCAGTCCCAAAATCCAAAAATTTATTATTAATAATAAATCGTCATCTGCAGGCTGTGTGCTGTAACAGTTTGCTTGTTTTGCGCATGGAAGAACTGTAATTATGACATCGTATAAAATAAGCTGTGTTCTGTTATGCCATGTACCGTTAATTAAAGCATTAAATGCTTTAATGACGCAGCTTATTAAATTTTAATAAGCTGTGTCACTAGTTTTGTACGTCACCAACCAAAAGTATTCTAGTACGAGTAATACAGGTACGTGCTAGCGCTAATTTGCGCGATGTACTTGTACAATACTCTTGCAACTGTCTGTTATAAGTACATAATGGCAAGTATGTTCCTGCTTGTGATTCTAACAGTTACAAAATTCGCCTCTAATTAATTTTAACCAATCATTAAATTTTTATACCACAAACCTTGCCGACATAATTATCATTTTGTTTTTTTTTGCAGCACGTTAGTTTTATATAAATATATAACCAATTAACCATGTCGTTGACGGACCCGCAACATAAGAGATACTACCCACAAACTCATGCAAGGATGCATGAAGCAATTTTTATAAATTCTATCAATAATTATTGGTGGTTAAATTTTTTTCTTCAAGGTAAATTACACACAACACAGGCGCTCACTCAAACGCAAACTGCCAGCTTTATCGCATACATTCCCTTAAAATGTAGTACTGGATTATACAATATTTTCATACTTTACGCTTCAAAAATGCACAACAATCTAGCGGACAATACTGGATATTAACTGAATGCATGCAGGCTTACAAGTTACAAGTTACAACTGAACAGTCGCTGCGACATCGAGTAAGGTTTTAACATTAACAATCATGGAAGGTGTGTAGCATAATTATTACTTGCCATGAATCATCCGATACGGCCTATTTAATATTTATCAATATAAATCACTACTATTCGGCTGCAAATATTGGCACTGTACATATAGCGACAGGTATAAATTTTCACGTTTGAGTTTGAAACTGCATGTTGTGAGCTTTGTATTGCATCGTGCAACCCGTACTGCACCTACGTACTGTAGAATGGACAAAAAATTCAACGTTGTTGTTGTTCAATTACAGGCAATTCGACACGCTCATTCACATAGTTTTCTTTTCTGCATTAAGTCGTACAAAAGTCATCAAAACCGTCTCGAACACATAAAAAAGTAGATTCAATAAATATCTTTCAAAACTCAAATACTGTAAATTTTGTGTTATAAACCTTACAGTTAAATTACTGTTTTATGATTTAGCGTGTGCAAGCACCGTACCGCTGCATTTCCGTGTTACGAGTAGCTCGACACTTCCAAACACCGTACTAAAATGTCTTGTTTGCTTTTTAAGACTCAGGGAAACAAGTAAACAAGTTTTTGAAGAAATTTTTCGCTTTAAGCATTTGCGTAAATAGGTGTGGAGCCACTTTTTGGGTAATATCATAATTTGAAGCGCCTATGTAAAGTTTTTTTCTCAATTTTTCATCGGATGCAGAGAGATTTGAAGATTGCTTGCGATCATGAATTACGTTTACAGTAAAACACCGTACATACCGGTTGTCTGTGGAATGTCTTGTATGCATTGCGCATTACTTTGCATATTATAGTTTAGTTGTTTATAAATAACTAGTAAGGCTCTTGTTAAACAAAAGTCTTATTCTCTTTCTGTTTAATTGTATATTGCCGCTGAATCTGTTTTAATGTAGGTTCATGCAACAGGTCGGGGAGGGCAATACAAATTAAGCACTGCAGTCTGCACCCCGCATTATACGGTATGTTGTATAAATACATTTTCAAGTTTTAATTAATTTTAAAATCACCCTTAATTGTAACATTTCTGGATATATATTCATATTCTGCTGCAAATTTTTTTGATTTATATAATATCATATGTTTATTATAATAAATTGTTTGCATATAAGAACTAGCTGAGCCTAAACCCAAAAATACTACCCGTATATACTGTAGTAATCCACCTAATTTAGGGTGAGCTGTTACCACAACTCTATCATAAGTTCCACCTACAGCTAACAAGGAAACAGGATTGCAGATTTAAAACTGCATAGGTAATCTTTTCTCGTAATTTAATGATGCTACAAATTTTTAAATTCTCGTTTACACGTTTCCCGTTCGGTTTCCCGTATCGTATTTTTCAAAATTATTTTTAATGTTAACTACATTAATCATGACGCGCAAACACTTATTGTTAAGTATTGATTTCACCAGCTTTCATGCGCTTATCAACAGGTTTTCAGCACGGCCGGCAGCGCACCACACACGATCAAGGGGAATACAGTACAGTGATACACTATTCATTTTCTGAGCTGGTCGTCTACAAGCTTTCACTTTAATAATTATTATACTTACAATTAGAGTAAATAATCAAAAAATTCTACATAAAGTTGTAGAGATCCATTCTTTTAGATTAACTCACGAAACGAATGCTTTAGTTTGGATTTTCGATAAAGCAAGCGTCAATGAATTACCATATATATGAACCTAACACAACAGCTTGAACAATTCCGTGCACTTCAAAACTTTAGTTTAACTCGTATGAAAAATAGTAGGAGTGTGCACGTATGTATGAAGTAATGTTATAAATCTCTAACGCAGGCAAATGCTCTCTTACCTTAATAAAGTGCACAATATCACTAATACCCGTGAAATTATTTGCTGTGAAAAATCATTAACAGACTAAAACAATATGTCATGCCGACTGAGATGGTACGGCAGCAAAGCATTAAAATTCATTTTATATAGAATATATAGCAAACCGAAATATGAAAGCTCCGTAATCGTAACATATAGTATATAGATAAAGATTTTCCTGGCAAAATCATTTCTATTCCAATTTTGCGATCCATGCAGAATGGCCAATAAGTTAATAAAATTTAGGTAAATAACTCACTTTCAGCACGAAGATTCGCATGACAAATTGTTAGAAACATCCGGCCACATTCATACAGCCATAACGATCCGGACAGGATTAATAACAACTGGTAATAATCAGCAGTCAAGAGTCTGGCAAATTTTAAAGTAGCCCAGCAGCTTTGCTCGTTACCATAATCCACTCAGTACGAAATACAGAGTATTGTACAGTACGCTGTATTACGGTGATGGAAGTGAGCAGCCGTATTTGTGACCCATCCCGGATCGCCATAATTAGAAAGAAGAAACACTATTGATGAAAGCGGTAGATCAATCTTGTGAGATGAAAATTTATGCGCCGTAGCGGAATGGTTCAGTTTACAGAATTTTCGACAACTGAAAACGATGTCTGCTGCGGGCAACGTTAAGTTTCATAGCGCCCAGTGCCGAATCGTAAATCGAAGTTATCTAACCACATTTCCACGCGAATACTACGCAAATACTGTAGTCATCCGTGTGGTCTTGGCCACGGAACATTCATCGAAGTGCTTATTCATATTGTAGTCAGCTAAGCCATAAATTTTAGACAAAAGTCACAAAACTACGGTATTATAGTCACTATTACAATTTATATTATTACACAATTTAGCTATTATTAGGCAAATCACAGCATACGTACTTATCGGTGTTAATTAAACTACGGACAAAAAACTCTTTCCAAAAACATAGTACCAGTACCGATCACGACGTATTCGAGGAAGCACAAAGAACAAAAGTACTGAACTGACAGTAAAGGAAGTTTGAATACGATGGTTTAGGAGGAAGTGTTGTATATGCAGGCGTAATCATCAAAATATAAAGCAGTTCATCAATCATACTGCGACTGTAAACATACAACATGCAGACTCATTGGCGGAGAATGTAGAACATGATATGCAGTATGTACCGCAACTACTGCTCAATTCTCAAACTTTGTTTTATATTACTGTGTATATATATAATATATAGATATAATCGTATAGTCTATATCTATATAACGTAAGTATGTAGGATCGCCCACTACTACTAAATCGATAGTAAGTAAAGTTTTAGCGTTATTTTAGCAATACTAAATCAGGAGATACATATTCAAAACCTATGTATATCGGCGGGCGCTATATTTCTGAGAAATCTTTGTCGCGCAGAAATCTAAAAATTACTTACAATTCACCAACTCACATATTCTTCCCAGCATTTCGGGAATGAAAAGCATCACGTATGGTGCAAGGCAGTTCCTGGATTCGGCAAAGATGAGAATATAACTCACAAAGCAGCTTGCAATTTCACAAATTGCAGGATGATCGTATAGGCAAGTACAATCCGTAAGCTAAAAAAGTGTTGAAAATTAATTAAGAAAATCGCGTAGAAATGTAAAAATCACGGTCCAGTTAAAATCACGGCTTCTGTGACCAATGTTGAATTTTCTAAACAAATAAAATTTCATAATTTCCTGGTAATAATTTATTCACGATGCTGCTAAGACGAAAAGATCAGCTCCATCGCTTCTCAGGTACAAGTACAGATTTATCGCATGTACAGTATCTATAACATTCAATAAATCCCATGCAAGGATACTCATTTACTTCTGCTACCCTAGAGTACTAGAGGTACAACTACTGTACATGTATGACTACTATAATTTACCATACTTGTTTATAATACTATTTATCCTTTCGCTGTGGAAACCCTTGGTGTGCTTGGCGAAGCAGCCAAAGAAATGGTCAGCTTTTTCGGACGAAAGATCAGGGAGAGAAATGGAGAAGGCCGATCCACGGCTTTTTTAAAGCAGCGTATTAGCCTCGCAATTATTAAAAGAAACGCTGCGGCTGTTTTGGGAACTTTACCGGGAAAGAACAAACTGGTTGATAATGCTGATTTTGGTTGTTTTTTTAATTCTTAACTGTGCAATGATGGCCGTAGTTAATGGAACTATGACTGTAATGTCGCGATTTGAAAATATGACATTTATAAATACGATACTATTGAATAAATTCTATAATTAATGTTCAAGATTGTACCAACTTCGGGCGTTTATACCGGCTTTTGCAGACGTACCATACGCAGTGCGTTTAACCCTGACTATTAAACTCTGTATAGTGCATACTTGTATTTTATGCAAGTATGCACAAAACTACAAATGCTTCAGCGGCAAACTGAATACGGTACTTCAGTATTGTACATGGATGACAGGGCTAGAATAATATATCTTAATATAAAAAATAATTAGAACTATTATTACGTATTTATTCTATACTTTGTGTACTATGTAGTACGACTACGTATCTATGCATGTAAAAAATGGCTTGATCTAACGGTAAGCACTTTGCGGTAGAGTGCACTGTACTTGCAAAGGTACACTATAATACACGTAGTCGCATTCCACAAAATTAATTTTTGTCCACTATGACTTTGGCAATGAGGCGACCAATAAAGCGATGGTGATAAATGTTGTCTGCGAGCAAACACAACTTTAACCAAAGTGAAGATTCTTGATCACATCGTCCCGTTAATGTTGTGATACCGAAATTAATGCCGAGTGATACCGAGCTGATCTTTTCGTCAGTTTTTGCAATTTAAGTGATGCCAACAAATTATTTAAAATTAGCCTATTAAAACACAGTCACAGCAGGAAGATTCATCTAATAATTCTAATACTAACAAATTGGTCAACTGTCGTTCCGTTTAAGCAGATGCCGCTGCCATTTTGTGTACGATTAGGGAAGAGATGAACGTTGCCGGAAAAGCTTTTTATTTCACGAAATTCTTCCGGTCGCGGAGGTGTTCTTTCTGATTAAATAATTTGTTCCAGTCGCCTTCAGTGTTTCACGCAATGCCCTTTTTCAAGGTGGGTTAGTACAACATATATGCCCTACGCCTTTTTCCATTACTGTATGCCTTTTTCTTGACCGTGGCTCGACCACAGTTCTGGTCTGAAAGCCGGCGGTGAAAGCGGGTTTGGAAATTTCCAATCACATAAAATCTCAGCTGTTTGAGGTCTTAGCCTTTATTAAAGCGCCGTTTCTGGCTTTGTTTCGATGAACACGGGAAATGGCCTGTTTGCAAGCAATAATTGAAAACTTTTCCGCCTTTTCGTTCCGTAGTATTGTAACTATTGTTAGTATCATGAGAATTTTTATCTGATTATGCAGAATTATTTTTTCGGTATCTGGTTAACTTTCAATTTCCCGTCGGAGATGGCAAGTGCATGAACAACAGCAATATTATCCGATTAAGCGCTCCCTATTCATGCACTTCGTGACTTTCGCTCGACTGGGACTGTGAGTCTGTTGCAGTACTCGTACTTAATCTCTTACGATTTATCCGTGATGGCCGCCGCTTCCAGCGAACGAGCCACTCGAAAGACTGCACGAAGCACGAGAACCACATCTTCGCATTTTAGAAAACCTAACACCAGTGACGCGCAACAGCGGTTTTCGGAGAAGGCACAGATTCCGAAATTCACTGGGGCAAGTGAAGCAGTTTCCAGTCGCCGACAAACTCTTCCCCGAACTTCAAAAGCCGTGGCCGAAAAGAAACTGGTGTCGGACACGAAGAATGTGAAGCGCTTAAGGTCGGAAAGCATTAAGGTGCCGTTACCGTCGAAGGCAAAGAAAACTCCTGTTGCGGCCAAGACTCTGGAATCAGGGGCAGAAAAAGCGATTGTTAGCAAAGTGCCTTCCAAGACCGCACCATCTAAGAAGGCAAAAAACCCGAAAACACTAAACTACCCGAATCAGTCATCCGTGGAAGATTCCCGAAGACTCCTGGTCGATGCGGAAAGATTATCTTTATCAGATGTGGATGACGATGAGGAGAAAGCCGGGACTGACGAATCCATAGGCGAAACCACACGCGCTACGGCAGACACCACAAAGTCGACTGAAATGGACGCGGATTCTGGATTTCACGGTCAGTCTAGTGTATCTGCTTCTGCTCTATCAGACAATTCCTTGAACGATAGTAATGCTTCGGATGCGCTCGCCGGAATGCGATTTCCTCGACGGAATGCCGCACGACAGAAATTTGTTTATCAGAAAGCTGATGATGAGGAATCTGTGGATGATTCAGACGCGGACCCTCATTTTAAAGCCAGTTCCGACGATGATTTCGATGATTCGGAGGGTGACGTAGAAGAAGGGCTGAGTGAACCTGATAGTGATATTCCAGGCAGTCGAGAACGGTTGAAGAAGGCTGATCGTAAGTTCGTTCCGAAGCAATTCGCTTTGCTATCTTCGGCTACAGCGAAAAGAAAAGCTCCGGACCGAAAAAGAATCCATTATCTACCACAGGCAAGAAAGCACCGAAAATGAAAGCACCCCAAAAAAGGACCGAGAAAAATGGTTCAGCTGACGACAGTTTTATCGATGATTCCGATTCTGACGGATGGGAAGCCGTGGAAGAATTAGGCAGCAACGATGAGGGACCCTCGACGTCGCATCCGGTGGAGGTGACCATATCGGTGCCAACGGGGCCAAAAAGAAGCAGATGAGCATGGAGACATTCCTGTTGAACCGCTTGAAACGGCGCCAGCGAGAAATGCGTGTCGATGCTCATAAGGTGCATTTATTGTGCAGTCTTGGACACGGTTTCTTCCTGAACGATATTGTGGGTCGAAATCCAGAGTTACTGGCCGTTGCATTGTCTCTGTGGGAAAATTCGGTAGTACAGAACAAATCCCTGCTGAAAACATTGGATCCTCTACGTGTGAAGACATTGGTTGGAAACATCAAGAGTCATTTTCCGGTCGTCCCGGAATTCAGCGAGTCGCCGCCAAATACTGTGCGTGCACTTCGCCGGACGTTGATGCTGAAACGTTGTCCTTCCTATCTGCATTTAACGATGGTGATGCTGCTGATGTTGCGGAGTTTGGGTGTGGAAGTGAGATTGATCTTCAGTATGCAGCCTTTATCGGTAAAAGAGGCCAAGCTGCCGAAAACGTCTGCCAAAAACAAAAAACCAAAGTTTCTCCGTATTTTCAAAAGATCAAGGAGAGCGTTTCCGGAAAGGGTAGTGGTACAAAGGCAGCAACACCGAATAAAAAGAAACGGGCAATCTCGTCGGACGAAGATTCTGATTTTGAACGAAAGCCAAAGAAAAAAACAAAGAAAGCAGTTCCCAAAAAAGATGCCCCATCTACGCCTAAAAAGGAAAGTCAAATCTCTGTTGAAGCGGAAAAGTAAGTCGAGCAGCATGGTGGATGCCTAATTTAAATAGGCACAAGAAACTGACCATGAGGAAAGTATGGCATACTTTTGCTGATTTTTTCTCGATTAACTTTAGTTTAAATACTTCCGGGAATGATTTGAATTACTGTTATAACTTATAATTACGCCTAATTGTACAGACAGGTGGATGCTGGAGCGACAACTTCCATCATTTCACCTAAGAAATCCAATAATAATTTTGTTCCGAAACGTGGCGCTGGTGTTGACTATTGGTTGGACGTTTACTGTCCGAAATCGAAGGTCTATGTGCCAGTACATTGTATCCTGGGAGACGTCAACCGTTTTGAGGAGTGCGAACGTGATGCCTCCCAACCCATACAATATGTTGTTGCCTTCGGTGAAGAAAATAGTGCCAAAGATGTTACTGCTGTGTTCTGTCAGAACTGGCTGACCGTGAATCGCAAGCTGCAAGTTGACGTTGAATGGTGGAAGGAAACAATGGCAGTTTTCAAGCCAAAGGATAAAAAGCGGGATGAAGAGGAAGATGAGAAAATTAAAGATATGTTATTGGCACGTCCTAGGCCAAAAACCGTGCAGGAGTTTAAAGGTGCGGTATCTGCGAGTGTGATTACCATACAAAATGTCAATAGTATGCTTTTGATGGTGATGTCAAAGAATAGAAAAGTAGTTTTCGAACGGTGATCGTTTTTTTTACTGACTCACTCACTGGATAGGTCATCCGCTGTACATTGTACCACGTCATCTCTTGAAATATGAAGCCATTTATCCGCCGAACCCAGTTCCAGTTGACCATGTCAAAGATGAACCCGTGTATCTTCGAGATGTGGTCCACCTGTTACACACGCGCGAGAATTGGCTGAAAGAGGCTCGCTTGATCAAAAATTGGTGAGAAGCCATACAAGGAAGTAAAGAAAATTCAGCGACGTGTTAAGCGACGAAAGCGCGATGATCCAACTGCTGATTTGCTGGATGCCATTGCTGAGAAAGAAAAAGCCTAAAGAACAAATGGCACCCTTGTATGGATACTGGCAAACAATGGATTACGTTAATCCTGTGGCGAAGAACGTGAGTTAAGCATACAGAACGCTAGCGTCCCAATGCAGCAACTTGCATTTTTAGGGTAAAGTCCCGAGGAATGAATATGGAAATGTGGATATGTTCCAGCCATCGATGCTACCGATCGGTTGTGTTCATATCCCGATAAAAAACATCCACCGTGTCGCGAAGCAGTTGGATATTGACTGCGCGGCTGCCATGACCGGTTGGAGTTTTGGTGGCGGACACTGTCATCCGATTATGGACGGATGGATTGTGTGCGAAGAATTTGCGGATACACTGATGGATGCTTGGAATAATGAGCAGGTGCACTTTCGGAATTAGCTTTTTTTCAGTCCAGAGTTATGGCTCCAGACTTCATTTATTTTTAGCCTGTTTGTTTGGAGCCCTTTAAATGAACGCAGTTCTGAATCAGTCGAATTGTTTCTTTCTGTGAATTTGGCACGAAAATTCAGCAAGTTGTTACATGAAACTTTTGACATTATGGCTTTGTAGGATAAGATCATCGCGGAAGAAAAATCGAAGAAGTCGCAGAGAGCTACTGACAACTGGCGAAAGCTAATGCGTGGATTGCATTGGAAGAAAAAGCTGCAGTTTAAATATGGCATTAATCCGGAAGATGTGGACCAAAAGACGATGAAAAAGCTTCAGACAGTACAGGTCGACAGTGACGAAGAATGACACTGCCCCTTGGTTGATGCTCGGTTGTTGAGAGACGGTTGCAATAAGTTTTCGTTTTTTGATTTTTTGTCTTGATTGAAGGCAGTGTAACAGTTCCTTTCGATGTGTGACCATGCGTTTGTGCCTGACATACGCTGCGTTATTTCCTTAAATTTTCTCAAAATGCTGCCAATTTTCCATTTTTAAAAATAATTTTTGATTTGGTTTATCCCCAGTACTGGATACTGCTGTTACAATATTTAAACGACAGTTTTAAAACGCCTTGATATTTTTTTGCATAGTACAGTAATTTGCGGTACCGTTAAGTTTTAATCCAATTCTTTGGAGTCTTTCTAAAAAAATATAATCTCTTAACTACTTCAATTAAAGCTTTCATATAAACCAGCAATCACAGACATAGACCAGTAATCTTCCGTTCGCTCTTACCACAACGACTGCACAAAATACAAAAGTAAAAATTAGATTAAAGCATGGCTTCATTGGCATGCGGCAAAGACGCAGTAGTTTATTCGTCATCATCATCCGCCGCCCCTGAGGTCTGTGGAATGCTCGCTCTAAGTTGATCGAGCTGTCGCATTTCCGCCTAGGAAACATATATAGAAATATTAGCAAACATATATAGAAACACAGAAAACATATTTTCTTCATAAATTATATAAGTTTATATGAATAAGCGTGCACTAACCAGAATCTCTGGAAGATGAACAGCTCGCCTTGCTTTGATAAATTTCATCGGGAATGGATTAAGGGTTTGGAAAGCAACCTACAAAATGAACGATAAACCTATCTGTAGATCTATAAATGTGTCCTTGACTTGAGTAGTTTTATTATGATGATTCAGATTCATTACGCATACTTCTATTCATAATCGATTACAGTAAGCAAGATGTCTTACATTCTGCAGCTTTTTCAAATCCGTAACTCGGTCACCCAGATTTCTCAAAAATCGGTTAGCCACAGTAGGATCTGTTAATTGTAACAGCTCGTCCTCAAAGTATTTGAACATGGCAATACTAAAGCGGAACAAAATCTGCAAATCAAAGCGGAATAAGAACAGATCCATAGCCTAATACGCCAGCCACGAAGAACACAAGTACCTTCTTCCCTTCAACCAGGAAAGCGTCCCTGCAATTCTCCAAATTAATATAAAATCATAAACAGACATGTGATTACCACTATATTTTTTTAAAAACGTACCAGATCGGCAAAAATATATCAGGGTGCATGTTGTCAACAAACACCGTCAAAAACCAATTAAAGGAATATAAAGTAACATCCAAAAAACTCGAGAGATGGGCATAAAGTCTGGGAAGTTTTTCAGCAAACAAATCCCGGAATATCCGCTGTAAAAACGCAAAAACACATATTATGGTAGTTATATCAGGCCAGAGAATAGGGGAAGCATGTATAAGGACTTACTTGGTCGACCTGAGCTTCCAACATGTTTACCGAAAAATATCCCGGCAGATAGTAATCAACGATGGCCACAAGGCACCAGAAACAGTCTTCTTCGTTCAAGAAAAGGAGAGCAACGGCAGCCAACCGGTTCATACCCTACAGAAATATCCATAATTCAATTAATGATAATTTTGAACAATTTCGCGAACAATTCGTTTGCAAAGACAATCAAAAATATCAGACCCCAATCGCAGTGACACAACATAAGCCACAGCAAATGACAAGAATACCTGACAGTATCCAATTCCAGGATTGTGTTTACTGAAAGACACCAACACCTCCTCCAGTTTCGGAATCATATCAGAATCCATATTCATGAAATGGATATTGTTGGGAAGGGTGCGGCAAAGGTCAATTTTTATCTAATCAGATAAATTATGGGAATTTTGGTTTGATTCAACTCAGCGATAGCCATTAATCCGTAAAACTGGTATTACCACATAAAAAAATAAACTAACCTGCTTGGCGGCAGCTGACGCTAAGGGAGAACTTGTTTCATGGACCAGAGACTGATAGTATTTTGGTCCTTTCATGGTTTTCACACTGGCGACACTCCATTCGATCGCGCTTTTCCAAACACGACTTCTGTGCTCATCAGGGCATCCTATTCGCATCAGATCTGTGGAGAACAAACCAAATCAACCTGGAAGAGGATTAAGTATATAATATTTTTCAATACTTTTCAGCTCCTCTGTCTTCTGTATTAACCGCGTTTGTTTTGCCAAAAAAGACTCCCACCGATGTAGATGCTCCATAAAAAATGGGTCCTAAAACATTAAACCCCCCTGCATCAAACAGAAATGGATAACTTATAATTCAATGGCGTTTACTTGTCGTATTTTGGCCATGTGCTCTTTCCGGTTAGCTTCCAGGGCTTTCCGCTCCAGGTACTCTTCGTTGGTGTAATGTAGTCGACTGGTAAAAAAGCCATATCTGTCGCATTCCAACAAGGCTTTCTCACTGAAAAGTGAGAAGTCAATATTTTAAATGCATGATTTTTAGGTCTAGCGGCCGTACTGAGAAGATTCTTCGGAGCCACCAAGTGCCTCGTCCAAAATCATCTGTTTAATTTTGGCAACATCGGCATCTGTTGCTGTTCCTAAAACCGTACAGTATCACTGTTTTACGCAACACCAGAACCTGGAATTTAAATGATATCTAGTCTGTTATCTACGTTAGCTAATCCTCTACCTTCGCTGCTCCTCTGCGTGAAGTCTTTCAGGTTAAATAAGTGGCGGCTCTCCAGTCGTGCGTATTTTGCTTCCCAGTCAGCCAAGGTAGCTAAGAGTTTCTGCTCTCTTACCGCCATATCGTTTCGCATTGCATTTTGGCCGACAATCTCTTCATTGAGATAGGCTAGTTTGTCTTTATATGCCGCTAACATCTCCTGTAATCAAAGAATCAGGTAATTCCTTCGGGTCAAAATTAGAATACGTCAAAAAGCTGAGATTACTTTTGTTCGCTGGAGCTGATCTTCCGTTTCGTTAACAGAACGTTGAGATAAAGCTCTACCTTCTCGAGGACCGTTTTTTTCCATTTGAGCCATTTGTTCGTTCAATAAAACTATAGCGCGATCTTTCATTCTCAAATCGTCGCGCAAGCCAGACGTCTGCTGCGCAATTTCCATCAGCTCGGATTTCAGGATTCTAAAAATGTATACACAGAACTCAAAAACAACTGAACTACCCAGTTCAAAATGTACAAAATTAACATTTTGCTTACTGGTTGCGTTGATGTAAACCTTCGTTTTCACTACGCATTGTTCGAAGTGTATCTTCAAGTTCCAAGATATGACGACACCGATCTCGTAAAATCTTCAGCTGGCTTTGCTCCGTATCGGTATTCCCCACCAGAGTTTTACTGAGCACGCAATGAAAAACGCCATTAACCCACGCACACCGATACAAATCCGGTAATCGAAACTTACAGCGCTTCCTTTTCTTTTGTGGCAAAGTCCAACTGATGTCGCAAAATTCTAACAATTTCCTTATTTGCGGAAAGTTCGTCCTTCGCCATCTGCAGCTCGTCTTTCATAACCAAATATCGATCCTATCAAACAATGAACAAAGGTTGCTGCTTGATCATAACTAAAATATCAAATGCGACACACCTCCATCGCTTTGTCGAATTTCTGTTGGCTTTTATCAGTTGAGAAAATATTTTTCAAAGCGGTAACCGACGATTTCTTCGGAGCCCGTTCACTACTTTCCGACTTGGTAACAGGAGGAGCAGTCACTCTGGTAGAATCTAGTGAAATTAAGAAAAATAATAATCACCCACTCCCGCCGGCTAACCCGAATTATTTACAATAATAAAATAACAAGAATGCAGAGATTTTGACTGAACCTGGTTTCGCTCGTTCGCTGATTCCATTTCGATTATCACTACTCAAAACATCATTAAAACTGATGAATGCACTGGTATCACCGCCAGATAATGCGAGCGCTGCCTGGATCACATCCGAATCGCTTCCTGACTTTATCAGTTCCTGTTTCCACCCAAAACCAACCGATAAAGTACTGTACGAATTTATAGCGAATAATTGCATGCCGTAGTAGTCTAATTTAGCGTACAAAAAAAAACAAATAAAAAAGCGAAGAAACTATTACCGCGTTACCGTTGCTCAAAAGAACCGAAATTTGTTGTAAAATCGCCAAACAAAATTAAAAATTAATCTTAGAATTCGTCCAAATACCTTGATAACTCCGTCGCTCTTTTCATGTTCCAATGCTGTCAAACTCGACGAAGAATCTTTATCTTTGTTGAACAATTTTGAGTTCCACTTATCCCGTCAATGGATTTGGATCGTAAATACAATTCTCTTCGCTTTTGCAGTTCACGGATCCACTCCTTCATATCCTCGCTGGAAGGCGCCTCCAAATTTATACTTTGTCCATCAATACTGCAAAGCATTACATTTACTGCTACGTTGATGCATGGATAAATAAAAATTGTACAGAACACTGAGATTTACTACAGGTAAATGAGCGACGAGTAAAGGGAAAACACAATAAATTTCCGCCGATTGGAATTACATATACATTCAGTTTCCCTCAAAACTTTGTAAACGCCACAGTTTAATTCGAGATCAAAGTCGTAGAGTACAAAATTCCATCACAGCGTGTACCTCAACGAAAAGCAAGCAGGTTTGTCTGAAAACTCCAGATCGACCGTGAACGCTGCACGAGCGATGTCGATTGTCTCCAGAGGCACCGTATCCGCCGGTCCATTAAATGCCAGCATTTTACACCTGTCATCGTCGAACTGGTACCACTATAAGCGTAAGGAATGCTCCATTAAATGAACCCATGCACGAAAATATAGACCTGATGAATATACCCGAAGAGAGCAGCTGTTTCCAGTTTACCTTTTGATCGGATGTCTTAATAAAACCTTTGCGCCGATGGCGAGTTAACCATCCAGCCAACTTTCGGTTAGGTCTATCCAGACTCACTTCGGAATCAGTGCGTACGGGGGAAACCCCTGGTGTGAGGTAAACGGAGTTCGTCAAGGAACTTTGATCGTCGTTAGATGGCCATGGGTTCTGGCCTGACTGTATCCATGCTTGAAACCCGATGTTTTGGCTTTTGCTAACTAAAGGTAAGTGTGGTGCACCGAACAACTGCGAACCATGGGATTAAAGGTAAACAATCATCAGATGATGCACTTCAATTTAAGTAATAAAATTAAATAACTAAAAATTTCAAAAGAACGTTCATGATCATTATCCGTGAATTGTTACGAGAAAAAAGAAAGCACAAGTCTCAAAAGGTGGCAATATTTGTGTAAACACCAAAATTTACACTGTAATTAGTGTAATACGGCAAAAATTTGGATTGACAGTACTGTACTTTGTTGAGTCTGTTCCAGACGCTGTTACATCCAGGCGGCACTCATAAGGCCTGCACCAGCAGCCAGCCGTAAAAAAATCAGCCGTTACTGTACAGATAGTTCGTAGTCATATTTACTCAGTAGGTAGTAGGTACTCTACTGTACAGTCTAGTATCACAACCTTAATTGTGCGCGAAGGAAAGGCCGTGGTATGGGATGCAACTTGTTGGGATACTGTGGCCGTGTCGCATGTGCATGCTAGCTCCCTGAAAGCCGGGAGTGTCGCACAACTGGCGGAAAATTTCAAGCGGCGGAAGTACGCATTCGTCGAGGGCTTGGGCTATTTTTTCTACGCTCTGGCGGTCGAGACGTTCGGAACGTTTGGAACATCGTTTGCGGAACTGATTCGTTTTGTTGGCCGGAAGATCCACGACGCTACAGGAGAGCCTAGATCCACGGCCTTTTTAAGTCAGCGATTAAGTTTGGCTGTAGTAAGAGGAAACGCAGCAGCTGTTTTGGGTACCTTGAGTGCACATCATAAGATTTTGAATGACAATAATGATTATGGGTGTTTTTTCAATGTTTAAAATTTAATCATTTTAATTAGTGTAAACCTGCGGAAGCATACCGATATGTGGATTGGCTGTTGCCCATTAAATGTACCCATTGACTGGTGAGTTCCGTTTGCTGTTATGCGGCAAAAAACGCCTATTGCAAATTAGGGGAAGAGGCAAAAATAAACTATCCTTTTTTAAAGTTTGCAAACAAAACTCGCGCAACGGAAGTAACAATAAGGCAAAAGACAGCTTGCTGTCCTCTGCTTTACAGTTTACACATGAATCTTTTGGTCTTTTTAAAGAATGACCTGCATAGTATCAATTTTTTTACAAAAATTCGCTAAATATGCTACGTATATAATAAAAAATGAGGATAATATCGGATGGTCACGGTCTGGAGAGCAAGGGTGATTGGGTGGAATATTAGCAAATTTCCACCGGAAACGCCGAATTTTGGGCAATCACACGTTAGATGATGAAGTCAAGCAGTCTAACCGAAAGCGAGCAGCACGGTGCAAACGATGGTCAAGACATAACTTTTTCAGCAATAACAAATAATTTGTTATTTTTCACTATAAAATTTTGGATACTTTCTCGTGGCCCACTTATTCATAAATCATAACAGACTAGCACGGATGTGTAACCGCTTAACCGGGACTGTTTTTTTTTAGATTTGGGTTTGACTCTTAAGTGTACAACTGCGACTGTGCAATGCAACATCTGATCCTTGCGTCAGATGCGTCACTGGTCTGCGAGTACTCGCATACATACCGACACGATATATCGCAATTAAATGAGCAAAACTAGCAAAAGTTGCAACCTTTTGAAGTTACCCTTTCGAAAGTTTTTATCGTTATTTTCGTTGTTGTAATTTGAATATCCATACTAATTCCCCATAAGTTCAAATTGTAGAGCCAAAACCAAATATCGGAACGAAAACAGTTTCGCAAAATGGTTTCGCATACTTGTGGTAAGACTAACTCTAGTGAGATGAGTAGCGGTGCAGATTAAGACTAGGTAGAGGTCACCAATTATACTATTGTATATCAGTATATGATATGACTCTGAGAAGATCTGGACAACGTTTTGGTAGGTCATCTTTATCGTCTATCATAAATCTTATATATGTTAACTACCACGGACAGTATACGTAAGCGATCACTTTGTGCTCTTGCTTGCGATCAGTCGATCATCGCAGCAACCAGTTGCTCTTTTTTTGTGACCAGTGTTTGAACCAACGGAAATGTGCTTCATGAAGCATGAACGATCTTGTGGTGATGCCACATTGTTGGTTACACGCCACCCAGTCAACCGACACCTGGTGGAACAGTGCTTAAGTTAGCATTTATTGACTACTAACTTCTACACACTCGTTCATTTGTCCAAACCGTTGCTTTGTTGAAGTTTTGTGTTTCAAGAATCCAAGGCCGTCTTAAAACAAAGTGCTCCCTTTCCTTTTTTCTCTATATTTACCTCGTATAACCTCCTGGTGCAAACACTGATCTCTTCGGGTACAGATAATTAATGAAATTCTGTAAAATTGGATTTTTTGGATGACGCAAATTTGTTTCCTGTACAGATAAGCCATGAACTCCAGTCAGAGAACAACTAAATCTCCATCTATCTGTACAACATAATTTACTGTGACCTGCAAAATGCCAGATTCGCGGATCAACACGCCAACGTCTTCGCCAAATATCGAGGTGAGGTTGTATTAGAGATAATGCACAGTTTTATCGGTATCCCTCAATAGAATAACATATAATATATATGTGCCGCATCTAAATGGATGCATTCGTGCTGATGCAGTTTGTTATATAAGTGATAAATAAGATATCCTATGAATGTAAAAAATGTAGCAAAACTAAAGAGGAAGTTATGGCATGTAGCAAAATTGTATACTATTGGTTATGCGCCAGGATTAACGTTATTCGAGTATCGGCATTTGTGGATTTAAATTGTGACGATTTCACGGGGTTCTAGAATTTGTCCCAAAATTCGGTATCATCCGACTCTCTTGCGTGTCCATCGCCAGTGATCGAAGTGATCAAAGACGGCGGTTTGTCTACTGGTGCCCGGATTCCACTGGCCTGGAGTCAGCGAGAGGCATATGCACAGGAAGTTTCTTTGGCAAAGCCTGATAACACTCCAATTAAAGAATACCGATATCTTGGATCCAAAACCTTGCTGCCATCGAGACGACATCCTTTTGGATTCGCAACAGGCTCCTTTCACAATCCATTAAGCAGACACTCAGAGATCAAAACAATTTTTCCGAAGAAGTATTCAGGATTTCACACGCTTCCATCTGGATTTATCCGTCGTAGGTAACTAGTGAGTAGGTCTTGTAGCTGCAGTGGTGATGGGGAGCTTTTCGTGACCTTTACGATTTGGTTTGTTTTAATGTACCTAATTCTGCATGGTTTATAAGTATTTATTATGCCAGGGATTAAAAATGCTGCTTTTGATTTACAAAGTAAGTATATGTATTACGTATTGATAAATATGATTTCCAGCATAGAATCCTATATAATCCGTGCATCCGTGTACTAAATTTATGCGCCTGAATGCATCACCGACGATTTACCGCCGTTCAGATTTAGACTACTACGCAGTACGCACTGTGATCCTATGTACTTACTGTACAATAGATTCAGATCAGCACAGTTATTTTACTCATTTTAAAATACTTATACTGTATTGATTTTAACGGGGCATTTAGATCACCATCATTGCCGCCAGGAAACTCAAATGCGGGACTGGGAGTGACCGATCCCAGTTTTAATCAGACCCTCAAAACTTTGCTACCGATGCCGCACGCGTTATTATGTGACCCGAACATTTCGGATATTACCAGCGAATCCTCTGGAATCGGCTCGCAGTTTTCTGCAAGAGCCTTAACTGCCGTGAATAATCGTCAAAACGCTACGCATATAATACCAATTATATCGGATTTATATACTAGGACGTTGCCACCTAAAGTGGCCAATGTTAAATGCACGCACAATTCTGTTAGTTATCCGTGTACTAACTGGCATCCTTGTGAGACGCCGGTTATGGTGCCGAGCTGCATAACAGGACCCCGCTCACTGGACTTGGACCAAAGAAATCCATTCAGCCACTCTAACTGTTGTAAGGGAGGATTTCTCATGCTGTGGATTATACTTTCTGTTATTATGGTAGGAATTATCGTTGGATTAATTGTTATTTTTGTCAGACGGAATGTATGATTACATATATTTGAAATCTGCTGTTCAACTTCGCAATCCGTTATTACCGCGCGCAATGTTCACAAGTCGTCTGAAAGCCGCTAAATAAAATAGAGCGAGAATTTTTCGATAGCACTTCTAGCCCTTATCATTACTTCTACTTTCATTTTTATGCTCATCGGCTCATGTGATTCTTTTGTCTTCGGTTTTTGTTTCCATTATTACTCCAGAATATGTTGCCACAAATCCTCCACTTTCGACTAATCCTCGTCATCACGTCTTAAAACATGTGCAACTGTGCAAACCTTTTTAGTCCCAGCCAAACCACCAAAGTATGTGGGACACCACGTACAGTACAACGCTTTTAATAATATCGAAGGCGCATATTATTGATTTACCATTAATACACTGAGTCTCTCTAATAATACACCTCCAAACAATAATTACAAACACAAAATAAACTTTAAATTCTAGGTAGTGGGCACTCTTCGTTCCCGCAAGGAACCATTAACCGGCTTATTCTTTGTCGGCTTTTGTGCTGCCGACACCGTAGCAGAATTAACAATCTTTTTGCGCGAAATCATACCAGGCACATTGTCAGGTTTCACGATCTTATGACTAGAAACTTTGTTAGGTTTATCACTATTAACATCATCCTCGATTCCAGAATCTTTTTCGGGATTGGACCCAGTACCAGAACGACTGGAGCCCTTGTCACTTTCGCGGTCGTCATCGTCACCGATCACTCTGATCGCTGATACCGTTTCGTCAATGGTTTTTATTTTTACTGTAGGCTGTGCGGGTGCCGTAGTATGCTCATTTAGATGGTGCAGTTGCACTGGTTTAATGCCAGCTGTAGCATTGGGTGTTCGCGCAATGCTTCCTTGTCCAACTGATGTCAAAGAGCTCTGACTACCGGCAATTGCCCCCCAGTTTTTCTGGAAAACTTCATTAATTCTACGACGATGCGGAATTTGTACTATGGATTCGTTGGAGCCCCATTCCTCTTTAAGGATTTTTGCCCAGTTTTCTCTTTGATCCGGCGTAATCTCGATTCCTACAGATGGAATCGAGGCGGCAGTTATATCAGGCACACAGGACGGAGCTCCAGATTTATTCATATGCAGCACAACCGCATCTAAATCCCGATTATTTGTCGTGATGCCGGTTCTTATCGAGGAATTAACAAGATGCACAGATTCCACACGAGGCACTGCCGCAGAGCGGAACGAACCATTTCGTCAGCATAATAAAAATCAACTGTTCCATCGGGGGACGTTGTGCCAGATCGCCGAGCAAGACTTTCCTCGTTGATCATTTCGAGGTTAGGCAAGAATCGTCGCTTATCCAACCGGCTTTTCGTAACGTTAATCATACAGTGAATTTGTGCTCGAAATTGCTCAGCTTCCACGGTTGGGTGTTTCAGATGTTCAGCATCAAAGTATCGAGGATCGAAGAACAGTTTCCGTCGGCGCACTGGAGGCTTGGGAAGAGTTTTGCTCTCCAGTCTTTCTTTAATAACATCATGCATTTCAGCATCCTTAGTGACAACGTCAGGTGTCTGGATAATCACAACATCGTTGAGAAAGAACGGCGGCGGACTGTAGACGTATCGTATCGGCAATGATCCCAGTCCTCGACTGCGCAACTGCATAAGCCGATAACGAAATGCCATCTGAAAACAAACAATCCATTAGCTGAACCATGCAACCCAATTACAATAAAACAATCGCATCTAAAAATTTACCATAAAATTATGAAAAACAAAAGATGTTATAGTGCACTAAATACACACTTCAGCAGTGTCAAGTATTTCCGTTACAACCCTACAGAGGCATCATATTTGCACAGACAGCACACACACCAATCACCATGCACACATTAGCAGATTTACAAGGTTAACGGTTGAAAATACTAACATCTTCAGGCCAGGGGGCATATGATCTTGTGTTATATTCGTGCTTTGGATCGGTGATATGGTGTAGCTCCTGAGTACTGACAGAGCTTTTCTCAAGGTCTTCGCCATCCACTGCGACATCGTAATGACTGGGTGGTCGCTGATCGGATTGCTGTTTGGATTTGCGACTCTTGCGTAAGCGCGACGTAATGAACACCGCCAAGACAATAACGTAAAGTATCCCTAGTGCCCCACCGCAGGCCGCAGCCACCAGCACCCCCGTTTCCACATGGTCACCTTCATGATGTGGGCCTCCAGCGCTCAGCAGCGGCAATGTGCGCAGCCGCGTAAATGTACCGGCAATGCGCATGGGAAAACACCAGCTAACGGGTGATAATGCCGTTGTGTTGCAGGTGATGGTGAGAAGGATTATGCGTCCTTGAAGGAACTCGGCATGCTCCGATGATCCAAGCCACTACACAGTCAAACGAATCAAACATCTTGATTTTGTCTACATGCACAAGTTAACGACCTAACCGATCTCTAATCCAAGCAAACAACGCTGGATTTGCGTTTGTACGTGATAATTACCTGTAAGTTATAGAAAATCCAGTTCGGAGATGGACTATCTCCTTGGGACTGGTACGAAAGAGGAAGCGGAGGTGCCACAGGAGGAAAAGACTGCTGCACTAGTTTGAGGCGTGGTGGCTGATTGCCGAGACGGATGGCAGCAAACGATGTCCATCCGTCAAAAGAAAGGAACTGCGCTTCCTCCACATAGCAGCGATTCTCCAATTGCGATACGATATCCACATCTATGCATAAGCCAAACAGTAAAACTAACTCAAAACCCGCAAAGTGATAAATTAAACGCGGATTTCAACTTATGGACGCATTACCGGTAGTTTTCATATTTATTTTCCGGTTGATCGTATGACCAAATGGAGGAAGCTGCACGACAGGAGTGATTTCCTGCTTTTTACCATCCGTGAGTGCGGTATTTGGACAACCTACATTAACATACAGAATGATGTAGAAAACAACAACCAGTTTACCATTATTTCCAATCGTTAGCCAATGTTAAATAATGTACGAATGTGACAAAATTAACAAAACCGAAACAAAAATTAGCCAACTGTAGCAGGACGTAAACTAAGAAACCAACAAGTTCCGTAAACCCCGCAAAAGTTTCGCACAAGTTTCGCAACTAACTTACATAAAATGAACAATTTCACATGCATTCGACGCAAAAGAGTATATTCACAAAATATGTCATGCAGTAATTATTACAAGCAGGGTCTACATTTCAGCTCTTAATCAAATTTCATATATATCGAGATTTCGAAAATTCGAACTATCATTCGAGCCGGTTTTTGTTACACATAAGATGTAACCGCTAAGGATACCGTACAAGCGGGGCGATTACAGTACTGCCTTAATTGTTCTCGATAAGAATATCGGAGTCAAATTAATCGCCGTGAATATTCATCCTCAAGAGTGTATACTAGGATAGTAATTGGTTTCTTGGTCGTCACCTTTGTTCATGGTGGCACTGACATCTTGACAAAAGATTACGTGCTTGACATACACCTTAAAAATACCCCAAGTAATTATGCCTTGTCCAGTAAACAAAGTTTAACGCTCTACACAACAAAAGATTTCATGACTCCGAAGAGTGCAAGTTCTCCAGTATTACTCAAAGGAAAACAATTTTATCCAAGTAACGTTTAAACAGCTGGCAGGGCAAAGAGTGTATTCGGCGCAATTTTCATCAACAGAACGTACTGGCTCCAACATTCATCGTCATGCCCATTCACACACACATATAACTTATATAATAAAGAAAAGCAATTTTTTATCAGCCAACGTGGTTCATAACAAAGCACCAACAGGTCTTTTCGCAAGTTTGCACAGTATGGCAATAATAAAAAATGCAAAGTTCTTCACTAGTATGTGGAGCATCGATGCTGCCCATGCATCGTAGCTACCTGTACCGAGTAGAGGAAAAAGGAAGGAAAATCCAGTTCGTTTGACTACGTTTTGATTATTCTAGAAATGGTCGTTGACCGAACAAATGCTGAAAATTTTATAACGAAGGCACTTGAGACATTTCCCAAACGGAATAACATGACGTAGAGGATGTACAACCATTTATGTGTGCCGCATACAAAATATTCGTTCGACGAATAATAAATTTTTATGGCAGTTCGATGTAACATAAAATAAAAACGGATCATTATATGCCTGTATTACATCAAATTAGAATTTAATCATACAATTAATAAAAGATAACATCATTACGCAAAACAGAATGTTCAGTGTGCTTCCACTGACAATCAGAATGATACAACATAGTTATGTACAAATTACTGTAAAAAAATCGACCATTATACCACACTTGAGTTTCCACTTTCCTACAGATAGTACATTTTTGTACCCGTGACATAAAGTGAATACAAACACTTTCATTGCGACTTAACTGATGCAAATTTTTCGTCGCATGTAGAAGAGTTAATTAAAACGAACAAGCACTCGTTAATTTAGAAGAACGACGAAGCATCACAAACTCGGACTACTAAGTCGGTTAATAGGTATCTTAACACTCCTATCTAGTTCGTTCGATGAGAAAGAACCTGCTACTGCAGAACAGTTCCATTAATGCTACCAAAACTTGCAACATTCAAGCGACTCTTTGTCCATCTTACACAAACTGAAATAACCAACCATCCAGAACCAACTCAGAGATTCCGTGATTAATTTCCAAAGCAACACGTTCCGTGTCTGTATGTCGTGCAAAGCACTACGGTAAAATAACAAAACGAGTTAGAGAAATCTATTACGTTGAGAATGTGGACACTCAAATCACCAAATCGACCGCATCAATTTTGAGTTTTTTAAATACGGGCAAAATGAATATTTCCATGAAACTGCGACAAGCCACATAATGGACGAAAATCGAAGCATTCTCTCTTGCTAATTGTTACCATATACCAGTTCAACAATACGCACAAATCTTTTCAGTTGCAGAAGCTGAGAACAAAATTTTCTCCATGAAGTTTTTGTCAAAGAAATCAGTAAACAGTAAAACTCTTCTAATAAGCTTAGCGGTACTGACTGACGATTCTGAGCAAAGAACATGAATCACAAAGTAGTCTCAGGATACCACTAACTACAACACCCTGGCTTATAACTGCCGAGGTACCGCTTTTAACTTGCGCAAATAATGATGTAGATAAAAAATTATTGCCGGTTTCAGAACAATCTGATTCTTCATCACATAGCCATTACGATAACCACAAAACCGCAATTACGAGTACAACGCAAAAAAGATTGTAAACAAGATGAAATAATCGCATGAGCGACGCGTTAGGCGACCAAGTTAATAACATTTTACCATTAACAATTATTAATTAGCCCGAATAATTACCTCCGCTTTCAGGAATCTGCTGCACACAAGTAGAAATATCATCTTGGAAAATGGGATAAGTGTTTGGACACTGGCACATACACGGATGACCGTCATTCTGTCCTTCCCCTTTCGAATCGCTTTCAGAGCAGAACTGGGATGAACAAGCAGAGCCGCTGAGAACAAATTTATCAGCAGTACCGTCTGCTCGCGTAATGCGGGACGGAATGTGGTCGGTCAAATCCTGTCGAAAACCCATAATATGTGTAGCCGCGAATATCCACGTCAAGACATAACATTTTATTAGACTGCTCCAGCATCTTATTATAACCATGCTGCTTCATAAAAATCAACAGCTCTCTAGAGGAAAGAAAAAACTGCGATCATTCACGTCAACTTTCCCACGATCAACCAGCATTCTCTGCAGGTGCCTGCCCATTTCGCATTATGCAGACATTATAAACAAAGCGCGGGGTACCGTTTTTTACAAAAATTTACGGTGCTACAGAATGGAATCTGCAAACGAAAAAAGCGTATAATTCGGAGTTGACATGGTTTAGGACCGAATGGATCGTTAAGGCAAAGACTCAAAAAGTGATCCGGTAGCTGTGGATGCGGTGTCTAAAACGGAGCTGGTCATGTTCTGTTTAACCGACGATAATACTTCAAATAAGTGAAGTTGACGAACAACTTTGATCTTTATAACCAAGATGCTGATCTAAAATCAACTCTTCGTCATAGACCTAGATAATAGCCAGCTGCCGGTAAAACGCCAATATGCCTTCCTTTGCACTGATGAGAATGAGCATTGGTCAGGTGGGTCTCTAATGGTAAGCATCTCAGTGCTAACGGCACAAAGCCGAAAAGCAGTATCGCAAATCAGCCGCCACGCTATCGGCCATGGTTTTACGCGGGGTGGGACCGTCTCGACGGCGAAATGTATGCGTGCCGCACAGATAAACTCGCGTCAAATAACACCAAACACGATATCTTCATCTGAAAACATTACTGCATCCTTCAAGGCCCTTGTTGTCTCTTGATCTGAAGGGTAATACGAACGTACTCTAACTTTCGGACAAGTAGCTAGATGCATATACCAACCATTACCACCACAGACTCCGGCCCAATACGGATGACAGTGCAAATATTGATCATAATTATGGCACCGCTATCCAGCTTGTCACAAAATCACGCTATACCATTTTTTTCGAAAGTGCTGACAGGGCTCAGAGTAGCAGTTACCATTCAGACAAAAATGCATGCACACCACTGCCACAGATTGATCCCAAATCAAAAACTTCTTACCGAGCGATTCTGCACGTCGTACTTCTTGCGACCAGTCACCAGCGGAAGCATAACTCAAACATTGTCACAATCACGAATACTATAGCTTCTCATTTGCTATAAGCCCTCATAATTATGATTGATAATGATTTAATGAATGATAACCATGCATCATTTACATACGAAATCTCCAGACTTGTATTACGATTGCAAAGTGATTAATATCGCAAAGTGATTAATATTATTTAATACTAATCACTTTGACGATTGTATAACACTCACAGCTTTAAGCTAGAGTATTCGGGGTTACAATTGTCAAAATTACATGAATTCCGCTTTTCCGGTACAGAAAGCCTTAGAATATTTCTTAAACTAGAATAACTCTGTAGTTACTTCGAGGAAGATGTCAGGGAAACTGTAACATTAGACCTTAACAGTTAGTTCTACAACTTCTACTTACATTTAAAACATGGCTTATGCGGTAATTTTAGGTGAATCAGCTGGATGCATGTGTACCATACATACGTTTTTTCGACTCACTGGTTTTGTTATTAGCAAATTTTAAACATGTGTTATATTTATATAAGCTTATCTAAAGTGAATTTTTTTGCTTTCAGTATCGGCTAAGAAGATCCAATGGATCATTTTTGTACACTGAATAAGTCAAAAAAGGTATGCAGATCAACATTGCCCTATATGTAAATACATGTCGACAACAATCCCATAAAACATAAAACACTGGCGAATGATTCAAGTCAAATAGTCCACTTTCTAATTAAGCCATTCCAGCGGTTCTGGTAGCGATAATTACATCATGGACGTGCGCGGATTAAGGTTTTTATCATAATTTCTAACGAATTTTACCTGTATTTTCATCGAAAGGCGTCTCATTAAATATCCATATTGTCACAAATCTACAGAAATAGTCGATTTCAAATACAGTATACAGGGTACTTCATACAAACATCAACTATAAAGTAGAAATACATCAACTTTCGGCCCTTTCATAGTTTTCCTACCGGCGATGATTTCATTTTTCGATTTCACTTCCTTCCCCAAGACTGATGCAGTAATTCCGAGTCCGCTGCTACAGCAGGCAGAGAACATTCGACAACCGCTGCCACATTCACTGGGGATGGAATATCCAAAAGCTTTTCCTGGATCCAGGCAGAATACCATTGCAATGGGTCGAAAAGGAAGGATTTCGTCACTAATCCCTCGTTCGACTGGCAAGAAGATCTTTCTACAAGTTAGGAAGTACGACCCAATCAACTCACTGTGACGCTTCGTCTTTACGTACGACTATTGAAAAGATATTTTCAGAATCAGGAGTACTTCGAGGTGTTGGAAGCCGTAAGGCCTGTGGGCTGTGACTCAGCTCTAGCATCTGTCTAAACTCGACTCTCGAGCATCGCGCTACTCACTTCAATTGTGCGTACCTTCGAGTTGAGCATGGTACCGTTCTTTGTTCCTCTTATGGCCAAAGCCTCCAAGATGTTTTTTTCTGTTCTCGGCTCCATCAGGGAATAATTTCTCGCAATAATCACAAAAGTATCCCTTTCCCATCGTAAGCAAAGATCACGAAAACGTCGAACGGTAAACCTTCGGTTGTTATGGCAGAACTAGAAAATGTTTTAAGCATTGCAAACTCAAAAGCAAAACAAACCGCAATTGTAAATTTTAATTACTTCTGTTTATAACTGTTATAACTATAACTATTTATTTTTTTTCTTCTAATTTTAACTACTTCTGTTTATACATCAATAACTATACTTACTTTCTTGTGATTATTTTTCTAATTATCTTTAAATTTTAACAATCTTTGATAGTATAAAAATTGATTTAAATAGGGTTGCAGATGCGGTGCGCAGATTCGCAATCGCAAGACGTATTTAATCGTAAGTAATTTTACCGTTTCTGTAAGCGCACTCTGTGGCCGGTTGACAGCGTCCAACAAAAGGCATAGGGCAAAAGCTAGGGGGTGAAGCTTCTGCAAGTTCGCTCAACTTCGCTGACAAAAATATAGAAGGACTGTACTTATTACCGTAAGCAGTAAGTACGTAGTAAGTACTGCAAAATATGACGCTGCAAAGTCAGCAAAGGCAAAGCACAAAAATTTACATTTGTTTTTGTTAGCCTTTTATTTGTTTTCAGAGTTTTTAACTAATTTTTGAAATCAAATGAATGTGTAAAATCGTTGATCACACTGGGTACTAGGCTACTATAAGACTGTTTTGTACATTTTGTGTATTAGAGTACCGCGATGGATCCTTGTGTGGAGAATTACGTTGGAAAATTGATGGAAGAGTGTCAGCGGCGGGGAATACGGAGTCCTGAGTATGGATCAATAAAGCAGACTGGCCCACCTCACAAACCCGAATTCACGGCCAGTCTTACGCTTTTCGGAATGACGGTAACTGGATCGGGACTAACAAAGCAAAAAGCCAAATGGGACACAGCCCGGAAAGCACTAGAGGTGTTGGGAAGAGGCACTACTACATTGCCTACGCCTACATTACCTTCTTTGCGATCAGTGACGGGCACCGTGATGGAAAAACCGTTGAACGAAGCTCAAGCTCCCGCAGCCTCTAACTCGACAACGGATTGTACGGAAAGGTGATGATTTCTCATGTTATAGGCACTAGTGTACCGATTGATAGAACACTCTAGAGCAGCAATTGCGTTTTAATTCAATAATTGTTATTATGTTATGCAACTTATACTGATTTATACAATAACGGGTTTTGTAAATTCCCTTTGTGCGTATTACGTACATAAATGCCGTACGTTTACCTCCGAACTATTAAAGCGTAAGTACTATAGTATCTCTCTAGTATGCGAGTATTTGCGTTTGCACTTCTAGGTCCAGATTTGTAAAACCATGTGTTTATTTTAGCTATTCTCGGGCAGGGCCAGCGCGTAAGGTGCCAAAGTTTGATCCACAACATCCTCGTCAAAGGTGCGATTTAACTGTTAACTAGGTTTACTCATGTTATAGTTTATTGGGAGCTTTACTTGTGTTGTTAATACATAAGTACTCCTACTGTAGGTCAGCAAGTACGGTTGTAGACCTGTTGCACACACACTAATAATCTGTATTGTATCGTTGTTTTTAGTTTAGATGCTTTGTTGCAAGAATTAAACATTCCACCGGTTGTAATTTCGTTCAAGAGCGGAATCAATTTCCCCCTTGCCTCCGCACGAATTGAGCCCTCCAGGGATTCCCCTGATTTCCAGCCGATCAACGAAGAGGCATTCTTTACGGATGAGGCAACCGCCTACATACAAATATGTCAACAATTATACAAAAGCTGCTGAACGATGCCAGCGTACGGAAATACATTGACGATAAATTTCCTGAACGTGCTTCCCCTTCGGCACAGGTATACGCGCGAACAATCCAGTGTTAGTCTAAACACTCACGTTTTCTTTCCTCTTTGGCTGCAGAAGAAGGTCAGTGCTTCGTACACCGAAGCTCAGTCTCCAACCAAGAAAATAAAATCTGTCCCAGAGTGGAAAAAGACTCTTTTCCACTACAAGAAGATCGTGTCATGCTTAAAAACCACCAACGAGGACAATGAAGCCGCAGCCAAACGGCTAAGTTTACAACTTGAGCAACTTAATGATGTCGGTGCTTTGGAGAAACTGGGAGAACTGGAGAATTTTTCGGTCATCTACGAAAATTTCCCCAAACACCCCGTATCAAAGCCGTCAGAATATGTAGTGCGGTTGTTAGATGCTTACCCTCGCACTAACATTCCTGTGGGAACAGAGAGGCAGCGACTTCGAATTTGCCGGATAACGTTCGAGAACAAATTCCGGGATGATCCTATCCTACACTTTCATGGTATGGGGTGCAGCGAGGGCGAAGCTGATTTGGATTGCGCGAAAAATGCTCTTCGTTATCTGTCCCTTATGGAAGAAAAGATAGCAAAGGGTTTGGCATGATGTGGACTGTGTAAATGCTCCAGTGAACTATCTTTGCTCTCTGCATTTTAAATTTATCATGTGCAATTTATTTTACTTTCTTGATACTGGATGATATTATGCTTTGGTTTTGTTGCTACCTTCTGTTGTTTTTAGATAGTTACTGGATATCATCCAGTGTGATAACCCTACACAGCGGTAATCGTTTTAAACACAGAAACTGTTGTTAGTCTTTCAATTTGCTTTTGTTTTTGTGCGCGGATTTGTTATCGCGATGCATAATGACTGATAAAACCTCGATGTGGAATTTTCTTGCTGAAAGTTGACAAGTTATTTAGGGTTGAAAATATAGTTCTTATCGGTCTACAACTTTAGGTTCCGTTTTTACTTGTTGCTATTGTGATTAACGTTTATGGCTGTGCTGGCCTGCGTAGTGAATTCGGCGTTTGAGGAAGAGGGTGATACAGAAATTTACTGAAATTTTTCTTGCAGGAAAGTCGTTTGCAAAAGAAAACCCACTACCTGTATTCAATTATGTTCAGTAAGTAACAATCAGACAACTAATCGTAATCATAATCAACTAATCGTAATCAACTAATCGTAAGCGGTAAGCATATCATACAATACAAATGGTACAAGTACATTACAATATGATATTACTATAACGTTGGTGCTCAGCTGTAAACAACCATTCAAGCAATGACGTCTTTTTAATGAATGATTGAATCTGAAATAAAACCAAAAATAATTTGAATGTACGGACCCTTTAGAGCATCACTACTAGCAATAGTACAAAATACTGTTCGTGCACAAATAAAACCTATTTTTAAACAATCGATATATATAAAACCTACATTTCACAATCGAATTTGTAAGGTTGATAGGCTTAATTGGATGCTGTGGTTCACAATTAGATCGCGTTAATCAGGTGGCATTTGTTGTTCGGCGGAATTGCGCGCACGTACTTAAGTGCTTTACTGTAAAGTGCAAACCATGCAGACGAACTGACGGTCAACGATAACGCTGTGACGTAAAAAGTGTTTCCTCTTAGCATGTTTTTCGTTTGAGGAAGCCGATTCTTCCGGAGTGTCAGCTTAACATAAATTTCAATCGCAGAAGAAACTTTTACGATTAGAAACTAAAGTTTACACCGACAAGGCGACAACCAACTCACACTCCACATCGCAGAGAACATTTCGAAGATCATTACTTTCCGGTGAGACGCAAGGTCATTATTGCTCATTAATTCGCTTGAAGCTGAACAATACTCATATGCCTTTTGTGTAGCCGCAGGCATTTTATTGTAAATCACGTTTTGAACAGGCTAAGAATAAAGTGGTGTTAGCTAACCTTCGTTTTTCTTCACTGTGCCCCGAAGTTACAGAAGCGAGAAACAGTTGTCGATGTGCCAGGCTGCGGCAACACGCAGCCACATTTCACTTTTCGGGTGTATGCTATGTACAGTGTACGCGGTCCCCATTCGGAACTGCTGCCGATAAAATCCGTCACAAGCAGGGATCCTGTAGTGTGCCATTTGTTTCGCAAGAACGAACATCATCCACTCTGAACGCATAATGCCTCCGTGAAACAAAACTTCGCAATCGCTAAATCTTTTCTTGTGTTATGTTTTGCGGATGGAAAGAATGCTACGTGTGCTGTGATACCTCAATCCGTGCTGGTTGAGTGTAGTCTGTGTTTGCGTTTCGACGGCGAAACGCTGTTCGATATTGGCTATAAAAAATGTCGTCCAATAACCTGGATGATTCGCACAGCGTGGCATTCCTGCGCATGGGAGATGTCGTTGCACTGTTCGCGGAATCTACGAACAATAAAGACGGGATTTCGCAGGATGCTGGATTTCTCACATCTTTAGGGTGAGCAGTAAACGGATGGAAATATTCCAATTTCGAGCGTCTGTGAATGTTTCTTAGCTGCGTTGCAGTCTGGTCGACGAGCGCTGCGTCGTAAATCCACGCGATGGAGATCTGGAAAACCCGCCGAGAAAATTTCGAGGTAATTATTGTTTTTGATCAGAGTCGCAGCATTAAAATAACGTAATGGTAATGTACTTAACATGCATCGTGAACTGCAGTTGTGCCCATGCAACAGGTGTTTTGTTGATGTTGGATGCGATCGAATGTTTTGATTGCTAATTTTAGCATCTCTTGCACAGCTGATCATCATCTGTGTACTGATGCCGTGGTTATAAATGTGGTACAATTGTGTTGCTGTTTTTTAGACTGCTTATTCAAAATTTGTCCCATGAATCGCTATACAGCCCAGAATCAATTCCAGAAAAGCAAGCAAGCCCGTCAACAGACGGGATCGTCGGCGCCATCTGCACTAATAAACAAATTACACGTAAGAGGCCTGTGCGCTTGCGCACTGTGTCGTGCATATGTAAAGCTGGTTGATTATCAATCACCCTACTGGTAACAGCATGCGGCGGAAATGGAGAAGAAGCAAAATGAAAACGAAAGCCGCAAGATGACAGGATCACCAATACTGTATGGAAATGTGGTGCAGGTATGGTAATGTGAAAAATTTTTGTTTACCTGTTTTAATCAGAATATCGCATTTGAACTAGAAAGTAAAACGAAGCTTCCCGGAAGCAACAGGATGTCCGTTTAATTTGTTTTAAGAATGCCTTACACTGAGCAGTTAACGATAGCGAATTCTTTTTACCGTTCCTGTTTTTATTAACAATAAAGCATAGTCATAATTATTTTGTCAACACTTGCATTAATTGAGTGTCAAGTAATGTCAACATACTTAAGAATTCTGCAGTTTTAACGGATATGTATACTGTCGGTAGTCGACATTGTTTGAGTCTGTTTTTCATTTTTTTTATTTTCGAATCTACTCTAGATGTTGAATACTAGCAGCAGTTATCTTTTCTCGTAAACGCCACTATGCATACTTTCTAAGTCTGAATGTAACGCAGTGCGGAATTGTATCACGTAAGCGAGGCGGTTTTGACGGTTTTGTTTGTACTGCAGTTTCTGCATTTGCAAAGTAACAAGTATTTGACTGTCAACAAGCATTTGCCGGCACTGATGGAAAAGAATGCCATGCGTGTCCATCTCGATTCGAATGGCAATGAAGGCTCATGGTTCTATATTGAACGATTCTACAAACTGCGCGCCGTGGGAGACACGGTAGTCAGGTTTTCCCATATTTGTACTTGCGCCGTGTTTAATGCTCTGCGAAATCGTTTTATAGGTGGTAGCCGGCGATAAGGTTATTTTGAATCCGGTGCAAGCTTCCGGCCAACCGTTGCATGCAAGTGATAAGGAACTGCCAGATAATCCTGGTTGCCGAGAAGTGAATGCAATTGCTAACAGCGATGCGGCTTGTCCCTGGAAAATCTGTCTACATATGGACTTTAAGGACGCGTCGGAAGACTGTTTGAAAACGGTTAGCATAACACAGCTCTTTTTGCCAAAGCAAGAAAATGTTTAAAAACGTTTTTTACCGGAAATATTATAAGCGGCATAATTAAAGAGTGATGGTGAATCAGTTTTTTAGTGTTTACAGCCCTACCTAATCATTCTAAAACCGATTTCTACAATATACACAGAAAGCGGGCACGTAGGAAACTATTATAAGATGTCTACAAAAACGCATGTACATGTACTAACCATGAAGTGCTCTTAATGGTGTGCCGGAGGTCTGCAGCATATAGTCAGTTATTGGATTACGGTTTTACAGGGAGATGTCATTCGGCTGTTTCATGCGGAACAGGAAAAATTCCTTACCCTAGATGAATACAAAAAAAAGAGCTATGTCTTCCTTCGATCTACAGGGAGGACCACTGCAGCCGCTGCTACAAGTTCCAAAGCGTTATGGGAAGTTGAAGTCATACAGGGTGATTCTTGCCGCGGAGGCGTTGCTACATGGAACAGCTTATTCCGTTTCAAACATTTGGCCACCGGAATGTACCTGGCGGCTGAGGTGACTCGTTTTAAGCGCATTCTTTCTCATATTTAAACACTTTTTCTGATACGCAGTGCAGTGGCAAGTTCTGAAAGCAGGTGTTCACAGTCGTAACAAATTAACTACAGATCGACGAAGACCTGACGAAAGATCCCACACGGACAAAACTCAGCAATTCCCAGCCAGTCTACGCGCTGGTACCGCACAAGGACATTCCCGATGCTAGTTGCGTATTCGAACTGAACCCTACTACATCGGTGAAGGGAGGCACCACCATTCCAAAGTACGTACGATTTGCATTTTTTGTTAGTAGATTGCGGTGCATTACACAGGGTTGGCCGACCAGTGCTATTTCGTTGTGTGCCCTTTGAAATGTTTTTGGGGTGTTACCGGTATATTTGGTCATAGTGTGGTTGAACAGTTTTATTTTCACGTCTTAGGAATATCAACACAACCACGTACACGTATGCTCGATTTCATCACCTAAGCACCAAAACTTGGGTGCATAGTACGATCATTCCCATTGACAAATACCCACCAGAAGGATCATCGGCAAAAGCCATTGAACAGTTCCGTCCAGTAATGGAAAAAGTTGGCTGTGCAGCCATCCGCGATGATAGAGAAGCATTCGCCATCGTTCCGGTAGCAGTTGATGAAGGTAACTTGTTCACTGCCGAGCGAAGTCGGAATAGCGATCTTATATATAGCTGTTTGGTTTATTGTAGTTCGCGATCTTGATTTGGCCAATGACACATCCAAGCTTCTTAGCTCCATTAATAAGAAAATTGCAAACCGCAGCGTTACCAGAAATGATTTGGGGTTGCTCAAAAAGATTTTATCGGATCTCATTTATTTTATGGCGGAAGTCCCCGATACCGGTGGTGATTGTCTGGATGTTGTGGTCACAGATCCCAACAGGGAGAAGCAGAAGCTTTTACGAGAACAGAATGTCTTGAAACAGGTTCGAGTTATTGATTTAAATTCCCTGATTTATGATGGGCAACAATTAATCGGCGAGGTGTTGTACAGCTTTTAGTGTGGTTTGCAGGTTTTCGTCTTTCTGCAAACTCCTTTTGCTGGGGAAGATAAACCGGATTTTCATCCGTACTTCACGATGGACGATTTGCGCGAACATCGAAATGCACACTTGAAAGCTTTGATGCGTTATTGTTATCGAATTTTGCGCCTCTCACAACAAACGTACCGACGAAATCAGGTATCTCGTTCGAGCTCGGAAATTTATTTTTACTGGTGCTAGCTGTTGCAATATTAACTCCATTATATGTAAAACGCTACAGTATTATATTATTACAGTGCTTCTCTTGCATCCATGTGCTATTGCTTCTTACTTCAATACTAATTTCTTTGATTGTAGGAATATATTGCTAAAGAATTCAATTTCATGCAACGGCAAATCGGTTATGATATATTGGCTGAAGATACAATAACGGCGTTGTTACACGATAACCGGAAACTGTTGGAAAAGCACATTACTGGGAAAGAAATCGATACTTTTGTTGGCTTGGCTCAAAGCAACGAAGATAGCAAGTCTGTATACTTGTTTTAAAAGCACTCGAGCGTTTTTCACCTTTAAGATGTAAATATAACAATATCTGATGGACGATGGTGCAGATTTTTGGATTACCTGGCGCAGTTATGCGTATCCAATCGCATAGCCATACCGATCACACAAGAACTTATCTGCGTGTCGTTATTCAAGAAAGATGAAGACAACAGCATTTTGATGAAAACTCGATACGAAAACGAAGAACATGTTTACTCGGAGTAAGAACGATTTGCTCTACGTGTATTCGATCGTCATCTTATTCGCTGTTTTTAACTTTCTGTACAGAACTGGACGGAACTACTCACCCGTTGTTCTAATATGGAAAAGAGAAATTCGCTCTCTTCGTGATCTGGCAGAAACCGCTCAGAGCAGTGTCAGTCTGGAAGCTGTCCGTTGGCTGGACTACTATCGGTCAGTTTTTTGTATTGTTACAAACGTCACATCTGGTTTTAACGTTCCGCTTTTATGTAGTCATCAGCTAGACCTTTTCTCACACATGTGCATGGATCGTCAGTATTTGGCTATCAATCGGTTATCCCAGGAATTGCCAATTTCCATGGTTTTGAAGTATATAGATTCTCGTAAAGTATCGCCTTCACACAGCATTTCATTTTTTTCGTTTTCCAGATGTATTTCCGATGAATGCCTGCCGTATGAGCTGCGTGCATCGTTCTGTCGGTTGATGTTACATATGCACGTAGACAGCAACAATCAAAAAAAGGTCACCCCGGTACGCTATGCGCGGCTATGGACTGATATTCCGAAGGATCATTCCATTGAAGCGTACGTATAAACAGCTATAATGTTGTAATTCCGTACTGATTTAAGCATTTTCTTCCAGGTATGACAAATTTAACAACCAGGAATTCGACAAGGATCGGAACGGAGCCCGAATTGAAACAGCGGAGAAACATTTTCTTGATATCGTGCGCTTTGTTAAAGGATATTTGGATAACTGTGCCAGTAAAGGCAGAAGAGAAGGCCAGATGCCGGGATTCAATCAAAAGGCGTTCGCAAACCGCGAGAAGAATAAACTCACATTTGAAGTACAGTAAAGCTATACTTACATACTTTGAAAGTTTTATGCCAAATACTTTGTCTTTGTAAGTTTTGATATTTGTAGGTGGTTAAACTCGCACGGTTCCTTGTCTACTTTGGATTTTACTCCTTTTCGGATTTAATCCAACTATCACACATTCTACTGGCTATTCTTGATTCATCGACGCATTCTTTTCAAACACAAACAGAAAGTGAAGATAAAAATATGAGCTGTATGAAATTGTGCTACAGCGATGGCGTTGAATTGGAATTCAATCGGATGCCTTATTCTTGATAGGCATCGAATCAGCCCTTCTGGGAACCATGATGAATTTGAGTAACATATCTACAGCACTTGCTAACGAATATGGAGCCGATCAGAAAACACGGAATACAGAAGCTGATGAGCGGCTCATCATGGATACAAAATTGGAAATTGTGGAGATTTTGGAATTTATTCTGGATATTCGCTTGGACTATCGTATTACGCGGCTGTTGTCCGTATTCAAGCGGGAAGTTATGAGAATGCGCAACACTAGCCTAATGACATCGGGAGGTGATACGTCGTCGAGGCGTCGAAGTTCGGGTCCGGAATGCCCAAGCGCTATGGTGGATCCCAAAATAATTCGCGTGGAATTCGACAACATTTTTACCAGAGGGTAAACTGAACTCCTTGTTTAACACTTGCGAAAGTTTCCGGTGAAATTTGTCATATTTGTTTGAAAAGCATTTGCTCTGTATAACTGTAAGCAAATTTTTGTCATAGCTCGGATCGACTGGATGTGGAGAAGCTGTTTGTTCGGGTGCTGTTGCACCTTGCCATGCATGATTATCCGAAGTTGGTGTCTGGTGCATTGCGGATACTGTTTCGGCATTTTTCGCAGCAAGAGGAGCTCGTCGTTGCTATTAAACAGGTTAGGATTTGCTGGTCGTGTCTTGCGCTCCGCTTAAGGTTTTATGTACAAGTGCGTAAACTTTGAAAGCGTGATAATATTTTGCTGTTTAGGTCCAACTTCTGGTTGCCGCACCTGACGTGGAAATATACAATAGTGTGAAACGAAATTTGGATCATTTCCGTGGTCTTGTAGAAACTTCCGAATTATGGGTATATAAGTCTGACAAATCTTCGGAAAAACATGGTGGCGATGAAGGAGGCGAAGCAGCAGCGCCCAAAACTCCTGCTGTACCCCTCTCTAGTCCACCCGCGTCGATCGCCGATAGCGGAAGAGGAAGTGTGGTGGCCATTGGGAATGTGACAAACATCCCAGCTGCCGATGAAATGGACAATTACGACGAAATTCAGCATCTGCTCAAAGAGAACATCAAACTTTGTACTTTCGAGCATACGCCCACCGGAGCAGTGCGACCTTTCAGGCCGAAACAACGCCTGTTGCGAAACTTGGGTTTCCATACAGTAGTCATTCAGCTTCTTAAAATACCGTATCAGAAGGTCAGAAACTGGACTTCTCTGTGGCCGGCTTGGTGCATGTATTCTACGCGTTTGCTAAGACGGTGTTATTGCAGGCCACAGACTTACGGATGCGTGAAATTTTTAAATTGGCTCATGAGTTTCTCCAGTACTTTTGTCGTGAAAACCCGGATAATCAGCAACTGTTGCACGAACATTTGGAAATGTTTTGGGACCTTCGGTAAGAACAGTATTTCACCATAGGAAAGCCAAATCGCGTCTGTTTGTTCGGGTGCCCTGTACCTAAACGTAAAAAACCATTAAATTATATAAGTTCATTTATTGAATAGTATGGATATTTCAATATGTAATTGTCCGCGTACGTATGGGAAACAGTAGTTATATCTGAAAATGTTAAGTATTTTCCCTAAGAACACTTATGCATTGCTGATTTATTATCGTTGTTTTGTTTCATAGTTGCAACCGTGGGAAGCTCGAACAGTTCGAGCCATATTCGAAAACAATGCGGAACTATGTGCAGGTGTGGAAGAGCACGTGATATCCAACATGGTGCAGTGTTTGGAAAATCAAGGAAGAAATGTTGAATATCTGAAAACGTTGCAAGCTTTGATCAGCTTCGAGTATGACATTCATAGCCAAAAACAACAGCAGGACGTGATAGCGCTCAAAAGGATTCAAGATATGATTGTCACTGAGGTACAGTATTGTTGTATTGATGCTTATTGATGTGACCTTGTTGCACTCTTAATCAGCTGTTAAATGTATTCCAAAAAATCCATGCGTCAGAAACTATCAGAATATTTCTCTTTGTAAGCTATCCATTTGTTACAGATTCTGAACTGTTCGGACAACGAAGTAATGGGTTATTTAACTGATCGAAATGGCATGGAAAACCTTATTGCCGCAATGGTGGCCGTGGACGATGCTGACAACTCGGGAAAAAATCTCCCGGAAGACAGTCCGATTTTATTTCATGTTGAGCTGATCCGTTTATTGTCCATGTTAGTGTACCGGCAAGACTGCTGCAGACCAGGAAATCTAATGTACTAATTTATAGGTGTACGAGTGGCCAGAACAGCGTCACCGAAATCAAATGTCATGGCTTGATAACACTGGAAGATATCATTCGGCTTGTCCAACACGAAAAATGTTTAACAGTAGTGAAAATTGCCTACGTTGATTTTCTGACACATTGCTTTGTGGAAACTGAAATCGAAAACAAAGAGATTTTTGCAAGTAGCGGGATCATCTGGAATCTCTTTAAAGATTTTGCCCTGGATATTGAAAAGGTGAGGTATTCCACGGTTCTGACTAATTGGCTGGCTACACTTTTGAAACATTGCTAGAAGTTTTCGTGTTAGACAATTTTTTTATCAATTACTTTATTAATAAGAGTCTTACGTTAGGCTAGTGATATTAACCTGAATTTTTAGAATTATAAAAGTAAATTGTTATGTCGTAGATTAGAAAAACCCGCCTTAATTGTTTTCGTATACAGACATCTTTTGAGCCCTTTGTACCTCAAGAAAAATCTTCCCGACATCATTACGTCATGACTTCGATTTTGCCGCTGTTGACGGCATACTTCCAGTCTCGATTCGCTATCGGTGGGACCGGTAATCCGGGAAAATTTATCCCTGAAACGGTATGCTTACATAATATGTAGCTTCTGAGTTCTGACTTCATACTGTTATTTGTCTGGTGCTTATTTCAGGAGCGTGTGCAATTGTTTGAGCGAATTTTGGAAGGTATTGAGATGTTGTCTTCGGACCGGAATGACTGGGTGAAGAAAAGTGATCAGTACACTCGAAATGTCAACACAGCCCTGAAGGAGCTGAGAGAAGCCGGTATGTTCGCAGGATATCCCTTAGTTGATGTAGTTTTGACATGTTTCTTTTTGCAGCAAAGAAGCGCGGATTGTCATTAGATCCAAAACTCGAAATCAAACTGAACGCTGCAGTTGATCGTTTGCGCAGCATTATTGCTCTGGGAACTCTGAGGAAATTTGGCCGACGAGAAAATTATCGGGAGCAAGGAAGTCCTGCAGATTCGCAAAGCTTAACGCGTGGCGATCAGGACGTTTTGGATGGACTTCGGGTAAACTATTTTGCATGCTGCTTAATTCGGTCACCTTGCTTGTGATGTTTTACTACTTCAACGTGGTGGTAGCGACTGACAATATATGTTTAACATTTTATAGGATGTTGTTGTCGACATTGCGGTTCACGCAGCGCCTTTGGAAGTTGCAGAGCAGTCATTGCTGGTAGATATATTTCAAGAACCGGAGCAGCTTTTTGACGGAGATTCGGAAGTCCGGCGTCGGTCCGAAAATGGAGAATTCGTGCGCAAGTAAGGGTTACGCTGCGTTCCGGCTTGTTTTACTGTAGAAGAGCATATTTAAGTATCCTTTTTCTGCACAATACTGGCTAGCGATTCTGTTCATTTTTTGCGATGGCTGATCGTGTATCGTAATACTTTGTATTTAAAAAAATGATAAATTATGCAGGAATGCCGTATGCAAATATAAAGTCGTGACAAGATTTCCCCAAACCAGATTTCCAAAGTATCATTTTGTTTATTGCAGGATTATCAAACACGTTCGCGATATGACAGTACCTGATGAGATACTGTGCTTGAAGATTTTGAACACGTTAACGGACATGATCTACGAACCGAAAAAGCTTAGTGGGCAGGTATGTACGAGTAGAAAACCGTGTTTCCTCATAACTGCCGGCATACTGCATGTGACTGTATGCTCTATGCGCAAAATTTTCAGGCTGCAACGTTTCGGAAAGAGTTACTGCAAAAGTATTTACCCCGTGCTAGTCACACACGTTTTGGAAAAGTTACGGATCGATCGAAGGAGTGGGATATGGAAGGAATGCAAGTTTTCCTAAGTCAAAAGGGCGCTTCGGATCTCGTAGTTGACCTGATCGTTCGCAAGACCAGTCCGGCCTTGTTTCGATGTAGCGTAATTTTAGCTATCGCATTACTGGACGGCGGCAACTCAAAGATTCAGGTATCAACCGGTGTACAGTACTCGTTGTGTGGTATAAGATGCACAAGAAAAAAAAATCCGATTGGGTTTTTGTTTTGACAGTCTGAATTATATTCCCGGTTTTTGGACAATATTAGCGCTGAGAAGTTCCTGAAAGTCTTCCAGGAAGTTATCCAGACAGCTATGACACGACTGCGGTCGACCATGAAAACTATTAGCGACAGTGGAGATCTGGAGGACAACGAAGATTTACCCAAAGGTAAGGACGTTGCGGTTGAGCAGCAGTGCTCATCGGGCGTGATGATAGTTTTGTTATGTTTTCAGTTTTTGTTCCGCCACCAACACGACATCGATCAAGCCTGACGCTCCGAAGTCTTTCGCTTAACGAAGCGTCGCGTAATTTTTTTACCCGCATGTTTCATCGTGATCAGCTGACGCAGCAGATTGCTTCAACGCTTGAAGCAGCCAAAAGCGCTTTAACGATGGCGGATCCAGTAACTCTTTCAGATTCCGGGTTGGAGCCGGACGATGACGAAGATGCAGAACAACTGGAACCGGAAATTCGGATTGTTAAGGATGTTTTGCGATTCTTCCAGCTGCTGTGCGAAAATCACAATCCTGAAATGCAGGTACAAGGCCTATATCTGCATTTTGTATATGCTTCCTTAATTTATCAAAATATGGCGTTTTTAGAACTTTTTGCGGACCCAAAGCAACAAGACCAATTACAATATTGTCATGTTGACTCTCACCTTTTTGGATTGCATTTGTGGAAGTACTACTGGTGGATTAGGCCTTCTTGGCCACTACATCAACGAGAAAAACATTCGCTTGGTGAACCAGGCGATAGTCAGTCTGACGGAATATTGTCAAGGCCCATGCCGTGCCAACCAAAACTGTATCGCTTCCAATGAAGCCGATGGATTGGATATTGTCATTGCACTGACACAGCTGGACGTCCGTCCTCTGCAGAACAAGCGAATGGATTTGGTTCTTTTGCTAAAGGTGCATATTCATTCGTATTTCGCATTGCTATATGTATGATAAATCGAAAAATGAATTTCGTTCATAGTTTAATGCCATTAAACTGCTTCTGGCGATTATCGAGAGCCGACAAAGTGGAGAGAACACCGAACGACTGCTACGCAATTTGGACGTGCATTTATTGGTGAATAATATTGTCCAGTTCTACGGAATGCCGGAACCGGCATCCATGGAAAAGGATGCGCCGTCGCCGCAGTCGGTGGGCCATGCGCTGTACATTTTGGCGCATGAACTGGCACCACACAACAGTGAATTGTCCAGATTGTTGGACATAGAATTAATTCAAGATGAAGATCGTCGAGCGGCACTGGAGTACTTCGCTCATCATACGGCCAGCATCGAGGTCATTCCTTCAGCTGTTGCATTATTTTGTAATCATAATCCAGATACCTTTTTGCAGATTGTTCGTGAAGACAGAACGATGGAGAAAATTGTGTTCGAAGTTCCGGTTTTGTGCGAATACCTGACCCCGGAAACAAAGTTGACCGTCTATAACAACACAGAGCGCGATGAACAGGGCAGCAAAACAGCGGATTTTGTGAATCAGTTTGATTCCTTATGTGATGAAATGGCTTGGCAGAAACACCTCAGAGGTAATTTTGCAGTGAGTGTGAACTCGCAGTTTTTCTAAACTGAACGGTTTTTATGGGCTGGTAAACGCATGCTGGTCTAGCAGAAGCCTACGCTATTGGTGACTATAACTTACCTAATCCTGATAATTGATTTTAACAGAAACTCCAATATTGTTTTGGATCAGTAAACGTATGTCCTTTTGGAGAACAATTTGGAATGATATTGCTTGGTTGCTCAATATTATTGTTGCCCTGTTCTATCCATTCAGATCCCATGAAGGTACTACGCATAAAATGTTCGCTTTTGTATTTACGCTGGTAAATAATTACATGGAAGAACGCGCCGTGTTTTCTACAGGACTGTCTCCTGTCTACGAAAGATTTCTGTGGGTGATGTTTTTCTCCTTATTAACCATGTCTATCCTGAAACCGCGACGGAATATTGTGCTTCCATTCTGCATTCTTGCTGTTGTGCGTTCTATCTTTCTCGTTGGACCCCATCACACACAGCTGCTACTGGGATTAACAAATGTAAGCCGGTGGGCTTACAATGGCTACAAATGCGGCTTTCGGCTAAACGTTTTCTTATTTATGGAATTGCTTTTAGCTGGTGATCGCTGTAATATCGTGTATCAGTCATATCGGGAACAGTGGTACATTCAAAAGTGGTATAACGAGTATGGCCAAGGATTATTTGTTCTTCTACGAGCTTGGATTAATCGGCGTCTGCATTTGTGGTCTGGTCATACATCCTTTCTGTTATAGCCTTTTGGTGAGTTTCATCCTAAACCCGTGTGCTTGCCATAAAATAATTTCAGTTATGGCGGACAGCTTTTGGACATCGTTTACCGCGAGGAAACACTGTCGAATGTTATTAAATCGGTAACGAGAAACTGGAGGTCCATTCTCCTAACGGCTGTCCTGGCGGTCATCTTGATTTATATGTTCTCGATTGCCGGATATATGTTTTTCTCCGACGATTTTCTCATAGACGTAGAGCTACATTCGAAGACAGGTGGGTGACATTTATTAATATACCACTCCGGAATGGTGACCACTCCGTACACACCTACTCCGTACGCAACCTTTTGCACTACCTTTCATTCCGTGCACAGCCTTTGACACTACCATTCACTCGGTACACTATCAATCCACGCTACCTTTCACTCTGTGCACTATCAAACTTTTATGTTTATTTATAGTCGTATATACTCAAAATACTTATACTTATATTATATTACTTATGGCAATCGGGAGTAGGTATTTTCTCTAAAACTTTTGCATTATGTCAAGCTCGGAAACAGGGAGAGACCTACGAAACTGGGTCGAAAACTCCTTCAAAGCGGTGTCCAAACCCTACGAAGAAAAACCGGCACAAGGGCGCCTAGAATTATTTCTCACGGGAATTCAATTTTGTAACTGCCGATGATGCTGTTAATATGCAGCAATAACTGTTAACGAAAAAACGGCAGTTCCAGAAATAACTCTGCTGTGAAAAAATTTTAAAAAATTAAAGGTATTGCACGCAGATAAAGGTAGTGCCGAGTGGTTGTGTACGGAGTACGGTAGTGCTCAAAAAGGTTGTGCGCGGATGAAAGGTAGTGCAAAAGGTTGTGTACGTGGTAAAAGGGTGTAAAAGGGTGTATACGGAGTGGTGACCTTAAGGAATTGTCGGTTGCATTAATTCTCCAGTATATCTCTTAGATGATGCTGCCGCGATTTCCTCGACGACTCAGATAATAAATTCCACTTGTGACCTTGATTCTTGCAACGGAGAAACCTCGTCGTCCTCTGACGCCGGAGACAACTTCGTGGAAGTGGAGGAGCGGAAAGAAAGGGGCTGTGAAACCATGCTGCAGTGTATGATTGCAAGTTTGAATTACGGTCTGCGAAGCGGTGGAGGTATCGGGGACGTGCTGAGAAAACCTAGTGCTGATGTTCGTTTTCCTTTCCCCCTTTTTTCTGTGCTTTTCGCAATCCCAGGTTGAAGGTTTTCTTTTTACAGGACGACATGTTCATGGCCCGCGTGATCTATGATTTGTTGTTCTATTTTATTATTATTGTCATTACGCTTAACCTTATTTTTGGTGTGATCATTGACACCTTTGCCGATCTCCGCACGGAAAAGCAACAAAAGGAGGAAATTTTGCGCAATTCCTGCTTTATTTGTGGTAAATTGTGTTCACAGCTATATTGTTATGCTTTACAGTAGCCATGTTTGCTCTTGAAGGACTGGAGCGATCGGCGTTTGATAACCGAGCGACAACGTTTGAGGAGCACGTTCAAAATGAGCATAATATGTGGCACTATTTATATTTCATGGTGCTGCTGCGTGTTAAAGACCCCACGGAATTTACCGGTCCAGAAAGTTATGTTTTTACGATGATGAAGGTATATAGTTGTTTGGTTACACAGCTTACACTGTACAGGTGTTACAGGCGTTTTGGTTTATAACGTTTTGTTTAGTTCAGCTTCAACTGTCAACATATACGAGTATTGTAGCGAATTTGGTGAATCTTTGGGTTCTGCTGTCTTTACAGCTAGGTTTTCTAATTAGGGAATCTGATATGCATGAAAATATCTTACCATTTCTTTTCTGTAGAATAAAAAGCTTGATTGGTTTCCTCGACTGAGAACTATTTCTCTGAACGCCGATATTCATGAATCGGAAATGAATGACCGCCTGACATCCGATCAACTAAAGCATGTCATGGACGCTATTGCCATTCTGTCGTCTCAACTTCAAGACCTCAAACGCCAGGTGTGCAACCATTCTTCAAAATGTTAGGCTATCTGGAATTCTAATAACGTTTTTGTCGGCAGATGAGCCAGCAAAAAAACCGCCGCGAGCGACTCAAATATTTGCCTGCTGCATTCAGTTCTTCCGTTGTAACAAACAGTCCAGACGATGCCGATGTCGTCCATCTGGGTTGACCTTTCCTTCTTTGAATGGTTTTTGCAGTTTTTTTTCAGTTGGTGATGGCAATGTTTTGTGGTTTGAAGTTTTCCAGTTTTATCGTTCTTTCATAATGCATGTGTCGTTCACGGTTCTTTCATAAGAGATTTTAGGATCCCCGCTGATTTTTGTGTGATAGCTCTGCAAAAGCTGTCAGCGGAAGTAGGAGAGCAACCAGTTGGTCGGTGCTTTTTTTCGGAGTTATGTGAAATTGGTGAAATTTTAACAGTTTTTAGGATTTCTTTTTCTGGATCAGTGTTTGGTTGCTTTGTTATTATGCCAAATCGGTGTATGGTCAATAGCGGTGCTTCCGTAACTTTAATGAATTCCGTTTTGTGAATCGATTCGTGCTGCGCTAAACTTTTGTGCACCACGGGCAGCATTAATAAATGATCGAAGCTTTGTAAACAACCGGCTGCTCCCGTAAGCGCGCATTGCTTGTATGCCCTGCAGGCAAATGTTTGTTAGTGTTGCAGAATTTCATCATAGTCTACTGACTGTACCTAGCGGGAATCCATTAGTGACAGACAGTGAAGAGTAATTTTTTGTGAAATTTATGCTGTGCATGCCCCATCCGTACCGGTGAGCTGGCCTAATGAAGAAATGATCGATGCTTGCCTTTTCTTGACCATAATTGGCAGAATATGCAGTGGTATCAGCTTTAGTAAGCTGGCTGTGCTTACTATAAAAAAACAGTAATATATATAAGATTCAGGGACGGAAAAACAATACCTACAGAATATTCAGTTGTATGAAGTGATTGGTAATGTTGTTATAACAAAGAATTATCATAGACTCACTTCATAAAGAGCATCTTGCTGAAGTCGCGCAATCTTGTGGGAAAGCCGGGACGGTAAAATTAAATCGAAATTTATAGAAATAATAAAAGCAGAATGGGAGTTAACTGTGCATTAGAGAAAGCTTAGTTGCGTTTTATGAAATTATGTAAATTTCTGCTGTTGTGCTGTCTCATACACGGCACAAAAACTACAGGGTGGCATCAATCGATCAGAACTTTAGACAACCATACATTAGTGAGGAAATATGATGTTGCTAATAAGTGACTTGTGTTTATAAAAAAACCAGGGCACCACTGTGTTTGGCTGTGGGATTATTAGTTAACCGAAATGGAGTATGAACTGATTTATAGCGCATTTGATGAAAATAAGCCGTCATTTCTTTGGAAAAGCAGTAAAACGATGACATTTGACATTCACCATAAACGTGCGCGTCAGTGATGACTGAAATGGAAATCAATGGTATCTTAAATATTTGCTTCTCATAATATTTTGCGACAGGAACGTCGATGTATCCGATGGGCAGGTCAACAAAGATCACAACCTGGGCATGCTCCAGATTTTCTTCAAGTAATTGATCGCGGTAAAATTAGATACGTTTTTTGCTCTGTTTTTGACAGGCGGTGAATGCTCGTGCGTGCTCAGTGTAAAACTGCTATCAAAAATTATAGAAATTGAGAGTTATCTGATGAAATGAATATTTTTCATTTGTAATTGTAGATCATGTGAAGTGTGATACCGTATTAGCATTACGAGATAGAAAACAGCTGCCTTTGCGACTGCTTTATTCAGCTTGTTGTTTCGAAGCGCCGGTACTGATGAAGTCCCCATTGCTTTCCCTACATTTATGCATGGTCGTTATTATACCATTAGTATTTTTTCATGCATCTAGGCATTGAAAGAATTAATTGTTCTCGGGCATTTGCCTAAATTTTTGAAGATACCCGACTGTCATAATATTGTAGTTTTGATAAACTTTTGCTGCAGGCGCACTGTACACAGGCTATTGATGTTCCCGACTATCAAAACAATCCCTGGATACAAACATGTCTGTCGCACTTTAACCTCATTTTATGACTAGACCGTAAAAATGTAGCAATCACAATTTATTAATACCGCGTTTCGGCAGTTGATTGTCAGCTTCTTTGAAACGTTGGCAATGCTTTATAACTTGGTTTTTTAAATTAATGTATTAAAAATAACATAGTTCTGCGTTAGCGAAGTCGCGGTTATTACTACCTTTTAAAAAACAATAAGTGATGAAGTCAGCAGATCTTTATTATTTCTTTATTGTGCGCTAGCTAATTAATTAATATGTGTGCAAAATTTAGTTGTATTTATCAGTACTTGGCCTTACAACAATACATTTTTGGGTTAGATTAAACTCACACCTGCCGAAAAAATACAGTTGCGCCGAATCTATTTGAATATTAAAAGCGATAAATTATGGTATGAGTTTATCCATACAATATCTGCATATGCGGTTGTGTATGTACAGTTGCAATATCTCTGCTGTACTCGAACTAGATTAGCGCTTGATGAAAATTGGTGTAAAGCGTATAATTCAATTTATGAACGATGCTTGGTCGATCCAAGCGGTTGCACTCATCCTTCAAAAGGGGCAGAAGAGGTCCATGTAATGAACTGACCTGGAAAATTTGCTTATTGATAATTTTGTTCTGCACAACAAACGATACGTCTATGCAGTGACAATCCACGCCTCATCCTGTGGACACACATATAGGATGTTTAGTTATATAGATCCAAACCAATTATGTACGCATCCCTTTTGATTGTGCTATATCAGTGACATACGAATGCATTTATAACATGATGACCGCGGACAACGATAAAAATATGAAAGTGAGCTAAGGATGTACATTGTACATTTTCGTATATATGCAACGTAATTTCATGAAAACTGACCGGCATGGTTCGTTAAGGCTGATCAGCTAAAATATGTATAACATAGAATTAAGGCAACCCATACCTGAGGACTGTTAGTAGGTTTACGGTGTCTCGGAATCAGACTCGCTGAAATTATGAAATTAATGACTTACGCAAAAAAACTTGATGGCTGCGGCTGACAAATTACTGCAATATTCAGCAAAATCGTTTGTTCTTCTTGTGCCCCTCCGGCGACCAACGTTACACTTACAAAAAAAGGCATGCAACATTTTCAAAGCTTGTGATCCAAACTCCATTTTTCTTGTGTTTCAAAAAGAAAAAACAAATTATAAACCTTTTGTCACTTCAGAATTAATTTGTGGGCACCGACGTTCACATCAATTTTGCAACTGAAATTGGAGAGTGTACGCGAAATTTGGCACAGCTATGGCATTGTTCTTTTGGTCAAATGTTGTGTAATTCTGTCTAATATGTGGAACGGTTTACACCTTAAACCGAAGCGTTAACACGAATTGTGCACAAGTCTGATAATTTAATTTCATCAGTATTTTCAGCCTTTATGTGGTGCATGATATTATATAGAAAATGATATTCTATGACTAAAACTGCTCTCAAACAAATGACAGGTAAAAATAACAGCAAATACGTTCATGACTAGTAGGATTTCTTCCTGATAATGTTGTACGGTAAAAGAACTTGATTTTACTTTTCGGAGAGAGAGATTTGATTTTCTAACGGTATTCTGACTCAGTGGTTGCGTTAGGGTGATTAAGATAAATCCGATAATGTTATATTTTTGTATCTTACCGCTTAAAAAAGACTGCAGTAAGCCGGCCATGACAAAAACGGAACTTGAATGTATAAAACTAGCGGTTGAGTATGGGATAAGTGATACTCAATAGTGTGACTTCTTAAACTTTATCGCGCACAGCGCTGACGCACGCGAATTACTGCCATTGTTACGATGGATTGTTTTCTAGTTTAGGTCTTGTTGTTGGGTTGCGTTGCTTGTATTTATTGGTCTATTCTGCCGTGTCAGTGCCGACCTATACAGACTGGCCGGAAAGGACTATCATCGATTAAAAAGTAACTATTCACAGTCGAACGAGGATTATGAAAAGTGTCGTCTGGTACTAACAGATGTGCAGACGCGGTAGAAAAAAAGCCACACAAGCCAAGTAGGCGGCAATGTTCTCATACTTATCAGCCGGCGTAATACACTGGATGTGGTTTTGCCGGCTTTTCGATGCTGCAACATCGATTTCTTATTCCTTGGCGCACTCGTACACACTTTTGAACACTGTCAGCGAACGGCATAGAGCACTGGCACACTTTCCTTCCTTTACAAGTTTACACTTAGATGCTTGAGGTCTTAACCATCTGTTTTGTCTGCTGTTTACGGACGACCAACAGTTTCGATCGTTCCTTGTAATATATTTACCTTTAATACTTGGTACTTTATGCTGGCCGTAATACGTCTGCATGTTGCACAGAATGCAACAATACCCATAGTTTTTCGCACACGATTTCCTCTTCGAGTGTAAGGCGTTATATGCAAGTGTGCAACTAACGCTTCCCATCTAAAGGTAAGCTATAAAATCTTATGCTAACGCTTATATCTTTATTACAATTTACTCATATTTGTACAAAAAATTTTATGTGCTAGTATTTTACTGGTGCGGTATATGGAAGCTCGCGCGATTTGGATGGAATCGTAACTTGTACCATAAGTTAAAGGAATTCGTAATCTAGTTGTTTAAAAAAATTTTTGGTGCAGCTTGCAATATTATTTCATGAAATATTTACGGCTTATTTGGACTGCCGACCAATACAGTTTGCTTTGCTATACTCGCATATTATTCGGAAATTCAATTTGACGGTGCCTTTATTACCGTATGTGCACAAGCGGTCTAATCACGCTATAGGGAGCATTTTGCAGCTGCATTTATTTCCCCATGAATCATCCTATTCTTCCGTTTGATAATTGTTTCTAATCATGAGCTATTGGCTGTAAGCCCTCAATAGACCAAATCTATTTGGCTTCTGTTCCAGTTCTCTTTATTATGAGATCGGTAGCAATAATTTGCTAAAGATGTTTAGCCGGTGAGCTGATTTGACTCTGCGCGTCGCTGTGGCTCATCAATGCATGCATGCATTGCATTGTTAATTCCCGGGAGCCCTGTCGACTTCCCTTTGGCTAATCAAAGCTTTTTGCTATCCACTCATCTTGACCCTATTTTTGGGTTCGACCGAATTGTAGTGCTCGTAGTACAAGATTTACTTGGCTCCGCCAATAAAATAAAGTAGCCAATACATTGATGATTATTTTTTATTACAAACACTTTTAGTGAAACAATGTCATTTAGTACAGCCGCCGCCCAGTCTTAGTTCTTACGCATTTAGTTACCGGCAAAATCATTTGGTACGAGTACCGACTACGTTATCCGCAAGCGCACATAATTAGCTCATCTAATGCCGAATAAAGTACTACCCATGAGAATTTCCGTTGTTTGCTAGATACATTTTGGCCCACGAAACATAAGATTATGCCCATAATAGAAAATAACTTCCTGACGTGTAAGCGGTCAGACTCACGGGCAACTTGATTTTGCTCGTAATAGTGAAATAGAATAAAGTTTAGTAAACATAATGTCACTCCAGTAAAAAAATTTTTTTTGAAATAGTCATGTAGGAGTTTGTTTTAGTAATGAGTTGCAAGATTTTGAATATTCTGTAAGCTTATTGAACACAGTAGCATGCGTACATGGTTATGCACACAGTTGTACATTGTTAAATCTCGGTTTTGCCGTAAACTGGTCATGAGGTGAAAGCAATGCAATATGCTATTGATAACAGGATCAAGAGCAGACTGGCCAGAAATAAGGAAGGATAAACAGTAGTTTTTATTTAGAGTGAAAAGAAAGCAGGCAGTCAAGCGTTTATTCGGCATTGCATGTCTTGTGTGCTCCACTCCTTGGCTCATTGTGAAAGCGATACTTTGCACGATTAATAGATCTGTTTGCTTTGGCCAGTGAGGCAGACAGTTTGAGTTGTCTGTGTGCTTGCGTCCAGCTCCGAAGATCCAGCAAAGTACTTCCGATTACTGCGACTTCTGCCTGCGCAATTAGTTCGACAAAGTAGTCAAATAAATGGGATTTTTGTTTTATAGATTATTGAGATACAACCTAGCATAACTTCTACGTATTATGCAATTCAGCATAACAAGGTGGGTAGGTTTCGTTGTATTGTAATTGTTATACGTAATTACCTACTGCTCAGAATTTGGTCGCAAATATGGATGTCTTACAATTAAGCATGCACTGTCCAGTCTGTCCACTGATGAGGAAGGAGGTCCGGAAGTCGATGCCGGCTCGCAGTGATACTGGGCGTTATAAATGCGTCCGAGTACGGTGCAGTCGGCAAATACTCGTAGTCAGTTGGACTATCCACGGTCAGATAATTATATCAAACCGTCTGCTTGATTGAAAAACACTCGCAAACGGCACATACGCTGGGAGCACAATTATTTAGGTTTGTTAATTGTCTATCGGCTCCCAGAAATCACCTTTTAGTTAAAAGACTGCAGTTATTATTTTTATTTGTCAAAAAAACTGTTCCGATTTTCATCAGCAAAGGAGACGAGTGAGTTTTTCATGGCGCCATGCTTTTATAGTCGTAAGTTTTTCCAAACACATAGTACTACATACAGACTCTGTAGTACCACTATCTCAATGTTTCTTGTGTACCGGCATGTCAGAAATTACAATGCCGTGTCCTATGGAGTTTGCAACCTTTGATTGCCTACGAAGCTTTCAAGTTTTGTATGAAATATATTCACTTTACAAGTTGTTGATTTATTGAATTGTCAGGATTTTAAAAGTGTGATACAGTCGAAAATCATGAAATGGTGTCATTTTGTAGGTTACAGATGAATTAGTGACAAGCGAGTGTGATGTTCGCTGAGAAGCCGCTTTTCTGCTTCAGCGGAGAGTTTAGGGCAAATACTTTCAAACGTACTTGGCGAAAAATAAGTTAACCAGCCGGTTTTTTTATGATTATAAGGTACGAAACGTACATGCTTTTTTTCTGTTCACTCGTAAAGCAACTCATCTCAAATGACAGCTGATTGAGCTGCAGCAAACCGATTGCTTGAGGTGAGAAGTGGATTTTCCGCGTCGAATAAGCAGCTAAGGAATTGTGTTGCGCTCAACACGCTGATGGATTCATTTTGCAGCGTTCGTCTTGTCATTGCCGACGAAAAGCAATATGAATAATGAATAAAATCTACCGTATCTACCGGTGCAAATGGGTCATCATATCAGCATGATTTTCTTCGTTTTGTTCATAGAAGACTTAAGAAATCAGTCCACCAAAAAGCATGAATACAGAGCTTTGCCGACGTAATATTAATATTATTAACCAGTTTTACCTTTTTTACATATGTTTTATTATTTGTAATCATTTTTCTTTGTTCTATTCATTTTAGATAGGTATTTATAACATATAAGTATTTATCACAATTTAGATATGGACAACATGGCTGTATTTGTGCACCAGTTTCCATTACAGTATGAAATATTTGCATAGATTAACCAAATAAATATGTGCACTAAGCACAACATCAAAATATACACTAGTAATCAATCGATCACATTTGTTTCACATCACAGTTTCGTATTCGCATGCTGCGCAGTGCGCACCGGCTGTAAAGCTAGACTGCATCTCAGCAAAATATTGAACTTGTCAAATAAGTTTTTCATGAACCGGTATTTCATGGTCAGTTAATGAAGTGTTTCTTTGTAGAATCCAATAAAATCGGCCTGTCTTTGAAGATTTTGATCTTTGATTCCGGTGATTTCTGATTAGCCCAAAAGAGAGCGCCAAAAGTCCATTCTCTTACTGCTGCAGCAGACTTTTCTTATGAGCGAGGCGATCAAATGACCGGGAACATATAGAACTTCATCTGACAAGTAACAAGCTATTGGAGAGAATTTGAGTTGTTGATGCTGTCCGGTCATCCGACGATTAAATCCACTGTCTGTGTGTATACGTATTGCTCTGGCGAGTGTATGTACAATACCATTGCTGCACTGCATCTTCCACTCTCTCCATCCATCCCATCCGTGTTCTGCCGCTGAATACTCTGCCTTGAGTAAGTACATACCCGGTCTGATGTCAGTTATATTTGGCCATTTAAAAGGAGTCTTATGTTAGTTATCTGGCCTTCTCTGTTATATCCGGTGAGAACGACAAGCCAGAGCCGAGTTACTTGCGTGTAATTGAGCTGCATTTTCTTACCGACAGAACTGTCCCGATAGAGGAAATAACTAACCAAATTTTCTCAAGAGCAACCACAGCATCGCATATCAAACAATCCACCACAACTTTGCGCTGTCTCTTATCGGTGTCTCTAATCACTCTGCGCATTAAGGGATGGCTTAAAACGCCAAGAGTGGAAATGGATGGAATATCAAAGCACAACATTTGAGGCATAATCACCCACAGTTCGTCATTTACCAGTGCATTGATAGCAGCCAGCTTGCTCCAATCATTACCGGGGCCAACAAAATCCGATAAAGCGCCTGCGCCACACTGCATTCTACTGGCTTTGCTTGATCCGACCCGGCTCGATTACTCCAAAAATTGTGGCCGCTTTTTTCCGCAACGTGAATACCGTGGTTTTTATCCGAAATCTCCCCACTGTGATCTATGCGGTTTTTTTTCGGTGGATTATGCGTATATATATGTTCCGCACTGGCATCCGGTGTTATTCATGATCAGTTTATATTGATTGCGTGTTCATATATCGGTGGAGTGGAGTGCGCCACTAACGCCAGCTAAAGAGCCGTTTTGCTGGAAGTGACAACATTATACGCAGTTCGTGGCCGTGTGTCTATGCGGTTCGGTGTGATTATTAACATTGTTGTATGCACAGTGGGAAGACCTAACACTCGCACTTAGAGGAAGGGTGCCTGCCTGTGTGAACCGGATTGCGCCATGCTGCCAAAACTGTCGCTTAACGACATGTCAACAGGAAGACGGGAATCCTGGATGTGGCCTGTGTTTTCTTTAGCTTTCTTTGTATGTGTGTGCCTTGTGGATGCGAGGCAAGTTGGTAATAGCGCGGCAGATAGTAGGAATTTGCCAGCAGTCCAATCCTCCCGGCCCGTTGAGCTGGCATGGGGAATATCGGAAGTGCATGCCACATTAGGGAAGCTCTTCAATTTCACTATACCAAAGGATGCTTTTGATGGGGAAATTACTGATATAAAGGTAAGGCTCTGGATACCTTTTTCAAAAATTGATTTCGTTGTAAAAATTTTGCATGTTAGTGCGGCTGTGTGCCACTTCTAATAATGCGACGGAGAAATATCACTAATATATTACCTGTATGTATTACGGTACTAATCGTAAGTTACGTATGTAAATAGAAGTTACGTAGATAAATAATTGCGCTAGTCTCAGACCAATAAATTTGCTTACGTTAGTATACGCCATCGTACACACTCGATACCGGTGTTTTTACACTAATCAGTTTTGGCCTTTCGGGTACTATCCGTGCGTTTTTATTCATATCTGCTAATTTAATAGCTTGTGTACGGAAATATGTTCGGACAGAATTTCTGACAGAATATAGTTTCCGGAATTAAGGGCTAATACCTCAAATGAACAGCAAACGATATTTCTCGAATTACCTGATGCCTCTGCGTTCATTCCTGCTTGTTTGCGTGTCTCATGTAAAAGTCAGATTTTTTCAACCGTCGTTATTTCGTTTCATAGTTCTCCAGATTTTTCAGATCGTAATATTTCGCTAGCAGTTTGAAGTGCTTTATAGTTTACATTCATGATGTTGGCAAAGAGTTCATTTAAAACACTGACAGAGAACATGTTTCATTAGCACAAGGGGTGTTTCATTTAGTCCAGAATCGAAGTTGCGTAATACGAAGTAAAAAATTACAAAACTTACAACGATTGGCTTATAAGTTCTTTAAATTATGCTTTCGAACATATGTGCCAGGTCTTAAAACAGTGCTTGACCATAAGGTTCCCGATTGTAAAAACGTTGTCACGGATTATTTCTGATACGACAAGCGCAGATGTGGAATATCTAACGTCCTGACACCAGAATTTTACGAGTGCGACTGTGCGAGCGGGCACTGAAACCATGAGTTACATAATCTCTTGTGTGTATTCGTTGGCCATGACATTTTGGCGATTGAAAACGCAGCTGTTGTATTTTCTTACATTTTCGGATATCAACCAAATTTTCTGGTCAAGTCTTTGTATGCTGATTTCACAAACTGCGTGCCGGAAGAGATATCTGGAAATCCTTTTCCCAAAAAAATAGATTTGGAAAAATTATAATTATGCGAGTGAAATTAAAGATTTCTGTAACTGTAACGTTCCGTAAACGTAATGTATCCAATTTGCCCAGTTGAAAAACTAAAATTTTATAAGATTTAGCCGTTTTTATTTTGGATGATTTTCAGCGATTCATCGTGTGCAAAAGCTATTTGACAGAGGAAAACAAGAAATTAAAAGTTTTTATATAGGCGTTTTTACGCTCCACGTTAACAGCGTGTGCAGTCGAGCCTGAGCGCACAAGTTTCGATAAAAAAGCCATTGGACGGAAATGAGTCTTTGAATCACACTCAATGCAGTAGTATGTGGATGTGGACAAAACGAGTAGAAAAATTGTCAAGGGCTTTTAATGAACGGATAACTTTATTGATCTGCTTTATACCGATTCTATAAGCGGCCAGCGACGAGTTATTTTTCGGCTGCGGCCAAACGGTGTTGAGTTCCGGATGACACAGTTTCTCTGCTGTGTGCCGGCGTTCTACTCAACTGCTCCAGCGACGGTACAAAACGTGAGATTACGTGGCCCCTGTGTAAGAATAAGAGACTCGAGAGATGTAGTGTCATCGATGGAGAGCTGTTATCGTTGTTGACACGAAAATGCATGGGATTTCATGGTATACATATTTCTCACACACAATTCAGGCGCACCTAAAGTTATTCGAATTCGTTGTGGGCCATAGCTTATCCATGCAGTGCAGCAGGAAAACTATGCTTCATGTAATTCAGGTTACTATCTTCCCCGTTATCATTCACTTGTCGTGCTATGGCGCGAAAAGATTGCGCTTTTACGATGCTAAAGGTGCAGCAGAATATGGCAAAATAAGTAATCATGTATACAGATATTGTGCACATAGTTGACCGAACAATCATCAGGGTTTTTGCATCGAATTTCGCAATTTACGATTGGTACTGGCCAGCCCAATCAACCGGCACACACAATATTGTTGACTTAGCGTTCAATTACGCTGGCGTCTCATAAAAGCTGTTAGTATTGTTATACACTTTGAGTTTGGCCCAGATCGATAATGTGACGGGCATATCAGTAGCGGCACTGTGTATTTACTTGCAACACCTAAAGTGAAATTTCTGATTAGGCAATGAATCTGCCGGCCAGTGAGATACGGGCCCAGTTTTATAGCCTCGTTGAAGAGTTTTAATTAATACAGGAAAATTATTCGATGGGCTGGCTGTGGCAGTAATAATTGTGCTTTGTGGTACGCTGTGCATGTGTCCGGCTGCTAGTCATACAAATATACAAAATGAACCTTTAATCATGCGCTCCACCGCCCCACTGTTATTGCATACGATGGAGAAACATGCCATAACCGCCTCGTATTCCATTCATGCTTGATTGCACATTTGACTGTTACACAGCGCTATGGTACATTATGAATCTTACAGCCAGTCAAGATGATTAAATAAAGTGAACCTAGCCAGAGAATATAAGAAAGACTCGCCATGCGAAATGGCTGCAGTAGAAATACGGACAGATGTGGCCGTGTTTATTTGTGTACGCCACGAATACTTCCTTTAAAATCCAATCGAATAAGTCTAAATCTATACAGCACATGTGGAGATTTTCAACAATTGGTTAACTAAACAATTTTTTCCATATTTGTGGCTTACGCGGAAGGGATACACATTCTTAAAAGAATTACCAGCGCAGCTTAAGTAGTACGTGCTGGAATGCCGCATAGCAGATTTCAGCTTTGTACTTGTTTCGTCTTCAGCCTCGAAAATCGGAGTTTTATCTTGTGATTCTTAACCTAATAACACACGAAGTGTGCGTCTAGCGGACAAGTCGAAAATACCGATTTTCCGAAGGATTAGCCTGTATGTCCACGGGTATATATATATGTATGTATATATACCTGTAGGTATGGATCCATGTCGAATCCTATTGTAACTTGTAAGTTTGTAACAGGATAGGGAAAACTGAGCTTGTAACTGAGACAGACAGAACGTTTACTGACAATAGAGAGAAATTTACTGTAAACTCAAGAGACAGAAATGCTGTAACTCAGGATGGGCAGTGCAGAGGCAGAGGTGGAGCATGTATGTGAACAGTGAAAGAACGTGCACTGAATGTCATCGTCAGTTGATCCAAAGTTTCAAGCACTAGTTTTTCGTTTACCTTTCCATAAAACTTCCTAACCAACATCTCAGAAGATAGAAAGAAAAATTTGACGCTTTTGATCTCGATAAGTGTTTTAGGGGAACCAAGAAAGAGGTTAGTTTTGGTTTCTCGTAGATATAGCATAGGGTGCAAGCAACGCCTCCAACGGACGGACCTATGCTAAGTCTACGAGAAACCAAAACAAAATTAACTTTCTTGGTTCTCCATAAAAACCTACTTTCAAAAATATCAAAATTCTAAAATTTATTCTCTATTCTGAAACATTAACTGGGAAGGTTCGTTAAAGTGACAACGAAAACTGATGCTGCAAGTTTTGAGATAGTGGCAGCCGGAATCAGGTACCCAAAGTCGAGACTAATACTGTACACGTATGCGCGTACGCGAGGTGGTTGCACTTGCCGCAGACTATTTCGCTAAATAGCCGTCCAGCTTGCACTCAGGCAATCTTCCCAGTAAACAACTCCACAACAGAAGTTTTTGTTATTATGTAATAAAACCCGTCCTTCGGAACAGTCCCCACGGGGGACGCCCCGCTAGGGTTTTACGTTTGGGATTAAAACGGTCAATTTTTATTGTACAAATATTGTGCTACGCGTCATACTGAGTTACTCTAATCATTTTTGCTGACGAAATATTGATGCCCACATTGCCCAGTAATAGCTAGTGGCGAGTGACTACATAGGTTCATAAAAATATTAGCCTTTGTGAATTAGTCGTAAAAGTTAAGTGATTCGAACCATTTAACGTTAACATATGCCTTCTCTACTAATACTGATGTGATTTCAGGGTATCTACATTTATTATGTTACCGCTTTGCTCACAGGCGGAAACGTAGCTCCGCTGATAATCTAATGTTTGCAAAGTGTTTTTGTTAATTGTATTAGTGATACAAATTCGTTTATGTGGTATTCGTGTATTGGTGTAAGAAAACTCAATTAGAATTTCACAACACACGGTGGATACAAAAAGTAACAGACGCGGAAATAAAATTTCTCAAACGCAATCTGTTGCAAAATTTTGATACGGTTGAGCCTGCTGATATTTCCCGCAAGTCGAGAAGATCTATGTGATCGGCTTTGGTAATGGATGGTAATTGGCGTCGATGTATGATTAGAGTACGTGGTTTAGCGTTACAATTGATGGTTTTTTGATTGTTCGCTATGGATTTGGTGGTAATCTCATTAGACTTAATGGCGGAAAATTGAATCAAATTATTGTTATTGTCATGCAGCTGCGTGACCGCGGTATTCAAGCATTCTACTAGATCTGAAAACCGGGATAAAACTCATAATTTCAGCCTGCATGCTGCAGCAGGAACCGTTTTGTGCCATGTGGTACATTCGATTTGAACTAATGCATTGTTCACATCAGATGTATATTGATGCATTTTAAGGAAATTTAACGCCACGTGCCTTCTAGAACGTCGCATCTTTTTGTTTATATGGCGCACTGGCTGCTGTGCGTGAAACGTCGATTTTGCACATTCATGACACAGTAGCATATGTACTTTTGAAGGTAAAAGCGTGTGATAATAATGCACCATACTTAATAAATTACCTGGATGCAAAATAAGTCAATAAAATATTGTGGATGAAAGAAATTTGCCATTGGCCTGCTTTATTTGTTAAGTTTATTTAAGAGGGCGTTGCACCGGCGCTTAATAGAGTTCAATAGTATCAGTTTTGAATCCTTTCTGAAGGGACGGAAGTTTAGTATGTGCTAAAAGTAAAAATCAATTATAGGCCCGCTTTGCTCTAAAGTGTGGGATTTTCAATGGATTTACGCAGCCCCAGGAGCCCCCTGCGTGATACGGAAACTAGTGTGCTGGTTTTGTGTCCGATTTGATAACACTGGTATATGCTGCAGTATCTCTTGTCGTGTTTAAAAGTCTAACCCAAAAGATGTGCTGGCCATATGTTGTTCTCAGAATCAGATTGCGCTGCCGAGCCAGATCTGGTTTCGTTTATCCTGTTTCGTATTTTCTCTTAATATACACGAGCGCCGACAAAATCCTCCAAGGCTGAAATTTAATGTAAACCATTTGGCTGCTAAGTTAATGTGAGAAGGGAATGCCTTCAAATTTATATACGACGTTAAGGAATGTCAAAACCGATTCACAGCCGTATCCTAAGAGGCTAAAGGCAATCAGTTTAGTATCATTTCAAAATGCTTTACAACTGTCTAAAAGATATATTTACGAAACCAAAACTGTGTGTTTAAAATGGTTGCCAATAATTTTATGGGTGTGAAGAAACTAACTCGCATATTGTTATCGTCGAAACACGTACGTCAATAAATGCTTTCACTGTAAGATTGATTTTCATAAGCCCAATTTTCTGCATGAAGAATTTTTGACTATGAATCTTTTGTTTCTATAATTTTATTAAAGCTGGTTTTATTAAAACTGATCAACTAAGTTTTTCTGCTTTTTTCACTGTAGCATTAGTGATTCTCAGCTCGGAAAAGCGTGTCTACAAAACTTTCTCGTCGCAATATTTAATATTTATATACATTTATTACGAAATGTACACTGTAAGTACATACAGTTTGGGATAGTACAAGCCCACCCAACAATTCTTTGACCGCTGTAAGCGGAATTTAAAGAAACGTGGGCTTGAGCCATTTAATGTGCTTCGACACGTCACCACATGGGTCTGCGTATTCAGCGTAAATAAGCAACAAATCTGCATGTTTTGCAGTTACTGTATCTGATATACAATATAATATGATAAGCATTATTTATTGCCATCATAAATTATATTAATTTTATGCTTTTGTAGTATCATCTTTATTGCAACACAATATCGCGGTGGTAATAATATCCATATTACTTTCAAATTACTGACTGCAACATGCTCACAAAGATGATTCATTCCATGCTCTAATAATGGTCTATTGTGATCTAATATATTATTATTGGTTGAATATTTATAAATATATCTGCCACTACACTACGATGCGTATTTGCATTACTGTGCGCGATTTATATGCGCTGCGCTTACAGCGGTTAAAGAATTGTTGGATGGGCTTGTATATACATCTTCTTATAATAACTTGTAAGCATTCAGTAAAAAAATTCGCAAATGATGATAAGACCGCTGCACGAAACCCATGCAAACCGGGAAACTTGTATACGGTTTCGAAATTGCGGTGTCCGGCAATATATTATTGTTCAAGGGTTGTAAGCCGTCAGATGTTGTGATCATTCCAGCGTTGTTTCAAGTGCTTACATTAGATCAACTTGCATTTCCCATTTTGCGAATTCGGGCGAATCAGAACCATACGTGTCCATAGATCATGACGAAATATCAATTGTATGCTCATTTTCCAAGTCCTGGCCAGTGTCAGCTGGCCAGCGGCACATAAATTACATTATAAACTATTTAAAAATTGGTAATGAATGCGAACATAAAGTGGAAGCGAAAGTTGTAAAGGTTTGTCTTAATATACAGTAATTATTAGTACAGTATATCGATAAATACGAGTAAGTACCTACGAGTTAAGTTACGATAAATACTTACACGAGTAAAACCTTGTATAGTAAAACTTTTGTATGTAGAAACTTGTGTAGTAAAACTTGTAAATAATCTGGTTCGATCATTTGAGTACTGTACAACCCACACGACAACAAAACGCCACAAAATGTCAAAATCTGTGAGAAGAAAGGAGTACTGAATGAAAGCACTATATTCGTAGTATTCGTAGTGCAGTTTTGGATAACTATTTTCATTTTTTGTGAGTCTTGTCTCACTTATTTTAATATCAGTGATTCTACAGTAATTTGTTTCTGTTATACAAATTATATTATGTAGTGCATACGCTCAGCGCTGTACGCACATGTATCGTAAAAGAAACACTTTCGTAGTGGTTAGTCACTGGCATCATCGAAAAATGCTGGGTGTTACAAAATAACCGTCTTCGGGTTTTTTATCCGACATTGGTTAAAGATTACTGTACAGCCATATACTGCTGCACTGGCCTCCGGTTTCATAGTCTTTTTAATTTTTCAAATTCGGAATGCTTAATCACATTTTACTTTATGTTAGGTCGGGGAAGTTGATCGCTCTGCTCTTCCTAAATGGCTCAGCTTTGATACGGTTACACGCACCTTCACCGGTCTGCCTTTTCAAGAAAGCGACCTAGGAACACACTATATCGCCGTGACCGTGTTAGGCCCGCATGAAACATCAGCCAAAGATGTCTTTTCCCTCGTAGTGGAGGAAACATCCGGCCAATCTCGCTGTTCCTCCGAAGCAGCGGAAACCGTTTTAACCCTAATGCTGGATGTCGACTGGGCCAACATGAACATGTACGAGCGGATCAGCCTGCTCTCCAAATTTAGCAATTACTTGGACATTCCGGCCAGTAATCTGAAAGTATCCCATGTGAGCGGAAGTAGTAGCCCGTCGGCGCTACTTGACTCCTCCGCTCTGATTGCCGGACCGGGTAATGCTAAGGAGGTTAAGTATCCGGGCGTGAAAGTGTCGGCGGTGGTGGGCTGCGATGGGAATTTGGATGGTAATCATAAGGATTTGGCGGTGTTTGTCGATGAATCCGCCCGGGATGGCTCGATGGCCCGCTTCACCGGTGTGGATATTGTGGGCTGGCATCTGACCACCACCAAACCCGTACCGGCGCCCCGTTTGCGCCGGCAGTCCAATTTCCTGCATACCGCGGAGCCGACGCCGATCGAGCCCACCGTGGCGGTCGTCCCGCATGGATCGGTCCATCCCACACCAGCCCTCAGCGCCGGCGTGGTGGTACAGACGCACGGCTACGGAGAGTCCAGCGCCTACCCCGGCATTCAGCCCACGGCAACACTGGAGTATGCCGTTACGCCCACGGCAGCCTTTGATGAATTTGGTACATCGCCCATCGTTATCACACCGCCGCCGGTTCTCCCGCCACCACGACCATCGAGACCGGGCGATCATCGTATTAACAAACCTCCGACTCCCGCTGCATGGCCACAAGGAGGCGTTTCGGAGGTGGTTGGCAAATACATCCATTACAAGGTAAATGTGTGCACAGAGTTATAATCTGGACGTTCAGTAGGGAGTGCCAGTGCCTATTACGTCGATCAGTAATACGTCTGACCCGGGTTGCGACCGTGATTTCATCTGAGCACAAATGGGATAGACGGGATGTCGATATACATAATTATTCGATTACATTTATCTAATTTTCTGCATCACTCGACCGCTCCAATCAGTGCATGTTTATTTTAGTTCATTTCGGCCCCCTTTAAAGATCCCGACACAGCCGACCTGACCGTCACCCTGGATCAGAAGATTGACTGGCTGGAGATTGCACGCGAAGGCGATACTTACGTCCTTCGCGGTATGCCCATGGAGGAAAACATTGGCGAGTACAAAATCAATGTGACCGTGGATGATGGTGTGAACACGCTGCGGCATCCCGAACCGTTGATGGTCCAAGTGCTTCCCGTGAAGAACGAAGCCGACACAGTGTAAGGCCCTACTTCTTTTTCTGACGCACGCACAGTCGGTCAAACTGTCAAGTGCAGCGCGATGAGATAATCACACAAAGCGTTGGTGGCTTTTTTAGGAGCGAGATTGATGTGACACTGGATGAGCCGTTTGATGGATTTAAGAAGGACCGACGTGTCTTGTTCGTGGACACATTGCGTTCGTATTACCAGGATCCCCACGGCAAAAACATTCGTCTCCGTTCCATTAAGAAAGGCTCGACACAAGTAGCCTGGGTGAATGAGACGTTGAACGCGAAGGCTTGTAGTGATCCCGCTATTAGTGAAGTCTCCAAGCGGGTCGTCGATGGCGATAGCGTTAATCCACAGTTTAGCCAGCATTTCGCCTCAGCCGGCTTTAAGGTTACTAAGGCTTCTGCACATAAAATCGGTATGACCTTTTTTTTGCTTAGGCAGAAATAAAAAATAGTGAAATGACATGTTTGCTTAATGGGAAACTCATTTACAGGGAAGTGTGCAGGCGCTAACGCCGAGAAGACGAGCAGTAATGACATCTACATTTCAACGGTTGTGCCGGCAGTTGTCGTCTCATCTTTACTGTTGTTGGCCTGCTGTATTGCCTGCATCCTGTTCAGGAAGCATCGACGGGTAGGTCTGGCATGATGCGTGTGGTACGGTGTCATGCAGCAGCCACGCAAAAGGGTCATACACAGCTTGACAGGCAGATTGTGATTCAGCGATATTTTAACAAAATCGTACAAGTTATGTCCAGTTTAATTAAAATAACCGATCACTTTCTCCCAAAATCATCGGTTATCGGCTGCATGGAGGCAGGTCATGGGCTCGCGTGTACGGTGATGGAAAGTTATTACATGTCATGGCCTTTTTCTCATCCGATGAAAATCTGGTTAAAATTCACGAATGCGGCGCATGTTGCAAATGACCGATGAGTGTGGACTGTGCAGTTGTAAAACAGTTGCACGAATTCGATCTCTGGGATGTGTTGGTGTGACTTGTGTTATCGGAAAAAAATGTCTCAAAAACTTTTAACAGCATCGAGTTTAACCAGTATGCACGAACGGATACATAATGATATTCAATTTGACAAACTGAAACAGTTAACATAATGCTAACTCTTGAATGGGACTTCGTTTAACACCATAATACGACGTTTTGTTGTGGCTGTTGTCTTGACTAGTGCTACCATTTTTTCCCGTTGGCTGTATACATGGTACTAACCGCTTTGTTCCTTTTTGTGTTTTCCACACAGGGCAAGATGAACACCGGCGAACAGGATACGGTGTGGAAGTCGCATAACAAACCTGTTATCCTTCCAGGCGAAAACAGTGACAATAACCAGAAAGGACACAACGGAGCTGGTAAAAAGCCCACCGTCTTAACACAGGAGCGTCCCGGAGCCACCCCGGTGAGCCCGCCCACATACTCTAGTAGCTCAACACGCTATCCCGGTGCTCATGGCCATGATTACGACGAGAGACAAAATGATCCCTTATTACACCACCACCAGCCACCCATTGTGGTCACAGAAACCCAAGTGCGCGATACGAAACCCCAATCTCAACCGCTAAGGTCAGCAGGCACCCGTCCGTGAGAACCCTGTCGTCAGACAAAGCCTGGCACGAGAAAGAAATCCACTTTGTATTTTTTGCATTTTCTTCCGTTTTTCGTTTGTTCGTGTGGTCTTTTTTGTGTATGTTGTCATGAGAAAAAGCTTTAGCCACAAAAAGGTATTAACTACCAGTGGGACATCCAAACTGACCAAGAATAGATGGGTGGGTTCGGGAGCTGGCTCAGTGTGGCCAGAGAGCGCAGAAACGCCCTTGTTAATTGTTGTGATGATCGCTTTTGTTAATCCAGCAAGTTTTGTTTTTAGACTCTTTCTAATCTAGTGATGGTCCTCTTTCTTATTCCTTTTTAATCATACTGACACTGCTGAGTCTGACGTTCATTTAGTTTTTTGGTTGTTGTGTTCTTTCTCTTTAATGTTGCAGCTTGCCTTATTGATAGTTTACGTCAGTTCAGTTGTAAGTAGTTTTCCAATTATTGACCGATGTATTATTGTCAGCGTTTATTCACAATGTCAGTGTCTTTTTCTATTTCAGTTGTGTGAGTTCTGTTACATGCCTTACAAATCAATAATAAGAAAAGAATTATACATCACATATCCTCAGTGCTCCACTTGTATGCGTCAGCAGCCGAAGCAATCTTATTGGAAGATCGTTTAAAGCGCTCTTTTTCAAATCCGTTGGATCGGTCTACTCCATCCCACCGATAACCGGGTGGTATCCCAAATCTATTCGGAGGCGGCGGAGCGCCTTTGTATTTCGGTCGCTCTGCAACAAGTAACGCCTTATTACTGCATTATTCCCGTTAAAAATACGGTGAATTTTCACGTTTAGGAAACACAACAATACCCATAAGACAAAAAATATTCGATAAAACTTCCATCGCAAGCAAAATATGCAACGGCATACACTGTTCACTAATGTTGCTTATGCGGCATATGGGACATTCTTTCATTAAACAAGGGAACTACAACGGATCGCCCGCGCATGTTATCATGCACGGAAATATAAATTTAACAAACTGCAACTTTATGATAATACAATACTACAGCTTTATGGCAACGGAATCGTTGGTCTTTAGTAACTTCGTTATTCAATTTATCTCACTTTAGTTCCTCAAATATTTTACTTCTCTGCTATTTTACCTCCAGCATCTCCTTGCGTTTTATTTCGCTTCTTGCTCAAGTATTCCAACATCGGATCTCCTTCTCTGTCTTGAGCTTTCAAAAATGCATCCCGATCTGAATCATCCACATATCGTGCCAGCGGTTTCGACATTTCATGCAATGCATCTTGAACAGCTTGATCGTGCTTTTCTTGCTGAGCCAATCTAAATATTATATGCCAACAATTGGAAACTCAAATCGCCCCAAGAAAACTGGCAATACGGACTTATAAAACAACAAAAGCGAATAAAATATCAGCCCTGGGCCTGGGGTTGCCTTTCTGGGTGTAAGGTAAAAAGTTTTTACCATAGTTTGTTTACCATAGTTTTTACCATAGTTACCATAGTTTTACCAAAGTTAAAGTAAAACTATTATATGTCAAGTTTTTACGGAGCGAAATCTCCTCCTGGATCAACAGAACTTTGAAACACCTACCCCTTTCCCCATTTACGAAATTTCTCCTCGTGTGCTTTCTGGCGAGCCGCTTTCTCGGCTGCCTCCTCGTCCTCGGCGGCAAAATCCCGCTTTTTGCCGGTCTTGCGATCACGGTATACCGTCGCAGCGCCCCGCCCACTAATATCCGCGTCCATCCGCCGAAACATATCATCCTCTTCGCGCCGCTTCCGATCCGTTTCTTCACGCAAAGTGCGGGCGTTCTGTAGTCCCGCCGTCCTACCCGACAACGTTTTGCCGGGTATGCCAACAGGATCTCTGGAGGAGGAGTGACTGAGTGGCGCGGATCGTCTTGGAGGAGAATGGTCGTCATCACGGCGGCTACCTGCAAAGCACAATAAATGACAATGCCGCATCTTTTAGACAGTCTGGCCTGGCGCTTGTGCAAAACAAAACTCGACAGCAACAAGTCTGCACTATTTTTAATCTGGAGTATCGAGATAGTGCTACAGAAAGAGGAATGGACTATAATATGAATGATCATGCGAGTTAAAAATTACTAAACGTGAACTGTATGAAATTACACTGGCTCGTGCCGCAAAAGGAACCCCCCACACGCTGCGCTTACGTTAACGCTTATTAAACCAACGGGTAACATCTTCAGCTGCGATCTAGTCCACAAGATCGCGGCACTCACTTGAAGGAGCAAATTCAGATCGTCGAACTGGAGACAAATCGTGATCAGAGTGTCTGGGTCGACTGCGTGCAGGCGATAGATCATCGTCTGCTCTACCGATATGCGCGGATTCCTGTCCTCGACGGCGAACAGGGGATAAATCTTCGTCACGGTCGCTCCTTCTGCGTTGATCCGACGCAGCCCGTATGGGGGACAAATCGTCGTCGCTGAGAGGCCTCCGCCGCGAACGACCGCTCGGCCGGGGTAGATCGAGATCCGGAGACTCCTCTTTGATGCGGCTGCGGGGCGGGCTGGAGGTGGTGCGAGTTATGGCTTTCCACTTGGAGCTGTCCTGCATGCCAACGGGAATGGTGTCGTCGATGATCTCAGCGACGGTCGGGGCAGAGTCGCCGTACGGATCATCCTCGAACTTCGAAACAGACCGTTTACCCACATCTAAATCCTTATCAACAATCGTGATCCTGCAGAATATAGCACACGAAAGTTTATTATCCAGTTTTGTAAAAGCACCACAAATGAGTTTGTCCTATGTTGGCGAATTGGTGCTTACCCCGATGTTGCATGGGGATTGAGAACAGGCTTCTTCTTTTTCTTCTTCCTTGAATTATCTGCATCATCTTTGGACATGTATCGTTTTAGATAATCCAGTTTACTGCTTGAAGCCATATTTTTCCATCTGTTAACAATCGAAAATGTTTTTCGTTCTTAGAAATTACTGTAATAATGTTTCGAAGTGAGAAAAGTGGAGCTGAAAATGATTTTAGACGTCAGGAAATAGGAATCGCAGAAAAAGACAGTCTTCCGTGGGCGGTGGGCAGAATGTTGTACTCGTACTCGTATTAATTTTAACGTACGCCACTAATACTGTATTAAGCTGTATTAAAAACAATAAAAAAAGTGCATACGAATATAAAATGATTCACATTTAAACATTAAAAAAACAACCGAAATCGTGCGTTGTCAACATTTTAACGCATTCAAAGTGCCCAAAACAGCAGCATTTCTTTTACAAAGCTAGGGTTTACAAACAGGCATTTTACAACAGCTAGGCTAAATTCTGCTTTAAAAAATGCGGTAGAGCGTGGTCTGTCGCGTCGCGAATTTATGCCAACAGCTGATCGCATAAGTTTAAAATGCCGGACCAAAAGTTCCAGGTCTCGACCGCAAGGGATAAAGAAGATATCCCATTCTTTCTAAAGCGTTTCTACGACGTTTACTGTCGGCGAAGAGCGCAACATTGCCAGATGCACTCGCGCTTGGAAGACATGGATCAATGCAATTGTGTTCCAACATGTAGCGTCCCAAACGAGCGCTTATTATTACTTACTAGTAATAATAAGCGCTCGTGTAAGTAATAATTACAGTAAGTAATATTACTGTAATTATTACTTACACGAGCGCTTATTAGTACTATAATAATCGAAAACAAAAAACATTTTAGAGTGATGAATCGTGAGCGTGGTAAATATTTCAATACTCCCATGAGTCACTCCCCTCTTTCAGTTTTTTTATGACCTGTCTCTCAAGCCATCAACTACATAGACAAATTAAGTATTTAAAATTTTAACACTTTAAGTAAGTACAATGCATACCACTGTTATAATTATGGATACCGGTACACTAGTTGACTACAGACTGCAGTGACTACACATGATGCATTAGACTTTCGGATTCCAAGTACTGTACTCAATAATTTATGGTATTTACATGGCAGTAGTAAATTTTCTAGATCTGCTGATTGTTTACTCATTTAAGTACGTAAACAGTAAAACCTAAGAATAAAAGATTTTTATTTTAACTGATTGTGAGATCTTCCACAGTCCACACATCGACAAATTAAACAATACAGATACAGTACACTGAGTACAGTAGCGCAAACCTTCGGAGTTGGAAATTCGGATCCAGAACAATACCAAAACCAGATCTAGTTGACCATAAAAATATAGGAAATGTTGCCTATATTCTGACAGAGATTACAGGCTCAGAGTTTCTCTTCATTTTGCTGATCATTTTACCCCGCTATTCATAATTTCCCAAGTAGGTATGTACATAGAAGAGTTCCAGATTCGTCTGTCAATGTGTCCACGCCATACCGTGCGTCAAGTAAACTTAGCAGTTTTTAGGACATAAAATTACCAAACTATTTATTTCTGATTATGAGCATTATGAGCTGCCACTTCGCGTGTTTTCCATTCGGAGACATCGTGAATAGTTCTTCCATAGAACTAGAAGTAAGTACGGTTTCCGAGGTTTTGTTAAGAAAACCCGTTCTTTGTTTGTAGTTAGCCAATCCTAGCTTATTCGAAAAACTCCATCAAGTTTTTTATTAGGCCTTACTGCAAGTAAAATAAAGGTAACCACAAAATTACAAAAATACAATACATGCAAACCGGAAGAATAATACACACAACTTACAGAGATACAAATTTCAATGCAGGAAGAACGAATACAGAAATTTGAGGAACAGGGCTGTTGATAGCAGCTATACTGGAGGAGACCGTTAAAAGATTTCAAATAATATACTACAAAAATAGCTGCCAAGAGCAAAGGATCAAAAGGGGGTCATCACAATCGTCTTTGATTGAAGAAACAGCTGGCAACAGCTACAGAAGGCGTGCCAAGCGTCCAGAGAACCTTGCCAGATGGTCCGGGAATGGGAATACACACACTACGTAAACCGTGGTAATCAGCTATGCCAAACGGTTACATCATCCAGAAAGCACGAGAGATAACAACACTCCAACTGAGCTAATCATCGAAGCCACTCCACAGGGATCCACTGCGGTTCACGCTCCAATCGATTGATTTCGTCCAGTAGTTCGGCAAAGGCTTTGTCAAAGTCCGTATTCACTATCACTAAATCAAAGAAGTGTCCGTACGTGTCTTCCATCTCTCGGGCGTCTTCGATGATGGCTTTTAACTCATCATCCTAGAGAAACAAACTCAACATCACCATAAAATTAAATGGAAGAGTATAATTATATCCTATTCTTGATGCAATATGTTCATATAACCTATCAAGATTTCAAAACAAAGCAGTGCACCAGAAAGTACAACATGCATTGCAATAATCGAATTAGACTGACTAAGGAAAACAAGGGCACGAAGTCACCAACAAAATCAATACAACTAACCAGAAGAAATTTCACCCAAAAAAACGCTGCACAAATATCGACCAGCCTTTTAACATTTGCATTGCAGATTACAACAAAATTGCATCTGGATCCTCGTTTATTTAGGAACGAGCACACAAAATCCTCAGTACCTTAGGATATGAACCCATTTTCTGCCGATTAAGCCGGAGTTTATCCAAAGAGGGTGGCGCAATGAAAACCACGTATGGCTTCAGATCGGATGCACGTAGCAGTCGTAAGGACTGCGGCTGAAGGTTTAGTATACAAATCTTCCCCTTCAAAGCCACATCGCGAATGGCATCAAAGCTTGTGCCATACAGATGTTTCTCAAATTCCCCATGTTCAACAAAGCGGGCCCGCGCAATATCCTCCTCAAACTGGTGTCGCGTAACGAAAAAATATGTGTAACCGTTGACCTCCCCTTCACGTCGGGGTCGTGTGGTGTGGGGGGTTACCGGGGCGAAGCGTTCAATATCCGTGGCCATAAGTCGTTCCCTCAGCTCTTGTCGGCCGACGTGATGGGGTCCGATGAGAATTATAGGACGTTTCTGGTTTTGTTTCGGATAATACACACCCACTTCTTCATACCATGGCGTTTCACCGGCATCCACATCTAAGAAAAACAGATACTGTTAAAGAAATGCGAAAATATTGTGATGTTATCAAATCACATTTTGACATATTCTGAAATTTATTCCATCACTTCGTAATTCAATTTGTAGAAGCAAACCAACCTAATGGAGATCCTGCAACGACCTTCTTGCGTTTCTTAGCCTTAGGCTTTTTGATTCCAAAGTGTTTACTCCCATGTCGCTTGCCAGTCCCCTTTCCACCGTTCATGTAAAGTCCATCGCCCATTTTCCGTAAGCGATGGTCTTCACGTTGCTGTTGAAAATCTTTACTAGGTATCAAACCGGCTAAAGTGGAACCGATTTCCTCTCCTTCCCGGTAGGCTTGCCACCAGTTACGGTCGTCATGATTGCGCACATGCAAAATGTCGCCTTTACGGAATGCTAATCCCAGATCGCTGCAGGGACAACGCACCTCCTCGGGGTATGTATCATCACCCGGATTAAAATCGAAGTGCGCTTTGACGTGCATGATATAGTCGCGTTTCGGCTGCACGTCCGCCAGAGTCGCTTGGGCCGGTATAATCACAAATGTCAATGTCCCCGTCATCTTATTCTGCAAACACACCGTGCGCACAATAAGAAACTGTATGATTATTCTGCAACAACTATTGGCAATACTGGTCAGCAGTTAAAACAGCACCTGCCGCAAAAGTGGGTGCCCGAAACCAGAAACTCTCATCTTTCCTGACAACAGATGGTATTCTGTACCGTGTTATATACCGGCATGACCGGTATATAACACGGCAACCTTGTTCTAAAAGTCTGTCTGGTGTATCGTCATTGTATTTAATTTGTAATTTAGTAACGAGCCAAATTTTGAATGATAATAACCAGAAATGGCGCCGACGCTTCTCAAACATTGGTAACTATTAATTACTCGTTTATGATGCAGCACAAACATTTATTTATCGAACCCTAATTACGCAAGAGCCATACGGCCTTGGAAACCGCATTACCACCTACAGAGGCAATCGTCAAAGCAAACGCTAATCTCAACGCGCCTTTTGAGTGTGTGGAAAGATGTCAGCAACCTGTACGACAGACAATACCACTTGACATCGCATCGAAACTTACCAACATTTCACAGACTTCATCGAGCGATTTGCCCCGCAAGTCAAACCCATTCACATCTAGTAATTCGTCATTTTCGTGCAGAAGGCCTGTGACAAAGGAGAAAAATGCAACAATTGGTCCAGCAGGCCATTGTGTAACTGGCGGGCAGCACAACAACTCAGGCACGTAACACTGCTTTTTCTGCACTTACCACTTTTCTGCGCCGCTCCTCCATGCACGATCCGTGCCACCATTACTCCACCGGTCTGAGGATCAATTTTAATGGTGGCACCCAGGGGATTTCCTCCAGTCTTTTCGATCTTCACGACGCGCATATCCACTCCAACGTAATTGGACTGACTAGGAGATGTGGATGTCGGAGGTAGCAGACCGTGGCCGTTCTCATCGAACGGCATGCTTACCGCATCACCACTCACACCGTCACCAGTATGTCCCTCCACAGATGTGCGAAAATTTCCATTAACAGCGAGAGCGTCACTAAACCGCGGCTGCACTTGTGCCAGTTCATCGCGATAGGCCGCTAGTTTATCGTGAGTTAAGAGTAAGTTTTCAAACTGGGGTGTGGACAAAATGGCCTGCAGCTCTTGGGCTTCTTGGTTGGAACACCCAGGAAGTATGCGTTTAACGGTTTCCATCAGGGTTTCCGCTGTTTCGGGCTTCATTGTCACCGGATCCGAAAGGCCGATTTGTCGAGATTCCAGCAAATGATGCAAATCAGCTGCGTTCTGAAATTCCGGAGTATCGAATAGTGCGTGCAAGAAACTGAGCTCCTCGGCGAATTCCCCATTCTCACGACGCAGGGCGTTCGATATCTGGTCCAATGCCAGTTTCATCGATTGCGCGTCCGGCACTGCAAGAACAGCACACAAAACGTGTTAAATCATCACAAGCTTGAACAAACATTATGACAGACAACAATGTGGAATGTAAATCGCAATCAAACTTCGCCGCTCACTAACATTTCTCCAGCACCAAAACTTTTTGCAATGTATGACTGTAATGTACTGCTGTAATAAACTGCTTACACGCTCTATCGTTCATCGAATCAATAGTCACACCAAAAAATTTTAATAATTCGAATAATTTAAACTGCAATGAATATAACATCGTTTGATATTTTAAAATTAATTTAATAAACCGCAGGCCCATCGATCATAGCCAGTAAACCACACTAGTTGGACGAATGTCAACTACAGTTCACGGCATCACATTAATCATGAAAAACCTGACAGTAAATGCGTAAACGATTACCGTTGTGTGAAGCCGACGCATCGTGTCCACGGTGCCCGTGAGCGTGCATTTCTTCTTCAAAGGCTGGATTGAGAAATCCTGGTGGAGAAGGCGGTTTGGCATTCTTTTCCAAAGCTTGTAATTTTTTCGATTCCCTGAGGGAATTGCTGGAAGAGGAGAGCGCATTAGTTCAGTTGCCCTGAATTCAAACCAAAGCATGTTGTTACTACGCATGTTCGATACCGTAGAAATTCATCCTTTCTAGCCCTTGATTGCTCTTCCTCATTTCGTTTGCGAAAGTCCGCTTGGTAGGATTTAATTCTCTCGGCATCCTGCATAGCCGGAGACGGAAGTACGGGTGTAGCGGCTGCCGCAGCAGGTTCAAATGGATGGTCTTTGTGCGATGAGGGATAGCGAGGCGGTCGCTTAATGCTGCCAACGAAAGATTCCGGCACATCTATGGCCATTTCCCGGTGATTACTAAACTGGATTTGCGCGGCCATTTCCTCCACAGGGGATGCGCCTAATGTGGTCTCGATTGCACTGTTTGTCGGCTGATGCGTGTGTAATAAGTTGGACACGCTGGTGTAAACTGGCACAATCCGGTTGGCTGCTGCGAATTGGACTTCCGGTAAGACTCTTACAGGAAATTCCTCCTCGTCAGGCGCTATGCAGAATCTAACACCTTCCTGTTTCTTCGATAACTGAATACACGTCTCGATGTTTCGCAAAGTTCGTTGTAATAAATCCTCTTTGGAGCGAGGCGGTTCTGGTATATCTGGAAATACTGTCTCAGGAACGGCTTGATTATTTTCGGTTGGCGACGGTTGGAAATCAGACTCGGGTACAGTCTCTAATGGAGATGCGGCAGGTTGCACAACGGAAATGCCAGCGTCAAGTTTAGCATTAGGAATGGTTAAATCTTCGGCTCTGCCATCCGTTAAAAGGTTGGTCATATCAAGGGGGCACAACTCCATCATTTTTATGCAGACGATCGAAATTCTCTCGAGTTTCATCATCGGAGGAAACGATGTATGCGTTCTGGATTGAATAAGTCGGAAACTCATCAACTAAAAAACGCCACCGTTAACAAACTATAATCAGCTGCTTTTACGGTCTGGTCTGTCTTGCGTCGTGTACAAGTAATACCACTACCACATCCGTAAATTAGAATGTCACCGTATAGAAAGCAGCGGTACGGGAGCACAGCGATAATCTATAACGGAAACAGCATTCCCCACACTTGATGATCCGCAGCGCATGAGAGGAATGAAAAACAATTCAAACTACACCAAGAGAGCTCTTTTCTTTACTCTATACAGCCATCTCCAGCAAAAACTGGAGCCGTGGTCGAACAGCACATGGAAACAACTAGCTGAAAACAGAAATCAGCAGCGCACTTGCTGATAACGTCGTTTCCTACCACCATAAATCAGATACGCTTCACTTGCAAACTATCAGCTTCAACATGAAAATTCAGTTAATTTGCACAAGCGGAAGCAAATGAAACTCAACAAAGAAGAGCGCTGGTCTATGAGAAATACATGAGAGGGAAAAACAGACGGAAAGGACACAGCTAACGCAAATGCCATACCGTACCACAGTCAAGTGCCGATAAGGTAAAGGGCAAAATAAATGCAGAAGTTTTGATATAAAACTATAAAAAAATTAAAAGCACATGCCTAATAGAGCGCTGCACCTGTCGGTGCGTGTTATATGATGAAACACGTGTCAGTGTCACCATTGTAAGCATCAACGAAATAAATTAATGCTCTACATTAATATACAAGATAATCTGCGTCAGTGATCGGAATCGGATCGGAATAAGTCAACAAAATACTAGTGAAAATCGGTGCGCATAAACGCTAAAGTCGCTAATATATTTATCTACGACAGCACCGATTTTCAGCACTAATGGTAACTGGTAAGTATATTTAAATATCTTGATTGTTAACAATTAGCACTCTTCTGTGTTTCTCCATAACATAAGGAAGAAGCTTCCATTTGAAAATGATCACAACGGTAAATTTCATCCTTAAATCAGCTGATTCACACGGGGCCTGATGGAGGGTACCGTGGTAAGGAAAATTAATTAAGCAATTTCGGTGTACAATACAACTGGTAAATTTTATTTACTTGTAAATATGTAGAAGTTATCTATCACCAAAATAGAATTTTCATTTAGCTTGGCAATATAAAGCATGACTGTGAGTAAAACAAAAAACTGGAAAAAAGTTATAACTTGCAGCTTGCTGCTTCTTATTACACCGCGTGCAGAAAATGAAATGTTAGGTAGGATGTACCAAATATTTACACTAATATTCATTGTCAACGAAGGAGTAAGCCCATATCTCGGAGAAATTTAGTATTATCATATATAAATTGTAGACAGTCTTAGATATTATTAGAACCTTAACATCCTGATGTCCGCCACGAACCTAAACTTGAGCAAATTTTTGAAAGAAAAACCGTACAGTTTTAAGACGGTTCGTTCCAGTTCTTCACATAATCAAAACTGAAGTCAATTTTCGTCATATGCAGCTTTCATACCTTCCGATTACTCAAAGAAAGCATACAATCCAGAAGCAATGTGTAATAAAACGTTTTCAAAGAAATCCAAACAAATGCAGGACTGCAGATCACGGAAAATATTCTGCCAAACCGACTAATGGCAAGACGAATGAATATGCGATGAGAGAAGAGTTTTAATCAGACAAACCAAAGCACTCTTAAATTGCATCATTGTGCAAGGTCGTGGTAAACGTCAGAGTTAATATGATGCTCTATAACGCACAACAGCTCCTATCGCGCTGCACCGCAAACATATCTCCATTTCACCAAAAACTAAATCGATTTCCGCTTTTGACCATCATCCCCGCGTAACTAAACAAACTCTCCCAGCGTCGTCGCTCTCTGCGGCTGTGCTGGCGTACAGTGCATCCACTATGCGGTCTATGAGTGAAAACTTATTCACTGCATCAACATCAATTTACGATCATTCGCAAAGCAGCTTACAAGCTGCGATAAAAGCCCTGAAAACTTCAAAGTACCATAATTACGGAGCGTCATAAGCCTCTCTACTTACCCAGCCGTCTGCCTTTCCTCCTCCGAACCTTCAGGCTCACTCGTCGGGATTTTATGCTCTGCAACAAACCAAGCAAACTATGCACCAGAGTCCTGTATTTACCCTACGTCATTTCGCACCTTCCTTTTTTTAGATCTCACACGATAAAACGAGAAATGCTTGTGTCCGCAACAAACTACAGTTAACATAACTCGTCACAAATTTCGTAAATTAAACTGCACTTGTTTAATAACTGATAGGTATCCATAAACACGTTGACGTTTAAATTTTTAAGTTTTAAATTTGTCAACACATCCAATTTGTCCAGTGCAACAGTGAACACACAACATGATGAGTCTAATACGTGCTTACCTAAATAGTAAATCCTTATCTTGCACTCTCACCGTTTCCCGTAAATGTAACTTAGTGCTTTATGATTGATAATATCCACACTAGTATAAACAGTTAGGAATAACTGATGCAATGCCAATGGATTAAAAATGGGGCCTTTACAGATTACTGACTGAACAGCCCTGATTTGATTTATGAATAGCATAAAAACATAATAAATAATAATAAAAGAGCCCAAAATGCACGATGGACTCGGCACATCAATACTATTCAGCATAGGAGATTTTCGTTACTGTATCCGAACCAAAAAATCTGTTTATGCAAAGAAACTGAATTTCGTTTCTAATTTTGTGTTTATAAAAAGCTTAAAACGAAGAAAAACCACGACATTTCGAAAATACAGCTTCGCTGAAATGGTTGTAGTTAAACTGTTAAAGGGACACAAATAATTCAAGCATGAATGCATTCCAAGACGAAGCCGAAAATGAAGGTACCGTCGTAGTACAATACATACATATGTGTACCGTTTTGCTGACTGGTGAATGCAATAAGTAATTCAATGCATACCAGTGCGAGACCCGCCCTACCGGTTCCACCAATGACAAAAATTATTTACTGAACGGCTCGGCTCACCAGTCCGTACTACGTCCGTACTCCGTACGTCGGACCGGGATACAGTGACCAGTGAGTTAAAATTTTTACCATACAATATTATTCTTATAATAATATCATATATTTCGCAACTTATTGCTAATCGACGGGTGTATTTTATCTTATTTCAAAAGATTACCGGCGTCAAAGACAAGTTCCACAGTTTCATTTTCAACCGCCGGCTATACGGGACTCTGTTTCTGTATTCTTAGGAGTACAGTACATAGTATTATCGTTAAACTTTTCAAAGTAAAGATGTGATAATTGTTACAGAGTACAGTACAGACTACATAATTATGTACCACCTACCAAGTACCAACAATAATACGGATTTGCACGTTCCTCGGTTTCTCTGCAGGCTTTTTATTTTTCCCTGCATTTTAATCTGACTCGGGTGAGTTATTTTTCCATGCATTTAAAGCTTATTTCGAGATGGTTGTGCTGTAGTTAAAACCTCGTAGAGCTTGTGCAGACTCCAGTATAGTTTTCAATCTTGCCGTTAGGCTTCTTTCGTGTTCAAAGGAGAACTCCTTTTTAACGAACAACTGGGCACAAAGAAGTTCAACGCCGCAGAGCAAAACTCTTCTTTTCCGTCAATAATGATACACTGTTTTTTGGTATGTCATTCCGTCATCCGTATAGTTTTCTCCATCAGCAATGCTGTTTTCAAACATACTGATTAAGCTATGTCTGCATACACTAGTATCTTATAATTATCACATATCTGTATACGACATCTTAACCTAACTGTAAGTTCAGTTTCAAATGAGGTTTTATGATTTTTATCTTAAATTATTCAAAGTAGGTGGCAAGAATATTTTCTTGCCAACCCCACCTAACCGGTATCGATGACGGTGCAACCAGATACTTACTTCCATAGTGTAATATAGATATGTACGTATGGCTTGGTGCTATTAATTACTATATAGCGATATGGAATGTTCCTCAAGAACACGAACCCTACCAATTCGCCAAATGCACTATTATTATTAAATACTAATACTCATTTGTAAAGTATGGTAAGATACTTTATAATAGCTGTTCAATACTGTACACTGTATGACACTTACAGTACGATTAGAAGGTAAGTACCTCGTACTTTCTGATGACCCCAAAAACTGAAGTCATTGGCACTTCACCAACGCCATAATTAAAACCTATGTGCTCACTCCAATATACGTAAGGGAAACTTATTAAAACTTAAAACGTTGACAACGAGAAGAAAATTTAAGGTTCCATGAAAGGTTACGATGATTAATGAGTTATGCGCTTTGGCATTACGTACACGCACGTACAGAGCTTTACTAGCTGCAGCTGGTGATGGGTTCTATCCGTACTTCTATGCTTACTTCGTGAATGTGATTAATAACATCGCTGTGAGAAGCATCTTCTAGTTTTTTCCCATTCACTTCCAGAATTTCGTCGCCCATTTCCAAACTGGGATGATCTGCCGGGGATCCTGCAGAAAGAAAATAATGGTATCATGCAAACTGAATGCACTTCTTTTATGCCTACTAAGCCTTCTGTAAAACAAAATTAAGAAGAGGCCGAGTTTACACACTGCAGTGACTGCGCATGCACCGATAAATGTATGCTCAATAATCAGTCGCTACGTGATTAATTTTTTTAACATGTTCTGACTAGAGCAGACCTAACAAATACCGGGTGGCCGAACAAAATGTCACCCTGATTTACTAAGGTGCACTGGGCCTCTCGAGTGCTTGATTGGCTTGATTTTAGTTTTATTCGAAAGAGCAATTTCCGTTACAGAAAGACGTTAAGTCAAATGAACAAATTTAAAAGGGTCTCCTTTTTTCCTGAATTATTTTGAAAAATGGGTGGAGTTGAGTGATATCCTGGAAACAAAAATTCGATTTTCCCTGTTTCTAAATTTAAATTGTAGATATTCAGCAAAGTAAGTTGTTGTTTATGACGCTACTGTTTCGGAAAGAGAGATTGTTCCTGGTTTTTTCAATGTATAAAATAGCGACATTCTAGTGACCCTGACTGGCCAAGAAGCGAAAGATTTGATACTCATTACATTTGATCCTCATGAAACGGGGTAGCAGGCTTTTTGAAAACAATTTGCAGATCATCGCTTCGAAAGCAGACCTGGATCATACCCGTGTTTGGAAGGGTAATCATCCACCTACAATTGGCAGTTGAAGCAGCGCTCTTCGTTGCACCCTGTGCTGAACAATAAAATTGTAACGAAAATACTTAAAAAAAACAGATGAAAAAAATCGTAATTTTTTCGAACAGTCATAAAGGTTGCGTAGTGCATAGCTCATCCAGCGCATGCACCATCCCAACAATTTTTTCCTGACTAAAAGAGAAAGTGCTACTCTAGATAAAACAATTAAAAAACTGAAAATAATGTGCAAGGACAAAACGTGAGGCGCAGTTTTGAACTTTGCGAGCTGGGACACTAAAAATTTCTACACGATTTCACTTGGCGCCATCGTCAACGAAGAGTCTCAGTTTTTGAAAAAAAATTTTGATTGTTTTTAGTAGCTTACGAAATTGTCTATCAAATGAGTCTATCCGGTTTAAGTTACGTTACGTGGTTCGCGCAGGGCAAAACAAACGCAAAAGGTGACATTTTGATCGGCCACCCGGTACAGTACAAGTACGAATGTGGCTGACGTGAGATTCGAAACGTTCGATCCCAGTTCCCATTAGCCATGATTTCAAATGTAATTATTACTTATTACCCAACATATTATACCTGAGAGCTAATGAATTTTATTTCTGGAATAACTAACAGGAAATGATATTTTTGTTGTCAACTGCTAACATTACAGTACTTCTCGCAGTTTCACCACTACTGCAGTAACTAAATCAGTCTTGAGTAATATATAAAATCTGCGTGATTCCCTCGCCTATAAGTAACTCTATACCAAACAATGGAATCTTTATTATTATAAGAGGGAAATGGACCTCATAATCCGTGACCTTTGCGTATCGATTAAAGTACGTACATAAAAGTCTCCGGGGCAAGTAGCATATATAGTTAGCGTATCTAGCTGAGGCACCCAAACCGAAAGTTTCCATCATTCTAATTACTGAATACGACGTTTCATCCCTTTTGCCATATTTTTTAATTTTTTTCTACTGTTCAGCGTGCGGTTAAGCCAAGAGCGGTAGAGCATTTTTTACTAGTCACAATTTTCAATTATGCGCAGCATATTATAGGACACTACCGTAGACGTATATACGTCTGCCATTAATATTGATTAATCACATGCAACTTTAAAAAATCATTTCCGTACTGAATTGTAAGAAATGAACAGCAAGATTCTAATTTTTAATTGTATAAGTCATACACCAGCAGTTCTAGGCCTTTTTTCCATGCAAAGTTAATGTCTACAGCCTTTGCAATTGTAGAAAATCTATAATTGTTCCAGCGCGGTCCTGTTAAAATGTTACGTAGCGTATCGGAACTGCACTGCTCTACGCACTCTACATTACATATCAGAATCTTAAGCGTTAGGGAAGTGATTTGGTAATAATTTTTTCTTTCTGGAAACTTAATTACAGGCTTCTATAACGAAAGGTAATTACATACTTTTTTTGACTTTTTTTTACCAAAAATGCTTGGTATAGAAGCCAGTCCATGCAGCCTGATTTTAAAACGTTCTCAGATAAAAATTTTATCTGCTTCTGAACTGACAGCAGTTAAAGCGCGGCTGAAATTTTGCACGCGCAGTTTTGAACACGCAGAATTAATTTTAATAAGGCCACAACTAATTTCTCAGCACAAGTAATTTGATGTAAATAGGTGTCTTAATGAAAAGGACTGAATCAGAGTTGGACTGCAAATGAAAACATACGACAATATTGTATTTTTATTTCGAAATTAAACTAATAACTCCAGCAGTGCAGTTGCTTTATTAGTATTGTTTTTAGATTTTATATCAGAGATGTCTCGAAAATTAAGTAGTGGCCTTAATGACACAAAACAAAATTACAACAATTTATTGTGGTTTGCGTACAAAATAAATAATCAGCATTTAGTAGGTACATGTACAATAGCCTGATGTAGGTGCAGCTGACGTATTACGTAATATCACAGTATACGCTGCAACTAGTGTTTAGAACTACTCGTAATTAGCCGGTGTTCAGTAATTTGCTGCTAGTATATATAATAAAATATTCCTACGCCAAACATACACTAGTAATTCCCGAGTGTGGACACATCCCAGTATATATTGCATCGTTTACGTAACATATCCCTTCCTTACGTAGTCACAAAAATTGATTTACATGTGCTATGACGGAAACAGCTGTATATTGAGTTGGGGATTCGGGATGAGATAGTGGTGCTTTTGTTTCTAACTGCCGCACATGCGTATTGTGGCCGGAATACTTGTATCAGTTCTGCTATACACTGCAGCATGCTATGGACGTCAAACTGTGCTGGCACAAGGACTCTTAGTTTTGCCGTGCGGAAATGATGGGTTTCCCACTAATTCTCATCAGTTGTCGCGTCTTCTATTCATAAATCCTCTTTTGCATTCAGCATGCCTCATTTAGCAGCTTCATAAAACAGCAGGATTTCCGAGCGGATGAGGGAATAAAGAACCACAATATTTTCGCTCCCGGCTTTAAATCAGTTTAACGTGTACTTTTTACAGCGAAGTGTATAACGCGTATGAATAGTCGAATACCGCCGCTGCATAACAGTTTACCAGGCTGGGTTAACTGGCTAGTTCTCGTTAGTGTCATTGAATGCCGATATGTTATGATAAATCAACCTTTTTCAGTCGTGAAGATGCATTAATATTCGTTTTGTTTGGTTTACAGAAAGGTAAAGGTTTTTCAACCAGGAGTGAATGTGAGCTTGGAGAGTAGCTATAAGCACTACCGAAGGGAAGTGCAAAGTCAACCATTTATCGGAAATCGATTTAGAACGTTTAGGACATGCGAAACGGGTCTACTAACGAAGTCCACAAGCTGTAAAAGTTTCCTGCTCTGCCAGTCAGTTCCGCCAGGGCACTGTATGCTTATTGTGGCTGGCGCATAAAATTCCAGAAAAATAGGGGACGACGAGAACGTCAATTAAATTGTCGTGCAGAAAATTAATTTACATAAAATTACCGAGCTGAATAGTACGCCACTCCTTTCAACAGCCGTTTTGTCCCTTGGTGAAGTTAATTATATAAGCTGTCCGCGATAGCTCTACAGCTAATTAGCGAGAAGCGATGGACGTGTTGGCACATAGTGATCATTAGCTGCGCCGTGATAAGTATATTCGTACCATTTCCCAAAACATGTTGATTAATTAGGCAACATGTACTGTACATGCAAGCAGCCACTGCATGCCGACGACGCCGAATCACGTAAACAAATCACCACAGCATTCTACACGGATTTGTACAAATTACTCGTAAGAGTCCTTACCGAATAACTTGATTTTCCCTTCGTTATTTTCAGCCACCACCACACAGTAACCCGATAACACTTTGGTCGTCTTCGCCGGCACCTTGCGCGTCATCCTGGGGATTTTTAGCTGGAGCACTACGTACTTGACCATCCAAATAGCGCTAATATAACGACGCTATGTCAGGCAACAAATGGCCGAACACAGAAAATTCACATCATATGTTAAACATTTCTGAAGAGGCACGAATGGATCTTCCATCCAAAAGCACATCGAGGATAAAATAGTGATTTCCGCAAAAACTACCGCATTCCTTACGGCTGTCGAAAGTAATCGATAGACTTCAATGAAGTTTTTGGCTGATATGACAAAAACGAAAATTACCGGTTAGCCTGGCGTTTGCACTTTTCGCTGCTTGGCGCGGATGTATTTATCTTTATGTGTTCCGACAATGGGATCCCGCATATAAAGCAAACTCCCTTATAAAGACCAGCCGACTGGAAGGAAATGTAATACTAGAACAATATTGAAATCTTCTGTGTATTCCGCATCCGTTAGTGCTCATTTTGCCGAAAACGTCCGTGCACGGTGGCGAAGTTGATAACAAAATATTAGGAAATCAGGGATAAACGCAGCCAGTCGTACACAGTCGTGTGTGTGTGCATGTGTGTGTATAGATGCGATGGTGCAATAGCAGCAGTGTACAAGTGTCGTTAGTCCTGCGCGCCGCATCTTCCTAGGCCTCGTACGCCACTACACGCACTGGCGGCATCTGTACTGCCGTTTCCCTGACACGGAAAGATTACAACAATTCCACTGTATGACGGTTTGTCATCCCAGTAAGCTATGGCCATAAGAAGAGGCGATCAGGATCAACTCATGCAGTATTTTCAGGGCGTGTGCGCGTCTGATTAAAGCCGGCGAAACGGCGCGCACGGCGTACACAGCTTCATCCGGCAATGTTCAAAGTTCTTCATCGGTCTATGTCGGAAATTATGTGCTCGGCTGACAAGGAAGACAAGTGGACAGCTGCGTCCATAAAAAGTGGTTAATTCTTCGATAGTGATTGTGATAAAATCTTATGAAACGTCCCGTTGCAGTTGGGCGTACGCGGCCGTAACGTCCCTGTTGCCACCGTAAAACTGTTGATCATGATGATTACTAGACGTACCAGCGGAAATGTACAGAGTGGAATTTCTTCGTACGGGATAAACTTAATTTTCCGTTAACTGAGTACGGTCACAATTTAACTACCGGGTTAAGATGTGCTGCAGGGTGGCTCAACAATGGCGAAGGAAAAGGAAAAGCTGCGTTTACCATTTCGAGATTAACAGCCCTCGTATTAGCGCCGTCATGGGATCGTTTTCGGGCAGGATTGGGGATTGCGCCGCAAGCATCTCAAAGCTCAAGTAGTACCGCGACGAACTTCAGATACGATTTCAAACATACGAGCATGTCACACACACTGGGGCAATATGTATGCTAATGCACGGGATATAGCCCAATATTGTTTGCAAAACCGGAATTTGTATGAGCTTCTGCTTCTTTTTGTATTTGATAGCGATACGCCGATACTTAACTGGAAGTTACATAACTTATTTTAATCGAATTTGAGATAACATAAAGCAGTACCTATAGGGCTAAAACTTATTGTTAACACTGCCGGCTGCATGAACGCGTTTACTTGACTACTCGTACGTCATTAATATTAAAATATTCACAAACGTTACCAACGTTCCGTACGCGCGTTACGCTACGTTCCAGAATAACAATAAATTGCGAGCATCGACTATATGATGCAAGTAGATACGATAAACAAAAAAAATTTATTCAAGATAAGGCTGTATCGGATGTCGCTTATTAATTAATCCGGACAGATTGAAGTCATGTGCGCCTTTTATTCCGATATTAACAAAACAAGGGTTGACAGTTTGATGCTACTATGCTGCAAGAGTATATGGACGATAATCACTGGATATCGTCGGACTTCGGATTGAATTACGCGGCTTCCATGCCGCTCTGCTCTATAATATATCCTCCGTTGTTAATTAAAAGTAAATGGAAGGCTATACTGCAAATTAGAGTTTCGTGCAACTACTCTGTACGTCTCGGTCCTCGGTACATCCGCCAACACTGATCATGATATGGGAAAATCTGGAATGGTGTCCTCAGTTCGCTTCAGGAGAAATAGATAGCTACTCCAGTGCTTCCACTGGGTTTGTTTTGTAAATTGAAAAAGTTTCCCTGCTGGACTTGGATCAACGGAGGTCCGAATTTCCGGAATCAAACGGTAAACGCATAATTATGGGGTCAGGGGTCTGTTGTTATGGGTATTATGTTAAATTAAAGGCGAAATGTACTACGAACCTGTTCGCTTTTGAATAATCGAGAATTTAGGTAATTCCAAAGACGAAAAGATCCAACTGTAATATGTGAAACAAATTTTTGTTGCTGCCGTAAGCCGTTTATGGTTAGGTATGCCTGGTTATGCAATAAGGTCACGTCAATACGCTCGCGCCCGGAAATGCCGGAGAAATACTAAAGAGAAAAAAGGCAAACTCAGGCAGCTGCGTACCATTAGGAGGTACGAAGCGCGTTTGATCCTTCTGACAAGTGAGCATTCCTAATGGCGCTGTCAGCTCTGCAGTCTGCAGTGACTCTGCACATAGAGTGCCGCTTTTTTCCAGTCGTGAATAAACAGATCTAGAAGTTTCAAATTAATTTTCTGATTTCACTTTGCTTTTTAAAAGAAAGCATCTGTTCACGAGTATCTTTTAGAAAGCGCTTTAGGTAAGTAGTTATTATCCATTGTCATCGAACTGCATTTTGAATTGAACCAAAAGGAAGGTAAAACCGTAAAAGTACAGTACTGTTGTGAAATAACACTTAACTGTCGTACTTCATGGGACATTTTGCTGATTTTGGTGCTGAATCGTTATTTGTTCGATTTGTTTATTTTTTTAAATTGCAGTTTTTTGTCAGCTTGTGCAGTGCTCATCGTTACTGGATTAGCACTCATCTTTTTCTTGCAGATTTTTTTGGTGATTCGCAGGATTCTGTCTTTCTACATGGATTCTACGGTCTCTCTCTCAACCAACAGTAACCACGCTTCGGCTTTCCGTATTCCAGAGCGTCTAAAAAGTGACTATGAACGTTATTTGGAGCGGCGAGTGTTCGAAGTACTCAAAGACGTCCGACCGTGGGGAATCAACGGGGAGACTCTGAAATGGCTGCTGATGAATCGCTTGGTGCGCGAAGAAGACGAAAAAAAGTTTCCCCTTCCTTCAGCCGATGATGTGGATAAAATTATGAAAAAATACTGGAATATTGAGCAAGTCAAAAAACAGCAGCAACGCGACGAAATCCGCGCTTTGGAAGTTTCCGTGAAGGACGAGAAGCCCACCAAAGGCTACACCACTCCTGCTAATGGGATTTTGGGCACGCGGATCTTCGCCGACATCGGGGCCGATGTGACTGTTGTGCGCGAAGCTGCACGCATTTTAGAGAGCCGAAAAAAAGATAACAAAACCAGCAAACTGAGACAGGTTGGTTACTTCAGTAATGATGTTTTCACAGTTTATTTTCTGAAAATACAAGTTGGCCACACTTGATTTGTTTTAATATTATTTGATCAGTAAATTAAATTGATTGATTTTTTAATTAATTTAACGAAATTAAATTTGTTTTTGAGTTAGTTCCTTAAATACTTTTGAATGTGTAGGAGTACGACAAATACATGGCTGGTTTCGACACACTCAATATGGTTAAACCAGTGATCAGCGTGGTGAAGGAGAAGGACGAGTGCAAAGCCGCGACGGAGCAGCTGTTAGCCTACGAAACTCCGGTGTCTCCCAATCGCTGGGAATGGCTGCCGGATAAGGATCGCCTGCGCAAATCGGACAAAGTGGAACAGGTCGCCAAGATCCTTTTCACGGACGACAAAGAAGGACAGCGCCGCCGCACGACAACGAACGCCAGCGCCTCGTCAGCCTCCAGCAACGCGTCGAAGCCGAGCAACGAGGCGGCCATGTCCATCAAAGTGGAACCCAACGGCGAGTCCACCGGAGCACTACCGAAGCCGCAAAAGGGACGAAAACGCAAAGATCCCGAAGCGGCTGCGCCTTCCGCAGCACCCAAAGAAGCGGCTGTAGCTGCGACGCAGAACAACCGCCCCACGCGACGCCTGAAGAAGCCCGAGTAGGGGTGGTGATGGAGGAACATTCCTGATGGGCCTTACTGCAGGCTGTACATGGATTTGCAGCAGTGTTCTTGGTTTACCATTTTTTGTTGTATTTAATTTCCCAGGATGCGCAAAGTGCGTATGGATGTTCACTTTTCGCTGTTTGATCTGCAATTTGTTTTCAGTTAGTACTTAGTAGTCACTTAGTACGAACTTCACGATATCGTTCTCGCTTTTGTTATTACGGAATCAGGGATGGTGTGCAGAAACGTGCACTTTTTCGATGATTTGTTGTTGTTATGATGTTCGATATCAGAGATACATTTCTAGGATAAAAAACTTGTCTTGTGGAATATTTTCTAAGTTCTTCGCTACATTAGCAAAAGCATTATGTTGTGTTAACTTGGTATCTATTCTCACTTTCCGCATTACCTTCCTCTTTTACGAAAGTCAAGATTTACATGCAGTCAGCATCTGCAGTAAGTTGCCAGTAACAGTATGTAAAGTTCGCTGGCTTTGCTTCCAGCTGCGGTAGCTTCAGTTGTTTCAAGGCGGAAGACTGGAGATAGACAACGAACCATTGCTTATCGCTCTTAGTAATTCGGTAAAAACTATTTTACAAAACTCAATCTCCCTGAGCTGCAGAAAACACAGCAGTAAGGATAAAACCTTATCAGTAACTTCAGAAAGCAAGGCAAAAATAATTGTAACACCCATTATCAAAACGGCACAGTTGGGAACAAAAAGTCAGTCACAAAATGGAACTTTAAACCGGAAAGCATACCCTCAAGCTAATACAACTCAAAAATATCTTCGATAAAAGTGAAATGGCCAGATTCCTTTGACGTATCACACCTGAGATCCCCCATCCGGGCTATTCAGCGATTTCGTGTATACCAGCGGACTGGAATGCTTGCCAACAGGGGTGGTGGCCGCGCTATCGTTTCCCGATACAAACGAGTCATACGATTCCGATTCATGGAAACTGACGCTGTCACTGCCCGAATCGAAGGGTTTCCCCGTAGTTCCACTACCTTCGTCTATGGAGATCACCGAATCAGACCGAGAAACATCGGAATTCACCGATCCGCGCCGCATCAGATCAGATCCTGGTCGTTTCTTATGTTTCAAGCCTCGAACGGTACTCGGTGGCGGCATTAAAGCGAAATCCGGATCGAAACCGGCTTCCTGATCCTCCACGACCCGGTCAGGAAAGCTTGCACTGGGACGAATGCTGCTATGAGAAAGATGTCCTTTTCCCATACGGCGCATCACCGAGCTGCGAATCTTCGCGTTAAAGGATCCAACACGTCGCATGCTGGATGAGATGGCCTGCAAAATACAAGAAAAAAAAATTATTTCGTACATGCGTAGTTCATCCGCCCATTCGTTGGTGCCTGTTGACAAAAGTACGAAGTAGAAACCCACGCAAAATGTGCAAATACTTCTGACGCAAATTTTCGAATTTTTTTACGAACTCATTTTTTTAATTTTCGAAAAACTAAATTCGAAAATTATAAATCGAAAAACCACTGCACAGCCGTATTCTAGTGCCAGATCGACTTCATTGCCACAGATTTCAATTACGTGTGAGTATTACCGTGGAAAGTGTTGTTGCTTTTCTGGTAACGACCGGGCGCGCCTGTGCCTTCTGCGCGCGGTGCCGGTTGCGGTCTGCGTACTGTTCTGGTATTTTTCCGCTGTAGTCGAATTCTCCCGGATCCGCTTTGCAGTGCTCCAAAAGCGCTTTAACGAGATCCTTGTGCTGCCGCATGTAAGCAATATGCAGAGGAGTGTAACCAGCGCGAGATTTCGCTCCTACGTTCGCGTGATACGCGTCCACAAGGAATCGAACAATTTCAACGTTCCCGTGGTGAGCAGCCCAGTGCAAAGCCGTATAACCTGAAAATAATTTTCGGTAATCCTCCGACTCATAAATCATAGCTGATAATTAACAACAACACGGACGGCGTTCTATATGTTGCGGCCATCGAATAAATTACAAACGGTTGGTCTCACAAATTTGCAAAATATGCAGCTAAAAAAATTAGCTATTCGTCACGTTTCACAGATCGCGACCGATTGAGATGACTGGTGTCCCAGAAAATGCGCTGTCAGTTTCGCCTGCTCTTGCCTACTGGCTGGAAATGAACATACCACAAGCGAACCGGCTGCTACGCCAATCATGACGCTAATTATGCAATCACTAACAAAAATGAAGTCACCGACTACTTTACTTACTTACCATTTCCGATATCACGAAGAAAAACCAGCCGCGGCTCTTCTCTGGCCATGCGCTTGATACTGCACGTATCGTCTTTGGCTGCCATCACAAACCACTTTCGCGTCAGCGCACTGTCCACAATTACCTCCTGCAGTGCAGCTCCAGCCGCCGGGTTTACTGCCTTTTCGCTTATGGGATTCGCGTTCTTTTCTGGAGTGGACAGACCATTTGTTGGCGTTTTCAAGGGTGTGCTGCCACGTGACCGGCCAGCATCCAGCGCCAAAGCTGTAAAGAATTTTTAATCAATATGGCGAAGGAGAAGTAGTGTTTTTATTTAAGACTCAGTATGGCATTGCCGCAGTAACTACGACTAAATTTTAAAACCATTTATGAAGGCAACCAAGTGAACCATAAGCACCATATCCATATCTGGCAAAAACGTTTAAAAAGCCCTTACACTCGCTTGTATTAGTTGTATCTACCTTATTGTCGACTTAAACAGGGCCGCAGCCGTAAAATTTGTGACATATTTTTAAAAATTATGAAAACACGATCAAATTCCTTAAAAAAAGGCTACTGCTAATTTCGAATTCATTTATTACGCATAAAGTTCGCAATTATCGTTACAAAAAATTATACGTAGTAAAGTTAATATAACATATTAATAATTAATTTCACTGATTACACTCCAGGATTACACTAAGCAACCCAGATAAGCCAGAAAAAATATTTACCCGCGATAGTTTTTTCAAAAGCTCCCCCGAACCCTTTCACAATCCCCTCCGGAACAGCTTCCACTTTATTGCTGAATTCGTCTTTGTTGGGATTTTGCAGGACAAGTGGCGGTCCACTAAACTTTCGCGGGACAGAAAGTTTTCGAGGAGATTCGAAATCTGGATTATTCACAACTGATTCCATTTCAAACAACCGAGTAAAACTAAATTTCTACAGAATCTGCAGTTTTCCGTGCTCTGTACTGGCAACAAACACTTGAGTGGCAAAGCGGTCAGCAGGAGCCGATTTGAAAGTTATGGTACTGTATGTATTATCATCCACACATGGCTGCTGGTCAGAGCTTCCGAATTCAGAACAGACGTGCAGTGTTACTGTTACAAGCAGCGATGTCGCACATGCTATGCACACCATAAAGATGTTGTCTCTACGACTCTAACGTACCAAACAAGTTCATCCGCATTTTTAAAGCAAACAATGCCACACAAACATTTACAAATCTACGAAGGTAAATAATACGCACGCAGTAATCGCTAGAATGACTAGAAAGGCTCGTTGTGATAGTGCTCTGCTGATTGCTCGTCAGTCGTCGTGCTCTACGATTTCTTTCGACCTGATTGTGTGTATCATCGCCGAGCGTAGAGCAATTGAGAGGGGACGCTTACCCTGGGTTTTCAACGTAAATGGCAACCACCACTGGGGACGCAAAACGGGCAGCAACTAGGGTAACCTGGAACTGAGGGGGTTACAAAAAAATTGAATTCATTCAAAAAGTCCAAAAATTTTCAAGTTTTACTTTTAACTTTTAGCTTTTAGGTACGTTTCTGCAGATTGACTGCTAACCATAAACTAATAAACATAAACAATTTTGTTTGATTGAATAGTTTGCATAATTTAGCTCTTTCATTTTACAAAACGGTAAGTGACCGTAAGTCACGTTTAATATTGCAAACAGAATTGCTTATGCCTATGGTCTACTCTAATGTAGCATTTGCGGTTTGCCATTTGTGCATGATCGCAAAAGTAGAAACTGCATCAGCGGTGTTTCGTGTTCTGGGCCAGTTGGCGAAAATGGATATCGTCCTTGTACTTCTGTGTGGGCCTCCCGCAGTTGGGAAATCGACATTGGCGAAGGATATCTTGACAAAACTTTCTGGACAGTGCGGAAAAACATCCGTTCTTCCCGTGCATGCTTATCATATAGAGTACGACAGGCTAATTCCTGTCATCCAGCCACTGCAATGGAAAAGTCAACGCGACAGTGTTGCTCGCGCTATTGTGGACGTGTGCCAGTTTTTGAAAGTATCGAGCTCCGATAATTCGTCCGTATCGACCTGTGCGCTTTCTCCGCTCGCACTGAAGATCATGGAAGAAACTGACACAGCAGTTACACATGCAGTTACACATTTAAGCGATACTGGGCGAGAGCGGTTATCGGTAGTTTTCCTTCTCGACGATAATTTTTATTACCGCAGCATGCGATACGATATCTACAAGCTGGCCGCGGATCTGCAAGCGAGGTTCGGAGAAGTTTTTGTTAGCACAGCGTCTACGGAAACAGCTCTGGCACGCAATGTGATGCGCTCGACTTCGGTCACCGAAAGCACAATTACTCGAATGCTCCGTGAATTTGAGATGCCAAATTCAGCCGACAAGTTTTTCGAAAAGAATTTCACCAGTATTATATCGCCTTGGTCAGTCGAAGATTTAACCGATATTGTACAGTTCATTGAAGGTTTGTGGAGAGATCCTCCTGTTCGCATAAACCGGCACGAAAGGGATTGCATTGAACGGGAAACAACTCTCGCACGTGAAGTTACAAAAAAGTCCGTTCTGCACCAAGCAGACTGTATTTTACGTAAACGGGTTAGCGAAAAATGTAATGTGATTAATGGCGCAAAAGGAGAAAATAATGCGAAACTGATTGCTTTCGCTAATTCTTGTAGAAAATCGATTTTAAAAAGTCTCGAAAAATCAGAATTGGATTACTTTGCTTTGCATATGTGTGAGTTGGAAGATTTCTTGGTGCAATCCTTCAATAAAGCGCATGAACAATTTTAGTAAGAGCAAAAATGGTTTTTTATTCTTGTTCACTTTTGCCTGATATTTATTAGCTCTAATAGCTACAACTATATGTGCTCTTGTAGGCCTACAGTAATAAAGAAAAGGTAAGTACCTGCACGTACACAATGGTACCAAAATTAAATATAAAACTGCACAAAGCTGGAAACTCAAATGCCGGTTGCGAGGAAAATTGTGGAGGAAGCATTAGACTCCTTTGCCAGAGTTTTGATTTGGTTTTCCTTTTCTGTTACAGTATTACTGAACTTACGGTCTACAGATAGTATTTCGCGAGTCCATTGTGCTTAAATAAAGGGTATTATGTCGGCGACTATTTAATTCAGTGTTAACTAACCTGTGCGGCTGCTGCGCATGAATTTAAAACCGGATTTTATGGATGCAGTAGCAAAACTAACACGGCCGGAAAAAGTGGAATTCGATAAAGAAATTGTGTTCGGCTTGTCAAAACCGTGACAAGCGTGACTATCATACATGGGAAATGGCAGTACATTAAAGCTTGCTTGAAGGTCAAGCCTGTTGCGCATTCGTCATTGACATTGAGCATGGAGTTTTGGATACAGCGTCCCAAAACTGGATCATCGGGAAATGGTTGTACGTGCCGGGTTGCCATTGTGCAGATTGCCCCAGCTCCATGTACTGTCCGTTCTGGCCGAAATCGGGAGCGTTCATTCGTCTAGAAAGTCGGAATTACAGATTTACAACAGCCGTGGGCAGCATATAGCGTCTGATAGGACTGAACTGTTGTTGTCTTGTTGCAAAAGATTAGTTGCACAGTTATCGAAAATCCGGATAAAACGGCAAATTAATCACTGCCATTTTCATGATCGAGTTACCCGTTGTATGCAATTTGGCGCAACAGCTGTCGCATGCTGGTGATCAGCCGTGGATTCATTGGGAGGCCTGGTGTCTGCAGTGCCGGAAAGAAAACATTTGGAAGGTCGAATCCGTGATAGGCACCTGTATGAAAGCAAGTAAATAGAAGGGTTGTTAGCTGTTACGTTTTTCTGCAAACAGGAACGGAGAAAAGTAAATTTATTTACCCAGCCCGTTGAAGTTGGGATTGTAGCTTATCATGTAGAGCTGGTTAGAAGGGGAACCGGTTGGACGTGTTCGTGCCGCATTCGCATATAACAGCGATTCCTTAGCAGCTGGATAAGCGAAGACGGAATCCGTCGTCAACTACGTAAAGCCGGTTATTGAAATCATTGACGGAAATAAAATTGGCTCTTCAAACAGGCTTACATGGAATAACTTGTTAAGCGTTACCGCTCGACTGTCCGTGGCGGAAAAATTGTAATAATTCATGATATCCTGAGCCAGAGCATAATTCGGTTCGGCACATTTAGGACCTCCTTGGTTCAAGATAAACTGATTAGCAACGAGATCCCTGATCACATTTAGTGTGAGTGGTGTTCTTGGGTCAAGGAACTCCGGATTGGTAACTACAGAAAGAAGTGCCTAATAAAATTTCCTAATAAGTGCCTAATAAATGTTCCTAATAAAATAATTACATACAATACGTGTAGCCTGAGACATGCTGAAAAGAAACGACATTACAGTAATTTTATTTTCAAAAGTGCGTTTACTGGACAAAAGCAGCGAGTAGTCTTCCCGCAGATAGCCGGTCACATGGTTTGGTCCACCTCCCGACGTACGGGCAACCGCCTCCAGGGCGCGAAGTGGAGCATCCTTCAAGTGGACACCATCCTTTACAATTCCATAGGGACAGAGGTTCTAAAAGGAGAAATTGTGCGATTGTCGAACGGCGACGGTTCTTGAACAAGCATACCTTAGCGGGTGGTTCCGCGAATCCTTTGGCTGCTGCAAGAAGTGTTTGCGTCGGTATTCGTTTCAAACAGGCCACCAGTTGACTGGATGAGGCAACCGGGCAACCGGCTTTAGAAGCAAGCTCTTCGGTCTCCCGTTTGGGATCGCGGGTGTAGACCAGATCCATTAGGACACTGCCGCTCAAGGAGAGCACAGCTCGAACAGAATCTACGAATGGCAATTGTATCATAGGACGGTCGCCGAATAACAGAACAACGAATGACTTTTCCAATCTCATATTTACATAAAACTACGAATACATACGAGTATATACGTATAAATATAGTTTGCTCATTTGGGTCGCTAATAAAGGAATACCACTGCAATTTTTGCATTTAATTCTGTAAAATAAGTGGTAATTGATTACTTCTTTTGCACATTTCAAAGTGAAAGAGTAATAGAATAGCAGCAGTGCAAAAGCCATAATTGTAATTATCGTACATAAAGGGTTCATGGTCATACTTCTGACGGTCTGGTCAAGAAGAAGAATAGAAGTGGCAACGGCACCGGCGCTTTCTCCGAAAATGGCAATCTTCTGTGGATCGCCTCCGAATTTTCCAATGTTTTTCTTGACCCATTGTAATGCCAATTTGATGTCGCCTATCCCGTAGTTTCCTCTGGCAATACTGTCGCCAGTACTGAAAAATCCTATTGCAGACAGATGAAATGTTGATCAGATGCGAATGATGAGCAGCTACGTCAGTTTAAGCAATAACTCGCGCGATTCCCACTTTCGTTAGACAATCTGGCAGCTTACACGTAACATAAATACGTCTGCTTACCAAAAATGGATACTCGGTAATTAATGGTGACGACAATGGCTTCGATGTCGTCTGCTAACGCTGTTGAATTGTAGACGTCCTTGTCGCCGACTGCAATATGCAAAATGTTCAGACCAATGAGAAAGGTCACAATTATGCAATGGCCATCTCACTTTGAAATCCACCACCGTAAATCCACACCATAACTGGCAGCGCCGATGTCGGGCTTGTGTTACTTTTCATGGGGGGTACATAAACATCCAGGTACAAACAGTCTTCATCCTGGATCTGATTTACTGCGGTAATCCCAGTTTCTATTGACGGAACAGTACGCTGAGGACAAACTGGACCAGCTTTTACCCGAGAATTATTGCGAAGGTAAGAGAAATCTTGGTTTTCCACCGAATTCTGTAATATAATATTATTTGTTCGCTTTTAACTGTGTTCTTAATGTAATTCAGGCAATTATCAACCCGCTGCATGTTTGACACCTGTATATACAGATATGTTAAACGTATGAATATTGTACAAGACTGTGTAATGTTATATCCATATTCCGTATAGCTAGTTATATAGATATCGTTCAATGTACAATACCTCAAATCGTCTGGCCGTTCCATAGCGAATCCCATAATACACGTAACCGACACGTCCGCGCTGCTTTGCCGACGTAAAACGATCTCCAGAAATTTGCACACCAGGAGAAAGATTAACACGGCCTTCTTGATTTTGTGAATAAGACGGCGTAACCTTGATAACAGCCAGTAGAAACGTAAACTGGCAAAAAATTTGCATTATGTCGTTATTATGTAAACGTAAATGGATATAAAAAAAACGAAAACTCTAGTTGGACCAAGACTACCTCAGTCCAAACACCAGCCAAAGGTCAGCGGATTCCTGTATCGAATGTCTAGTGGAAAGTGTTTCTATACCGATACCACGGTGCCATATGTAATTACATTTTGTGCGCTTTTAACAAAACTAAATATCTCAGCATGATGATGCAGATTAGTAAGATTACAGCGGACTTTGGTGTGACATTTGCGAATCCAGTAGAATATTCTGCAGGTGTGCGCTGTTTCGGTTTTGAGGAGACGTCTGCGCTTGACATAAACAAATATGATCGGCTTTTTGTTTACTTACATACTTAGGTTGGCTGATATCAAATATTGTCATCCATTCAAGATCTTTGCATTAATTTTGCACCATCCACCCTGGTCAGCAAAAAATAATCTACCCTACACATTTCAGCCAGAAACTTTTGGAGAGGTGCGAAACTTTCTGGCCAAAACTTGTTGGTGTACTCAAACTGGTAATGTTACATTTAGGAACTGCTAAAAATATCGCTTGAAAAGGCTTACTTGAAACTAACGAACTCGAAAAATCGAAAGACTCGAAAATTTGGATACAGGCAGCCTTAGTACTCTACACTATTTATGATTGCATTCATTGCAAAAATGCATGTGCTTATTACTTTCTTTTGAAAATGCATGACCGAAGTCACCCAGAAAGCTGAAACGGTTCGGTACAAAGACTTTATTCACTGTAATATACCATCAACATTTGCTAGCTATTTAGTTACCAAATTTCAAACATACTGTTGTCACTAATGCGGCAGTCATCAATACAACAAGCAGTGTCTGGCGATTCACAATGTAATGTGAGCAAGACCATTATTAGGCACTTACTAGAGCAGCTACCCAGTAAAAAAGGAAGCAGTACATTAGTTTCACATCAGTCAATGTCCACAATTAATTATCCCAGTTACACTCGAAACAGCTTGAGAAGGCTCACGCCATAATTCAAAATTTTGTATTAGGTAACAATTAACTCACTCTAACTGTTAGTACCACGAAGTTGCATGGTCATCGTGCTGGTTAGCTGGGAACTTGCGGTTGCACTTTGGTATGTTACGGTGGTAAATCTGCTCGATGCATCGCCTGTTCAATGAAATACCGGATAAGACAATAGTGTAGAAACAGCTTCAAATTTTGAAACGAACAGAGACCGACAAACCACAATTATTAGCAGTAACAATCACAACGACATAAAATAGATTCCCGTCACCAACGTACACACTCCCCCGTGACAGCCGTCACGCTTCACCGATGCTCACCGAGTACTTTAAGGAACGCAGAGCATGTGGTTTCACCGGCTGGACTTCGGGCCACACATCGATATTCGCCTTCATCTTCATGGAAGGCCTCGGTTATCACAAGTGTGCAGACATTGCCGGATACAAAAGTGCGGAAGTACTTGGAGTTCTTTATCACGTTGTGACCTTTAAACCATCTCACTTCCGGCTCTAAACAAAAAAATCCAAACATATCCAACTGTTATTATACGACAGTTAACAAAATTAACTGTAGTTTTACTATTATAAAGATATTTTTCAACATAACCGTTCTTGCATAAATCGTTAATTTTTTTCTGTGTTTTTCCGTTTTACTAAGGAATTCGCTTTCAAAATAAATAAAAGCCTTATGCTTACGAGGTGTTCCAACAATACTGGCACGGAAAGTTGCGGATTCGCCTTCGTAGACGGTGACATTTTCCGGTGATTGTACCACTTGAGGAGCCGCTGGATTGGCTGATGTCGGCTTTGGAGGCGTGGGAACGGGGTTAAAAACTTGCTGCTGCTGCTGTGGTTGCGGCCGTGGCGGTGCCGCTCCTGCTACAACTACATAATAAAAATTGTACTTAGCCCATAACTGCGTCAACATAGCAAACAACGAAAATTACTGAATACCTTACCTTCAACGGTCACTTGGGCTGAACACCTGGCTTCACCGCCTTCATTAACCGCCACACAATCGTACCACCCTGAATCTTCCGCTAAGGCATCCAGAATCAGTAGCTGATGGAGATCATTATCCCTGACGTGCTTCAGACGAGGTGAAGGCTGCAGCTTCTGACCATTCTTGAACCAGCTGATACTGATGGGTGCTGAGCCGTGGACACGAACTTCCAAACGAACCACGTCGCTGAGTTTAACCTTCGTGTCATGAATGGTGTCACTGAAGCTGGGAGGAGTCGGACCACTTGATTCACCGGAATATGCTTCTGCAAAATTACAGGCATTGACGAAACGTCATAAAAACAATCTAGCAATCTAGTAAATGGAATAAATTACCTTCAACAATCAAATTTGCAGTGCTCTGCGACATGCCACCTTCATTCAGCGCCTTCACCGTGAAGTTTCCGCTGTCTTCCAGATAGACTTCTGGCATAAATAATGTCGAGGTATCGTTGGTTGTGGTGATTTGGAAATCTTGCGACGGATTAATTTGGAAATTTTCTCTGTACCATTCTATTCTTGGTACCGGTTTACCGATAAATTTGCAAGTGAAGTGACCGGATTTGCCTTCCGACACGCGACACGGCTCCAAGCGTTGGGTGAACTTTGGTGCTTGCATATCAGCCGGTGGCGGGCCTTGTCCAGGTGCGACCATCTTCTGCACGCTCCGGCGTGAGCTTTCCGAGCGCTCGCGCTGCTGCACGTAGCGGATTTCCGTTAGGTTTCCTTTTTGCAAGCGCTGCGTGTACTCCATCTCGGATGCGGACATTTCTTTGTCTTCTGAGGCGGTCGGGATTGGGCGCTGCGGTGGACGCTGTTGACTTTCATCGTATCTGCAAATACCGCTTATGCATAGTTTCCTTTGTTTTGACATATTATATCTTATGGCTAAAAAAGTTCGGATTCTGATAAACCGCTTTTGCCTGAATATATAAATAAAGGAACATGTTATTCGATTATCAGTAAGTACCTCTTTCGAGTAATATCAATATCTTCCTGCTGGATGCTTTCCACCATTTGGCCATGCTGGTGCTGATTAGAAACTGACGTGGTTTGAATTGCACGGGGCGGCAGTGACTGGGCAGCAACAGTACTAGTTTGCTGTTGCGTTTGCTGTTTCTTCACCCATGCCGGCTGTTCGGTTTCCTGTTTGACGGACCCCTGACGCATCCACGGTGGCCCGGCTGTTTTGGGCGGAGGCGTCGCCGGCTGCTTTGGTGGAACAACAGGCGGTTGTTGCTGTTGTTGTACTGTGATTTGTTGATTGAATTGCTGTTGTTGCGTGGTCTGCTGTTGCTGCTGTTGCTGCGTGCTCTGACTGACAAACTGATTTTGTTGCACTGGAGCCGGTTGAGCCAGTGGCCGTTGCTGGAGGTTAATTTGTTGTTGTTGCTGGAAGTTTTGAGTTGTCGAGGTCTGTGAGGTAAATTGCGGTGGCGGTTGCTGAGGCTTAGGAGCAACCGGCGGAGTTGATGGCGGAACAAACTGGGAAGTTTGGTTCGAAGTGATATTCACATTCTGATTGAACTGTCCAAATGGTTTAGGGGCGACTTGGGGTGTAGTTGGAGTTTGGGGTGTCGGCGGCTTCGGAGGCTGTTGCTGCTGCCATTGGGTTTGCTGCTGTTGCTTGAAATCAATGGTTATGTCCGTCGAGGTTTGTCGCTGGGGTTGCTGAGGCGGCGCTCCACCCGGCCGACGGACCGACTGCAGATCCACTTGGTAGAATGTACCCTGCTGCTGGTCAGTCTGCGATTTCTCTAAATGCGACTGGAAGGCATCAGGTACGGGGACTTTGCTGCGAGCGGAAGTGCTTTGTTTCAGCACAGACCGGTAATCGCTCTTTGTCGTAATGGTCAGTGTGGTGACACACTGCGCTGTTCCCTCGGGATTTTGTGCGATGACCGCGATCTCTCCGCCATCGTACTGGCGCGCTTTGGGAATTTCCAAAACATTCATATAACCGTCGAAACTAATTTTGAATCTTGATGAGCCCTGTAAAAGCGGCGTCAATTTAGAATGCGAATGGAAATTGCACAAAAAGACGTACCGAAATAATTAGCTGTCCGTTGAGCATCCACGACACCCTTGGCCGTGGGTATCCGGCAACCTTGCACTCAAACTTGGCGGTTTCGCCCTCTTCAATAGTTACTGGTCGCGGCTTAACTGTGAATTCCGGTTTGGATCGCTGCTTCGACTGATCAGCAACTTCGTACGGTATTGGTCCCCTGCAACAAATTTTGTTAAAATATATTACCAACAGTACAGCCAAATTCACGGTTACTTCGTTAATAATTCCCGCTCAATTTCTTCGAGTCGTTCCACTCCCTTTTCCATTCCGGCTGGCAACTGCGTGCGCGTCACTACGTTTTCTTTCGCCGTAATGGTTATAGTACAACGCGTGATATCCTGACCCAGTTCGTTAACGGCGCGCGCGACATATTCACCGCTGTCTTCGGCATACACGGATAAAATGTCCAACGAAACGTAGCCGAAGTCGTTTATCAGCTTAAACCGGTGACCTGTAAAATGAGCGAGAAATGAGAGAGGAAAATGTGAGAAAGTATCCCTATCGAAAAAAACTAGCATTTAATGCGCAAATAAGTTGTTGATTAAGCGACTTAAACGCTGCCTTTCTACTGTATCAGATTGTTATGTAAAATTCAGCGTTGCATAGGTTATTAAGCGCTTCAGTACCAAGAGCAAGCAAGCTAAGAGTATCATTTCCACAAAACCGTTCTTATTGTACGAATGCAACAAAAAAGCTAATTACTACTGGGCGCCTCCTTTGCACTATTGACTGATTAATAATTTATTGGCAGATTAATAATATATACTGGGTTGCGTACCAGATCTTAGCGGATGGCCGTTGAAATACCACTCGATCTGACAATCCATCGGTTCCACCCGACAATCAATATGAATGCAGTCGCCTTCTTCTCCTGGCACGTGAGGATTCAACTGCGTTATGAATTTCGGGGGCATTCGAACAACTGGTTTCTCTTCCGGTAGTGGAGCATTAGGAGTTTCCAGTTCGCGGAGTTTGGCCATGTTAACACCTCCCGGCATTTGTGATTCCAGAATGACAGATTTCTTGCTCTGGACCTTGAGATCGGTGCTGGTTTCCGCTGCTCCGACCGATGTTTTAGCGCGGCATGTGTATTGTCCGCTGTCCTCAGCGGTCACGCCGTTGATCTCCAGAACCACAAATCCAAAATCATTGATACTTCGGATTCGAGAACCTACAGAGAAGAAGTGCTTTTCACGTTAAATTTCGAATTGTAATATTTTTGATGACAAAATAATTTTACTAAAGCCGAATACTAGCTAATGCTACATGCAGGATAATGCCGCTGAAAAAATACCTGTTACGATGGGTCGCCCATTGCGGTACCACTCGACCAACGCGTTGGTCGGTTCGATTTTCGCTTCGAAATGAGCCATGTCGCCCTCTTGCAGTTCTACCTGTCGATCCAGCTGGCTAATAAATCGCGGTGGTACATCCGGCTGTTCCGGCACAAACGCCGGAATGTGTGCACTCTGCATCTGCTGTTCCAGCTCCTGCACTTTTTGCAAACTCGCCGGCTGTGACGACTCCAGCACCACGCTCTTGAATGTTTGCACTCGTAGATTGACTTCGGAGCGGGCTTCGCCCAAAGGATTGCGAGCAACACAGGTGTACACACCGGCATCTCGCGCCTGAAGGTCCTTAATTTCCAGAATAATGAATCCGAAGTCATTGATGGTCCGGAACCGAGAGCCTACATCCACTGGTCGACCGTTATGGAACCACTCGATGGTCACCGTGTTGTCATTGGCCGGCTCAAAGCGCAGTTCAAAATGCGCCATTCCGCCCTCTTTGGCGTCAACATCATGCGCGGAAGAAACGAAACGTGGCGGTTGAGTGGGTCCGACTGGTCCCGTTTCCGGGATATACGTGTGCATTGATGCACTTTCGATCTGCTGAATCTTTTGGATGGAACTGTCACGCATGTCGCTGGGCAATTGTGAATCCAAAATTAGACCTTTCTTGCTTTCCACAGTGACACTGGAGCTGGTCACAGCCTCTCCCGCTTCGTTCCGCGCTACTGCGGTGTACGTTCCGGAATCTTCTCCGTAAACCGGGGAGATTTCCAGTACGACGAAACCGAAATCATGGATGGTTTTTACTCGCGAGCCTTAAATAAGAATACGAATCAGTAATTAATCGCGCATTATAGAAGTGATGAATAATAATGAAGCGATACCATGAATAATCGGCTTTCCGTTCCAGTACCACTCTACTGACAGTTTGGGATCCTTGGCTGGTTCCAGTGTTGCTTGCAAATGGATGTTCTCGCCTTCTTGAACATTGGAAATATTCTGCAGTGGAGTGGTAAACTGTGGCGCTGGCTGTGGTCCAGTGCCTGGATGAAAAGTCAAAACCTTGGTCGTATAATCATTTTAATAATTCAACCAGCCCATGTGTAGCCCATGTGCTTATGGCTGTTAACGTTTGGGCATTTTGACGTAATTGCTACGGGTATTTACCTAATGGTGACAAAGTAGTTGATGCTTCATCCACCCCCAAGCTGTTATGCACCCGGCACGTAACCTTTCCAAAATCTTCGCGGCGGACATAAAGAATGTCCAAAGCAATGTAGCCAAAATCGTTAATGGTGCGAACACGGTGTCCGGCTCGTAGTGGACGGCCGTTAATGAACCATTCGATCACCATGTCCACGTCATCTGTCGGCGTGATGCGAGTTTCGAAATGGACAGGTGAGCCTTCCAAAACAGCTTGTGGCTGAAGGGGATTAAGGATTTTTGGCTGCACTTTGGGCTTGTCAGGAACTTGTGGAACATCACGACCTTCCGGCTCTTCCAGTCGGCGGATCTTCTCTAAACTTTCGGGATGTTGAGTATCCATCATGACGCCACGCTTTCCTGTTTACAATGGAGTCGCGTTAAACATGATTAGGTTGAATATTCGATTTGGATGTGAATACCGGCCTTACCGCTGCACTGAATCGTAAAGGTCACCCGGTCTTCTCCAAATTTATTCCGCGCAATGCAGACGTACTGTCCGGAATCTTCTGTTTGTATGCCGTTAATTTCCAAAACAATAAATCCAAAATCGCTAAGGGTTTTCATCCGTGAACCTGGGACATGTAAAATTTGCTAGAACAGTTCACAAATACTTACAGCGGTGCGCACTACGTACTAGCATGCAAGGGTTGACCGTTTTTAAACCACATTATTTCCAATGTCGAATCATTTGTCGGTGTCACATTGCAGTGAACATGAGCAACGTCGCCTTCCTTCAGCGACAGATCCTTGGGCGTTGTGGTGAATCGAGGGGCTTGACCAAACTCATCCGGTTGGTACAATTTGGATTCGCTGGTGAAAGTTGCACGGTTGGCGTCTTCCAACTGGGCGATCCGTTGAAGAGCCATCTCCGACGTTTGCGCGGCTGAATACACCCCTTTAGTGCCTGTAAATAAGTGGCTGTTTTCGAAAAATCCCGGTAAATGCAAAAAAAAATTCCCATCTGGTACAGATCTCCTAAATCTGTTTTCAAAAATGTTCGACAAACATCAGCTTGAACGGAATACGTAGCATCTGTGTACCTCTGCATGTGAGTCGGGAACTGGTAAAAGCTTCGCCGTGTTTGTTATAAGCACGAGCCATATAGACCCCGGAATCGTCTTCAGTAACTTGGTTGATATCCAGCGCAACGAACCCAAAGTCTTGTGTCAATCTATTGCGATTGGCTGCACAAGATAACCAAAAAAATTACAGATATTTTCTAAAAACCAAAGCCACTACACTAATTTACCGGCCGGCAGCGGACGACCGTTGAGGAACCAGTCTACTTTCATCGTTGGATCACGGCTGGGCTCCAAGCGGCATTCAAAGTGTGCCGTTGCGCCTTCGACGGCATCATCCACATTGTTCAATGTCGTGACAAATCGTGGAGGACCGAAATCAAGTTCAGCTTCAGGGGCAGCAAGAGGCGGAAGTTCCTCTAATTGCTGGATACGCGGGAGACTTTCAGGGTGCAAAGTCGCCAGCTGGACACCATGCTGACCTATAGCCAAAATAGTTTTTAGTTGCAGGTCTTAATTTACAAAAAGGTTTTACAAGGTTTTGTAAAATGTAGGAATAAGTTTTAGTCTTACCGCTGCACTGGATGGTGCACGATACCCTATCTTGGCCATATCTGTTGCGAGCCATGCACACATACTGTCCAGAGTCCTCCGTCTGAATACCACTGATCTCCAGTACAACAAATCCAAAATCGTTTAGCGTTTTTATTCTTGAACCTGAAATATTTAATTGACGGTCATTTTATAGTTTCTCTTGTGGGCGATGTGTCAGTCGCATACTGGCATGGAGCGGTTGTCCATTTCTGAACCACATAATTTCCAGACTGGAATCGTTGGTTGGAGTGACATTACAGTGGATATGAGCCATATCATTTTCCTTTAACAGTAAATCCTTCGGTGTAGATGTGAACCGGGGTGCCATACCACCCTCTTCCGGTTGGAACATTTTGGATTCACTGGTAAATGTTGCACGGTTAGCATCTTCCAGTACGGCAATGCGTTGCAAAGCCATGTCGGAAGTCTGTGCGGCCGACTGGACACCTTTAGACCCTAATACGCGGAAAACTGTTTTAGTAGCGCTGCAGTTTATTGCTGCGTTTCAATTTATTTTTAAAATACCTTGGCAGATTAATCGAGCACTGGTGAACGCTTCGCCGTGTTTATTGAATGCTCTTGCCATATAAACGCCGGAGTCTGCTTCGGTAAGCTGATTAATATCCAGTGCGACAAAACCAAAGTCCTGCGTTAGCCGGTTTCGATTAGCTGAAAATATAACATTTTGATGATTCGTATTGGAATGTAAAAAAAATCGGATTACCGGCCGGCAGAGGAAGTCCATTATGAAACCATTCTACTTTCATTGTTGGATCACGACTCGGCTCTAGTCGGCATTCGAAATGAGCACTCGAGTGTTCCTTGGAATTGTCCACATTCTGCAGCGTCGTAACAAAACGAGGAGGTCCATATTCAAGCTCCATTTGTTCTGGTTTAAGCGGAGGATGTTCTTCTAGTTGCTGTATACGAGGCAGACTTTCCGGGTGTAGTGTGCCGGTAAGGAGTGAGGCTTTGCTCAAGCAGCGGACACTGGTGCTGGTTACGGCTTCTCCAGCGGCATTCGTAGCGCGAACGGTGTACAAGCCAGAATCTTCCGGATACGCAGCAGAAAGATCCAGTCCAATATGACCAAACTCGTTTACATGCAGGAAACGCGAACCGGTCCTCAAGGGCACCCCATTGAAAAACCATGCAATCTGTAATACAACACCGTAATAAGTATGCGTGCAATCTCCGTTACAAGTAAAAACTCACAGTTGTTTATATTACAATACAAGCGCTACATAAAGTATAAGCGAAATAATTTATAACAATCATAATAATAAAACAAATGCAAAAGTAAATAGTATGTAACGTAAGGAAAATATGATAATATAGATATAAACAAATTCTGTAAGGGTGCATAACGCAGTTACCGGTACTAATAATATGTACTGTTTGGAAAAATGAATAGTTTCAAGAAGTTCATATGACGTTCAGTTAGTGTAAACGAACCAGCCCATTGGCGTACTTTTTTGAATTATTCACCGTAAAGGTACGAGTAAATTTTTTTGGTTTTACCAGCTTACCTGAAGAGTAGGATCACCAACAGGAACCAGCTGGCAGTGCAGGCGCAACGGTTCCCCTTCTCCGATTTCGACGTTTGCCTGTAGAGGAATCGTAAACACTGGTTTGCCGTGCTTAGTCTCGGCTTCCTCACGTTTCTCAGGAGCATAAGATTCAAGAGCTTGCAATTTCTGTAAGGCTTCCGGATGTGCAGTTTCCAAATACATTGACTTCGTGCCTGAAAAACAGTCGCTATCCGATGGAGCGCATAACAAGTCGGTTATCCAACCGATTCCGCTGTTTGACATTGTACGTATTAAAAGTTCATGGTCAATTCGCAAACGTTCACTGTTTACATTTTACGCACGATTCCCTATAACAGCCGTAGAGGATTGTGTCCCTTTATGTGTCGTAAATAATATAGCAAAGAATGCGCAAGGGGAATATGTATGAGAACACACAAAGGCATAGTGGAAATGCGGTATCATGTCTAACCTGGTAAGCGACGCATTCATACTTTGGTGCATTTTGTGTCAGCTCTTTTGCTTACATTAATAAAATCTTCGACAATCATTTTTACGATCCGTCTGGCCGAATGCCGAACGAATGCCGGGTGGTAGTGATTACTGCACTCGCTACACTATTGTGCAACAAATCAGTGTGTCTTTTTCCGGGTGCATTCTGCATCCGACCTTGTAGATCGTGAATTCGGATTACGGAAGTCAATGAACGATGCGCTTTGGAGGTTTAGTACAGAAGAATAACGTAAAGGCAGTCGCGTACGCTTAAAGTGATTTCGATTTCAATTGGATTTCTGCTAGCACTTGCACAAGGAGATGATGTATATGCTGGTAGCTTTAATGCAATGACGTGAAAAAAGGTATACATTCCATAGAATAGACACGGGACAAATGAGAATGGCGAAACATGACAGAGAAGATGCAAGTGCCAGCAGGTATCCGTAATCGAAACACTATCGTTCGCAAAGAGAAACAGATGTGGGATGAATGTATGGATGCATGTTAGTGGATGCACGCCGGACGGGGGACAGAGTGGGTGTACAAGAGGAAACATCGAGAGATTTTAACGATGAGGATAACGGGGGTTAGAGCTAGAACGGTTAATTCGGTAAAACACGCATAGTAATAATATGCTCTCTGATGCTGTGCAAGGTGCACGTGGGAGTATTATTCCGTCGCACTACACTCGCACATCATTCCTCTGCAGAACCTGAAAGGCAGTGGGCATGTACGTACCCCTCACAAGCACGCTGCACGTGGCGACGGCCTGGCCCAGCTCGTTGGTGGCACGGCAAGTGTATGTCCCGGCGTCTTCCGGCCGAATATCGGCGATGTCCAGTGCCACGAATCCGAAATCGTTCGTCACGCCGAATCGCGAGCCGACATCAATAGGTCGTTCATTATGGAACCATTCCACTTTGCATCCAACTGGGATCAATCGACTTTCCAGGTGGAGCTTGTCACCTTCGGTTAGTTCGAGGTTGCGAAATGGCACCGTGAAAACTGGTCGCTGGATGTTGGGTCGTTCATCGGGCCCCTTCAGAGGAGCGGCATCGTAGCTTTCCAATTGCTGAATTTTGCCCAGACTGTTCGCATGTAGTGTATCCGTGAGTAAGGATTTTTTAGCTGTAACGGAAAAATTTGATGGAAAACTAATCACTATGCACGCCGGTGTGTGCTAGACGTGCTTACCCAACACTGTAATTCGCGCTGCGGTAACGTCCTCGCCTTTATCGTTGTACGCACGTACTACATACTCGCCGGCATCATCCGCACGCAGATCGCCAATGGTCAAGGCCACGTAACCAAAGTCATTAATGAATCGGTAGCGGCTGCCTTGAGGCACCGGTCGGCCGTTATGGAACCACTCCACTCGGGTGTTGGAGTCGACATTCTCCAGTCGGGCCTCAAAATGTGCTTGCTGGCCTTCAGATAAATCCGATCGCTGCGTGCGGAGTGGCTGAACAAAACGCGGTGCAAGTGACGGAGCATCTTGCGCAATAGGTTCGCGATGGGTGGAACTGCGCCATGCCTCCAGTTGTTGGATTTTGTGCAGACCTTCCGGGTTTTGGGTTTCGAAAGATATTGTTTTCTTGCCTAGAATAGTATGAGTGGTAAGCAACACTGGGCAATGAAAACAGATTGCAATTGACTCGTGGTTTGTTTAAGAACAGAGGCACTTACCGCGCACAAGTAGGTCAGCAGATTGGTCAATACGACCCAGCTGATTATGAGCAACTACGGTGTAGCGTCCGGTATCTTCTGCGGTGGCTCCAACGATATGTAAAGCGACATAACCAAAATCATGAGTGGTTTTGAAGCGATGGCTGGCCTGCAGTGGTTGTCCATCTTTGTACCATTCCACCTTCAGCTTAGAGTCGTTAATAGGTTCCAAGCGGCATTCAAAGTGGGCATGCTGGTCCTCTGGGATGTCTTGACTTTTGATTTGACTCAAGAATCGAGGAGCGTGGGAAGGGGTCACCTGGTCAGCAACGTGATAGGTCCTGTCAACATCTTCAAAGCGCTGAATTTGGCTAAGGCTCTGGGCATTGATTGGCTGCGTGAGAATGCTTTTTTCGCCTGTTAAAACAATATTCAGTGAATAGTGTTTCGAATTATTGGAAACAACTGACTTTGCTAACAAATGAAACATAGACTAAAATCAGTAAAATGTATAAAAAATCAAAGTTTAGTGCGCTTACCAAAATAACGGAAGATATGAAAATGCTGTGGATAATATTTAATTTTAAAGCATGATAAATCAATAATAACAGGTTTTTAAAGCGAATTATTTAGTAATTTTGTAGTATTTAAAATTTAGCGAAGCATTTAATGCAGGTTTTGGATATACGAAAGTATGACTCACTAAGCACTTGAATTTGACACGTTTGTGCTGCCTCGCCGGCCGCATTAGTCGCCTTGACCATGTACAACCCGCTATCCCCGGGATGCAAATTCGAAATGTCCAACGCCACAAATCCAAAATCGTTCACGGTCTTTATTCTGGACCCATCGAGCAGTGGACGACCATTGTGAAACCATTCCACTTTCTGAGTTGGTTCGTTAATGGGCGTCAAACGCGTTTCCAGATGGACGGAAGTGCCCTCGACTAGGTTAGTGTGATTGTGTAATGGGGTCCGGAACTGTGGGCGCTCCACATGCGATGACAGCTCCTTTTGGGAATACACTCGCTTTTCCTCCAAGTGCTGTAACTGCACCAGTCGATCGGGATTATCTGTTCCTAACAGCATGGACGCTTCGTTCAATACGTTCAAACGTGTTCGGGTTTCCACTTGTCCTGCTTTGTTTTTGATCACGCAGACCCAGTCGCCTGCATCGTCTGGACGGACACCAATGATGTCCAGGGCGATAAAGCCGAAATCACATACGGTACGAATGCGAGAACTTGCCGTAACTGGTTGTCCATTCTTGTACCATTCAACCTGCCGGTACCATAATACGCGCGTTTAATATACTGTTGCAATTGTGACCGCGCTTTTCAGACTTCTTTTATATACTTCTATCTGTCAAAGCACCATTGTCCTAGACAACATTTCATGAATACCACTATTGCAAATACGAAATACATAGCTGCATTACCTGAATGCCTTCGGTAGGCTGAATTTGACATTCAAAATGAGCAGACTTCCCTTCCGGCATTGTTTGTTCCGGACGCAGCGGCTTCAACAGCTTGGGCGGCAACACTACAGTGGTCACTTCCCGCGGACGAATGTCGCGGCTGCTCCAGTCTTCCAGATGCTGAATATTTTCCAGATTAGCAGCTGTCGAAGACTCATAAGAAATTGACTTTTCTCCAGCAACAGAGATTTTGCAGTTAACTGCCGCTTCGCCAAAGGCATTAATGGCTCGGCACGTATAGACACCTAGCAATACATTTTCAGAATTCTTAATTCCGGCTAACCAAATACGCAGTTCTATTAGTCAGAAACATGATGTACCAGTATCTTCTGGATAGCTGTGAATAATGTCCAAAGCAACATGACCCCAGTCGTTTGTGGTTTTGAAACGAGCACCAGCCTGCAGTGGCTGCCCGTCCTTATACCATAGTACCGTTAATGTGGAGTCTCCCACTGGGATCAGTCTCGATTCTAGATGGATTGGTGCTCCTTGCTTAGCCGTAGCATTGTGCAACGGCTGCGTGAACACGGGTGCCTGGCCGGGCGCAGTCGGTTGCACCTGAGCGGCACTGGATGCCGTTTTGGACGAAGACACTTGTCGATCAAAATTAGTTGTTGTCTGGGTGCGAGTTTCCTGCTGGCTGACATGGCGCTGTATAGGAGGTTGTGGTTGAGGCTGCGGAGCTGGTCGCGGTTGTGGATACGGTTGAGGAGCTGGGATACAGTGCAACGTTGTCGACGTAAACGCCTAAAAAGTTGTAGTATAACGGAATACACGAACTTGATACCATTGACAGGTTAATGTACTTCTCCAGCAGCATTTGCCACTCTCAGGGTATATACTCCGGCATCCTCCGGATAAACAGTCAGAATATCAATGGCCGCATAGCCCTCAGCGAAGGAAGTCCTGACGCGATTATCTAAAAAATTCTGGCTATAATTTTCAAAAATTTGACGAACAGGGTCGCTCAAAAGCGTTTTAAAGTTACCTGAATGCACCGGCTGGCCATTTTTAAGCCAAGTAAACACCAAATCGTCGCCTTGTCCTGTAGCTCTAACTTCCATATGTAGTCGAGAACCTTCAAGAACGTTGTAATCTGGCTCCAGATGTCTCATAAAGGTGGGAGCAGCCGGCTGCACCGAAAGCGACGAATTGTAGACCGTCTTGGTCGTAGTCGTTCGGGTGACCTTATCGTATCCATCGTAGCCGCTCGTATTGTGTGTGGATGATACTTGATTGTAACCGTTATATCCGTCATACTGAGGCACGATGCTGCTTGACGTATTGTAGGTTTGCTTGATGTTGGTTGATGAATGGTGCGTTCCCACTGCCCGGCCGCTTTGCTCTGGTTCAACCCTCAACGTGGCACTACTGCGGACGTCACCGGCTCCATTGTGAGCTTTGACCATGTACATCCCGCTGTCTTCCGGACGGAGCTGTTTGATAGTTAGCACGGCGCGACCAAACATGTACTTCATATCAAATCGTTCGCCTGTAACGCAACAGTCACACTCAACCCTAGGAAAGAAGCGGTTTGTTCACTACGGTACATGTGGAAGTTTTTATTGACTTACTCATTTGGATGGTCTGTCCATTACGGAACCATTCCACTTTCATGAGCTGATCATCAGCCGGCTCAATCTGCGCTTCGAAAACCGCTACACTGCCTTCCGGAAGTCCATCCAGGTTTTTCAGTTGCTTGGCAAACTTGGGTTTCGGCGCTAGCGCTGGGCCTTTCTGCTTAAAGGGCGGCATGGCGCCACCGCCGCTGATGGGCTGCTGATAGACTGGTGCTCCCGAGCCGCTGAACTGCTGGTTATAAGCCGGATTCTGCCGTGGATAACATCGCAAAGTAGCGGTCTGCTGGGCCTCACCGGCGGCATTTATTGCCCGGCATGTGTACACCCCAGCATCTGACGTGGTTAAGTTAAGAATATCCAGACTGACGAAGCCAAAATTGTTGCCAAAAATATGCCGCGAATCTTAAAATGCCGAAGTTAGACTGTGTGGTTATACTAATGAGTGTACTGTAAACGAACACTGATGATTGTATGTTTACCTGATGGGATGAGCTGGCCGTTGTGATACCACTCGACGCGCAATGTTTGGTCACCGATCGGAATCAGACAGGTCTCAAAGTGCGCCCGATCGCCTTCGTACAACTCCAGATCGTTCAGCAAAGAAGTGAATGACGGTTTCTCTCCACCGGGACCACCGTGCGCAGAAGCCGCTCCCATGTAGGATGGTGGCTGTCGGGAAGGCCGTAAACGATACGTTTCCGGTTGCTGTGGAGGCTGCTCTTCGCGTCGTGGAACACGAGGAACGTAAAAACCACCAGGGATAATAAGGTCTCTGGGCAAAGCTAAATCAATTCACACCAAGTGGTTTAGTTGACATCCATTTCAATGCCGGCTTATAAAAAATGTATATGCATTCTTTATCAAGACCTTAATCCATTTATTTTAATTTTAATACTATTTAGACATGTTAAAGCAAGCAGAGAATAATGCTGGCGAAGAAGATATCAAGTACTCGTATTGTGCTTCCGCTACAGTGCGATCAAAAAGACTGGTTTTGTAAAATGTTTTTACACTGAACGAAGAACAGAAAAATTACGCGGGTAATCAAATTATATGCAATTATTTGTGATTTAAAACTATTTCGAGCAGCGTTATAAAATGAAGTAGACAGTAGAGTCCAAGGGGTCACCAGTCACTATAAACTGAACGTTTTGGGATAGGAGATACTGCTGATGAATGCCGACTACTCGAACTACTGGTTTATTCAGTTTCAAGGAAAAGGTGTTCTGATTGTGATAAAAAAGGTGTTCTGATTGTAATAAAATAATTCTTTTAATACAATTTAGTAAACAGCTCTCACTCATTCTCTTATGCGAGACTACGAGTTGAAGTACTGATAAAATTTTAACATTACCATGTACGGATAATTATGAAATCAAACCCGATGGCTTACCTATTTATGTTATTACGCAATAAGTTAATTGGAATTTATAGGCATTAGCAACCAATGGTAGACTACGGGCATAACAAATACTTGTTTACTTTTTAAACTGTTTACAAATGGAAGATCGGTCAAGCAAGTTTGAAAGGTGACGCCGTGACGCATAATTGGCAGTGTTGCGGAATAGCAATTAACGACTTGCTACAGAGAGGCAATGTATATTTTATTATGCCGTCGGCCATGATAATGTAATCCATCACGGCAATCATATTACACATAAAAAAACAGCGAAAAAATATATTGATAGAAAAACTGGCATCCGACGTTATTGGTAATCCGAAGAGTTTTGATCTGCACTCACCCTCAACTGTAACTTTGGCTTTTGTCGAACTAGTCCCAACAGAATTCCTAGCATGACACTGGTACCAATCTGAATCACCCAGTGTGGCATTATCCATAACAAGTGTGGATACACCATTTCTAGTATCAATGCGATATTCGGGTCCGGAGAAGATCTCGACTGCTCCCTTGTGCCAAGTGATGGTAGGAGCCGGCATACCAATGGCACGCGCTTGTAATGTCACCGGTTCGCCTTCCTTTACTTGTTGATTAATTAGCTTTTGCACAAAGCTCGGTGCAGTTAATTTGTCTGATTCTTCCACGGTTACATTCACGACAAACTGCGTTTCGCCAGAAATATTGCGGGCAACACAACGGTACTGTCCGCCATCGTCTAACATGGCATGAGTGATCATTAAGGAATGGGCTCCACTTTCATTGACTATGAGCTAATGGAGAGGCGTTGTCAAAATAATGTTTGAAATTTTCCGGGCTTCGAAATATGACATACAATAATAATACTGCCACCGCCACGCTAATATTCAACTAATTCTATACCTTGTGTGTCCAATCATCCAGCACTTCCACTCCATTTCTGAACCAAATAACATCTGGGTAGGGTCGGCCACTGACCCGACAGTCCAGTCGAAACATTTGACCTTCCTTGATGTGAGCTTCCGGTGGCACGGAGACAAACCGCGGTGCCATACTTTTGTCGTATGTTCCTTCGTCCGCGTGCTGTCTGGGACCGAGCGATGAATCTCGATGTCGTATTCCGCTCGCAGATTGTTGGCGATGCAGATCCGGTTGGGAATTCCTGTTATCCAAACGTGAGAAATAATCATTTATGGTGGAATCACCTAGTTAGTAACGCAATAAATCCGTACACTCTTTGCAGTACTGGTTGCTGCCTATGGTCAATGGTGACGGTCGCTGAACACGCATCCTGTCCGACAGGATTTTCTGCGATTGCCGTATAATTTCCAGCGTCTTCCTTTAGCGCCATGCGAACGGTAAGGCCGACATAATCGCCGTCCTGATGGTAAACATGCCGAGCGGAGTATGCTGGCAGTCGCTGGCCGTTTTTCAGCCATGACACCTAAACCGCAGGAAATTTCGAGCATTTAAGCGATAATGGTGATGTACTTCGCACTTACAATGGGCCGAGGATTTCCGCTGACTCGTCCATACAGCTGTACTTCGGCTCCCTCGGCCACGCGCACCGGTGCGATCACCTGGATAAATCGCGGCGGTTCCATGCCGCCGCTGCCGTAGCCATTCATGTCGCCACGGGATTCGGGCCGCAGCTCCGTACTGCTCAGAAAACTAGACTCCCGATACTGACTTTCGGTTAGCAAGCGCTTCTCAAAAGCATCCGGAACGAAATCCGAACCCGACGAGGTATGCGCCTGACCCAAGGCAGGACGCTTTAGCGCCTGCTGACGATTGGATAACGGTGAATAGATGCCAAGACCGGCGTCGCCCATATCCACATCGCTGTGATCCGACACAGCATTCCGGTATGAGACGTTGGATGATTGGATGTTGGGTTTTTTTGGCTTAACGACGTCGTAATGCGGTGCAGCGGCTGCTGACTGAAGAGGCTGTACGGTATGAAACTGTGAAACTGGCTGCTGCTTGGGCAGGACAGCTGGCGCTATTTTCGGACCAGCCGTTGGCAGGGATGCTAATTACAATTTACACAACATCAAGCTACTGCAAACACCAGATGGAAAACTGTATATAAATCAGAAGGGGAAACGAAAGACTCACGCTCAACGGTTAGAAAGCCGGTTGAGGAGCGACTGCCTAGACTGTTGGTAGCGCGACACGTATATTCGCCTGAATCTTCTGGATACGCCTCCGGGATCACCTAATGCCATTAAGATAAACAATCACAACGTGCACGCCGGTTTTCGTATTATAGATGGTAGCTACCAATGTGCAGATTCCGTTTTTGAATTTCTGTTGGTAGTCGGTGCTGGGCTGGATTTCTACACTATTGCGGAACCACTGTACGGTCACCGGCTCACCGGGTGCACCGGATAATTCGCACTCTAACACAACTCGGTTGCGTTCAGTGATGTGTTGTGGATAGAGTGTCCGCACAAAGTGAGGCGCCCCAGCTGTCGGCGTATGCGACACAGGCACTGGTCGAGTGGCGGTAAATGTAGTAAAGTCGTCGGTGTCGCGGAGAATTTGTCCGGGCTGGAGAATTACTAATTCCGCAATGCAGATACTCTCGCCGGCCGGGTTAACAGCCCGAATTTTGTAGTGTCCGGCATCGGCCGGAAAGGCTTCCGGGATGGTCAGCTGATGCAGATCACCGTGGTGGGTTATGCGGAAATCAGTGGAGTTCTTTATGGGAACGTTTTCTCGGAACCACGTCACTTCGGGGGTGGGGCTGCCAACAACGCGGGCTTCGAAGACAACTTTTTCGCCGGGCTTGACACCGCGAGACAGCAGCTTCAGTGTGTACGTGGGCGGTGTTAGCTCGGTTGGCGGCACAAACGGCACTAAAAACAACTTTCGTTCAAGCCGGGATTAATGACTGTACGTATCACTATTCCAAAATGCAAATACAGTGTTCAAAAAATGATTCATCCACGTCAGCTACTGCTGCTTTGTCGACTCCTTCTTTGGTAACGACATACGTAAGCCGGTGCTTCAGACAGCGATAAAACTCCATTTCACACATTCTGTCTCGGTATCATAATTGAACGCAATTGCGTTCATAACATTTCTTGACTAATGAGAAAAACCTTTATAGTAATTTTTTCTTTATTTCCTTTATCAGCCTGTCATCGCAAGTACACCGTCTTTTTCTTTATATAAATGTTTGGTTGCGGCCTATGGTTTTTAAACCTGACAAAAACTCACCAGATGCGGTAATAAAATTATTAATCCGCTATTCCTTAAGACTGCAACCACACAGCAAACAGCTAGGCGGTAAAATTGGTCAAATAATGTAAAAATTCAGACGTAAATAAAAGTTCTTTAGATACACAATGTGGTAAATAATTTTAGCAAAACAACAACTTCCGCACCATCACTTTTACATCACTGAAAGTGATGAATGCATTCAGCTTCTGAGCACAATAAATGTGTCGGCAACAGGTTTTAGTGCAGCAAAGTACAAATAATGCAAATCTATAATCGCTGGCGCCTTGAGGGCACAATAAAGTCTACCTAAATACGATGAAGATTACACGTGCAGTGAAGGGTAAGAAGCCGATTCGGCATTTCTGCCGATCAAGACATTAAAGGCCATTGCATTCAAGTGAAATACAAACAAAAGCCATGCGCCCGAAAATGGAGAAGATGAGCATACTTGTGCGGTTTTTTACACCTTAACGCTCACTGCCGTAATAGATGGTTATCTTTCACAAGTGCAATCCGTGTAGCAGACTGCAGTAATTGTGCACAGCAGCCGTAGCATTCCGTCGATTTGTTGTCAACGTATAAGCCACTAGGTAGACATCGCATAATTGATGTTCTCGAAATTTTTGATTTGACCTTGCCCAGTATTTTCAAAAAATAGCGCAACACGCGGGACGATAGCATAACACACCCGTCATATTTTCAGTTTAATAACGTTAGCGCACAACAATGACAAACTGAATATGACTGCAAACATAGCTAAGTTGTTTATATTTAAGTTTAGATGGTACTGGGTAGGTTTGAATGTACTCTGTATACATACGTATATAACCCTGGCATTTTTCCAGAGCTCACGGGAAGCTACAGTATGCCGATATACCTATCCCTAATACGCAATTATAATTTCATATTTACGGAGTTGTTTGCGGCCTGTACTTTAAATAAACTGTTTCGTAAATTTAAGTCATCGTAACAGATCGTAATTTTCAACGGATCGGTTTCCAGTTGTTATTTTATTTACCTGGAGCACTAGGAACGAATTCCGTTAAGTTTTTAGCCGGAGCTGCATGAGGTGACCAGATAATCGGTCGCACCGGCTGCTCGCGGACTGGCTCTTGAGGTATTGTAGTAAACTGTGTCGCATGCGGTTTCTCCAGAGGTACCGGTCTGTAGTCTGGTACGGTTGGGGTTAAATTAAACGCCTGCTCCACTCGAGCAAAGGTCTTTTCTTGTTCTAGTGAAGGTGGCACCCATTTCTTTGGTGTCACCGGTACAGTAACCGGCTTGGGCATCACTTGGGGTGGTGAAGGCGGCATAAAGGGCCGGGCATATGTCTCGGTGACCTTTTCACGCTCCTCCACCACATCGGTCACCTCCACCGGAGGGGGTAAACTGATCTCAGGAGTTTCCCGAACAAACGTCTTTTCAAACGGGGGAAAGTGGGGTGGACGGGGTTCTGGCTGTTTTTCGACTGGTTTAACGTTTATCTGAGCGGAACAAGTAGCTTTGCCCTGGCTGTTGTCGGCTTGGCAGACGTATCTTCCGCTGTCATGTTGTCTGGAGTACGGAATCGTGAGACTGTGTTTCTGACCGACATTACGAATGTCGTACTCAATGCTGTTGAGCACTACACCATCTTTTAGCCACTGGACGTGGCACTGTGGACCCGATATGGTGCATTCTAGTCGAACGGGACCTCCTTCTTCCACCGCAGTGTCATGGAACAACTGCAGAAATTGTGGCGGAGGTAAAACAGGCTTTTCCGCCACTCGCGGTGCTGCAGGCATACTTGGCTGGGCTATCAAATCTGCCACCTATTAATCGGAAATGGGTAACACAGCCGCTGAGTTGGATATTATTATGGGGGTATTCAAGTTGTCCGCACAAGCTTAACGTGCCATTTTTTTTAAACATCAGTTTATCGACCGAAGCGTAGCGAAGGTCTTCTATGTTCAAGGATAATGAAAAATGTGGTGTCTGTGCGTTGGTCACCGCCACCAAATCCACATATGCGCGGTGGCATTGGTTACCTGATGCACATAAGCACGCTGGCCGTATATACTCAAGCCAAATGTAATTCATGGTGTCTGTGCGTCGGTCACCGCCACCAAATGCACATATGCGCGGTTGCATTTGTTACCTGATGCACATATGCACGCTGGCCGTATATACTCAAGCCAAATGTAATTCGTGGTGTCTGTGCGTCGGTCACCGCCACCAAATGCACATATGCGCGGTGGCATTTGTTACCTGATGCACATATGCACGCTGGCCGTATATGCTCAAGCCAAATGTAATTCATGGTGTCTGTGCGTCGGTCACCGCCACCAAATGCACATATGCGCGGTGGTATTTGTTACCTGATGCACATATGCACGCTGGCCATATACAGTACAAGAAACAGCCTCGGCTTCGCCTCCGCGTTTCTTGGGTTCTAAACTCCTTGGCCGGTTTACGGATTGTTAACTTAGAACGGATAAATCTGAAGAGCCCGATAACAACAATTTTATAAAAAAATGGATGTTTTGGTTTCGTGCAGTCGAACGCAATTACTTTGGCTTTACAGATCATTTTTTGTTAAATTTTCTTAGCGAAAAACCATCCGAATCTAATCACCCACGAGAGTATCACATTACAAACTAAAAGGACGCTAAGACTGGACAGTGGTGCTAGATAGGTAACCCATTAAGAACTTAGCAGGCCCTGCTCTATTTTGCTCAGTAATATTGCAGTTTGGTCATACGTTCACCTAACGGGCTCTGTGCACTGGATAGCTTTGGTAGCTCGGTCACCCACCTACCTAACGGGATCTATGCAAAGGACAGTACTGGTAAACTCGGTCATTAGATCACTTAACGGAGTTTATGCGCTGGACAGTAGTGCTAGCTCGCTCATTAGATCACTTAACGGAGTTCGTGCACTGGACAGTAGTGGTAGCTCGGTCCCGCGTTCACCTAACGGGCTCATTGCACTGGACAGTATTGGTAGCTCGGTCACCCATCTACCTAACGGGCTCATTGCACTGGACAGTATTGGTAGCTCGGTCATCCATCTACCTAACGGGATCTATGCCCTGGACAGTATCGGCAGCTCGGTCACCCATCTACCCAACGAGATCTATGCATTGGACAGCATTGGTAGCTCGGTCACCCATCTACCTAACGGGATCTATGCACTAGACAATAGTGGTAGCTCGGTCACTAGATCACTTAACGGAGTTCGTGCACTGGACAGTAGTGGTAGCTCGGGCACGCGTTCACCTAACGGACTCTGTGCACTGGACAGTATTGGCTTGGTCACCCATCTACCTAACGGGATCTATGCATTGGACAGTACTGGTAGCTCGGTCACCCATCTACCTAACGGGATCTATGCACTAGACAGTAGTGTTAGCTTGAGCCTTGGTCACGCGTTCACCTAACGTGCTCTGTGCACTGGACAATATTGGTAGCTCGGTCACCCATCTACCTAACGGGATCTATGCACTGGACAGTATTGGTAGCTCGGTCACCCATCTACCTAACGGGATCTATGCACTGGACAGTATCGGCAGCTCGGTCACCCATCTACCTAACGAGATCTATGCATTGGACAGTATTGGTAGCTCGGTCACCCATCTACCTAACGGGATCTATGCACTAGACAGTAGTGGTAGCTCGGTCACTAGATCACTTAACGGAGTTCGTGCACTGGACAGTAGTGTTAGCTCGGTCACGCGTTAACCTAACGGGCTCTGTGTGCTGGGCAGTATTGGTAGCTCGGTCAGCCATCTTCCTAACGGGATCTATGCACTGGACAGTAGTGGTAGCTCGGTCACTAGATCACTTAACGGAGTTTGTGCACTGGACAGTAGTGGTATCTCGGTACTCTTTCACCTAACGGGTTCTGGGCACTGGACAGTGGTGGTAGCTCGGTCACTTACTCAATTAGCGATTTTTTGACGCACTCAATCACTAGGTGAGTGACTGACCGAGCTCAACCTGTCCAGTAAGAAATATCGCTAGGTAAGGAGAAAAATCGCTAGGTGAGGATGTGACCCTGCTACAACTACTGTCCAGTGCACAGCCCGTTAGGTGAGCAAGAGCAAAGCCCGCTCGATGACTCACTCACCTAGAAATTTCGCTCAGTGGGCAGTAATGGTGTTTCGGTCACTCACTTGTCTAGTGATTTTTCTTACTGGTCAGTGGTGGTAGCTCGGTCACCCACTCATCTAGAGATTCCGCTCAGTGGTCGGTGATAGTGTTTCGATCACTCACTCGTCCAGTGATTTTTCGTATTGATTTTATATTTGATATTTTTACATTTTATATCGGTTGATTTTAAACGTGTTTCGAGCTCGGCAACACCGGCAGCAATATTTGAATAACGCGAGTGTTTGAATAAGTACAATAATTTATTTATTTTTCGGTTGAATTAGTGTGATAATTATGTCAATTGGTATTTTGTATTGTATCTAGGCAAATATTTCTAAGTTTCAAGGTGACCTTTAAGATGGGTTGGATCAATCTGGTCTTGATGCCGGCTCAATATTTTCATAAAAAAAAACACATGCCGGCCACTTCTGAACTATCCCGGATCTAATGGCGTTGTCCGTTTTTCCAGAAGTTTTATGGTTATAGAGATCTCAAAACTATGGGGCGCCGCGCGTAGTATAGATCTTGTACTTAATACTCAAGCCAAATGTAATTCATGGTGTCTGTGGGTCGGTCACCAACGCGGCACCGCGAAAGGCAAATATGCATGGTGATGTTTGCAGCCCGGATGCGCAAATATACACGTTAACCGTATGCATTGGTCGGTGGTCATCTCGCCGATATGATCAAAAGATTACTGATTGCTTTTCCCTTTAGGTAAAAATGGCAATAGAACGCTACAAAAGCGTCCATGAGGGCATTACACCGTATTCAGCAGATAATTCTACCATTGACTACTTTGCATATGTACATATTGTGGTGGTGGTGACCTCCCATAGCTCTGCATGAACCGGCATAAATTATTCCACAAGAGCTGAAGAAATTAAGATTTTTTGTAATTTCAAAACATGTATTCGAAACATTCACTTATCTGCAAAATTTTACGTAAATGCGTACCGGGGGCCAGAGGCCGAGATTTCACTTGTCACTGTACTACAAATTCTACCAACCGGGATTAGAGCACTAAGTAATCGAGGAGGATTGCCTACAGAAAAAGGGGTGCCAATCACTCTGTACATAGTCCTGCTACGCTTCGGTCTTGCAGTGCCCGCAAAAAGCGAGTGCACTTTCCTAGTACCTTAAGATTGCAGTAGCACTTTCCGATACCGGCCTGGTTAACCGCCTGGATCATAAAAACACCGGCATCTTCTGCAAAAACCTCCGGAATCTCCAATACGCATTCGCCGGTAGCTTGATTATATCGAGTCAGATAATCCGCATGCTTGGGAATTTCAACATCGTCTTTGAACCATTTAATTTCCAAGGGTGTAGTTCCTGCAGACAGTGTTGGTCGTGTTCGCACAAAAATAACAGAATTTTTCACGCACTACTGAAAATTCTCAAGATCAAGACCCACCTGATACGCTGCATTTTAGTTGCAGAGAATGACCTTCTTCTACCGTATGGTCAACCGACAACTCAGTGAACCTCGGAGCTTCCATATCGGGCGGCGCACCTTCGTATCGAACAACGTTGGTCTCCTCGATTCTCGTAACAGTTGTATTTTTATAGTAGCCCTCATCGCCGGGTGGCATGTTCTGGACAGTAGTTTCCGTTACAGTAGCGTCGTGGAGTGGTTTAGGAAGAGTTGGTGGAGCGGGTTTAACGTGCGTCTCCGTCCGTGCTACGGAAGCTACATCGGCTTCGTTGACCACCACAACGCATCTTGTCGTGGTCTCCCCCTCGTCATTCTTGGCCGTGCATACATATTCTCCCGAATGTTCCGGTTTGGGGTTCTTGATTTCCAGAAAGCAGCGGCTCTCTTTCGGCTGGGTCAAATCATGATGAAAAGTGCTGACTTTGGCTGGCTCTTCTCCCATCAAAATATCGACACTGGCCAGGACCACATTACCATTTTTTCTCCATTGCACTTGCGGCTCTCCTACGCTGGACACGATTGCTTCCAGACGTAGAGGGTTACCCGGCTGGACATCCACGTTTTGTGGCAAGTTTTTTCTAAATTCCGGCTTGGGCGGTTTAGGCGGCACTGGCGGCGGTACTTTTGTGTGGATTTTCACGTTGCAGGTGGTTTTTGTTTCGCCCTCGGGATTTTTTGCCACACACACGTACTGTCCAGAATGAACTGGTAGCGGATTGGATATTATCAGATAATGCCGGTCGACTTGTGGATTAGTGCTCAGTGGTTCCTTTCCTAGCGAAATGTCCACGTCAGCCACAACAACGTTTCCGTTTCGGTACCACTGCACGGCGGATTCCGGCTGCGCTTCGATTATTGCTTCAAGTCGAAGTGGTTCAGTGTCAGAAACCTCAACATGGTTTGGTAGGGGCCGCGCGAATTCCGGTTTGAAAGGGAGGACGGACGGTTTCGGTGGCACTTCCGGTCCTTTTGGTTTCTCTTTCACGGACACGGTGCACTGCGCTTTCGCTTCACCAGCACTATTCCGCGCCAAACAAACATATTCACCTTGATCGTCTACCGTCGGGCTGTTGATAACGATGAAAAGACGGTCAGTTTCTGGATTTTGTTGCAGTTTTTCTCTGCCCACCACCAGCTGAGCACTCGGAGTAAGTAGCACTCCATTCTTGAACCACTGCACCTCGGCCGCCGGCTGCGAGATTACTGTCGTTTCCAGTTTAATGAGTTGCCCTTCGCTGAATTCCAGACTTTCCGGAAGGATTTGCGGAAATGACGGTATCAGCGTCACCTGACTGGTCTTCTGTGGTGGAGGAGGCGCCGCTTCAGGAATTTGGGGTGGTGACGGAGGCAAGAGAACGACAGTGTGAGATCGTGATTCGCCAGCTGAATTCTTTGCCACACATGCATATGGGCCCACATCTGAAGCTGTGACTTTGTCTATCAGGATAAAATGCCGATGAGTGAATGGTTGAGAAGGGATGGCTTCCTTTCCCACTGTGGTATTAGCATTAACAATAACGACATTGTTGTTTTTCGTCCAAGTCACAGTTGCCTCCGGTTGGGATTTGATTATTGCTTCTAAGCGCACCTGTTGTCCGGGCTGCGTTTCCGTTTGCGCCAAAAGCGGCATTTGGAACTCCGGTTTGACCTCCGGAAGGTCTGCCCTTTCAGGGGTATGTTCCGGTGTACGAGGAACAACCGGCGTCGATGGGAGCTGAGCATCCACAATGCAAGTGGTAACTGCTTCGCCTAATTTATTTCTAGCTTTACATACATACGTCCCGGCATTCGGAGGTGAATATTCAAAGATAACACAGGTTGCGATTTTGCCGTCGAATTTTATTACACGATTTCGGCTATCGTGCAACACAGCGCCGTTTTGTAACCATTCAATATCCGGAGCCGGCACGCCGCTAACGTGACATTCCAGCTTGACCAGCTCGCCCAGTTCACCGATCTGATTAGTCAGCAGTTTGGTAAAGAAAGGAGACTGCTCGCCGCTTTCCGCTAAAACAAATAAAAATAGCCAACATAAAAATTTTAATCTGCTTGATACAAAACGGAGCTTGCAAAAACAAAGCATGCTGTTTCTACAAATACAAACTTACTAGGAGCCGTAAACGTAATGGAGCACGTGGCAACACCTCGTGGATTCAAAGCTTTACATTCGTACACGCCCTGATCTTCAACACTGGCTGCGGGGATAATCAGTTGTGTGGTTCCTTCTTCGTTGGGTGGTAAGACCCGTAACTTTGTTTTTCCAGGCACAATAGCTATACCGTTTTTGTACCAGGTCACGGTCGGCCGAGGGTTGCCGATCACCTGACATTCGAACTGCAAACCGGATCCCTCAACGGCGGTGGCATCCTGCGGTGTCTTTAAGAACACCGGGGGCGTCATTTCAGCAGTCGGCATTTCTTCGTCCAGAACATTCAGGCGCGCTTCGGAAACCGCTAAACCACCGGAGTTCTCCGCTGAACAACTAAACAATCCCGTATCCTCCGGGAAAGTTTCCTCGATTTTTAGCGCACATTCTCCGGTTTGTGAATCGAAGGTGATTCGGTAATCAGGATTATTGGAAATCGGCATCCCATCACGGAACCATCTGACAACCGGCACCGGCAAGCCAACCACACGGCACCGAAATTCGGCTGGTTTTCCAGCAGGCACGTCTACCTGGTGCAATTGCTCTTCAAATCTGGCCGGCTGTAGCTGAGCTTTTTGAGCCACGGGGACAGCTGGAGCCGCTACCGGTTTCTCATGTACAACGGGAATGGTGTGCTCGTCCAGTTTTTGTGTCTTTGTCGGCGGCTGGCCGGCTTCGAGTTCTTCGTTCGACTTCGATCGTGTTAACTTTACAGTTTTTGAGTGAAGATTCTCCGCTATACTGAAGAGCTCATTACTGATGACTGAGAATGACTCCATAACATCGCGGTTCTTCTTAATCAGATATTCCACTCGACTGGGACCTTTTTGGCCTGTTTAAATTTAAACAGCTGTGATGCTAATTTTTCATAACAACGGTTAATTGAACTTGCTTCTACGTCGACACCTCGAGTCACATACCGAAAACTTGCAGACTAATTTCCATTAATGATTTGACCCGTTCTTCTTGTCTCTTTTCCCCCGGACCCAAAAAATGTTCCATTTGACTCAAAACATTGTTAGCGTCTTCCGGACCTTTGCACTCGGTTGTCTTCCGCCCGATTGTCACAAGTGCCTGAGTGGCTTCTTTGTACCATTGCTCCGCCTACAAGACAACAAAGCACCACTCACAATTCTTGCCGCCAAAACACCAACGTGGTCCATGATTTCTCGTTTTACGAACCTCCTCGAGTTTTTCGTAGAAGTTTACGGCTAGTTCTGTCCTCTTTGTCATGGCACCCACGTCACGGTAGAATGTAGACCACAATTTTTCCACCTCGTCTTTCGCTGGACGGATATCGGGAAATTGTTTAGCGGCCTCGGGGGTGCAGAAACGAAAGTGGTCACAGTCGACACATAATTTTTGACTTGTGTCGAAATCGTCTAAAATGGTAATAAAATCAAGGCAGCTGAAAAGGGGTATTATTTATTACCGTACTTCAACGCTTTGGGTAAAACTGGTTTGAATTTCCTGTATCCTTTTTGCTCCTTGCAAGCTTTCGCCCATTTCCTCTTTACGTCGATTAAGTTGATCGGTCAAATCAGTGATTCTTTGGCGAAGCTAAAATAACATTTTATAGTGTGCGGATACACTTTTGATTTTGGGTAGTGTAATACGATTCATTGTTTTATTACTTCTTCGCCGTCTTTCCGCAGTTTCATTACGTTAAGGTGGTTCTGCAACAGGAGATTTTGTTGATTCCAGATCCGATCCCACGTGGCGCGTTTGTCCTTGACACTTTTGTGGAAGGTGTCCAGATCAATGGACTGTGGATAATTTTGCCGGATCCTGTTGATTATGACATCGCCCATGTGGACGACGTCTTCGTATACCCGCGTAATATGTTCACGCTGTTCGCTGTGGCGGTGGATGAACTGTTCTGTGGCTTCCACACCACCCGGCAGCGAAGTGTTGATCATATTCTCATACGAAAACATCAGTTTTTCTAGCTGAAAACCATAAAACGATTTAATCCTGCACAATACTTCTCGGTACATATTGTAAGCTGATTGTGAAATCAAAACGGCAAAATCTCGTTTTTCTACATGGACCATCCGAAAAACTACAGCAGCCGAGCATGCGGCTGCAAAGATCGTTAAGGCAAATACCTCGTTAACACGACCATAAAATTCACTGGCCATCTTGAGCAGAACTTTGTATTCTTCGATACGTTGGACAAATCGTTCGTATGCTTTGGTAAGGTCATTAACGACCATGTCCCTTTCCGAAGCCGTTTCGGCATCGACAGGCGGGGCTTTGGCTGTCTGGACCAATCGATCCACCTTGCTACGAACCTCCTAATAACCCAATGAACTGATAAATTTTTTGCACAGCAGAAACGCAGTAGAATTAATGTACATACATTAAGCGTCGGCTCGAAAGCCGATAATTTGGATCGGAGTTGATCCGTTTCCTCCTGGTTTGCACCGAGATATCCCAGCTGCAGTCCCTGGAAGGCTTCCCGCTCCGTTTTGATGATCCAAGTTATGGTCTGATGGACTTCTTCCACAATTTCCCGCCAAACTGTTCGTTTCTGACGCATACTCTGCGAAGCTTTCGTAATGTTAGCGAAATTCTTCAAATCTTCCTGCAACCGCTCCAGAGTGGAATTGACGGCTGCCGCCGCTTGACTGACGTCGACTTGTGCCGCAGGAGCCTGCGTGACAAAACAAATCAGCTTCTTTTTGCACATGACTCATTGCAGTAGCTCAATATATGTCACAACAAACCTTGGGGGTGGTTGTGAAGAAATCACCGGCTTTTTGTTGTAAGGCGCTGATCAAATCGTGTAATATGGTCAATCGGTGTTCGAAGTTGCTGGCGTGCAGTTCCGAGGACGGATCTTCATTGTACAAATTGGATATGCTGCGCAAGACATCCACTTCAGCGGAAACCCGAGATGCCACCTTCTGGAATTCTGCATACGGCAAGACGATATCCAGCCGGGATTTGAGCATGCTTTCTAGGTCACTCCAGCGGGTTTTCATTTCGGCCGATTTCTCCGCGACTTCCTTTAATTCAGCCGGATCAAGACCAGCCGGCTGTTTGGTAATTTGAGCAACCAGGGTCATCAACGCTTCAAAGTCCGAATCACGTGTCCTCATTTCGTCGTATAATTGTTCATGCAGATCCAGAAAATCCTTTGCACCATTTAAAGATGGAGGTAAAATTCGATGAGCCTGAAATCAATTCGAGAGAGGCTGTTACAGCAAAATTTAAGAAAAACCTGTGATATGAGTGTCATCAATTACGAGCTAATTATTGTACAAAAATTAACTTTAGGCTAATTACCTACCGTACGGTACAGTAGGCGTTGCCGTTATTATGAAAATTTATGAACACCCTCCAAAATTTTCTCGAATCTTTTACTACATTTTACTCAGGAGAAAGTTTTCAACTTTTAAACATGCGCTGAAGAACAATAAAGAATTTTTTTCCATTTTCATTTCAATGTTTTTATGGAGAAACCATACTTACGTTCCAAAGATACGTTCAGTTAGTTAAGTTAATGTTTTAGCGAATGACAGAAATTGTACCCTACTGGTTTATTTGCTACATTACTGCCTGCATATAGGACATCGACGATTCTGAAACGAATTAATCGTTTCCAGAAGGATTAATTTTTCGTTTTTCTTTCATAGGAGTATTGTATGATACATAATCCATTCTTTTACCTTGAGCAAAACTTCGACCACGTGAACTGTCCATTCATACAACGAAGTATAAATTTCCGTAAATTTCCGAAAGACCTCGCCTCTCTTGGCCAGCGAACTTTGCAAAGCGGCACATTTCGCGGTCAGAGCATTTAATGCGTTTTGCAGATCACGTAGGGCGTGCTCAACTCCGCCGGCGTCAAGTGTCTCTACGCGCTCCAGTAACATTTGGCCCTCATGGAAAACTGGAGCAGCAGCAAATTTCGCGCTGTCCAACAGTTCCTTCTGCCGTGCCACCAAATCTTGCGGCTTAATTTGCTCCTTCTGTGTATCCATTTGGTTCAACGCTTGATCCGTCTGGGAAATTATCGTCAGAGTGCTCTGGTATTTTTCATAAAATTCCACGGTAAGGCTCAACACAAAGCGGCGCCGGTCAATGCGCAGATAAGTTTTTTCAATTTGATCAACAAGTTGCTGAAATTCCCGATCCACTTCCGGTGGACAAGGCGAAATTTGTGCGTGAAGGCGGCGCAGTTGTAACGAGCTATCGTAAATTTCCTGCAAAATTTAAAACATTCACATTCATTTAAACTGCAAAATTTAAGATTTGAACATTCCTGCAAAATGTAAAGTTTGTATAAACATTCAATTTCCGCAGTTAATAAATTTTCATTACTTTGGCGCTGGTTTCATGTTGTTGATGAGCTGTCCAGATCGTTTTGGATTCTGGAAGGTTACTTCCAATGGTTGTGAATTTTTTTTATCCGCCGCTAGGAGAATTTCAAACAATTTCCGTAATTTCTCCATGCTTTGCTGTAATGAGAGGAAATTTTGGTGCGATAACAGTTGTTGCCGGCGTCGCTGCCACAGTTCTTCCAATCGTTTCCGCCGGTCATGTACTTTTTCCAGCAATTCCTCTACAATGTGGCATGCAGCTGTGGTTGCATGGTCGTAACCTCGCGAGTCGGCGGCTGGTATGCGCCGTAAATCATTAATGAACTCCACCAGAGCTTGAGCTTCGCCAAGCAGCCGCATCGACGACTCCAAAATGTCTGCAACATTTACAGTAGACGTGAACTGTGTATTGTATGTACTGTACTCTGTATACTATATAGATATATGCGTGTTACTACATAGGTGGACCGCGCGTTTTGCGAACAGCTGGTCCTTCGAGCGACGAAATTATTCTTAACAATTGTTTAAATGCTGTTTGGCATTTGATATTAAACGTCGAGTACCGGAAACAACGGTATACATACCATTATTATTTATTTTATTAACCTTTATTTCCTAATTACTCACATAGTCAACGTCTATGTGCGCTAACCGTTGTCGCAACCTTTTCTATAAACTATAAGGTATGATTTACTTTGCCAGTTAGTAACTTGAAGCACAAAGAAACCGAAAAGACATCGAAGTACAGTTTATACAGTGCCGGCTATTTAAAGAAAGAAAAGAAAAAGGCGAAATGACACCTGTATGTCGTACTACATTCATTAACAGTCGTTACTCACCTTTACGAATCATCGTGTTTTCCTGTAGCCAATCTTTTGCGCTACCGGTGTAGCTATCCATAACTTTCTCCATTTCTTTTTGAGTTTCAGTAATTTTTTGGTTGCACTGAAAGTAATAATACAGAGTATTACCTACCTGGGATGTTGCAACTATGACTGAAATAACATTGAGGAAATGCATTTTACGTCACCACTACCGCAAAGTTAACTTCTGCAACTAATTTTTCGTATTTGCGTACTATATGTACGTTCAATTAAGTTATATCAAGCAGGCAAACATTGATTCACTGCACGAAGTGCAACATGGAAAAATCAGTAGCCATCCATCCATTCACAAATCAGGATATAAAATACATGATTAATTACAATGTTTCGCTGGGTATAATTTTCGAAAAACTACTCGGGCATATGCATCTGCACTTTGCAGCTATGTCCTGATAACCAGGTTTGAGAAAACGGAAATGACTTGAGAATTCCTAATCAACGCAAGCAATACGAAACTTTAAGAAAACCCTTTAAAAAAACCATGGTAGCGGTGTTTACAGTAAGTACTTTGGTTTAAAAAATAGGACGTGAGAAGACAGTTCCGGCAACACAAGAGAAGCATTGCATATTTAGTGACGAAATGGGAACGTACATGGGAACGTGGGAATAGTGGTTACATGGGAACGTTTGTTCCCATGTAACCATTATCGGCCTTTGATTAAATAATAAACAGTGTTTGATTAATTCGCCATCATACCTCTTCAACCTTCTGGTGGAACGCAATAGCTCGTTCTAAAAGAAGTCTCCGATATTCCAGAAGATCATTCAAATCACGCCAAGCCTGACCCAGACTATCGGCCATTGCGCCGTAAACTTCCCGTTTGGGTTGTTGGGTGATTATCAAGTCATCCGCTTGAGCCAGCAATTCCTCCACGTTTGGTTGTTTAGCCTGGTCGCAAAAAAAATTTTATAATAAAAGATTTTATTGTCAGTCTGCATAAATTTGTATTATGTCGCGCGCCTTATCCAACAAACTTAAACGGTGCATTACACGCTGACCACATGGCTACTGACAAATTATCGGCTGAAAACAATTAAACGGCGCATGTTAACATACAGTAATACATCTGCCAACCGTCAAAAACCGAAAAGAAAACCCGCTTCGCCCACAACCAGCCGCGATCACAACACTGCATGAGGGCGCATAAAATTTTCTTTTGACCAGATGCGTCAAGAAAAGTTGCGTGTAGAAAAGGTGATAGTTTTACGGCAATAAAAAGGTTGGCAAAGATGAGTTATTGAGAAATAAAAATCCATTCGGAAATGTTTGATGATAAGTGCGATAGAAGTATCGCTCATGATCAGCAGTCACACATATAAGTACTTAATGGTATGTCTAGCACAGGAATAATTGATTACGTATACGCATCTGCGGAAAGGGCAACATTCTTTCAAACATAAAGCACGAAATAGGGAAAGGGTGTTGCATCCACAAACCTTTGGGTGAAGTGGTCAGTATTGCACTTGAAATAATCGGCATCTTTATCATGTTAAATTATTTTACCATTCCGTGACTGAGCTACGCCTTGCTAACAGACTAAAAGGGCCCATTTTAAAAAATTCTGTACTGCAGGGTGCTAGCGATATCAATAGGATATACAATTTTCAAATAATACTGCTCTTCAGCCATCTTTTGTTTACATTTACAATCGAAAACATTAATCATACGGCTCCAACTGGGTCGGTACATGTGAGCACATGGAAGTCAGATGGTTATTTAGGGATCTTTATAACCGTGAGCGAGTGATTTTGCCCGCAAACAGGATGGATACCTTTTTAAGAACTAACTTAAAGAAGTCTGTAGAACTTACAATTAATTAATTAGAAGCGCGTGCAGTCGTCAGAGTGATAAGTTGCTTTAATTTTGTTCTTATTTGTTCCCTGTGATCAATATGCATAATGAGAAAATATCCTCACAGTAGCAAGAAGCTGCATTTGCAAATAATAGATACTGCAGTATCTATTATTTTGCAAATGCAGCTTCTTGCACATTCCTCTTTGTCCAGCTGGACAAAGAGGAATGTGTTGTACTGTACATATCCTAGTCATTAGTTTTACGAACATAACGAAACAGTTGGTTAAAATTAAACTAAAAGAATAAGCATTTGCAAGAAAATTATCATTTTTAAAAAAATGAAGTATCTTTTTAACTCATGACCTCTTAATAATTTGCACTCATAATAATTTGCACACTCATAATAATTTGCGAATCTTAATTAAAGGACTTATCCAATTAAATTTGAAGTACGAGTACGTAATACCTTTTGCATGCTTCTACGCTAATATAAGCTTTGGCTATAAACTGCCCTAAACATATTGCCATGCTCTTGATCGTGAACTTTATTATCAACTTTGCTGGGTTTGTTTACTATGAGACGTACCGCAAGTTTGGCCAAGCATTCGTTATGCTCTTTGGCCAAAGATATTGCCTCCTCCAGCGATTTTCCAATGTCGGCAATCCCCGGCTCCATTTCTTGAACCCGCAGGTGTAACTCATCCTTGTGCTGCTCATATCAAACGAATTTAAGTTTTAATATACTTGTGTTTTATCGTAATAATTTTTCTATATTGAGAAACTGTGGTCTTACCGATAGCACGTACTACGACAAAGCAGAAGTTATCAAAGCTGGACGGTAAATATTTATGAAAGACAATTAATTTGTATTGGTCATAACGCACATATAAAGAGTGGGCAAATAAGATTGATTTGGTATCATGTGCCTATGGTGGCGGTGACTCAATATGATTAATATCTAGGTGGTCTATAATAATACTTTTGCAAAATTAATGACAAAGATTTTTTACAACAAAAATTCTGCGTTGGGGCTTATGCTTCCCGTTTTCCAGACGGCATAATTACTGTAGAGTAAGTTTGGTGTTGCTGCTTGTCGGCAGTGCCCTGCTTAATGGTTGGACACTTGCCAAGGGTGAAGAAAATGTCGAGCACTAACGTCGATAGTTTTTTTCTAAATTGTGCCAGTAGCACTACTCTCGAATTGGAGAGCAGCGAAAAAACTATTCTCAATCCAGTCGATTGCGGTACCATTGAAATCGGCGGTTTTTTATGTACTGCGTAATAGTGTATGGATGAAAATACAGTACTTTCTTTTGGTTCTTCCTGTGAATGCACCAGGTTTGAACTAGCCGAATAGGTTTGAAGGAACTGATAACAGCGTAAATATGTAGGTAAATGTTATACAGTTGCTTTACATAACTACTGGCTTTATTAATCTAGCGAGCAATGGAAAATTTGCAGTTTGAAAGAAACGTCCTTGCATGGTTTTATAAATGATAAAAGTTAAAATTCTAGTTCTGCTGTTATAATTACCGGCAGACGTTTATCAGTTTTATGCATTTTAATGACTAGTATAACCATGAGAACTATATATAGTAATTTTTCTCATAGATCATGATCTGGCTTTGATTTCACGGACAGTAAATTTGTTTACAGATAGCAATGCCAGTTTGAAAAAGAGTTTACCTTCAGCACAGCAAGCACAATCCGTGTACGTCCTGTTTGTACGGCAATTGTGCTGATAGTTGTTGCCGTCAGATTTGTTGCCAACGCATCCGTCATGATTGCCGCCACAGATTTCCAGATACACGCAGTACTAGTTCCGCAGCGCACCGGTGTGAACTTTTTTCAGACAAAAAATGTATTTAATCCATAATCTGGATATCGGAAAAACAGTGTATGCAATATTTCCCATGCGCCGCTTCAGTTTCCGCATTGAAAAGACATTTCCATAGATCCCGGCGATGTTTGCCGCTAAGCGCAGTCTACTGACCGTTAAGCGCAAGCAAATTTAGTTATGGATAGGACAGCAAGCGCTTGTTTGCATCCACAAACAACAAATCGCAACACTTGCTGATATGCACGTCGCGATGTGGATTACTTTCTCAAAATACGCATATGTATGTTCCGGTGTAAAATTGGCTCACAGTGTTTAACGTAATACAAATTTGCTATGTAGCCCGATGACGTAAGCAGACGTATTTGTGGCAGGCGCAGCAGCAGTAAGTATTATACGGCCTACATGTTAACAAACTTCAACTTGAACCTGCAGCTCGCGCGCAGGAAGATGCCACCAAATTTTTACGGCGTCCTTCGTTCAAGCAAGCATTCAAGATACGCCGTGCAACGTTTATGCATTATGCCGACCGTCCGTGGTGCAGTGCGAGTATTTCACCGGGAGTCACAGTTTTAAGCTTGTTTAGGTGTCTCTCGGTTCAGACATTCAAAATCGGTTAAGTGGTGTACACTTAGCGCCACAAACAAGTCTGAATATTTGTAGCAAATCTGTTGATTGTTGTTCGCAAGGTACCGTAAGCTGCCGCGATTTTAAGTGCATATGGATAAAAAAAGAATGCTTTCTACTTTATTTTGCCGACCATTACGCAAGTGTGCCGGGTATGAAAATTAAAAGCGCCGAGCTTGACTGTAAGTTCCGATGTGCTACAGCTGTCTATAGGTATCCAAATTTGGACATCATCAAGACTGCGGTTTCCTTGTATAAACGGATGACGCTCAAGCATAATCATCTGGGTTTCACTTCACAAGCAAAAACTGGGCGTGCGCGTAAAGCAGCGTACGATGCTACGTATACATCAAATAGTGTGGCGATCAGCTGTATGTATCCCTTGTAAAAGTTGTTTCTTGTTTTTCAAGCAAAAGAAAGGTTTGCTAACCTTCAACTGAGAGTTACAAAAGCACTGAAACAGAAATAACGTCCGAAAAATTTTAAGGGAATCAAAATAGTTTTCTCGTATCACACAAATGTGGACGACGTTCACACTTCACACACAAAACACAAGTACACTGAGATAAAACTAATAAAAGTTAACTCTACAGACTAGATGCGTTATTGATGTACGCTACATACCACGATGGTCCCCGAAATCCTTACAATTAGCAGTGGGCACACCAGACTGACCGCACAATAATTTAATTAATTAACAAGTATTTTGACATGCTGCGAAGAACAATCAATATATGCACAGGAATGCACAAAACTAATTGCATTATATCTACTTTCAGCGTTCGCATTTGTAATACATACAATTACAAGTAACAAGCAGCAATTCTATCGATCCACACAAAAAAACGTTAATCCATGCCCACGGGGATTGGATAAGCAAAATTATGCATATCGTAATTAATACTGCCTCACAAGGGAAAATTTTCCGATGCAGATATTAAAACCGAACTAAACCAGCATTATAACTCCGTAAAAACAAATTAAAAAACACCCTATACAATTCTGCATGCTAATTAGCAAACAAATATAGAACTCTCAACCGGAAACAAACTTGAGTTAACTAACAGATCCCCACAACTCACCCAAACCGGAAATCTTGCGAGGTAAAACTGTTAACAAATTGATACATGAAATTGTTTCTCAGTTCTGTTCCAAAATTAAGAGTTCAAAAATAAAAAATGCAGTATTCCATGCATCTTTGACGGCCAGCCGTTACGCTACCACTTCTCCTTGTGCCGGTCTCAAAAAATCTTGGCTGGAACCACTCCCTGTGCTTACGCTGAGATCAGAATCTGTCGAAATAATACGAAATTTGGGATATTTGCCATGAGACCGATGGTGTAGCGGTGGCAAAAAGCATATCACAGCCATTGCCATTGCAATATGCCAGACGCTATGTACGAATTTGTAGTTTGTCTTGGTTTCCACGAAGGCAAACAAAATCAATCCCAATGCAGCAAATGCGAATCCGGGCAGAAAGTGCCTTAGCCAGTACATTTTCTGAGGGGCGATTTTTTTCATGCGGTAAGACCTGCAAAAGGAAATAAGGTTAAAAATTTAGTCATCGAAGAAGACAGATACAAAAAAATGTACCTAAGTAGTTACGAAACGGACAATCATACGTGCAAAAATTTCTCCATTTAAACGTTTAAAAATTATTTTACGCGAAATTCGACTCGATTCTAATACAACTCGAATCCTACCGCAAGTTCTATAATCCCAGGGCTGCAGTTAATTAAGCAAGTTCTGTTGAATGTAACTCTAGGTTTATTCAGTATACGGCGTCAACCTATTTAACAGCTCTATCAATGAATTAAACTTACCGAAATCCCCAAGATACAGCCAGAATAATCACAGCGGTCAATGCGGGAACAGCAAATACCCATAAACCAGTTTTTTCGTACTCGACGCCCAGTGCGATCCCAATGCATCCGACCATATGGCACACCGATTTCAACTGTGGTGGTAAATCAGCCATTGCGACAATTGTCATCCAGAAGGACAGAATGGACACGTAGAAATCACAAAATTGCAACACATTAAAATCCATAATGCAAAGCTTCAAGTATTTGGACGGTTGATCACAAGCATGGTAAAACGAGCTGAAGAAACATGTTGCTCCATAAACAACTGACTCGGTAACGTAGCGCCGTCGAACAGCCACAACCGTTGCAGGGATGAAAAACACGTTGCTGATAGTCAGGAAAAACAGGGAGAGCAAGAGATCAGTTGTGGTGTCGGCCGTCGAAGAGTCAGTACAATCCCATCCCTGCCATCCTGCAGTACACACGCAGGCACTGGTGATTAATACACCACTACTAAGCGATACTCTGCAGTTGCCGTGAAGGCCACAAGAGCCCTGATTGCACTGATCCGTCTTCACAGTTAATTCAACTGGTAAATACTCGACGATATTTGATTCAATGGTGACCAGCGGCCGGCCTTGAATGTTCAAGTGCCATGTTCCCACTTCCGGATAAGGGATTAGGACTTCCGAGTAAAGATGCGTTGCATTAACGATCAACAAAGGTCCTTGGCAAGTTTTAACAATCTGAAAAAATTAAATACATTAAAACAAAATATTCTCAACTGCCTAAGCTTGGAGCTGTCGATAATATATGCACTGATCATCTACCGCACAAAACATGTTCCACGGCTTACATCGAATCGAGAATTTGTACCCAGATGTAGACATGCCACAATGGTAAGATTCTCCAAATCTTCCATTTCGTTGTCAGTTAAATTCAGTGCAACATGCAGTGTTCCTCCTGTATCTCTGTATGGCTCAATTTCAAAACGCAAAACGGTATCCGAAAATACAGAGCGTGGCACAAATATGTACTCGGAATTTGGCATAGCAAAATTTGTAACTCCAAAGCTACTAGAAAATGCCGGCATGTACTCCAATCGCGGCATATCTCGTACATAAGGGCAGTGTGGCTGTTCCAAAGGCACCTGCAGCTGTTCGGCCGATACTTGATAAAATGTGTCGTTGACCATTTGTCCAGAAGAAAAATTGCCCGAACCCAATACCCTGCTAGTATTAACAGATGCACTGGGCAGCAGTGACTGCTGTAGCCATTCCTTAATAGACACCAAAGGTCCGCTGCAGGAAACCGGGGTGACAGTGATAAGAAACTCCGCAGCTTCGTTTTTGCCGAATTCCGTAAGGATATACTGGCACTTCTTCTGGATAGGCGGATACTTCAGCTTACAAACAGTTGTTCCACACTCCTTCCGGTGCATAAAAGATGTGACATTCCCCGATGGGATACCATCGGAACGCGCGCTGATTTGAAGAGGGCATCGCGATTGTTTATCGCACTTTATCACTACTTCGACTGAATCGTAGTAGTCTCCCTAAAACACCACTCAAGTGATAAAAAGGAAGAATTTGTGACTGAAGCGTATGCGTTTTAATTTACATAACGGCACTGCAAAAAATCGATATCTTATACTGCACAAAAATAGTCAAAAATCAAAATAAAACCAAAATAACACTGACTATTGATCGATATAATTTTATTAAATATAATTTTATTAAATTGGTTTACGCAGTGCACAATACAGACACGGTGTACAGCACAGAACAGAGCATGTAGTGGGAGCATTCGTTTAAAGAAAAATAACGCCAACAAATTAAATAATCACAAAAATATCTGCCTATTTCGCCTGTTTCCGTTGCAGTACTCGTACCAGAGTTACTGCTATATATACACTGTATGTACAGCAAAAGAAACAAGAAAATATACTTGGAACACAAAAGTCTGTAATCACGATTCACGCATTCACGCACCATGCACAACAGGTATAAAAAGAGCAACACTTCTGCTTGAAAGCAGCAGTCATGGAATCAATACGGTACTCTGGATACTGCAATGAACCAGAAGCAGACACAAATACAAAAGCGGAAAAGCACGACCATGCACTGAACTGAATAAGAAACGTTTGAGTAACTCTATACAGTGTTTACTTATCAATCAATTCAACAAAAATAGCTCACAAATCCAAAAAAGTTACCTGCCAGTATAATGTTATTATTCCAACCTTACTAATTAAAAAATTAAAAATTGAAAACAAAGCGGAGAATATGATAGGTAGTCCGGAAAAACAACGAAGTGAAAAAAAAACTCTAGTCAGCTGTACTCATTAGATAGCCAAAAAACCAACACTTACTTGTAAACATAAACGAAACAGCTGTCGCTGTGAGCGATTGTTATTCTGCTGAAACGCAAGCGTTCGCGCGGCCTCCAATTCCACGATGGGATCGGGAAATTTGGAGACCAAAAACGACGCAAAATACGTGATGTCACATTTCGCAAACAGACCCGTCTGCTTCATGTGCTCCTGGACTTCCTTGACAAATACGGCCGAAAACCAATAACCCTCCCTGGGAGCTGGCACCGTAATCTTCCAGGTGGTATCCGTCGCTGGAAAATCAAAATAGGCGAAATCCGAGCGGTTCCCAAACACATTATCGGCCCATGTTTCGTTTTTTAGGAGGAACAAAGGAAAACCTCCATGCTGAATAAATGCCGCGATGGTTTTGTCGTCCGAGCATCCCTTCGGAGTACTCTGGGAGGAGAACCCGAAGATGGCGCTCTGCGTGAAGGGAGGCACGACGAACTCGGTCAGCACGACGTCCTTGTACGACGCATAACTGTTAACGCGGCGGCCTGCATTGACCTGCACAACTTTATAAACCAGTCCATCTTCTAGAAACGCTGACGATGTCACGTTTTCCTCCGCTCCAGTTGGCGTGAAGTGCATCCATATGGAAAGCAGGATCACAGCTGTTAAGACGCAGTGTCCCTGTGGGGCCAACATAGCTGCTCATTGCTGGGACATTTCTCATGAATCGATTTATTATGCCAGTCTATCCACGCGGTAGGCAAATGAACTTGCAGTTTTCCCGGATTCGCAAATCGCAGTGCAGTCAACAAAATTACAAGATGGTAACAATTGCTTCAACTTGCTGACAAACATCAAAATCCGATAACAGAACCAGGTGGTGCGGTGCTGTTATTAAATCGCAATTTTGATAACGACAGCCAGATAACAAACGAACAGCTGTCAAAGTGTTGTTCACGCATCCATCGTCCCAAAGTCCAGAAAGAAACTTATTTCCCAGGCGTCAGGAACTCACATTTCACAGACCTACTAAGATGCATCGATAAAAGGTCTGGCAAAACTGAAGATGCAATTTTATCGATTGCCCGACCACAAAGTAACAAAATAATTTTTATCCTGTTATAATACAGTTACTAGTACTGTATGTTGTTCATGCTTGGAACAAATCATTACGTGCGGTCGTGTGAAGTCTTTCTGACAAACGATTCTGCGCCTGTACCGAGATTGCCTTACGACTACGTCACTGCACTCGTATTATTATTGTGACTCGATCGGCGTGAGCGTGTAAAAAGTTGTTTCCACTTTTCGGTCAAACTCCGGTTTAATCATCAAACCGAACGACAACCGCGAAAACGATATTAATAACATTTAAATTATTTTATTTGTTTAAGGTACATACTTCTTTCTTGGGCTCTGTACCTATATACTGGCTAGAAGCATTTAACAGCTACAAACTACAAACTAAAACGAGACGTACAACAGAAGTACAGATGTTCCATGTATATATACGCTTATCATATAGATGTAGTATATTTTCATGAATTATTGAATGCTTAATTCATAAAAATTTATTTTTCTCTCGAATAAGAGGAAATTTTCTTCTTTTTCGAGAGAAATATAAGTACTGTATCATTTTTGGAAGAGGAGTGAACGTTCCTTAGCAATCCCACATGCACCACCTGAAAACACAGTACCATACACATGCACACACATGCACAAGCAAACCAGATCCACCGTCCTGATTCGCAAATCATACTTTAAAAAAGAAAAATCTGGATGAAGTTTTACCTATCAGGCTATCACCTATGTCAACTTTGACCGGTCAACGCGCACTGCGCAAGATCACTGTTAGATATGTTAGTACAGTACATGCTAACGTGGCTCGCAAGTTGCCGGCCAACTTGATTTCCGGTGAAACCTGCGAAAGAGCCGGCCAGCTCAGGCCATGAAAAACAACTACGACTCGCCACCAGAAGTGTAAAATACGGTCGATGACTCTTTGAAACACGAGGTTTTTAACAGGAAAACAACACCTCACCTATACTCGGCTATTGTGAACAACCACCGGGTGTGCACTGTGCAACCTCGTGAGTTGGAAAACCAGTTCCGAAACAGTCTATCGGCAAATACTACAATGATGCGTTTCATGCATTAATTCATGGTTCCTTTTAACTATAATGATGCGAATTCTAACATCCTTTAATACGAAAAACCCCAACCAAATACGCAACCAGTCTTCGGACATGGTTAATTATAGCTGTTCGTATGACTCAGATTAGTAACAGCCGATATTGCGCATGTATGCGGTAGGACTTTCCAGTAAGTAATTAACTGCGCACCACAAGCTACAGCCAAATTCTTTTTACTAGTAAACTGAATTCAGATTTTCGCACAATTTTGATTATATCCGAGGCATCATTCGATACTATTAACACTCACTCAAAAAAGGAACTGAAATCCACATAAAATACACAATTAATTTTCTCAAAACAGATTATCAGATCCTGAAATGGCCTATACCAGTGGAAAACAAATATCAGTAGAAAACAAATCAGCGCCATCGCAGTGCGTAACCATTCAACAATTTCCTTTATTACGGAAGGACGTATCCCTGAGATTTCATTGACGGTGAGTAATGCAGTAAGCACAAAAACCAACGTCAAAATGGCGTGCTATTTAAGGGGTAGGGAAAAAGTAAAAGTTTAACGAAACTGCATAACAGGGAATACACAGTCAAGGTAAAAATAACGGCAATTAAGCGTAGCAGAAAAAACTAACAAGTAAAAATATCAAAAATTAACAATCCTAATATAAAACCAACGAGGCCGACGCATAACTCACAGAAGAATCACGAGTCGATTTGCATGGATTCGACTGAGCATATTTGGTAAACTTGAGCGCCATTTTGGGAATATTTGGACGGTCACGCAACGACTCTGACATTGCCAACAGAATCGAAATGGGATTACGACCACAAACCGTATTTCCGTATTCCTGCAAGTAAGCACGGAATTTCTTTGCGTTTAGTTCTTCGATGATATCCATTCCCTAAAGCAAAACCACGCCGCATTACTTAGTGCGCTATTTCATCGTCATGCAAACTTCAGTGAGTAGCTCACCATCACACACTGCACGCTGCAGTATTATATAAATATAGATACTTTGTTACTTACCTTAATTATACCGAATACGAGTACAGATGTTGCATTTAATTATACCTTCTTAGTCACATTAGTTATACCGATGTTTCATTTATTCAAATGTATTAGCTGCTTCGTAATTTGATAGTCTGCACCCTTACACAGAAACGTATTGAACTCAGTTATATAATCAATATATATTATATAAAATGTTTTTTTATTATGTGAAATCTTTAAGAAGCTCTTAACTATGCAGAAACTCGTATTCGTTGCAGCAACCAGGCTCGAATCCATCAGCCTGGGTGAAATTATTTAACAGTCACAAAATACATTTTCTGCTTTTCATGCATACCTATAAGTACAAGTTGGATGGGATTTCAAATGGGTTGCGTAAAGGTACGGCAGTGCGCAATGAAACGCGGTGTTGACCTTGACGTGATAGCCACTACACTACAATTGTTGCCGAAATGCCAGATTTAAAAATTTTGTACGTACTACAAATAAACTATAAAATTTTGGCTTAATGCAGAAGAGTAATTAGGCGAATATGACTACACCAATAATATTTGGCGCGCACGAGCAATGCCAAATGCCTGAAACGCCGAAATAGAATGGCGTTGCGAGTCGTGGTATCGCACTCAGCGTCACCCATGATTTGTATTTTCGGCTGTACGCAACCCATGTGAACTCCGGCTTGTACCTAAGTATTTTGATATAAATAGACCAGCATGCTTACGTAAAAATTATAAATTGAATTACATACCAGCCTGTCCAGTTTTTCAATGCTTTCGTGAATTTCCCCCCAAGCAGCATTATAATAAATGTAATTAAATCGTTTTCCTGCAACAAACAACATTTTAACAAATTCCAAGCGAAAATATGTAGACTTATGTACCGTAAAACATACATTAAACATGACGAATTAAATACGATAAACAATAATAAACAAAAAACAGATATAAAATAAATGCAAATGCATTAAAATATTTAATAGTGTACAATAAACATAAAATACTTTAATATATAAAATAAACTATATAGATATAACATGTTAAAAACCTTATTACCACTGAATCCATTAGTTTTCTACATATCACATTCCTTAGTTAGATCGAAAATGTAAAACCTGAGGTGAGATCGATAAAGATTCGGTATCCTTACCCCAGTGACAAAAATCAGACGATACGACAAATAAATTTGTGGGATCATCCAGGTATTTACTGAGTAAACTTCCGTATTCCGCTTCTTTTGCCGCTGACAAATTTCCTACCAGAACAGGAACGATGCTGAAAGAGCCTTTTCGAGATTCCATGATTTTGGCTATGTAAGGCAGATGCATTTCCAGACTGTGCTCCTCCTCATCCGTTTGCTGGGACATGTCTTGGAACATTTTCGTTGCACGTAGATCCGATACGGTAGCCTGATCGATGGGAAGGTTGTACAGCGGTGTTTCATACTGTTTCATCGTAGTTAAGGCACATCCATCCAAATATACGTGATGCGATGGTCCCAAAACAAATATTCGTTTTCTGCAGTTTGGTAAAATTAATATTAACGACACAAACCAAGATCCATGTGATACAAAACGGCCAAAAAAAAACCCAGAAATACATTCACTACTCGTACACTTAAAAAATACGTTAAACATATTTTCATACTTAAACTTACTATAAAGATATGTTTGTTGGACTTAAAAAATGAAATACGTCGACGGCAAGGAAAAACTTGGCATCCACAAGAAACGCATTAATGCATGGGTGATTTTGGTAAGTACGATGTCTGAATTGACTGTGTTCAAAATAAATCTTCAAAATCAGCAAAAGGGAAATTTAATCACGAAGCGATTATCAGCTATAACACTTACACCGTGGACGGATCAATCTGGTTATACGCAAAGGCCGCGCAAGGACCCGAATAAGCATAACCCGCGTGGCTACAAAAAGAAGGATGCGCGCTCTAATGTCGGAATCACATCATTAAGGCAGGATAATTATTCACTTACGGTGCTATAATAGCACGAGCCGAAGCCCGTCTGGGCTCGGATTCATCTGCCGCTTTCAACCAGCCACTAAGTTGGCGATCCAGTTTCGCTCCTACAACGAAACAGCCAATATATGCTGAATCACGCTGGGTACGCGCACATTCCTCGCTGGTCGCTGCACATTCGGTGATGCAGCGAAGGAAACGCTCGGATCCGCAATTACAAAAAAGGCTTAAGGAATATCAGTTATATTACTTACCATCGGAGAGATACCAGCTTCCAGCATGGGTGGCCTTACGAACTGCCATTGTGAATCAGAGATATTTACACTGGATCTGCTGAAAAAAGCACTGGATTAGAACAGTAACACCTTCAACGAGGGTGATACTCGTTGTTACTCAAAAAACTCTAAAGTCTAACACTCTTGAAGTTAAGTAGTCATCGCGTAATATCGACATAAGGGTCTAAACCCCCAAATAAGAGATACCACAAACAAACATTCAGCGTTAAGCGAGAATGTTTGAACGAAGTACCTCCAAATTCCAATAACTAACTGGAAGTCTACTTACGCAGTTGCATACGACTAACCTGGGCTCTTCTCACATTCACAGCGACCAGATAGCTGTTCGAGTCGATTCCAGGGCAATTCGCAAGTTCTACCTATAATGCTGAGGAAGTCGACTGTGCTTTTGTTCACTCAGAGCAAAACAAACAAAGACGGAAGGTGTTATAACTTAGCATAACTGCAAAAGTAAACAAGCGGAAGCCAGCAGTTTTTTGAATGCTGAAAAGTGAAAACTCATGCAGCATTAAACAGCGTATCGTGTCGAGGGGCAACCCAAGGGGTTTCCCCCTTGTTTGTTCCTAGTAGTTGTTGTCGAGTTTTCACTGCTGTCTGCTGATGACTGCTTCCAGAAGAAATGCAATGTAACGTAAGTAGTAGTAAGTACTGTCCAGAAGAAACGTAAGTTATGTGGAAATGTAAGAATCCAGCGATGTAGCTACGTAGCATTGTTGTGAACAAAAGGAGCATACGTATACTGCATCCAAAGTTCCAAACGTTCCTAACATGAATCAGCGGATCAGCACCGAGATTCAACGACGCGATGCCGCATCGCGAGCGCCGTTATTAGCAAGTTTACACTTTACAGTTAATAAGTAGGTTGCGTTTTGCACGGCCATACGATTAACGGCAAAATTAACGACGGCTTTAACGTTGGTAATTTAATGTTCCGTTGATTCGAATAAGAGGTTGCGTTATACACTAAACGATTTACTGCCCCTGAAATTAACGGGAGGAACTGCTATCAACCAGTCTCCATTCATCATTTCGTTTACCAGCGTGAAGATAACAAAATGCAGATTTTTCATGTGATGTAAATACGTTAGAGAGAACTGCGGTTTAAGTTTCCGCACAGACGTTATAAAGATTAGTGTTTTCATTCTGGAATTCATGAAGTTCTTGAAAACTGGTTAGTGTGCACTGTGCAGTAATGCACAGTACAGGCTACAAAGTTGCTAAGTTAGAACATTTGGTTAGAACAGAAGTTAGAACATTTGGTTGATGAATCAGCAAAGTACTCGTATAACTGTTTTAGTTTTACAATAATTTTTATATTTATGACAAAGTAAGTAAATTAATTTGCTTTCTAAATGGCAAAACATCACTGACAGAAGTTCAACAACTGCCGAGACTGGCACAATTTTCGAAAATTCGAGTCGAGGGCAACTCAGGATTGAATGCCCAGGCAGAAATTCACTGGGTAGACTGACTAGCCTATGCAGTCTTCGTGCTCAATGGTCCATGTGGGCCCAGTCGTTCATTACTAAATTCCAACGTCGTTATTAACGAAACGATACCCCCTTCGTTTCGTTAATAACGACGGGTACTGCCGTTTAAACGTTCGTTAACTGTACCCCGTCGTTAATTCTATCGTCAATCGTACCCCTTCGTTGATACCGCAACCTGCTTAATGTAATGAAATGTAATGAAATGAAATGAAGTTAATGAAGTGTAATGTAATGAAATGAAGTTTATTGTCCTTGCAACGAAGCGACTGCCCCCTCTAAGCTTCAGACAGCGGAGAACAAACCAGAATGTTAAAATAACATCGAAATGCGATACCACGGAAACATGAAAGCCAGCGGAAAAAAGTATAAAGCAGAAAAAAAGTCAACACATGCAAAAACAAACATCAGCACATGAAAAGCACTTAAAACTGCATGTTGTCGGTACGGTTGCGATAAGTTGCGTTTATTGTGGAAAAAGGGCGGGGAGGCGATCGCGCTGGGGTCGATGCATAAAACCAAACCCACACATATCAGTAAAATTACCATTTTCAAAAAAATTTCCAAAACAAAACTGTGGGAAAAAGGAGAACAAATTTTCTCTGTAATTAGGCCGCTTCTATAGGTTGATGCTTAAAAAGTGATTGTTTCCGAATGAAATAATCGTCGAGCAATATTCGAGTGAGTAAAGATAACGCTGTACTCCTACTCGTAGAGTATGCACGAAAGATTGCTTATTGCCAGTGTTTACGGGAAATTCATACAAATTACTATAGAAGTACGGATCTTTATGACCTCATCATTTACGTCTCCTGTCATGGGCTACGTACAGCTAATGTACTCATAGAGTCAAAGCTAAAAAAAACATAGCAAAACCGTCATAACTTTATAATAATTACCACATCTTAAGGAACAAGGCGCCAAATATCGCCGGAGCGATGCATTTTGCAAGAGTTTTTCAAAGCGGGTAACGTTTCTGTTTTGTCTACGGTCTACGGAGTAGGTTAGTATCCGATCGGCATATCTTGCCCAAGTACTTTACTTCCTGTACGAAAAGGTGCCAGGTTGACTCGACAATATATCTGTATACAGTAAGTAATTTAAGTCAAAAAGCGCTCTTTTGTGCGAATAGCATGCTATCGACAGTAATCAGTTAACGCGTTCCTTTTTACACGGTACACTTAACTTTTTTTATTCAGCAACAGCCACACTAATTAAAATGATGAAATTTTAAATATTGAAAAAACATCCAAAATCGTAAGCTCATTCTCTTAATTGTAAGATATTTTTATGCATAGTACCGTCTTTAATTTGCATGTCGCATATGATCTTAGGCTATGGTACGAGTACATAAATTATTATAATTACGCACTGAGCGATAATTTTACTGTTATTGTAACGCCACTAGAAGCTGAGTATACGGACCCGTGTACTGTATAGGTTGATCTGGTTTTTGAATATCAGATTTCTCGGAACTGTGTTAGAATGTGAGAAATTATCAATTATGCAAATGCCCACTCCATATCAGAAAAATGTTAACGACTGCTTATGTTCGATAACCGTCGACATTTCCCGGGCCGATCACAGGAAACAAGAACCACAAAGCGGTCAAATATCAATCAAGTTTCTCATATCTGGCACCATAATGTTATTAAGCGATAAATATGTATATATGTTGCAAAAACTGAATTTATTGCCATGATATACATATGTATAGCCGTAGAGATAATATTATAGCGGAATGTTTGATATCTGCATGTTATGAAAAGACATTAATTTTGCCGGTTATGACAAATTCTTAATGGCGAATGGACGCATCCTTTACTCTAATTCAGTTAAGCAGCAAACCATAGACTGATTTCGATGAAGAAGTGATCGATGATCGTGGACATGAAAATTAAAAACTTTACCGAATTGAAAAGCTAACTGGTAGTACTATATTCTCTAGTACAACATGCCAAAGCTGAATTGGAGATGGATTGTCTATCCCATTCATCTCATCTCGGTGCTACCAAAACTAAATTTCTCGTGAACATAAAGCCGAAAGCAAAAAGTAAGGCCCACATCAAAATAATTTTATCAGCCAAATGCTTCGTTGCAACATTGCATCCATCAAAATCACAGGTTAAAACATGACCTTTATAGCTGATTCGTTCCCAAACAAAAATTCCGTTCTGATCACCTAGCGAATCCACAGTGCAGCGGCGAATGTACCTGGAACAACAATAACATCGTGCCAACAAACGAATTAGCCAAATTTTAAAAAGTTAAATGTGTAATTTGCGTAAATAATTTTAAATCAAGAAAAGGTGTTTCACGCATCTATCTTGGGTACTTACAAAAATGTCTGATCCTCAACTGCAACAAGATCGGATTAGCTCAGCACAGGTCAATATATAATATTATTTGCACTGGGTGATATTCATAGAAATACTACCCAGTAGGAAGTAGAAGTATCAAATGCTGCTACAAAAAATTTGTTAGCTAGGACGAATCCTTTAACCTTTTCTTGTGTGTATCTGCAGTGATCAACTGACAATGAAAAATATCCTTACATCTGCGCATTTCCATTTTAGATGTGACTGATAATAACTGTGTTAAATCGAATGCGCAGATTTCTAGAATGCCCATATAACGGCATAACTTACTGTAGCTGCAATTAGCCAATTTGAAACTTTTTTGGATTTTACAGTAGTATTCTAAAGCACGAGACTTGTGCTAACATGAATAATCAATACTCACGGTGGCAATCGAAAGTTTCTGCATTATGCATGCAAACTATTAGACCACTGGGCTTTTGGTTGACAGTGCCAGGCGTTAAAGCTTGCAAGCGCTGTCAAAAACAACAGAAAAACTGGGTACATACAATTAATTGCACACACAACGTATGTAGGCGTGTGCATACATAAATTGCATGTTTCCTTTTGCCCAACCCTATCCTTGCGAAATCCTTTGAAAGAACGATCGAGTACTATTCTACTGCCCCAAACGTGAGTACAAGCTACCGTGCATAACATCAGTCTGTGGTTCAGCCAAAACTTTTCCTGATATATCTATATATATTCGTAAGCAAACGCAATAACATCAAATTTTAAGTATCTTTGTTTATAATTATTACAGTCATCAGTATGCCGGTTAAAGCATTTACTGGTGAGGTGAGTACTAAATCAGTATCTAATGTTTCTGATTTTAAAGTACGCAACCGGCTGCCTGATGAGTTGCCCATTAAGCAAAACTTGAACAATTTATATTTTAATTCTTGTGCAAATAGAAATATATAATAAATTGTTCTCGTTGGCTATTTATGCAGGACTTTCTAAAATAAGGCACCTAACGAATCCTGATAAATCAAACTACAACAAGCAAAATAACTTTTAGACGTACAGGTATGCATAAGGATATTAATACTTCTACTGATCTTACATCCAGTCATAAAAGATCCTCAGCATCAACTACCAAACTGAAAATACGAGTGGGAGAAAAAACGGTGCGTATTTCTCTCTAAATTGCATGTCTACTACAAGTCAAGCCTGTTATTAACTTGTTCCGGCAATCAAGATTAATTAAAAACGCATGATGCAGATATATGATTGCATGATTAAGTAAATGCAGATGTATATAGGGCCAAGTGCTGGGACCTTGGCGTGGCAGATCTAGATATTGTTTACCGGCCTAGCTTATAATTACTGATTATGCTCATTACTCGATGCCTCTGATGGTGAGGTTATAAAAGATGTTCGAGTATCATATCATTAATGAAATTACTCCAAAGAGCTTAGTCATAAGGTGCAACCTGCTTACGTGATTCTCCTTTCATTTTTATGCAGTATCTGGCGGGAAAGGTGCCGACAATCCCAGCTCTTCCGTCCATGCAGACGTCAACGTATGTGCTGTTGAAGGGATGAAAAGGATCTTCGCAAAATGGATCCGTTTTGTTGATAGAATCACAAACAAAGCAACCAATTGAGGAAGCTATAGGAACAGCAGTGGGAAATTAAGCGCTAACGATAACTTCCGGTCACTTTTATGCTAGACGAATAAGAACCGTCACATCTTCATCCCAGGGATGAGCTAGTACATACCTTTATCAACGACAGTCACGAGGTACGCCCACGCGATTACACCAATGACCGGTAGGTGCAACGAAACAACGCCCATGGCTTAAGTGAACACAACCATAATGATATCGGCATATGTCTGCATGCACTTAGGAGCGGATAATTGTAATAAGCGGTGAGTAATGTAATTGTGCCGACACAATACACATGACCCATATAAAAATTTAGCCTCTGTTCTTTCTGACGTAGTGGGAAGAACGGTAGAGCGGAACATGGACTAATGGGTCATTACTTCGACATGGTGTGGTTTCATCATGCCAATGGATCTGGTGGAGCGGCAGCAGCAAGGCGGAAGCGACTGGGAGGACTACACTTCCCAACCAGTCATCCACAACATGGGTTGATACCATAGGACACTGTTACAGTAGGCGGACACTGTATGGTATATGTGTATATAAGGAAAGGCGGGCATAAATTAATGATATTGATCTTGGCCCCTTCGCTAGTGGCCAAGTTCGCTAATCTGCCCATATACCATCCGGATTTGTAAGTGTATTTTTCACTCTCCGTCTACCGACAAACGAGTGACGAGATGGCAAATGTGGTGTGCATTTTTTATATGCATGAATCAAAATTCTTTCCAACAAATTCCCAAGAGGCCAGATCGGATAGCTTGGTGCGAGGAAAGCGTCGTCGGGTAATAAACCGGTTCATCTGTCGGAAATACAAGCTTACTTACAATTTAGCTGTCGTAACTGCACAATTGTTTCATCAATTTTGCCAACCGGGAGATACTAGTACTGATTTTGCAAATAAATAGACGACGCAATTCCAACAAGATTTATATCAGATTGTTATCAAACTTTTGTAACAGTGTACTAGAAAGCCGACAATAAAACATCCCATATATTTTAACTGTCCATGTAAAATATTGCTGAACGCAGCTTTCCTCTCAGGATCACTAATTACCGATCGTGTAAGTGCAAGTTAAATAATTGTTTACAAAGTGGTTCATAAAAATATAAGTTATCAGGCGAAATTTGAAGCGAACCTTACCGTTACAGCGATGGATTAATCAATTACCTTCGCTGCTAGTATAGTATATAATATGTATCGTTGTAATTTTATTGTTTTTGTCTAGATCCTACAGTAGCATCTAGGAAAGTATAGTGCTTTTTCTCTGTCATAATTACAGCAAGATATGAATTACATCAATATGTTTTTCTATGTCGCGCTCTAGTAAAATTAACGAATTCAAAACTTATATAAATAAATTTACTACAACAGCGAGGAATTGTTATTTGCATTGTATGTTGACACCTCCTGTTATAATTATGTCAGTCAGTACAATACAGCAAATAATAGTAATTACTGCAGATAAACGTGTTTCCATCAATACAACGTTAACAACTCTATGAAGATACTTCCGTTTGTGCAATATTTTGCTTCAATCACGCCTTAACAGTGTTGCGTAGGTACAATATTTAAAATAAAAAGTATCACTTCTTACCTGTATGCAGTTTTTCCAGTGCTTTGTGTTCTTCTTGTAGGCAAATGAATGAATGATCTTTAATGATGATTTTTTAATTCTAATAGCGCACATCAAGTGCTTCAATTGTTTAGATTAAGTGGCACCTAATGAACCGAAATAGCGGTCAACGCACACTCTTTCCCAACATGAGCTGCATCTTTATAAATTTTACTTTTGATGAGACACACTATGCCTTTATTAGCTAATGCACAACGCGACTAACAGCATCCCATATAATGTGGTACTAAAAGCTATTTACAAGCTCTAATGTTCAGCTGTTCTTCTTATTAGTTATTATTGCTCTGGTGACACAGCGGGACTTCCGCCGGTCAAAACATCCGATTTCAGTTAGAAATTGATGACTATTGTCTGCAATAAATGCAACGGTTAACGGAAGTTATATTGTTATTTACTAGTCTTCTGAGCGTGCTTAAAACTAAAAAACAGGTATTTCGCTTACACAAAAAAACAACTACCTTTTAATATAAACCATGCGCTTTACTACGAGTTAAAGTTAAAGCTTGTGGCATAAAGGGTTGTCAATATTCGCTTTAAGTTAGTTTCTGTGCCGAGTTCTTTCTAGAATGCGGCCTCCAATATGCTGTAGTTCTCACAAATCAGTGTATACTGTATGTTATTCAATGTATAAGTAATGAGTGTAGTCATTACGAGAGGACAATATTAGTTCGTTTTTTCCTGTATGATTGAGCAGCTGTATTGATGGACATTGCTAAGCTTTGTTGATGAGGTGGTGATTTGATGCCGCATTGTCGGCTTTAGAATTGCGGGATCCAGCAACGAAACTTCCAATTTGTTCACTGCATGTGTGAAATTCGATTGCTCGAGCACAGCCGCTGGTGCCGTAATACTGCCGCTATTTGCAGCTGCGTTCTGAAATAACATTATACTATTCATGCAGTTTCTTATAAAGTCTAGCTTTATGGATGTTTATGCTAAAAGCCATTGTAGTGCGAGTTCAAGCAAAGGACACACTCAGTCAACCAGCTGTCTTTTCTGCAGGGAGTGAAAAATCGAGCCGTGGAAGCAAACTGCATTACTTTAGCGCCAAGTGTATGGCAGACTTCCGGCGAGCAGCCTTTGAGGCATTCATAATGCCGTACGGTGGATCTTGTTGCGGCGCTTTGAGGAACTGCAGGAAATAGTGACCGGCACCATACAGAAGCTGATCTGTGCATCAAAACCGGAAATTGCTAATGCTCGCTTCTTATGTATCCACTTTATAAACCCCATTTGCTGCTAACTACTAAACTAGGATAAATATACAACCGCTTTTGAATTCTTGGTCGGCATATCATAATCTAGGAATCTTAAGATATTTTCGGATGACTTTCGCGGGAGATATTTTCGATATTCCATAAGAAGCATGCGTATCCTATTTTTACAGTTTTTCGGGCCATGTGATATGTTTCATTGATCTGCTTTCGTAGTGCTATGGTAAACGAACCATGATATTTAAACAACATTAATTTTGGAATTCAGCTTTTGCAGGCTATTCCTGTAAGATACATGTGTGGTTTGAAAATTCTGAAAACCTGAAATGCGCGGGTCGAACTATCGACATTGCATCGTCTTATTGTGGTGGTTAGAAGTATGACATGAAATACAGTTGTACGCGCATTTGACCGTATACCGGAGGCAGAACAAGCGAATTTTAGAAACACAAGTCGTTTGCGAGAAAAAACGTTTTCTATGTATGCGGCATGCCGTTTTAGCACAGTCGGTTTTAGTAAATTCAAGCGATTAATCAAACTATACAAAATTGCTATTGGATGTGACTAGGCACGTGTATAATACGCGACAGATGTTGCTGCTCACAAAAAAAAGCAGAAATAGATTGTGTGCTGCGCACACAAAATAAAAGCAAAAATCAGAAAGATATACGAAAGATCTCGTATTACACACCGGTCACCGGTATCACGGTCCAAATCGCACTAATTTGTGGAAACAGTAAAAAGCAATAATTATATGTACATTGTACACGATCCCAAAGAGCGGTCACAATCATAGCATTGTTTGAGCTTTCTTTGGCAAATAACTGGCATAGCGGCTATTAGCTTTTTCGATGCGGTCGGAGAGATGTTTGAGCTGTTCCTGTAAAGTGCAAAAAAGCACATGTTTTATACGATATGTCAGTTGTTTTATCGCATCCATGATAGCCACTCGAAGCTTCTAGCATTCAGTTGTCGCTTGTAAGCTTACAAGTTGCATCACGCTGCGTTGACGAATACTCGCGTAATCCACTCTGGGAAGCTCAAGTTTAATGTAGTGGAGAGGAATCTTAGGCATCCACTTATCCATATTTTGTTCCTTGGAGTCAGATGGTTCGAATTTCTTCTCCGGTTCGATATTTTCAAATTTCGACATGAAATTTCTTTTATATAATTCCACCTATGAATGAATTTTATTCACTGATCTATCGTCGAGCGTGCAATTTGCGACCCTGTCAGATTTCTTAGCAGAATTAAAAGTAAAATTAAGTGCTGCTGTTTCGTGATAACACAATGTTTCATGACACAGAAATACATTAAATTTAAAATTTCGCGAATAACGAAGACTACTGCCATTAAACAATCAATGGCTAGAAGCACGTAATTCATTTTTGCTTGACTCATCTCCGTACTACGAGTATTACCTGATTTGCATCTGGCTGATTGGTTGTCCGCGTGTTCAAATTTTTTTTGGAATAATGTATGTAACTCACATCCAGCTCTGGAGATCCATGCGGAAAAAATGGCCGTTCTAGGGTTTCTGCAAAACAAAATAGAAAAAATCAGCTGAGTGTTTCCATCGTGCATTTTATTAACAAACAAAATTTTATAGTTGCTTTTTTACACTTTGCCAACCCACCAAACACTACTGAGTCGTTTATTACGTACCTGAAAACGCCGATAAAAGCGTCCCCGAAACGTTATTTTGTTGCATGTGCTGAAAGACATCACACAATTATTGTGTTGCGCATCATGTATTGCCACTTTTTCCGCCACTTACAATGTGCCGATCTGAGCTGGTTTTGTTGTTCTCCTTTGTAACAGCTGAACCGCTTAAGTCAGCCGCCTGCATTAATACGGCATGACCTTCCGGCAAATCAGTTTCCCAGTCATTATACGAGTGGTATCTTGCTGTAGTGCTTTTCTTGGTACTCTGAAAATCGTGACCTTTTGGCCTTGTGGTTACTGGATCTCCAATTTCTGGGCGCTTTCCAGTTTCACAGCTTGCTTCAGAATTTTGCTTGTACTGCATCAAGGAATCGTTCATATTTTGGATTTCCATATCTTTCTCGGTGACGATCTTTTGTAATGATATTATATGATCGTGGTAATCGGAAATAATTCTGGCGTCATCAGATTTGCTTTTCACTATGTACTGTTGCAATAAGGTCAAAAGTTTATCCTGTCCACTTTGTATCTGGTTAACGTTTGAATCGAATTTGTTCTGTAGGTGACGGACATCATGTTGAACTTCGGCAAGGTTATCGGTTGACCTTTGCTGTGATAATACCGACTGGAGTAATTGAAGTCGTTCCGCTGAAATTTCTTTAATGATAGCGCTAAATTCTCCGAAAATGCTATCTTTGAGTGGAAGACCCTGGAAAAAGTCGCGTTCGTTCAAAGGAAGGATGAAGAAATTGTCAACAATTATTTTAATTACAGTATTAGAAGATTTAAGCCATGATTTTGAGCTTGAACGAAGCTCAAATTGTCAATATTACCACCTGTGTCGTGTAGTACTTAACTGTACCTACGCTCCATTCTTGCTCGATCGATGACCTTTGGCGCGCTAAGTCTTGCCGAATGTGCATTTGGTTGGACGACTGTAGGGCGGCACGAGCTGTGCTAAGCTCCACAAGAAGCTGATCAATATGTTGTTTTTTATCGGAAATCTCTTGACGATGTTGTGAGTCTGTGCGTTCCAACTCTCCAATGCGAGCAAAGAGACTCGAATTCTCGGCCTTGAGATGGTTGATAGCAGTGTTTGCTGACGATACCACTTGTGCCAATGCAGCGTTTACGATCCGCTAGCGTACCCGAACAAATTTCAAATCAATTAACATTTAAGTTTGACGACTTGTTGTAGGTATAAATGAACCTACAAGTTCCCGCCGAGCACTCCGTGTACCATTCCGATGCTCGAGCTGTTGCTTGTCTGAAACAAGGTCAGGACGGTGGCTATGTAGCCTTCCTGACGCTGGCTGAACAGAGGTCTGTAAATAAATAATTGCCAAAGCTTCCTTCTGCTTCCACGTTTGTTGCAAGAAATCACAAAATGCAGTTTGACAGGACGTACCGAAGGTTCGTATGGAAAATCCGCATCCGTTCTTTTGAAAAAATTTGAATCAATGGACAAGTGGACAAGGGTCAGCGACTACACTCTTAGTTATTAGCGTTTCCCTACGAACTGGTATTATTTGAACTTACCGACCGGAATCTTTTAGCTGCTGCGAAACAGCGGTCAATTTTGCCTAGATAAACCAAAAACCGTGTGAAATGCCACCATTATGATTGCGAGAAACGGTTAAAATCTACTTCCTAAGTACCGAACTGTTCATAATCACCTTGAGGTCCGTGTTTTCGATCAGCAGGGCCGTGTAATTTGCATTCTGTTCTAGCACACTGTCGAAGGAATTATGATGGAGTTCATTCCCATTCTAATAAAAATAAAACTGAGGTCAATCGAGACCCTTGATATTGCATAGTATGAGAATTAAAACTGCATAAATGATGTGTCATTGCCCAACTGTCACAAGCATGCTTCCGTATCGCACTGGACCTCACTCGCATAAAGATAAAACACAGAATTAATGCATACTAACATTATTTAATAACATTATTTAATCACTTACCAAATTTTCATAATTATGGTGACCCATTTCCATTATTACAGCATCTTTGCGCTCAATCACAGCATGAGCGTGCTTGAGTTCGTCAGATAATGTTCGGGCTTCTGCCGCAACCAAATGGTTCAGTTCCCTAAATACAATATTAGCACCAAATATGCAGTACGAACCAAAGGTGAAAATTTGGAAAACATATAAGCACGATACTTTAGGTACTGTAGTAAAGGTCCTGCGACAAAGTACTTAGTACTTACTCTTGCTGTTTGGTTTTGGTTTGCAAGTCTACCAACTCGCTTTCCATTTTTTTTCTCTGTTCTTCCAGTTGAATCCTACGTTTTTCGTTTTGCGCCGATTGTTCCTTTATAACAGAGATGCGTATTGCATCAAAATTTGAATTCCATTTGTAACCAGTTTTCTTATGTTACACAGAACTATGATTAGTACTAACATCTTTTATGGACAAAGCTCTTCGAAGGCTGCTGGCTTCGTGTTGAAAAATGTCCCAGTCTTCCATGTTGTCCGCTTTATTCAGCTGCTTTGCCGAAGTTTTTCTTTCGGTTTCTACGAGGTTGTTAATCCGCGCCTTCATATGGATTAACAGCTCCTAGTAGAGACAAAAGTGCCAGGTAAAAGGTCATATCTTTTCGCGCGCGGCAACTGGCTGGTGCAATATACACAAAGGTAGATAATTTTATAATAATAATTTTCACCAAACCGACTCTGAATAAGTAGTGTGGTCGTAAGCTCGCCAAACATTGAATTACCTGATCATCGGCGGGAACAGTATCCATTCCCAGAATTTTTTCAATATCATGCAAAATTTCTCTGAAGGCAGCGTTCTCCTGCTGGTGTTTTTGTTTATCCGTTTTCAACTGTTCATTTTCGTCTTCTAGTTCTTTTAAACGTCCCATGGTTCGTTCTACGCGCTGTCCCCTTTCGAAAGACTCCCGTCGGTCTACTCCTCCTGCCAACCTGTACGCACGTACAAATTACTCGTAGAAATTAGAACCTCCAGGCTCCAGGATTTAACACAGTGTATTGTATAATCTGAAAAGCGATGTACGGAATTAATTTTACCTTTTGATAGTTTCCTGCGCTTCGATAACGTTCTGGTCTTTATGATGCACGGCTTTAACGAGATCCTCGATTTCGGCATTGGCGGCTGCCAAGGCGGTCTGCAAGTGCACAATTTCCACTTCCAACTGTGAAGTCTCGTACTGAGACAAAGGCTGCCCGGTATGATTAACTGCCGCGGACGGTGATTGCTCCACTTGGGATTTCGTAATCGTCGAACTGAACCTTCAAATGATAGGAAACGATTGATTATGTTTATCAGAAATAAAGACAGAACGTTCTTTATTAAAAAGACCAGGCAACACTGGTGGAAAACACTTTGGTCTAATCAGCTGCACCTTCTCTCCTGCCAGCTTTCGATCGAAAACGGCATGTCTGGACGCTCAGCCGGCGGTCGGATATTCGCACGATCGTCTGGTCCCAGTGCAACATTTACTGAAATCTTGTCCGGGGTTTCATTCACACCTTCAGTCTACGATTTTAATTGGTTTGATTAAACTGAGAAATTTTAGTCATGAGAGAGAATCTGATCAGGGGTGCAAAAGGACATTGCGTGTATATGACATAGCACTGATAAATCACCTCTGCGTTTTCTCGCAAAGGACTTCTTCGTGGTGACAGCGAATCGGGTGGCAGTTCTTCCGCACTATCGCTATCCAGTCCGCCAACTTCCGCTATACTGTCCGGGTCACTTTCCTGGTTGCATAAAGAGAGAAACACCTTATGTGCTGATCGGTAACGGCGGTACAACTTTGTGTAAGGTCACGAGACAACTTCATATCGACACATCGAGAATGAGATGTAAGCAAAATTTAAGGGGCTGCTGATTTGACGCTAACCTGGTCATGTGCAGGAAAGTCGACTATGCGCGTCATACGCTTTGGAACACCAAAATTCGATGGCCTAAAAATCAATTGATGAGTTCGTGATGATGAATCAGATGCATCACGTTATCGAAAAAATATATATAACACCGGCGGCGGTAACAACAAAATTAATAATCGTACTTTAAGGGAAAATTTAACGCTGGGTTAGGCTTTGTCGAGAAAGGATTCGGTGTGTTGTCCAAGTCGCCCAGTAAATCAGCGGTCGGTATAGACACCGTGTTCTTCTGGGAGAAGGTCATGGAGGGGGCATCACGCTCAGCGGGGTTTGTATCTGCATCCGCGTTCTCATTGGGTTTATTGGTGTAGTGAATGAAGTTATTGAAGGATGATTTGGGGAAAGTGATCTTATTGGGCTTCGCAGACTGAAATGCCGGTAATCCAATACTGTCATCGTCTTCCGAGAAACTGTTATCCCTCGAACGAGACTTTTTGGATTTTGTTTGGTCACTTCTGTGCTCGTCTGGATCCTCGAATATTGGTCCTAATGGGCGCTCTTGAGCCATAACTTTTTCTGGAGCTGTCAGTTGTGCGTACACATCAAGTGAATAATTTGATAAGTAGCTTCTTAATGACTATATCAGTAATAGATAGCAGAATCCTGGATAAGCTATCATCGCGGTATCGCACATTTACAGACTCACCGTGATCGCGTTATCATTGAAAAAATCAAGTTTTCGTCAACACTATGTAAGCCGTCTTCTTTATGACGATGTTGTACTAGTACTGATGAGGCTTCTGGTTCTTGACTAGTCCTTTAAACACCCATTGCAGCACGGCCAGGATAGCGATCCCCAGGACTACTATTACCCCAACGTAATACTGCTCAACTTTGCCCTCATCCAAAGCCATAACCAGCTAGTCGAAAAAATACCAATTCCGATATTTACCAATGCCAACGTACTGCCGCTTCAAAATGCTGTGCTTAAATTTTAGTCTTGAACAATGTGGAATGAAATGCAATACATGCATGTCGATTGTCGATGTACAAGTACATTTAAACCAGCATACAGTACATATACAGTATTATATTATAATATCTATATATGTACGTAGATAGGCTCTCTGTTTTACAACCATGATTTAGGACTTCCATCGAATCAGCTCGACATGTCGAATCAATCAATACGGGTGTACGCTGCAACCTGGAATCCAGATCATCCAGTACGGCCATGAGTAATAAATAATAAGCAAGTACTTCTATAGATCTGTGCAATAACTGCAATTGTAGGTAGATTCAATATAATAGCATGTGCGGATATATCCCATTCCTGTAACCGGCGGCAGCCTCATACGATGGTTTATTGATGACCTGTGGTTACAAAGTAGAAAGCTATATCAAACTTCAAACCCAGGCTATCGAATCCATATATATTCCATATTGCTTTTCCGAAAAAGCTTTTCGTCATGGAGTTCTACCGTAACTATCGCGTTCCGAAATACGCATAAAAGAAAATATAGTAATATTTATCTGGAAATATTAGAAGCCGATATTCATTCGTTCTAGGCTTGTAAATCAATAAATTATTATTTAAATCATATTGATAAATTCGAAAATGTATCCGTATTTATAGTATAATAATATCTATATTATACATAAATTAATAATGTGTCCGAAAAGCAAGAACAGCACAACTTATTAAAAAAAACCTTAATTGCAAGTTATGCAGTTTGCAATGTATTCTCTACGGCCGAGCGTTTAAGGCGATATTTAATCTTGTATTCAAAATATCGCTAAATTTTGTTTAGTAATAATAAATTATTATTCCTGTTTTCAATAGTTTAACGGGCCTATATAAAAGCTCGCATTTTTCTGGCACTAAAATAATAGTGTTAACAATCAGTTCTAAAATCCTAGCTTTATAGAAAAAAATTATTAATGATGATAATAATAAAACGTTATTCTGTAAGAAATTACTGTATTATATACTATTTTTTCATTCTTAAAATATCGTACATCATCATGCAACACCGTAGCATGCATGGCATGCTCCAAGTACTGTACCACTGCACAATACAACAGCGTGCGTCGTACCGTACCGTGATGGCAATTGAATGATTAGTTTTTTCATCGTCAGCAGTATCAGTCCTCACGGCTCACGATTTAATATGATTTCTATGAGCTACGGTCGTTTGATTTTAAAGGATTAAATAATTAATATTAAATCTGGAGCTTCGCAAATGTTTCTGTGTTTGATTGCGGTTCTCGATTACTGCGTATTTTCGATGTAGGACGAAATTTTGTTCACAGGTTATAGACTATTAAAAGATCCATGCCGTTCCGATCCATGATGTGACAATTTGGTCGCCCATCGCTGTCGAAATCTTGGAAATTATATATATACGCTAGCTGAGGAGTACGTACTTGTTAACTTGTGACTTGCGTTGTTACATCAAATTTACAACTCTCTTGGGCTTCCGAAACATTTTTGACATGGATAACCTACATGAACGGTAAGAATGTATCTTGGTTCCGCGATATAACTACGAGGATGTTTCATCAACTCGGTGTACTGCTGTTTCAGATTGATTTCTGCGCACATGCCTGTGCTAGTTTCTTATGCTCCGCGTACGTTTTCAGACGAGTCCCGAGCCAGGTAAATGGAAGAAATTCATCTTTTAAGGTTATCCATAGAATTTTTAATGAACTGATGTGGAATCCAAGGTACTGGATTCGTCAATAGTATGATATCCAGGCTAAGGTTCGAAGCAGCACTTGCGCTTGCTCTCGTTCTGCTATACAGTTTACTCTATCCGAAATTAGCTGATCGAGAGTCTTTGACTCTTTTGTCTTCGCAAGCGAAGACAACAGCTCAGTAAAACTCAATAAAGCAAGGCGCATTGTTTTATTGAGTTTACCAGGCATTTGCAATTGCGACTTCGCTTTTGAGTGTTTTGCTTCTGCACCATCCTTACGTAAGGCTGATCACTAACGTGAAGTACTATAATTATTCATTTTGGTATGGCGATTGTGCTCCTCTACGGTATGTAGTACTATGTACTCAGTGCACTGCATTCATATGACGTTATGTTTGGTTATTATTGTTGAAAAAGGAACACCTTCTTGACTTTGTCATTGTGCAGATGACTTCTTGTTAAAAGAATTGTTACCCTTATAACTGTCACATTTTAAGCATTTTAAACTAAAAAATCTTGATAGACGATTTGCTGCAGTTCGAATATGCTGTGCGTTTTAAGTTAGTTTTTATTTTTTCAGGACTCTGGCAAATGTCAGTGATCAGGAGTGTATGGAGTCAGCTGAACTGCATGCGATTCTGCGATGTACTGAATCCCTGGCGAAAGATGAGCCGTTCTGTTTATCGGAAAACCAGTCCGTACATTCTGACCATTCTACCGAAAAGCCTCTGAACATGTCCATGCCGAAGGTGTCACCCGCTCGTGCCAAGCCAACAAAGCGTGCTTCCAAGCCGCGGAATGCGCCTAGTGGTCCCCGAGAAAGAAAGTCCATGAAAAACCCTGACACTCCGCGAAAACGTCAGCCCCGTGCCAAGAAAGTGCCTGATGAGCCCATTTTTGAGGAAACCATCCAGGTGGATAATCAGTCTGTTATCCCACTGAAGGATGTCGTAGGCGATTTGGAATTTGAAGACCTTGAAGCAGAAGATCTGGAGCTGTTGCGCTATCTGCCATCGCCCGGCAATATCGAGATTGTCGACTCTTGCGCGAAATCTCTCGCTGAACTCTGCGACTTCCAACGAAAACTCCGGCAGCTGCATGAACCGGATAAAGATATGTTTCAACATGAGATGGATCATGACTCCGATGCTACGATCAGTATTGTCAGTGAAAACGGACCACAGGATGCTCATTCTGCCATGACCAATCCGACGCATGACATGGCGATGCTGATGACGTACAAACATATATTTGATCCGCCGGTGCCGGCTGTGGTTACAATTCCCACTTACATGGTAACTGTTCAATCAACTGCAGACTGGGAGACGGAAACGAAGGCGTTACAGCATTTAGTCAATAAAGCTGAAAGATCCCATCTGGCTGATCCCCCACAGCCGTCGCGTTCTCGCAAACGGAAGCAGATGGATGATCCAAATCACGAGGAACAGATAAATCAGTACGTAAAGCGACTGATTACCGCTATCGAGATCAAAAGCAATCAGGTGGTCAACATGAAACGGAGCATATTTTCCCTTCAAAAGTCAGTGAACGAACCGAAGAAACGTGAACAACAAAGTAAAGTCGTTACTGAGAAACCGGAGACTGTTCGTGTCGAACAGAAACCGTCAGATCTGGATGCCGTTAGTAAAGCCAGGACGCTCATCAGCAAATTTGATCTGGACCCGTTTTGTGCCGACATCTTAATGGCATGTCTTACTTCCGTAGATCACAATCACGCCAAGGAGCTGGTCAAGTTCCATAAGCAGCATGCTGCACTGGAGAACGAGTTGGTTCGCAAGGATGCTTACGGTGATCAGGCATGTCAGAAAGATCTCCACATCGCCGTTATGGATACGCAGAAAAAGCTGTGTCAGTTACGTTATGCCAAGGAGCGCTCCGTGGCGGTGGTGAATGAGAAATACGTTCTGGATGTGGATGAAATTGAGAAACGCACTAATTCCAGCACGGAAAGGGCCAAGAGCCATGTAACGAATATGTTCGAAGAAAATCGCCGACAGTTTGATCTGCAGAGAACGCTGGATTTTGCTACATGCAAATGCGATGTGTTTGCCATTAATACTCGCAATATGCGCCGTAGAGGAGAAATGCAACCGCAGCATTATGCCCGATTGTTTGAAGATATACCAACCGCCAATAACACATCGGGAAATCCGGGATCGCCGCCGCATACGTCCCAGTCAAATCTGCCAACTCAAAGTTCCCATAGTGTTAAACGACGTAGAAACAATTTTGCTTCCTCGGTTAAGGAAGTATTGGAAGAGCGTGAAATATACGACGACCTATCGAATATTAACCGCATGTTAAAAGAAGATCCTACCCGAAGTTTATCGGTAATAAAATCAGCCGATGTTATTCCGGATAACAATCGCCTCATGATTGATGGCAAGCCTTTTCATCGGAATCAGGAGGTCTTAGTCGAGCATCATGTTGAAGGCAAGTTCACGGGATCGTTGTTACAGTTCTCGCAAACCGAAATTATGATCAAAAGGTGCGGTGATGGGCAGCGCTTGCGGTTTCCTTTAGGCCTGGTAATGGACAAAAAGATTGTGCTGAAAAAGAAAATGTCACCCACAAGGGGTATTCAGAATGGACCAGCGAAATGATACTAATACCCACAACCGTGCTTCCGTTAGAAAAAATTTACGTGTGTTGTAGTTTTGGCTGTTGCATTGTTTTAGTACGTTTGGTTCTGTTTGCTTCGAATAAATTTTGTGACTTAAAGAAAGTATCTCATTCGGAATTTCGTTTTTCGTTCACAGGATTTAATTTTCGTTTTTCAACCACGACAGCGAACAATACACAGTGGTTTTTTGTCAGAACTGCAAAATTGTTCGCGAACACATAAATACACACAACAATAAAACAATAAGTGCCAGATCACGATGAAATTCACATAAGATACAAATTTAGCCATGCGGTATATATTGCTTTCTGAATCGCGCGTATTACCGAAATAGCCTTTCTCAACAAAATAATTATAGAAACAAATTAAAAATGACAAAACCCATCCCTCCCTTAAAAACAAAAAGTATCGGATAAAAACAAACAACTCAGTACCTACTTGTCTAAGGTAAATAAAATTCTTCTGCTGCAACAAACACAAATACTGGCAGCAGCAACCGGATAAGCCAAGTAAAACGTGAGTTTGCGACGGTCATTCAGGTATCCATAGTAGATTCACATCGATTCCAAGCGTCTGATCCAAACAGACATCGGGAAGACTGAGAACACTGTACGGACAAAACGGAAAACTCGGATATGAAAAAAGCAGTCCACACGTATAAGGCATCACCAACTGGGAACAGATCAGTTCATCCACAAATTACAATTAGAAGCCCCGCAGTTACAAGGAATTTTATGCTGGTCGTCCTCGAAATCAAACTTGTAGTCGTAACACAACTAAAATTGGAAGCATTCTCATCAAAACACTTCAAACGTCGTGCAAAAACAGACCACAAACAGAAAATACTTCTACAGCACTAACTTCTTCGTCTTTAAAAATCCGACGCAACGAAGAAATAACGATTTTCTTTTCGTTTTTGTCAGTCTGCACCACTTCCGTGATGCAGTTGGGATCGCAGGAATGGTTGATGAAGCGAGCCGGACCCCCGGCTCGAGAGGCATCGCACACTTCTTCGTTGTCAACGCGAAACATGTAAATCCCTGCGTGGTTCTGCAATAAAAGACAGTTAAAATATAAGTAAATCGAATATTCCTCAAAACTGCGAGTGAAGCGTACCAGCATTTCATACATCCGCTCGCGGTGATTGGCCACCTCGTTGCGTATCAATTCCCCGACATATTCGATTATCATACTATTTTTGTCCAAATCACGTGCAGCAAACAACCCTAAACCTTCGATTTTCGACCGAGCCAGGTAAACGTTACTTCTCCATTCTGCCTTCATTTTGCGGTACTGGTTGATTTTGGTATGGCTGAGTGTCTGTTTCTGGTAAAAACTGAGACCGTTGCAATTTTCTTGAGCATTAGCGGCGACATCACTGGACAACGGATAAGAGGAAAGGTCGCCGGATGAGGACACCCGCGTCAGACCGACGTCGGCGGAACTGTGAGCGCGGATGGCGGCATGATGGCCAAACTGGGCTCTGAAATGGACTGGCTCGTCTTGGTTCTTTCGACATCACTGTGACTTCTACAGGATCGATCGAGCAGGTTAACAGAGACTCCTCGCTCGGGCTCTATTAAACGCTTCTTACCGCTTCGTGACCAGTCTCAACTTCGGTTCGGTTCGCGCCGATCCGCTCTCGTGTTGATGCGGAATTACCGGCGCGGCCACAGCTGGCGATTCTGGAACGCGAGCCTTCTCGTACTTGAACTGATATCGAATGGCCTCGTTTATGCCCGGTAAACATTCGATCGCTCTGGCGATGTTGCTTTCCGTCAGACCAAACAAGTCGTCACCCGTGAAAAAGTCCGGGAAGACTTTAATCATCGTCGATGAACGGTGTTCAAGAACAGCAACCAAAACTTTCATCCACACCTCTGCAAAACGTGATTCGTTAATAACTTACCGATGACTTTTTAATCGGAACATAAAAAAGTCCATAATTTTGACTCTTATTTTCCAGGCCTGCAAGTAGATACCGTAAAATCCGATATTAACGCCCCCCCGAAATTAACGCCCCCCGCGGTTTTAAACGCCCCCTCCCGTAGGTCACGAAATAATAAAAGCCCCCCCCGAAATTATCGCCCCGGGGCGTCTAATAATTGCGGCGCCGCGCTTTTTTTGACTGTTGTCGGTACGGTCTTAGTGGTACATCTTGCTAATTCAGATAAACTCCACTAATGCACACTCGTTAAACCATGATTTTCTAACTGATGTCTGGGTTATTGAATTATTTCTTCAATGTTCATACATATTAACCTTGTTAAAACTGACACATCATGAGCGCGTTACCCATTTGAAAAATTAGACGCCCCCCCGTAATAAACGCCCCCTTCCGAGGCTCTTGAAAAAATAAACGCCCAGGGCGTTAATATCGGATTTTACGGTATTTATTAATATTATCGGCAATTACCGCACCTTTAGTGGTTGATCCATTTAATAAGACGGTTTCGTAGCCGTTTTCCTCCACGGAAATGCGAAAATCTGGAGCACCATGGACATCGTGGATTGTGCAGTGGTAAAAGCAACGTTTATGCAGAGCACGCATCGACCAAAAGATACGAGTGATGGAATACCCGACCTATTTACGCACATACAAGAACATTTATAATCTCGAATCGAACTTCAAAAGTCGCAAAAAACTATCATACCGGATAAACACAGTCCGGATTGTGAAAAGCATCCATGTTGGAGTGGTAAAGCTGTCCAAGAGAATGAAAAATAAGCGTGCCAATGCGAAAGCTGTAAAGTCCATCATGCGCAGTAATAACCCTAATAATCAACAAAGCGCATGTTAGACATCAGCCACCTCAGAACCTTCGAAACAACACAACAAGCGAACCTTGTTGCCATCCGTGGTTCGTCCCGATGCACGTACACTCGTCTGTGAACGATCATGGACTTCAACTCGTCTTCGGGGGGTTCGCCTGATTTATGTGTTTCACAAAGAACGCTTTTATCATTGAAGAACATGCATCCGCTGCTTTTTGCACAGGGGAAGTGAAACATCTGGTTGCAGCGGATCTTCGGGTAATGATAGCAAAGCAGCGTGGCTCCCAGTTTGCGACACTTGACACATTCCGTCTTCGCACCCCGCTTGCACGCCTGTTGCACGTTCATTAAGTGCCCATTGTTCGTTTCGTAGACATCCACCGACCACAGAGCACAATTCAAATGCACCCAGTGCTCTCCATCGATATTCAGCAGGCGGCCTTGTCCATCCGGGAGAAGGTCACCGACAAGGTGACACAGTACACATACTCTGTTGTCCCGAACATTCGACGTCACTTTCAGCCCGACATCCAGCAGATTCATTACTTGCTGCGTCGCTCGAGAGTCCGTGACGCTGTTCTGCCGTTTCAGCTGCAACAAATTAGGTGACCACAATTCATGTCGACCTTTCTTTCCCTTTTTCAGCAGAGGCGCTATGGATTTCAACAACAGTTGGACGGGTGTCATACGTTTCACTGGTGAATGTTCGCGTTTATCCTTTCGTGCTTCCTCCTTCGGTCCGTTGTCAAAACCATGGTCAACCGAAACGGTGGCCGGTGGAGAGACTTTCGCGACATTCTGGTTAGTAATGGCAAATTGCATCATGCATGTACTACTGCAGAAGGAAACGTATGCCACGCCATCTTCGTACTCCACTGGGAAACCGTTGTCGACCAGAGAAACAACAGGCAAATCAGACAATCGTTTCCGAAATCCCGTTTCTTGATCAAGGGCAATCTCACAGGTGCGACAGTATTTACAAGGCTTCGTTTCCATCGGCAGTTCTGGGTATTCGTCACAGCCAGTCATTTCAATGTCGGTCACAGGGATTCGCAATAGGTTAGCCAAATTCTGCAAGAAAACTCCCATGCTGCAAGCCGCTTCTTCGGTGATTGTCATGCTGACGTTCACGCGATCGGACTCTTTGAATACTCTTCCAAACTTTTCTACGGTGATAGATTCGTATTTCACCATGTCCATTGTGAAATTCTCCTTCAGACTGCCAGGTGTTGCTGGGTCGAAATGCACAGCCAGAGTTGGTTCGTTAATGATAATGTCCGAAGACGGAGGCCCGTCCGGTGGAAAGCCGATTTCAAGCCAGTTATATAAATGGTCATAACACGGTTCCAACAAGTGGTTCTCACCATATGACGACGTTGAGATGTAAGACATTGCAGGACTGTTTGGACTTTTGTCACTATCAGCTTCCAAAGATTTGTTGGCTTCCGGTTCTGCCTGCTCCGCAACAGTATCTAAAACGTCAATATTCTGACAGTGAAGCAAGTCCTCAAATAGCATTTTACCGATATTCGTCGTATTCAAAGAAGCCGTTTCATCGGTTATCCGAGTGACACCAACACAGAACCGACTTCGCGTTCCTTGTTTCGTCAGTTCATATTGACCGAAACTGCCTTGAAGAATTCGTTTCTGGGGTTTTTTCAAATCTTCCAACTTTTTACCGACAGGAACTGGCGCCGCGTCGGTTTCGGGTTTTAGAAAAACGCTTTTAACTGGCAAGGAGGATTTGTCTGGTTCACAAAGACTCACTGCAGCCTGCCGGAGCTGCTCCAGTAAGCTATCAACCACTGCTTCATTCAGTCCATCCATTGACGTACTGTCGGCAGAACCATCCGAAACCGCCTTTTTCTTTCGTTTCTTTTGGCCTTTTTCTTTTTTGACACCGTTAATTCCAGAATTCAACTGCGAAAGAGAAGTGCTCAAGGTATCGCCGGATAATTCCGAGAGCTGCATTGGGCTAGACGAAAAACTATCCTTGCGAGTCGTCAATGGCATGCTCTCAATCAAAGCCAACTGCTGTTGCTGTGCTGGTGTCAGTGCCCCAAAAGAAGACTCGTCCCCCTCGTCTGCTGACGCCCTGGACAACACTGAATCCTTTCTTTCGAGTGTCATAACTGGTGGCACGACACTACCGTTTTCCAATAGTTGTTTCAGCAGTATGTTTTTCCTCTCAACGGATTTGTCATCTTCCCGGTTTCCCGCCACGGTGTTCGCATCAGTAAAAGAACGTACTGCTAAAGAAAGCGTCCTTCCGTCTTGATCGCTTCTGGACACGATTTCTGCTATTGAACCAGCTGTTTTACCTAATGCATTGGGATGAAGAGGGTCCATCTTTACGGCACCCATAGTGCTTGGCAGCTGAGGACGTGAGATAACTGCTGCTGGTATCTTCTCCCCTGGGTGCTGAGCAACCTGCGCTGGAGTAACCGGAACGAGTAGCTGGACTCCAGTTTTGGCAGCAAAATCTTGCATTTTGCTTTGATGCTGTTTGTAATCTTTCTTCACAGTTTCCAAACGTTTCTGTATGGCACCCACATTACTGGTTAACCGTTCCAGCTCCATTGTCTCTTCAGGACTCAGCTCACTATTGTTCTTCCGCAGTTGTCTCTGGCGTGCTGCGAGGGCCTTTCGCTGCTTACGAACTCTGGTAATATTTTCCTGTAAACTAGCCGTTTCCGCTGCCAATCGCTGATGGTGCTCCAGAAGAAAACTTTCATGCGTCATATTATTATGCCGCTCCGACTCGCTAATCTCCGCATCCGTGTTCTCGCTAGCTGACCGTGCTGTAGGTGTGTTATTCAATGGAGCGGTCGGGGTGGCAACCGGCATGCTTTGCATTAGTGTGGGCATCACAGAAGGGGGTCGACCCGGCATCGAAGGATACTGTTGATTTCGTTGTTGAGGTTGAGACCACTGCATCGGTGCATGAGATTGACTCGCACTGACCATAGTCACAGTGGGATTGCGAACCGGCGCATATAAAGTCGGCTGCACTGCTGGCGTGGTCCGTCCGTCTGCTACAAACTGTCTGTCAACGTAATTCATTCGCAGATCGGGTTGAGATGGGCAATCCATTCTTCCGTACATGCCTATAAAGAACGCAGAAAGAAAGCGATGATTAATTTTAAAAAAAAACCAATCATTATTTATTTATAATGACTATAAAGCGTAGGGATTATTAATTCGCACAACCTTACGAACGATACTTACCAGCTTCAGAACCTGAGCTGCTTAATCCGATCTGTCCGGACTGCTGCCACTGAGGATGTGGATGGCGTTGCGGTTGTTCATACATTAAATTCTGATTATCTCCATACATATTGGGCTGTGTGCCGCGTTGCATTGCCATCTGAGTAGTAGGAGCGCGCGCTGGCATCGGATATCGATGCTCCGGAACCTGGGTCACACTTCGGACAGCTTGCTGTATCATGCGGGTTTGTGGGGGCGGCGGGTGACGAAACTCTTGCCGTTGCACAGGAAACGTCTGCGTATGTGGCGGCCGTATATTGTGCTCCTGAACTTGCTGCGGTGAAGGAAAAGCTGTCTGTTGCAAAAAACCTTCCTGCTGCTGGGGATACTGCCACTGCGCTGGTGGCCCAGGTTGCCTTTGACGTACTTGATTCTGGCGATTCAGTAGATCCCGCAGTTGCTGCCTAGGAAAAAACTGACCGTTCTGAGGAGACTGAGGCTCACTACTGGCTTGCATAAATGGCTGCTGAAATCTTTGTGGCATCGGAGTTCCAGGAGGCTGCGAGTATGGATCATGTTCATCTAACACTGCATGGTCGTGAGATTGCTGGCGAACCATCACTGGTTGGACCGAGGCGGGTGGATGCGCATACGGATCAAACGGAGAGCTGGGAGGGAAAGGAGTCCGTGGGGACTGCACCTGTTGGTACGAGTGCGGACTTTGCACGCCGTATGCTGGATCGTTGACGTGATGCTGCATAGGCAACACAGATCTGGGCCTCTCAAGAGGCGGCGAAAAGGGCGGGGCAGGGGAGCCAACCACATGGTAAGGCTGCGGTTGGTGATGTGCGTGACTGGCAGACGAACCTGGCGTCGAAGGCTGGCTTGATGGAGTTGCCGGATTCGTATACAGCATCTCTTCATGCGGGGTGTGAAAGGGAGATTCTATAGGCTCAGCTGCTTGAAACCGAGAAGGAGATACGAATCCAAGGTTTGGTACACCAAAGGTTGTTGGTCGTTCGGGAACTTTCACCGGGACAGGCACGGTCATCACTTTCTCCGAAGCCTATACAAATGATTTACATCGTTGAAATGATTGTTAACAAGCAACCTACACAACTAACCTTTGCGCGCTGAGTTTTAGTGGCTTTATTTGCTGCGCGGTTATCCCTGGCTTTGTGGAGAAACGGTTGCCGTTCGTTGGTGCTGACCTTTCTCCATAATTTGAGTATCTGCTTATAGCGCTCGGAAAAGTCTGGAAACTTTTGTTTCAAATCGGGATGTTGTAAATTAGCGTATAGTACAGAAGAAACCGTTGCCAATGGCCCGAGAGCTTCATCCTGCTCCCATTTCTGCTGAGTTTTGAGCCCACCGTTCCCGGCTTCCGTACTATCGCCCCCATCAGTACCGGTCGTGATAGCAGACCAGGTCGACAATCCGTGTTCACCGTTAGCTAACGGTGCCCGTGAGTTAGTCAATCCGCTGCCTGCAGTGCTACTGGCGTGCAATGCGGAAGGCAAAAAAACGTTATTGAAGACATCCTCGGCATCCTCGCTACTCATCTGAGGAAGATCGCTTTCTAAGGAATCCAGAATAGAGTCCAAGTTATCCGCCACAGAGCCGGGTTCTTGTTGGTCTTTTGTGGATTTTAGGGTAGACTGCATCGAATCGTCTTCTTGTGAACTCGAATATTCCTCATGTTCCGTGCCTGCCATGAGCATCTCCAAATCCAGCAACCCTAGATCTTCATCGAGGGGCTCCTGATTTAGCAACGCGTCAAAGCCTTCCGTAAGGTCAGGAAAATCCACTTCTTCCTCACTTGACTGATTCTCAGTCGACCCTTTCACCATTTTTTTAAAGGTTTCAACAAATTCCGTCTTGATCAGTTTCTTTTCTTCCACTTCATCGCGCACAGCAGGTTCGGACTTCACACTAACTGGTTTGGAATCTTCGATGCTGATGCTTAAAGATAACTTCTCACACAAACTTGACTGCTCGCTAGAATCTTGGCTATCAAACAATGCCTTCCCAAAAAACGCGTCTTGCAGATAATCCGGAAACATATCTTTAACCAGAAACCGCTTTTTTGATTGCACCTTTTTCTTTTTAACTTTCTGGGGATTGGGATGTTTCGTAGGATCCAAACCAGCAAGTTCCGTTAAGTGATTATCGAGGCTTTCTGCTGGGCTAATTGTTCCCTGTAGAAGAATTGTGAAACTGCCCGAACAGACAACAAATCAAAACCATAACAATAAACACAAAAACATAATGCTTCTGAAAAGTGTAACACAATAAAAAAACGACAATAAAATAAATTAATGCAATAAAATAAGTAACTTCACCACGATAGCGATTAGCAAGGAACTCAATATAGGAAACAAAAAGAGCCGACGAGCCGAATTAACGCAAAAAAAATTGTCTAAGCAATTAGGGCTTAATGCACAGATGAAATTCTATAAAAAAACAGCCACACATGCAGCAGACTACATTAGCGAAACCTAAAGAGCAGCGTTACGTATACTTACCGAGAGCAAATGGGACTCTGTGGATCCCTCATCCATTATCCCCAATTCTTTCTCTTTTTCTGCTTTTGGCTTAGACCCACGCAGCACGAATCCTCCGACGCCGAATCGCTGTGGACGACGAATGCGCTTCCTCTTGTCATCTCCCGATATCTCCTCCATTTTGTCATTTTCCTGAGAGAGCGAAGGAAGACCATCCAACAGGGAATCCACACTATTCTGCGCTGAGAGCTTCCCGTGTTTCTTCTTTGGAGATTTCAACTTTGTGTGCTCGACACTTAAGCGTTTCAGATGCTTCAAGCCAGCATCCGACAGCAGCATTCCCTCATATTTGTGCGTAACCACTGCTTTCGGTTCGACAACTTCCGGATTGCAATCGTTCGAATCTTCGTCCTCAAAGACGTGCTGCAGATGCAGCGGCGGATAATTATCTGGTCGACAAAATGGGCAAATGTAACCCATGCTAAAGGCACTCTCCACGTCGTCCTCGTCCATAATCGCATCGCAGGCAGCGTGCAGGAACCGATCGCACTGCAGACACTGAATCACCAACTCCTTGTCGACATAATCACTCTCGCACACGGGGCATTTCTGCAGGGAAGCACAGGGCGTGCAGGTGGAGTAGTTGTTGTGCCACTGCGCAGAGGGACCGTAACCGGGACTGGCACTGTCGCAATACTGACACCGTACACAGCGCCGACATTTCCAGGTTCCGCTGGGCACCTGGTTGAGCGGCGGACTAAGGCAGTAGATGTGGAAGGAAATGTCGCACTCGTCGCACAGAATCAGTCGTCCTTCGTCGTGAGGCTTCCCGCACACTTCGCACAGCGTGCAGTCCAAACAGCGCCAACCGGAAGTCAACACGGCCGAGTTCAACTTCACGCCAGCGCAGAAGGAATGGTAGCACTGGCCGCACTGCGCACAACCGATCAACTTCCCTTCGTCTTCCAGTCCGATGGCGCCGCAGCTCACACAGATGTCCTGCAGCTGCATAAAGTCGTCGCCCGTTTTGAAGATGACAACCGTCGATGTGTGCACAGAATCCTCTTCCGCATCGCCTCCCTGCCCATTCTCCACTATTTCACCATTAGGAACTGCGCTGGCCGGAGATGCCAGAGACTTCGGGATAATCAGGGGCAAGGACTTTCCTTTGCCCCTTTTCCGACCAACTGGAGGGGCGAGGGAGGTCGACAGAGTGCGCGAACGTTTCTTCCCATTCTTCGCTCCCGACTGCACTGTCTGTCGTCGTTTTAAGCGGACTGACGGTTTTCCCCCTCCACTACCCGACACTTCAGAACCTTGTTCTGTCAAAGAACTTTCGTCCAGAGAACTGGAAAATACTGATGATGAGCTGGGGCTCCCTGCTTGTTGATTCGTTGCTAGTGAAGCCAAGCGAGACTGTTCTGCTGTTGATGGAACCAGCCCTAGGGATAAGAAACTTCAAATAGCATTTTATTTCCCCAATTGGATTCAAATCGAGCCATACTTTTGTTCTACGGTTTCTGAGTAATTTATGCTTGCAAGCCGAAAATGTGGTAGCAGTAGCTAAATCATTATGGAAGAAACATTTCCAGTCATGTAATAAGATACCTGCTACATTTAAACCAAATCGTACAGGCAAAATATAACTACAGGATCTAAGAACACATGAATTAAGAAACACTCATAGAAGACAAGTTAAAAGAAATTCACATACCTGCGTATCCATTCAGGCTGCCTTTCCTACACCGAACGCACTCGTATGTCTCAAGAGGATCACGTTTTTCTTCATCGCATGTCCGATGAGTGCAACCTCCACAACTAAATTTTAAAGACACAGAAATACAATCAAACTGTACCTTGACACCGAATGAAAAATGACCACAGAAGGTTGTACCTGGAACACCGAAGCATGTCGCGTTGTTCCGCAAAGCGATAGGCTTTCTGGCAGACGGGACAAACTGAGCCTTTTATTTTCTGCTGATAACAACTGTCACATAATGTATAACCATGATGCCATTTGCATGATGGACCGGCGCCAGGAGTTCGTTTTCCACAGCGACATATGCGACAGCTTGGACCTGAAACGCATCCATACTGTGTGAACGCAAGGAGATTCCAAAAGCAAATGATACAATCACTTACACTTCCAAGCCGACTTGGGCAGATTGCCCAGAGGAGGCACGAGACAGGTCAAATGGTAATCATGACCACAATCGGAACAGACTACAACCTTTTCGGTCTTCCCACCACCTCTGCATACACAGCACGTTCGGCAATCGGAGCACTGCCAGCCGGCCTTTCTAGCCTGGGAAACCTCGGCAGAGAAGCCAAGGCAACTGGGATGAGCGTGTTTGCCACATGAATGACAAAATAACAGATCTTTGATGCTGCCGCATCCCATGTCCGCGGGCCCGTCCAGCTCGCCACACAAAAAACATAAACCCAGTGGATCAAGGGCAATCTGATCTGGAAGCGTGGAGAAGTGTAATGAGCAAACAAGTTTTTTGTCGGGTAATTGCTGATAGCAATCGCTGGCACTGCTGCAAGGCAAGTGGTATGTCGCTGTACACTCAGGAAAGGAACACCTGACCGACGCTCCGTAGTGGCCGCAGTGCGCACATAACTGTAAAAACGTCGTAAAATGTAAATACAACCGTAGTATTTCGTATAATACACTTCATTTTACACAGCACAGAACAATCATAAAATCGCTGTGAAGAAAGCTGATTTATACAGCATTCCAATATACGTACGAACATTTAGAAACAAATATTTAGAAAGGACCGAATAAAATTGTTTAAAAAGTGTTTAAAACAAACGTGGCAAATTACGCCAGTTACCTGAAGAAGGGCATTTGACACCACCTCCTCTGGATTAGTACAAACGCCTTGGGCATTGAAGTGTGCGTCCGGTGACCACTGAAGGCACTTTTCATGGATCATTAACTCACCGTCCTCAGATAAGGTGTGCTAAACGAATAAAAAATTGAGCACGATTACAAATACAAGTAACGCGGAAGGAAGTGCGTTAAAATGGAAAAAAAAAGAAGGAAGGGACAAGGAAAAAAAGGAGAAGCGTGCAGACGCGCATCCAACACCAGGCTAAGTATTTCCCAGAATTATCAGTACTGTCACCGGCAAGAAAAAAATTTCTGAAGCGCTTTCAAAATGATACTTAATAAACTGACAGCTACAAACCTGAATGGATTTGATTTGTTCGTGGCCAACACCGGCGAGATCATCAAGCTGCTGCTTTTCCTTCAGTGAATTCGGAAGCTGGAAAACTTGTTCAGACGAGATAGATACAGGGAAGGATCGAAGAGATCCCTGACCAAAACGAGATGCGCTGGACAACTGGCATAGGGCGCATGCCTAAAGAAATCAAAAACAGTCATTCAACTGCGGCGCACTAAACACAGCAATGTACGTTAAAAACGGCAAGCTTTACCAGTTTCACAATTTCAGCTTTCTTAACAACCAGCTCCTTGCGGACACTGGGTTGTTCCGCAGCGGATGTTGACTTTGGTATACTTTCAGAGATTGGCACAGCCTCCTGTCGAATACTGTTAACGTGTGGCACACGCTTTGTCCGGACTAGCAGCTTTGTCGAAGTGGAAAAATTAAAGGTGGTAATTTGCGAGGACGGTGGTGCTGCGACTAAAGAGTCCGACGGATGCGAAAACAGACTATTTTTCGGGATTTTCAGAATTTTCTCATCTGTAATCGTCGCGGACACCACATCTATCGGAGGATGGTGATTCAGAATGATATCGCCATTCATAACAGGGTCCATCGTTATGCAGCCGCGCGATCTTGTCTCTGCTCGCGCCAGTGCATAGTTCACGGCTCCATCATGGAGGAGAATATCCTAATCATTCTGGACCACTGCAACATAAGCTCATGCAAATGCTTAAACAATAAGAGACGAATACCTGAACGGATTTTCACTGAATTCAGTACTCGTAGTCAATAGACTTCGCAATACGAAACAGTACACATTGTAGAATTTTGGCAACAGTCGAAAAGGACAAAATCGTTGACATACTTACTACACGCCTGAATATTGACTACTAATTATAATACTTAATGTATTAAAGGTTTGTATATAGAATTTAGGGCTTAATTAGCTTAATTCTTTAAATGAAACGGAATACTTAATCGTCCACATACTGTACAAATCAGTCTAATCAGAACATCGCCATCATCGCGGAACTACGTACTGTACTTATTGTACCAAACCTACAGTTTTTTTTCTTTGCCTCCAAACTGTAGACCTTATTAAGTACAACCTGAAAACTTTTACAGAATGTGAATGTAAATAAAAAGTTAGGAAGTATAATAAAAGCGGGCGCATTTTCCTAACATTTGTATATCTCTGGTTAGCTGATAATGCTACACGGTACTTATCAGGTCAAGGCAAAAAACGGTTGGAAACCAAGGGATTAAAGGGTTCGCAATTCTTACCTAGTCATGTTCGCATGTTTTGTAATCCTTCCAGTCCAATTTCCAAATCACAACCACTTCAAGTAAACTAAATTATGGATACATTTCATAGATATTAAAGGTAAAATGTTCGCTTGTATTGGTTTCTTACTCAGATCTAAACAGTTAGAGATGTAGAAAATAGATAAGGAAATTTCAAAATGGGCAGAATCAGCCAACACAGATTTTGTACCTTGGCGTGCTGCCAGAACTTTGAGTAGTCCTTTGGGCTGGGCTGGCCATAGCTGGGCCTAGCAGTATCGCTGGGTTGGATACACAAAATTGAAAATGGGGTGGGCGATCATAAACGTGTAGTCGTAACCACTGGGACATATAAATATTGTGTCGATATAGTGACCACCTCCAAACGGCACTCGCCATGTACAACAGCAACAATAAAAAATTAATAACAAAAATTACAAAATTTATGTAAACTGTAAAGGCAGTAAAGCTAAAAATATTAAAAAATTCAGTAAGTGCTGTATCTGTACATCAGCACATGACAACATCAATATGCGATCTGCAACGCATTTATCATGACAATATTATTTCTGGTGAAAAATCAAGAAATGATAATCACGTAAACTTAAAAGTGTTAAGCTTATCTGTTAAATCGTTTCCGAAGTTATTGTGAAATTTTTCTGCGAAATAATTATGTAATAAAATATTGCACTTTGTTAAATACATACCCGTAGATATGAGTTTATTGAATTACGAAAATATGAGAAATTCCGTGCTTTTCGAGCTTATGTTTTTAAATATATAAGTACATACTTCAGTAAAATAGTGTTTTATTATGAATGTTTTGCTTCGTATGATTTTCTTAAATCATAATAATTATAGTCAATTTATACTAGGACAGTGTGGGCTGATTGTGAGTTTTAAGACAATGTGGAGTTTTACTTTGTTTACGTCATTTCGTGCTTTGACTTATTACTAAGTTATTAGTTATTTTTTAATTATTGATTGTTGAAAGAGGAAATTCCAATTCTAGATCGGAGTGGCATTGCTTTTGCTTTTTGGTTTTGAGGTAGCAAGTTTGTTTGTTACATACAGGTTACGGTCATTTTACTCATTTATAGCAGATGTCGGTTTTATATGCCGTAATGTCTGTCAGGCGTGCTCCTCCTCTTACCACTACCAGGCAATCGGAATAGTGTGTACTGTGGACTTGTTAGTTGAGTAGAACAAGTTACAAGATGGTGCAAAACATTCGACAACGTTCTATTCATCCAAACTCAAAAGACAATGGGACACCTGTTTTGGAGGAGAAGCCGTCCCTAAACGACGACCTGCCTTCGAAAGTCGACATCCATGAAGAAAAGCGGACACTGGGAAAGCCAGCCAACGTGTGTTCCCGCATGCTGTACTGGGGAACGTTATTGGCGCAGTTTATTATAACATCTGTGTCCCTTACATTTTTATACTCCAATACTTACTTTTTTCCCGTTATGGGCCCTCGAGGGGATATAAGCTTGAAAGGACTATTACACCTCATCGTATTTTGCGCATCTTCCGTCCTTACACAGTACAATTTCCTTATGGCCATCTTCATTGGACCAGGTTTGACTGCAGCATTTTTATCGTTTTTAATTTTGAATAATCAGAAAACCACGGTCTTTCTCGATTTTCTGCTTTTAGTTTTGTGTTTGAACTTTGTACAGTGCGCCATCCTGTTCTTTGTTTTTTTCATTAGCTCTGCATTTTTGCTTCCATACGTCAACATTTAAGCAGTATATTGTATATATTGTCTACGTGTTATAATTTTGCTGTGAGATTGCGCAAACACATTTTCATTATTTTATCATTAATTTTTAATAATTAATAGGTTATGTTCCTGAAAGATGGCAACCGGAAAAGGAGAAACACAATGCGCTCCTTCAGTACTGCAAAGTTTGTCTAGGTATTCCGCATTTTTGATAGTGTATGTATTCTGTAATCATTTTAATCGTGTTTGTACCTTGTTGTTTTATGCTTTGGTGTCATAATTGAACTGGCGCGACAATGAAATTTTTTTTATCTGTAGAAATATTGAAACCGTCTGTTTTTTTGTTTCAGGTTTCAAAGCACCGCGCGCTCATCACTGCAGGACATGCGGCCGTTGCGTACTGAAAATGGAACATCACTGCCCTTGGATTAACAATTGTGTTGGGCACAAGAATCATGCATATTTTCTTCGATTTCTTTTTTTCGCCGTGGTTGGATGTGCACACGCCGCATTCGTATTTCTCCTGATTTTCCTTCGATTATTTACAATTAGTTATTCGGAAATGCACTTTGGCGGCCGTGCTCGGCAAAGTAGCAATTTACTGGTTCATTCCTACCATAAACTCATGTATTTCCAACCACCGCCAGCGTTTTTTAACATCTGGGGTCTGCTATGGTTGGTGTTGATGATTGGATTTGCCGTCGGCGTGACCATTGCCGTTGGTCTGCTGTGTATCGTCCAGTTGAAGATCATCTTTCGCAACGAAACATCCATTGAACGATGGATTATAACAAAAGCCAATCATTACCTACGGGAGGAAGCGCAGGGCGCGGGTAAGCCGGTGGCCTTGTTCCGGAATCCATATGACCTAGGCTGGAAAGAAAACTTCCGGCAGGTCATCGGGAACGGTTCCCGTAACCCGCAGGGCGACGGAATCTGGTGGGCGGTGCATGATAGCTGTGACCAATTTACGCTTACATCCGAACAACTTCGTCAAAAGCAGTTTAAACGTGATGCTAGCGTGGTATATGAGGTCCGTGAAAGTTACAATGGAGCGCGATTTCCTTTGTTTAGTCAAGGATTTGGAGTATGCATCGCCTTCCCATGGGCACTGGATGAACCCCGGATTGCTGTGCAATCCGGTGATAGAATCCGAGTTACCTTTGGGAAGAATAAATGGCTTTATGGTGAGTTACTGGGTCAAATTCAGGCTGACCGGAAGTTGGACCCGTCTGGAGATTCCCATAAAGAGCGAAAGGGCTGGTTTCCTCGCAGAGTAGCTGTGCCTTTGCAGTCAGAGTCATCGAGCTTTCTATAATCTTGGACCCTTTGTGAATTTATAAGGCTTCCGAATAAGAGTGTTGTGTGATCATAAGATTTATTTTAAGCATCCGGTTACGTGACAGCATTGTTCTGTGGTTTGAAATTGTTTGAAACTTTGGATACAGTTCTCATGGCTTCAACTTTTAGATCGTCCATGCTTAATGACTTTTAAACTCGGCTCTAGTTTGTAATAAAAAAATCAATGGCGGTTCGAAAATCTACTAGAAGACGTACGTACCGGTAGAATTAGAATAAAGTTTAATTCTCAGTAATTAGCATCTGTGTACAGATTACAGGGATACAAGACGTAAAAAAATGCAAGTTTTGTAAAAATTATCGTGTATTGCAAAAAGTTCTTTTCGGCGATTCCTTCCCCATGAGCGTTCTTTTACTTCTTTAGACGAATTCTAACGATGGACTTATAATGACTCCACAGTCTACTATAGATATGCGTCATACTGTACTAATTCCAGTTTCCACCGCGTACTGAACGTGTAAAATGTGGGTATTAGGAAACTTTTCAACGCCAAACATTCATATTCACAATTTTACACCACATGGCTTATTATGTTTTAAACTCATTAAACTATAAATAATTTTTTTTTGTGGTTTACAATGGCGTACTAATGAAAATAAAATACATACTGTAAAAAAGCACGAACGCGATTTACCAGAATACTACATGCATTGGACTCACATTCACAACAAGCTTCGCCCATTTGAACTTCCTGTTTATAAGGCATACGAACTTACGATCATAAGTTCGCATACGAGTCGTTTACGTAATAATAGTCTGCTATAGATAAAAGCAAACAAGCTGTTGAATGATTGGTTCTGATTCACATATGGATTACATAAAGTTGGCAAGGTTAGCTGGATGTCTAACAATAGGGATCAATTTTTAAACTTCTTGTTACGTAATGTCGTGTTTGGATTTAGGGGTGATCATCAGAATGCCAGAGTATCCTCGAGTACCCTCCGTCAACATGAGCCAGCAGCCAGCGTTAAGTCCCAATTCCTCCCTGTTCTCCTCCAGCCTTTTGGATGAGAATTCTTTGACAGAACAAGGTTCTGAAGTGTCGGGTAGTGGAGGGGGAAAACCGTCAGTCCGCTTAAAACGACGACAGACAGTGCAGTCGGGAGCGAAGAATGGGAAGAAACGTTCGCGCACTCAATCGACCTCCCTCGCCCCTCCAGTTGGTCGGAAAAGGGCAAAGGAAAGTCCTTGCCCTGATTATCCGAAGTCTCTGGCATCTCCGGCCAGCGCAGTTCCTAATGGTGAAATAGTGGAGAATGGGCAGGAGGCGATGCGGAAGAGGATTCTGTGCACACATCGACGGTTGTCATCTTCAAAACGGGCGACGACTTTATGCAGCTGCAGGACATCTGTGTGAGCTGCGGCGCCATCGGACTGGAAGACGAAGGAAGTTGATCGGTTGTGCGCAGTGCGGCCAGTGCTACCATTCCTTCTGCGCTGGCGTGAAGTTGAACTCGGCCGTGTTGACTTCCGGTTGGCGCTGTTTGGACTGCACGCTGTGCGAAGTGTGCGGAAGCCTCACGACGAAGGACGACTGATTCTGTGCGACGAGTGCGACATTTCCTTCCACATCTACTGCCTTAGTCCGCCGCTCAACCAGGTGCCCAGCGGAACCTGGAAATGTCGGCGCTGTGTACGGTGTCAGTATTGCGACAGTGCCAGTCCCGGTTACGGTCCCTCTGCGCAGTGGCACAACAACTACTCCACCTGCACGCCCTGTGCTTCCTGCAGAAATGCCCGTGTGCGAGAGTGATTATGTCGACAAGGAGTTGGTGATTCAGTGTCTGCAGTGCGATCGGTTCCTGCACGCTGCCTGCGATGCGATTATGGACGAGGACGACGTGGAGAGTGCCTTTAGCATGGGTTACATTTGCCCATTTTGTCGACCAGATAATTATCCGCCGCTGCATCTGCAGCACGTCTTTGAGGACGAAGATTCGAACGATTGCAATCCGGAAGTTGTCGAACCGAAAGCAGTGGTTACGCACAAATATGAGGGAATGCTGCTGTCGGATGCTGGCTTGAAGCATCTGAAACGCTTAAGTGTCGAGCACACAAAGTTGAAATCTCCAAAGAAGAAACACGGGAAGCTCTCAGCGCAGAATAGTGTGGATTCCCTGTTGGATGGTCTTCCTTCGCTCTCTCAGGAAAATGACAAAATGGAGGAGATTTCGGGGGATGACAAGAGGAAGCGCATTCGTCGTCCACAGCGATTCGGCGTCGGAGGATTCGTGCTGCGTGGGTCTAAGCCAAAAGCAGAAAAAGAGAAAGAATTGGGGATAATGGATGAGGGATCCACAGAATCACAGTTATTGTCGGTAAGAGCGCCTGGCGATATTTTTTCGTTATCGTTTTGTGACTGTGGCGAATTATCACAGCTTGTTTCATGCCTGCTTACTATGGAATGGACGTATATTTAGTGAATAGAAGTATATTTACTGCATTGTGATAGTTATCCGATAGTTAAATTTTCCGCTTTGGTTTACCTGTTAATAGTTCTAAATCGAAAGGAAGAGTAGCAAATTTATGTTTGCGCCGATTTGTTGGTACAAAATAAATAGATTCACTAATAATTTGGTGCTACGTTTCTGTTAAGCTTGTTATTCTTGTATAGAGCGTTTTTATTTTTATGTTTAATAGATGTTTGAATTTCTGAAATTTTATCAATTTTTGCACAGGGAACAATCAGCCCAGCAGAAAGTCTCGATAATCATTTGACGGAACTTGCTGGACTAGACCCAACGAAACACCCGAATCCCCAGAAAATGAAAAAGAAGAAAGTGCAATCCAAGAAGCGGTTGCTGGTTAAAGATGTGTTTCCGGACTACCTGCAAGACGCGTTTTTCGGCAGAGTATTGTTTGATACCAAAGATTCTAGCGAGCAATCGAGCTTGTGTGAGAAATTATCACTTAATATAACCATTGAAGATTCCAAACCAGTTAGTGTGAAGTCCGAACCTGCTTTGCGCGAAGAGGTGGAAGAAAAGAAGCTGATCAAGACGGAATTTGCTGAAACCTTTAAAAAAATGGTGAAAGGGTCGACTGAGAATCAGTCAAATGAGGAAGAAGTGGATTTTCCTGACCTTACGGAGGGCTTTGACGCGCTATTGAATCAAGAGCCTCTCGACGAAGATCTGGGCAACCTTGACCTCGGTATATTAATGACAGGAACAGAGCATGAAGAAGACCCAGGTGTGCAGGAAGACGAACCTATGCAAACCGCGCTTCAACTTAGAAAAGACCACCAGGAACCAGATTCTGTAACCGATAACTTGGACTCGATTTTGGATTCTCTTGAAAATGATTTGCCGCAGATGAGCTGTGAGGATGCCGAGGATGTTTTTAACAATGTATTTTCACCAGCGGCGGCTGGCAATGTGGGCATAGGAGGAGGTAGTTCGATGTCCGTTTCAGCGATTTCTCGAGCTGTTGGCCCCAACGGTGGGCATGGTCTCGCTGCTTGGCCTGCAGTTCCGTTGGGCATTGACTCGGGTGAAAATGCAGATGCCGGGAATAAGGGACCGCAAAAGGCTGAAGAAGACGAAGCTCTAGGATCATTGGCTACGATGTCTTCGGTATTGTATGCCAATTTGCAGCATCCAGACTTGAAGCAGAAGTTTCCGGAATTTTCTGAGCGTTATAAGCAGATACTCAAGCTGTGGAGGAAAGTTAGCACGAATGAACGGCAACCATTTCTGCACAAAGCTCGTGAAAACCGAGCAGCCAACAAAGCCTCGAAAATTCAACGCGCGAAAGAAGAAAAGGTGAGATACTGTAAAATATTGTTGCACTGAAAGCAGGCATTTTAATTGGCTTCATATGAGTAGTTGATTGAAGGATCTTCTAGGCCGTGTAACACGTGTAGTTGATAACATCTAAACTTTGATCAGACCGTGGAGAAACCAAACAGTGTGCCATTGCCTATGAAATATCCCGAACGCCCTGCCACTTTCCCTACACCAAACCACGGTTTCCTATCACCTACGCGGTTTCCGTCATCTGAGCCCATAGAATCTCCTTTCCACACCACGCAGGACGAAGCGCTGTATACTAATCCAGCGACTCCATCAAGCCAGCCTTCGACGCCAGGTTCGTCTGCCAGTCACGCACATCACCAACCGCAGCCTTACCATGTGGTTGGCTCCCCTGCCCCGCCCTTTTCGCCGCCTCTTGAGAGGCCCAGATCTGTGTTGCCTATGCAGCATCACGTCAACGATCCAGCATACGGCGTGCAAAGTCCGCACTCGTACCAACAGGTGCAGTCTCCGCGGACTCCGTTTCCTCCCAACTCTCCGTTTGATCCCTATGCACATCCACCCGGCTCGGTCCAACCAGTGATGGTTCGCCAGCAATCTCAAGATGCAGTGTTAGACGAGCATGATCCATACTCACAGCCTCCTGGAACTCCGATGCCGCAGAGATTCCAACAACCATTTATGCAGGCCAATGAACCTCAGTCTCCCCAAAACGGTCAGTTTTTCCCTAGACAGCAACTGCGGGACCTGCTGAATCGCCAGAATCAAGTACGTCAAAGACAACCAGTGCCACCGACGCAGTGGCAATATCAACATCATCCGGAAGCGGGGGGTTTTTCTTCGCCTCAGCAGATGCAAGAGTCCAATGTACAGTTCAGTTCTCACACTTTTGCCGTGCAACGGCAAGAGTTTCGTCAGCCACCACCCCCGCAACCTCGCATGATGCAGCAACCTCCCAGAAATTTGGTGGATGTCCAACAGCAACGCTACCAGGTAGCTGCGCGTGCTCCGAACCAGGTGGCCGTGCAACGCCAATCACAGATAGGTATTCGATATGCTGAAGGCCAACATCCAATGTACGAGCAGCCTCCAGTACGTCATCCGCATCCTCAGTGGCAAGCCGGACAGGGAGGATTTTCTGGACAGGGTGTCGATGCTAGTAAGTGTTACGAGCTTCCTTTCTGCTATAAATCAATTACTGTAAATATTTTTGTAATTGTGATCGATTACTGATGGTTGAGTTATCGAGTATACGGTTTATAGACATGTACGGAAGGGCGGATTCTCAGGTTCCGTCAGCGTTGCGAGCTAATTACGGGGACAGACAGTTTGCTGGAGATGTGAGGACAGCGGTTCAGCCAGCGGTGTATGCTTCTGGACGCAGTCCCACTGCGACAGTGCAAAATCCAAGTCAACCGCTGTCGCCTATGCAGTGGTCTCAACCACAGCGGGCTGTACAATATCCCCCAGTGCCGAGTCGCCCGCCGTCCGTTATGCCCACACAATCGCACAACGTGCCAGCTGTAAATTCTGTCGCTTCGCTTCCAATTACCAACTTGCCTCTAGCACGCTCTGCAAGTGAAGATGTGGAAATGAGTGAATCGGAGCGACACAACAGCATGACTCACGAAACATTTCTTCTGGAACACCATCATCGGTTAACTGCAGAGCTAGCTGCTTTGCAGCAAGATATTGCTAAGTTCCGTAAGCAGCGGAAGGCTCTCGCAGCCCGCCAGCGGCAAATGAAAAAGACGAATCATGACCTCAGTCCAGAAGAAAACATGGAATTAGAACGGTTAACAAATACTGTGGGTGCCATTCAAAAAAGGCTGGATACTGTGAAGAAGGAGCATAAGCAGCATTTGAACGAAATGCATGATTTTACTGCGAAAACTGGAATCCAACTGGTTGTTGATGAGCCTCAAGTAGCCTTTTCTGGAGCGGTTGGCAACATGTCGATGACGCAACCAATTCAAACTGGAACGTCTTTTCATACTATGCGACCGGAATTGTCACACCATCCGACATCCGTTCAGCCTGGTATGTACCACCCAGCTACGATGGCATCCAAACAAGGCCATTTAGGCGTAACGCAGAACAGTGCCTTTTATGGAGATCAGTTTCATCAGAATTCCTATACCACGGCGCCAGTTCGTCTAACTCAGACCCCTCCACGATTTGTGCCGCCTGTACCTCAAGTGCAAGGTATTTTTTGGAATATTTGGTAGAAATGGTACATTCACATGGTGCTATTCGTCTTTTTTTCTTGTAGGTGTTCTGCAGCATCAGTTTCCACATCCTAATACGCAGCAGCAGAGTGCCCACCAGATGAATCTGCAATTTGTCCCGAATGCACCAGTCGCTTCAGTCCAGTATCCCGAGCCACAGGGCGAACAGCAACAACACTCGACGGCCATGAGATCTCATTTGCCCGGTTCTGTGGGGTTGACTAAGATTGATCCTTTTCGTCCTGACCTGCCAGCTCGAGCAGCTGGTCTTAGACCACAAGCTCCGGTCAGAGGTTCTGTTGACATGGGGAATTTCCAAGCCACAACATTGAAATCTCATCCTGATTCCACTTCAGGAGGCATGCAAGGTGATGAGCGATCCATTGAAAGGAAAAATATTTTGTTGAAACAACTGTTGGAAAACGGTAACTCTTCTTTGTCGCCGACAATGTCGCTGGAGAGAAAAGGCTCGGTTGTATCGAACTCTCTTCCTGACGAGGATGATGATTCTTCACTATCTGCTCTAACACCAGCTCAGCAGTATCAGCTAGCATTAATAGAGAGTATGCCATTGACAACTCGCAAGGAAAGTTTTTCTTCCAGCCCAACACAGCCGTCGGAATTTGCCGTTGATGCATTGAACGTTTCCACCTCAGATGCGAGTACTGACAGTACGAAAAAGAAAAAGGGACAGAAAAAGCGTAAGAAAAAGCCTTCGGGTGACGAACTTGGCAGTGGCGCACTTATGGATGCGTCGCATGAAGTGGTGATTGATGGTCTCTTGGAGCAACTTCGGCAAGCGACAGTAAATCTTTGTGAACCGGACAAATTGTCTTTGCCAGCAAAAAGTATTTTCTTTAAGCCTGAAACCGATGCGGCTCCAGTTCCTGTCGGTAAAAAGCTCGAAGATTTGAAGAAGCCACAGAAAAGAAGTCTTCAAGGTAGTTTTGGTCAGTACGAGCTGATAAAACAAGGAATACGAAGTCGCTTCTGTGTCGGTGTTAGTCGAGTGAACGATGAAATGGTTCAGTCGAACGTAGAACATTTCGGTAGCATTCTCCTCGAAGATTGTCTTCGATGTCGAAATGCCGGTGTTCCGGATGTGCAAGCGTCGCAACAGGAGGCCGACAAATCTTTACAGTTAGATGACGTTAAACGCCCAGATAGCCCTGCAATGTCTTACGTTTCAACGTCATCGTATGGTGAAGGCCGCTTGTTGGAACCGTGCTACGACCGTTTGTATGACTGGCTTGAAATTAGCTTTCCACCGGACGGACCAACTTGTTCGGACATAGTAATTAGCGAACCAACTTTGGCAGTGCATTTCGACCCAGGAACACCCGGCAGTCTGAAGGAGAATTTCGCAATGGACGTAGTGAAATACGAATCTGTCACCGCAGAAAAATTTGGAAGAGTATTCAAAGAGTCTGATCGCGTGAATGTCAGCATGACGATCACCGAAGAAGCTGCTTGCAGTATGGGAGTCTTTTTGCAGAATTTGGCTAACCTGTTGCGAATCCCTGTGACCGACATAGAGATGACTGGCTGTGAAGATTACCCAGAACTGCCGAAGGAAACGAAGCCTTATAAATACTGTCGCACCTGTGAGATTGCCCTTGATCAAGAAACGGGGTTTCGGAAACGATTGTCTGATCTGCCGGTTGTTTCTTTGGTCGACAACGGTTTCCCAGTGGAGTACGAAGATGGCGTGGCCTACGTTTCCTTCTGCAGTAGTACATGCATGATGCAATTTGCTATTACTAACCAGAATGTCGCGAAAGTCTCTCCACCGGCCACCGTTTCGGTTGACCATGGTTTTGACAACGGACCGAAGGAGGAAGCACGAAAGGATAAACGCGAACATTCACCAGTGAAACGTATGACACCCGTCCAACTGTTGTTGAAATCCATAGCGCCTCTGCTGAAAAAGGGAAAGAAAGGTCGACATGAATTGTGGACGCCTAATTTGTTGCAGCTGAAGCGGCAGAACAGCGTCACGGACTCTCGAGCGACGCAGCAAGTAATGAATCTGCTGGATGTCGGGCTGAAAGTGACGTCGAATGTTCGGGACAACAGAGTATGTGTACTGTGTCACCTTGTCGGTGACCTTCTCCCGGATGGACAGGGTCGCCTGTTGAATATCGATGGAGAGCACTGGGTGCATTTGAATTGTGCTCTGTGGTCGGTGGATGTCTACGAAACGATTAATGGGCACTTAATGAACGTGCAGCAGGCGTGCAAGCGGGGTGCGAAGACGGAATGTGTCAAATGTCGCAAACTGGGAGCCACGCTGCTTTGCTATCGTTACCCGAAGATCCGCTGCAACCAGATGTTTCACTTCCCCTGCGCAAAAAGCAGCGGATGCATGTTCTTTAACGATAAAAGCGTTCTTTGTGAAATACATAAATCAGGCGAACCCCCCGAAGACGAGTTGAAGTCTATGACCGTTCACAGGCGAGTGTATGTCCATCGGGACGAGCCACGGATGGCATCAAGGTTGGTTTGCTCACTATGTTGTGTTGTGTTGTGTGTTGCTCACTATGTTATGTTGTATTTCGTTGTTGTGTTACTTCGTCATCAAGGTTCGTTTGTTGTGTTATGGGATTTACCGTTATTTCGAATTGAACCTTAAGTTGGCTGATGTGTGGTTTGTGGATTTCTAGGGTGATCACTGCACGCGATGGACTGTATAGCTTTCGGATCGGGACGCTGATCTTCCATTCTCTTGGACAACTTTACCACTCTAACATGGATGCCTTCCACAATCCGGACTGTGTTTATCCGGTATGACCACATTTCGTCACAGTTTTTGCTAATTTTGAAATTCATTTCGCCGATTTTGAGCATTTTTGTGTGTGCATAAATAGGTGGGATATTCCATCACTCGTATCTTCTGGTCTATGCGAGCCCTGCATAAGCGTTGTTTTTATCACTGCACAATCCAGGAGGTGCATGGTGCTCCAGATTTTCGCATTTCCGTGGAGGAAAATGGCTATGAGACCGTTTTAATTAAAGGATCAACCACTAAAGGTGCGGTAATTGCCGATAATATTAATGAATATCTATTTGCAGGCCTGGAAAATAAGAGTCAAAATTATGGACTTTTTTATGTTCAGATTAAAATGTCATCGGTAAATTATTAACGAATCACGTTTTGCAGAGGTGTGGATGAAAGTTTTGGTTGCTGTTCTTGAACACCGTTCATCGACGATGATTAAAGTCTTCCCGGATTTTTTCACGGGTGATGACTTGTTTGGTCTGACGGAAAGCAACATCGCCCGAGCGATCGAATGTTTACCGGGCATAAACGAGGCCATTCGGTATCAGTTCAAGTACGAGAAGGCTCGCGTTCCAGAATCACCAGCTGTGGCCGCGCCGGTAATTCCGCATCAACACGAGAGCGGATCGGCGCGAACCGAACCGAAGTTGAGACTGGTCACGAAGCGGTAAGAAGCGTTTGTTAATAGAGCCCGAACGAGGAGTCTCTGTTAACCTGCTCGATCGATCCTGTAGAAGTCACAGTGATGTCGAAAGAACCAAGACGAGCCAGTCCATTTCAGAGCCCAGTTTGGCCATCATGCCGCCATCCGCGCTCACAGTTCCGCCGACGTCGGTCTGACGCGGGTGTCCTCATCCGGCGACCTTTCCTCCTATCCGTTGTCTAGTGATGTCGCCGCTAATGCTCAAGAGAATTGCAACGGTCTCAGTTTTTACCAGAAACAGACACTCAGCCATACCAAAATCAACCAGTACCGCAAAATGAAGGCAGAATGGAGAAGTAACGTTTACCTGGCTCGGTCGAAAATCGAAGGTTTAGGGTTGTTTGCTGCACGGGATTTGGACAAAAATAGTATGATAATCGAATATGTCGGGGAATTGATACGCAACGAGGTGGCCAATCACCGCGAGCGGATGTATGAAATGCTGGTACGCTTGTTAGTCGCAGCTTTGAGGAATATTCGATTTACTTATAATTTAACTGTCTTTTACTGCAGAACCACGCAGGGATTTACATGTTTCGCGTTGACAATGAAGAAGTGTGCGATGCCTCTCGAGCCGGGGGTCCGGCCCGATTCATCAACCATTCCTGCGATCCCAACTGCATCACGGAAGTGGTGCAGACTGACAAAAACGAAAAGAAAATCGTTATTTCTTCGTTGCGTCGCATCCGTAAGGATGAAGAGGTAATGGCTTGCTTTGTATTAATAATTCCAAGGTAAATAAAGTATGTGCTTACACCAGAATCTGTGAATGCTAGAATAGCTTTTAAATACATTACAAATGTGCATTGCATATGTTAATTAACTTAATTTTGTGCATTGCAGTGCAGTGCATTGCATTGTGCATTACAAATGTTAGTTTTACAAATGTGCAATGCGCCTTGTGCCATATTGGCTCTTTTATGCATGACAAAGTAATTCTTGGTTTCACAAGTGCAGCTAGTATTGAAGGTTTGTGAAATCTGAGACCCGATTGTTGTGCTTTTTTATGTGCGAAAAATTTCAATTTGTGCGAAATGTGCGAACGGTTTAATTCAGGTTTAATCAGGGAACATAGGTGCTGTGCGAGCATGTACGTCAGAACGTGCTCGTTTAAAGAACAGAAATTTGCATCCTCTGTATATCCCTACTGTTTTTGCGTTGATGCGTCGTATCAGCACACTCGTTTGTGTGGGCTAATTAAGCTGCGCTTGTGAAAATGTAGCATCAGTGCAGTGACTACGACGATTAGCAAGCTTGAGTGAATTTACATTGTTAGCTGATGTGTGGTACGCGAAGGAAACCTAGGTCTTATCTGCTTCCCGGATGAGAGTGATTAAATATGGAGCGTACTGTACGCATTCGTTTTCGGGGGAACAAAAATTTGATTGGTTGAGCATTTGGAGTAGTTCCATCTTACCGAAAGTGTGGAATTATGGAATCTGTAATTTACATACATATGTCGTTCACCTGTAGCCAGAAGTCCTTAATTCACTCTTTCCTGTTAATTAATGGAAATGCTGATTCTCAGTATAAGTACTTTCATACTTGAAAAGTGGAAGGAAAACATTGACTCTCGATTAGTTAGTTTAAACTCGCGATCCGCTAATTTTTTATTTGTATTTTAGTTGTGCTATGATTATAAATTCGACTGGGAAGACGATCAACATAAGATTCCTTGCAACTGCGGATCCCAGTCGTGTAAATTATGGATGAATTGAGTTTCTCTCCAAAGATGGGATGCCTTACATTCTTCCTAAGTGGACGCTACATTTGCAGACTTCCTCATTCCCTCCTTTTGACTGGCTGCAGTCGGTCTGCTCTCTCAAGTCTTCCCCGGAAAGCCTTGACACAATTTGTGCTAACTTCCGCTTGGTGTGGATTGAACCAAATTAACCGTGGGACGATACCGTTGACATTTTCGTATTATTTTGTTTTTCGGTTTATCCGGTGCAGCCGCTGTAGGGAATGTGTTCTCTGCAGCCAGGAAAATAACTATTTAATAACAAACTTTAGCTTGTAACATGTTAGTTATCTGTGTTGAAATTGACTTTATTGTTTTTTTATGTTGCATAATTTTTTATCCTTTATTGAAAGGAATTGTGTAGATTTTATGTACTGCTTTTGTTTTTATTGCATTTGTTGATATTAGTGATGGTTAGAGTGTCCGTGGCTAGTTCAGAGCAATATGTTTTAGTAGTGCTATGAGAGAAATTGTACATTTTGACACGAGAAATTGTAGTGATTGAGTGTTGTTTCTTTTGTTTCAATTAGTTGTGAGTAAATAACACAGATCAACCTTGTGGCCGTCATACTCATTAAGACTTAGTAGTATCCAGTGTATACTTCTTAATCGTTAAAATCCATGGGTTTGGATGGATCCAGTGAAGCTGCATGAGAACTGAATATGAAGTTGAGTACAGATACGTACTGTTGTGAACTACGATCATACAACCAGGTGATTAAAAATTATAAAAAAAGTTTTCTTTAGGTTATATGGATATTTAATACTGACCAACATCTTGAACATCAAATAAAATTAGTTTGATTAGAAATTTAGACTTACATTGTGCATGCAGTAAGTGTAAGCAGTCACGGGCGCTCTTTACAGTTTGATAGAATACGTTATACTCTGTAGATATACCGTGCTTGTACAACAGTCGTGGGAACCCAATAGAGCTACAATCGCGGTGAACGATATACATGACGTCACTTTAACCGTATGTAGAAACGGGTGACAGAAACGACAGAAACCAGTTCCTTTTCTACATCTGGCTGCCGATCGATGGCCGATACGTTTGGCGAGCTCGTTGCATGCAGACGCGCTATATTTCTATAATCGATTCTTTGAAAAAATGTTGCCCTCTCGATGCGTACGTGTAACACAGCCAACGCGGCAAAATGCAACGAAGTGAACGGTCAAAATGTATTGATTTTGACTTCTTTTTAGCGCCATGTTAGTGGTGGTTGGAAGAGTAAAATTTCGAAAAGTATCACAATTTATCGTAGCGTTTTGAAAGAGAAAAGAGAATCCACGGAATATAATTAATTAATAGGCATGTTTGACATACAGTACCATTCTTACTTCATTCCGAAAAGCCGCATAAGGTGTTGTGTTTTATATTTAAGCTCCCCTAACAACCACTGTAGTGTTCTCCATCGAAATATTTGGCTGTATTGATTGTTCGAAGGTCACCTTGACGGATTATTATTAGCGGTATGATACAATACGAGAAGTGCAAAGGGCGCAGCATCACATGCCAAAACGGGTCTAAGCACCATTTTCATTAGTGCGCAAAATATAGAAAAAATCGTGCACGATATACCACGCCGCGCACCATGTCGAATCTCACAAAACAAAGCAAGTTTACGAAAAACATATTCATTCATACACGTTTTGAGCGCTTCCAGCAATCACAGACCATTCAATTAAAAATGCTAAATAATTTATGACAAAGTTTTTGAATGAGATATGCTCATACAGGTACAGCTAAATTTACTCGATCATGTACCTCGTACTTGTATCATATATTTATTCGATGCTGCATCCAGTGTTAATGACTATAGATACACTTCTATAGATATGTTAATGACTATAGATAGCATAGATATACACACTAATCTCTAGCATATGCAATAATTATGCCTTTTGCACACTTATATTGATTTTGGATCTTAATTCACATCTAGACATTAGTGAACGATAACGAATAAAATTCTACCGAACGTACGGAACGTATTACTTTAGCAAGCTGATTACTGAAGCAATCAGCTTGCTTCAATAATTATGTCATTTGATTTGTAGACTGTTAAATATGGGTGCTCTTAAACTTTTTTGGTAATCAGGACTGGTGACAAAAATTAAAACTCAAGGAAGGAACAATGTGAATCCTTCAAATTCCCCGATACGCACCGAAACAGTTACTTATTGACAACAACGTGATGCAACTATAATAAAACGTTTGCAGTTTCACTTATGCCATCGCTATAATATAAACGATAACATAAGTTAAAATAGAGACAAATGCAGCTACAGTAACAGGTTAAGGTAGATAGTAAGGTACGCTATTCCTCCTATTCTATCCTTTTCGTTCCTTGTAGTTTACAGATATTATTGCTTAATTGTTTGTAATTCTGCTTTTTAATTGCCAAAAATGTATTAAAGGGCCCTACTGTAGAAGTACCTACTGTAATGTTTACCGGTATATACTGTAGCGTTGCAAATTTGCAATAAGCGAGCGTCGTGCTGATGCGCATTATATCGCTGCATGCATTACTGTACTGCGGGATGCCGGGTTTTAGCCAAACTGAAGCGTATGCATTTATTTCCCCGACAGACCGTAAGCCCACACAACTACAGAGCTAAAGCGCCAACGTTGTCGATCGGTTAGAAACCTGCTCGGTGAAAATCGTACAGTTGATTTCCACCGGAAAATTGTGCATTACAGTAGCCGTATGCTGGCAGAAAACTGCTGATTGGTCGTTGCCAGAGCAAAACGGTACTTCCAACATGCTGACGCAGCATTGCACGCGCGGTGTTCCGAGAAAGAAACCCTACCTCATACTGCTCGCTATAGGTTAAAATACCATACTGTCTGTGCCAGATTATACCATCAAAATTACAGAAAGATTTCTTTCGCTGTTTCGCGCGACAACAGTGATCATGCGACATAAGTGCTGCTGCATAGCTGCGATATTCTGGAACCATTTCGTAAGGCATTACTTAACGTGTTTGTCGGCTAGGGTACTGGCATATAATGTATCTTTATTATGTCCTGCATTGTTTGATAACTACACTATTTTCTTGCATAATATGATGCGATACATATGTTTTCAGTTTGCATATGGTAGCGCATAACTGCTATATCACTATTTATTTTTTTAATGTATATTCACTTTATTTATTTATTTTATTGAATATCCATTATTCATTATATTATTTACATATATATAGAATTCAGAACTATGGGCACGAGCGACCGTTGTCCAGTGCCGAGTGAAAGTGCAGCAATGAACCGCTATTTCCACAACATGGGTCACTCCCTGCTCTCATACCGCACTCCCGATCATTCTGCCGCCGTATCGCAAGCACAGCTGGACGACGATACAAATCCCTTATTTATTTCCGCTGTTAGAATATTTTTAGAATATGTCAGAGAAAAACACGGTGTTACCAGTCCGGAAAAATGTTCCCTGGATCAGCTGATAATGTTTCTGGGTGAATTTCAAGAAACGGCTAAAACGAAGAAAGGCGAGCGCTACAGTCCATCAACGATTCGTGTTATACGCTATTCACTCAATCGAGTAATAGCGTTGGGTAAGAGCCAGCAAGAAATGCGACCCTACCCGGCACAAAACGCTGCTGGCCGGAAAAGAAAGAAAAACGATGAAAGTCGGTCGACTTTGACAACCGTTTTACCATCTGCTGGTTCGTGTTCGGATGATGTACATTTTGTTCGACAATCGCCTCCACGACTATTTGGTTTGCCGTATAACACCGCTACCGAAGTAGAATCCTTTTCGGCCTACGAAAAGTTGTCAAAGCCACATCCGCTGTAAGTCGCCTCACTAATAAATACTGTACAAAAAAAAACTGGATTTTTTTATACAGAACCAATTCATTCATAATTTTTACACACGCAGTTTTATTGCTGTGCAAAACGTTGGAAAAGCCTCCACAAACTCACTAGCTACAGTACTTACGGTTAGCTACAGTACTTGTTAAAACAACGTACTGGCGAACTATTTACACCAAGAATATGATCGCCAAAGCGCCCAGTATCGCGCCCCCTGAAAACTGTAATACGACCAATTGTCTGTCGGGGAGAATTAATCACATGTTACTGTTACCATATTTTATTTTCCCGTAATATATTGTGCTATCGGAACAATTTGAAAGTTGTGTTTTCCGAACGACGGCCGGTAGATCGGTTGCCTTTTCCATGATTAATTGCAATAATTACTTACAATTTTTCCATAATTTACCGATATATGTACAGTACAATATTAACGGATAATACTATAGATCCAAGCTTGTAATACCTGTATTAATTATTATGGTTCTGTAATACCAGTGATAATAACCGAAATTCATTAAAGTTAAGTAGCGTTATAAGTTGTCTTTTGAACTGATTGTAGTGGCTGTAGTACTGACTTCTGAGACGACCGGGCTGCTCCCTGTTGCAAATGTCACGGTTAAAACAATATGTCACAGGTTAAAACAATACAACCAGTTATAACAGAATACGGTCTTTAAAAATTTTGACAAAGTACGTAAGTGCTTTTTTCTTTGTAGATTGGCGGCAAAATAAGTGCTCGATACTATAGGTCACCTGGTTGCAAAAGCTCCAGCATTGCAAATACAGTTTACTGAGCAGGTTATCGTTTTTAAAAATTATTATACGTAGTCGGACAGCCATAGTAAAGTCGAATACGAAAGTACAGCTGTAGTGTACGATCAAAATGGTACTTTAATTACGGTAAATACACTAACATTTGGTGCTATACTTCAGAGTTCAATAATTATTTTATGAACGGTATTGTTCATAGCACATACGTACCTACAGCTTACAAGTACATAGTCTGAACCGGCAGTGCGTGTAGTTCTGGTACTGTACTATACAATCTTATCAGAATTAGCCCACAGATACCCATTTGTCTAAATATATTACTTTAACTTACTTGTTAATTACAGAGAGTACAAACCGTACCGTACAGTGTTTGTACTGTCCATTACGTTTCATTGATGGGTAAACATAAATATTCATAACAATACGTGCTAAATCTGTCTACCACTATGTTTTGCTTTCTGGATTTCCAAATAACAGTAAACAGCAAGCAAGCAGTTTGTGGGCAGGCTTCAAACTGTAGTACAAACACCTTTATACTCGTATTTTAATAGATCTATTTTGCGTGTATCGTTTGTGCATCAAACCGGCATAAGCAAAATAAGTGTATGTATTACCGTTTCTGCCATAATTTATTGATGTAGTTAATATTTTCCATAATTATATCGTAGCATGATTTTTATTTTATCCCATACTCTAGACCAGAAGTAAATCGGTTTATTGGGTCATTAATTTGCTGTATTAGTGGACAAAAACGGTATCTTTTCCTACGACTTTTGCGGCTGCGATATGGATATTACATGCACTAGTACTGTACGAGCTACGAAGTAGTACGGTAAACCGTGGCTTGCCATTAAAAACGTTCCTGTGACTGTGTCTCCGCGAGAGTTACTTTTATGACCTTGGGGAAGGTTGTCGATGTTGTGAGTTGTCTCACTTGCGTATCTTGTTTACTTGAATTCCGCAGTTTCGATGAATTTGGTCGATCAGGTTTATATTCTATGGGCTAGCATACGTATCTTGGTAGCTTCGATCGTAAAAATCAATGAGTGAGCAGTTATTTCGGTCTGCTTGGGGTGGTTGTCGCATTTTTAGCCAATAATATGGAACGGCGATTTCCCAACACGTTTCGCGGATCAATCCAACAGCTTCGCAAAATTAGCGGTAAAATTACTATGCAGCTGTTGCAGGGCTGCGTTTTAGTCGTTTTTGGGTTCGTCAAATAATCAGAGTAAATAGTACTAGAGTAGTAATAATATTATCATTCTGTAATTTAGTACTTACTGATAGCACATTTATGCATTGTACACTAGGGTCCAAGATTTAACGATTTTACACTACCCACATTAACACTACCCAGAAACACACATTAATTTTATAGCTTCTACAAGTAAGCCATAATTGTGAATATTGTGATGATAAAAGTACGAAAACGCGAAAAGTTGAAATAATGCCACGGATTATTAAAACAAACCAAGCGTAAGCAAATACTCAATTAGAAGGTATTGCACGATTTCTACAAATACGAGTATGTATTTACTTTTATTATACGGTATCCATATTCTGCAGAATGATGGTGTTCGCGTTGCTGATATTATATGAAGGCATAATATAATATACAGTACAAATAACTGTAGTCAGTTAATTACTGGAGTAGTAATGAGTTGATCAAAGACTTGCAGTAACTGCAGGCGGTTTAGATTGCTACAGCTAAATGTTTTCTTCTCATTATAGGCATTCGTTCAGCAAAACAATACCGGTCGACGAAGTCTACTCGGGAAAATTTGAGGATCTGGAAATATTTCGACGATGGCTTTTAAAACAACGCATTCAGCCAACCTTTGAAAATTTGACTCCTTTGAAATTAAGCGACTACTTGACCATATTCTTTCGGTCAAATGCGCATAGCGGGGCGATGGATCCAGAAGTACGCGAACTGCTCGTCAGATTCCGTGCTGCCATATCCGGCTACTTACAAAGAAACGGTACGCATCACCGCTGCATTGTCATGTTTATCTTAGGCCTTCGTAAACCAAGATAGGAAATCGCTCATGCGCATTTTCCACTTTATAGGGATAGACTTTGAAAACGACAGGGTTTATGAGCCAGCTCGCGAAGCCTATCGCGCATCCATGAGGTCAACCGGTTCACCCAAATACGAAGCAGTTAAACGCCAAAAGAAGGCTGAGGCCCTCCAGCAGGTGCCGAAATCGTTGCACATCGGTACTGAATGGCTGGAGATGCCGACAGAATTCATCAAAAGCCTGTACCGCACCGGTACTCTGTCGACCAGCAGTGCCGTGGCTCTGCAGCGCAAAGTCTGGTTCGAGCTGACCATGTTCTTTCGCAGTATACCTTGCTGCCCTGATCAGATCTTTTGGACGAAAAACACTTTCAAAGTGGCCATCGGCGAGCACAGTGTGAAGTACATTGAACTGAATCCGGAAATGTACAGCCGCTACGGGAATGCCATGGAAAGGCGGGGCCAGGACGGTCGCATCATGGTGGAGCGCAAGGGGTCACCTTTATGTCCGGTCGCGTCATTTGAATTGTATCTGTCCTGCCTGGATCCGTGCAATGAGTGTCTCTTTCCTCCGGTCCTTCTCAACACCGCGCCATCCAACGCGGATGTCAAACCAACGCCGACGGTGGCGCGCAACAGCATCTTGTACGGCAAAAGGTCTCTCACCAGCGAAATCCTGTCGGAGATGATGGCAAACATTGCGACTGCTGGACGCATACCGTTTCGGTTTAGCAATCCGAGCGTGGCCGCAACTGACCACTTGGCTTGGCTGAGGGCGGTAACCGCCGTGGAGCTGGAGGTGACGTGTGCGACCGAAATGCCGTCCGCCAGCCCGGAGGAGGCAGTCAGTCCATTCGTACGCAATAGTGTGGCAGGTGAAGTGGGCGTCAGCAGTCCGCGCCAGTCGGTCATTCAGTCGGCTCGCAAATTCAGTCAGATGTCCAGTTGCGTGTCGGATGCCGCTTTCTCTGCATCGCCGCGATCGAATAGTCCGCTGGCGTCCGATCGTAGTACGTGCTCGTCGGGCGAACGCGATAACCGTTCCAACCACAGCACCGAGGAAGTGTGGAACAAGAAAACGAAACTGTTGCGGTATGTTGAGGAAGCAAAAAAGACCGAGGCGATCGACGAGGTGTCCGTGCACGATGGATATTCAGAGAGTTCGGCCGAATGTGTCAGAGAATTTCTTGGAAAATGGTGTAGCGAGAGAGACTTCCAACACATGTTGGAACATAACCGCAACGAGCTGGATTCGCTGATATACAACAACCTTGTCAAAAAAATCGGAGAGGGATGCTTTAACGATCGCAACGAAGTCGTCGATTTCCGCTCTAGACTGTCTTCTCTCCTGTCTAAAGCATCCGGCAACAGGAATGTCGATGGCATGTCCGCGCAATGTTGGCCGGTGAAAACGTTTGCATTGCTGCAAACGCTCTTGCAAGACAGAACTCGCGCAGAGGCGGAAGTGAAAATGATGGAGAATCACAAGAAAAGTCCGGTGATCATTAAAACGGAGCCAGTAGACATTTGGATGATACCGAGCGACATCTCCCACAGCAGTAGTTCGGATAATATGAACTCGCCGCAGCACAGTTCACCGACATATCGGACGGAAACAAATTCGGATATCATGGTTATCGTGCGCCCACAGATCAGTATTATCGATAATGTTGGTGCTTTGGCCGACATCGAGTATCAAGCGGCTTTTGACCGACGGATCAAATCGGAAGTGGAAAAGGCAATCCAGAACGTCGACTGGAACGCTGCCGTCGACCATGCGATTCGCACTGCTAGTAAGACTTTTGCTTTTAAAACGTGCAAAACATTTTACATTTATGTTGCCGTTTAGCCAGTATCATGAAGTACTACGGGAAATAATTGCAGAGTGACGATGAATGAAATCTTAACAGCTTTACGCTTGTCTTTTAGGATCTCAGCTTTCCAAGCCGGTGTTTGAAAACGGAAATCGCAACCCTGCACATCAATCGGAATCTCGTGGTATTACTCTCCCAAAAACAGAAAACTCGAATTCCCGCAGTCCAGGTATGTCACATTTCTACTTTCATTGCTGCCTTTTTTTGCGATGCTATTTGTACACTCATCACATGATTACCATACAGCATGAAGATTGATGACTTATTCTGTGTCCAATATTGCGGAAAATTTGTATGTATGTTCATCTGGTGATTTTGTAGCAGCAATGGAATCGGAAGAGTTTATGGGACAATTATCGAAAGAAATGATGGAGGAAGTGTATCAGGATGTCTGCTGCAATTCACCAGCGGCATCCACGAAAACCGATCGCAAACTAATTGCACCGTCAAAACTGATCAGAAGACGTTCATCTTCTCTGTCCGTCCCACAACAAAATTCACCTGCATTATAAATTTTAAACAGTTGCACACTTTATGCACAAGAGAGTTGTAAAAATATATGGATTTTGATTTTTTCTTATAGTTGCTTTGATTCGCCGCTTTCTTTTGAGTTATGACCGTAAAGTTATACGACATTCCATCCTTCTAGATAATTTATTTTTTGGTTTAGGTGATTGCATTTTTGTTGAATCAGCTGCATCAGATCGCGATCTGCTGTAAGAGTTCGAGTATGTACTGCTGTAAAAGCACCGATATATATTTTTTAAGTCATTGTTTGCACTTGGAAATCTTTTTCGGCACCTGGTTTTCGTTCTAACACAGAGAATTATATGGAATAGTTTCATAGTGCGGAATCACGGACATTAGAGATGGTACTACAGTACATAGGATGAAGACATTTAACTGCAGTCACTGAATGAACGTATTTACTGAGCGACGCTCGCCTACGTACATATTGCAAGGAAAATTCGAGTCATGTTATAATTGTTGTTTAATGCGAAAACGACTTCAAACGCATTTTATTATAGACTGCCGAAACAGCAAGGTTGTGAAATCCTTATAGTGGTGTCTGTAAAGAATGGACTATATAGTATATGTCATTGCGATAATTATGCAGTTTAAACTCGTACCGTTGCTCTTAGAAGATATTGATAACTAACCGGTACATTGGATATATGAGTAAAATGATTACTGTATATTACCAACAGGCAACAACTACGTACGGCACCTAACCGTGTTCTTAATCATAAAAATTAATGTAGTTTACTTGTACGAAACAATAACTATATGTACATAAGATGTAGAACACATTCAACACATCATTGCATTTTGCACTAGGTCCACAATTTGGAAAGTATCCCACCAATTTGCCTTACATTAATTTAGGCGATTGCAAAAAAAAAAGTTCGTTACAAAAGGTTGTAGCGGGCCGGGTCGAAAACAAAAAGCGGGCCGACCGTGCATGTATGGGCCGAATAATCAAGATAAGCAGCGCGATAAGATTTCCCAATACCTACTACGAGTAGTAGAGTACTGCAGTACCGCAGTTCCTACGTACCAATGCAACCAGGTTCAAGAACCTGCGCAATGACAGCTGCCAAATATCTATGCATACACTAACCATGGTAAGAGCACCTAGCTAACAATAAAATCAGCGGAGCTAATATGTAAACCTATTCTTAAACTTATATACTGTATTCTACCTTTTTCCTTTCTTTTCATATTCGATCGAGGAATGCTCTAACGTACAGTCCTTAATTCAGGTCGAAATCCCGTGCAACAAACAAGATAATAGCTTTTTTTCTTGCCTGATTTTATAGCTTTCGACAAATTTACAATAGTAGCCGGCCGTGAATAAGAGCATTTCGTCGGTGATTTCAATTTTTCGTTACGTTCAGACAAGGTGTAGTGTCAGTCGAAAGGTTTCTGGTCCCATACAGAAATTGTTGTAATTTGTGCCACTGTCAATGTCTGTGCTGGAAAACCAGTATTGAAAATAATTCGCGATCGATGCGTAGTACAATACGTTGTACACACGATTCAAGTAGTAATCAGCGATACACTGAAGCCTTCGAAGTGGGTGCCGATTGTACATTTGTAAGCAGAGGAACTGGGATGGAAGGCGGCTATAATGCTGGTGACGCACTTCTAGGAATCAGTACTCGTACTTCGTACAGTAATATGCATCGGATTTACAAAATGCTAACAAAACGCTAACTAGGAATTGTCATAAAGAGTACCGCGTGTCAGCCAGCATTTTTATTTCACAACATTTTAAATCCAAAATAGTAACAACAAAGCCGATAACAAAACTGGTTCCAGTGATACGGTCGATTATCTTTGAGTATTACCACTGAATTAAACCCGGATCGACGCCAATCCCCACAATGAATTTAATCATGCAAAATCGGAATCCCGTATAGTATACCTTCGTTTACAACAATACCGTGGAGAGTTACCCTTTCACGGCAATATGCCAGGAAAACATTGCAAAATAACAAAGAAGATATAAGTAAACTAGCGCAAAATCCGGAGCTAATTGTGGACAACATTATGATACATGTGCGACGGGCAACGTTCAACGACGGTATGGATGGAATGTACTACCCCGGCCTCCGCGACTGCCGCCCGATCCATTCATCCCTCCTCCAGGTTTGTTGAATCCACCGCCCCTCGGCGATGTGCCTCCACCGCCGCCACTTCGCATATTTCCACCACGCATGCCTCCCATGTTTTTAAACCCATCTGCAAAAGCCAAAGTTCGTACAACGAAAAACACGTGTACGCGAAAACAAATCAACGAAAGCAAAAATAAGCTCAGGGTAATTGCTACCGTTGTGATAGACACAAACAAACAGTTTTCCATGGTTCCGACAACTTTTCAGACTTTCGTTTCGCCGGTCTGTCTTTGTATAACAATCGCTGTCGGGCTTAGTAGATAAGCAAAATTTGATCTGAGTGCTGTTACATTAAAAGCGCCACAACAAACAAACCAACAAACTTCCCTCAACCCAGAATTAATAATTTTATTGCCGCTCTTCCTATTTGTGCTTTCGTGATGCGTTTCACAAGATCCATTCATGAATACACGAAAAAATCTGTGATATAACTAAAAGACGGCATAGGACTATTCATAACTATATGATATTTCGGTCGTAAACATTTTAAAAAAATAACTCTAATAAAGAATGAAATCATGGTATCACATGACAGACCACAAGTTTGCTAACATGTGTCAAACCACCAGGAAGTTATCAAAATTGTCTACCTCCGAAACCTCCACTACCGCCACCACCACCGAAGCCGCCTGACGATCCATATCCAGCCGCTGCTGCGGCATAATCAAAAGCGGACGATCCCGAAGCATCAAATCCATAACTCCCATAATATGCTGCCATCATACTAGGATCGTAGAAACTTGGATCAAATTGGCCCATGTATGCCGCATACTGTTCCGGAGTCAATCCGTAGGCGGCCGCATATGCGTCGTATCCGCCGTATCCACCACCACCTCCTCCTCCATAACCCCCACCGCCCGAAAAGTCGCCCCATCCCATATCGCCACCACGACCCATACCCATATTTCCCATATTACCGTGTTGCTGATTCTGCATAGCTTTCTGCGCAGGAGGTATAGCCTTTCTAACATCGCACTAAAATACCACCACGAATTTATTACCACACGAACACAAAAATCACCATCCGTGGATCGGATCTCACCATTTTCCCGCCGATTTCTTGCTTGGCGTTTCTGACGATTTCGTTAACAACTCGTTCCTCGTCGAATTCAACAAAGGCGAAGTTTTTCTTTTGGTTCTTCATGCGATCCCTTGGCCATTCGATGTTTTTAATCTGGAAAAATTTTGTTAAGCTTTCGCAGCCAAGATGACGGCTAACAAAAGAATGGTGCAGCTGAGAAGGCCAACAGTACCATCATCACCCATGCAACTTACCATTCCAAACTTCTCAAAATACGCTCTGAAGTCTTCGTCGCTCATGTTGGGATCAATACCCCCAACAAAAATTTTCAAAATTCCCTCATCTCCAGTTCTCGGTTCGGCTGTTTTGGGATCAATTCGGCGACCTTTGAGGATATGCTCCTTGGTTTCACCGACCTATGGAATGGTTTTGTAGAAAACGTACATTTCACGGGGTACGTATTTAAATATAGATATACCTTTCTCAGCGATGCCGAGTTGGCAAAGGTGACGAAACCGAAACATCGGGATCGACCGCTATTGGGATCTCGCTTGACAACAGCATGAACCACTGTTCCATATTGCTGAAAGTAGCTCTTCATGTCTTCCTCATCCGTATCCAAAGAAAGGCCTCCAACGAACATTTTTCTAAAAACATTATACCAGCAAATTATCAACTAGTATCATACATTATCATACTAAATCACAACTAATCCATTTCAGAACAAATATCGATGGAAAGCGAGAAGACGGGATTCACATTTCTAGAAGATGCAGTCTAGCTCAAGATGTCAGATTAGGATGTGCTGGGAGAATAAGTTTCTTAGCACATTTCTTTATACAGCTAGACAGGTTACCCACGCTATTTCTTAGCAGGTCACCAGTGGTAAAAGGAAGTCGGTAACGCTCCCACCGGATGCGCGGCAAGAGTACAACGGGGCCCAGACACGATCCATATATTTCGTACAAGTCCAGCAAGACCTGACTCCTCATGGTTGCCCGTGTAGTGTTTTCACTAACCCCCATGCTCCGTCAATCCTTTACTTGTGGAGTATTTTTAACAAAATTGCACAAGATCCATGAAAGTAATTAAACCCAGATTGTTGCTCTATCCAACCGCATGACAGGACAATTTAACATCGAGTGAGAGATAGAGAGAGTGCAAATCAAAACTAAAATATCACGCAACACCGAGCTAACTTCCGCGGTACGTGAAAAACATCTATGGAGATGCGTTATTTAGACAATCAAGAATAAAATCAGATTTTCTGCTCCACAGGACAATTTAATGCTCCACAGTAAATATAAACATCAAAAACCGAAGACCATATTATAACCAACACTGGAGCAAAATACTACAGCAGCGAAATATCAAAATGTACTATCTCATATGCATATGCACGGTGAGCTACAAAAAAACAAGTTTCGTTACGCACACTCTGATGTGGCATAATTATTGTACGATTATATTTCGATTCCGCAAGCGCGTGCTGTCAGTGCCAGGAAACTGCTGTTGAATTTAATCCATTACCCCCTCGTAAAGGTAATGTAGACCGTACAACAAAATTACTTAATTTGCATTGTGTGATTCGATGTTTGATGTGGTAAAAAAACTGAAATCCATAACATTTGGATTTGTTTCTATCCAAAGTTGAATTCATTAATACTTATCAATCACTATCAGCTGAAGGGTGGCCGGTTGAAAGGTTAAGCATATGATTTCATGTACGACTACATAACTCGCTATTTATCGAAAGGACCTCAAGGACCTGTGTGGCTGCTAAATACGCCATTGACAAAATTAGGAGCAACGCAACGGTAAACTGAAACGCTTTCAGATGAATCCTCAGCGAACCCTGCACTTCACACCAACACTTAGCCACTGGTGTTGTTTTTAAATCGGATATTTAAATTGGCTGATGAGTCATTAATTTTAAATAACATAACCCGATAAATTTTGTTGCTACATAACTGATAACCGAATAACAACCTAACCAGATCCACAAAATTATTTTAAAGACTTATACAGTCCAAAGTTACAAACAGTGTTCAAGCTCAATTCACGTGTATTGTAACAGGGATACTGCAAGCCTATACTCTAGAAAGTGGAGAGAAGAAAGGATAAAATATTATGAATAACTGAAAACAAGATAACAACTCTACCAAAGAAGAAGTACATGCGCCCAAGTCCTTACCGTTTATCAATCGGTTCCATGTTGCTGAGATCGTCCATGTCGTTACCGCGGCCACCTTTCAGGGACATCACTCAAAACCAGACTCTAAGGATGAACAAGACACTCTTGCTGACAATAGTTAGCTTTCAGCCATGTTAGGAAGCATTTAAATAAAACAAGCGGTAAACCGAGGATGAGGAGCTTTAAGACGATCACAGGATAAGATCATAAGCAGATCAAATCTCATGTCAGGCATCTCAGCAACATTGCTTACCACGTCGCACGCAAACGGTTCCAGAATCCAGAATTCTATTATATATAAAGAATACTTGACATAAAAGGAGTATTGTATAAAGTGTCAGCAATAGTACTTACGGAAACTATGCACAGCAACTGAAATGACTAATACGAATTCAATTATTTTCTAAAAAGTCAAAAATTTCAGAAAACTTCGTGGCAGAATAAAAACGACAGACCAGGCAGGTATGTATGGCAGTATGGCTCCTGTGTAGTGTATGGCGCACACTACACAGGAGTGGTGTGCAGAGCCGAAACCCTAGTGCTCACTTTTAACCAGGTTGTTGCATCGGTAGCCCATTGTCACGCAGACGCTACCCCTTCAATGATGATCGGCTCTCCCCGCCTCAAAATTTTGATATGGTTGTACCGCACGACTTTCAAAGGCCGTCAAAGCGAACAAAACGACGAAAATAAACAACAGAATCTTTTCGCTTTTGTTTAATTTTGTGCTTTTTTGTGGAGATCGTAGTTTACCATAAATACACTTGTAAATTCTGATAAAAAATCGAAGTGACTTGTCAGTTCCCGTTCTGAGTGCTGGATAATTGTAAATTTTATTACGAATTCCGAATTCAGAAAATAATTTTGTAACGATGACTTTCCAACAGCTATCTGCACAACTTCGCCATCCTGAGAACCCTATTGTCTTCTTCGACATCACAATTGGTAGTACGGTAAGCAGAACTGTCACGTTAATTTCGTATTAGACATTTCACATTAGGTTTAAATGTGGATCGAAGGGGGTTTGCATTAATATTTTGTCCCAGTATTGTACGTCTGCCATACTTGAATGCGTTATAACTGGTAGAATTTCACAGGAAGCGGGAAGGCTGAAAATGGAACTTTTCAATGATGTTGTGCCGCGAAGTGCGGAGAATTTCAGGTAGACAGCCAAGTGCTCAATCCACTTACCGTATATTATGCTACAGCTTGGATTGTATTTGTAATGCTGTGGTCTTTAAATTTTATCAGACAGTTTTGTACTGGAGAATATCGCAAGGACGGCGTACCCCTTGGATACAAAGGCTGCTTTTTCCACAGGTAAATTTGGTTACAGTACCTTCTTGTTAAAAGTAAGATACTGGAAGAAACCGCATACAGTTGATTTAATTCTTGTAGCGTGTAACTTTTTAGGGTGATAAAGGATTTCATGGTTCAAGGTGGCGACTTCGTTAATGTAAGTCATGGTTCCACTGTATTCGTAATTTGTGAAGTAAGCCGCATATTTTTATAATTACTACGACTAAATTGCTTAGGGAATTTCTTTATTTTCTAAAATCGCTTCCACATTTCCCGAATGTCTTGTGCGCTGCACATTATGGCTAAAAGTGTCCTTCGTGTATATTGGGCAGTATGGAATAAATAATCGCTTGAATAAATGTGAAATGTGAAATTGATCCTGTATTACTTACCTATTAGTTGTTACTGTTGTTATGATTCGGCTGTTAGACTCGTTTTGTGTAGAGCGCACTACTGCTATTTTTAACCATTGAATAACTGGCTTCCGCAGTAATTAAATTTGCCAGTGAAATTTTCTTCCTAATTTTTCATGTTTTTTAGTGCTAGGTTAGATGGTTAATTTTGTAATAAGTGAAGATTATAATTTTGTTTATTCCTATGGCAGGGTGACGGAACAGGTGTGGCCACCATTTATGGAGGAGAGGGCGACACCTTTGCGGACGAGAACTTCTACTTGAAACATGACGCACCGGGATTACTTTCTCTGGTAAGCCTGTATCGCTTACTGCTGACACGTGAGCTTTTCAGCGATTTGAAATTCCTGTTGGTCTCCTTATGGAAATCGTTATTTAACGTTGTTATTGTCCATTTCAGGCCAATGCGGGCCCGAACACCAATGGATGCCAGTTTTTTATCACATGTAATAAGTGTGATTTTCTTGATGGGAAGCATGTGGTGTTTGGCCGAGTTTTAGATGGTATGCTGGTACTGAGGAAGATCGAAAACGTTCCCACTGGACCGAACAATAGACCGAAGCGTAAGTTTGGTTATTCAAGATCAGTATTTTATAAAACCGTAGTGCATATGAGTAGCATATGTATAGTTTCCTTCATATACACTACGATGAAAATCGAAAAGGTAGTTCGCCTGTACTTTTAGTGCCGGTGGTCATTGCGCAATGTGGACAACTGTGAATATTTCACTACTTCAGCACTTTCGCTGATCTCATTCCGTTTGGACCATGGTAATTATTAGATTGGAATTTCATCCATCCATATTGGACAGGGAAGCCGGCAAAACGATTGTTACGTCAAGTTACTTGATGCTTGATGAGTGTATTAAATGATCAGGTGGACGGCACGTTTGCACTGATTTGTTGTATTGTTTATGATAAACTGAGCGTCGACGAACGAAAGAGAGCAAGTAGCGCTGTTACAACTTTCGTGTGTCGACGATTACCGCTGTACGATTACATTTCCGAGTTGATCCGCATTTTGGCTTCGTTGTGGTTGACTAGTTGAAATTCGTCATTTATGGCTAGCTAAAGAAGGGATTGTTGATGCTGAATGAAGCATTATGAACACACTGATCCATTTAGTCACATAGCGACACTTGCGCTCTTTGTATCTTATTGCCAAATAAATGCCTCGTTGAAATTGAAAGCGATGATCTAGGAAAAGTTTGTGTATGGAGAAATTTGGGACTGTCGATTCGCCATGCCGAAATCTAGTGCACACGACGCTTGCTACCTGCTTGATTAGGTATGAAGAGCATAGTTAACGTTTGTTTTCCATATTTTTTTCGTTGAATTTGCATGGGCGCATTTGATGCAATAACTAAAACATTCTTACTGCTGAAACATTAGTCAATATATATGCTACAGGCCGCGTGTTTTTTATAAATGTTTTCATTGTTTTGGTAATGGTCGATCTACTGCAGTACGTAGCTATGAACTGGTGCTTGTATAGTAGCTATGAACTGGTGCGTGCAGTATACTGCACTGTGCCTACTTGTGGTAATTTCGCCGGCAACCGGTCAGAGAAACCATTTAACAGGCTGTAGTTTACCTGTACCGTTGCTTTTGCAAAAAATGTAATGAGCTCAATTATCGAAAAATCGTATTTGGATTAACGATCATACGAAGTATCAGACTGCTAGCATAACTGTGTTCTTTGCATGTGATATTAAGTACGATTGCTGTGACCTCCTAACTGTACGATGATCGCACTGCAGGCACCTTCTGACGAACCTAATAACGAAACTTGAAAAAGACTGTTGCCACAAGAAGTCGAAGTCTCAGCAAATGTAAATTAGTAGTATACACTGTTTATCCTGTAACGTTCGGCTACTTTTCCAGGATGATTTCTGAAATGGCAAGCTTGTCGCGCTCTGTCTGCAAGTGCGTCTATTGCACTTTTCATGTACAACATATAGAAATGACATGCTTTTAGGCGCTGTTATAAAATACTCGTATTCCAAGTTATAATATACTCCCGAATTCTGATATCTGTGAACCTCAGGAGAAACAGTGATCAACACTTTTCCGACGAAAGATGCCACTTGTATGACTTCCGGCTGCTTTGCCGCAACTTAACCGATGCTGAATGGTGAATGCTGGTATTGTTACTTCCATTATTAGACGGCTGTGGAATCGTGTTTCTGGAGATTTTTTTTCGTCGCCAATGTGGTGCGTTCACCGTATTTTAGAATTATCTATCTCATGAACGGAAAGGCTAGAAGTATGGATAGCTGCGTTCTCTCGTCGGGCTCGGTTTCTGCCTTCATGGTGCTAAAGGACGCATCACAATTGCTTTAGCAAAGTGAACCTTCAGCTTACTGGTCTAGAAGTTCCGGTTTTCAAAGGTATTTACGAAATGTAAATTGCAACTTCACAACTATATCTATATATGTATTAATTTATAACCCTTATACAAAATTAAATGCCAATGCTATCTACAATAGTTTGTGTGCATCCGAATCCGCTTTATACCGCCTTTAACACCAAATTAATGTTAATACCGCTATAATATTATGACGACCATTTACCACTGTATATATAATATATTGTACCGACAGTAAAGTACTGTATTTGTAGTAAACGATAATATTAATACTAGTTCTAAAAAATGAATACGGTAGAAGTTCCTTAAATCCACTCATCAGCATTTTACTTGAGGTAACCTTACTGTACATGTCCGTGTTAAATGATCGAATGTGCCTATTTGGCTAAAAGTAATGCTTTCAAATTCTTAACAAATCTGCAGCTAATTAACACGCTAAAGACACTCACGCTTTTCTGACGTGAATTACCGCCTATTAACACATAGGATCGTAGAAGACAGGAAAACAGCTGAAAGCCGCGTGTTTTGCCGCTTAAACGCGCATTTTACGCAGATTATTTACCATATATAGGGACTATAAAGTACTTACGATCGCTGGGACAAAACTAGGCAAATGTTACCAAATCACATATTGCTCTGTTGCATCAATGCGACGGGGAGCCAGTGATCGGAACAGCATTTGTGTATACGTGCATTTAATGTGACAATAATTATTTTAGTAATAGAGTTTTTTCTTAATAATAGTCAAGGATTATAGTGCGTAATAAGGTGCAGGCAGTCATGGCGCCGACTTGTCGATCATCTTCTTTCCACTGTAAGAACGTAAGCTGCAGATACGTATTTACCTATGTATACGGGCTTTATGATGCATCTACATTTAATATACAGCATATAGATATTGTATATAATAATAATTATGGTGTATACTTGTAGTATACATAGTCTAAAACTACATATTTGTATGTGCGCCTTTGCTGTGCGGCATTTACAGATGTATTAGTGTGCACTGATGGTGCAGTAATTCTGCCGGAAAGTCCAGCCACAAGCACGTCTACCTGTTTGCACATGTTTTTATGGCTTTACCAGCTGAATGGGGTATTAGAAATTTATGACCAACATAATTTTCGCAAATCAGAACTGCCCACATCGTTATATGACGGGCAATGCGCAATGCGTTTTCGAAGTACGATTGGGCTTGAAAAGAGAGTATTTAGTTATGAACTGACCTGTAGTGCTGTTCTGTAAACACTTGAACAGTCTGCTCTCGTGCTGCGTGACATAATTGATAGCTAGTAGATTAAATTAAAAAGGCGTTTTTACCAAGAACAATCGCCGCCGGTAGAGATGCTACAGTTGCAACTTTTTGATGGGTTTCCAGCTATTTCATCGCAGATGAAATGTTCCACAAATACGGCATTAAAAACTTATCTTGATCGTGCAATAAACCTCCCAATACTGTTAAAAGCGGTAAAAGTGACCCGTGGTTTAAAGCGTTATAATCCACTTGCGTGCCAAGCGCCCACGTACAACAAAATATGTTATGAGCTTCGTGATTACGGCGTAGTGGGGCCGTTTGCCGACACTTTCACATTTGTTAATTATTTATATTTGCCATGTGATTCTGGAGGAAAATCACTGTGCATCATTGTGGATTTCGCCGGCCGTGACCATAATTAAGGACTAATGGGATTGTGACACTCAGAACGTATGAAATACATAGTTTGCTTAAGTAGGTGCACGAATGCACACTCTGGGAGCGGATACAAATGCATTGCGGCATGATGTTCGAAAGGAGGTATGGGATGCAAACGATACTGACTTTCCACTGCAAACTCTTATCAAGAGGACTTCCCTGATTTCCAAAAGTATGTAAATTATAATTACGTTTTTAACCATTGCGGGTGTCACAGCTCGAAAAAAAAAGAACTGGTCTTATTGTTCTTACGAATTTTCGTGCTGAAAAGACATGATTAAATATACTCGTAGTAATGCATTTGAAGTGAAGCTACCTCTAAATCAAACACCTTATTGTTAGTAGAGATTCATAAATTGCACACCTTAAGAATCTTGACGTTTTCGTAAATCAGTAAAATTTTATGTACTGCCTCAAACTTTTGAAGTAAAGAAACCGTACGATTTCTCACTATACGTCCAACAGGAATGCCTGACAACAATGCTCAATGTAGACTGATACCCTACCCTAGTTGATAGAAGACCAATAAAAGACACTGCAAATGTAAATAATTTTTATTCTTAATACTTACGCAAATATTTACGTGTATTCTATACTACTGCCGTTAGGTACAGTACTCCAGTGTAAACAATTCAGCTTTTATTACTTTTCTCAGTTGTGTGGTTGTAAAAAATTAATATAATTGCTTTGGGGGTGCGAAGTTCCAACAGAAGCGTAAAACTGTGTTGTACAACACTTCATTAATTTCCATTAGGTTTACGGTCTTTTAACGAAGTCACTGCAGCCGCGACATAGCTTCCGGCCCCTGCCAAAAATCCTAGCCGAGTCGAAACCAAAAAACGTTATGGTCAAGCTATCATTCTCACAACTTTTTTGAATCGGATCATTGATTTTATTTATACATGGTTGTAGTAGATGTAGTTTAATTTATAAATCGGTTAAGGAAATGATCACTAAAACCGATCCCATATTTTCAGTATTGGTAAAACCGATTGTTTAGCAAAGAAGATTCTATAACAGTTTTCAAACAATCGGGACATATAACGCATATATTTTTCACTGGTTTTGGGGCTCTTGTCAGCTTATAATTACTACTGTACGTGTACTTATATCTGGCCGTAAAGATCTACGTTAGCTAAACTACGGTCGTTAACGTTGCGGCGATGTTGAAGCCGTAATTTATGTACCTTTTAGGTACTCGAGAGATAAGTAAAAAAGACTTGTGGGGTGCCGGTGATAACATGAGTAATTCTATTAAAAATTAAAGGGTAATTTATTTGATTAATTTTAAAATTGATTATTTTAATTCTGACTTTCCTTATATACCGGCATCTCAATAAAATTATATCGGTGACTTGTTCTGTATATACCGGTACTTTGTATATTAGATTATATAGCACTGTGCATTATAGTTTTATGCGACTTGTGTTATACTTATAACTATGCTATATGTGCTATATTTCATATGTGTGTAATTAATTACGAAAGAGTTAGCGAAGGTTGAGGTTTTAGACGTTGAAGAGTGTCAATGCGCAGCGTTTTCCATCAACAGTTAAATAACGATGGTACGCATCTTATAAAACCTCGTGTTGTTTAGTGTACCTGGTATTCTACAGTACCACTTTCAAAGCTCTGCAAATGCATAATCACGTAAGGTGTTTCAGAATCGGTTGACGCATTTTCCGTGTTAAACAAGTTATTCACGGCGATCTACGCAGAATTTTAAATCTGACTTGGATAAGATAGATTAATGCTGTATAATAAGTAATGCAGTGTAATGCAATGCAGTGCAGTGTAATTTCAATTTCACTTTTGCTGCATTGCAATTTGAGGATGTTGCCACGAAAAACAATTTTCGCGCGGGATGATTTGCGATCAACTGCGATTATTAAGCAACTTATTGTTAGGATCTATAACTTTCCCGCCTAATTAAACGGGCACCCATTTATAAACCAGAACAGAGAATGCCGGCACCTGCAAAATCTAGACACGCCCGTGCACAAATGCATCACAATCAACTGTCGTGCACCTTGCAACTTATGCAAGTTATTTCAGGTTTGATATTAACATGATCATTTTAAATGAACCAGCGATACGATCAGTTAAAAGCAAGGGCATATTTTAAGCATAATGGTTTATGTATGCATAATACTATTGCATTCACCCGCGTTCAGCAAGCGATGGTTGTTTTGACTTGGACATTTATAAAACGAAGAACTTCTGTCAGGAAAAATAAAAATTCCTCTTACGATTTTTGGGTAGTTCATAATTCTCAACACCAAAAGCTACGAAAAAGTGACGGAAAAACTCGGCTTATCGACTATTGTATATTATAAAATTAATACTAACAATACATGGATTGATCAGACTTGTTTTAGCTGTCCTTGCAAAACGAATAATATTTCTCATCATCAGTACGAGTATGCCATGAAAATGTACTCCAAAATAGTTTATTTTTTCATGAAAAATCGTATTTTATGGCAGACGTTCAACAAGTTGGTACGGAAATCGGTTGTAAAGATTGATTGATATCGTGGCGTATCCCGTAAATATCCCTGTCGCAAATGTGGCGCCGATCGGGATCGGTTAAAATTCCTCTTGATAGCGGGGACAAGAGGATGCACGCCATTCAGTCTGCCAGCTTTGTGAAAGGGGCTTTATCGCTGGAAAGCATGCACTTTTGCTCAGATTACGGTGCACTGTACTGTATAAATCCGGCAACTTTAAATAGAGTATCTTTTTTTCACGTTGCAGTTGAATTATGGCCGAACTGAATGATTTTTTCATCCGGACCCTGCGTAATTCAGCGCGCCAGCAACGTACTGCCAACGCTAACGCCAATGGCAGCGTAGTGTCGGGAAAAGTGCAAGCGCAGTCAATTATGACAGCTCGTCCGTCATCAAATGGAATATCCAGCTCGCTGGCTGCTGCTGCTACGCTCGACTCTTCTAGTAGCAACCCGAAACGGGAAGCTATGAATAATCGGACTCGTCAGGCCGGCGCTAGTAATGTGCCCCCGGATTTATTAGCCAATTTACTGCCACGGCGCCACGATGATCCGGCCGTCGCATCACTCCGTCAGCAGCAGCCGTCGCCGTTGACAAAAACTACTAATCCAGCGCCACGAAAACAGCCCGAACCCGATCATGTTTCCAGCGGCAGTGCCAATGTAAATCGCATCACTTGTAAATTATCCACACCGAAGAAACTGTGGAATACTTTCACGAGCAAGTGCGTAACCACGTCATCCGTTCACGTTGTCAAGGAATACCAGCCGCCAGTGAAACTGATCCAGGAGAAAACGGCCACCGTGTTAGCCCGCAGGAATTCTCTGACCGCCGCAGCGAGTGCACTCAACAAGACCGACGCGCCCTTACGAATTGTTCCCACTTGGTTTCCGCCGGCCAACATTCCCAAACTGCGCCGACAGGGATCGTTTCACGGGGAAACAGCTGCGTCGCGTCTGCTACGGGCCAAACAGCAGCAGCACAGGGTCATGGAGCAAGAGGCCAAGGGCAGATCGCCGCCAACAAAGGACGACGGAATCGATGCGGTTAATTCCCTTGACAGCACCAGCACGCCCACCATTCCAGAGGAACCGGATGGAATGCACACTGAAACTGGTAAGATTGACGCTTTCTGCCAATTAATTTCAAGATCGAGCATGCATTTCGATGCACATTCGACTGCAATCAGTTGATTATGTATTCAGCAGCGTACAAAGTTACAAACGTAATGGAAACTGCTACAGTATTAAGCCATCCCAGCCTCGTATAGTACTGTAGATCTTTGCATTTTTAATTTGATGTTTTATCAATTACGGTATAAATTTAGTGCACAATATTTAATCCAATAAGCAAAAATTATGGTTTTATCAATATTTCAATTTCATACTAGCAGTCAGGTGTTTTTTTTTAAAATATGAAATTTTTTTATGGATTGCTGTGATGCGGATGTGTTGTTCTTTTGGCTTTACGGTTGTTGTTACATGTGGACTGTACTTCGTAATACAAATCTGTACGAGTATGGATTAAAATCATATGCTCCATCTGTTTTGGTTCTCTCTTCTGCCACGGTTCTTTGTAATTTAGCAAGCTCAGTTAGTACTTATGTTAGTTTATTATTGTTTCTAACGTGCTTACTACGGAAAAGATCAGGTGTGGAGTCGTTACAGATCTTTTCCTACCATGATGCTCTTGTTTTCTCAGAATGTTGTCCACAATTGCGCATGTTAGAAAATGTGTTTTTGTTCTAGTCCCGAAAAGGCCACCCCGGCTACAGAAGCCCAAGCTAACAATTGACACGCGACCGGTGTCACCATTACCGACAGTCTGTGCCCGTCATATGAAACACCACGCTGGCTCCGCCGCAGCCCAGTCATTTGTTGCTGCTTGTCCCAAAAGTGCGGATTTACGCAGTGCAGTTAATCCCGGTTCACCGAGTGGGAGCCGCCGCATTACAGATCACCGTGGTGGTCGACCGCGAAGCATCTTCAAGTTTGGCACTTTGCCTCGCTCTTTCAGGATGTCCAATTCCCACAGTCCCACGCACTCCACCCAGCAATTGGCCATCAAACCCTCCGCTAGTTCCTGTGATTTGTGTGAACCAAAGACCGCGCCCATTGTCCAGGGGCGCCCCCTGCTGGTCGTCAGCTGAAACGCAGCCAGAGCTTCCGTAATTCTTGGCACGTCACCACACCGTCTGAGCTGGCAGCCGTCAAGCGACCGGATGTGGCCTTGTCCAACGATGAAAACGTCTGGCTGAGTCCGCTGGTCTCGCCCGTTGTGCCGCAGAAAATCTGTACTTGCGGAGATACGCGGAAGCATGTGCATCTGGTGAAATTCGGTGACGACCTGACGTTGACCGATACGCGGTATTTTGTGGAAGAAGACGGCACCGAAAATGGACAGCCAATTGCACAGCCAGCTCAAAGTGTACCTGCGACGCCGGTAAAAATTTCTCACGCGAAACCGGTCCAACGAATGAAATCTCGCAAGTCGCCTCCGCCGCCACCAGTAGCGGAATCGGAAAGCGAAACCGACAATTCGACTGCTGATGTGCATAAATCATCGGAAGCGTCTCATGAAAGCTCCTCGGGGATCAGCACGGAAGAGGAGACTCTGGAGAAGGAGATGGAGAATTTAAAACATAATTTGTCCTCTCGCAGCTCCTTGCCGGCAAATGACTGTGTGGATGTCTTGTCGGGAACGATTGCCAATGTGCAGAACGAGATTGTATGTAATCAGCTGTGAAGTGTCAGTGCTTAAACACGATGACCACCATTCGTTCTGGCTGGTTGACTCTTATCGAACGGTAGCGTTTGCTGATACACGCTTGTCTTTACAATAGACGAGTGTTTACTTTGTGCGTCTGTGTATTACAGATTTCTGGGATTTGCAGGACTCCTTCAACCATCAAAACAATTTTATGTTGCGCAAATTACTGGACTTAAGTGATCAGATACGGCACTGGAATGGACGGCGGAAGCATCGCATTCGTAGTGTCGATTCAATATCTCCGTTGTTAAGTGCCAGTACCGCGAAGGATTTTCCGGTGCTGGCTGTGGGGAACTGTCAGTTACAGAGTATTCCCGAGCTTCGTCGAAATCGGACTTTGAGTATGGACGATATTGGCCTGGCCACTTACAAAAAAGGTAACTGCCAAACATGTTTCGCGGAAGTTGTTTAGTTTCGAATTTTTCTTGATAATCTGTTGTGCATGCTAATTTCTTTTAATATTATTGATTTAGTCGGTTTCGCTAATATATTTTAATGACGTTTCCTGTATTGCAAAATAGTTCACTGACTGAGTTCGATATTATTGGATTTTTTTATACTGATTTATGTTTTTTTATTTTTTTACTGACTGATTTCAATATTGCTGGTATTTTTTTATTGTAGAAGGAAAAGCTAACCGAAATGACAAATAGTTTTGCGGTTTATCTTAGCTGTAGGTCATTCGTTCTGGATTTAAAATACGTTGAAGCATCAAAAATGGTAAACATTTTGAGATTGTTCTAAATATAAGAGTTGATAGTTTTCACGTGAGCTATGCATGGGAATGTTGTGGACCAGATTTGCTTATTCTGGCAGAAGCGTTTTTAATCGTAATGCACGGTGGCATTTACCAGCCAGCGTGTCATCAATCATAAGAAGCAGTCTGTGACATTTACCACGGCAAATTTGCAGAACAAGTGACCGATAAAGCAGCTCCTCCGTTGGCCGTCGCCGCACTCATCAGCGATCCTTTCACTTCCGCATCTCAATTGCGATCTAATGTTCATCTGTCGTATTCTGATTTGCTCAAGAACAGCAGTAAATTTTGGCAGCCCTCACAGCCAGGATGTAATAATGAGACATCAAGCACCAACGCTGACAGTACTGCCACATCCGCCTGCATCCTACAAGAAGCGTCCTTAAGTCTGCTTTTGTAGAGTTTTTTCAAAGGAACGAGTTGCTGTATATGCGCCTGCATAAAATGTATAAATGGAAACTGCAAAATACAGTAATGCAGAGAATTTGTTATTACTTTAAATATTGATTTCGAATCTTGTTTTCAGTTACGGTAACCTAATGGCCAGTAATACTGATTGCGTGTTGGTGATTTGAAATTCTCGAAGCCATATACTTTGCTGATGCAGAAAGTTATAAATAAGCATGCTACGAACATAAGTAGTAACCATCTGCTTTAATTTTTCTGCAATTGTTGTTTGAATTACTAAAAATTTTCACGCCTTCTATTGGAGGTCCCATTTATCTTGCTCTCAGTTTTGAATGATATTATTATTTGAATACGTGTAATTTGTATCACCTTTTGACCCGAGAGAAGAGAGAGACTTCGGTTGTTTTTTCAATTTTTAAATTTTAGCGTTTAACTAGTGTACGAGCGCTCGCAATTACTGTAATTTGGGTGGCTTCTGCCAAATAAAGTTGCATTATTGTTACGGCTTAAAGAGTTTGATACTCTACACTTGCACAACATTTTATTGATTAGTGCAGAAGTGTCATGGTGAACCCGTTTATATATTTAGCACACACTTGGAAAAACGAACAGACGTAAACGGTAAAAGCATAACCATAGGCAAGTAAATAATTATTATTGTTGTCATAAATACCACAGCACCTATATACAATCATACCATGCCGAAGTATGCCATTTCTTGGCCTTGAAAGAAGCTATGATCGGGTAGTTTAAAGCAAATATTCGACACCTGAAAAATTATGCATAATAAACAACATTTAGCTGCCTTATGCATCTAGTGTACACAACCCAACTTCTCATGGGAATAATATGCGGAACAGTGTTGAATAAGTACGATTTTTTTACGCGACAAGCAATTTATTTGTATACAAACAATGACAAAACCACTTTTGCAAAATGCTCACACGCATGCCGGTGTGTTCACATTTCGCACTAGAAGATTCAGAAGAAACGTGCAGCTGTTACGAAAGTATACGAAGATGCTTGAACAGCCTTCGGCCATTTAATCAACCTGGTTTTGGAAGTTACACCTTGTACAGCGCCCATCTGCACCATGCAATACTGCTTTTCGCATTACCGCCGTAACCCTTGCTGTTAAAGCACAATACTAATTTAAATTGCTTTGTCGTAAAATATTTATGTTTGCGGTGTTTTGAATTTGCATGGATCCCTGAAGCCAAACAACGCTTATTTTTAGTGCATTTGACCTTTTCTACGATCGCGCCCTGGGTGCTTTAAAATTTAATTTGTTGTTAAAAATCAGTTTTTTAAAAATGTATTTTACATTTTCGCTGTTTATCGTTGCTCTTGGGATTATTGCTGCACATGTGGACTGTCTCCAACTTCAAAGCTGTGGTATGAATCGCTGATAAGATGGCAAATTTAATATTATTAGACCGGATTAGATGAGGTGCATATGGTATGGCTTAAAGATTGTGCGCTTATCCGTGAACTGTGCATAATTGTACCAGTTAAACGCTTACTAATTAGTGCACAAAAAACAGGAATAAAAACAAAAATAAATACTACAGAAAAATGCACAAAAATAAATTTATCTACAGGTTTCTGAGTGAGTATTTTCGGAAAGCTTTAAATTTTTTAACTTTATGGTTTTTTTTACTAAAACTAGGTCAGCTTTTACTTAGGAATGGATTATAATACAAAACGATATTTTTACAATAACTATTATTGTGTGTTGTTTCATACTGTAAGTACTTACATAACCAACTGTGATTGTGAAACTGAATGTTGCGTTCGTATAGATGACCATCCACGCGTCCGACTGCATCAGGTGGATCTCAATCCATCAGATATCCATTCTAATCAAGAATTAGGAATAGATGCTATTTGGAATGTTGTACAAGAAATTGATAAACCATTAAAAGCCGAGGTTAAATTGTTCAAAAAGATCGGATTTATCAAAGCACAGCTTCCTTGCAAAAATAATATTGGATCGTGGTCAGTATGGATGTTTTTGCAAGCCTTTGTACTTGCTTTATTTACAATTAGGCTACGTTTCTTTGATAAACAAGCGTACTGTTTGTTCCACAAGTATACGAACCCTTGATTTGCGTTGCAAAATAACCCTCCATATTATATGTATTTGTATAATTTAAATCCATCTTTTCAGTACTTATGACCTGTGTGCGGATGGCTCAGTTCCAATTTGTAATACCAAACGAGGCATGCACCGGTCAAACGGATACAAGTTAAAAGTTCCGAATTTCCCACCAGAAGCCCTGGTGAGTGTAGCGTCAATGATTCTGTCTTGAATCCATTCTACAATTAGTTTTTTCAAAAACCGCTTAAAAACACAAAAAGATATTCAAAGACTTCGATCCAAAGTGTGCACGTAAATATATAACTTATTAGTTCAAACTTGCGGTAATCAAGTATACATATATGTATACTCAATAATTACTCATACATGCAGTACTGCAGTATTGATTCTGCTGCTATGTCTCCGCTCAACATGGTCGACGCCGAGCTGTACATACAAGTTAACCAAAGCAAAATAAATTAAATTAAAAATTCTGAAAGCAGTACTAACTTGCAGCTGTGTCTTTTTAGGGAAGCTATGATGTCGAAATAAGGATTGTGGACGGCAAAAACCGAAATTTTGGATGCTGGAAAACTAGCGCCAATGTTGTGAGATAGGTGAAGACTTTGTTATCTAGACAGCTAGCTAGTCGGTTATGTAATGACCTTCTGGCACGTAATGGAAATTTGCTCTGAGAAAATAAAACAAAGAATGGTACTGATAGTTTCTCAATCGTCAGAAGTGATTCTGATGCACAATCTTGTCATAGTATATAGTTTAGAAACCGTACTGTCATAAAATTCATACACCGGTATAATGAATGCTTCGGAACAACCAAGTATGCGAAATAAACATCTGTAACTACTGTACTTTGAACTACTTTCCAGTTTCCAATCAGAAAAAAATGGTTACACGATGCCTTCAAAAGAAAAATGATAATTCTCAAACATCGATATTTGAGCTTTGTTAGCGACTTGGCGGACATCCGGTACATTACAGCCGCATAGTTTGTCGAAACAATTCGCATTTCGTTTTGTGGCAGTAATTTAATAACGACACTAATTTTTAACTTTTGACAATAACACACACAGTCCCGGCGATAAGTCCGCTAATGGATCGTGTGTAGAAGCTATGTGTAATTGCGCCCAATTTGTTCCTTCCTGTTGTGAAGTGGGCGATGGATCCCATGCGATTAATCGACACACGTCCGGTATGGAGCGAAACGGATGACGGATTGATGTCTTTCCTGTGTATAGTGTTTTCACACTGCGTTTGCGGATCCATAAACACGCGAGCCAGTATGCATCCTACATACTTATATCGCTTGTTCTGATTTAGAGTAATTTTGTCTTGTTGTTTTGGATCAGCGTTTGATTTTACAAAACCGCAATTATTTGTGCAGCTCACAATAGGCATACATGTATAATAACCGTTTTTTTAGTTATCAGTATAAAAAGCACTGTACTTGATGGTTCCAGGGAATTTTAAGCCGGAACTATTCAAATTTATACAATTTTAATTACTGCAAATACTTAGCTGATTATTTCATTCGTAGTATTTGTTACCATTTCCTTCGGCTGATTTGTAGTTAGATGGTACTTAAATCTAGCAAGTTGTAAGTTGCAGCCACTGCAGTTTTGGTTCGACTAAAGCTAAAGCTAGATCTTACATTTTACAGCGTTTTTGGCACCTAAAGCAATTAAAATTTTAGTCCCAGATCAACCATGCAGTATTGCAATGTCATGTGTACGTGGTTTTATCTCCGCATTACAGCTTGTTGGAACATTATCCAAAATCCTATCAAATGTCGCGCGCGGAAACTATTTGTCGATTACGCCGCATGGACGAAATTAATCATCCATAAACTCAAAATTAATTTGCTAGCCATGGATTGACACAGATTAGTTTAGGTATCGTAAGCGTATATAATTAAAAAATAAATGACAAATAAAATCAGAATGCCGGTTATAAGGTCGGCCTGATGTTGTACCGGTAAACGAACTCGCGCTATTTTACTATACTTCCAAGAAGATTTTAATGATTTCTTTTTGCACCAATTCAAAAACTTTGAAAGATAAAAAAGTTTACAAAATTATGTGCTGTCCGTACCTGAACTGGTTCCTTTTTTAAATAATCGTAGGGCACAAAGCAAAAATAATTCTTGCTCCTTAAGCTGTACGCGTGACAATCCCAGGCATAGTACATGATGCGGCACAGTACATTGTGTGTTGTCAATTAAAAAACCTAACTATTGCGAAATCACTGCCTTTTTTGCTATATCACCACAAGCAAAACTGTTTCTGTGGTCCATGCTACCCAAGCGTGGTTTATTTTCCCGTTGCGACATTGTTGATTTCTTTGTACAACTTTAATGCTGCATCTTCCTGTATTATTACACTGCTTTTTACAGGTCATTAGACAGTTCATCTGGCCACTGCAATCGATTGTTTCAGTAAACCGAGGTAAAATAATTAAAGAGCTTTGTCGATAGAGCTGCATGCGTGCGCCGTAAAGGTTGTAACTGGACTGATAGACACACAAGTTAAAACAAAAAATATGTACAGCTACCGAAAAACCAAAAACTGGCTAGGCGATTCGTATTATTTCCGCAGTTCCGGGTTTGCATTATAATCCCGTCGTCAGTCAGCCACTTCCTTGATTACCACTGCAGAAGGGGCAGACTTTGTGTTGCAATATGAGCGCGCGATGATTCTCGCATAGGATTCCTTCCATTTTTGTGAGGTTGTATCGGCGGTACTTAATTCGCGGCATTCTGGTCGGTGCATTGCATCCGGGAAATGGTGTTCAGCCGGAGTCGAAACAAATTGATCAGCAGGAGGAAATCTGGATTCCGTGCAAAGTTTGCCATTAGTATGCACAGCATGCTGAGGATGCTTGTGGCTGTTGGCTTTCGCAGTATTAGTTTCCTGGCAATGTTGTGGCTTCTCTTCAGAGGTTGAAGTTTCAGCGTCCACGTACGAATTCTCACAATCCATGATCTTTAATTTTTGATGGCGTCCACAATCGGGCGCCAACAAACTCTCCACGTCGAAACATTTTCTGTTGCGCGGTGCCGAACTGCGTTCTTTTTGAGATGTTTCTTCTGGGGCGATAGTCAGCGACCGGTAAGGCGTTTGACATAGGCTGGGATTTGATGCGTCCCCGTCCGGTTTCTCATCGGTTATTGATGGACACGGGCTATCGTCTTCGTCGTCTTCATCAGGTACAACCATTCCCATCATGCGGTGGACTTTCTGTTGGGCTTTACGGCGGCGAAAATCCCCCCGCTCAAAGTCTTTAATGTTGGCCGGGTGGATGGCCCAATAGTGACCTTTGCCCGTTGCCGAGCGCGCGCACTTTACAAAACACGCGTTCAGTGACAGATTGTGTCGAATGCTGTTTTTCCAACCGGGTGCCCGCGTGCGGAAATATGGATAGTGATCCAGTATCCATTGATAAATGTCGGACAAAATCATGCGTCGTTCGGGTGTGCTCAGGATTGCCATGCCAATTAATCCAATGTAACTGTAGGTTGGCTTGGGCTGTTCTTCGCGCAGCATAAATCGGCTCATTAAGGTGCGCGGATAACCTGCTGGGAATGTGCCATAACCGGGTAATGGGTTGTACGGGAATGCAGGAAAATGGATCGGAAGGTTAGACGCTGGGCTAGCGCCTGGAAGTCCTGATGGAGCAGACGGGAGTAGCTGTAAGTTGCGATATCGTGCAATCTCAGCAGCGGCATACATTTGCTGGACACGGAGCTGTTGACTGTAATCCTGCATGCTAATCAGCGCCGCAGTGGGTAATACTGGCGAGCTTCCGGTAAACCTGCTTTGTGATGCCGGCAAATTAAAGCCGTGCGCCAAAGCACTGGACGGCTGGGACATTTTAGATAAATCCATGCTAAAGTGATAAATGCGTTAAACTGTGGATGTTTTATGGGTAAAAGAAAAAACCAAATGTAGTGCGGAGCCGGACTTGTCGCGCAGGTTTAACGAGTAACTGACTGACTGCTTCCTGTCCGCACAATCATTTAACGATATACTGCTTACAAACTCTTGAGGTTTATTTAGAAAGTTTTGTCGTCATATAATTTGTAACACAGTGGAGGAAATCATCCGTTTACAGAAACACAAGCGGCTATAGATGTGTCGACTGAAAGAAACATTCTTATTGGTCGGTGATAGGGCGAACCCAAACTTGTCATACAGCAGATGGCAGTAGACAAATACTCCGACGCGGCTCCGGTCTGATACGACTGCCGGCTCCGCGCCTGTGCACTAACTACGCGAAACTGGATAAACTTGCGTGTAAGTACTGTATCTGCAAAATATCGATTTACTGTAAATGAATGTTTCTGTTAGCTAATGGGCCGTACTGGTTTTGTAAAAGTCAATCCGTGATAATTTATAAAGCAGAATAGAGTGATCAGCGCAGACGATTTTCAGTCTTTTTGATAAACTCGAAAAAAAAACGTGCGTATATTTGCAATTTTGCCTGCAAAAGTGAAATAAATAAACTACCATCAGTGAAAAAGCTAAACTACATATATACTTACAAATACTTTATGTAGTAATTAGTATTTATGAGCAGCTGTATTTGTTATTTGGTAGCAATTATCAAACTGAAATAACAAACACTGTTGTAGGAGTACTGCATCAGAGATTCAGAATGTGAAATCACTCAGTCAATAAATTTGCAACAGCAGCAAAAAAAGGGGTAAAATCCACTAATTCTTGTGAAAAGCGATTTTTACGCACGTAATGCCGTAGATGCAGTATTGAAATTATTCGAAAACTAAGCGATATATGGGTTATGGACCGACTGGGAGCTGCGGGTATACGAATCGGCCAGGCGCAACTTTAGTAACCCGGTACGAACGGAGTAGTACTTGTGCTTCCTAACTTGATTGGTTTTGGTGGTGTGTTTGTCCGTGTTGTCGATACTTCCATACTTCCATGTACAAATGTAGGCAAACTGTTGTAGCTTGTTTCTGATAAATATAATTTCCATTGCGACCCACAAAAGCTTATGAAACACCTTTAACACCTTCCGCAAGCCTGGCAGCTGCAACATAAGCGTGTGAGTTGCTGAGTCTTTCATATATTCTCTTTCAAACCGTTTGACATCACCTCCAGCAATAAATACCGTTGTATTGTACAGTCAGTTTTCTGTTGCTGTCGTTTAATAACGTTTCAGCTTGAACGCCATTTTTTGACTAACCCGAAAAACACTTGTTACCTCGGTTGAATAAAGCAGTATTGCGACAACCACTTTCGACCACTATGTGCCATTACAGTCTGAAAATTTTTGAAACATACCGAATAAAAATGCTACAAAGTATAGTGCCATACATCAAAATAACTTAAGTAACGACTAAGTAATTATGTATAACAAATACAGTTGTGAATTGTATTGTTTTGTTGTCACTTGAAGTAATATTTCTAAATCTGTAATAATAAGTTAGCTAGCAAAATGCCGGCATAGCGTGAACGTTCCCGCAGCGACATTCCTACGCAAAATAACTGTTTACTGAAAGTATTAACAATTTTTTTAACTGACTATTAACATTAACGTATGCTTGCCGCAAATACTAATCCAGTAACTCGTAAGTTCACTGTCAAAAATTCAAACCACAGCCAGAAAGACAATTCATTTCTTATAAAGCCCGAAGCCAAGCAGCAAGAAATAATGTTTTCCAAGACGCTGTCAAAAAGCTAAGCTGGTGCTAAAAAAATTTTTTGCCAACCAAAGACCAAAATTTTTCACTCGCACCGTTGCCCTTTATATAGAGCGGGAGCGCTGGTATACTTTCTTTGCTTGCGTCGTAAGAGTTTCATGGAAATACAAAAACATATTATTTGATGTTGCCCTTACAACTAACCACGGGACCATGCAAGAGCGAATTAATGCTGGACGCCGTGTCAGGATTAATCAGGAGAAGCAGGCCGTAAATCTCTGGAATTATAGTGTCGTCAATGTGGCTAAATGGCACACGAAGTATCCGCCCCTACCCGTGTCATCCGCAGCGAATTATCTTACATGTGTAGTTAGTTATCAGAGATTTAATGGATTATTCCCACTGTGCGTCCGACTAACAAGTAAGGTAGTGTCGGATGTTGCCGGTTTGCATATCTACAGAAAGTACGTTCAGTGGTAGCCAGTGGCATTTTGATTTTGCACAGTAGCATTTTAAGGCCACCCTGTCAGGCCCGCGGATAAAATGCATTAAGAGGAGACGCAGCGCGTTTCCTTGGCATTGTCAGTAATTGTCTGCCTGTCATTGTCTATTAGTGATGGGGAGGTGACAACAAATTAACATCAATTACATGTTTCATCGAGTCTGAGCCACAACAATCAGCACCAAATGGCTGTGACGCGGCCAAAATATGGCGCGTCAAGAAGAATCTCGTATTGTTGCGGCCTCCCGGGCACCGCGGGATGTGGATCTAGACTGCATTAGATTTGCAGACTTGTATGAAAATATTATATGCCCTCACGGCATTAAAGAGATTTGAGCTTATAAGCTCTTAAAACGCGTATAACAACAGTCGTTGACACCAGCTGTCTTTTAGTGTGAACCAGACTAGTCAAGTTTACATACGTGCGAAACAACCTGAAAACCACCATATATAATTTATTTGAACAACATGTGCGCAGAAACATGATTACGCTGCAGAGGTCAAAAATATATATACTGCACTATACCTATACTCCAGAATAATTGAAAAGTTAATGAAAGCAACATGCGCTTACACAGTCAGATTAATAGTTAATACTAACCAGAGTATATCTTATGTGATCACTAGTACTGATCACACAATTTAAAATAGCTAATGTTTAGCATAGAAGATCGTGTTACTTAAAACAAAAAATGCAGGATTCGAAAGTGAAAGCTGCCTACTGTGATATGATAACCCAGGACTTCTTGAAAATTACAAGAATAATATTATGCATCTAAAAATGAACGACGTAGGGTGCCGGACCTAAAGTAAAATTTAAAACACCTGCGATCTGTGGAAGCATAAGGCGTTGTAACACCTGCAGCCTGCAGCATACTTCACAGGTTAATTTTTTGTCACAATTTCCTGCTGTTTATCTTAGATACAGTGATGCAGCTGTATCTTACTTATTTAAATGTTTATTAGCAAGTAATCCTTGCATTTAGTAGTTATAGCTAGCTAATGTAAATCATATCTGCAGTACGTGAAAAGCGTACTTTGTCCTTTTGTCCGGAATTTTTTGTGCAGAACTTGGAAATTTTGTTTTTAAGTAGTAAGATGGTTATCGTTTTACTTTATACATGTTCAGCGTCATAAGCCTGAACTTTGGTATGGTTCCGATACTTCCTTCCGAACGTTTTAGAATTCAGTAATCCACTTCAACTGGTACGATGACTAACACAACTGGAGCTGGTTTTAAATAAATTATAGCTATTAATGAAAGAAAGTTTACGCTATGGTCTCGAAAATGTTCCTAACGACTAAAAAAAGTTATATTAAGTACCATAGAAATTCGTGTTAAGTATTCGAAGTTGTTACTTTAGTTCGAACTCGAACAGTCGCAAACGCGGTTGCATTGGCTAATAAGTTCCAGCTTGCTATTCTGCACTTTTGTGAAAACCGAAGCAATGGGAAGTTTACCTCAGGTAGCACACTAAGTGCTGCTGCACGGATGAATGGGTCTCGAGACCCGCCACAGCGGTTTTGTTCGAACTATTAACGATGTCTTATCAACCAATCATTATCACATTCAAGAGTGGTTCAACAATAATATGACAGCTTGCACGCATAGCGGAACGGACTTGTTTCTCAAATATTGTTAATAATTTGGTCAAGTTAGTTGTCAAAGCGGGTTATAGCCTCGTACGGCTACTATAAATATTATGGCTGCCGTGCGGCATTGGACAACACTTCTGTGTCAAGTGAAATAGCGCCACATAGCTTACTGCTTAGTACTTACTGCAGTGACCTCCACGATAGCGCGCCGAAAACAGTTACACCTAAACTTCTTGAGAACTATTGTGTCAGAAAAAAACAGCTTTTTTGTGGAAATGCTCACAAAATTATCGATTACTTCAAATGTATTACTGCCCTTGATCATTATAGATAATGCGTACTGCCTACTCGTAGTTTAACCATCCATTCTTGTTATTTCTTGTACCACAGTCCCTTTACTAACTTAACCATTAAAGTTGTAACACCTGCACGTGTAAGTACGGCTGTGTTCATGACAGGGACTCTTTACACGAAATAAATTAGAGCGTTAATCTGCTAAAAATTGTATTCGCGTTGGTGGAGTTGAGACACATGGCCATGGAAAGTTTTTTGCATGTTAAGTACATACTTTCTACGGACAGCTATCATTTATTTGCTTTACTGGTTCTTTGTAGTAGATGAGAAAACCAGAAAAACAAAGTTAATTACTTGTTAAGTCCATTAACTGACTTTTTATGGTGAAAAACAAAGTAGTTAGGGTAGGTTTGATGTTGTACGAGTACAGCAACAATATTATAGCGTCCAAAGTTTGCAATAAATGGGAGCAATTCAAACTTTGAGCATTATATTTCTGCAGCAGTTACAGACAGCTATTAAAACTAACCATGTTGTACCAAAATAATTTTGCCTGAAATACGTAGCATACCATAATATAGCGTAACTCAGTTTTATTCAAGGTGGACTTCGTCGCTAATACGAGTTATCATGCTTGTGAAAACTGCACATACGTGCCAGCACTTTAGTTGTGAGCATCGAAGCAAGCAAAAGCCTTGCGAAAGAAGTTGCATGATGGAAGTCAATCGTCAATCTGGGATTTTGATCCCATTATCCGTTCCAGCGTGTAATTCAATAAACATGGGATAAAATCACTTGATGTAATGGCAGCACGACAATAATTGATTTTAGCCTAACGTCAATGGAATTGTGCGTACTGCCTACACAGTGCTAATTAGAGGAAACGATGAAATTCTTTAAAAGGTTACTAATAATACTGCATCCTTCAGTCAGGCGAACCGTTCTCCTTCTCTGACCAGTTCCGCTATACATTATCGGTGCACGAAGGGTATTATTACTAACAATCGTCAAGTTTTTATCGATTAGTCTCAAACAACTGATTGCTTTCGGTAAGCTCTCATTTTGTATGCCTGAACAATTATTTCAACATACGCAAATAACAGGAAATGATCAAAAGACTGTGACTGTGCTTCTGTGTATATCAATATGTATCAGCAATAACGTGCAGTGCTCCCGAATAGTTCTTTCAAATCGAACTCCCTTGGAGATCAACAACTCTGCGTGATTAATGGGACTTCCTGTGTATATGTATATGCATGTACGCAGCAGAAGCATACATACAATCGTACTTCTACGTATATCTATATAGGTGTGTCAGCTTGATATTCGGCTTCACGATTCCATGCCCTAATAAGGTGTGTTTCGTCACAGATCGCTACATCCTTGGAACAAGTCAAATTATAGCAGCAAGATTATACGGTATCCCCACAAAGCGCTTTTCGGATTTCACGATTTTGCGGTGATGATACCGCACCAGTGTAATAATGCAACCATTTTGCAGTAATTTTGAAATAGGGCAACTCATTATGACCATCGACCCAGCAATATTTCCACCTGAGCGTTTTTACGTGCTTCGTTATGTGTAAATGTGCATTCATATTATTAAAATGATCAATGAGCAACTGTGTAGTAAAGAATATCAACCACTATTACGAAAGTATTAAATAAATGCCATAGAAGTACTTAAGATGTAGAATTACATTTGAACAGGAATAATAAGTATGTACATTTAAATTACTGCTACATCATATGTACAGTTATTGCTCGAACAGAGACACTGTACAATACAATGAGGCTCAGATCAATGGCATTTCCGTATGCAGATTATTTATCTTAGCATATGCACACACCCCAAAACGAAATAATCCTTATACTTAGAAAGAAATTTGTCGACTGGAGTATGGCAAAATTTGTTTAGGCTGTAGAGTTTTCTTTGTATTCAGCCATTTTGAATGATCTAAAACAATGGGCATTCTAACGGCTGTTGAGTGATAATATACTGATATTGCAACAATGATGTAAACTTGGCACTTCATTAACTATACATGTATTTGTAATTGTTTTTGCAAGGTTGTCATGAGAGTTCATTCAGACCCGAGCAGACGCTCGAACGCCTTTTGTCCTGCATGTAGACCTCCCAATGGTTGCAGTGAGGTTCAGTTGGAAGGGCAGAGTCGTGTGTATTATGCGGGACAAATCGGGCGAGGTGTTATCAAGTGCGGATCATGGGAGGCATATGATTGTTATCCAGTTAGCTGGGCGTTCTAGTGGTGCAGCCACCTTTTCTGCTGTTTTAATGCCACAGTTTGAGTATGTCCTCACCGGACCATGCATACAAGGCCATCCATACATGACATTTAATGAGACTTTCACAACAATTTGACAGTTTTTGCAGATTATGGACAGCTGACGTTTAGCATATTTGACGTTAGTACTACTTATTCGCCACTTAGTCTGGACGAGTTAATGAGAAGGGAGGGCCATTCTCAGCAGGAATGCTAAAACAATAGCGGGGGGTTTTGTAGCGCTCACAAAATTATGCCTCGTCTAGTATCTCGTTCAGACCAGGTTGCGAGGCAGCGATAATTATAAACTAAAAAAATCAAGTTTAAATAAAACTATTCCAAAACCAAAAGTAAGTACGAGGTAAAGCATGCCATACTTGAACCTCCAAATATTGCTAAAAAATCAAACATTTATAAAAGAAATTGATATGAGCAACAAAACAACAAAACAGAACTACAAAGTACGCAACAGTGCGCGTACGGTAGAAGTCATCGCAAACTAAAACTAGATTTCGGTTGTTTTAGCATTTCTGTGTACGTAATATAATACAGTTATGAATGTTTAATATTATTAAGCTGGCTGTCAAACCCTTTATCAAATTATCAAATTGTGTAATCTTAAAACACATCAACGCCAAACGGCTAAAGCATGAATAAACAAAGTATAGCACTACTAATGCTTGTTCTCCGTTTCTAAGAAACACTGTGCGACCTAACGGTATGAGTATACAGTAAACTATTATTTATTATTTATCACCTTTTAAAAGCGCTCGTTATCCATAGTCGTGGCACTTGCTCTGACAAGTTTTTGTTACATTGGCCAGAATTTGCAACTTTTTGATGCTGTTAACCAAAAAATGTGAAGTTTTATCAAGTTTGGATTTGGAACTACTCTGTACATCGACAAGGGCTGGAATTCATAATGTTTGAAAGTGCAGTACACGTCGAACACTGTAATCGGTCCGATTACAGCACGCTCTAAAGTGATGTTACTCGTACGACGTGAATACCTTAGACTATTCTTTTAGCAAACAGAATCTGCTTGCTTGGCACGATGATATCTGTGTGACCAAAATAGTGCGTAACCTTTATAATTTGTCGAAGGGAGATTATAAAATTTCACTGTATGTGACGAACAACTGCAGTTCATATACTCCATCTAAAAATGCCGGAGGCGATAGAAGATTTGCAGCTAACAAAGTTGGAGAAAATACGGCGCATAAAAGCAGCGGTAGGAAGCTTATTATTGTTAAGTAATGCAGTTTTATAGTAAACTGAGCAACTACCTTTAAGAAAAGGTCACATGTTGACTGCATTCACATCCGTGCGGAATAGTCCGCTACAGTGTACACCTTCTAATAGTTTAGATCTGCCACGACCGTCCGGCAAAATACGAGAACCGCAATAACGAACGACTGAGAAGCGCGGGAAAATGCAGCTGCCGAACGGGCGCGGCATCAGCGTGGGCTGTTCTTTTCTGATCGACAGAAAGAGTATGGCTGTACATTTTAATGGCCGACTAAGATTTCCCAGAAAATGTCGATGAAATATATAGCCATACAGGTTGCAGAACGTGCTGTATAAGGACTACGCCCAAGAGCAACAGGAAGGCGCAAAAATCCAGAGCGATAAGCCCACCCGACTGGATGAAATGAGGGTTAAAGCAGAGCATTTAAGGGCAAAACATGAAGCACAGGAGCGAAATTACGTTGATCAGCAATACGAAAGAATCTGGAAGTAAGATTATTATTTTATGGTCTCTTCTACAAATTTATGCAATATTTTCAGCAGGCGCTTTTGCAGGTAGTAAATCGTGTTCGAAATGTTTTAGAAATGGTATGAGTGCTGATAAACTGCGAAATCTGGAATATGTGAAACACAAATACGATGCGGTCAAACACCTCGGAGAGCAAATGCTTTATAAAGCTCTGGATGAAATGGAAGACAGCCAAGTAGATGAATTTTATCACGCGCTTGCCAAGGAATCGGCAGCAAAAGAACAAGCGCAGCTACAAGCTGAAGCGGAAGAGAAACACAAATTAGAACAGCAAGCGCAGCAGCGTATACAGGAACAAATTCAACAAAATGCCGACAACAAAAAGCAACGCAAAATGCAGCGACTGGTGGAAAGAGATAAAACATTGTTTAAATCAGAGCAATTGCGCTTCGACAGCTTCAGAGAAGATTTCCAGCGTAGGCTGGAGGAAAAAACCAAAAGAAGTGAAATTCATACAAAGGAACACAATTCGATTCATGAAGAACGACAGCAAGCACTGCAGCGCGAGCAGAAAGAAGCAGAAGAGACGATCAAATACCTTGAAAAGGAAAAAACAGAAAGGCTAGCAGCAGAGAAAAAAGCAAAGGTAAACAGACAACCAGAGCTCATCAGTTGTTTCAGTAAAATTAAGCCTAAACATAATTTTTAGAGTCAGTTACGCCAAGAATATTTCGCACAGCAGCAATACAGCCAACAACTGATGTCCGCTTCCGGCAACGATGCCTTGGATAAACATATTGCTGAAATGCAGAGAGAGCAACAATATGAAGCGTTATATACGTTTCTCAACAATCTTAAAGCAAGACAAGGATTACAGTACCGGATAAACAAAGAACTAGACAATCAAATTCACATTAAAGGTGCCCGATAGCAGTGTTACTACGTATTACAAACGATATATTATTAGGATAATACGAGTACGAAATTGTAGTTCACCATGGTATTAAAGTACGCTCATGTCAGCTAATGAGTAATGAATGACTAATGAGCATATTAAAGTTGCTAACCTGCTGCCGTTAGCGTAACGCCGCGCTATGTTGGCAAAAGGTGAAGTTTTCAGATTGGAAAGTTTTAGTTGTATGATTTACAACTCAATGATTTTTAAAACATACCTAATCAACCATAACAGTCGTCAAACTGAAAGTTACGTACAATAAATTTCGACAGGGCTTGACAAAGTGCACCGCAGGAAGGAGAAAGAACAGGAAAAGGAGCAACAAGCCGTTGAAGCAGCACTGTTTCTCAAACGCCGAGAAGAAGTAGAAGCGTTGCGCCGACAACAGGCCCTGGAGAATGCGGATATCTTGCGCTATCAAATCCAGGATAGAAAAGAACGAGAAAAGGCTCTGGCAGATGGTACCACTGAATTTTTCCAAACTCAAAAGAAAAACCAGGAAGAGGAAGACGCTCACATACGCCTGCTAGCGCAATCTATGCTTTCGAGTATGTAAAAAACCAACGCATATACAATAAAAATGATAATTATTCGCCTAAATGTTCTGATTATTTTGGCCATGCTCTACCCTAGTGCGTGCAGCTACCCCATTCAAACATTGCGACGATATGATTGTATTTTTTTGAAGCAAAACTGCAAATAGCCCGTAGAGTAACATCGAATACGCAGCGCAGAAAACAGACAACGCAATAAAAAAAAGATTCAAAATGAAAGAATTAGTAGAGTACGAAATTACACTGCCCTTTACGTACACACAACAAAAACACCATAATAAGAGCAGATCTGTTAACAAAAGAGAAGAACGCATTTACTGTACAATGTATTGTACACAGGCTAACATAAGCGCTGCCTGTTCTGCATAAAGGACAGTAAATTCAACAAAAACGGAATGCTACAACGTACATAATACATGATAATGCCGTGAGAGAGATTCACCATGTTATAAATGTTGATCGGGATAATGATTGTATGCAGTCGACATATCCTGCACACTGCTAGGATCATACACATGCATATTTCGATAGTAGTCGGCCATATCTTCGCCGGTCTGCAGAGGATGGCTGCCACTAGTGCTGGCACTGCTGCTGGGCTGGATATGCGCATCACCAGTTGGGAGGCTATTCCAGGCCTGCTGCTGCGGCCAGACCCCGGTGTAACTCCGACCGGATACCTGGGCGAATGGGGCATGTCCTGGCACCGAAGACGGGTACAGCGAGGAGGATACCATGTTGGAGTAGGCGGAATGACCTGGCTGGGAAAATCCGGCCGCCTCCGTACCGTCGTACCGTGGTACGCTGGGCCATGCAGCTGGTGCCACGTTGGCTTGCGATGCCAATGGCAACGCAGGGTAAGCCGTGTCGGCTTGGTAGCTACTGGATGGCATGTAGACAGCACTGTTGCTCGCGCGGGAAGTGCCTACAATATTGTACAAGACGCGTCAAAGGGGGTAAATAAAAATTACCTTCCTTTCCAAAGGCCGAATGCAAGACGCAACGAGCAATTAACGAATCAAAGTATCTTATCAATTTTACGTGGTAGTAATAATGAGTGCCCACCAGCCTGAAGAATCTCATAATCAAAGGCTAAAATTACTGAGTCTAGAACCATTCTGTTTATACGTTCAAGAAATCTGGCACCACACCTGGAAATAAAATTTCCCCTCGTTGGTTTCAGCAGCAAGTAATGCTGCTGAGCACCCATATCAGATTTGTACTTACCAGCAGTCGCATGAGTGCTGGAATGACCGTATATTGATCCGTGGTTGTTGGCACTCCGTGGCAGACTGGAGTTAGCGGACTGGACTGAGGGTGATGAAGAACAATATGGTTTTGCACGAGATCCCGATGTGCTGGGCATCATAGACGAAGATGCTGATGTGTCGTGCCCTGCGTAGGAACCGGAATGATCAGCCGTGTGAACCGAATGATCCATAGTCGGGCCCACGCCAGCCATAACAGCATTGTTCATTGTTTCCTGTTGTTGAAGGGCCCTGGAATAAAATGTTTTCACCGCGTTAAAAACAATTACACACGCCGCTATAACGGCTTTGATTCAACCTGGCGTACTTCACGGATGAATGAGTGCCCACAACGAATTCCAGTTCATCGGAATAAGGGTTTAAAAATGCATACATAACGCTCCGAAGCAAATCATAGTCGCCGTTTTTCGTTTTGAAGCGTATAACCTTCTGTGCCGGCTGACCTTTCGCTTTCAGTGCTACAAAAGAAACCGATGTACTTAAATACACAAATTTATATATCAAAAGACGGAAAAAATTCTGGTTTACTTACCCATATCGAAACATTCTGCAAGCTCCTTTTGGTCTTCCGGATGTACCATGTCCAGCAATGGCTTGCCCAAAACATCGGTAGGCAAAAATTGCAAAATCGGAGTTATTCTAAACCGAACCGATCCGCGATATCAGGTTGTTTCAGCCAAGATATGAAACGCAGTGTAATACTAATAAATACCTTGGATCGACAAAAAGAGTATTGCCATCGGCCGAATGACGAGTAACAAACTCGTAAGGCATGGTGTTGTCATCCAGATCTGATGTATTCGGAATACTGGTCATCTGCAATCGGCCAATCGCAACAAGGACACAATTTCCGCTGGACTGGTTCTGGCCGCTCGATGTACTCGGTTCATCCATGTCTGCAGCCGCTTCGCGCTGACTGTTGCCGCCCGGACCAGACCAATTTTTCACATAGCCGGAACAATGCACAACCACGTAATGCCGTCCATCGGCGCTGGGCCCCAATGAGGCTCGATGACGCATGCGGTAATAGTGTCGGGAATTCAGGTACATGGCATCCGGAGTGGCATTACCCACTAACATACGGCAAATAAATGAGCGACGGGATCCCATTTGAACGCGCATGGATGACTGCAGAAAATCAAAGCAAAAGGTAAGGAATAAACTGAATGAACAAGTTACACTTTCAACAGCAGTCAGCCAATACATTAATACTAAAAAATAATTGTCAGATAATATCATCGTAGTGGCACAAATACAAATTAACTACAAACTGACAATGACGACAATCATACGCAGATTCACCGCACGTAGCGAGATTATAAGCCTGGCACAATGCAAAACATCCAATTATTATTCGAAATCTGTTATTACCTGGTGGCCTTCTTTTCTGATTGTCCCAGTTTTCAGATCCAAGATTCGGCCGGATGTCTGAGATTCCTGGCTTTGGAGCTGCTCCCTGACCTTTTCATGGTCTTCGGGATGTATCAGATCGAAGAAGGAGGCACCCGTCCATTCTGCGTAAGGCTGATTCAGGACGGCAGTAGTGGAATCTGACAAGTACATGATATGCGCTTCTGGATCGCACGCCACGATAAATAGAAAACCATCTGCCGCTTCAAGAATGAGGTGTTTTAATTCCTGATCTGTCAAGAATGACGGTTTGTAGTTGTTTCCGTCTGTATTTCCGGTCCCTAAAATTCACCCCAATAAAAGCTGTAAATCTGTGCACTCACTGCAATGCAATCGTATTGATATAATGGAGATGTGATACAACACGTTTGTTAAATAACTCCGACAGATCACGATAGAAATACTGCCAGAAACATTGACGCATTAACGAAAAAATTGAATGCAGACATAGTTAACTTTTTTCTTCAAAATGTAAGTTTATTATACAGTCCACATACCCTATCAGTTTCGATAAAAAAATAAACGCAAACAGCAAAAATAATTACATTGCTACATACAGTACTACACAAACGGGCAAAAGTTAGTACGTAATAAGATTATTTAACGGAAACCAGTACCTCGCAATGTTTTCATGTGAGCCACCGCCATTCTTAAAATGGTCAGCTTATCCGGCTTGCGAGCCAAAGCAGAACAGGTAGGGACCATGTCGGACAATTCGGTGATGTATGCTGTCATTTTATTCCTACGTCGGCGTTCAATCTCGCTGTGATTCTCACGAGCATATCGCTCTTTATCCTGAATACTTTCCACTTCTTCCATTCTTGAGTACTTTGTCGAATTACTAGCGTGGGCATTCACTCCATCATTGCCGAACCTGTGCAATAAAATTTAATTAGAAATTCTTCGACGCTTATCTAAACGGCGAAAAAAGCAGATCTCTAAGCGATTCATGTGGGCATATCAAATTTTTTAAGTCTTGTAACTTGTAAGTACTGCAGTCTCACACGCAGAGGCACACACGGACAAAGTTTGTATGTATAAACGGACACTTTTGAGCATAGGATACTGGAATTTATTCACATAATATCAAAGCCGCCTTCAACAACAGAGAGTACAAAACGTAACAAATTATCGGAACAGATATCTGCACGTAGCAGTTCCAAAACAGAAGACTGTAAAGTGATCGCGTTGACAAATATCATGGCAGGATGAAATTTTAATGTTCCGGGAGCACAAGCGCTATCATCATCATCTACGGTATGTGTCTAGTAAACAGTGTACCAGTACGTGACGCACCCAGCCGAATATCCTTCTAAATGACACTGCGCGTCCATCGAAAAATTAGGCTGAAAAAATGCCGGATGATCATGATCAATATTTGATCTCCAATCCATTTTCTACGGTATCAATCGTAAGACAGAGCACGAGTCTCACGTGTAATAATACAGTAGATTTTGCCGGAAACGAGGCAAAAAGATGAATACTCCAAAAACCTTTCACCACGCTAACACGTGGACACCACTTGAGCGTTATATGATTTAAATTTCATCCAAAACAACACCTGTACCGCTTAATTATGCAACGTTGGCAATAAGGCGCCACACTCTGAGTACGGATAAGCATAAACCGTTGTTCAAAAAATTTCGGGTTTTGGAGAAACGATTGGATATCCAGCTGCAGTGCGAATTTACTACCTGGTAACCTGTGCCGTCGTCAATATTATTCATGAGAACGGTTAAGAAACAGAATAACAGCAAACAACCTGCTTTTCTTATGGTTTCCGGTGTTTAAGAGGCACTGGAGACAGGTTGAAAAATCGATAAATGGTATCACGGCGCAAAATGGGAACAGCGAAGCTTAAGAGGAGAGAAAAAACCGCAGGTTGCCAGCATATCGTTCAAACCTCCCTTTGGCTTTATTACCCAGGAGATATCCTATATTTTCCTGAGAGATCCTGTTCCGTGACTGCGCATGTATAATCTGCACTGATTAACTCATTTCAAGCATCAGCGCAAACAAGCGCAAATCACCTCTGCATTACGACAATGCATGTCATCATGAGAAAATTCCTATCCTCTGTTGGCAGCACCTTGTGTTGTTGCAACATTTACCATGTCCGAGGCTGCAGAGCTTGTATTGTAGGTTTCGGGATTATAATGCATAACGAACGAGCTCATGGTTAGTCTGGCAGAAAGGTCAAAAACTTATGGCACCACACGCCATGATATAACACCACTGTGAATCACATATCCATTATATCATTAGGTAAATATTTTGTATCACATAAGTGACATAACGTACTACCGAAGAACAAGAATACCTGCGGGATACAGTCTTCTGCAGCGTTTAATAGTTAATTTTTACACTTAGCGAAGGAGTTTTGCAAATGAAGCTATACAGCATGATGGAAGTTGCAAATTATTACTTTATTATAAAAAAGAACATACGATTAGCAAAAGCAATACTGTGCTAGCATACCGGTGACACTACGGACTGTGGTAACACTACACATTCATTTAAACTTAAACTTAAAAAAACGACAAAAATCCGAAGAGTTATGCTGACTACCCTAAACGGCAAGGCAGAAGCAAGACATAGGGATAAACCCCTATAAATCTAAATATCTTTGTAGAAGTACTGAAAACATCGCTGGCAATCGCTAAATTAAAATGTTGCCTGAAAACAGTAGTCGATTCCCAAATTTTGCGCCCACAATACATACAAGCTCACTAAGTTAAAGCCGTACCAACACGTTTTGACATTAAAAAACCAATTCCAAAAACTAGTACAGTAGTGACGGCTGACGAGTACTTGTGCCCATCTTCCAAACGTAACAGGATAACAAACCTGTATAATATTCGTATACTTATTTCACTAGCAGCACTAAAAGCTGTGAGACAACTGTTCCCACTCAAACTCTAAAGTAACGAATTCCGATTCTCGGAATCAATTTTGCAACCAATCAATGAAGTGTAAACGTAAACTGTAAAATCATTTGAATCTGATATAACTATCGATCATGACGTTCGAGAAACTCAGACGCTGGCCACCTTACGCACCAAACCTTACACATCATAATTAAACTCTTGACTGTGATTGACACACCACATCGAAAATAGTAACACAATCGAAGTGAAGACTGAAAAATGGTTACTTTTTAGCGCTTAAATTGTGCGTAAAAACCCTATAACTACCTTGTTTCATTTGTCTGGACTCTGAACCAAATATATGCTAAAATTTACTAAAACAAAAACCCACTTAATACCATGGTATACTAAATCCAGCAATGTCATTAATATGCTTCACAGTAACACTTTTTGTGCGAGAAGATAGAACGTTTAATACGTAGCAAACACTGAGCACAAGCAGTGACAACATTAAAAAAGATACATCCATATGTTGTCATGCAATCATTCAATCCTGCAGATACCCGATATGGCGATATCGTAACAGTATGACGCAATCTTGGAGGTTTGTTGTCCTTGCATCATAAAAAGATAGAATTCAAAACTTATTAAAGCACATAAAACCAAACCTCTGCTGAGCAAGCTGTCACGCACAGAAAGAGTTTTCACCAAACAAACAAAGCAAACAGCTTCCTGCAAGGTACCAGCTGACTGATATGTAAGCATTATTTTTTTAAAAAAACGTGACGTATTAGTGAGTGAGAGGCATCCATTCTATTCACACTCAGTGACAGGAATTCGGCGAGGCAAGGGTAAGATTATTTCACTGACAAGTTAAGAGAGATTTATAAAATGCCGAAAACTGATACCTTACGCAAATTTTGGATAACAAAACATGTCAAAATTAGTAGGATTTCTAGCAGTTGTTCCAGATTTCTAGTATTTGTTCACGTGATAATTTTTTCAAAAATGCCAATTATGCGAGCATCAGTTTACTATTGCTGAACGTGAATGTAGTACCACCGAACGAAACTCAACCTACACAATACGCAGTTGCATTTATCATAAAAATGTTTCATCTCGGCAGTTTAAAGAAAGAACTCTCCAAACAGCCTGCAAATAACGCGCTGAGAAAAATATTTCATCTTCTCTCTTCAGGTTCAATCATCTACAACGTAACATTGCTGTGCCTATCAGATCTATTGTTTAACTGTAAAATTTTACTAAAATCAGTAAATGCTCACATTTACATGTTTTTCCGCCATCCGCTACAAATAAGAGCATAAAAGATAGCCGTGCTTTGTGATTGTTTTATTCGGTCAGTTCTTTCGAAACAAACCTGAATTGCTTTCACTCATCCATCCTCCAGTATTTCCAGATTCGCAATCTAAAAAATGTGCTGTACAGCAGGATGCAATCCGTGCGCGGTACGATCTGGGATCTGCAAAAACAATTCGCATCTTCTAAGCTGGTATAGTAGCTCAAAAATTACAACTCGCAGGCGGATCGTCCAATGATCTTGTCAGAATCTAATAGGTTAACAGTTCAAAGCCGTTAAAATTTGCAATGCACAATGGCAGGGAATACCATAAGAATATGGATACTGAGTACGTACTAACAATGTTACAGTTGTTGCTGAATCGAAGAACCAGTCATAAACGAAGATGGTTTGCACTTGCAACCAGCATCTATTACAAGAGCTTTTGTAAATTCAACGGAAATATCATGAGAGGCAAGTTGGCAATTTAGACAACTCACAATTCACATGGAATCAACAAACTCGTTGCAGAAACCGAACAAAGCTGCAACGGAGAATGGAGTTGGCTTTGGAGTTTCACTGCTCCTCGATATCGTAGTTACTCCAGGGGTTTATCGTGGATAGCAATCATAACATTGGCAATCTAACAGGTATGCAAATAAGTGACGAAAACTAACAACAAAGCTTTTCAGACAATCACAATCGCATGTAAACGCAATGCCTTCCAAAGTGAAAAGCAAAGGTTCCCAATTTTCTGTTAATTTGTACAATAATAAAGAATTTTTGGCAAATTTGGGCCTTTGGCACTCAAATTTTATGCAAAAGTTTACAAGGCTAGTGTGCAGTACAGATAGTGCGCTTTTGCATGGCAAATTACTGTAGTAGCTGTCAGATCGAAGTAGGTCAATGGCATGATGTGCGCAACATTCCTGACTTTCCAGCAGCGTCTGCCCACTGTGTGACAGTAGTGTGTGTTTTGTGCTACCGCATACTGCGCTTAGCGGCATACGGTGCGTACCGTACAAGTTACACTGACGTGAACTTCTGAAAAGTTCACGTCAGTTCAGTCATAACTGCAGTGTTTGTGAACTTGTGAGTGAGTCGGGCTTTTTCAGTATGGCGTACCAAATACCTCACCCCCCGTGAACCTTAAAACGTAAAACTCAGAACACTAAAATGTAAAACGTAAAACACAAAACGTAAAACACTAAAACGTAAAACGTAAAACACCAAAACGTAAAACGTAAAAAGCTAAAACGTAAAACACAATACCGTAAAACCCAGAACTCAGAGTCGTAAACCTCAGAACTCAGAATCATAGAACTTGCAGCTGTAAACCATGAAACATGAAATCGTGGTTTTCGTGGACTTAAAAAATTTTCACTTTTCAGAGTTCCAATTCCACAATGCCATTCCAATAATATTAATGGAATTATATCTAATTATTGGAATTTGGCGGTGGCTTTGGAATTGGTTTGGCGTTGGTGGAACTACCGTTTATTTTTGCTTTGCTATGCAAAATTTTGCTGTTGCAGCGTGTCTTCCAAATCTTATTATCTGAAGCGTTTCTTTTATCAAGCCAAAGGAGAGAGCTGTTAATTTTGTTGTTTCATCTGCTATACGGATCAGAACTCTGTGCCCATCCAGAGATCTCGCCGCTGGAGCACCAGCGCGTGATGGTCGAGGAGAAAACAGACTCGTCGGAAGCCTTCCAGTGCGCAGTGTTTCCAGGGTCTCAGCGCACTTGTGCCTGCTCCAAAGGCATCATAATCGGATTGGATTTTAAGCAGCAGACCGTCCTTGATGGAATAATAGAAGAGTGGAGACTGTCAGATAGAAGGGATGCCTCGATTATTCTGGATCTGTGTTGATATGCTGGAGGAAACATCTCACGGGTCAGGTCGGATGGGATTGTGAGCGTCTGGGTTGTAAGCGTCAACCGTCAACGGTAAGCCTAATTTTCTTTTATGGGCATTTTTTTTGCAATCAGCTTTACTTTTAAACGACTTTACTTTTAAACGAATAAGAGTGGTCAACACCCGAAGTGTTCAACTGATCTTAATGCGTGTTTCTATCATAGAACAAGGAATTTTTTGTTGTGTTTAAACTTTGCACGAATTTTAAGAGCTGGAACGCATCACATTGCTTCCTCGCGCAGCTGGCGCAGACTCGCTGAGTGGTTCGGTGTTTTTTTCTTTTTGCTTTATAGTATGTAGTTAATTCAGGCTAGTTTGTGGTTTACGCCGTGCATATAGACATGTGTTGACCAGAGAGTGCGACAAAATTTTTGATTGGGATTTGGTAGGCTGAAAATTTATTGCCCAGTTGTACCATAATGGGCTTAACAGTTTCCATGTAGTGCGGTGTTGCTGGAGCTGGTAGCTTTTATTCTTTTTTTCTCGCACGTCGAATTTTGTTATACTTTTTTGCGTGTATATATGTAACGGATTCGTAACGCATTCTGCATTTTTTAGTTGTCACGCTGCAATTACTTGAGGAGAAAATCGTCGGATCTTTTGTTGAACGTCAGTAACTCGCATGAAATGGATCAGTTTTACATTTTTGCGAACAGCGTCGTAAGGCGAGCTGAGCGGTTGATTAACTCAAATGAAGCTGATGAGGATGGTATTGATGGAGCTCTGACCCAGATAGAGTATTTAATGGGGTACGTTGAACCTGTAATTTGTTATGAATTTTTAGATTTCCAAAATTTTGGTTTGCTGTTTATTTTCAGGTATACGCGAGACATCTGTGAAAACTTTCCCCAAGAAATGATATTTGAAGCCGAAGAATTATTTGACGTTCTTATGGACTGCACGAATAGATTGCGGCTGTTATTGCGGGAGGATGAAAATGGAATGGACTTAATGTTTGATTTCGCCCCAGAGACGAATTCTGTCGGAAAAATTAGTATACCGGAAAAAGATTTAGCAGCATTCCGTGCGGATGGATTTACATTGTCGCAGATCGCGGGATTTTTTCGGGTTTCAAAATGTACGATCGAAAGGAGACTGGTCGAAGCTGGCCTGAATTATAAGGTGAGTTCGTGATTTTTATATTACCGTAAACAGGTTTAACTTAAAAGCAGTGATTAGTTTCTTAAACTTTAACTAACTTTAACTTTAAAGCAGTGATTAGTGTTTTTAATTACTATTTGGTAAAAAACATTTTTTTTGATTATTGTAGCATTCTGAAATCAGTGAAGCCGACCTGGACGTATTAGTGCGAGAAATTATGGACTCGTTTCCAGGAGTTGGATCTCGTTTCGTCATTGGTCATTTGAAAACCGGCGGATTAATGATTCAACGCCATAAAGTTTTGTCCTCGTTACGTCGATTGGATCCTTACGGCGTAGCGAACAGATTTTTTCTTTTTGTGCCGCGAAGAAAATACTCCAACGCCGGGCCGAATGCTTTATGGCACATTGATGGCAACCACAAACTGGTTCGCTGGGGTTTTGTTATTCATGGTATCATTGACGGATTTTCGAGATTGGTAATCTCATTGTGTGTCGCCACGAATAATCGTGCTTCTACAGTGCTGGAAGCCTTTCTGAACGGTGCGGAAGCGTGGGGCGTTCCTTCGCGAGTAAGGAGTGATTGTGGAGGTAATTGTTGCTTGATATTTGTTATCAGAATACGAAACAATTTCTCCTTTAATTTTAGCGTTAAGTTAAAATTATTTAATTTTTTTAGGCGAAAATTTCGGAGTTGCGAGATGGATGGAACACTACATGGGGCCGGATCGCGGTAGCATCATAATGGGACCATCTGTTCATAACCAAAGGATTGAACGCCTCTGGAGAGATTTGGGGCGTGTGGTGATTAAGCTTTTTCGGACGGTTTTTATTTACATGGAGAACATGGGGATTCTGAACATTACAAGCCCACGTGATATGATGATTTTGCATTTAGTATATCAGCGCAGAATTCAAGATAAAGTGGACCAGTTTATTAATCTGTTCAATAATCATAAACTCCGCACGGAGCACGAGAAATCCCCTAGACAAGTTTTCCTCCTTGGTTGCATGGAGAAAGGGTTGAAAGGATTTCCTTTGGATCAAGTCCTTGCGGTTGATGACCCTTTGCCAGACGAAAACGTTGACGTGCCAGAAGACTTTCCACAGTATATTCGGAACTATGCTGCACATTCTAGAGATTCTGTTCCCGTATTCGACATAATCAGCAGTTTTCCGGCAGAGGCACAGCTCATATTGGAAAATATTGATCCGATGGGAGAAGATGGGTTTTATGGCATTCGGTTATTTCAGGCTGCGAAGGACCTGGTTGAGCATCATTTTGGTTGAGATTTGCAGGTGTGTCGGTAATTTATTGTTGGAGATAAGGAGGTTATTTTTTGTGTCTTCTGATTGTTAGCTTTCTTTATAAAAATTGGCACCGGAAAAGAGGCATTAGAGGTTTAATATTTCGAGTGTTGTAATTTTTTAGCTTAATTCTGTCTGTCTGTAATTACAGAACCAAATAGTATGTAATGCGTTTTCGTTTGTTGTTTGAGAGAAACAATTCGAATTTTCCTTCGTTCGCCAACATTTACCGTAGAAGTGCGAACATGTTGTCGGTATTGCTGCTGTAGATTGTTTAATTCAGTAAATTTACCTGGCTGAAATTTCTGGGTGGTTTGAATTTGGATTACCTTCTTGTGTCAGAGAGGTTGACTCATTGTCTACCCCGGTATGGGTGGGGGACACTGGTAATATATAAACACCAAATTTGCGACATTTTTTGGCACATTATTGAAATGACGATGTGGGTCAGGCGTGGTTTTCTCGAGTTTATTTCGCAAAATTAATGTGAATGTATGTATGTACAGCAGGATATAGACGATCCCTTCGCAGTGCTAATTAATCATGCGAAACTTTTGCAGTTGCGATCCAAATACTGCATTACAAACAAAAGGTGGTAGTGAATTCTGGCGTGAAAAAATGCTTATTATTTTTCGATTATTGACTGCTACCGTTGCAATAGCAGTAGGGAGAAAACATGTTAACTTTTTTTCTAAAGAATATAGCGTCAGTAAGGAGACTGCTGTTTTCGAAATGCGCTTTGCTTGGTAGATGGTTTCGCTCTTCATTATTGCACGTCGTGAAAAATTTACGATCACATAGGTATCAGCAAGGTATACTGATATCAGCAAGTTTTGAGGGGTAACTAGACCAAGAATTATTGATATTTTAGTTTTAGTGTATAAATATCACTAGAGTATCAAGGAAATCCAATTCGGAAATTACGAATATAATTACAAATACCACCACCGCCGCGCCTGTGGCCGATGGCACCGCCCTCGAGAATCCGGCCATGTTTACCCGGAGTTACAGCGCCAACACCGGAAGTGGTCAGGTGCGTGATCCGTACTCGGACAATTGCGACGCCATGTACAACTCCATGGCCAATCAGCAAGCGCACCAGAAAGTGGCCATCAGCCTCCCCAACCCACGCGGGCCACCGCGGGCACCCGCCCGCGGTGGCCCGGGTGGGTGCCCGCGGGCACCCACCGAACTTCTCCCAGTACGAGAACGATCCGAACCCAACTTCTCCCAGTACGAGAACGATCCGCACCGCGGTCCGCAGATGCCGCTGCCACCACGGCCGCCTAATTCATTCGGTTCCATGGATATCACGGTGAACTTTCCCATGTATACACCGAATGTGGATGATTCGTTCTACGAATCAGACGCCGGTGCGCAGCCGATGGCCTCTATGGGCGGAGGCACCGTGGGAAAGGGGAACAGTTATGAGACCGGCGATACGGATTATTACGGACGAGGGGCCGGTATCGACAAGTATGCCCGCGAACTGGAAAACAGCATGTTTAAATAAGGATTAGTTGATTGTTTAACATAATTCTGTTTATTTGTAAGTTTTTTTTATCTGCAGTGGAAGCAGTAACGTTTTGAAAGTACGAGACTGAAATTACACTTGATAAATTTTTTAGCAACCGTACGAGCTTTACGAAGTACATATAACAAATACGGCTCGCTTATTATAGTTTATTTATTGTAACTGAAATAAGTAACTGTACGACCTGTGGCAACTATACGAGCTTTTCGGCGTACGGAACATACTGTACATATACTGAACGATTATCATAGTTTATTTTCTAAAATTTATTCTGGGATACGATCAAAACTACTGAAATTCTGAGCTCCTCTAGTCTAACTAAACATGTACATGCACAGGTATTTGCGGAATGGCATACCGGCAGTGATATAAAACCATAATAACCTTCGGAAATATGTACTGGAGTACTGGAACCTTATGAACGTTGCAATTTATTTTACAGGTTGATGAAAACGGAAATGGTTTCTTAGAAGCTGCTGAAATGAAAAATGCATTAGATGCTGTCGGCTTCAAGATTCCACATTGGGAAGTGCGGAAGATGATTGAGGATTTTGACAAAAACTCCAAGCAGCCAGTGGGAAAAGGAAAATTGTCTGTTCAAGAATTTCAAGATGTATGAACGTAACTTACAGCAGATTTTGGCGATGCTTTTGCCTACTTTGCTATTTTGAACAGTTATGTTCAAAACTGAAATCCATGGAAGTTTCCACAACTTTTAAAAAGATGATCAATAAAAGGGAAAACCTGAAAACGCATGGGGGAATGTCGCAGGCATCAGTGGAAGGAACAACCCACTCGGTATATAATTCATGCAGTGATTATAAGCAAAATTTGCACCATCACATATTAGGTTTGAGCGGGAGACGTTTGACTTTGTCTGATAAAGCAGTTTTCATCCACCGGAAAAAATAGCGGAAGTTCTCTTGTTGTTTTTTCCTTCGAGTTATTAAAGTGAGGTCACAAAACAAAATTTTCTACTTCATGAATATGTAGTAAATTTATTTTACAATCCTGGTAGTTTGGTTATGCAATTTGAAATCGGTTAAAGGCGACTTGAATTTGAGAAATGTATGTTACTTTACATATCCGTGTGGAAGAGCAGTTGGCCTTTTCCGACTGGATTGACTGGTGCGTAGATACATATATATACTCGTTGCGCTAAATAACCAAGTTTGTCTGATTACGAACCTTATGAAGTTTTAGAAATTTGTCAAATGATCCAGATTTAAAGCACATCCTACCAATTGATGCGGAGGGGATCGGATTGTACAGCAGTGTTCGCGATTGGATATTGCTATTGTAAGTGAAAAGGACTTACGAGAACAGACTACCGGTATATAAATATGCATCGGTACCAAACGTGGTGAATGGTTTCAGCTTTTGGGGAAATGTGTGGGAACATTAATATTGTAGTAATTAATCGATTTTTGTGGATTTCTTAACTTTGTGGGTGTAGCATGAGCAGTTGTTGAACGATCTTGGCTAAATGATTCTGAAGTAAATCGGCGAAAAACTACAAAGGACAGCGGTATAACAGTAATTAACAATTAAATTTAAAGGTTTATAAGGGTCTGAGTCACCGCCAAAGCGCGGGCCGCAAGTCTTTATGATAAAGACTTTATCGCAGCATACCGGCAGAACTTGCTGTATGCTCATGCTCATTGGCCAACATTGACCACCGTTCATCACGTTGGCCACGCCTGCTATGAAAACCGTGAGAGCGAACCGGTTTGCAGTCTTTTAGTGCAGGCGGAATCAGTTGCGCTTTTTTAAATTCAGTTTCAAAAACTGATGTGAGGACTGATTTGTAGAGTAAAATTTTGTGGTTATTGCGAGACTTTTCGTACTATGGCCGAGCTGCCGTATAATTATAAGTGCAAAGCTGCGGGATGTGCGTGCAGCATCCCGTCCCGGGATGAGATTGATCTTTCGTTCGCGACACAAGGGAATACAAAATGCAGGTGTGATCATTACGTTGGAATCCATCACCTGATCAACAATGTGGAACCACAGGTCAACCAGATGGTCGTTTCTCTTGCCGGACGTTCCGACAACCAGCGCGAAGCGGGAGGGATACAGAACGTTACCGGCAGTGTGGGTCAGCTGTCGACTGCTGCAGCAGTGATACCATCCGGGAATGCTGCACTACCATTGTCTGGAGGGCCATACCGCACTGTGCAGCCCGGTTTCGGTACAACTGGAATGCAGCGACCGGGAATGGTCCACCAACCTCAAGTCCAACGAGGATTGTCGATTGGGGAAATCAGCAGCGGTGTGCAAGGATTCCCGGGAAATCGACCAGGTGGAATCAGCGGCGGTGTGCAAGGACTGCCGGGACATCGGCCAGGCGGATTTAGCGGCGGTGTGCAAGGACTGCCGGGACATCGGCCAGGCGGAATCGGCTATCCGCATGCTGCGTCTTCGCCGCCGATGCCACGACCGGCACGTGGTGGGCGTGCTCGCGGTAGCTTACCGAAGCGACAGTGCATGGATAGCTTTCGATCTCCGGCAGGCGGACAGTCGGCATCAATGGGTGGACAGTTGGCATCGGGAGATATAATGGAAATACCTCGGATGAACTGGAAGTTATACGTGAAAGTGTATTGCTTCCGCTTGTTGGAAGGCAATGTTATTCCAAACAAAAGAATGCGGTAAGATCGAAAAAACAGTATCAGAATTAATGTCCTTTTCGGTCTCTTTAGTGTCCACTTATCTGTTAAATTTCAGAGAGGATCAAGCGGAGATTGATTTCATGAAACATGCTGGGCTCATTAAGCAAGTCGTATTTGAAGAGCTTAGCGGTGTGCATATTGCGGCAAAGATTTCTCAAGAATTTTGCGCAGAACTTCGTGGCCGTAATTGGACGTTACTGACCCGCGTATTTGTGAACGGAAAGTTTGATGGACATCATCTGCATCCGTCCTATTTAGCAGTTACGTCGCCATCGTGGAAGATTGCAGATATGTACGTGTATAAACGTTGTTGCTCTAATAGCCGTTGAAGCATGAATTTGAAAAAATGGGCAAAATGGTTTACATGATGACATAATCGTGTTCCGTGCAATTTTTGTATTTTACTAGGTTTACCGAAGAGCCACCAGTCCACGAAGCCTGCCGGAGAATGTTAATTGCGCCAGCGGAAGGCACCATCACCATTCCATGGGAAACAATTGTTGGATATGCAAATGTAATAATTTTGAAAACTATATGCAACTGTATGTCGCTGTTTAAATTAATGTCTTTTGCAGTCATTGGGCAAAACTGTCAGTGAGTTGGGATTGCGCGAAATAACTGGTAAATGAAAAAATGCACCGGCAAGAGGTTTTGTGTATTTTTATTCCTAACCATGCTACCGTTTAGATGATGGATTCGATGATTGCCAGCCATCGACTTCTGGCCGCCGACAGCCGTCGCTACCAGTGGTGGCTGAACGCCAGCGTTCTGCCCAGTTACCTCCCATTGAGATGGATGAATCACCATTATCCTCGCCGGTTCGCCGTGTACGAAATTCTTTTGGTGTGCATACATCAGTTTGCCGTGTCGGGGAAACCAATCGCGTCTACACCATTGATAGCGATCCGGAGGATATGAGCAATAATTCCAGTGAAACGTTGAAAGCAAACGATGCCGACTCAGAAGTGATTGATATTTTTGGCGAAGACATCAGCGAAGAAAGGCCATTGAAGGTGTGATGCGCTTTTAATTTACACAAAAGATGAACCCAAAATTATTCAAAATGTTTGTAATTGCAGTTTATGAAAGTTGATGATTTCCCTACGCATGAACAGGGTGAAGTTTTGTCAATTGATGGCGTTCGCTCAAGCCTTTGTTTCAAGGTGACAAAAAACGTTCCCATGTATAAGTCGGGTATTGTCTTCGTCTGGATCTCGGCAAATACAAACGCAAAGAATGTGGAGAATTTCATCAAGTTTTACTGTGACAATGCTGACAGACTGGCTGTCAGCGGAAGATTTGAAGTGCAAATGGGCGAGTAAGTGCAAATGGGCGAAGGCATGTTAGTTTTGCGGCTTTTAAATAACATGTAAGATACGTCTTCTCTTTCACATTGATCTGACCGATCTTAATTTTTTTGTTAATTGCGATTTGCCACTCGCATCGGATTTTGAGAGAAGTTTATTGTTTAGGGCGTCGGACTGGGATGGGCCATTTAAAGAATGCATCACAATGATGCTGGAAGCCTTTCGGCACTACGTTTTACCGGATACTGGCACACCTGGCACACCAATGTTCGAGAAAGAAGGCAATGTGACCCTGATAACTTCGGTTTTCATTGTTACGAAAGACGGACAGTCAGCTCTGAAAGCGTTTGGGTATCTGCTGCGGTTGGCGATCATTCACAGCTGTCCGTATCCAAACTGGTTCAATAATTCTGCCATTCGTTACGCACTGGACTTGCCAATCGACGTGAACGATGTGTATCTGTTCAGCCCGGGAGTGCGTGATATTATTCAAGGAATCCTACACGGCACGGGTGAAATTGTTTGGGGAAATGAGGCGGCGCTGCGTTACTGGGCAGAGCACAATCCGAAATTTCCGGTAAAGCATGGCAGCAGTAATCTTAAAAGGGTCATTGCGCATTTGAAAAAGTGTCGTTTTGCAGACAGTTGCCTTACTGTCACAAGGCCGAGAAAAATTTTGTCAGTTTATGGCGGAATTTGAACTTATCGGCAAAAGAGTTTTCAATTTGAAGCATCTCTTGGATGGATTATTGGCCGGTGCGATGGCGCAGGCACGTTTGTTCCATTTTAACTATTACATAATTTAATTATTAGATTTACGCTAAATGTAGTGTGATATGGAACTACTGTTAAATCATAACGTTCTTTCATAACGTTTCTAATTACAGGAATTTATGAAAGTTAGAGCCGAATGGAAATTCATCGAACTGTGTGTCTATCGCTACTTGACGCCAGAAGACGATCTACTGGAACAATTTGTGCCTTATGACGAAGAAGGTGCAGATCCTACGCGAGTTGACGAGGAAGTGGAGATGATGAACTGGCTGGACGATATTATCAAGCAAGATCTTAGTTTCAATGAGCGTCGAGAATTTCTCCATTTTATCACTGCTTCATACTCTATCCCGGCTGATCCTTTAATCCAGGTGGTGTTCACGGACCGCCGAAATGGAGGACGTCGCCCAGTGGCATCAACCTGCAGCAATAAATTGACGCTGCCAACTGGCTGTCCTTCTAAGGAAAAACTATTGGAAATGGTGCGCGAGTGCATCGCATCTATGGGCAGTTCGATGTCTGGACTGATGCAGTTGAAGTGAATTCGAGGTCAGCTAAATCTGTAACCATATGACGGAAGGTTGCGGAATAACGGAATACTCGTCAGATATGGGAGATGTTGAATTGGAATAAGTCGTCTTGGGATGCTGTACAAGCTGTTTCGATAACGCCGCGAAATGGGTGGTTATGTAATGAGTTTCTTAGAGACAACATTTTCTATGATTAGTAAACTCTTGCGAAGTTATGCACAGGCGATGCAGTGAAATGAGACGGTACTGTAAAATTCATGTCTTATTCTTGTTAATTTGAACTCGAAGCCGTATTTATGAGCATTTTGAGTGCTTCTGAGCTGCTGACATTTTACTTTCTGCGTATGGTGTTGATGAAATGCCTTCCGTTATTCGACCAATATTTTTGCGATTACTGTATGGTTGACTGCTACTTTCATGTTTAAGTGCCGCAAGGCGGAATTTACATTATCAATAAAAACATAACAGTTTAATGCTCATCTAGCGCTAAGGTTACGTTAAAAAATTTACTCACACCCGCACTCTCAACTGAAGATCAAAATAAAGGGAAAGCATGTAATATCGATGCGCATCTGTCCACCAGAAATGCAAACAGCGCCGCCAAAAGTGCCAGTATAGCGACCGTTACGATTGCAGTCGCAGATTGCTAATACTTGCACATTTCCTAAAACGAAAAAGGTGTCCTCTAGTAAAAAAATAATGCCCGTACCCTGGACGTCCGGGAAATAATGCGATAAGGTCATGCCTCCAATATAGCTACATCATATGCTTGTTCTTTAAAGCTTTTACGCTGCTCATCCCGGCGGTGGGTGTGTACACGGTGGCCCTGACACCCAGGACGTGGCAGCAAGTGCGTCGGCGCTCGGGGAAATTTGTAAGATGAGTGCGTCAGGAATGCGTTAATCGGTTGAGTGCAGTGATTGCTTTTTTTCTAGTTTGTAGTAGATTAACCACAGTAGCTGCAATACCGATTTGGAAATGAGCGACGAAGAAGAAGTGTAAGCGACAGCTGTTGTTAAAACAGTGTAGCACTGCGAGTTTAGCTATGTTGTAGCCAAGAATCCGATGCGGATGAAAAATATCGCGGAAGGAACAAAGGAAATGTGAATGTTTGGAAGAAACGCAGAACTAAGGCGCACAGGTGAGGATTAACTTTATTCCTTATTATTCTTTTGCATTTGTACTAAACTGCGCCAAACAACAACTGAAAAAACTGCGCCAAGCAGCATAGAAGTACCGGTATTTGGATGCATAATTTTCGGCATTATGTTACGATCCTCCGTCGTGACAGCATGCGCGTGTATATATTGTACATCTAATTGCAACGCTGTTCTAGACCAAGACGATCGAAGTCATCTCCGAAAAAGCCATCCCCGCTGAAGCGTAAGTCATGTCCTGCTCAACGTGCAACACTGAAGCAAGAGCCGCAGCTCACTTGGTATTTACTCCTTTTCTTCGTGCTTTGATGGCTTTTTCGGTTGAATTGTCGTTTTTCCTTTAAGGCCGACAAAACCCGTATGTCCCAAATCCGCTGGAATATTTCCACGCAAGTATGCAACTATTGTACCCTGTGATGAGTCTTTTTTTAAATTAAGTTTGCCGATGTGAAGCATTGCGTGAGCTGGCAGTAGTTATGATCGTGTTATATGGAAACTTTTGCAGGAGTATGTTAAAGCCGAGCGCCAGCGATTTCAGTTTGTCCTCTTCGACGTCCAGTGAAACTGATAATGTGGATGTCGTGGAGGAGAGAAGGTAAAATTGGCCTGTAAATGCTGGCGTTCTATCTGGCTTGCGAACGTTGAATTACTTAACATGCGTTAATCTGTACTGTACAACTGGGAAAAATCAGAACCCAGAATCCAGCGTGCATGATAAAATACTCCGTGAATTGTACAGAAAACTGCTAAAAAATGAATAACGAATGCTCACCTGTAGCTATGATTTTCCATATATTTCTTCGTTGGGTATTTCGACGGGTTTCAAACTTTTCAGACCAACGCATCAGACCTGTCATAAAAGTTGCGGAGGCGTGAAACCGCACACGTACGTAATGGAGATTTGGAGGTGTCATTCTAGAGTAGTTGCGCCAATATTTGTATGGTTGTTTTATGTTCTGCTTGCAGGCAAGACGAACTAATTGGCCGGCGCGAAGGCGAGAACGATGATGATACCGGAACCGTAAACACAAACGGAAACGAGTATCCTAAACCGGCAAATCAGGCAAGTGGGGTTGCGTTATTCAGATTGAAATTGCGTTATTGGTTATTTTTCGAGTCCGAAAGGCTGAAAGACTAGCAGCGTTTTGTTGTTCTGTAAATTAACGGAATCGTACAGTATAAATCATGTAATCATTGCCGTGCTGCTCACAGCAGCTCCTTTGATATTTATGTTTTCTATCTACAAGGCTATTATGGAACCGGATGTTGCGTCCAAGGAAGCGGCCTCGCGGGGACAGGGAGCGTCGTCGAATATAGGGCGTATGGTCATTCACGGGATCAACGCTGGAGGAAAATCCAATTCGTCAGGGGGAAGCCGGCGGGGAGGCACCCAAAGTGGTAGGGGGGCGCGCCGGCCCGTGGACGAGCTGGTCGGAGTACGGCAGCGCTGCCGCGTCGACAAGCAACCAGCAAGAAACCCTGCTGTTAATCCGCACTCTCATTAGCATTTATGCGGGAGATGATCCTTCTTATCTGCCGTGTTGCGATGACAGGCTGATTTGGATGCATGCACGAGTATGTTGTGTGCGTTGCAGTTTTGAAATTTTGAGTGCTTTTAGAATGAATGCTTGCTTGCTTTTCTGAATGCTTTTGATCTTTCATGCGCATTTCTATGTTTACTTCTCCCAAATATTTTCAGTATTATTTTTTAAAATTTTTCCCAATCATTTATACGTTATGTTTTCTGTTTAGCCTGTTTCTCGATGGTTTTCGGATTTATTGTAGAACTGGTGGCATGAACTTTCGTTTTGTGGTGTCTCAACAATAAAATTTTTGTGAATGGTTCTCATCTCAATGCAGTTGTCATTCATCTAAAATAGTCCAACTTACACAATTTAGTAACTTTTCACACGATAGGAAATCCACCCTTTCCGCGACAAAACAAATCCAGATTCCAGTCAAATTTAAACTGAGATTGACACACAAGGACTGCGACATTCTCACCGTAACACCGCGACAAACTCACCACTACCAGAAAAAAGATTTTGAATCATCCACCTATGGCAAAGGTCACTTCAGACGTGTCGCTGGATGGCGGCTTCCAGCATCCTGGCGTTAGATCCTTGGAACCGATCGATAGCCACTCCATTCTTGATAAAGACAAAGGTGGGCTGCATATATACAACAAAGGTCGCTATAACGGAAAGTGCACAGTACGGAATGCGACCGGAGCAACACGCAAAGCTTGATAAAAATCTAAAACCGAAGCTTAATCTGTTTACGAAAAACTTAAACTTAATCTGTTTGAACTTCGAACCAACTGCGGCCATTTCATGCATTTAAACCTATAAATTGTGTTCTTCGTGTAAATAATAATTCGCAATTCACGATTCCATTCTTGATCACAGGAATTTAGTCCTAACAGAACAAATTGTACTTACGTTTTAAATAAACTGTACAGGGTACACAAACCATCGACCTAAAACGGCAATCGCACACTCACAGTGGAAGTCACGCCATACTCAGGATGGATATCGCCCGTCTTGTCCAGGTCCACCTTGACGAACTGGGCATTGTTGCCGTACTTCTGAGCCATCTCCTCGTAGGCAGGGGCGATCTTCGTGCAGTTGCCGCACCAGTTGACGTAGAATTCAGCAATGATGAGGTCATTCCGCGCTGTGCTTAGAAGACGCTCCATGCTACCCCTCGACTGGATTTGCTGCGGCCTAAGTAGGCATCAATTTTGAAGGGCGCGTGAACATACGCGAGTAAGAAAAAAACGGTATTCAAGCCCGATCGACACGGCAAAAGTCTGAAAGGTCAAAGGTAAAAAACGAAGCCGCGATGAGTTCTGGCGCACACAGAGTACTTACGTATTGTATTTATATTGCGAACTTCTTTAATTTTACTATCATAAGAAATGTAGTTTTTATTATCATAATAAAATTATCATAATTATCATAATTGTCTTCATAAGAACATGAAACACACGCCATAATATCACCGCTTTCGCACACAGCGAAACTGCAGTGCGACTGCTTATGGTAACATTACTTTACATTCATTCAGAGATCACTGTACGATTTTTTTTTTTTTCGTACCATTTTTTCAACTTTTTTCAACCAATTTTGTTGCCCTTATCTGGCTTGTGTTGAATTGTACATCCTGAACTTTTCCTGTTTATAGCATCTTTCGTTCATACTACGGAGCTAAAATAATAACTATCACAAAAAATTATTAACATCGAATTCGTCGGCAGATACAAAAAACATCATAAGTTACAAAAATTAAGGGAAATAACATATTAAGATCGTCCATTCATGTCCGCGTCCGAACGCGTGCTAATGACGAAGGGGACGGCGAAGGAACCGACGACGAGGGAGAGTCAAATGGTTTCCGCTTTTTCAAACCAGCTATGAACTTGAACGTCGTCTGACACGTCGAGCACCTCGGACTGAAGGCACAGAAAACTACAAAGTACAGAAAAATTAGCAAAACAGCGTATATATATTCACAGTATCACGACAGAAGTAAATGATTCTTAACATGAATCACATTCATAAAATTTAAATCGTCTTCGCAATAACTTCCACTTACCGGAAAGACAAGCGGAACACACCCAACCAACTTCAATAAGCTTCTGGTGACAGAAACACGCTGCACGATAATCCACTTGGACTTTCTCGGGAATCATCATCTTACTCCGTTCGCTGGCATCAATGACGAATAAACTAAGTGGGCAACACATAATACTTTGGCATGGTAAGGGTAAATCCAGATGCTGTTTAAATACTTCAGTTCACACCACATTAAGATTACGATATAAACGACTGTATTAATTTGTGTACGACAATTACGACTGTATTTATGTACCGATCGCGGAGCCAGCAACTGTACGAGCACAGATAGAACAACCAACATATCGAACTTTTTTGTATTGGCTTTTACCCTGACCCGATAAGTATCGATTTGAAAAATATCAGAATAAACAAGGGTAGCAAAATATGCCTGCATAACATGAATGTATTATTATAATTAAGGCGTATATTGAGAAGCTGCACCAAGCCGCCGGGATGTTCCACTTTGAAATAAATTCCACCGGTCAGATCCACAGCTTGTTGCAAAAGTATCGAATCATCGCCAAGTATGCAGGCATCAGTCTTTACATTCTATACGAGTACAAAACATCATCAATACAAATCTCGAAACAAGGGGATCACAAAATTACACAAAGATTAGTCGCAAATTTGCAATACTCTAGACTCGTATCATTTTCTGTGCGGTGAATATTGAATTGATAAAATGCATGTAATGGGATGAACTATCCAGGCCGGTTTCAATTACCTATCAGAAAACCACTAAATGAGCTTCTGCCAAGACACAAATACAAAATGCGATACTAATGGTATGGCTAGAAAACCACAACCGCTTACCACTATTCGCGCTTGAACAGACCGGCCTTTTGGTGCTTCTCGCTGAGCGCGATGTACGTCTGTAATGACAAGCATCGTTATTTTGCGATTATTATAAATTACTTAAATCTATGGAATGCTAATTAGAAGGACTGTACGGGTACGTATATTACTTCAACATTGCAAAATATGCAAGTTTGATGAGATGATTGAGAAACGCTCTAGGAAATTCTTTAAAAAAAAGCGCTTCAACAATTAAACCGATGCATTTTAAATTGTTTCAATGCAAAACAAATCAAAAAGCGCGCAATTGGCAACACCTTACAGCAAAGAGATCGCGATAAGGCGCCGACGAAAACGCTTTCCCGCGTGCGAAATGCTTTCGGTCGGATTTTTGGCGAATATTGTAATACTCCATCAACTGCTGCCGCTCGATGCCTTCCATTTCTTTACTTCCCAAACGAAAAAAATTCCCAACAGATTAGAAAACTATCCAGACAACTAAAATTCATTCCAGAAAGTTCCAGAAAATTCATTCTTAAAAAAACACGTTTACAAATTCAGAAAAAACTGAAACGCGAAAAAATGAATGGCTGGTAAACGTTGACACACTGATCCTGCTGTTTGGTGGGCCGAACAGTGTTTGGTGAGCCGAACAGATCATAACTGAACTCTGAAAAGTGAAAATTTTTTTAAGTCCACGAAAACCACGATTTCGTGTTTCATGGTTTACAGTTTACACTTTACAGTTTCAAGTTCTACGATTCTGAGTTCTGAGGTTTACGATTCTGAGTTTTGAGTTTTACGGTATTGTGTTTTGAGTTTTACGGTTTTGTGATTTACGTTTTACGGTTTTGTGTTTTACGTTTTACGTTTTAGTGGTCTGAGTTTTAAGTTTTAAGGTTTACGGGGGTGAGGTATTTGGTACGCCATATTTCAGGACACTCTACAACGAAGTAAGTACTTACACTCATTCATTCAGGGATTCTTTGGTCAGTTCATTCAAACTTTCGAAGTGCTTTCTATGAAACAACATTATCGGATTATAGCAAGAAGCTTAATTAAAATTATTATCGTACTCATTACTTACGTAGGTACTATGTTTTTGGTATAATTTATAACCTACCCCAGTTTCTGCTCCAGGAAACTAAGTTGCACTTCAACTGGTTCGCGCTTTACATTGGTAATGCTTGTCTAGGGTAGGTAGCAAAATATCTGAGGATTCTGAGCCCTGCCCATGGGCCAAGACGACTTATTCAGTTATCCTGCCTAATGATTCGGACTGGAAGATTTCTGCTTGAGAATACCGAAGAAGGCAAACGATACGGCAAAAAAACAGGAAAGACACGTACAACGAAGTGTCTGCAGTTGTACACCAGCGAAGCGGCACAGAAATCCAACATGGGAACGCGGCTTCTATCATGAGAACAACACCGATTTCAGCTATTTGTTTTTCAGAATTACGTTCTCGGATGTGATTCGGCCGCCTACTCTAAACATTTTAGCTGTAGCTCAATGCTGTGTGAATCACTGGGATCAATGATGAGGTTCGAGCGGAATTATGACATCAAATATGATAACTAGTTCTTATATCCCAGATTTTCAATTACCTGCCATTGCACGCACTATTTCGTAGCGGTTAATTTTTTATGCAGGCAAAGCGACTTCTGCTATGGTCACCAAATTGTTTGATTGTGGTGATCTACGTAGTAAGTTCATCTTTATGTTGTTCTTCCAGTACTTGTAGTACATAATACTACATATATAGATATACAACCTGAAGATGTATCCGCATTCTGCAATCCACATATGCGCCTCACAATAAAACGATCGGCTTTGTCCGCAGCTATTATGGTGCGTGCCGCGTGGTGATCTGTTTCTGAACCCTGCGGCAACTGCTAAGCTGTCTCCTGACTAAGCGGCTGTCCACACTCCACCTGGACTTCTTGGTGGTTGTTCCGCGTTGACGAATACCTATATAGAAACAGTTGACGAATACCTATAGAAGTATAGATACAAATTTACGTACCACGACTGTATGCCTCGTTATGTGGAGGGTCCGTACCGAATAAAAAGCGGTATACAGTACGTAGCTATTTACGATTAGCTCGAACTGCTATCCACATTTGGGACGTACTACATTGTACATAATTATATCGAAACCGTTACCAAAAGTAGATTTCTACACCTGTAACTTTAGATTCTGACGTCTTTTAGCAGGAACACATTATAGTTACTTATTATGCAATAACGCTACGTATAGATTAGCAGTTTGTGACGCCTTTGATGTGTTTCAAAATTTTTGATGGAGCTACCGTACAAACATAATTGTTGCACTTATTCTGGTGTTGACTAGTGTTTGCAGAACTTTTGCAGCGGAAAAATAGGATTTTCAGAACCCGTTTCACCTTAATTAGGATTGACAGGTGTTAGTTACTATCCAGCGGTCAGTACGAGTTTTTAGGTCCACCATAATGATTTTGCTGGCTCTTGTTATTGGAAAATTACATGTTTTGTTAGGTGAAATTTACCAAGAACTTATGGACCAATGGAGTTTTACAAGTACAAAAGAAAGTTCTCCAATACTGGATGCGCTTCGATTTACCGGTGCATGTAAAAGTGGCTGTTTCTAATCTAGGCTTTCATTTTTCATGAAACTTTCAATATAATACGCAGATTATTCGGGGTACTTCATGCTTAATACAAAATTTTCACTGAGACCATTTTCGATCTGCTCAAAGTAAACCATTTTCGATCTGCTCAAAGTGAACACAGTACAGTACGAGTCTATATTAGCGCGCAAGATATAGAAAACTAGCTGTTGACTCGCTACAATTTGTACTGCGTTTTATCAATTTTTTACGATTGCTATGAGCTAGTGCAGATTTTATTGCGCAATCAAAACATTAAACCACCATAAAATTTGTGCGAAGCCTGATAATTGAAGGATCGATAGTAGCTTCTGTATCCTTATTGAAACAGCTGTCAAGTCTAGGCTGGTAGGCGGCAAGGTTGTTTTACAACACTTGTTAATTTTTACCAAAAATTCGCGCATCAATTGATACTGTACCGTGCGCGTAAAGTTGAAAATCGCTTCGCCCCAAGCGCTTAAGCAAAAATCAACATGCTATGATTCTCGAATCTACATAAATGCGCTTAACCCATAATTCCCGTTTTTGTGAAAATCAGAAAATTAATAGGAGACCAGTTTAAATAATTTCTGGTTTTCTATTAGAACTGGTGCTCTGTGTCAATGCACTACTCCATTGTAACTTTTGTAAGTACGTGTAGCAATAAATTAAAATTAAGCTTATGGTGAGTAGGATTATTTAGGGGTATGCAAAACCAATAACTGTAAAAGGTAAGTACGTGTGTTTAATACGCGTAACTAGCCGGCACGCGTATGTACAGTAAGTGAGAGCGACAGTCTGTACCGAAACTGAACAACTGCAGTACAAAATAGTTGCGAATTTTGTTATTGTTCTAGCCGATGTGGGACACAGTACCGATACCGTTCTTTTACCAATAGGCTTGGCACTTCGTGCTCGCGGTCCGCTACAATTCTCAGGAGCATGATGTGACTTTTTGATCTGTGGAGCTGCAGTACGATACTTGTAGAAGCATTAGTGGCACTCGTGAAGACACGTGCGGTTTGGATAGACCGTTGTCCAGCGTGAAGGTTCGTGATCGAATTTAGCTGTGTTTCCTTCTGTGGTAATAATCTGTGGCTTGTGAACGTAATTTATCAAACTTTATGATCTTATTCACGTCAGATCTTTAGCAGTTAACACAAATATAACGTTATGGCAATATCGCAATATACGGATATGGTCAGATTTGCCTAAAATGGACTGATTTTGACTGTTTCTTACTCAGAATTTTTTTCTGAATCGAATAAGCCGGGACAGGAACGGATCCGAAGTCACGTGACTGACTACGGGCTAATTTGCCTATTAGGTGCTTTGTTATAGTTTTTGTATGGAATACCTTTGATAAGCACACGTTTTATAGCTAATTTTGTTCAGAAAAAAATTCTGAATCGAATGATATATGAATCGCGTGGATGCAAGATCACGTGACTAAGTTCTGAATTTAATATCGATTTATTCAATCATTTTCTGGATTTAAGGAGTTTAATACTTCTTTTCTGCTAATGACGTCATATATAAGTCATAAATGACACGGTCGACTCAGAAATTTTTTTCAGTCGTAAAGGTCAAGCTAGGTCTCAAAGGTCACTTGACTGAAATACTGAAAATGGTTACAATTAAATTATAGTTACTTACGCGGTAATGCTATTACTTAGCCAACTATTTTCTCGCAAGATATTTTAGGTTTCTCAAACTGTTTCTTTGTTCACACTTCACAGCTAGGTGATTCGCTTCTTTAATCGAGATATATGGGCTGGTTACAGCCAACAGCACTTACCCCTTCTTTTAAACGAGATATCAACCGGTTACCGCCCACAGTAATGTTTCTCCTTTCTTTAAACAAGACAGAAAAAGTAACACCCCACAGCAGTGTTACTCCTTTCTATAAACAAAACAAGAAGTAGCATCTTTAACCAATGTTACTCCTTTCTTTAAGCGGAACAGAAGTAACACCCCAAGAAATGTCACTCCTTTCTTTAAACCAGACAGAACTAGTAACACCCCACTGCAATGCTACTTCCTTCGTTAAACGAGACAGAAGAATTAACACCCCACAGCAGTGTTACTCCTTTCATTAAACGGGACAGAAGAAGTAACAACTCACAGCAATGTTACTCCTTTCTTTAAACGAGACAGAACTAGTAACAGCCCACAGCAGTGTTACTCCTTTCATTAAACGGGACAGAAGAAGTAACAACTCACAGCAATGTTACTCCTTTCTTTAAACGAGACAGACCCAGTAACAACCCACAGCAGTGCTACTCCTTTCTTTAAACGAGACAGAACTAGTAACACCCCACAGCAATGCTACTTCCTTCGTTAAACGAGACAGAAAAATTAACAACTCACAATACTGTTACTCCTTTCTTTAAACTTTCTTTAAACAAGACAACTGGTAACACCCCGCAGCAGTGTTACTCCTTTCATTAAACGAGACAGAAGAATTCACAACTCACAATAGTGTTACTCCTTTCTTTAAACAAGACAGAACTAGTAACACCCCACAGCAGTGTTACTCCTTTCATTAAACGAGACAGAAGCAGTAACAACTCACAGCAATGTTACTCCTTTCTTTAAACGAGACAGACCCAGTAACAACCCACAGCAGTGCTACTCCTTTCTTTAAACGAGACAGAACTAGTAACACCCCACAGCAATGCTACTTCCTTCGTTAAACGAGACAGAAAAATTAACAACTCACAATACTGTTACTCCTTTCTTTAAACTTTCTTTAAACAAGACAACTGGTAACACCCCGCAGCAGTGTTACTCCTTTCATTAAACGAGACAGAAGAATTCACAACTCACAATAGTGTTACTCCTTTCTTTAAACAAGACAGAACTAGTAACACCCCACAGCAGTGTTACTCCTTTCATTAAACGAGACAGAAGCAGTAACAACTCACAGCAATGTTATTCACAAAACAGAACTATTAACACCCCGTAGAACCAGTAGCAGTGGCTGTAGCACCCCACAGCAATGTTACTCCTTTCTCTAAACGGAACAAAAGAAGGATCAACTACAGGGAATATTACTCCTTTCTTAACGAGACTGATGAATAGTGGCACCCCAGGTTTGCTTTTGATTTCCTGGACTGTACACGAGGTTTAACCACAGATTCTAGTTCATTCTTCACTTTCTCCAGGTAATTCTTTTAGTTTTTATTGTATTCTTATTTGGTCTCTTTCTGGTTTCTGATGGTAGTTTCTGGTTTTTGAAGTTCTTAGGGTTTCTTTCTTAGGTAACACCGTAACGCAATATGCTGTTTTATATTAGCGGTGGTTTCTTAGGTTTTTAGAGTTCTTTCTCGGGAAGCCAAGTTACTGTTTCGCGCTAGCGGTGCTTTCTTAGGATTTTCTTAGGTAACTTACTTTACTGGTTACGCTTCTTACGATTTATTTTGGCGTGGTTTTTCAGGTTTCTGACTTTTTTAGGATTCTTCAGTTTGTTTGGTTTCTTGTTTCCATGCACCGCAAATTGCTAAAAGTGAATAACTTGCTATTACAAGCCGTACTGACCAATGACCTTTGGATGACCCTATCGTGATAAAAGGTCACGAGCTTTCGACTTAAAAAATTTAGTCGATTGACGTGCATTCGTGACGTCATACGAACCTTCTGTCAAAACCACCACAATAACAAATTGCCAATAACAGGCAAAAAATGCATAAGTTGGTCACGTGACATTACATCCGCATGAGTTATATATCATTCGACTCGGAATTTTTTTCTGAGCCAAACAAGCTATGAAATGGCCACTTTTGTTTGAAAGTTCCTGAAAAAGTTATAGCAAGGCACCTTTATGCAAATTAGCTTGGAGCTCAGTCACGTGACTTCAGAACCATTGTTGTCCCGGTCCATTCGACTCAGAAAAAAATTCTGAGTTGGAAACATAAAGGATCAGTCCATTTTATGCAAATCTGGCCATATCCGTATATTGCGATTTTACCAATGTTATCAGCGTAATAGTAAGATTATTCGTACAGTATTTTGAAGGTACTCGTAGTTGTCCTTCGTCAGAAAATATGCCGCGACTCCACAGCAGGCAGTTAGAACTTTTTTCGATCGTCGGGTCTTTCATTCGATGGTAACCGCAGGACGGCGCAGGTTCGCAGCACTGACAGCTTGAGACGTAAAATACACGTTGTCCAGCTGCATGCGCACTTGCGCAGTATAAAATCAGTTAAATCCATTACAAAATCAGTTAGATCCATTACTGTATAAAATCAGTTAAAGCATAACTACAACCTGATGTCAGTTTTGCAGCGCCTGAAATCTCTATACACATGGTTATACTTAAAATTAAATCGTATAGCATTTCTCCGTTCTCAAGAGCGTCTAATTTTGGAATTTTAGTGTACTTATCGAATACTCTGTATGTGCACATAGTGGTGCGCGAAAACTGCTGCTCGGGCTTTTTATCCTTTTAAATCCAAGGGTTTGATTAGTGCTAATTACTAATTACTCTACAAGAGCTTCGGAAAACACCGCCATAATATTGTTACCGTAACATAATTTTAAACAGCTGATATCATTGAATCTTAGGTTAGACGCACCAGGATGGTTTGCGGCGTCTACAGCAATAGCATATAAAGTGCTGCTTAAATCAAAATGCTCGCATGCGAAATTCACCAAAAACGCGCATATCTTTGTGCCGTTAATAAATAAATATTGTACTCGTGTACGTAGCTAATGTAAAACATAACGAGTACTACATACATACTCCAGGTACATGCAGATTATTATGATCCCTAATTTGTTTTTAATAAATTTACTAGGCCATAGATCGCGTGCAAGGTGCCACCAGGAAAGTTCTGTAACAGTCTTTAATAATAGTTAAACTTTAGCAATGCTAAACCAGTTTTATCAGAATCGCGCGGCTTGTGCGAGCGATTTTGGGCCTTGCTTTAAAAATCTGTTTTGAAGACTTTCTGCTTCCATCGGATCCTTAAGGCATAGTTAAAGTGATCGTAAATAATATTTTCATGGATTATTTATTATGCATATAAATCACTTCTTAAACGAAAACTCATGTACGGCTTCCATTACTAATTTCCGTCATGGCACGCGCTGTACTGAATGCCGTTAACTAACCGGTAGGAGTCGGTGCTCACAATTTGTAATTTGTCAGTACTACTTACTGCACAACCAGTTACACTACTCAGTATTGTTTTAATGTGCCGCAATGGAGCAGTAATTACCGCATAATAACCAACCGCATCGCCATGAATATTGTAGTCGAAGACATGGCCTCTGGTGCAACAGAATCTGGCCAGCACAGCTCCGCTAACAATAAGCATGCCAAAAAACGCTTCGTCGGTTATCCCATTTTCCTCGATATCAAAGATAAAATCCTGCTCAAGCATGGTCCAGAAGTGGAGCATCCGACCAGGATGGAGCAAATGCTTAAAGCTATCCAGTGTCCACCTCATGGACGCGTTGCATACAACATCACCAAAATTGCCGCTGTCGTTTTCACCTGGTTAACTGTCATTACACTCCTGAAAAAGCAAGCGTTACCCGGAAGCAACTTTTGGGGATTATGCATCGTTATAATGGGCGCAATGGTAGGAGGGGAAATCGTTAAAAAATTGCGACTTCCAGAATTACTAGGTACGATTGTTACTGTTTGATGCGAAGAACTGCACTAAGAAGATACGTGCAAATCTTCATACTCTCGTTTTCGCCCACAACAAGCACATCCAATCTACAGTCTGTTAATATTAATTGCTATTAGCATCGGTTAAAAAAACGAAAATACAGGAATAATAGTTAACGTTATCAGTGGTGATCGAAAGGCGAACGTGCCTTTATGTTGCCGGTTTACTACTATGGACGCGATAACTTGTTGCCAGATTTTTTTGTCATTATGTTTTTGTCATTTTATGTCAGATGTTTAATTATTTTCGTCTGCTACGGGTACTGTTGATGTATAGAGATGAGCATGCTAAATGATAATAAATTATTATGATTTACTTTGATAAGCATAAAACAGCTGGTTGTTCTGATAGGAATGTTAGTAGCTGGATTTATGCTGCAAAATATTCCTGGAATTAGCGTAGCGGCCCAGATATCTCCTGGCTGGTCATCCGCTCTTCGTAGCATTGCGCTAGTCATGATTCTAATTCGAGCCGGACTGGGAATGGATGTGATTGTGCTGCGTCGATTAAGCCGCAGCATTGCTATGCTGGCCTTCCTTCCGGCTACTATTGAATCCATCGTTGGAGCGGTTGCCATTCGTTATTTATTGGGATTCGAGTGGTTATGGAGTTTTGTGCTGGGCTTCCTTTTATGTGGCGTCTCGCCGGCTGTGCTGGTGCCTAATATGATTCTTCTGCATGAAATCGGCCTCGGCGTCGAAAAAGGTTTGCCCATTTTACTCATGGCTGCCGCATCCATCGAGAACGTATACGTCATTGTTGTGATGAGTGTTCTTATCAGTGCTGGATTTTCTGCAGGTACGAATACGAAGTGTGAGTTGCATGTTGAGAGCTTTATATATGATCAGCAAAGTGAAACTTGAAAACAAATTCGGAGATTCTTGAAATATTATTGGAACATGCAGTTGTTGTAAGAGTAGCATTTACGTCATCATTATTTTCCTTTCTATTTTACTCAATGACTTGAAGCAAAAATGTAAATTTTCGACAACATGATTTCTGATAACACTGCTGTGCACGTTGCAGAAGGAATAGGCATGCAGATTGCTTTGGCACCCATACAAATCGCAATCGGGCTGACCTATGGGATGCTTTTCGGAGTTTTGTTCTGGTATTTCCCACACGAAGCTCACGTGCGTAGTTAGTAATTCCGTGCAAAAACAATAATGTGTTTTTCAATATACTTTGATTGCCGTCTGACATTTTAGCCAAGGAAGGCAGATTACAGATTCATAATCTTACTGACCGCTGGAATAACAGCTGTTTTCGGTGGAAACGCTTTCGGCTACGCTGGCGCAGGACCTTTAGCGTGTCTTGTGATGGCTTTCATGGCTGGTATTCACTGGGGAAAAGCTGATCCTGTTTCATTAAAAGTGAGCACAAATAATACTCCACTCTGTATATTTTAGTAAGTCTTCTTTAGTATGTTAACGGTATCCGTCTGGTAACGTGTAGCACTTATAGATCGTTTCCGGAAAATTTGGGATATTGTGGAGATATTTCCAACCGGTTCTTTTCGGATTGATTGGAGCCGCTGTTTCCATATCCAAAATACAAGCTGATACGATCGGCAAGTGTATTTAGAAATTAGAATCAGTGCTCTAATTTATTTCAGTTTCCGCATTGGCGATACGCACTTTTATATATTTTCTATAAGAAATTTCTGGCATCCATGATCCTGCTAAGTACCAATAATTTATGAGTCCGTTAAAAGGCTGCAGCCGCGCGAATATATTGCTGCTAATTACTCTTGTAATTATACATTCAACCGCATGGTTTATCAGTCATGTTAACTATGTAGTCATGTTAACTGTGTTTGTATAAGTACTATTTTATGTCGTTTCTTGTGCCTTTTAGCATACGTTTAAGCTTACGCTCCTAGCTGAATCGTTAGGTCGTCCGTTAACAATTAATCTTACCTACAGTTTAAAGTTTCTTTGAGGTAACTTTCTTGGTTTAAACAGGATTAAGTATTGCGGTAATTTGCATTGGATCTACGGTGCGTTTCCTCGTTACGCTGTTCACCGTATCGTTCGCTGGGTTTAATTGGAAGGAACGTTTATTCGCGGCAATCGCATGGATTCCAAAAGCGACAGTCCAAGCGGCTCTGGGCTCAAGTGTGTATGATTACACAGTTTTCGCATTGGCAACTATTGCAGCTGGATCCGGACACGGTGGGACTGCTGCAGTTGACAGCACGTACATGCTCTCCGTTCAGAAAACTGGAATTCAGGTAAGAAATGCAGTATTTATTTCAATGTTTTCGTTCTTACTTACTAGGTCTGATGATAAAGGTTACTTTATGGGCTAGATTCTGACTACTGCGGTTCTCTGCATCGTTATAACGGCGCCGATTGGAGCGCTGGGAATAACTCTGACACAAAATCGACTTTTAGAACGGGCTTCTGCACCAGTAACCGCCAACTCCATCGAAAGGGAGCTGGAAAGCCAGTTTACTGCAGAACTTCCGAGACAGGAAAGCCGGGTGACATTAAAATTTGGCCGGGTCGATGCAACCACGCAGACTTTGTCTGAAACCGCTACGGATGCAAAAACAGAATAGCCACTGGCCCACTGTTGTGAAGTTGACCTTTGCTGATCATAATTTTGCTCACGTTTCCATAATTACATGTATATTTTAGGCATCAAATTCTCTTTCTCTGAAATAAATTTGGTATCAGATGAAGCTAGTACTATTTTTGTGCGTACAAAATCTTCGTTGCAATGGGTACGTTAATGCTCAAGAATATACTGTACGTAAATGTTAGTTTTCATGAATCTCTGATGTCCTTCGAACGCAGACACTGCGCTCTGCCATGATGATAACTTCAAGTGGCAAGTAGGCAGCAATGCAGTCCAGCGTTCAGTATTATCAACCTAATGTGAGATCTACCTAGACCTTAATTTTTCGGGGATAGCTATTAATACTTTATTTTCCCCATGATGTGTTTTCATAAAGTGATTAACGATAAAATTAAATAGGCAAAATGTAAACTGGTTGCTACTGCAGGCGCTCTTTTCACTTACGTTTATTATAAGTACCTCCACCCCATTCATTATAATTATTATACAGTACTACCCACCCCGTTGGTGCCCTTTACACCCGATTTTCGATTACTTACTGCATACTCTGTATCTTAGAAAAATTTCCTAAGGTTAAAAATATCACAAGATAGGCAGCAGACTGTTCGTTTCCTTTCTCAAAATGGGGTGCATGCAGCTTTTGGTGGAAGGGGATGCCTGTAGCGGTACAGTATTGCCAAATTCCATATAAATTTTTATATATATGTAATCACAATGAATTCACAACGAAGTAAATTAGCAACCCAGATTTTTTGTACCGGTCGTCGTGGTTTGTCTGCTCTTGAATAAACTAAACTAAACCGGTACTTACAATTACCGTAATAATAAAGTGGCAAAGTATCGGGAACTCACCCGAGACTACCTGTTCCGTGCAGTTGGCGTCGAAACACTCGGACCACTCGGACCGGACGCCTCTCGTTTGGTCACCGAAGTCGGGAAGATGATACAACAGGAAACAGGCGAGGTACGGGCGACGGAGTTCCTGCGCCAACGGATCAGCATCGACATCCAACGCGGGAACGCGGCCTCAGTCATGGGAACAGCACCAGCATCGGCTATCTTAGACGAAATGTTCTGCGTGATTAGGCCGCCCATTTCAGTAATCGGCTGAGCTGTGTATTCAGTACAAATCTTTCACTTTTATAGAAAATTTGCGACAAATACTCGTGTACCTTGAGTTTTGAAATAAAATAATATGTACCGTAATAATTAGCGCAAAACGATATGTTCGCCACATGCTACACCGCCCACCTTGGGCGCAAGTCAACAGCAACAGCTTGTGGCCTTTTGCAGCTCCAAAGTTCCAAACCGCAGACATTTCGTTGAGTTTTTGTTTCTCTTACCGAGTCTTGCGAATGAAATTAAAGTTAATGGTACGATTTTCTTTGTCAGACATTTGTACAATTTTTAGGTTATTTTCAATAACTTGTCTTTTTTTAAAAGTTTTGGATTCTCGATTGCTTCTACCCGTTTGAATTTCCCAACTTCGAGTTCGAGTCTTCGAGATACTTGCACGATCTTAATTGTTATACAGATACCTTGAGAAATTGATCATTGCGATGTGACCCGAGAAATCTTTGGAACTCTGGTATTCTCCTTGCAATGTCAACAACCACAAGTGAAAACAGCGTCGAAACCCTCGAGCCGGCAGAAGCAAGTATTGCGGACGGTGGTTATTTTAGAACTATTCACGACGGCAGTTTCACGTTACTATTGTTTTGGAACCTATTTGTGAATTTTACAGTCGATGAATGATTGGCGACACAATCTTATTAATATTTTTTTGTGGCTGCCCATTTATAAGCCTTTACAACTTTAACTTATTTACAGTGTACAATCATGCATTTCTGCTAGGTTTCTAGGGTTGAGTTCAAGCTCATTAAAGCAAGCTGTAGAAGTTTAATTTTGCCGTTACTGGTACAGTTTGAAGGATTTGTAAAAATTCTATTGATTTTGTAGATGAGTACTGTAACTAGTGGGATTGGTTTTTAGTTGAGTGGCAATGATGATGGGAGTCGAGAAATGGAATTTCAGTCTGAAAGCGTTAACGAGTCTTCCGATGGACGGAAAAAGCGAAAGCCTGCTGGTGATACGGAACTTATTGGTAAAAAATCCTAACTGTTGATGCGTAAATCAGCGTGATTATGTGTAGAACGCAGAAGATAAGTGTGTCAACGCAGCGCTTTGTAGCAGTCAAAAACGTAAGAGGGTCTGCACGTCGATTGCCTATCTGGAATTTTTTCCAACAAGGCACGGTAAAGCGGTCGAGCTTTTGGGAGGCGATTTGCCTGGCGTGTCTGGACAACTCGGGGAGCGGCCATCCGGTGCGCGGAGAAAAGCGCGTCATGGAAGCGCATTTCTACAAATGTCCATATGTCGATCAACTTACGAAAGACACCTATCGTTCCGGCACACAGAATTTCCAAGCGGAAAACGGATCACCGCCGTTGACATCGGAGCACTGGGATGTTCGAGAGTCGATACCCAGGAACGAGGCTGACGAATTTCAGAGTGCGTTGCATTATATATATTTCAATGGGCGGACACTTATTTTTAAATTTGATAGTGAAAATTTTCTGGATTTTTGCACTTGAAAATTTCTCGACAAAACTGGCAGAAATGCTCGCCAATTTGAAACTGTTATTTAGCTGCTTTTGAATAGCTGCTTTAAATTTGTTATTTTATTCGGCAGCACATTTTTTTGTTTTGATAAGAGAAACTTTAAATTGTAAGTTGTCTATTTGCGTAACAAATCGTAAATGCAAATGTAAATGCAGTATTCGTAATTCTTTACGCCGGTTGAAGGAGATGAATCGATACCTTTAAGAAGAACGAGGAAAACGTTTGTACCACGGAAAAGTATTCATGACAACCTTGCCTCCGTCCAACATGATTCATATGCGACAACCTTGCCTCCGTCCATTTGTGGGGAAGCAACTACACAGCGGACATCGACATCTGCACCTGTTCCAGTATTCTCACAGGAAGAAGAACGTTTTGGTAATTTGCATAGCCGATAACACATTGTCGCCTGGCGTGTAACTTGAGTGTACGTATGCGGATTTTTTTGCAGTGCAGTATATCTACGGTGTCCTGGGGACTGTGGAGCCAGCTAACAAAAAACGCTACATGCAAGCTATAAAATGTGCCGTTGCGAAGCTGGACCTGGAGATAGCGGCTGCGTCTCAAGAATAATTATTGTACAAAAGGAACTTTATGATTCAGATCCGCTCGTTCGTTTCTTCCTTTTTGCAATTCGGATTTGCGAACTTTTGTTGTTTTTTTCTTTTACGGACATTTAATGAGATTATTTTACTGAACCCTGCGGATTCTTTGGTCATGGTTTATGGCTAATCCAAGTAATCCTGTACGTTATTTGGAGCTGACGCACAGTTTGGACTTTTGGTTTTTGTCTTTCGATGTTGCTGTTTAAATTGTTGTTGGATTACAATGGTTTTTGGATTATATAAGTTCCATGCAAAGGTGAATTTAATGTAGATCTTTCCCTGATTTCAACTTGCGGCGACTGTTTTTGTGGTCTTCGCCCAAAAAGAGAAGTGCATCATTTTGAAAATTAAAAGGAATTATTTTATACTTAGAAGAAAATTTTAAATAAAATGTAGTTTATACAAAATGCTCTGATGAGCAACGATGAAAAATAAGATAAAAATTTGAATCCATTCGACTTTGGAAGACGTGTCCGTCTAATGTGATAAATCTTCCGGTCGAAGGATGAGTCTCAACAGATCGCAGTATGGTGGCTGCTCTACTGGCTTACAACACCCCGACCGGTACTTAGGTCGTCTACGGACGATTTCTCGCCTCCAAAATATATATGTTATAAATATAATTATGCATCATTTTGAGAAATTTTTTTATGATATTGTCCCAACCATGGAAAGTCTGCTGGCTATTATTAATCAGAAGCTTTACTCATGGTAGATTTGGCTTCTCTTCATCTCATTTAGGTAATTTCAACTCTGAAATTGCTACCTTACTAACTACTTATTCCTGTTATTGTAAGTATCAGCCAGCGTTAGGTCTGGTTGCCAGCGTTGCCTGGTACCAATAGCACCATTTTATTTTAGCGCACTGCCGCCGAAGTGGGTTGCACACTGCACATCATACGACCAATAATTATAAAACGATTTTGAATCATCCAACTCGAAATTTTAAGTAAGGCTTTTGCCGTTTTTGGCTGGTGACATTTGATTGCAAGTCAAGTGTCCCAAGTTGAACTCCTACTTTCATCGTCCATTCTGTGGTGTTTACTGTTCGCAATTCGCATCTAACAAAATAGCGGCTCTTCGAATCATTTATTGCTGAATAAGTCAAAAGCTTTGGTGTTGTCTAAAGAATTTCACAAAACTAAAGCTGGTTACAGCTAGCTGTTTTTCTTTGTTATGTCCACGTTTTGTTGTTTGATCACTTTGATGGTTTCCGATTAATCATTACTCACTGGACTTCGCTATGATGTCGTTCATTTCGAAGTCGTTTCCCCGATTTTGAGAGTTTATACAAGGCTATTTTGCTGGTGCAACAACTTCAGCACTGTGTTCCAGTGGGAATATTTGGTTATTGTATACTGGTTTCTAATAAACCGCAGAGATGAGTTTAGCACTCAGTCGGCTGGCGGAAGAACGCAAAGCGTGGTAAGTGAGAATCTCCTAAATGTGAGCGGATCTTGCGACAATTGTAGATTGATTGTCATTATTCTTAATTAGATTCAGTGGCATTGCTAGACAGATTACCAAAGCAGTAACTATTACGTTATGTTAATGTTACAGGCGCAAAGATCATCCTTTTGGGTATGTACTGCGTTCCACTTTCCAAGGATAGGATATAAATATCACATTAAATTTTGTATGTGCACTTTTCGGTGCTTTAAGTTAATAAAGTAATGGTTGCATTGTATTCTTAATATCTAAATATGTACAGTTTCGGCATTGATTAGGGCTTGAGCTGGTGATGCAGGATATTGCGAACTTTCGTTAGACAGATTTGTAATACTCTTAACGTACTCCAACTGATGTGAAAGATTCCGGTTATTTAATGAATTTGATTTTTCAGTACTTAATACAGCTAGTATTGCTCAATTGTTGGTTATTTGAACTATGCCTTCTCCTTTCAGATTCGTCGCTAAGCCTTCGGAAAACGCCGATGGTACTATGAATATGTGGGTCTGGGACTGTAAGTTAATAATAATGACTAATCATAAGTAGTATTTCTTCATTATTTTTTCGTAGCTTATGTAATTTTATCTTTTCTGGATTTTCACTAATTTAATTGTAAAGCAAAATTTTGTAATTAAGCTGTACTGCGCCTTTCTCGTGCGGTCGTGAGTTTGTAGATGGCGGTAATCCAGCAAATCTGAAGTAGAATATTGTTGATGTTAATTCGTTGCAGGTATCATTCCTGGCCCGAAAGGTACACTATGGGAGCCAGGGCAGTACCATCTGAAGATGATGTTCCGTGAGGATTATCCCGGCACGGCACCCAAATGCCGCTTCGATCCACCCTTATTCCATCCCAATATTTATCCTTCCGGTACCGTCTGCTTATCAATTTTGGATGACGATAAGGGATGGCGACCGGGTATCACCGTCAAAGAAATCCTGTTAGGAATTCAAGATCTGCTAGTCAATCCTAACGAACGAGTATGCTTGCCATATGTTAATTTAAAGACGCGCTGGGTGGTAATCATTGTAATTGTAATGTGGTGATTCGGGGTTAGGATCCAGCCCAGGCGGATGCCTACAATATTTACATTCGTAGCCGGGAGGAGTACGACAGGAAAGTGCGGGAGCAGGCGCGACGTTATGCACCATCAGCGAGCAAGTCCTAGTGCTGGTTTCTATGGGGAGTCATCGAATTCCAAACGAGTTTCTTTGTGTAAGATGTATTGCACTGACTGCACATTTATCTACCTTTATTTTTGAGTGATGCGGCTCGCGCTGAGTTTCGTTCCGTTCAGTTTTGACAATTGACAGTTAATTTGGACTCTTAATCGTTAAGTCTTTTTCGTGAGTTTAACCGTCTTTTTTCTAGAATTTCGCAGTTTTTCTCATTTTCAGTTTTCAGCCAAATCACCGGTAATCACCTTGTTGTTCACGTTAAAGGTTGATATTCTCTTTATGCGGCTTGTCTAATACTTCGTTTCTAATAATTGTTAAAAAATATATATCATGTTGCTGCAAAATGGTAAAAGTTGACCGTCTATAACTCCGTAGTGAGTTTCTTTTTTTACACCACACAATACTGTAAGTACCAGTCGGGCGGGCCATGATCGACCACAGTTCTGCCTTTTCGGATCTCTTATTAATTTGAAGACGGATATCCTATTTTATTTTCTGTAAGCCGTGCTGGCTTATGTACGTATTGCAAATAAATTTCCGACATTTTTTTTGTTGTAAAGTGATGCTGTTGATGCATGTAATGCTATCACTTTGTTGTTTGTTGCATTGTAAGCGTTATTTTTCAACTGCATGTGGATAACCATATGAATGCTTCGTATACGTTTAAGTGAACATCCACACGCAGTTGTATTGATCGTGAATATTGTATGAACAGAATTGTTTACGGCTTAAACAAGTACACCTGAAACACCCACTCAGGCTGTTTGCTCAATAAACTTGCTGAAAAATTTTAATTATATTAAAACAGTGAAACATTGTAAAAGATACAAAGGCGAACACTGGCTACCTCTGCGCGCTGAACCTATTTGGAACCGGTGGAGAGCAGTGCCACCAGTCCAGCCGCACCGAGGGTGGACAGCCCGTAGTTTGCCAGAGGAGCCGCTGAGCGCAGCACGAAAAAGGACAGCACAACGGTAACGAAGAGAAAGAGCAGGTTGTTATAAAACAGCGAATATGTTGTGGCCTCGTAATCGGCGATTTCGTTCTTCTTCCACAGAATGCGCTCGTCCTTCTCCTTCTTCGTCACCTTCTTGTCGTCCTGCAGCTGCTTATTGATATCCCGCGAAATGCCTTCCTCCCGCTTCAGCGCAATCCGGTGCTTCAATCCGAATTTGGTGTTCTTGTAGGCGAAGGCGATCAGCCAGGCACTGCCCAGGGAGACTAGAATGTAGGCGATCCAGTACACGGAGAGGTCCATGTGGTGGATGCGCCAGAAGAGCCAGATCGGCGTCAAGGCCGCCACGAAGCCGCTGCCGTAGAAGAGGGCCGATGATCGCACGCTGACATGGCGGCTGAAATCCTGCAGCAGAAGCTCCTCTTCCTTGGTCAACTTGCCACCTTTCTTCGACATGTTGGATAACGGGATTTGGTGCACAGCAGTCACTACACCTATACAACAGGTGCAATATGCAGATTAGAGCAAAGTTCCCCACTCACGGTGACAGTGAAACAAGTGAAACCAATAAACTCTGCATTCTTACTTACGTTTAACGAATCCAGGAGCTTATCTGCGAGAAAAGATGCAAAAACGATTGGTTTCACTTCCAAAAATTGCACGTTCAAAAGTATTGCTCGTTATTTAAATGAGTCTTAAATCAAAATTGTTTTTGCAGTTTTGCTGCTGTTGAGTGTTGATTGTTGGCAAAAATGAACAAACGCGTAGCATCTTCCGGTATGAGACGTGTCCAGGTTTCTTATTGGCTCGGACTGGTTTAACAAAAATATTAACGCAGTTCTATTGGTAGATTCAGATAGGAGGCGGAGTGGTTTCAGTGCTGAGTACTGAGTAGGCCTGGCGCGACTTGCCTACTGAACCACCTCTGTACAGGGCGGCAGCTGATACCGATACTGCGCCCCTCATGCTGCGTGAGAACTTGGACATCAGTAACTTCCGGCTTGGCGCTCTGCGCGGTGTACAATACAGTAATAATACTGCTAACAAAAATATTAACAAAATTACTGCTAACAATTGTCTAACAAAAATACTGCTGACAATTGTCAATATGCATACATTGGTTACTAATAATTATTACTAATAACAATAAATTACAGACTATTACAAACCTCTGTACACTGTTCCAGACTAGGAGCCTACAGAAACCATGAATTTTTTTACGAAGCATCCATACTTCTATCCATATTTGCAATCAAATGCTCCCACTCGTATACGAACACAAGCAGTTCAGTGGCAAAAAAATGTTTTCCTTTATTTATCCGTATCAATGATATAATTATTTATTACTACTTTTTGTAGCCGCAGTGCCGCAGTGCTCGGTCTTCACCGATAGGCGTACGAATAATACGTATATTTGCGGAATATAAATTTTTTTGATTTGACTTTAATTTTTATCCTTTTTGTGTTTTTATCTCAGTTATTTTTTTGTGTTGTCTCAGTTATCTGTTATGCTTAAGTACTTCATTTCGTACGGTACAGTACATGGTGATGGGGCTATTTATCTTCAGTTTAGCTTTGTGCATCAGGCTAATGTTAAGTGCATTTTTATCCTTAGATCCTATAAATTTGAATCGTGGATTCACCATCTAAGTACTTAATACTAGTTGGTATTTACTTGGTTCATGTCAGTAGTTATTCTCAACTTACATTTTAAATCTTCACTTTTATATAACGCTGAAACTGATACCGGTACATCTCCACTGAATTCAGGCATCAATATCCGAAGGGTCAATTTAAAAGAGCTTTGAATCAACCGGTGCAAAAATTAGCGCCCTATCTGTAGCTCTGTTTGTCAAGATGTGTACCACAGGAAAAGCTAAAAATATTAAGATTATTGAACCACAACAACAAAATTCAACACTGATCACGGAACGATACGCACTAACGCAGACACGTGAAATTCGTAGAGAATATTAATACAAAGTAGAAATATTTTACTCGGCATCACCAAAACCAAAATCATCCCTTGGGATTAAAGGCACGAAGTAGACTTTGATCGGTTAAATGGCGGTGCGTTAAATGACGATTGCGTTGCTTCCTGTATTGCTCCAGGTGATAGCAGTGGAAGGTAGATTTTTCCCGCTTCTTGATGGCAATTTCGTTGGGAATAATCCACCGATGCTCCAGACATTCATCCACAGAAAGACGATTTCTGGAAATTGATTAATTTTAAATACATCATATGATTCATTACCTTGATTAACTATGTCAGAAGTACTTGGGTAATTAGTATACGTCAGTGCTAATTTCCGCCATGAGGATGCCCTTTGTTGTCATATTAATTAGCAATTTAAGCTGTACTCACCCCGGCAGCACTTTCAGCGTTTGCATTAATAATCTGGTCGATTCGACCGACAGACCACGGTACAGATCTGCTGAACGGTAACGCACTCCACAAACATTATTGTACGTTTCTTCATCATCTTCTCCCAAGAATGGGTGAGTCCCGCTTAGCCTGCGAAAGGTCAAAAATGAACTACGTATTTACTATTTACATCTAAAATAGCCACTTCGAGTGCGGTCCCAAATCTACATCATTTACATAAAAGCAAGTAATTGGATGTCTAATGATTTTCGTATTGTTCGTTTTGTAGTACGGAAATCATAGATAAAGCTACATATAAACAATGTAATGGAACACAAATAATCTGTGAAAGAAACTGACTCACATGATCCATACAAGAACACCAACACCCCATATATCAGCGCTGACTGTTGTTGCTTTTTCGGTCAGCACTTCTGGCGCTGTAAATAAAGAGATCGCATCAGGGTCAACTAATTAATTTTCAAAATGCTTTGGTACGACAGTATCGGATACTACGCGGTACTTACGTGTAAACTCCAGAGGAACAGTGGGCAGTTTAATAACTGCGCCATCTTCCGGCAGCCGCTTGGCAGCTCCAAAGTCTACCAAACTGATAAGCAGTTTCCTTCTGCTTTTGCTGACAACATTTTCTGGTTGTAGGTTCAGATGCGCGATGCCATCGTAATGCAAATACTGCAACCCATCCAATACTTGTCGCGTAATCTGTGCGACATCTTCTTCCGTGTATACTTGTTTTTCGCACAGATAATGCAACACATCGTAACCATCTAGAAGATCTTCGACTAGTACGAAGGCATGGTTGAACGTGTAGGCCGCATGCAGTTCGACGATACGTTCGTGCTTCAGTCCACTCAGAATGTCGTATTCTTGTCGTGCATCCGGTGCATGGATATCAATAATCTTCGCGGCAAACGAACGCTGGTTTTTCCGGTCAAAACACTTCCGGATAATGCAAAACTCTCCTCTGAAATAACAAATGCATTTCATAAAACGATGCCAAGCGAGACCATAGTTTCAACTTGGCCGTGCTGACAACTAAGAAATCAACTAACTCAGAAATCACCACCGAGGCAATGAATATTAAGTTGAGACCTTTTTATCCCACATGCCTTTTTTAAAACATACCGGAAAATTTCCTCGTAGAAGTCGTACTGGTCTTCCGGTGATGTATCTTCATAGAGAGACGCCGGATATTTCTCCATCAGGCTAATCAATCGTACCGGCTTTTCCGGTTTCGGTTCGGCTCCACGTTCCCGCCATTTCAAGCCAGAGCTGGGATGAGGCTCTTCAATCATTCTTGGCGATTCACCTGAAAAGATATATGCTGCAGCATTCCGCCAAGTAATTTACCAAAGATTTGCAGTTTTACCGGCGACAAGCGTGCGATATTCGTTGGACGAAAAACTGTACGAGCTCCATCCAAACATATTTCGGCAAGCGACACGGAACCGGTAATATGAGCTGGGCACAGGTTTTGCACCACGACGTTTTCGTGTAGCAGATCACTGGATACAACTTTCCACGCAACATCTTCTCGGCCTCGATATTCCGAGTTTATAGGCCAATATTTCGGCGTTGCCGTCGAATTCCGGTGGTTCCCAGGTAAGGGTCATTTCGTTCGGGCTCACGTACTCCAGAACGGGCCAGGAAGGATGATCGGGGACGACTGCATCAAATTACTATTTTAGAATTTTTCTTATTACGAAAATATTTAGTCGATGCTTTCATACCTCCAATCATTAAGGTAGCGCGGCAAACTGCTTCTCCTAGTTTGTTTCGCGCTACGCACTTATATTCCCCGGCTTCCACTCCGGTAGCCGGTGACAGGGTCAGTAAGCACGTGCCGTCTTCATTGGACATGGTTCGGATGTGCGGACCGTTTTCCAGTAAAATGTCATGATGATACCAGTGAATTACCGGTTGTGGGCACCCGATGACCACCGTACGCAAAGTAACGGGTTTGCCCTCAGCGAAAGCAGTATCTTTGAGTTTCTCGCGGAAGAACGGTGCGTATTCCTCGTCTTGTTCCGCTAAAATGCGCTTGCGCTTCCTGCGCGCCGCCAGCTGCTGGGCTTGACCGAAACCTTCGTCATCCATGATCTCCATCATACGCCGGCGTTCCTTGACTGCCGGTTTCAGACCCCACAGTTTATTATCAGCTTTTACACGGAAACTGGCATGACCTGATGGATCCGTCACTAAACGACGGTATTCTCGAATGCGGGCCTACCAAAGAAAAATTGATAAAGCAAAACAATCAACGAATTGTTTTAAATAGTTGATTTGTCTTATGGAATTAACAGACAAATTTCCGTACCGGTAGATCCGGATCTCGCAGCTGTAGTAATTCCGTCTCGGGTCCGACTTGATAGTGCGAATCGCTTTGACCAAAGAACGAATAATGGTAGTCACGGAAGTCTTCGGAAACCGACGAGCGGCGGCTGTGATCGTCGCGTTCAGTGCGGCTTTTTGCTCCTGGACTGCCCTCGCGCACGCGCATATCGTGAGCCAAATTAACTCCATCCGCAATGTCAGGCGGGTACAGCAAGCCTTGAGGATGTTGCAGACACATATGCAATGGTCGGCGACGGGCGTATTTGACCACCGCTTGCTGTCCAAGCTATAACCATAAATTAGAATAAATTATAATACGTGCCAGTTCCATGTTGATCAAAGTAACGAATGGGCTGACCTTTTGCCTTCGTTTAGCCCAGTAATCTTCCAATGGACGACTACTGATGTCCACGTTGGATGTAGACTAAAATACGCGTTCAAAATTATTTCAAAGTCACTAAACAACAAGAGACCAAAGCATACCCCAAACCACGGATGTTCTAGAGCCTCCTTGGCCGTTAACCGCCGTGTGGGCTCTTTTTTCAACAGCGATGAGATGAAATCTTTTCCCTCCGGTGAAATGTGCGAAAAGATTGGATGATTGAAATCCCATTCACATCGCTGAACGTTCAGCAGTGTATCACGATCCGTTGGTCCAAGGAAAGGTGACACACCCGACAGTAATAGGTATGTAATGATACCGGTGCTCCATAAATCAGCTGGTGTTCCGCACGGCATTCGGGTGGCAATTTCGGGACATACAAATTCCGGTGTGCCGAACTCGGAAATCACATGACCGCTTGGAGGAATCTTCTGAGCCAATCCAAAATCCACCAAAAGGATCTTATCCGAGCCAGGATGTTGGAAAAGTACATCTTCCGGCTTCAAGTCCAAATGCGCAAAACCCTTCTCATGGATGTATTCCAACGTCTGCAGCATCTGTTTAATAATGCTGCGTACGTAATCCTCGCCGTAGGTCTTATTCTGCACCATGCGAGGGATAATTTCGCCACCTTTTGCTAGTTCCAGCATAAGGACAACGTAAGAATTCCCAGCGTATCCATCATGTAAGCGGACTATGTTAGGATGCTGCAGCTCATTTAATATATGCATTTCATTCTCCAACCACTGCCGTTCTCTGGGCGGAGCAAAGGAAATCTTTGCGGCATAATTGCGCCCGGAAAGCTTTTCGGCAGCCTTCTTCACAACCGCTTGTGTTCCGCGACCAATCTCGTCAAAGAAGTCGTAGAAATCGGTGACACGCTTATTCTTGAGATGCACACGTCGAACTCGTATATCGAACGGTGCGGCTGTCGCGGCTGGCCGAGACTCGACCAGAACATTGGCTGAGCATAGCGCAGTGCCTCCAATATTCTTGGCTTCGCAGGTATACAAGCCCCCATCGAATACACGGACATCATGGATGATTAATGTACAGTGCCCGGTTTCTGTTGTCACCATTTCCACACGGGAGCTCTGGGCAATCGGACGCCAGTCTTTCAGCCAACGCACTTCCGGGAAGGGCGTGCCATCCACCCGACAGTCTAGTCGAGCTGCTTGACCAACTGTGAAGATGCCATCCACAACCGACTCAATGAAAACAGGTGGGTCTGCAAAAGATAATTGCTCATTACGGCGCGGTTCCGGTCAAAATGGACAAAACTGTTACCGTACCTGCTACTTCTAACCGCAGTTGGATCTCGGCTTCTCCGTGTTCATTCACTGCTCGGCACGTATATTCTCCGACATCCCGGAAAGACAGTTTGTCAATGGATAGCTGGACTTGACCGCTGCTACCGTAGCGACTAGCAAAGCGACCGCCAGAGCGAATTTCTTCACCCCGAAGGTACCACGTGATTTTCGGCTGCGGATACCCATAACAATATACTTCTAATGTGGCGGTCTCTCCTTCCAGTCCAAATTGCACATCGTTGTTTTCACGGTAAAATCTTGGTTTTTCACCAAAAAGACCGTGTTCTGGACGCTGGACTTCGTATTCACGGGGTTCTTTCTCAAATGTTTTACGATCTGCAATCAACAAACAAGATAATAATTTTACAGTTACGCAGTGTTTTACGGTATTTGAAAAAGGGATTACTCAAACACTTTCAACAACATTCATCAATTCTGACCTGATGGTTTCACTGCGTAGTGTTCATGGTCAGGCGCCGGTAATTTTCGGTCCGTCCGAGCATATGGTGACGGATCACTGACACCAAATTTATTTTCTGCTCGGATACGGAACTGGTAGTTCCTATCGGGTTTCAGTAATCCCAAGATTTCGTATTCAGTATTAGGAATGCCGTGCGCAATAGGATGCCAGTCGCTTCGTGGGACCTCGCACATTTCCACTATGTACGTAATGGGCGTGGCTTCGGTGGAATCCGTTATGGATGGCTTCCAAGAAAGTAAACAACCACTTCCGGTGAGGTTACTGATCCAAGGGGCTGACGCCAAAGGCCAAGGTGGACCTGTAAAGCGCAATAGAAAAGATCATGTCGCTGATGATTCTTGTGTGTACAACAAGGTAACGATGTTCTACAAAAAATCCCGAGGAAGTAAAAGTTTTATTTACCTGCAACACGTCGCCGTCCTCGTAAGCCAGAATCGTCCCGACGCGAATCGTCATCTTTGGGCACGGTGACCTTAAGTTCACAGTTCGTTTTGGCTCGTCCAGCTTCGTTAGTGACAACGCAGCTGTATCGGCCTTCGTCTCGCTTTCGGGATTCCTTAATTTGCAAGACCAGCGTACCGTCCGGGTGGGCATCGATACTGTATTTGGGTCCTTCACTCAGTTCAATACCGTCCTTGAACCTAGAAAAATGGTGCTCATTTGGTTACTGAGCTGCAACGCTTAGCAGTTATTTTGAAAGCTTACCATTTTACTACCACCTCCATGGGCTCGGTCAGTTTGCAGTCTAACTTAACCTTTTCGCCTTCTACCACTTCTGTATCGCGAAGAGGTTTGGCGAAGGCTGGAGCACGAATTTCTCCTTTAGGTCGACCGGATGTATCCCCTCTGTCACCAGTCGGCTTCGGTTCAACGACATTGAGGTACGCCGAGCATTGCGCTTCGCCCTCTTCATTCGTAGCAACCGCTGTGTACTGACCCACACTTTCTCTAGTTACGTTACGAATAAGCAACCGGCTCCATCCGATTCTTTCCTTGTGCACAATTTCGTACTTCGACCCGGTTTCGGTGATCTCGTCCTTGTTGAAGAGCCATTTAATTGTCGGCATAGGCTCACCGGTCACTTGACATTCAAAGTGCACGTCGTATCCACTGGATGCTTCAGCATCCGTGAAGCGGCGGACGAATCGCGGCGCCACGCCATGCGGCTTCCGTTTGACCGGCAGCCGTGCTACGTTGATGGCAGCAAAACAACGAGCTTGTCCGACTGAATTAGATATCTCGACGGTATAAACACCGGAATCTTCCGGCATGGCAGCCGCGATTTGCAGAGAGGAGGTTGTTGCATCGCTGGTAATTGTCACGTCTTTGTGTGACTGAATTAATCGATCATTCAAAAACCATTTCACCGTTGGAGCAGGAACTCCGACAAATGCACAATCCAGATTCAGAGGTTCGCCTTCGTTGACTGTCTGCTCTCTGGGTTTCTTCGTAAAATAAGGAGCTTCGTGGCCAGCAATTTCCGTTTTCTCTGCAAAACTTTTCCGTCAGCATTGTAGCCAATTAAAAGCGTAGAGCAGTATTTTGTTATCGCATAACTATAACAACCCACTGCTAACGGGCGCAATGAGGTTTCCGCAGTATGGTACGTATGTACGTTGCTCACCTTCGACCGTAATGGTGCATTCTGTAGACGCTTCACCCGCTGCATTGGTTGCTGTACAGCGGTACAAATCAGCGTCATTCATCACAACTTTCCTGACGGTCAAAACCGAGCCGCCATGACCATCGTCCGAAACGGAGATTCTCGAATCAGGAAGAATCTCCTTTTCGCCGCGCCACCATTTAATCGTGGGATTAGGAAATCCTGAAGCTCTAACACGTAATGTCAGCGTCTGCCCAACAGTGACGGTTTGGTTTTTTAATGGAGTGACAAACGTGGGAACAACATGATTCCTCGTTTTGTCCGGAATGTCTGTAAAAGGCACAAATCAAATTAGTTATACCTCTTAAAAAGACTAAACTAAAACACAGCAAACCTTGTTTAACGATCAGGTCAGCGTCACTGGTTGCCTTTCCGGCTGGATTGCGTGCCAAAGCGACAAAGACTCCAGCATCCTCCATGAATGCCTCTTTAATAATCAATTTGTAGGTGTTTTCATTAACGACATAGCGGTATTCATCACTGTCGCGTATGGTCTTTCCGTTTTTCTGCCAGATGACCGATGGTTTTGGCTCGCCGATAACTTCGCACTGGAAGATGGCCTTTTGACCTTCCCGCACGATTTGGGTTTCCAGAGGGGTGATAAATTCGGGTTTGGAGCCTTGCTCTTCATCTTCCGGGATTGCTTCCTCTTCCTCCATATCGACATCGGAGCCGATCGTGTCGTCCACGGTACGCTCATCTTCTGCGAGAAATTTTAAATACACTTCAGATCGTTCCGCATTCGTATTCTACTGAGCTACTAAATTTGCTAAGTTTTTAAACTGAGATTTGCTCTTAAGTAAAGTACTACCTTTTTCGGCTTTGCTAGCTTCTGGGGCTTGACTAACGGAAGGTTCAATAATGGACGTATCGGCTTTGGGTTTCCTGGGTTTAGTTAAAGTTTTCATGGGAGAGCACGGCGCGCTCGGCTTCCCAACGCCTTTTTTATTTTCCGCCAAAATGCGGAATTCATACGTCTCACTTTCCACCAGATCCGTTACGCTGAATTTCGTCGTCGTCACCAGTGTTTTGTTGATTTTAGACCATCGTCCGACCTTTCCGGTTCGCCGTTCAATGTGATATCCCAGTATCGGGCTGCCACCGTCAGTCTCGGGCGGATCCCAGGCTAAATTAGTGGATGTTTCCGTTGTGTCTAAACATTCCGGCGTTCCAGGGGGGCCAGGAACATCTGAACGAAAAACGCGTACGCTTGACACAGCCGTAATACACCGTGTAGTGTAGTGGCTACGGCACGTAGCCATGCTATAGACAACTTCCGTACACGTTGTCAAACTGTAGGGTAGCAAGACAAATTATCATTATTCTTACCGAATGTGAAAGCAGCCAGCACTGGTCCCACTTCCGCCCCCTCTCCGGGCCCGTATTTATTCTCAGCCACCACACGGAATTCGTACATTTTACCCTCCGCTAGTTCCCCAATTTCTTGCTCAAGCGATTGGGTAGCAGCCACACGTGACCACGTAACACGGCCGGCCGAACGTTTCTCCACAATGTACCGCTGAATCGGGGCTCCTCCATCGGATTCCGGTGGTTCCCAGGTAATTGTCGCTTTTTCTGGGCCAATTTCCTTGACTTTGAGATTTCTTGGTGCCGATGGGACGCCTGTTGAAAGCAATAAATCATGAAAACATTTGACAACCAACGGAAACATCGCGAGTTTTTATATTACCTAACAGTTTTAAAATTATCGTCGCTTCAGCAGATCCTTCGGAGTTGGTGGCCCGGACAAGATACGATCCAACGTCAGATTGTTCCGCCTTTTTTATAACAATGTGAGATTCGTAATCTTGAAGGCTCTCCACGCGCACTCTGCGGGTTTCTTTAACAGGCTTGCCGGCATGGAACCAGTCCACGTCTGGATATGGGACACCCTCGAATCGCACCATAATGGACAGATTTTCTCCAGTCTGTGCTTCGACTACTTCGGGATAATCAAAAATTCGAGGAGCCTGGACGGCCTGTTTCACTTTAAGGTTCAGTGGCATTTCGGCCTTTCCCGCTGTAAACGCAAAAATATTGAACTGTTCACTGTTGTATTCTCCACTGAAACCAGCAGCTGTGCGACTCATGTATGTACAGTACCTTTGTTTTTAAAGGTAACTAGAATTTCTCCGGTGTCTTCTAACCGGCAGTGCTTGATAGTGCATTTGGTAGTCTTTTCGGTGGTCTTCAGTTCGAATCTGGTTTTGTTTTGGAAGGTGTCGGCTGTACTATTCCATGTAATGGTTGGTGTTGGTTTGCCGGTGAATTCAACAACGAACTCAGCGTCTTCGCCTTCCACCACCTCCAGAGTATCCTGATCAGTACGACAAGACGGTTTCTCCATCTTCTCAGGTTCCGTGGTGTCCGTTGCACCTTTAGGTGCTTCTGTCGTTTCCCCCTTAACCGAATCTCTGCGGGCTGGTCGTTGCTTAGTCAGTTTGAAGGGCTCCGACGCCTTACTCGGCTCACTTTCTCCAGCCTTGTTAACTGCCACTACTCGGGCTTCGTATTCGATATCCATTTCCAGGTTTTCCAGAGTGAATTTGGTCTGCTTAGTGACGGTTTTAGTGACCTTTCGCCAGTGTGTTGACGTACGCGTCTTAAGATAGACGTCGTAACCGGCGACCGGCTCACCGCCGTCGTCTTCCGGCGGTGTCCACTCGATGGTAGCAGAAGTCTCGGTGGTTTCCACTACTTTTGGTTGACCCGGCGCCGATGGCACACGGAAGGAATACTTGGCGTAAACGTCCTCCAAAACAGCTGGTTCACTGGCGCCGTTCTTATTAACGGCAAATACCGCAAAATCGTAGTTGCTATTTTCGACTAAGCCAGGAACTGTAAAGGTCAAATCGGCAGTTTCTCCCACATCCTGCCATGCTTTGCGGCCCGTACGGCGTTTTTGATTTGATAACCGGTAATAGGAGCGCCGCCATCGCTTTCCGGTGGAGACCACGCAATTTTGACGTTTTCAGGGGAAGCGTCCGTTACATGAAGGTTGGTAGGAGGAGAAGGTGGACCTTCACAAAACTCAGTTTATCAAAAGCTTAATTCAAGTTCACGGTTTACCACAATTTCTCGTGCGTAAATTTAACAAACCTTTCTGTTGTTTCTTTAGGAAGAACTGGTCACTTGGAACGCTGGCCTTGCTTTCTCCGGCATCATTAGTTGCCGTTATTTGTACTTCGTAGATTTTTCCAACAACCAAGTTTTGGCAGGTGTAGTTTTTCGTGGTAACCAGTGTTCTTGTCACCTTTTTCCAGTTAGTGCTTTCGATCTCCCTGATATACACATGGTAGCCCTGAATCGGCGCACCACCGTCGGTCTTCGGCTCGGTCCATTCAATATTCGCTTCTGTCTCTGTGCATTCAACCGTAGGTTTTCCAGGCTCCGATGGCACTTCTGTAACAGCAGCAATGGTAATCACTGCCATCAAAGCATATCATAAGGCTATTCTGGTTTACTGATGGTAGTCTTGGTTTGCACATCCTTCAGCTCCGCCGGCTCGCTTTCGCCGTGTTTATTCTTGGCAACCACTTTAAAGTCATAGGTGGCACCACTTTCCAGCTGCGGGATTGTCATGGAAGTGATCGGCACTTCGCCAATCTCCTCCCAATCTTCCGATCCTGCTGGTCGTTTGAATACTCCATAAGCCGTAATGGGTGATCCTCCATCATCCGCTGGAGCTTTCCAGACTAGCTTCACAGATTCTGGCTTAATATCCGTAGCACGCAGATTTTCGGGCGCCGAAGGCACAGCTAAAAATTGAGTTTTCCTTGCAATTTGCACTGGATTTCTAAGATATGGTATTCTTACGTACCCTTTCGAACAGGCTTTTTGAGCATGAACGCATCGGACGGTCGACTGGGTTCCGATTCACCACATTCATTCTCTGCGGTTATTTGTGCTTCGTACTCTTCGTCCGGTTTCAAGTCGTCCAGTGTATGGGTTGTAGTTTTCAAAAGAGTTTTGGTGACTTTCCTCCATTTCTTCGAGCCCTTTCGCGGAGATATACATTGTAGCCGTCGACGGGCGATTTATCGTCGGTTTTGGAGGGCGGCCAGGTAATAGTCGCTTCAGTTTCGGTGATGTCAGTCACTTCGGGTTTACCCGGTGCCGCTGGAAGTTTCATTTTAGCTGCTACATTAACATCCGCAATCTCCGCTGGCGCAGAGGGTCCGTGCTTGTTGACCGCCATGACCCGGAAGTCATACGTGCCTTCTGCAATTTTAGGGATGGTGAATTCGGTTTTTGGTGATTCTCCGACAGGACGCCATGAACGTTCTCCTTTGGGGCGCTTTTCAATGACATAGCTTGTAACTGGAGAATTTCCATCAGATTCCGGGGCTTTCCATTTAAGTATTACATTATCAGGTACCGCTTCGACAACTTCCAAGTCTCGCGGAGCAGTGGGAACACCTTGAAACATAAAACCTTTCAAAACAAATTTTAAATTAATTTTTGTTTACCGCATAATATTATACCTTCTTTTGGCTTCAGCATAAATCCATCGGACGCTGGACTGGGCTCGCTTTCCCCGGCCTTATTTTCTGCGGTGATTTGAACTTCATATTCAGTGCCTGGTTTTAGATCCTTCAGCACATGCGTCTTTTTCTTGGTCAGATCTTTGGTCACTTTTTTCCAAGCTTTCGTTCCTTTTCACGGACATAAACATGATAGCCATCGATCGGAGTTTCTTTTGTGGCTGCCGGGCCATCCCACTCGATTGTGGCTTCCGTCTCGGTGACCTTTGAGGTCGGCTTGTTAGGAGCCGTTGGTACTTCTACAATGGAGTGAATCATTAAACGACACGAAAACCTGTATGCCAACGGCTGATTAAAAATATAAAGCTTTGTCAAGTTTGCGCGCAGTTAACCAAAGCAATCAGTATGTTTGTTTGTAACTGGATGTGAGAAGCCTCTCGACTTGTTAATTTTTGCAGCAGAACACGACCAGCACATTCCAGATGTCAGTGGTTATTGACTTATTGTAGCTCCACCGCCTTGCACATTTGTTAGTGATGGAACGGAATTCTCACTCAGTTTTCCTTTGATTTCCACATTTTTCGCTTCGGCCGGCTCGGATTTGCCGTGCTTATTTTTCGCAATAACCCGGAAGTCAGATATCCCTTCGGGAACTTTTGGCACGTTAAAAGCGGTATCAACGGTTTCTCCTAAAGGCAACCAGTTCTTCTCTCCTTTGGGTTTTCTTTCGACTAGGTAACCAACAATCGGTGAATGTCCGTCGGACTCCGGCGCCTCCCACTTCAAAGCCACGTTTTCCGTTGTGGCTTCCAAAACTTTCAGGTTTTTAGGAGCTGAAGGCACCGCTATAGACCACAGAATTTTATATTCACTGCGCACGGTGGCATTTTGACGGCAAGACTCACTTTCTTCTGGCTTGGTGGTAAACGCATCGGACAGTGGACTTGGCTGACTTTCTCCCACTTCGTTAACGGCGGTCACCTGAACTTCGTACTCGGGTCCATACTTCAAATCGGTAATGGTATGCTCGGTTTTCTTAACCAGTTTCTTCGTTACTTTTTCCACTCCTTCTTGCCCTTTTCTCTTAGGTAAACATTGTAACCGTCCACGGGTTTTGTTGGTGTTGCTTCAGCGGCAGGCCACTGCACCGTCGCCTCCGTTGACGAGACAGGACTAACCGAGGGTTTACCAGGGGCAACAGGGACTGGGAATAAACGCCATATACTGGTTTATTACGAGTATTATTTTTATAAAATCAACATTCTAATTTTTGTACGCGTTTGTTGTCATGCCCTGGTGAATGTTGAAATTAAAGTAATGCAAAAGGTTATTATGCGAAAATTTGAAGTTACGTATTTTTACTCTTAACGAAACTTACCCTCCATTTCAGCTTTGGACTTCTTTACATCCACATCCTTGAGTTCCACGGGTTCTGAGAGCCCAATTTCGTTCCGTGCCATCACCCGGAAATCATGTGGACCTTCAGGCAGGCTAGGCGTGGTCAGCTGCATATCCACCGTGGTACCAACCGGCTTCCATTTCGTTGTTCCGCTCGGTCTTTCTTCCACAACATAGTCCTTCACAGGATTACTGCCTTCATCTTCTGGTGCTTTCCATGTCAGCTTAACGCCTTCCGGAACCGCTTCCACCACTTTAAAATCGCGTGGCGCCGACGGAACAGCTAAAGGTCAACATAATTAGTTAGCAGAAAAAACATGTCGCCACGTGTGAAAAACGTGCAACCCTATAGGCATTTTCCTGTTAACTTAAAACTGTTGCAAAGCAGTTCTAAGCTAAAATATTTGTCTCAAGCGCAAAGATGTTTTCGTACTTTGAATTTCTGTTTTCTCGGTGGGCTGGACAAAGGGTTTGCTAACGGGGCTGGGTTCACTTTCGCCCACTTTATTCACAGCCGTAACCTGTACTTCATACTCTTGACCGGGCATCAGATCAGTCAAAGTATGTTGCGTGGTCTTGACCAGCGTCTTGGTTATATTCTTCCATGCTCGCTTTCCCTTCTCCCTAATATACACTTTATACCCATCAACCGGTTGATTGGGTGTCGCCGTTGACGCCGGCCATTCGACGACAGCTTCTGAAGGGCTGGTGGGGTTCACTTCGGGTTGACCAGGGGCAAGAGGTACTACAAGCACGGACCGTTAACATGCAGGGAAGCCAATCTTGTGCGTATCGTGCTACCTTCCGTGACGCCTTTTTTAGCCGGTTTGATCTTCACGTCATTTACTTCTGCCGGTTCAGAAAGTCCAGTGTCGTTTCTCGCGCTAACTCGGAAATCGTAATTTCCTTCCGGCAAGCGAGGAGTTTTTAATTCTGTCTCCAAAGTAGTACCAACAGGTTTCCAATCATTTTTGCCTGACGGAGACTGTTCTACCAAGTATTCTTTGATAGGTGAACCGCCGGTCTCATCGGGTGCCTTCCAGCTCAGTTTGACACCCTCGGGCGATATTTCTAATACCTGAAGGTTTTTGGGAGACGAAGGGACGGCTGCAAATACACACATGCAAAAGCGGGAAGTATTCAAGGGAATGCAGAACACATACATTTAGTCTCCGCGATTTCCGCGGGCTGGGTGAACGGTTGGGAGACGGGGCTAGGCTCGCTTTCACCCACTTCGTTAACAGCAGTAATCTGGACTTCATATTCCTGTCCTGGAGTTAAGTCTGTCAATGTATGAGTGGTTGTCTTCACCAACTTTTTGGTGACCTTCTTCCAGGTTTTTTTGCCTTTCTCTCTAAGGTACACATTGTAGCCATCTACGGGCTGAGTATCGACTTCGGCGGGAGCAGACCACTCGATTTCGGCGGTTGTGGGGGAAGTAGGCTGTACAGAGGGTTCACCCGGGGCAGAAGGAACTAGCAGGATAAAAGCAAGATTTAATGGGATAAATGAAGTTTTATACAGATAATAAACATTGTAATAAGGAGATTTTTTCGTGCACTTACTTTCGATTAAAACAATTTCACTGGGCAAAAGGAATGGTTTTGACACTGGACTAGCCGCGCTTTCTCCCACTTCGTTAAAGGCCGTGACTTGCACTTCATATTCCTCTCCGGGCAAAAGGTCAGTCAGCGTGAATTCATTGGTCTTCACCAATTTTTTCGTAACCTTTTTCCAAGTCTTCTTCCCTTTTTCTCGGAGGTGAACGTTGTATCCATCCACCGGTTTGGTGGGTGTTGCTGTGGACACCGGCCATTCAACCTTTGCTTCCGTTGGGAAGGTTATCGTCACTGCTGGCTCGCCAGGGGCATCCGGTACTATAATGGAGAACAGCATGTAGTGAATTTAAAGAATGAATTATGGTAAATCAGGAAGTAAGAAATTATTCAGAATAATTTCATGCAGCCGCTTTGATGGTACCTAAAAACAGTCTTTCTACTGACCTTGCATCGTAGCGCGTCTCGGTTTCCCCTCAACCTTGACATCTTTGACTTCCGCTGGTTCGGACTGGCCGATCTCATTCGTCGCTTTCACTCGGAAGTCATATTTTCCTTCGTCCAACTTGGGAGTGGTCAGTTCCGTGTCAGCAGTGCTCCCAACTGGTTTCCATTTGTTGCTGTCAGAAGGTTTTTGTTCGACGGTATATTCGGTGACAGGCTTATTGCCCGTGTCATCAGGAGCCTTCCAGCTCAGTTTAACTCCGGTTGGGGCAGCTTCAATCACCTGGAGATTTTTCGGCGCCAATGGAACAGCTGGAAAATCAACCGTACTAAAAGGTTGTGTCCATGAAACAAATACGTTCGACTTACTGTCAACTTCAGCTTCTTCGGGCGTTAGTTGGAACGGTTTGGATACTGGACTAGGTTGGCTTTCTCCAGCCTCGTTCACCGCGGTAACCTGAGCCTCGTATTCTTTTTCGGGTTCCAGGTCTGTTAAAGAGTGGGATTTTTTCTTCACTAATTGTTTAGTGGATTTCTTCCATTGCTTGGTGCCTTTCTCGCGCAGGTATACGTTATAGCCGTCAGCCGGGGACGCTCCATCAGATTCGCCCTCCACCCACGTTAGCGTTGCTTCCGTCGGCGTCACATCCGTTACCTTCGGTTGTCCCGGTGCCGCCGGTATTTCTAAAATTTAATCACAATAGTTATGGTAATTAAGTATTAGCTCAACCGCGAGTTATATACAGTACATACCTGTTGCTTTTTTGCCAGGGATCACATCATGAATTTCCGCCGGCTGGCCAGTGAGGTCATCGGATTGTGGGGTCACACGGAAGTCATACGCTTGTTTGGGTGTCAGATTCGGTACTACCATTTCCGTTTTAGGGGTCTGTCCCGAGGAAATCCATTCTTCCGTGTCGCTCGGCTTGTGCTCAACAGCAAAAACCAAAGGCTTATCTGTTTCAGGTTCAGTCCATCCCAGTTTGACCGACTTTGGTGTCGAGTCGAGTACATGGAGATCTTCCACTGGAGCAATTTCTTCCTGCTGAGACGCTTTTCTCGAGGGTTTTGGCGGTTTTTCTGCAGGAACGGTTTCCTCAAGCTCTTCGCTCGCCGGTAGCACGAATGTCTCCGAAGGCACGCTCGGCTTGCCTTCGCCAGACTGATTCACTGCGGCCACTTTGACTAAATATTCCTTTTCCGGTGACAGATTCTGGATGACCACGGTGGGTTGGAGTACGGGTTCTTCGGTGGCGTTCTGCCAAGTGTCGGTGCCTTTCTCCTGAATGAGGACGTTATAACTTTTAATCGGACTGTCACCTGCATTGACCGGTTCATTCCATTCCAGTGTCACTTCCGTGGGAGTGGCATCAACCACAAACGGCTTTCCTGGAGCGCTTGGTGTGCCTAAATTTAATTTAAATTGTTATTTCAATAATACAGATTGCAGTCTACCCTTTTTTATAAACATATTTTGAGGACTTGCCAGCTGCCTTTGTCACTTCCGGCATTTTGGAAGGCTTTCGTGTGGGTTTGGGTTTTTCTTCTTCCTCCTCTGAAATATCACATTAAGCTCGTGTGTTACAATTTTATTAGCGTCTTCCACTGCATTTCACCTTCGGGTTGTGGTATTTCTCGTTTCTTTTCCTCTCCGGCCTTGAATAGGTCTGAGGGAGCACTCGGCTCACTTTCGCCAGCAGGATTAACGGCAGTTACGCGCGCTTCATATTCGGAACCAGGAATCAGATCGGTGATTTCATGGGATGTATCCTTGACAACGTTCTTCGTCACTTTCCTCCATCGAGTAGACCCCTTTTCTTTGACGGACACATTGTAACCGTCTACCGGAACATTTTCGTCGTTCGGCCCGGCTTCCCACTCAATCGTAACTCCCTTTGGTCCGCTTTCGGTGATGCGCGGTTTGGACGGTACCGCTGGAGCCTCTGCATAAGACCACAAGATCGTTACCACCGTTATGGGCGTACCTATAGACTAGAGTTATTTACTACCTAACTTTAGCCTCCAGGAAATGCAATCATCAATCAATGAATCATTGTGAAAATCTTACACTAGTTTCAGCAATTCAATTGCAAAACTATGCTTCAGTTAAAAGACGTACCTCTCAAAATCATTCACATGCACACACAACTACAAAAATTATGATTTTACGTGCCAATATGTTCGTGACCTTTCACTGTAAACTTCCTACACCATATTATTAAATTTGTAAGTAATTTTACCGTATGAAAATCGAGCAACCACGTTGGCCAGTTCAGTGGGTACACTGATTCCTTCGGCAGTTTTTGCTGTCACCCGGAAATCATATTTTGCATCTTCGATCAGATTTTCCACCACGCACTCTGCATCGGTTGTTTCCGTAGCAGCTTGCCACACTTTTCGCTCTGACCGTTTTTTCTCCACGATATAGCCAAGAACTGGACTACCACCGTCACTCTTGGGCGCTGCCCATGCCAGCTTGACATTGTCGGGTGTAGACTGCACAACATGCACGTTCTCCGGAGAGGACAAAGGCTCTACACAAAGTCACAGAGCGATGATTTTTAATGAATGCACCTTGATAATATTTTAAATGAAGCTTTGGCTTACCGGCTTTCTTAGGCTTTGGCGTTTCCACTTCTTCCGGAAGTTCCTCAGTTTCCTCTAAACATCATGGAACAAATTCATGGTTAAACCATAAAACAACGACTTTTTACTAGCAGCATTGTCAGGTTTAGTTATGTTTAAGTAATAAGAACCACAAAAGCGCCATGCTTTCGAAGCTTCAACAGTTTTATATAAGCACAGACACTGCGCACAGTACATACAAAAGTAATTAGTACAAGTCAGTGAACCCACTGTGCACATATCGTTAGTACTGCTTCGACAATTATTATTATTTCAAGATCGTCAGTTGTGCAACCATTAGTATTTAGTTCTCGACAAAGAAAACGAACCACCAAGCAGATAAGTTACGCGATAACCTTTCATTAGAGATACCGGCAGACATTTCATCAATTGCCCAGTTGTATTGCTGTAACAGTTATGAACACGTTAAGAACAGCGTAGCATCTTGCAATATTTGAGTTAGTATGGCGTAAGCGACATCCATTGTGCCCAGCAGTGTTACCCGGTATTTTCTTGACCGGTTTTTCCTCGGGAACAACTTTCTCTGTTGTGGCGCCTTCGTCCTCGACATGCGTAGTTGTTTTAGTAGTTGTAGTGGTCTTCGTCGTCTTCTTAACAGTCTTAGATTTCCCGCGTTGTTCCGGATTGGCTACTTTAACGGCTTTACTGGGCTTGCTTTCTCCGGCCTCATTAACGGCAACAATCCGAACCTCTTTTTCCGGAACATCCTCTTCAAAAGGCACTTCAGCGACTTCTGCGGTCGCTGGCACTTCCTTGATGCGCTTCCAAGTAGCTTTCTCTTCCGTAGTTCTCTCTTCGATTATGTATTTTTCCACGGGTTGCTCGGTGGTCTCCACTTCCCATTTCACCGTTGGTACATCCGCCGATTCAAGCACTCGTACGTTCGACGGTGCTTCCGGCTTTTCAACCGGTATCTCACTGATTTCGCCTTCCTCCGCGTGCTTTGCCGAAGTCGTTTTGGTAGTAGTTTTCGTGGTTGTTGTTTTGGTAGTGGTTGTCTGAACACTGGTGGTGGTCCCAGTCTGTGACTTTTCCGGTTTATGAACGGTAACCGTCTGACTGGGTTTGCTCTCTCCCACTTCGTTCACAGCAATTATGCGGATTTCTTTCTCCGTTTCGTCCTCTTCAAATGGCACTTCAAAGGACTCTGCATTTGCAGGCATTTCTGTAACTTTAGTCCATGTCCCTTTTTGTCCTGGCTGGGCGTTTTTCGATGATGAAGCGCTCAATCGGCATTTGACCAGGTTTATCGCTTTCCTCTATTTTCCATTCCACTGTGGTAGTTTCTTCCGTTTCTTCGACAGCCAATTTCTTTGGAGCATCGGGTTTGGTCTTCATCTGCACCGGCTCTGCCAGGGTGATCGGCGAGCTTTCCTTCTCGGCGGTTTTAGGAGTGACCCTAAACTCATACTGCTCACCTTCGTCAAGATCTTCGATTTCCGCTTCAGTGTCTTTGGTGGTTGTCACTTTCGTCCATTTTTTCGTAGTAACGGTTTTCTTTTCCACAACGTACTCGGTTTCTTCTATTTCTTCCACATCTTCCGGCTCTTCCCAGGATAAATTAACCTTGGTGTCTGTAACTTTCACCACCTCCAGCTGCTGAGGCTGCGCTTCTAGTTTTGGTTTATGCAGCGGCTTCTCGACATTTTTAACGGAGACCGGTTTGCTAGGAGTACTCGTTCCCGCTTCGTTAACGGAGACAACCCGCAGCTCTTTTTCTTTTTCAACCGAACCAAAAGGCACTTCAAAGCTTTGCTCATCGGCAGGCACCTCGGCGACTTTGTGCCACACAGGATTATCTTCCGACCGTTCTTCGATAACGAACTGCTTAACCGGTTTCTTCTTCTCATCGACCTTTGGTATATCCCACTCAATGGTCGGAGTATCCACTTTCTCCGCAACGTGAACAGAAACGGGTGCTTCTGGCTTACTAATCAGCTGTACAGCTTCTGTGGTTGCCGGCTCGCCGAGACCCAGCTTGTTCTGTGGCGTCACACGAAAATCGTACGCCTCGCCTTCGATGAGATTAGAGATTTCGAATTCTCTGGCCTTTGTCGTAGCCACCTTAGTCCACACTTTTCGACCGACAGTGCGCTTTTCCACCACGTACTCTAGTTGGTCAATCGGTGTCGCTTCCTTCGGTTCTTCCCATGATAATTCCACCGTTGAGTCCGTTACTTTTATAACCTCTAAATTCTCAGCCTGTGTAGTGGGTTTTCGCTGGCGTGTGGCTTTAGCTTTAGGATTCTCTACCTTGACCACTTTACTCGGCTCACTTTCGCCGATATCATTCACAGAAACAACACGCAACTCTTTCAACGTTTCGGTGGTCTCAAACGGAACTTCGAAGGATGTTTCTGTTTTCGGCAGTTCCGTTAAGGTATGCCATTCCGCGTCCTTAACGGCTCTTTCTTCTACGACAAATTTCTCAATGTCGCTCCATCCCGTCTGTTCGCCAGCTTCCGGGATCTTCCACTCAATTGTTGGCGTCTTTTTCTTTTCCGCCAGATGAACGGCTTGAGGCGCATGCGGCTTGGTTTTCGTGTGGACGGCTTCTGGCACGGTTGTTGGCTCACCCGATCCCGCTTCATTCACCGGAGTAACACGGAAATCATAAGCGGTGCCTTCCTCCAGATCCGTTATCTCCATTTCTGTGGCTTTAGTAGTCTTTACTTCCACCCACGTTTGCTTGCCTTCCTTTCTCTTTTCTACAACATATTCTACCGGTTTTGCTGTTTTTGGCTCATCCCAAGTTAGCAGCACTTTGGTATCCGTGACTGATTCAATTTCGATTGTTTCTATTTTCTGTGGCACCTCTGTAAAATACAAGAAAAAAAACATTTAAAGCGTTACACACAAACTGCAAAGAGTAAAAGTACCTTCCGCGTTTTGCTTCTTGGGCGCTGGTTTCTTTCCGGGCTTTTTTGGCTGATCGGTTTCTTCCGTAACCGTCGTATTCGTAACAGTTTCTTCCGTTGTCTCAACAACCCGACTTTCCATGGGCGTGCGTTTTTTCTCAATTGTCTTTTCTTCCATTTCTGGAACTTCTTCTTGTGTCCCATCAGGGCGGCGCCGGCGCACTTGTTTTGTTCGTTCTTTCGTTTCTTCGATAACACCTTCTTCTACCTCAGACTTCCCTTCGAGCATTAGCTTTTTCGCTTCTGGACCGAGTAGTGCGCGCTTTTCTTCAATTGGTTCATTCTTTTCCACCACATGCTTGCCGGTTTCGTCTTGTGTATACTCGATCCGCTTGATGTTTCCGGTCGTCACTTGCTCTACGCCACCTTCTTCGGCCGTTGCTGTTGTCGTTTTGTATATCTGCTCCATACGGCCCTTCACTGCTGGTTCTTTACCCGTTTCATGGACGGTTTCCATTTCCCATTCCTCAACAAACTCTTCGACCGTTGTTTTTACTGCAATTTCATGTTCAATGAGAATAATAATAGTTGTAATCCAATATTGGCTGTTGCCGTGTAAAACGTTTACTCACCGGTTTCGTATCCTTCTATCTCGACTTCCTTTCCCGTTTTCACGTCGAATAATTTTCCGTTGCGCTCTTCAACTTCAATTTCTATTTTTTCACCCGCTTCGTTTTCTATTACGTATATTTCGATGGGTTTTTCGACTACAACTTTATCAATGGTGTCTGTTCCCATTTCGGCCACCTCCGTGACCTTTCGTTTGTCTGAGGGTTGGGGTTCACGGGTCAAACGGGATCTGGTCGTAGTGGTCTCAACTTCTTCTAAAATACCTTCTTCAGTAACATGCCGTTCTTTCGTGCTAACAGAGTCCGCCTGCGCCGAGAACTCCGATAAAGGATGGGTATCTACAACAGGTACCTCGATTGCCTTGGGCGTTTTCGATTCTATTAAGCCAAGCTTATGCGCTTCCTTTAACAACTGTTCCTCTGTTTCGACTGTTTTCTCGATTACAGGAAGCTTTTTCTTAGGCGTGACCTCTTCACCCTTCCCCGGATACCACTCTTCCTCTTCTTCGACAGTTGTAGCCTTGTCTGGCTTTGCAACCTTTTCGGAAAGAGGTTTCGGTTTAGGGGTAGTAGTGCTCTTTTGAACGACCTTGCTTTCAGTTACTTCTTCGATAACTTCGGTCTCTTCAACCTCTTCAGCCGCTGGCTTTTTAGCCGGTTGTTCTGTTTTCTTCGGTCGCTCCCTTCGAGGAGCTTTTTCAACGGCAGTCTCAGTTTTAGTTTCCACGGTCGTCTCTTCGGCAACATCGACGGTTTCTGGCTTCGATGCAGGTTGTTGGTTAGGCCTTTCTGCAACTTCTCCAATCGCGATTTCTTCCACTTTTTCTATTTGAGCCCAGAAATCTTCCTCTTCATCGCGAACTGGTCGTTTCACTGTTGGTTTCATTTGCGTAATCGCGGGCTTTTCCGGTGAACTTTCCTTATCTTTCGTGGATAGAGGTTGCCGAGGGGTCTTCTCCGGCTTTGTGCTCGAAATCGAAGTGACCTTTGTTGTTGTTTCGGTGATTTCAATTATTTCAGACTCTTCCAACTCAGGGCTTGGCGAACGTGGCTGTTGTGATTTTACTGGTTTCTTCTCAACCGTCTTCTCAGGGCTTCTTGCAGGCGACTTTTTCTTCGGTTTGGGCAGTTCTTCCGAGATTGCGAACTCTTCATCGGAACTAACCTCCTCTGCTCGGCTGGGTTTATGCACTTTCTCCACAACCGGGTTTTGTGCTTGTGTTGTTCGCTTGGTTTCCACCTCAGTTATCGTTTCGGCGATTTCCTCGTATTCCCCGTGATCGGGCTTATGGCTCACAGCTGCCGGTTTGGACTTTTCGGGTTTCGTGACCGTAGGTTTCTCTTCTACTACCTTAGTGCTCTCCTCCGTCACTTGGGTCTCTGTAGTTTTGCTTTCTACCGTATCAGGTCGCTTTCTTCGTTCAGGTTTTTCTACCGGCTTGGGCTTGGGTTTTTCTTCCTCGATCTCTGCCACGTCGGCTATTTCAGGAACTTCCGTAACCGAATGTTTTCGCACCTTTCGCGTCGTGGTAGTTGTCGTAGTCTTTGTTTCCAGTACCTCCTCCACACTTTCTTCCGTAGCTTCGATGGATTCTTGTGGCATCAGTTTCTCTTTGGGCTTGACAGTGGGCGTCACAGTGGTAACTTCAGTAACAACCGGTTTTTCACCAGGCTTGCTGGTCGTGGTGGTTACCGTCGTTTCCACAACTTCTTCCAAAACCTCTTCTTCTTGCCCAATGTCCGGTTGGTGCAAGACGTCCTGCCGTTGCGGCTTTTGCACTTTTTTAGTGACTACTTTGGTCGTTTTCTTTTCTACAGCCTCTTCGATCTCTTCTTCGGACTCGGCTTTGGGGCCTTCGATAAAACGCTCCTCGTTCAACAGCTGAAATTTATCTGCTCGAGCAGTTGTATCGGCAGATGTTGCTAAACCGGCTTTTTGAGACACTTCACTCTCGTCCGTGATGTGGGCCTTGTGTAGCGTTTTCGTGTTCACCGTTACCGTTCTCTTTTCATACGTCTCTTCAATTTCTTCTTCTTCATCTGACTCAGCTTCGGGTCTTTCCGGAAGATTTTTAACGATTGCTTCGTGGATTTTCTCCGCTGTCAAATTAGTTTGGGCCACTTTGGGTTTAGTTTCCTCGATGACGGTTATATCGCCATTGGCCGCGTCAGTGGTTATTGTACTGACAACAGGCTTTTCTCCTTTACGGGTAACAACGGTCGTGACGGTTTTTCTTTCATTCAGCGTTTCGAAGCTTTCTTCCACTGGCAGTTCTTCCTCCTGTTTCGGGTGCTTTTTAAGTCTTGGTACATCTTTCTCTTCGGCTGTGATAGGGGATACTCCTACATCGGTGACCTTTGGTTTCTGAGGCTTTTTCGTCGTAACTGTGGTGGTCAGCGTTTCCACGACTTCTTCGATGTTTTCGGCTTCCGCAATTTCTACTGGCTCTCCGATAAGTCGCTCGGGCAAGGTTTCGGTGTGCACCTTTTTCGTTACTCCTTTCGTGGTTTCTCGCACATGAGAAACGGATTTGGGATGCTTTTCGATCGTCTCAGTGCCTACCGATGCAGTTTCGCCTTTTCCAGTCACCGTTTTCACTTCGGTTACCGTTGGTTTCTCTCCTTTCTTGGTGACAACTGTTGTGGTTTTGGTTTCCACTGTTTCTTCGATGTCTTCGTCTTCCGGAATGGATGGAGCTTCCGATGTCTCTGACGGTGTCGGCACTGGTTTTGGTTTCTGTGTTTTGGTGGTGGTTGTTTTCGTTACCTTGGTTTCCACGAATTCTTCGTCCACCTCTTCATCCTTTGTTTCTCTGACTTCAGTCTCTGGTTTATGCTTTTTTGGTGCTGGTTTCTGCTCAATTTCCATTTTAACAGGGACAGCTGCTTCTTTGACTGACGGGCGCCGAGACCGTTCGGTTACCACTTCGGTTGTAACGGTTTCCACGATTTCCTCCACCTGTTCGTCTGTAGTTACACTGGGTTTTCTTTTTGGTTTCTGCGGTTGTTTAACCGGACTTGATGCGCGTTCCACTAACGTGGCTCGGTCGGTACTGGTAGCGGCATGAGACACTTCTGTTGCCTCCATTTCATCGGTTTCCATTTCCTCGTCCCGCGTTTGGACTGGCTCTTTTTTCGCTCTAACGCGCTTCTCAGTTACGACTGTACGGATTTTGGTATCATGGATTTCTTCAATACGAGATATTTCTTCGGCATCCGATCCTTCTTCCATTGCAACATCGACAGTGGAGGTTGTCTCCACCGTTGTGCTTTCGACAACACTGCTGCGACGCTTGGGTTTCGGTGATTTCTTCACGTGTTCGGTCTTCGTTGTTGTGGTTGTCTTTGTTTCTTCGTGACGCGAGACTTCCTCTTCTTCCTCGGTTTCTCGTACTGGTCGTTTAGCCTGTGGTTTCAGGCCGCCTTTCGTGGTTTTGGTTTCCACTTCTAAATGAAAAATAAATTCAGAAATTTCCACAATAAATGAAGTAATTAAGTTTCCATTGATGCACTGTGCCCACATACCGTTAACTTCGATCTTTATCACAGTGTCATCACTTCCTGCTTCGTTCTCCGCCACTATCCGATAAGTGCCAGAGTGCGCCGCATCGGCATCGGAGATTTTTAGTGTCAATTTTGAAGCATCTATGCTGAAAGACAAATGGTCATCTGGTCGAACAGGCACTCCATCTTTGAAAATCTGCACTTCCGGCTTTGGTATTCCGAAATAAGTCAGGCCCAACTGAACGGTTTCCCCGCTGTCCACTTGTATGCCTTTTTCATAGCTCAACGGTCGTCGAATTTTCGGAGCTTCTAGTTCTTCGGCATGCTTTGGTACCGCGCGCGGCTCCGGCGTGGATTCTGTTTAATGTGTGACCGAATAAGTTGACATCAGCGGGCTGTTCAGAACTTCGGGTTATCCAACGCAGTTAGCCGACACAGCTCCACAGATTATGACGCAGATTACAGTCAAAGCGCAAAGCCACAAAAGAGAAGAAAACGAGACGACTTGTTGTCATAAAAACGAACGTCTAGAAAGTGGTTAAGAAACGCACGAGAAGCTGTACCCGACGCTGAGACCTAGAGACTGCCACTGATACCTCACGAACGGTTTATGAAGACAGGACCATTAGTGCAAACAGATGAATTACATTCAATAATTATAACGTAGAAAATACGATAATTATGTACATTACAACATATACAACCGCTGTTATAGACTGGTTACAGTTGGACATAAACTTCTGCTGAATTACTTAGTAGTACCTACCTATCACTTCCACTCCAATGGAGACCTTGTCTTCCCCCACTTCGTTTTGGACGATCATTGTGTATGTTCCAGCGTCTTTTTTCGTGGCTTTCTTAATGGCTAGTTTAGAAAACTCTTCAGTTGTATCGGTCTGTACAGTCCTGGATTCCGTAACTGGTTTTCCGTCTTTAAGCCATGACACTTTTGCATCCGGTCCAGCCGTGAACGGCAAACCTAGTTCCACATCTTGATTTTCTTTGACCTGAACTGGCTTATCTAGTTTGGCTGGCTTTGTAATCTTTGGGGCTTTACGCGTCCGGGTAATCTTCGTAATAGTCTCCTTCCGTTCTGTCAAAATTTAATGCCATTGTATTACTACGGATTAGCTGTTCAGAATATTGCATACTTTGTATGAAATACAGCTTGAAAGTTAAAATGTATACGTACCGATCACTTGGATTTCAAAATCAGCTTCATCTTCACCGGCATCGTTTTCTGCTACCAACGTATAAGTACCAGCATCAGCTGCGGTGGCTTTCTCAATTGTCAGAACAGCTTTCTCTTCATCGAAGTCAGTCTGCACTCGTTGATCCCGAGTAATCGGCTTAGAATCCTTCAGCCACTGGACTTCCGGTTTCGGTGTGCCAGTGACTGGAACTTCGATTCGTATATCTTCGTTTTCTTGCACGTGTACAGCTTTACTGTACTGTTTAGGTTTTTGTACTTTCGGCGCCTGGCGTACTTCTCGATCCACCTGCACCTCTTCGTGTTCTGTCAAAAAAGCAGTAAATAAGTTGTATAGACAAAAGAAACGTTCGACGCCTTACTTATGACTTTCACTCCGATGTCGACTTTATCGTTGCCAAGTTTATTCTGCGCCAGTATAGAGTACGTTCCAGTATCTTTTGTGCGGCTGTCCAAAATAACCAGTCGGACGATATCTTCTGTAACTTCCGTCGTAACCGTTTCAGTCGCTGTCAAAACTTTGCCATCCTTCATCCAGGTTATGTTGGGAACGGGATGACCACTGTAAGCCACTTCCAGAACCAACGGCTCATGTTCATCTACTTGAGTGCCTTTGTCGAATTTCTTCGAAAGGAATAGTTTAGGGGCCTGATCTGCTGATTCCGTCATCATAGCGGATTCTTTGGTTTCTTTCGGGCCTTTAAACACAAAAGAAACAGTGTAAGCAAATATTCACAAGCAGAATAGCAAGGGTGGCGTGCGTATACCTAAAACTTGAACGCCAATATCAATTTTATCGATTCCAGCAAAGTTCTCCGCAATCAGTGTATACCGTCCGGCGTCGGTCTTGCTGACGTCTTTCACGGTAATAATTACTCGTTCTTCGGTTGAATCAGTCTGTACATGCTTTGAATCTTTTAACACTTTTCCGTCCTTCAGCCAAGTGAATTCAGGCTTAGGAGCGGCTGTGTACGGAACTTCCAGTGTTAAATCCTCTTCCTCCTTAACAGCAATCATCCTCTGATCTTTGCCTGGGCGTCGTAACTGTGGTTGCTGGAAGGGTGCAGCGTCAGTGCCGATATCCACCATGACCTTTTTCGGCTTCGCTTTCGTGCGCCTAACGGTACGTCGCTCGATATGTTCCGTTATTTCACTTATTTCAGAAATCTCATCAAATTCTTCATCGTCGTCAGTTGGAGCACGCGTTTTCTTTGGTTTTTTAGCTGACAGTCTGGAGCGATCTTCTGTTTCGACTTCCTCAGCGACCCCGGGTTGTTTGGGAGTATGAGGTTTACCGATAACTTTACGAACAGTATCAGTGCGCTCAGAGATCGAGACTTCCTCTCGAATGGACTCGACATCGTCAACGGTGGATGCTATTTCTGACATGGCCCGATCAGCAGCGCCCTTTTGCTGTCTAACCACGAGGTTTTTATCCTCTTCCAAGAGTGCATGCTTTTTACCCCGGTATTCGGTCATTTCCACATCTTCGATTTCTTGCACAATCTTTTTACCTTCCGGTAATTTTCTCGGCGCGTATTCGTTAGGCGTTTCTAGTAAAGTAAAGCTATGCAGTGATGAATCTTAAAAACGAAGCACAACTATCGCTTTATCAATTTTAAATAGCCATACTACAAGTATAGTACTGTGCACTTATGCATAAGAGATGGTCAAGCAGGCAACAAGGAAAAAGTCAAAACATTTATTGCTTATGTAATCATTTGTAGCAGAAGATTTTCATGCCTTTAAAATTGTGCGTTGAATTAACTGACCTGCTGGTTTGACAGGCGAACAAGAAGATCCTGGCAGACCTTCTCCTGCTTGGTTAATAGCGATGATTCGGAATTCGTAATCAAATCCCAACACCAGATCCGTTACCATAAAAACGGTGTTAGTCACTGGTTCATGTGTAATTTTCATGAAGCGCTGCGCTCCGGCATATCGCCTTTCGATGAAATACCCGGTGACCGGACTGCCGCCATCATCAGCTGGCGGCTCCCATGATAATATTGCCGATGACTTGCGGATGTCACTGACTTCGGGTGCAGCACAAGGGCCGGGTGGGTTGAATGGCCACTTAGCAGCAACTGGTTCCGTAGTTTCCACTTCTGGTCCGACACCATAACGATTTTCGGCTTTCACTCGGAAATAATATTCCTGGCCTTCCAATAAGTTATCCGCGGTGGCTTCTGTAGCTGCCGTTTCCGTAGCATGCTGCCACAGTTTGCGACCGCTAATGCGCTTTTCCAGGACATAATTGATGACTGGGCCACCTCCCGCATGTTCAGGTTCATCCCATCGTACAGTAACTGAATCCGGTGTGCTAGTCACAGGAACTAAATTTCGAGGGGCCGAAGGGGCGTCTGCAATAAAACGAAAAATCTTAAAAATCATCGTCACACTAGTTCAGTTACAGAACATCACTGCCACATGGATGCGGTCAGTCATTATGAATAAAAAAGTCTTTGTGTACCTAGGATTTTAACATTGATATGCGCTTCCAGTTTTCCTGTTTCATTCTCCAAGATCAATGAATAAACGCCACCATCTTCCGGGCCCATTTGTCGGACGTTAAGCGAAGTTTCATTGCCCAGCGTATCAATCCGAACGCGAGGCGATTCATGAATTGGTGTCTCATTATGTTTCCATACGGCTGTCGGAGTCGGGCTTCCGAAAAAAGGAATATTTATGTGAAGAGATCGACCTTTCTCTACAAAAATTGTGTCCTCCTGCACTACCGCTCCAGGCATACCTAAATTTCAAAACACCTCATATTAATAAACAGATGGGAAATTAACATAATTAAAGCAACAACGAGAATACAAACCGCTCAAATCTCCATTAGCCTTGGCGAATTCACTGGAAAATTCGCTGTCGAAACTAAGATTGGATTCCGCCCGTTTCGTGTATGGAACCTTTCTCTCTAGCGCCGTATCCGACTGCACATCATCGAAACTCCGCTTTTCCGGTATGACTCGCATTCGGTCTGCGGAAGCGGTACTCGTGTCCCACGCAAACGTGTCCTCACGACTACGCTGAGTTTTGATCTGGCGGTCTTCAGCCGCGAATTTCTTTTCAAGCTCGTCCAATTGACTAGACTGACTTGCACGACTGCGTATACGATTACGTCGTTCGATGCGCTCTTCCACAGTTTCCCCTTCGAATCCGTAACTGCCTTCTCTCTGAAACGACAGTTCTCGGCGCAGATCAGGAGACCGGTCACCGTTGAGCCGACGCTCTACGATCCGACGGGCGACGCTGGACTCTCTCGAACCACTTAACACCGAGTCCGTCCGGCGGAAAACATTGTCTAACAAAACACCGCAATGTGTCTGTTTGTTTTGAAAAAATTACCTACAGTATTTGAACTGACTGCGAACTACTGATGAAGAAATTATTGCGAATAGTTTCTGAACTTTTTAGAAGCCGTTTAAATGGGAATTGGTTTAAACCGGTAGTTGATTACATCAGTACCTACCATCATCAAGCAGAGATGCATTGCTAATCGAGCGTTCCATTGAGGGTCGGAATCCCCTTCCTGATCCACTCATCGCATCATCTTCTTCACTGGCAACGCTCCAAGCGCGTGTTTTTACTGGTCGACTCGGTTGACTAGGTTGGCTTTCTCCAGCTTTATTGAGGGCAATTACGCGAAATTCATATTCAGTAGCTGAAAATACATCCACTGTGTTCTGACACTTTTAATCAGCATGACACCGGCGGTCAACACTCTTACATGACAGTAAATCCGGCACAACAAACTCCGTTGATTCGATTAGATCGTTGGTGACTTTTACCCAGCGCGGGCTAATTGAATGGCGCCGTTCCAGTATGTAGCCAACAATCTGTGAGCCCCCATTGGCCAATGGTGGCTGCCAGGACACTGTGCACGTCCGATTGGCCATGTTCGATATGACGGGTGTATCCGGGGGACCAGGTGGACCTATCGCAAAACAACAAACACAAAATTGAAAAATAATCTCATCTGGGACAAATGTACAATTGCAAACGCATACCAAACGTGTATTTCGCAACAACAGGTTCCTGCAGTTCGGCTCCTTCGCCCTCGCCCACGGCATTCTCAGCGGCGACTCGAAATTCATAGGTTTGATCTTCCAGTAAATTCTCGGCCTCAAAATGTGTTTCCCTCGTTGTGCCAATTCGCTGCCATGTTTTCCGGCCAACGCCACGTCGCTCGATATTGTACCGCAAAATCGGGTTACCCCCGTCATGAGCCGGGATATCCCATTTGAGCATACATGTTTCCGGAGTAATTTCAGATGCTTTGAAATTTCTCGGCGCATCCGGCAGGCCACGAATTTCCACTGTGATATCCACCTTGTCCACACCATACGGGTTTTCGGCAATGATGGAGTATGTTCCAGCATCAGATGGACTGACTTCCCAAACTGTTAGTCGCGCTGTCTCATCTGCATCTTCGACTTGGTAATGTCTGGATTCTGGAAGTGGTCGGCCGTCTTTAGTGAACTTGAGATTGGGTTTCGGTTTGCCTTCGTACGGAATCTCAATTTTCAGCGTCTCTTTTGGCTTCAGCGTGAATGTATCATCCTCAAAATGTACAAAATGCAGTTTTGGCGGCGCGTTGTCGCCATGTCGGCGTTTCGGTTGCTCCTCTAATCCTTCCTCCCGCAGTCTATAAAATTTACGATTATTTAGCAATTGGAAAAGTCGGTACGATCGTCACCTTTTCCGGTCTTCTACGGGTAAATCCATATCCTCGTCTTTTCGTTTGGCCGATGTTCGTTCGTGATCTTCAAAGTCGTCCTGATTGGCCACTTCCGATGTGATGGATTCCACATCCATAACGGAATGAGAACGGCGATGAAAAAATTCCCAGTTGTGCTGGTCGATAAGTTCCGTAGGAAAAGCTACAAAGTTCATGTTTACAACGTTGCAGCACAAGTGCACATGATCACACCTGATCTTTATTGCCGTATCGTATATAATAAATTAATTTTCAGTTCTTTAACTTACCACCACGAACCAGCAATTCGGGATGATACCGAACAGTTCCATTTTTATTATGCGCTTGACAAGTATACAGTCCTCTATCTTCCGGCATAGTATCACGGATAATAAGCGTATAAATCTGTCCGTCCACCTTGAACTCGTACTTTTCCCCAGCCTCCAATTCTTTGCCATCCTTCCACCAGCTGACCTCCGGAACAGGATTACCACATACTCGGCAATCAAATTTGACGGTTTCACCAACTGAAAACGCATAAAATTGTACCATCCATGGATAAATAATTTGGAAGCTGACAGTAATAACTTACTAACGCAAGAAATACGTTCAGTCGATTTCCGCATATACGGTAATGTAGTTCCGTCTTCAAACTCAGGAGCTGTGAAATAGGACGAAGTGGAAGGGGTAGTTTCAGATTCCAGTGAAAAATACTCATCTGGACGGCGGATGCAAATACATACGAGCAACTATCGGGTTTGCTTGGCGGTTGGGTTAAAGACATGAAGATGACAAACGCAGCATAGTACGAAAATAGACGAATAGAAAAAAGAGACAGCGGCACGTCACGGTTATTACAGTATACACAACAACGACACAACCGCATACAAAGCATTCCCATAATCTCTTAAGTGCATGCCTACCTTCAGATATACTTTTCAGCTCCCGATACTCTTCCTCGCGTGTCAGTGATTCTATAAATACACGGTAAACTTTACTTTTCCCAACCTACACGTCCAAGTATTGCGTAACGCTTGCCCTTTAAGGATGTCGTGCTTCTGCAGCATCTTAATGCTACTTTGTATACAGAAAATCCAAATACTTACGTGTCATTACTCGCAGATATTTGCCCTGCATGTCCTGCACCATTTCTTCCATGGTTTGCGCTTCAGTTTTCGTGGTATGACTGCGAACATCCACCATGCCCGATCGCGAACGATCTTCGTAATCTTCCGTATTACTACGGGCCAGATTACTGAAAGTGGACCGATCTGGGTCATCGACTTCAATCATTGGAAGTCCAGCTAAAAAAGTCAATCATCTTTTGCGAGCTTCGTGGTGTAAGAGTACTCCCTATCCTAGCTGCATAATCATCATAAATTGCGTAATTTAGCGTCTAAAGACTGCGACAGCATTATTCTATAGAAACGATCTTGAACTTACATAGACCACCCTTGATGAGGCTGCGCACTTCACCGACCCAAGCCAGTTTAACATTAACTGATTTGGTTTGAAATTTAACACCGCCAGCTGTTCCCGATCGGTCCACGAGGGCGAAGTTCCGTTCATCCTCGTCAGGTAAATCTCGGATATCGATGTTCAACAGCTAAAAAAACACCAGAAGTTGTTTCAACCTCGACCGTTATTTGGACTGCAACGTCCAATAAAAGCGTCTGGATAATTTAGCTATTCTCAGCGCAAATGTGCCGCGAAATATGACCAAGCACTGTCTGGAAGTTGGAAAGGTCAATTACTAAAATTTATCGAACAGGCTACTGTACTGTACTTCACCCGCATAATCACGAACCGCTTACCTGAATTACTCCTTTGTTATTGAACTGGGGTGGTGATCCGCCGGCCGATTCGGCCCGCACCATTTTTGTTACTAATATCCGGTCTTTGAAGAGAAACAAATGTCGATCTTTAGCTTTCTTTTTCGGATCGGCATCCTCCCATATAATTACGGGATCCTATAATATGGCTCATAAACCCCAAGCCGCAGCGCCAACAACATAAAATTATAGCTTGAATTTCGTACATGGCGAATAATCCGTCCAAGTTTGTGAATATTCCCGCGGTAACCTTTGATGCACTTGAGCAGTTCAATGTCCTGCGCGCGATGAGGCACACCCAACAGCATATCTAGCGTCTTGCGCAGCCCCGTAACATCTTGCTTGGCACGGGAGGTGTACTTGATCATCTCTTTGATGAAATTTTGATATTCGGCCACTCGCTGCACGGGCAACTGCAGCAGATCGGAAATGTTTTTCTCCGCTTCTTCAAAACTGCCGAACGGGGTAATTTTCTGAAAATAATATATTTTCCATTGATAAATATATTTTTGTGCGCCATTCAAGCTTACACCGAGGAATTCCAAGAGTTCTGGTGATTCAGACAGAAGTTTTTGAGCCTCCGGTTCATCGCGACAGTATGTGGTCAACTTATCGAAGTCCCGCTCCTGGTTATGACATTAATTTTAGAAAAAAAGTTTGGGAAACTTGTTTAGCACAGTATCTTTTAATAAAATTGCAATGCCCATATAAAATCCTATAATTATGTTGGCTCACTTATAGCAGAGCAGTCTATCATGATTGATAAGTAGACCGCATCCGCTGGCTGCTAAAAATAGCACCCTCGCAACACATACCAGCCTCAAAAATGTCTTCTCCAAGTATTGTGGTTCATCGACACAGAATTCAAGTCCCGGCAGCAAGACGCTACACAACAGCAAGACAAATGGTTACGAGTCAGGAATTTGCAATCGGATAGGATTGATGACTTTGACCGTGATAAAGTGCCGCATCCAACAACATGTGCGCTGAACAACTACGCAAACCATTCCTACATCTGTAGCAAACATACGTTTCATGAAAGGTGCACAATTCCTTCCAGTTAAGAAATATCTCGCTTTCCCCCCGCAAATTCTCCGGGACCGACGGTCTGTCTAGTGCCCTAATGTACGTGTCCAGCACGAACTTTAACTTTTGAACGTACTGACGCTCGGAGTCGATTATGTCTTTGATCACAGCGCTGAAATAATCAGATTGTCAGCGTATTATACAGCTCCATCTTACAAGGCCTATGCCTTACTCCCGCTTCGCTAATGCTTCCTTTTCCTTTGATTCCCCGGAGACTTTGGATATATCAGGTAGCTCCCGTGTTTTTCGTTTACTCTCGCCAGATTTTTTCTCCAGATAACTGGATGGTATCCAGCCCTGTCGGACTGCCACATGCCTGACGGGGCGTGTCCGCATCAAATAGCGCTTAGGATTCGCGGCATCCAACAGCTCGACAACTTGCCCTTCGATGACGGCCAGTCCGTCTGGGTCTTCCGGACCGGGAATGTAATCCGCTATCGCAACATATAAATCAAGGCTCTGCAACCAAAATGCACACTTTTTTTGGACATTCAATTACAACCAAATCGCACGTAGCTTTGCCGGTGTTAGTAAAAATTCCCATCCAGAAGTCGCTAACGGTTAAACTACTGCAGTAAGAAACAATTTAACGTCCCACATCTGCTTAGTTTTATTAGGGTTTGACCAGCTGTTAACTGCAGTTAGATCGGATGCCATTACCCGAATTATCAAGTTCCCCAAATTCACCATACAGCTAGTCCAAAAAGTTTTAGGCCTACATGAAAAAATTTCAGAAAATTTTCTTCACTATATTTTTAGCAGTTCAATGCAGCCTACAAACAAACATTCATCAGTTACCGGTATCCAGAAAAAAAAATTGTTTTTCAAACTCCTCTTTCTTCCCTATCACCCAATGAAACGATAAATTTGGTTGCTTTTAAAAATTATTTGTCGGTTTGTACAAAATTTACATGCTCAGTTATCCAATACCCATTACAAACTCAGCGCTTATTTTACAGCTGCCAATGACACAGACTCACAGAGTACGAGTAGCTGTAGAAAGATAGATAAATAACCGGGAAATTTTTTACATAATTTTAAAGTTGAAATGCCGCCTGGACATTACTGTATCTAGCGGTAGTAGTAACGCTGCGCCCTTACAGACACAAACGGACACATGAGGTTTTGGTAATCTCAAGCTTTGCGGCCACTTCTTAGTTCACAATTGTTTCTCTAACCATGTTGGACATGCATAATCGTACCTCTAATACTCTTCCATCTGCCTCTTTTTCGCTCGATTCGTCGCGGTTTACATTCCGAAGCCGGGAGCTAATAGATCCTGAATAACGTGATTCGAGAGCAACACCCGATATTTCACTGGATTCACTGACATCCTCCGATCTCAGGATGCGTCGTGATGACCTTGTACCAGGGCTTTTTGAATCCATGATCGCCCCAGCTCAAGACAGTGATCATTCGAGACAGTTCGTTTGCATGAAGTTTCCAGCACTCCCAGTATACATGGATCTGTAAAAAAATCCGCGTATAAAATATACCGGCTCTTTTTAAAAAAATGCCACGAAGCCGGGTTTGCTTAAATGGGATAGCAGAGCAAAGTTGCACCACCAGAGCTCGTTAGTCGCATCATCAACATTACAAAGCTCGTTATGAATTTGCGGCCGGTATGACTAAGCGTTACGAAACAAAATAAGAACTCGAACAACATCTGGAGGCCTGGAAGCTTCTGCGGAACACACAAGTATCAGAGTAATTCAGCAACAATTAGTGCGGTGCCAGTGAACAACTTGTTGTTATCATTTCGGATGCAGTTTAAGGTAATTCAAATCGTCGCATCAACGATACTTTTGAGCATGCAATCACTTATAGCACGTGCCAAAGGTTGGTAAAAAATGGTAACAGCAAAAATCAAAAAATAATTATATATTGTAATCACTAAAAAAAATTACCTTAAAGCCCTAGTCAAAGTGGACAGGGGCGATTGGACGGGAGAAAGTTTTGTGGACCACGAAAATGTATCGCTGCAGTGCTAGATTCAATCAGAATGAATGCCTCAACTCTCCGATCAACCGAAAATTCGTACGTGGTTTATAACATCGGAAACCTTATAAGGCGCTTCTTTTTTTAGATTTGTTGAACTTACGCCTGGTCTGTCATACAAGTCTCCAGATCTGCTACAGTCATGATAATTCATACTCGTACTTTTCAACTACTGTAAACTAGCAACGATACCTGCTTTTTTCGGCTATCGTACGTACAAACTCATAATTCAAATGCATGACGTTTTATCTGGACTTTTGAATTAGAGATATGCTTGCGTTGGTCCTGCGCATTTGGTGTAAGCGCACAGAACGGTATCTCCCAGTCCCGTCGCTACGCGCGGCGTACCTGCTAGACAAAAGTCGAATTCCGATCCACTTAATATTCGATTCGTTTCCTTAATCTTTTGATTACATGTATGATGTATTCAAAATGATACTTTCCTGACCGGCTTTGTTACAAAGTCTTTCATACCGCGCTAATTTATACGTGGTGCATTGGTTGCACTAAAATCAGACAATCTATCTGAGACAACAGGCTGTGACACCGTTACGTTACCGTCAAACCGTAATGACGTTTACGTCAACTACGCAAGCTGTTTGCAAACCGATACTACTATTGGGGCTCAAGTCGTCATGTTTTATACTAACAATTAGAAAAAACTCCAGGTGACCGAATAATACTGCCCAATAACTATGTAATTTCCAGGTAAATGTAAATGAGTGCCTGTACAGAGCTGTTTATTTTATGCATATACCTGACTTTCTGTCTATATTTGTCTGCTATTGCTACCCATTCATTGTCAAACTTACAAAATACATGATTAAAAATATTGTATTATGTATTGCTTGTTAAAACGTGCGGCTCATACTGCTCATGTTGCAGTACATTTTATACCATCGTGCTACAGATTTGCTTTCGTGAAGTGAAGTTGCAGTTTAAACCTGTGCTTCTCAATAGACTGAATTTGCGAGTTATCTCGTAGTCCATTCCTTATTCCTTTCCTTATCAAAAGTAATTTAAGACAAAGACTGGCCTATAAGGTAAGGAATGGTACAGCTGGACAATCAGGTCCAGGACATTCCTTACTGAAACCCACAATAATTTAATCTGTCGAAAGGTCAAGCTGATGTAAAGGATGGCGTACCGTCGTATACTTCGTGTAATGTCGATTGCAGTTTTCAGTTAAACCAAAAAAATCACCTGCTTATTACACTGTTATAAATAAGGTAATTTGTATGGTCCCTTCACTACCAAACATGTATTGTATGGTTCCCAAAACACGTTCAGTATCTGCAACTGCACATCAAACGCCGCTACACACTGCGGATCTGCAACTGCAAATCAAACGCACACGTATGCGCAAACATCGGAAATGCTACTTGTATATATGGCCCTCCCAAGGTTTGGGAGACTTTTAATAATAATTATTAGCTTTCGAAATACTAAAAAATACATTTTCTGTGTAATGCGGAAACTAATACCGACACCAGTAAAGAACTGCAGGGCACGAAGATTTACTTTACTTTGTCTTCGCAACATGAATCGTACTTCGTACCATCGATCACAGAGTATGAAAAATCCACCTGTTCTCTTCAACATTTAAGCCTTGAAATTCAGTGTGCATGGTAATGCTCAGATTGTTCTGGGAACTGTTCCGTCTCAGACTCTCATGATAATTCGAAAGGATTTTTCATTCAGATGATGACATTGTGAATGCAAAGCGGTACTGAATAAAGTTACTTTAGAGATTAAAAATTCGCCAAAATAGTAGCGCTAATTTTATTTCCAGAATAAGGTTTCGCGCAACCAGCATTGATGAAGGGACAGTGAAAATTAACTTTTTAACAGTATAATAAGAAAGCGGTGTTTTGGCTTAACTAACAATTGCACTTGGCATTATATATGTGAAAAGTAAAATATATGACCGTACTCGATCCTTTGCATTATCTTGACCTTTCGCCAGATATAATTTTTGTATGGTACACTAAGAAAATGTCCAGATTGCCCTAACTGCATCATCACTATATGTACAGAGTATATCACGTAATCACGTCTATATGACCCTATAATTATGGGTAAAATTAGGTGTTGTAATATTTTTATTAAACCGCGTCACTAATGGCTTTGAGTATCTGTAAAACACTTAATATTAAATATCTGTAAAATATTGAAATATTTGAGTTTCTGGGTTTATTTAAATGTACACCGAAAATCGTAGTCACTCGCATCGTAGAGCTCGACCCCATAATTATAGTTTTGATTTTCGCAATTTTTTCCACATTGTTACTGTAACCGTGAACAAAAATTTCTTAAACCTGCTGTAGTAAAAGAACCTGCAGTTGGAATAACTTACAATTTATGTTAAATCTAAACACGGACCACAAAAAAAATTTATGTAGACGTTATGCCGCCAAAGCCAAGGATGGTGACATTCACTAACTTTAAGGAAAATAACAACAAAGGCAAGCCATTTGCAAAGCTAAGTGATTCAAAACGGATTTAATTCAAAACAGGCAACAAAAAGGTAGGATTGAGAGGTACTTTGCTTTTTCTAATGCTGAAAAATTTCAGAAAAAAGTACGACTAACTTACAAAGGTCAGACCCGCGTGAAACTGCAAAATCCAGTTTACCATGCCACAATCATCATGTTTTGAAAGAGGTTTGAATACATTATTAAGCGCTTACTGCACTAATATAAGCAGCGAAATCGTTCTTCACAAGAATAAAAATGGAGTTAACACAAGCTACAACTTTGCGTTAAAAATTCTACTGAGAATTAGAAGTAAAAGAAGTCATAGTAAATGACAGTATATTTACATCGTAAAATAAATTGAGACCGTCACATTTATTATTTTTCATCAGCAGACGGAAGCTAGGGGGCAGATAACCACTGCGACAAAATCAAGTAAACAATACATATACATATGTATAAATGCAGAGTACAGAGCATTTTTTGTTATTTTCTGTGTATTGTGTGTAGAAGTAATCGTACACACATTACTTCTACAGAGCACAATAAGCTAAATCCATTTCCTGCTTTGTAGTCTGCGCTAAATTTTCATATTTACCGGTATATATGTATATGGGGTTCCGGTTTAAATATGAGGGTGTCTTACACTTAAATACCAAAACTAACGTTTTTCACCACAAATGATACCAAGTATGGCCGTATGGGACCAAATCAAATAAAAGCGCTCTGCCACTATAAATGTTTCATATGTTTATCGTAAAACTGGCAAATAAACCATGTTAGATGAGAAATGATAGTGCACTACTCTATAGTTTGCGTTGTGTTGTCTGCCCAAATCTGCGTTACATGCATAGTGCATAATTATGACGTACAAAATTATTGTGCCTGTTTGTCCGGCCACTACTGGGTTGTAGCGGCTGGGAGAATGTGTTATCCACACCAAATTGCACAGTCTGAGAGGCCAACCTGCAGTGGTGTGTTTGTTGTGCGCCGCAGAAATAGTGCAGTATAAACCGGCAACCATTTCCGGTGCTGCCTGCCCGTACATGCTGGATTGGCCGTTCATCATCGGGCACTGCCGGATCGGACCGCCCAACCATGGCAGACGGATGTGCTGCTTTTCCTCTGTGGCAGTGCTGTGAACTGGAAAGCTGGTAACACTGCAAAACTCAGAAAGGATAACAGTGCAGCAAAGGGGGAATAGCGCTTTGCAGGAGGAATATGCGCAGATGTACACACACACCACCACCACACACACATAGCATATACACGCGCATACATACACACAAAGTAAGTCTAGGATGTCCTCAAAATCACACTACGAGGCACCATACAACACTGCCCTACCATCTCCTGCCTGTTTGACTGCTGACGCGCTTATTTACTCTCGTAAATGGTTTTCAGGAATACACAGGAATACTATATCCCGTAGTTTTTGACTTCCATTGTCCTATTCTAAATATCCGAGAGTCAGCCTGTTCTGGGTCGCTTGGTATATGTAGTAATATATAGACCATATACTCGGTGCTGTTCCAGGAGCTCATCCACAAATCTTTGACTAATCGCCACTCTATGTAACCGAAAACGCAACACATTATGGGAATACTCTGTAGGTCCGATAACCATCATTGAATTCGACGTGTTATGTTATATTGCAGATGTGAAGAGAGACAATGGATTACGCGTAGCGTTTAAGACCAGCTTGAACGGAATCTGGCGCTGATGCCATGTCAGGTAAAGTTAGGTCCATTTTGACGTTGTTTGTGTTATGCTTTGTTCGTCGTCTGTACGTTGCGTTTGTACGCGAACTTCGGGGGTATTTTTCCAAAAGTGTGTGCGTATCGAGAACAGGGGCAGGAGACAGCTGCAGGCCGCGCCAGTGGAGGCTACAAGGAAGCCGTGTTATGCATGCCTCTTCTGGTGCTTTTATGGGATAGCGTGATCAAAATGTGCATTTAGCAAGCCTTCCTTTCAGCGCAGCTATGGCGTTTTACAACATTGGCGACGTAGTGCAGTAGGAAACAGTAGCCAGGGATGGTTTGTGTACGCAGATGCACGCGTTATTCGATAGGCATACACATCGGTGTAGGCTACTTTTCCGTGGGCACCACAAGGTCTCATAATTTGCCGAATTATAGTGTACCCACATTTTTCTCGTGTGCTTTTCGTTTAGCGGTGTTTACTCATTGATTTATGGTCGGTGTAGCAAAATTAGATTGTGAAACGTAATTTACAGTGGGCTTTTACATAATATGATTACTGCACACGAAGGTGGATAATTAATGTGGAACACCGGCTCTGGTCACGGATGCCGAATGGCCATTAATTTTATTTTGGAAAACCTAAAACACTTGTTTGGAGTTTTCATCAAGCCTACAGAGTACTACTCTAGATAGAGGTGGTTTATACTTGATAAGCCTTTATAAAAAAATATTTTTCGTTTAAACTTGATTTTTTTGCTATTGATTTAAATAAAATACAACGTCGACGACTTCGATTTATTGGACAGCAACTTAATAATGCACAACAGAACTGTGTACAAATAAATAAGTCTGACTGCTGTACGTACTAGATGAGTAGATAGATCTCACCAATATTATATTTAATAATTGCATAGTACGGTGTGTTCAGTATAAATATACTGGGAAGTGGGAATCTTGGCTACTGACATTAATGTTTTGTAAAATTGGGCTGTTTTTCGAAATCACTCAAATTTCCGAACATAATTTTGTTCTATATTTATATACTTACCTATTTACATTTCCGGCGTAAAAAAATTTAACAAGTCCGAAATGCATGTTTGCGACGTTAGTACGGTAGCTACGTATACAACCTGGCTCGTGTGTAGTAATAACTAATTAATAAGCCTTTTTACTAACTTCGAATATTTTTAACTAATATGCGCTAAAAATAGATACAGAAGTTTTTTGCTTGATTATATGCCTATTTTTGTTTCGGATATATGTAGGTTGCAGTATTATTGATTGCCGGCTAATTGCTTAGCATATAAACAAAAAATCAATAATTAGATCGATATGTTAATAAAACGGTAGCCGACTAAATTACATTGGGAAATGAATAAGCAGTATACATATATTAATCCTCAGTCTACAGCTGCGAACTTGTACAGTATGAGTACTGAGCAAGCTTACAACGACACGGCTTCGAAGATGAATTATGAGGATATAATTTTAAGGAGTACAAAGTATTTCTTATAAGAGCAATAAATTATTTTGCTGCAGAAATTATTTTCCGCAGTACAAATTGCCACACAATTAAACGCACACCGATCATGCACGGTTCATAGTAATATCGGGATGCCTTAGCAAGTATAATGCGCAAGGCTTGGAGTATACAGGAATCGAATAACAATTTTTTCCAACAGAATTTCGCCTCATTGATGATTAACGGGTTACAGCTTTACGCAAATACGAGTAAATGCAAATAATCTATGATCATACTTATTCGTACTTTCGCTTGCAGGTACGTGTCATGACGGTGGTTTTAAATTCAAGGCTCGCGTTTTCACATAAATCAGAGAAAAGTGGACCTAAGTCGGACAGCAATGAACGTGTACATGGTAAGTGAAATTTGGATTTGGCACTTATACTTGGTTAAAGAATCTAGGAACAACCGGAAGCAAGTAGTGCTCCACTGCTGTTTGACGCAGATTGACTGTTAGCCTTTATACGTTATTATTTTGTGATATTCAGATTTCCCAGGACTAATTACAGCATCCAGTTTTTTTGTGTATATTTTAACAAATACAAATTTGAATAACTACAACATCCCAGAAGACCATCATAAAGTTCTAACTTAATTTGATGCGATGATTACATCCCTACTCGGCAGGTGTATGAATTATATTACCAAAATGCAGCACAGTACTTATATCTACAGTATGCCAATACGTACACAAGGCATTACAGTACAATAGCATAGCATAATTACTTTATGACATTCTCTGATTTTTAATCTCATCAGTTCATTATTATAAAGGATGTAAAGCTGAAACCTGCATCCGATTTTATGATGTAATTATTCGATAGTTCGTTTAGGTGTTAGGATGAATCTTTTCACATTGTTTTTAAATGTAAGAAGCAAACCTCGTTAGCAGATTCTATAAGCTAGACCTTTGAAAATTCAAGAAACGATAGAAATTGCACGGTGACTCTTGGTATTTGCTTAAACTGCCTAATTCTGGCGGAAATTATTTTGATGTTATGAAAATGAAATAGTCACAAAATTGTTCCGGGCACGTCAGAGCTCGGTGTGTCCCACCAAAAATGACCAGGCGACGTGTTCAAAGCGCTGTTTGACAGGATCCCTCCAGTGAATTTTTGTAGAACGAACTTAATTACGGAGGGCAATGGTAAAACGAAATGCTGTTGACGCTAAATCTTTGTACTGTTTGATAGCGTGTTTATTTTTAATCAAGCTTGTTTTGCGTTAAAAGCCATTTCTGCGTTTGAACATTCTGTTGAAACTGATAGTATCCTCCAAACTTTGCTCCAACGAGATTACTAAACCCCAGATTTTGAACACTTTTTATTTGATTGGAAAAATTCTGACTAGATTATGCATAAATTTTAATTTCAATTACGTCATCATTTAACGCTTTTCCATCTTCCTTGAACAAAGAAGCTATGCGAATATTCGTGCGGTGCGAAGTGAACGAACTACTGTGCGAGTACAACGAATCGTTTACTTCGTCTATCGAGAGATACTGCAACCAAGCGAGCTAGCGTTTTTCATACTGGCGTTGCTGTTTGGTACTGTTCTTTCGGTGTACCAGTGTTTTCGCTTTTAGAAAACTTTATACTCTTATACGAAATCCATCTGGGACTTCTTTGTTTCACAGCTGCTCCTTTTTCCTGTGCTGTACGAGCTCGGTAGGGAAGCGTCATGCAGTGTTTGCAAATTCATGGTGCTCCTCAGTACATAGTGACACAATAATTGCGCTTTTGTACTCGCACCGTAGAAAAGTTACATGAACTATTCTGTTCCTTGCCGGTAATAATTTTATATAGAACTTGACCTTGTGATTTTCGTGAGCGTGTAACTGCTATAGTATACATGCAGTAAACAGCCATGTACAGAGGACTTACGTGCATTTTAAAATAGTGTTGTGGTTTACGGCTTCGTTCAAAAAATATCCCAGAATTATTGATTAATTAAATAATAATTAATTTTCGGAAGGCGGAGACTCCGTCAGTCAGTTCCGGGCAACCCTTAAGTGAACATGCAATTGATTTTGCATAATTTTTTTAATTTTTCTGCTAACTATACGATTTTGTAACATCGATATCATAATAATTCGTTATTTTTATAATCATTATTGCTTTAATAAAGCAATGGGAACCGGGTACTGGAAGAAGCTGTTGGATAGGTATTAGGTAATTTACGTGATGCAGTAAATAGTTTTGCTAGAAACCACCGAATTTTGTGCTTATGTTGTGTCGCCATAATATCGAGTGGAGTTTTGTGCAGCCGTTAAACGGTTTTGCCAAGTGCGCCCATTATTAGAAGGCTTTGACAGTAATTGGCCTTGGTTCCCATCTATATACGCCTTGTTGTGAAGCGTCGTCAGGCTGATGGATCTGGCCATATCCAGTAACGCCCATTTTTTACCTGTTAACCAGTGTGCACATGCCTTCCGCTCTGCTGTATAGGGATTCCCGTGGACTGACCGCTCAGTCGTACACACTCCACACTGCGCGAGAGTGTTATTCCTACAAGTACTATGCCTCACGCAATTCTCCTTCGCTTCACGTCACAAGTACATAAAAGGGAGCGGGACACGCTATTGCGCATAATTTGTCCGGCCCTTATCATTCCTGACTAGCTGCATTGTTGGTATAGGCGAGTATGCCCTGAGCCAGCACGTAGAATTTCGTACGGATAATATCGGGCCCGCTCACAGCTTTGACTAGGCGCATGCCCGGCGCGGCGCGGGATGAAGCATACAGAATCACAGGGAGAGAGACGTCCAGTATTTTTATTTTGTAATGGTTCAGCCTTACTCGTTTCGGCACACAGTGTGTCTATGTAATATCCGCAGTGAGCAGTGGTGCGTGCATCGACAATAGAGCTGAGTTTGTTCCACTTCCCGTTAGACGAGAAGGAAACTCTCGTTCCTCCACATTTTCTGGACTCTTTAATTTTGCAGCGTATCGGCTGCCTGACGAGTGGTGCGCGTGCGGACACTGCATAAACCGTACTCGAATGCGCTCGCATTAAGTGGCCATTTCTCAGTTGTGGCTGGCGTTTGCTATCGCTAGCATTAACACTCTTGTGAACCTGAAGACTTTATTTTGCCCATACACTGCTCCAAAGTTTTGATCACGCTACGAGACCCATAAGCGTACAACCGGGAATCTGCGGTGCCTTTTCCTTCCTGCCTTGCGCTTTATGTATTCCGCCAATAATTTGTGTACCGTATAACGGCGTCTGTCTATAGCGCCCGCTTCATTCATAACCCTGTGCCTCCTTGTTTTCCCTCAAAGTGCGAATCATTGGTCATCATTTTTCATACCAAAGTTAATGGAAAAGGATAGAATATTGTTGCTGAACTGATATCAGTACCTTATTTCCCATTAAGTGCTACCCCAAGTGATTTAAACTGGAGTACTCTATGTACAACGTCAACAGCATGAATCGTGCGGCAGCGGCGCACAGTTACCATCAGTCGAGATCGCCGGCTTCTTATCAGAACAGCGGTCGTTATCAATGGGTAGGCGCGCATCGAATACCAGTAGTACCACAATGTTCGGCTTAATTACGGCAGCTAACATCTTTTACCTTTTGATAATAATTCCAAAATTCGTTAAACTGTCACGGAGTATTATAAATTAAAGTAACTGACTACGAGCTGTTCATGGGCAAAATTATGGTAGCTCCAAACCTGACCGAAATAAAATTCTCTTTCCAAATTTGGATATACAGTATCATCGAATTACTATAATAATCTTTATGTGTAGAAGGGCAATTGTACAACAAATCTTTCCAAAAGAGGGAAATGTATCAAGTACTATAAGTCTATAACGCATAGTCATACGAAGTACAAAGGCACTAATTTTAAAAACATTTACAAGAAATTAAAAACTACATTAGGTTTGTTAGTGTGGTACATTAACATTGATACTGCAAAATTCGTTCATTTGTCATTTCCTATCGAATGTGCATTGGCGCAATAATATTGACCTTTTGCATTATTCTTTGTAGTGGCTACCGGTGGTACCGGAGATGGATGCCATCCAGCAGTCAGACGGCTTACATGATTCCGGTGGCGTATCGGATGGAGGAGGCAGCGGTAACGGTAGTTCAGATCCCCTAATGAGTGCCGGATCCGGGCATGATTTAGGATCTCGTTCGCCAAACATGACCAATTCTGCATTAAGCGACAGCACGGAGTTTCGTGTCAATGCAGTTATGAATATTCCTGATTCCGCCTATGCCACATTTAACGGACGCCTTTCTCCGTCACAGTTCTCGGGGAATGCCGGCTCCTATGCCACACTAACACCGCTACAGCCTCTTCCACCGATCGCCAGCGTGTCGGAGAAATTCAGCCACAATCCGGTAGCTACTCCACAGGGCTTTCATTTTATAACACCGAATCACCAACTGTCCGTGCACAACATAACCAATACGTACCAGTATGCGGCTGGATCATTTGCTCCCTTAACGGCCATATCGGCCCACCAGGCAGCCGCCGCCAGCGCGGGCATCGGCGGTTATACAGGTGCATATTCACACAATGGCCTCCAATCACCCAAATCGTTTTCCCCTTCTAACGGATTTGAAAATCACATTGCCTTAGCAGCGGCTAACTCTCTTAACTACCCCACTCCTCAACGACATAATCTTGCAGGTTCCACGTCGCCCTTCTCCTCAGCTAATCTACATTCCAACAACGGTGTCAGTCTGACCATCCAGCTAGCCGGTGGGCTGTCAGTGCAGAGCAGTGTCTTCGGCCAGTCGCAGCAGGCATCGCAGCATTCCCAAGACTCTGAGAATTCTCACCATCATGACCGGGGCGGCGGCAGTCCGAGCAATCTCAACGGCTCACACTCGCCACCCGGCACCCCGACCTCCTCACCGCACAGTACGAACGGCAACGGTAATAACCACAACGGACAGATTGTTGTGGATAATAGTCCGGCCAATTCGGTTATGAGCGCCACCTCGCACAGTCATGGCAGTTCGGCTGGTATGGGGAATACCAATGGGTCAGCGGCTCATGGGAATAAACACCATGCCGCACACCGAACGACAAGCCATTCATCTTCCGGTAACAAAAATGCCAACAATAATACGACCGCCGCCGGCGCGACGGGCTCCGATGAAGCGGAGGATATCAACACCAAAGATTTGGCCCAGAGGATATCGGCGGAATTAAAACGCTACTCAATCCCACAGGCCATCTTTGCCCAGCGGGTTTTGTGTCGCAGCCAAGGAACCCTTAGTGATTTATTACGGAACCCTAAACCATGGAGCAAACTTAAGTCGGGCCGGGAAACATTCCGGCGCATGGCCAAGTGGCTGGAGGAGCCGGAGTATCAGAGGATGGGCGCGCTACGAGTCGCAGGTATGGCACCACGTTTTTATATATATATGACGTGCGGTTTTTTATGAATGCCAAAAATAAGCGACGTTTTTCATAAGTACTGGTGCTGCTGTATTTGCTCTTATTACGTTATTTTTCAAAAATATTTTAGTGCTGGCTAAGTTTTGATTAGCCTCTTCAGTGAGATTGTCAGCACTGACCAGCATAAGTATTTGTATGCTAATGATCCGCGATATCTATATGGCTAAGCAGTTAGTTGTCTTGCATTGTCCGCACTCGGTAGAATGTACCATGTCGACACTCTGGAGAGGCTTGAGCAAATTAGCCTTGTTATTAGTCGGGCATGTGGGTAATGTGGGATCTCGAAGTGGCAAGTTGCGGAAGAGCTAGTTGTGCTGTTTTGTCTGTTATGTACAGTATGTTTCTGGCACTAACATGTAACGCTCGTAAACAGGTTGCTCTCTGCGGTTGGGATTGACATGAATACTATGCAGACCATGAGAAACGGCAGCTGGTGCAAGCAGCTTGTGGTGGCGTTTGCTTAAGAGTTGCGGAAATTCAAAGCCATTTTCGGTTTTGCAACGAGCTCACAGCACACAGCCGATATACACACTGACATTTTATACTAATATAAAGAAGAACAAATAGGAAAACTGTAATAAAGTCTCTGTGGTAGCGATGTCAACACAAAACAACATAAAATATGTGCCCGCGCAAACGGTGATTATGGATGGCACAAGTGGCCGGCTGTGTACTGGTATGGCAGCAGTGCCGCAGCACGCAGAGCTATTACCGTACGCGCAATGGCAATGTAGTGAAAGCGAACACATTGTGGGTACTCTGGAGAGAAATTTCCACGGCCGGGAATGTGTACTGACAGTGGCAGCGGTGTTTAATTATCAGTTTGCTTAGTTTTTAATGACGAAGCTAAGGCAAATATTCATCTTTGGTCATTTGCTTACTTACTGCTGCTTTCTTGCTCACATGTTGTTGATTGTCATGTGTGCAGCAGCAGCCGTAGCGGCAAGCCGGTAACATTCTCAAGTCCGGCCACTGCAGTAGTATCACTTATTAAGCGCAAAATTTCTTGACATTATTAACTGCATGCTGATCACTCTTCAAATCCGGAATCATTGGCCCGGATAAAACGGGAATAATCAAGGTTATAACGTTATACAGGGCAGTTGCGCGCATATAGGAGGGATGATTGGACCAGCTTAGAGAACGATTAGATGCCCGAAAGAAAAGTTGCACCATTGAACAGACTCGCGCTTACCCTGTGGACCGTGGAAAAAATAGCAGAAGCGACAATGAGAGGGAGATCTTAGAGTAGTTTAAAGTGCAAAGTTGCGATGGATGGGTTCTTGACGGCTGCGATGACTTCGAATTGGGGTGTCTTGAGAAATATCTCTTCTGCTTAAAATTTATCCTTCTTCCGTTTTACTATGCGGCACACTACCTCTAGGAGAGTAATGTTGCAGTACATTTTCTCACAGTTAGCGGTTAGCACATCGGCTAACAATAAACGATACAGCTGTTGTTTTCGATAATGAGCAGTTTATTCAGCCTTGCTGTATATTTGATAAGAGAGTTTTATGATTTAACAATCAAAAGCAACACGCATCAAACTTGCACATAAATAACATAATGCTAAAGAAACCCATTTTTCTACGTTATAACAAGTACCGGTATAGTAGGACACCGTAGCGTTGTTTAGAAAAATGGTTTCCTATACGGAAAATTTAGACGTTGATAACGTGAATTTTATTGGTAGCATGCTTGAAACTGTACTCGGGGTTGTGCACTGCTAGCAATATTTGCAAAAAAAAGAAAATGTTATGTCGTAAACGGTACGCTTCTGCTTTCTTCGGAATCTGACTATGATATGGTACCTTACGCTTGTTAGTCTTATATTATGACATCGCGGCGACCTAAAGGCTCATAAAAATGTAAACATGCACAACTATATTTAATGCAAGTAGCGAAGATGGGAATGCGTTTATCGTGCGAGTTAGTTTGTTAGTCAAAGCCTGTATAAAGCTGGAGAGATGTAGCAGACGGGATAATGTGGCTGTGTACACCACTCAACTTATTGTCCTCTCTGTCGTCTGTTCCAACATCATCCCGTTACATTATATGCCAGTCCTATGAAGGAAATTTCGTGGCTCTGACAAGCGTCGACACGGGGCAGTGCAATCAGATTTTTCAGTAAATATAGTTTCAATTGAAAATCTGGACGATTGGCAATGTAACGGAATTGCAGAAGTTTCTGAAGTAGCCTTGCACAGTACACACAGTGACACACACACACACCAGGCGCACAGGAGCTCTCGCGCTCATTAAATGCGCATCGCACTGTGTGCCTAAAGTATTTGAAGAGCTGATAAAATGAATCATCCGCTTAAGGGAAGACTGCTGCATCTTTCCTTTTACGTAAATAAGACCATCTTTTATATGCTATGTACTGCAACCAATTTTCCCCACCGTCTTCCTCGTTCGGCCAGTGTCGACAAAGGTTAACTTTACATAGTGAATTTCATTTCTTTTCACTGTATGCTAATCGTGCACAATGGTTTAAAAGTTTTCCAGTGGTTCGCTTGCCATTTCGCGTGCGTAACATGTCGGCAAAAGGACGGTAGCTTTTTTGGTTCAGTTGGGTAGTGGCTTGAATATGTGCTTAGCGGTGTACGAAATTGCATCCAATTATGGACAATAGGGTAAATACTGAAGAGAAATGTATTTACATTGGCGTTCCTGCCTGTCTGTATCGCTTTAGTCGAAGTAGTGGGAGAGATGACAGGACGAAGGTCTTTTTCCTTTGGGCTGGGAAAAATGACTGAATGCTGTGTGTAAAGGTTATGAATTGATGTTTAGCATTAACTTGAGCGTTTGAAAGTTCGAACAAGTTTTATTCATTTCATTTGTATGGCGTCTGTTCTTTTTCCATCAGTGAATAGCGGTATTTTGTTATTATAAGCCGCCCAGCGGAAATCGCTTCGCCGATTATTTATTGGGTTTGATTTTTGCATCAGGCAATTAAAAACCACTCATGTGGAGTGAAAAGTTTCCGTAAGCAACTAATTATCACTGCAGCGGTGAAAACCCACTTTGTTACATAAACATCCAAATTCCTGCCGATCAATTACCAGCATTTAAGTTTTAGTTCAACATTTTATTTATAAAGCAGAACTATCATAACTGTGCTCCATAAGCGCAACAGCTAAGTTCCCTATACAGGCAAGAGGTCACTACGACATATGCGAGGTCATTATCGCAAATCGAAACAAAACGGCAATTTCTTCCGTACGGTGAAAAACACTATAAGACGACAATCACTCTAAACTGTCAATTGAGGAGATTGTTTGTTTGAATGCCTGTCAAATCTGACTGGGTTACAGGTATAGTTTTTATAATTACATCAGCTGTCGTGCAAAGAAAACGGTTTGACCCTTCCAGGGAGGCTGTAAGCTTGTACGGCCATCCCTTTGTGCGATCGTTAAGGGAAGAAATGGATCAAAATCCGTTAATATTGATTAGTATGATATTACTAGTGGTATTATACGTTCAATTAAAGGTACTTTGCTTCGAGTGTTAAAGTTTATTGATATACAAACACGCAAAGGAAGAGCAACGCCAGGGCCTTATCGTTTTCTCCAATATAGCTTAAACGGTTTCTTTCTGTTCAACGATCCCCGATTCCCTGTCCCTAATATGGCGCAATAGAGCAGCACGATCAAAGTTTCGATCTGGTGATGTACTGTACTCTGGTTATGTCTTTGACATGCTCTATTGAACATCCTCCCCTCAACTCCTTTCCCTTTTGCCGATATATGGATTATGCCATTTAACAAATTGCCTCTTCATTGGACAGATTGATCGCATTAAATAATTTTGGGACCAGGTGTGAAAAGAGGAGATCGCCGCAATCTGAGTGTAGTGAAGATGATGAGGACACACTGTTGCTGAATGCCGACAAGCCCGTGATTTGTTAAGTGTTTTACGCTATCCTACGCTGCTGTAAAACAAACCTTTTCAGATACTAGCCTCAGATCGCTGATTGAGCTTGCTTTGTATCAGAAAGCGAAAAGTACGACGATATGTGTATATAAAGGTCACGATATGTCCCTAAAAAAATAAGAAAATTATTATAATTAGAGGTCGACTACTGGTTGGAAGTTATTACAAAAATTTTACGTGGATTGTCTTGTCAATTAGCGCATTGTTTTTGCGAGCTTAATAAATAGCAGATTAATACGGAAGCTCCATATATAGAGGAAAAAAGGCTGACACTTGACTTGTAACTCTGGGGAAATCGGTGTGGAGTACAAGCAAATCAAACCGGAACTATCGCATATGCTGATAGGGCCGTTTATAAATCTGTTTAGCTACTTCGATCGTCTTTTTGTGCAGTGATCTCTGTTTGTTCACAGGCACACAACCAGAAAGGCTCCAGATTATTTAAATCAGCGGAAAACTGTACAATCTAAGTAATGATTTATCGCACATTGATCTATGACAAAGATACCGTGCACACCTTTTACGCAGATTGTCACATCATTTATTAACTACACAATTTTCCTGTTCTTATAACTAATCGATTTTTCTTTTTTATAGTTTGAATAACACGTTAAAACAGATCAACTTTCAATATTTTGGTCGATAAACCTTCATCTAGCATGTACACCGGCAATGACACATTTGTGGCCCACATACAGCGTTACTGGGTGTGTGTAATTTCTCTTTAGTGAACGAAAAAAACTAATTCATACCAATTGATTTCGCTTTCATACGTCTTGAGACTGTATAACTTTGGTGATTATTCGCTTATATTAAAAATCAAATCATATACACACTGTATATGGCCGCGTTGCAATCTTTATTGTTGCCTAATTGGTAACCCGCTGACCGTACGCCAGAAGATTTTCTCTTTCTGCTACGTACCAGACCACTGTATAGCTTATTTGATAGATAGGCGGACCATACAAATTTGGTGCCATTCAAATATTCGTATTTGGTTGTATTTGTGGCTTCCTGTTGGAACTGTGAATCAAAGTTTTTCCGAAAGTGTACCACAATCGTAATTGTATCATTATTCGCTACGCGGGCGCTGCCATGGTTTTGTTGTCTGATCACTTTGGTGTATTAGTAGACCAGATGTCGTTATCAGCACTAGGCTTCTTTTCATTTATTTTGCAGAATTCACCAATTTTCACTCCTGGTAGTTTGTCAGGGAAAAGGGCGATCGATAAGTGTACGGCAGTGAAAGAAGTGCACAGTTGTTATATTTTTCACCCTCAAACGCTTTATGCATATTATTGCACAGTAGCGCCAGTATGCGCGCTGCCGTGCTGGAGCACTGGCAGATTATGTTTATGATGTTATGGAAATGTGTTGTCAGAATAAAGAAAGGTTTCGGTCTGAATCCTGTGTGTCATACATGTATGTATGGGGCCATAACAGCGAGGAATATTTTTCGGAATGGAAAATAGGACTAGGGATGTCGGCGCGCGGGGCTGGCTGCTGATTGCACTACTCAGCAGTTCCAGGCTAATAGTGTGGATTGAGAAAATATGCAGCGGGAGAGAGTAAAATTGCCCCTAACAAGCATACAACAATTGCCGTCAACAATCAGGCTGAGTGCCTGCGCTCTATACAGCGGCCTCTAAACTAAGTTATAAAACTGAATACACACTTGCCCCTTCCATCCAGGCTGGAAATTTTCTGGACCGTGTAAAACACTTTTTAAGGTGTGCGAGTGCATTCGTGAGAGCTTACTTTAACCAGTTTACACACTGCACACTGTCGATCTAACTCAGCGCTTTTCCTGTTTAATAATTTACGTCGTTGCTTCCTAAAAATATATATGTACTGCTTGAAAGTGCGATGCATCTGTTACAGCCGTAAAAAGGCATTTGTCTCCACTTGGTGAATTCACCGAAACCAAACTTCTATCGTTTTAGAAAACGCTTTTACCGACTTTACTAGATTGAATGCGCACGTGTTGATCTGGCATCTTTTTCCTTTCGTTGTTGTTGCAAGACGCATCGCTTCGATTTGTGGTTATAAAAAGCATTCGTTTTGTGATAGATTTGCACCCTATACTGCCAGATAAAGGAACATTTTTTCTTGCATGAAACAGTTCACAAATAAAGTAAGCATTCAAATATATATCACATTCAAAGAATATTTTATTCACTCACATGAATAACCATATTTCTGAAAACGGACCGAATAGGCATCACTGGGTTTGAAATTTTTTGAATTTGCTCTTGCCAAGCCGCAAAGCGCAGCAACATTCGTCTATTCGTTTTACAGAATAAAGCAAGCATTGCAAATCCGAACACTAAAAGATTAATCCACTGTATTAAGTGTGCGCTTTTGTGTAGTTTGTTTTCGTAATTCTACGCAACTTTAGATGATTTTGTTGTTTTAAAGAGCAGAACACGGTAGGTATTATATATGACCATCTCTTCTGTCTGAAAGCGCTAGCGCTTAATAAACTTTCAATAAAATATTTATATGGCCAATCCCACGTTGTTGAAAGGACAGTCGTAGGGACGTTATATATATAAAGCGGCTGGAGCATTCTCAGTTTCTCAGTCCGTTTTTAGTGAGCATTTGGCAGGCATTTTGCCCGGTCAGGCAGGCATGCGTACATTGTGTATTCAACGCATTTGATCTGGAAGGATAATGAGGATGAGCAAAGTAATGTTCCAGCTTCCAGACTTACTCATTGCTAGCACCAAACGCTGCTCAGGAAGACACAACACGAAAATCTACTACGTTATACGTGAACTGACCGCGTCATCCTACCAGATAGACGGTCACGCCAATCATTTTTCGGCAAAGATTGTATAAAGTATTACCAGATAATAATTGAATTTACTATTAGATTAAGTTCGTGAAGGCATGAATTTTTAAGAACTTCTGTCCGGTTTCACACGCAAGATGCAGTGCAGTATTCAAATTGGTTTCTATGCCCTGCTGAATTTGACGGGTGTTGCGTTTTACTAACTTCGAGTTTGCCTCTCTGTCTATATGTTAAATTCCGACTCATTGTATACACTATACGGTACTACGGCCATCTCCTCGGCATTTTAATTCTGCGTGTTTGCTTGTTTACAAAGTATAAAACCGGATAAGCTATGAGCCTATGGTGAAACCATAAATTTTGCATATGCTGAAGTATCCGAAAATATTTTTAGTAATGGTATTCGCTTGGTTTTTGTTTACGTGGATACGCACCAGCGCAGTACTTTTAAAATTTATTTTTGTTATTTTGACAAAGTATGCAATTACATTTAAATCTGGTAGTTGATGTCGCTCGTTATTGAGTATTGAGTACTGTGTTCGGTAACTACTAACCACCTAAGTACCCAACTGAGAAATTCGTGACCGCAGCATTCAGTCATTAACAATACATATTACTGTGTTTCGCACATTGCTTTAGCAGTGCCAGAACAACCTGCTAGTGCCTTTTTTGCAAAAATATTACAACTTTGAGAGCTCGATAGAATTATCCAAACATAAAAAGGCTAGGTTTGGTACTGAACGCACCATAAGCTTTGGTAGTGAAAAGGTCAACGTCGGCGCATAGCATAACAGTCACTTACACGATTGCATCGATTGTTGCAGGAAATTGGACATCCCCGCAACCCGCTCCAGTTGGTGTCGTCTCGCCTGTAGTGCCTCAAGGTCAGTCGATTTTGTCAGTATGTTGGACGCACGCTCTTGTAATTGTCTGAATGTGGTTGTATAGAGGAAACATTGCCGGTTCCTGTGCGTGGACTTTCATTCATGGTTATACTCTGTGTTTGAAAAGGTGTTCTTGTGTGCATTATATTTCTGTGCGAAATAATCATCTACCATACAGGCGTGTGCTTTATGCCTCTAATTTGCAAAAATTACGAGACCGAAAGCCGAACAGATTAATTTTACCAATAATACCAATATATCAGTTACTGATGTCAGTGAACCATGTATCCATTCAGGAATAAGCTGAGTCATTGAGTAGTTGACCTAAGCTATAAACTAAAAGATTTACTAATGTGCTTACTAAAGATTTTCCAAAGTCTGAAATACCTATAACCTAGGAGCAAAACCTGAAAACGTTTAAAAGCGTTTTCAAAGCTTGGTGCTAATGCTAATTTTGTTACATGTATCTGATTTAACATACTACATTTTTAATAAATTTTTCAGAAAGCAAAAATAGGCACAGCAGCATTTGTATGCAATGGCCCGTCAGTTGCAAACTTGCATATTTTTGCATTAGATGAACCCTTCTGTAGACTGCAAGTGACTCATATATCTGTACCTGTCCTTACACGTGTGTTCTGTCTGAATAGTACCCAGTAAACGGAAGCAAGAAAACCCCACGCCCCCTCCAAGTCATTCCAGTCCGGAGCCGCAGCAACAGCAGCCTAAAAAGCCCCGTTTAGTATTCACCGACATTCAACGACGTACCTTACAGCAGATCTTCAAGGAAACAAAACGACCGAACAAAGAGATGCAACTTGCCATTTCCCAGCAGCTGGGTTTAGAACTGAGCACCGTCGGGAATTTCTTCATGAATGCCCGGCGCCGGTCGCAAGATAAATGGCAAGATGAAGGGGACAAGGAGAAGGCCAAGGAAGGCAAAGCCAGTAAAATTAAGAAGGAACCAGCGCACTGATCGGATCGGCAGTGTTTCCCAGCTGCAACCATCTGTGCAAACAGGCTGCCCTGGGTGTACAGTTTAATTACGTTGGTTCACAACAAATGATCTGTCCCATACACATTCTCCACTGAAAAGGATATTCCCGCGCGTTTTTCATTGTACTCATCGTTTACTCTACCTGTGCGTTTTCCAGTCCGAATTCAGATGCCCACATCGCCGGCTGATGCGCGATACGCTGGTGGCAAAAGTCCAACGTTGACAGCAATAACCTTTACCTACGTTCAAAGGAAAACCGCTCCTTTTATGCACTGTAATAGTGTGCCCAGAGTTGATCCAGATGTTGCGTTGCAGTTTGTATTTTTTCTTTGAGTTTCTCAGTTGGTATTCGTGGAATCCTAGTCAAACATTCCCGATCTCTTGCGCATTACCAAAGACAAGATTAGTTATTTTCCTTATTTGTTTTATTTTCACCTCAGTTTCAGTTGGCACTCTAGTCATGTTTTCCCCGTGGTCAAGTTCTCAAGATATTTAAGAGTTTGTTTTGCCAAATTATTTTGTTGATCTCGGTTACGGTGTTTTTGCGTTAAGTCGACGACGGTGATTTTTTGTTTCGGTTTTCGCTTCATTGATATTTTACTAGTAGTTAATAAAAGGCAAAAAAACCTACGAACGCAAATTACTGAGCCCACATGGATATTGGACAATCTGGAATCCTTCCAAATTTATTTGGATGTATCACCTTCCATTGTCAATTAATTGCCGCTAGAATTGTTACGTTGTTGGGGTAATCTGTGTTCCATCAAGTTTTGCTATGATATACGTAAAACATAACTCCTTTTTGTTCCAAACCTATCTGACGTTTATGCACACAGCACCTTATACAATATTAATAGCAAAATGTTTTACTTTTTTAGATCATCGTTGAAACTCCTTCGCAAGTGTCTTGCATTTTAGCGGTGTGCGATTAATTTTGTGTGAATTTCTGATAACTGGTTGCCGGAACGGAATTCGGTTGTTATGCACTTTATTACTAGTTATACGTACGAGTACTCCTGGTGTTTACGTCATACAATCGGAAATATGATATTCAATTTCGCGACATTTTAAGGCATTAAGATTTTTGCTTGTACACAAGTTGGACAAACACAGAAACTCCGGATGCACTGCATACAACTGCTAAAATAACGGAAGATGGCAAACTTCCTACATTGGATGGGGAAGATGGCAAACTTCCTACATATTGCAGAACATGTCCCCTGTGCTTATGATATACGAAAACAGATTTCTACAAGAAATACAAAAAAATCGTGCTAGTGGACATAATATTATGTAATATTGTAGATGCAGGCTTTGAAACATCGTACAGGTTTTGAGACCGCATTTGAGGTTATCGGCTTTCTCAAAACATTTTTAAAACTTTGGGCTATCATGAAGATCGTTTCGATAAGTTATTTGCTTTTCTTCATACTACAGTAGAATACTACTACCATCGACTGCATATCATCAGTATTTATTAATCGGGGCAGTACAGTACTTCTTATGTTACTATATTGAGTAAAAGCTGGAATTAAAGCTAAGTTTGTTTCGTAATTAAAGCGAATATCAGATGACCAGCAGATCCTTTCAAGCTGTTTTGTTTCAAGAAATTATTTTAAGACACATACAATTAACAGTGTGTTTAAAATCGTGCTCATGACACTTGGCATAAGCTGATAATTTTTGAGAGTTCAGGAGGTACGTAGTAGTACCAGCCACCAGTATCCGCTTATTTCAGCCGCTTCAGGACGAATTCAAAAGCGCGCGCAGCACGCTAAAAATATCTGATCTTGTCCATCAGCTTTCTTTTAGGAAAGGAAGATGAAAAATTACGTTAACGTTTCCGGCATACGCTTAGTTTATTTTGAATACTGAGCGATGCTACTGTTTGGAATGATAATAAATCATAGAAGATGACTAACAAACTGCAGCTTGAAGTCACCGTCAGTCCATAACGCTTGCCGGTGGAACGGTCGACGCATGTACAAGTAAAACTACCAAAGAAATCTAATAAGCGTAGAGTAGGATTCGCTGGCTTGTGTGAATGGCGACGATACATCCTTCGACCGACGTTAAGTTTTCAATACAGGAACACGATACGAAAAAAGTCGCCTTCGCTCGTTCTAATATTTTAGCGGAAGTCTAGCTGCGCTACGATATCCCGTATCATAACAGTAATCTGATTCTTCCGTCCTGCTCCCAAATCCGTCTAGACAGTGTGAGTATATATACTGCGCAATAGTCAGGTTAATTAGTCTGCGTTAATCGGGGTTCATTTTGGCTTCTAATCCATAGTGCGAAACAATTATGCATTGTTGACGGATATTGCATGCTGACAAGTCACTGTAACGTTCTCCGCAGATTGAAGGAAAGAATTAGCGGGTTGCTGCTTGGGGCGTTATTAGGAGGACTTCCTTGTTACTGAGTAGTTGCTGCAAAATGGACGTGGAAAGCCGCAGTTTATTTATGAACGTAAGCACACGTGTACTGCCTCATTAGGTAATGTAAATAAGACAAAGGTTGCACGTTCGTGATCAGTTTGAACTATGAAGTATACAACTTTCATACGAACTGAAATAATTTTTAATTTTTGTAACACTTTTCTATAAATGCAGCCGTGTAGACAGACATAAGGTAAGTATTAAATTTACGACTACAGTTTATGCCGGTAGATACAGCAAATCCACCATAGTCATAAGGAAAACGTGCATGCAATTAGAGCCCTGCACGAGCCGAGCAGCTCGGCTCGGCTCACGAGCACTCGCTGCTCGCGAGCGCTTCGAGCGAGCACGCGCCGTTTTGCGTTTTGCGAACGAGCTGAGCATCAGGAAAAAATAACGAGCGAGCCGAGCGAGCGGGATAACCAGATGCGAGCGATCCCGAGCTGACCGCCCTGCTGTGCGAACTGAAAACTGTTGTGAGAAACTGCATAAAAAAGCTCTTAAGGCCTTTAATCCATCGTCAGCGTCGCTTCGCGCGACAAAGTTTTCATTGTGTTTTCAGGCTAGCAGCAGCCTGGTAGCTAATACACAAACATAACTTCGCCCTAATGCTTCCTAAACAAGGGTTGGAGATGCTGAGTTTTCGAAAGTGCAGCAAGTAAAAGTTAAAATATGGAATCTGATTTTGAATTTAGGAAGTTCTGTTTCCAAAAAACACGAAATTGCCATAAAATAGCGTAACTGTGAGGAGGTGAAGCAGAAAAATCGCAGATCGTCCACAAAAGTGCTCTTAGCGGCAAAATAAATTCTGTGAAATGCTAGTCGCGCACAAAAAATTTTATTTTCCGTGTATAATTAATTTTTCACTGCCGATCTTGCGAGCGAGCCGATCTGGGACCATAATAAGCACGAGCGAGTTGAGCGAGCAGGAAAAAAGAAAAGCTGAAAAATGAGCGAGCCGAGCGAGCAAAGGTAGGAGCGCGAGCGAGCTGAGCGAGCAGGAAATTGTGAAAAGCTCAAACGAGCGAGTCGAGCAGCACTTTTGCTGCTCGTGCAGGGCTCTACATGCAATGCACTAATCCCGTATACTTCTCTAACAATAAGTACACAGTATACAAGTGTATAGCTTTCTGATCTAAACCTGATAATTCTTTTTGCCCTTTTTTGGAACATTGTAAGCAGCAATTAACATTGTGGCCGCAGTAGTTACAGTCACTTATAGAAACAACTCAGCTCGATGTACGCTTTGAGGCGAAAATTCGGAGCACTATTTAACACGAATTCGTTGGTATTTGCAGTACGTTATCATCATCCTGCTGCTATTAATTGTGTGGGCGCTATTTTTTGGGGTAAGTAAGAAGTACCACAAGAATTAACAAGAAGATATCTTAGTTGTTACGTATAGAATTTTGCGGTTCTACCAAAGCGCGGTATCTACGGCAGTCATGTGTATACAACCTTCACTAGTCCGTGCTTCCTGAACTGTGGTTATAACAGATTATCGTATTTTTCTGCAAATTTATTGCGAACTTGCGATTTTGGCTTGTTTTAGCAATGATTCAAAAAAAATAATTTTCTTGGAACTCTACTATCAAAACTGATGATGCAAACTGAAACATTTAACCGATTTCGAAAAGAATCGAGGAATTTTTACTTACTTTACTTGCAGTCTTTTATTTATTCTGTTTTGTCTGTTGATTTTATTTCTTAAATTATGGCGTACTGCTGCCAAATCTTATTACTGTATAGATAATAGACAAAAACTGCTATTTTCGATCAGCGAGCATCATTTTTAGCGATTGTAAACTGCGTCGTAAGAACTATGAACAATATCGTATTCGAAACAAAGCAAGACTAGCGTTGTGTCCAGCAAGCTTTTATTGTTTGCTGCATTAATGCTGTGAATGGCCGAAGCTTCGTTAATAGTTGATAATCGACCAAGATCATTATTAGCAAAATTGTTTAGGAACGGCGGCCTCTGTTTATTGTGTTTGCGCAGCTATTGCGAGAATGGTAACATCAGATTTTGATTTAACTTTAGCCGTCGTATTTTTAACCGGAATCACTTCGACATGGACGACACAAGATTCCGCTGCCTATTAAGCACTGCGCTATCATTCGCAAAGCCTGGAGGGACTTGCTGCCCTACGAGAAGGTATAGAACAATGGCTTCCGCTAGAGATTAACATGGTGCTTTTGCAGATTCATGGGCAACATGCATGCGGAAATAAGAGAATGTGCACGAGTTGTATACAGATCTGTACTGGCAATTCCATTGTGGGACGGTCCGTCTTCACTACGTAGCCCGATTCGGTGTGCACAATCGTCTTGCGCGCATAAATGCATGACTTTGATAGCTTAATGCAGTTTTTTTGGAAAACTGTGAAGAAAAATTAGAATTTCCCAAATTCGCCGCACTGACTCGCATTCATAGCTTATGACCTTTTTTAAGGACAGCGGCACGCAGCCTCATCAGACTCGCTACGCTTACTTAATCTGTACTTGTACTGCAACACTGCACCATCGCCGCGCTTCAGTAGTATTGCAGTAAAAGGTGACATGAACAACATACCATCAGAAGAATTTCAGAAGAATGTCGAAATTTTTCTAAAATCGACATTATGCATATAGCCAATAAGCACTTTCCCTTTAAAAAAGAGTGGCAACAAATTTTTGTCCCATTCTGTAGCGTTCTGAGGTCACAAGACCATTGTGAAAGATATGGTATTATCGCAGAACTAATACTTTACGTATTTTGTTAACTCACTCTGCTTATAATCCCTTCTGAACAAAGGTCCAGCATACATAACATCTCTTTATGTCAGTACCTACCGTATATGAGGTTATTTCTGAATGCTTTTTGTTTCTCGGTTTATGTGCGCGATGAAGTACTATATAGGGTACTTTTTAGACTCCGTTATCGTTTACTGTTTGATATTACAGAAAACACGAGAACCCCTATTTCAAGGACAGCACCATCCCGAGCCGAACTGAAAACCTATTATACCGAAGTTTTTTACCTATAGTTTTGTACAAGAATGCCATAAATGTACACAACGATTATTTAAACACTAGTAAATGGGCGTGTCACTGATCACAGCAAGATTTATTCTTAACCGAAGAACGAGCCAAACGGCGCTGATTATTCTACTCGAAAGCCCTATGGCTCCGACGCGGTGATTAAAATGGCAAGAATTTATTGAATTTTTTCTCCTGTCGACTTTATTTTAATACTGTCATAACTTATTCATCTTAATCAGTCGGGTACACTTTCCGGCGGCAGAAATACATTCCCACAAGTGCCAACAAAAAGTAGCGCCCAATTGAGCCAGCTCATAGATAAGGAGAGCAAAAACATACGGTTCGCTTCTGCCATCTAAAAATAAAACCACTCTCACATAGATCATTAACTTGGCCCTGATCAAACGCTCATACACTGAAACCAGGCCGCACTAATAACGAAAGAACACAAGGTCAATCTTTGGCAAGGACTGCCGCCAACTGGCCGCCTTAACTCTGGAATGCTCAACGTATGAAAAACTAAGAGTTAAAATCCGAATCTATAATTTTACATTCCGCCTCGACCACGGGGTGGGCCGCCGCCACGTCCACGTGGAGAGAATCCGCTGCCAGGACGACGATTGTCGGGACGGTTGCGCATGCGACTCATCTCAGTCTTAACAATGTCGGCCACTTCGTCCGGCACGCGCAGGAACTTGATCGAACTTCCGCGCACATAACATTCGTCCATCTTCCAGAAGCGCTCACCGTCCTACCGGAAGAACCCAGTTTCAGAAGAAAAATGTATCTCCAAATAAATACGTATACCAATTCGACACATTAACGGTGAAAAAAAATTAAAAACATTTTCTAAATTGTTGGACGCTGTTTAACCGCGCAGCCCGCGCTTATGTAGTATATGCACAATGACCAATTCTGATTTCCTTTACCCGAGACGTGCAAATGGCGTCTTTCAAGTTGATATTCATCCAGTTGTCGACGTTAATCTAAAAAATTAGAAAAGCTCTCTTTAGAAACTGGAAGTTTCACCTTCACGAAATAATGCGATGCTTTTAATCGCGAAACAATAATGCCCCACCCGCAGCTCTGTCCGAAATGCATACGTACCAACTGCCCGTTATAAGTTTCTCCGTTTTTCAGTTCCACAAGCTAAGAAGAAAACAGCAACGTGAACGATAAACAAAAGTCTTCAAATCCTTGTTTCTAACTATTACTCACCACGGCATGGTTCAAAGCCCCGCGAAGGAGCGCCAGCGGAAGCTGAAAAAAGAAAACTAGATGTCTGTTACAAACAAATACAATAACTTTTAACTGAATGCCCCCGCTTATACAAACTTCCTAGAAGTCCACCGGAATAAATTATTGACGAGCCTGTACTGTATGTTATTTGTGAAAGCTCTCCGTCAAAAAATACTGCCGTACTGGCCACCTCTGTGTCTTAAATCGACCAGGATTGCGATAAGAAAACTGCATGTCTTATAAATTCACAGTAAGAATAAAATAATAATAATTATGCTCATTGGCCGTTGCTCACCATCGTTGTTGTGCTGCAGAGTAGCAAGATTTGCAAAAAAATACCTGCAAAATAGTGACCATACAGCAGCGAAAATTCAAGCATTCAATGTAATTACTTACTAGCAGCGTGGCGATACTGTTTTACCGGGACACTGGACCGGGGATGCCAAATTGCCAATTACTTATTGCCACGAATTCACTATCCTACGGACCATTGACCGTCTACGGTTGTTGAAGAACAGGCAAAATACGAAAGGAGATCTATTGGGTTTTTTCCCTAGGAACATCCAACACATAGTCATTACTTTTGTTGCTTCATCTGTTATAGTTTCACATTTTCGTCTCAAACATTTACGGACTGAAGTGAACTCAAAGGCACGAAACCTGCATCTTTCATTAAGGTCTATAGCTTACCTTCGGCTGCACAATTTGCGGATGTGCTGTGTACGCGAATATCTGCACTTCAGCGGCTCTCCATCTTCCTTGCCAAAGTTAATATCAAACCTCGATTATTAGCGTTGGTAGTCAAAGCTGCGCTATGATTTTTAGCGGAAATCTCCAACAAAAAAGTCTATTATCTATGATACACCTGCAGTAGAATTCGCTGCTTTGTTTCCGCCAGAGTTCCAGAATCCAGACTCATGATGTTTTTGTTTTCTTTTTCCGTTTTGCGGAACATTTTAGGATCCAGCGTATGGACTATGGAGTGACGTGTGGAGCTGTTCCAAGAAGGGGCAACTGGCTTTGGCACTATTTACTAGTATAGAAGGTCGTAACCGCCCTTAGTGCAAGCGAGCGAGCGTGTAAATTTTTTTGTTGTAAAAGACTTGGCAGGGTGAGACAACAACCTAACCAAGTAGTTGAGAGTCTACCTAGCTTTTGTATCTTTTGCATATGCCGAGTTATCAACAGATCTGCTCAGATATCAGTTTGTTTTTGCCACCGCTGCGATGCCGACGCGATACCATCATTTTAATGAGGTTTTACGGAATCATGCTGACACGGTATATTAATTTTAAAACGATTCCTTCAGCAACTACAGCGCGGACACTGCTAATGCTTTACCGCACATGGCCGCCTATTCCGCTTGTTCTCCGCCGCACCAAATTCTTTACATTGGGATACTGGTCTTATTTCTTCAGTTTCTTATTCCCAGTATCGATATTTCATTCCCAAAACCGATAAGACTTATGCCGGTCACCTCCAGAGCCAATTCAGTAGCTACGCTCAGCTTGTCCTTTTATACTGCTTGGGAAGTTTTCGAGCCCGTTTAAGAACCCCAGCCCCGGCCATCGTCAGTTCAGATAAATCGTTTTCATGATTGAAATTCGAAAACCACCGCTTGCAAAGGCAAAAACGATAAATTACTTACTGGAGAGATTTTTGAAAAGCACCTGCAATTTAGAGCGATTTTTTTGCTGCGGATGCATTTGCACAACGATTTACAAAAGAAGACGCGAATGCCGATGGAACCGCACTGGTTCGGAAACGCACCGGCGGAGATTTCAAATTTCTGTGTCCAATAATTTTCCACTAATTTGCTGCGGAAACGATTTATCGTTTCAGTACTTCATTCAGTGCTTGGTGGCAATAATCCAGGAATGGGAGTTTTACCAATTTTTCTTTTTCCGTGAAAAATGACTATTAAATGCGACGCTTTCTATAATAATAAAAACCCTTGACATGGATCTTTATTATTTTTTCTCAGTAAAGAAACAAAAATGTTTATCAATTAGGTTTATCTTATTAATTTTCAAAATAAACTGATATGCAATTGTATAAATGAGCTCATGTTAGAAGTTGAAGATTAATGGTGTAGCACAAAATGAGAAACTTTGATCAATCACTCAAAAAATTCCCATTTTATTTGCAAGAATTCAAATTTGAACTTTGATAGAGTTATCTTTAAAATCCTGTTTTTTTTAAAACAAAGGCTGAAAGAAAGCGAAAAGAAAAAGAAAAAAAATTCGTTACGTTCTACTTACTGCTTTGCTCGCAGCGCCTAGTCTCTCTCGCGCTTACTTTTGCCGCTAGGCGTCGCTTCGGCCCCGTTTCCGATTTCTTTAGAAACAGTTACTCGCTACTGTACAGTATCATGACGAAAAGTAAAACATTTAAACTGAACCGTAGACAAAACCGTTTCCGAAGCCTTTATTTTTAGAAATAATAATCCTTTGTTTTTACTTGCTGCTCCGCTCGCTGCGCTGCGCTTGCTCACGCCGCAGCTTGGCGTCGCCTTCGGCTCCGCCTTCGATTTCCGTAGAAACGTCTATTCGCTTCTGTATCATCGCGATAATGAAACGTTCGAAATACACCTTAAAAAATGTTTTTGGAAGAAAGAAGAATCGAGCCGTTTGGTTTCACTTGTTGCTCCGCTCTCTACGCTGCGCTTGCTTAGGCCGCTGCTCGGCCATTGGCTACGCTTTCAGTTTCAACAGCAAGGGTGACGGCAATCCGCTAACAATAGTTGTTACGGTAGCCCTTACGGTAAAAGAAACTGAGATAGTTACGATAACATGTTATAGTTATGGTAGCGTAACATTTATTATTGGTAACGCTTAATTAGAGTGGTGAAAGCTGGTAACGCGTTACCAGCTTTCACCACTCGAGTCATTACAAAATGAAGGCAGTTCAATTGGTCCTGTAAAGTCAGCGCTAATGTAGGTAAAATTGCTAACGATAGTGGCGGTAGTAACGGTTCCTGACTTCGATTGGCATGGTTTGCTACGTCATCGTTTCAAGGTAATGTTACTCGTTATGATCTTATGGTGACGTTTGGCTTGAATGACCGAACTCAACTCCACTGGTCTACAAAGTTATATATTGGTTGAGGACCTTCGAGTATTTCAACATTTGCTGAAGGCCTTATAATGTTGTGAATCATGTAACAAAGGGTTCGATCGCACGAATGCGTTTCTTAGCCGTACCTCTACAACTACACACAACATGCAGGCTTCGGCAGGGCGCAAGCCGCAAAATTCCCCTTTAATGAATACCGTGGTTGTACATTCAGTTAACTTTTTGGGTTTCGTATTAGTTTTTAGAAACAAAATTTTCTAATGCCAGCGAAAAGAAAACAAATGTATTTCTAAAAAAGGAAAAACGAAGTGGTTCCGCTGTACTTACTGCGCCAGGTGCTTTGCTGCGCTTATTCATGTTTGGCGTCGCCTTGAGCCCTTTCTATAAAAACGGTCAATTCTTAAAGCATCAGCATTTTATCCCTGTATCTCCTTACGCTAACTGTAACAGTTACGGTAATACGTACGGTATACCGTTACGGTAACGGTAACAGGTAACAGTATAGCGTATCAGGGTAACTGTCGAAACGGTTATCTGTTACGCTAGCAAAAAATCGTTACAACAATTTTGTAATGGTACTCCGTTGCGAATAGTGGTTGCCCGTTACAATGCACGGTAATCCGCGGCAACTGCAAATGTACTGCGGATACGGTAGCGGTAGTGACTGAACCGCTACGGTAACAGCGATAAATAACTTTTCACGGTTACGATATTAGCTACAGTGTTTAGGTAATGATAATATAAATCCGTTACGCTAACTCTTGTACTGAAAATGTACCGAGAGGGCCGGATAAAATTTCCGGACAGGGTCCTAAATATCTGACGCCCTATTCATATGTACGGAAGGTTCGACAAAAATGCCCCGGTGGTTCCCCGCATGTCGGTTCCCCAAAAACGCACCAACCGGGGCGGGCTAAATTCCCGGACCGGGTTTTAAAAAACGGACCCACTATACTATATGTATGGCGGGTTCGTGAAAAAAATGCCCCGGTGGTTCCCCGCATGTCGGTACCCCAAAACCGCACCAACCGGGGCGGGCAAAATTCCCGGACCGGGTTCTAAAAAACGGACCCACCATACTATATGTATGGCGGGTTCGTGAAAAATGCCCCGGTGGTTCCCCACATGTCGGTTCCCCAAAAACGCACCAACCGGGGAGGGCAAAATTCCCGGAACGGGTTCTAAAAAACGGACCCACCATACTATCTGTATGGCGGGTTCGTGAAAAATTCCCGGTGGTTCCCCCCATGTCGGTTCCCCAAAAACGCACCAACCGGAGCGGGCAAACTTCCCGAACCGGGTTCTAAAAAACGGACCCACCATACTATATGTATGGCGGGTTCGTGAAAAATGCTCCGGTGGTTCCCCGCATGTCAATTCCCCAAAACCGCACCAACCGGGGCGGGCAAAATTCCCGGACCGGATTCTAAAAAACGGACCCACCATACTATCTGTATGGCGGGTTCGTGAAAAATTCCCCGGTGGTTCCCCCCATGTCGGTTCCCCAAAAGCGCACCAACCGGAGCGGGCAAACTTCCCGAACCGGATTCTAAAAAACGGACCCACCATACTACATGTATGGCGGTTTCGTGACAAATGCCCCGGTGGTTCCCCGCATGTCGGTTCCTCAAAAACGATCCACCCGGGCCGGTCTGTATGAGTGTAACGGGTCCAAATTTACGATCTCCTATGCATTTACTGCACCAGGTGCGTCAAAAATAACCCGGTTAGTTTTCGATTTTTCGACCACCTTCTCCATTGCTTCAGCGGGGGCTGCGCCCCCCGCACCCCCTGCTTATTGGGGCTCTGCCCCTAACCCCGGGACCCCGGGGACCCAGCTCTCCGCATGTCGCACCGCAAATTAAAAATGCTCGCTCGCTCGCTTGATTACTACGGCGGGTTCGTCAAAAATGACCCGGTTGAAATTTACGTCACGGTTTTTCAAAATCGCTCCAACCGGGGCGCTAAAAAATCCGGACCGGGTCCAAATTTCCGGACCCACCGTACATTTCTACGGCGGGTTCGTCAAAAATGACCCGGTTAGGTTTTCAATTTTAAACTACCTTCTCAATTGTTTGCTGCGCCCCTGCACCTCTGGGGCTTTGCTACCCTGAAAGGGGAACCCTCGGCGTCACGTCACACATTTTAAATTAAAAACGCTTCTCTCGCTTCGCTCGCTCGCTTGACTAGAGCTAAAGCGGTGACCGCCTGAGGTGTCGTTTACTGGTGATCACATCGCTACCATCGCTGGTAAGCGATTTCGATAAAAGCCACATAAGTGACAACTGACAAGTCGCATAACCACAAAAAGCAAAGTTTCCTAACTCATACTTATTTTCAAAATTCAAAAATAATAAATTCAAAAATTTGAACACTTGCTGACTTGGTCTTTGGGTGCAAAGGCCTTATTCTTTTTCTCTCATTCTGACGGAATCAGTGCGAAACTTCGCACAGGTACATGCCCCATCGATCCGCGCTGGGTGATTGATCAATACAACTCGTACGAGTCAAAATAAAGAGCCTGTTTGAAGCTGTAGTTCAGTGTTTCCGATTTGAATCGTTCCTGCCTTTGTGGGATTTGAGATTTGTCGTTTGCACATTACTTTAACCGTCGCTCCAGAGATGCCGAAGAAAAAGCCAACTTCTACGGGAGCAACGAAAACGATTGTGGAATGCGAAACACCTGACTACTCGAGGAGAAGCACGCGGAGCATGAAAAACAAACTCAACGATAGTGAGCACATGGTCAGAGCTAGTACGTCAGCAGCTGAAACCGAGTTGTCGCTCTTCCGGGATAGCAGCGAGCACCGTCCGGATTTTAAGTCGATGAAATGGACGCCGGTCACGACAATCCCTGGCTCTGTCGCCAAAGAAAGTGTGACAATCAGTCTGCCGTTTGCGGGAGTATGTGTGGAGGATATTCCGGATGTTTTGGAATGTTTTGGCGGGCCGAACCAGATAATCTCCAATTTAACAAATCCCCGAGAAAATCAGCGCAAACTGGTCTTTGATTTATGTCCGGATCCAATTGCGTCGCACGCTTTTAGTCGTCCTATGCCGTTGGCGCGCAGTTCCCCGACGAATACGTTCGTGCTGCACCTGGAACTGGAGGAAGTGGTGGAGTCTGACGAGAAAAAGGCCGTGCGCCGCAGGAAAGAGCTGTCTGCCGTGGAAAGGGAACTCGGTGCAGCACTGAAGCCGCTGCCTGCACGGATATTAACCGCCACACTGACGCACCGTATTACCACCTTATTTGAGTTCAACCAACTGTATGACTTTCGGGTATGTCCCAGTGCGCCGAAAGATAAATTGTCATCCGCACCGGAAACGGTGGAACTGACGAGTTTGATTCCTTATATTCGTCCAACTTTTCCTATGTCGGGTACCGCGAGCGATCCCCAGGCGGAATTATACTTTCCTGCTTTGCGCTTTACCAACCAGACTGGATTCGGGGGACTTGACTTTATCGGATCAATATACACTGCTCCTGTACCCGGTATGTTCCGTCAAGAAATTTTTGTAATTTATATTTGCCTACATGTTTATTTTAACTATTTAATTAAACACACTGGAAAGCAACTAGAGTACTAATACAACCAAACGGTTTGCTTTATGTAGTAATTTATGTCGTTTTAGCTGACGATAAACCTGCTCCGCGTGCAAGACGCGCCTTCGCTCAGACTGTGCGTTGGCCACAAAACGGAACTCTTCCGGTTGTTCCAACCGCAGCAGCACACAAAGCTAAGAAGAATTTGGACGACCGAGTGTCGGTTAATATTATCGAACAGGCCAAAAGCCTTTTCGCTGTGCAGCCCATTTGGTCCCGACAGGAATTTTACGAGCAGCTGGAAAAGGACTGCCCAGAGTTGGTCAAAGAGCACTGCCGCTTTATCCTTCCTGGCCTGGCATTCCGCTTTAGTAACGGTCCCTGGACACGTTCATGGTGTCGCTTCGGCTATGATCCGACGCGTCATCCCGAAAGCCGCAAATTACAGCTGCTGGATTTCCGTATCAACCAAGCCATTATCGCAAAACGGCGCACGATCTCCAAGAAGGCTCCGCCAACTGAACTGAATCTGGCTATGCGGTCTCTGATGGAGAAACTGGCCGATGCTCAAAATCCTCACGGGTATCAGTTTCTGATACAGTTGGTGCGGCTGCAAGATGTGTATAATGTGCAAGAGATAATGGAAAATCGACAGTATTGGTCAGACAGATGTGATCCAAAGGAAGGATTCTTTGTCAAAGGAACCATGGAGCGACTGCGCCTGGAATTGACCCATGCCATAGCTAAGCAGGATCCCGGGCTGTCACATTTACGGAGAGTAGTCAAAGGACTACAGGAAATCGGATTGTATGATAAAGTCGACATCCCGCGACTACGCCTAGGCGATTCGGATGATGAGGGAAATGATGATGCTGCACAAGATTGACCCCGTAATTGTCTGTAAGCTTTTTTTGTTGGAAATGGTTTTAGCATTGATTTCATCTTGCCAGAGAATGTTATTTTGTTGACTGTACTCTACTTGAAAATAGTACGTGTTTTGCCTTCAGCCTGCTCTGCCGCTTCTCTTTTCGTGTGAGCGTTGCAGAAGATTTTTGATCACATAGTTCAAAACTTCCGAACTTCTTTTTATAACTGACATAAATAAAATTAATGAAGCTGGAAAGTCAGTCTGCTTTAAACTGAAATATTTTATGTCCACGAACTATATATACGCGAGAGTAATTAAAAAATTACTGTATTTTGATACCGGTATGGAGAGCAGTAACAAAATTAATATGTATTGGTGATTCCTTGCTATAGATTGGCAAGAAATGCTTGAGTACTGTACGTATTATTATTTTCCAGAATTCTGTTCGCGTCATGACAACCTGCATTGGCTTTGCAGTACAAGTATCGTGAGATGCTGGTGTGCAAATACTAGCGCGCAAAAAGTGGGATGATCGTCCAAGGTCTTGCATGTTGCACTGTAATTAAGTATGTGATGCGCAAACGGCAAAACCGCTTTTTTCCTTTTAGTACTTAATGGTTTTCTGTTTAAAAAAGATTATACTGAGAAATTGATGATGGAGTTTTCTGGGTTAATTCATGATCAGCAGCTAAGAAATGTTACTTCACTTTCTATTAATAATGTGCGAAAGGAAGTCTGGGTGGGATGTAAAGATGGCACTGTGAAAGGATATGACCTTAACACGAAAAAGCTGAAATTCCGATCGAGGGAACATAGTGGTGTTGTGGTCCAAATTCTGTGTTGGCACTCACAGCGCCTGATGGTAAGTGAGTAGTAAAAAGTAGGAACTCTCGAGTGATAATAATTTCAGTTTAATATTTTATAATCAAGTACGGTATGCGTACTGCCCTTATTGTTGGTACTACTGATTATTCAGCTGTACCGCGTAGTCGCCGTGTCGATTAATATTCGCCTGGCCTTTTGTTATTGGCTATAGTGTTATACGCGTCGAGTTTACATGTACTGTATCCATATTTTTCGCAGATTACCATAGGCATCGACGGAGCTGTAATCTTTTGGAGTGCGGGAGCGTTGGCGACGGATAAAGTGTTTCTCGGTAAACCTGAAAAATATGTTGTAAAAAACCCATGTGGCTCAACAGCACTTTATCCCTTTGAAGGGAATCCAGTTCCGGTGGAATGGACTAAATAAGCACTCCTTTATGAATCATAGGGGAACCGCTGTACAACGCCGTGATCTACGCCAAAAAGCACCTGGTACTCGGTACGAAATGCGGGTGTAAATATTTTTTACTGGACTCTCATCGGTTCACCGGCCATTATCTCCGCACGGATCGCGTAAAAATTGTCAACACACACAAAGAAATGGTGCGCTCGTTAGCGGCTGTGGAAGGGCGGCTTTATTCGGGTACTTACTGTACATACTGCACGGTAAACGACTTATTGTCGGTGTAGATTGTGTAGTGCGCAACTGTAAAAAGTTTTAATTACTACTTGAAATTTTACAATTCAGCAAAATATTGCTATAAAAATTTTACCGATAATTATTCGGAAGTTCTTTTAAGAAAAAAGTTGCCGAAACCGTGGATTGAACACGGGACCTTTAGATCTTCAGTCTAACGCTCTCCCAACTGAGCTATTTCGGCTTTCATGATATTAGTAGTACAGTTACCGTATAAAGCGAGTATCAGTTTCAGTGCTTAGCATTTCAAAAGAATTTCGCGCTAGTCACCGGTCTACAGACGGCGGGTCTACTCATTGGACAAGCGCATATCAAGTCCTCGCATAATTTAAGGAAGCGCATACTTATTTTTCAGTTTAATGAGTAAATGTTACAACACAGGCATATGTATGTGCGAAATTGCGTGTATCAAATAAAATTCAAATTCACGACCACGAGTTGCATAAGTACTGTACATACCTACATAGATACTGTAGTTTAAAGACAGATAGGTATCAGCCTATTCTAAGGTTAGTTAACTCGTAATGAAATTTTGTCTTCACATCGTGCACAAATTATTGTTACCAAATGAATATTTAAACACTAAAGATTTTTTAAAATTATAAATTCCCCACCAGTTATAAGACTGCTCTTACATGAATAAACCAGCTTGCATAATTACATAGGGAGCGCCGACGGAGCCTTTACGATATACGAGCAAGCCGTGCACTTGATGTCCGAACTACACCCGACCCATTCCATTCGTCATGCTCACGCCGCCGGCATCAGCTGCATCGAGCCCTGTCGGAATGCGGAGGAAGACGACTGGTTGGTGGCCACCGGATCCTACGATCAGCATATTAAAGTGTGGACCAACGAAGGCCAGTTGGTCCACGTTATCAGCATATGCGAGAACACCATCAATAATCTGGTTTACATCGGCGTTGCGCGACAACTGTGGGTGGCGTATGGAGGGCGTCTGATAACCATTGTGGATCCGAAAACCGGCGAGGATCTCTCCGAATGGATGGCCGCCTGGCAGAAACTGGATGAAACGGTCAAACGGTGTAAAATCAAGAGTCCTGTGGAGTATCTGTACTACTCGCGGGAATTAGAGGGGGTGGTCGCTCTCACGGACATGCATTACATTTTGCACTGGACTTTCAATGTTCGGGGTGCAGTGCTCTGCATTTCCTGTCCATCGGCTATGGAGAGCATCGCCTTTACGGCCAGCGAACCGCTGCTGTTCTTTACCGGTGATTCACAAGGACATGTGCTTGTATGGGAGAGTGCCGGTTTTAATACCGTGAAGTTTGCCCACGAGTCATTAGTAATGCAGAAAAGTCTGCGGGAAACGCCGGTCGAATGGCAACGGTTGGTTGAGCCTAAGGATGTTGTTGAAGCTAACATGGCGCTACGTCTACAAGTCACACCATCGACGTTTATTCACACAAAATTCTATCCTGGTAGAAAGACGGATGAGCGTGAATTAGCGCTACCGATGGCTAATGACAGCCCCAAGCAAAAAATGCTTTGGATCGAAGAGCTTGATCTGTTAGCTGTTGCAGACGAAAGAGGTGTTATCTACATTTGGGGCTTTGAGGAATCCACTGCCAAGCCGGAAGAGATTGCACAACATTTCGTGGAATCGAGTGGAAACAACAAAAAGGTCATTGAAAACCTCCAAGCGGGTTCCAAGAATAAAAGTACCAGATCCCGAAACCATTTACCTAAATCAAGTATGAAATCTGGAGAAGCTGCGACAGCGTCAAATGACGCCGACAGTATCAAGGAAAGGTTAAGTGCGTCTGCGGACAATTTGACGGAGTCAATCTCCCTGTCGTCACGGGGCGGTAGCAGCGGTGTTTCTGATTATCGTGTCAGAAACATTCTGAACGAGTGGACAACCTTCCGGCGTTTTCTAAATCGTGCGTCAGGAATGTCGTGCAGGTTCATCCTGTGGGGTCACGACGCGTGCGTCTCCAGCCTGGAGTATGTTTATGATAGGGAAAGCAGTCTTCATGCGCTGGTCAGTGCAGGGTGGGATCGGCGAATAGTAATTTGGAACCTGCAGAGTGGCCAGATTGTGGACACGTGTAAGCGCAGCAAAACGGAGCCGAAAGTACTGGAACAGCGTGAAACACCCGGTGAGTATGAATTAGTAGCGGAAGGCCAAATAACCTGCATCGCGGTGGATGTGACGAAAAACCTCATTGGCTATTCCAGCCGGGATGCGCATATCTATGTGCGACAGTTTTCTTCGCATGGACGCAAGATGAAGTTAATGAAACGTTGGCATGCGCACAATGGAGAAGTGCTGCAGATTAAATGGATGCCGCTGCAGGGGAACTGGGTTAGTTCGGGGCAGGATGGCACTGTTCGCATATGGTCCGGTGATGAGTTGGGCGTACGGATGTCCCTGGTCCATCACAATCAGACGGTGCAGTGCCTGGCGATCGATAAAGACTATGGATGGATTTTGGCGGGGGTTTGTTGTTAATGATTTCAAAGGCTGTAGGTCTTCGCCTTATGCGATGCGACGCTATTGATTTTGAATTCGCTGGCTGTGCTGGGATGCGATACGACACTATTGATTTTCGTAGGTTGGCCCAGAGCTGCATGTCCTCGATCCCTGTTCGTTGGATGTTCTGCGCGTCCACTCCGGTCATCAGCAGGCCATTACCGGCATCGTGCATGTCCACCATTTATTTGACAATCCTTATTATGTGACATCCAGCTACGATGGCACCATACAGATTTGGACGGCTTACCGGAAGCCACGTTTAGAATATAGCGAAGTCGTCCAACCGAACGACGCCGCGGCCACCGGTCACGGTAGCCGTCATGAGGTCTAACTGGTTGTCAATTACTCTACGATAACAGCAAGAATAATGCTCACAGTACAGTAATAATGACCAGCTATCATGAGCGATGGCATATCATGCTCTAGCTAATTTCTCCCATTTTCCCCAAAATGTTGCTGTTACTCTTAAACTCACGGTTAGTTGGATGAGCAATTATTTTAAGTGCAAATGGCAAATGCAGTAACTGTAACTATTTATTATCAATAAGATGAAGTGTACCGACTTCTAGTACAGTATTGTACAGTCTACAGATACTACTGTACATCTGTACCCTAGTCTGCTACCATGGCAAACTAAACCATAGCAAACTACACCAGTACCACTGAATTCCTGACTTTAAATTGGCGATTAATTACTGATTCCTGATTATAAGTTTTGGAACATAATTTGCTTCGGAACTTGTGATGATATTGTCTCCGAATTTGGAGCGATTTCCGGCAGTACTGTACTTTGTAGTGGTGTGCGAATAATTTTTGCTGTTTTTGTAGTTGTGTTACTTGTGTACAGCACTACAGTCACATTTGAATACACACACGTAGCGATTGATTACAGTAAACTTTTGAAATTTATTGTGTTAAGCACCAAGCACAATGTATGATAATGCAGTCAATTTAGGTATTTTACTTATCAAATACTTTAATGCGTACTAAAAAGTTACGTAAATTAAAGTCTTAAGAAGTGCCGCACTTAGAAGCAACCGCAGCGCCCTCTCGTTCAATGAACGACCTATGGCGTGCTAGCCGTCTGCTGAAGAGATGGCAGCGGCCGGCCGAGAGCCGGCTTAGCGGGCGATTGGCCAGCCGGCTGAGGATTTTTGCAAGCCGATGCGAAGCCGGCTGCTTAAGCCGGCTGAGAGCTCCAGCCGCGATAAGTTAGCCGGCTAAGGCTAAAGATGGCGGCGGCCGGCAGAGAGCCGCGTCTTAGCCGGCGATTGGCCAGCCGGCTGAGGATTTTTGTAAGCCGTAGCCGATGTCAAGCCGGCTGCTTAAGCCGGCTGGGAGCTCCAGCCGCGATGAGTTAGCCGGCTAAGGATTTCAGCCGGCCGTTAGCCGAAAGATCAGCCGTTTAGCCGGCCGTTGCTATCTCTACTCTACCGTCTCTGACAGTCTGACTTTAATACATGAGAATTTTATTTTCTGATTTTGAAATTCACTTTGGTTTGCCTGAAGTCAGTTTCGAATCTGCGGCGTACTGATGACGCTGCGGCCTATGAAATTTCATGTAAGTTCGCAAGGAAACCGGTTCTGTCAGATTCTTGTATATGGCAAAATGAGCGATGTTTGTCTTACTCATTCTACGTAGAAAATTTCGGCGCGAAATGAGAACGCTGACGATCAGGCATGTGTAAGTATGGCCGCGGAACTGGCAGCAGTAAACCGACGGAAAACATGAGCACGAGCTTTGGCTTCGGAAACATCGGAAAGCGAAAGCACACTGCTAACAGCTAACATCGTGACAGTCATGTTGCCGTTCAAACCAGTTAACGTAAGGTGCGCACGTGCTTCGTGATTTGCTTGTGTTTGCAGCCAAATGGTTTATGAAAGCCCAAACCTGTAAGTGGTTATGATGTAACACATTGAAATGTGATATTTCTGATCTGGGAATGACGATAGTCGATAATCACATTCCGTTGCAGGGAACAGAACGGCGGACCACGTGCAGTTCGCGGCGAAGAATTTGGTTCGGTGATAAGAAGCGCTGCATTTCCATAAGCGGCCTTATTACACTGGAGTCTGGAACCACAGAATGAAAAGACGAGTCGAAGGATCAAGCCAGAAAATTCTGAACAGAATGGTAAGAGTAAGCAGTAGATTTAGAATTATAAGCTGATAATGAATAATGATGGTAACTGGTGAGGTATTTTAAATTTTATATAGCCGTTCGTGTAGAGAGACTGGTAATGACCGTAAAGGAACTACTCCTCTTTGTGACATCATATGGACGAACGTTGGTTTCGCAATCTTGGAGTTTTTGAATCACGAGTTTTCTTCGCGCTTATCTCGAATTTTAATTAATATTTTAGTATTTTCAGATTGTCATCACGGTTTTTTGTGTTACTACTGTTATAATTTGGAAATTATTAGTAATTTGCCTAAAAAAATTGTTATCGGCTCCTTACGGGGAGATCGTGTATTCGTAATAATTTAATTGTTAAATTTGCTAAGCCTTGCCTGGGTACGGGTTTGTAAATTCGTAGTTATTTTTTTCGACTGAAAATCATCGATATTGAGTTACTTAATTTCTATTTGTATAAAATGCTGTGCGGTGCGGTACAACCCAGCTTTGATTCGATTCTGTAGGCTGAGCCCAAACGTGAAATTGTGTTAACACCGCCTAAATACTGCATCTGAACCAGACTGTTTTATTAAAATCAAAAATGATTTAAACTTTGATAAAAAATTATGTGATTTTGGTTGTTGGGTAATCTTCCGCATATGGTAATTAACCGTTATCTTTCTCCGTTGAAGCAAGTAAGAAGGTAAGTACAATAACCAGTTAACTTTCAGCATTTTAACTTTCTCGCTGAGTCCATTTCAGCATCAAGTTGGGAAGGGTTGCCTAGTATGCTACTATGCTTACAGTTGTTAGTGCTACACCGCAGATTGATACAGACCTGCGGCAACCGTAAGAGTGAAGAAATTTCATATGTAACCGTTCACGTCCGATGCGCTACAAGATCGCGATAGTCAAATATTGAATGGGGACCTGTTAAGTAAAGTCGTTTAAATCTGTTTTCGGAACGGGTATTTATTTTGATGAGTTGCACGGGTTTTGGAAATCCGCTGGCACTACGTGTGAACTATGAATCCCCTTACGTACGCATGCTTGAGTGGCGCATGGGTCAAACGAATTGATGTTCACTCGCTGGTTCATGACTGAATCAGACGACGACGCACAACTGAACATCACTGTCGACTACCTCTAACTTCCGTTAGCTGCAGCCTGTCGTGAGAACAGTAGTTAAAATTTCAAAAGTTACTAATTATAGACTGCTTGACAGATCGGGCGGTGACTAAATGCAGTGAAGCGTGAACGCACAAACAGTGGTGTTGTTATTGTTTATATCTGTCCAATTAGAGCGTCTTTTTTCATGGTGTCTTTGCGGTCTGTGTACCTGCATTTCGTTGAGGATATGTACATATTTTACATTGTCGTAGTCCAGGTAGTTTGGATGGAATTAGTTAAGCATCGTGAATACTGCGGCGATGCATTCAATTAGGTTGTGTTACGGCGATCAAGATTACAATGGAGTGCCATTTTAGTAACACATAAAACCCTTAATGTCTCTTGGTAAAAATTCAGTCAAGCAAGAACTATTAACTTGCCTGGAATGAAGATTGTCTTGTGATTCAGTACTGCGTGTACGCGGTATAGTCGTACACGGTTTCCTAAATGGCTTTTTAATGACTTATCTAGGAGTTTTTGCAGACAACAGATTCCCAGCCCAACTTATACGAACATAACTTGTTTTTCTCCACTAATGTACTTGTAGAGGTGATATGTTCTGCTGTAGAATAGATGTTGCCCTATTAAGGGCTGGCATTACGTGAAAACTGTTTCCCATCTTTTAAACATTTTTTCCGATTTTCTCAAGACATACTATTTATTCACCTGAGGATAGCACTCAGTGCAGAAGTAATAGCAGCGCATGGCAGTGTTATCTTTCTCTGTTGAGTCTGTTCTGATCTGCATTTGGATCTGGTTGAAGTGTTTAGAGAAATAGTGCGATACTCACTTGCGTAGCTAACTTGCTGTACCGGCAAAAAAAAAGACAGACTGCCGTTCTTAGCATACCATGTTTTGGCGATTGAAATGGTGTATGGCGAAATGTTTTACCGAACGACCGCTTAAATTATAACAAATATAGGCTATCTGCTTAAAAACGTTGAACGTGTTTTGATCGCTCACATCCATTTGTTAAAAAGATAATTTATTAATTACAGTTCTTGTTGGTGCCATAGATACGTACATTTAAAGACAGTTATGGTGGTATACGTACATTTATAGATAGATCTGTGGTAGATAATCTACAGATACCGAAGCACTTGTTATATGCTTTGGACTTGCTGTAAACTTAATTCTTGATATTGGAAACACAGTAGCTGAATATGAAATAAATGATAGTGCGCTGCTTGGGTTTGGGCTGTCTGGTCGGCACTAGCAGTTGTATAAAAAGGAATGATCTTAAAAATATTTTTATTGTTTATTGCAGCACTGAGTAACGGGAACAGGTAAACGAATTTGGGATCATCGAATACTTTTGTATTACGAAGGAGAAAGCTTGATCACAATGGGAAAAAAGTAAGACGACCATTTATCATAATCAGTAATTGGTTCTGTTGTTATCTCCTGTCAATGCTGCAGTGTTATTGCCCCTGGGCAGTGGAAATTGGTAGACAGGTGGAACTAAACAGGCTGTATGCGGTGCAGCTCTATAAGGTTAATAGTGACTTAAAATTATATCAGGGATATTCATCACATTCTTTTGTTGAAAAATCAGCTATTATTATGATTGCATGCGGTGCTTGATTCTCACTAGTCGTTTCCAAACTGAGATTTTATGGCAATGCATAGCGCAAAACCGGTTAGAAAGGCAGCATGACTTGGGTAAACAAAATTCTTTCGACATGTATCGCAAACTGGCTAGTTGGGCCTGCAAAATGGAATAATTCATTGTCAATTCGTAAACGACCGAACTGGTCTTATGGATTGCTGTCTAGGTAGATTTTGAGTTATCGGCGGTGGTGTTCGTCCTTGTTTCCAATCCGCAGTTGGATGTTTGATCTCGCTTCACTATCAAGCTGAAAGCGTTTTTCTCCGTCCGGTTGTATGACTAAGTATTTATAGCCGGGTATCCTTTGATGAAGTTGATCAGAACTAAAGGCGTCTTATGTATAATAATTCATCCACCACTTCGGCGAAATAACTTAAAACGAAACTACAGGAACAGTTACACGTGACTGTCGGTAACGTGTATTGTAGCGTTTTATTCGAGATTTTTGAGATAATAAATGGATCAACTTTTCGTCATCCAAGCTCACAATGAATACTTTCTCCGTTTTGTTGTCTCAGTCTATTGATTTTCTTGGTAAGGTGGAACGAGTGGAAGTTAGAAATGTATCAGCATCAGTTGTAAACTTCTAGCCATATGCTGCGGTACGTTGTGTTGAAAGGTGCGGCTGATTTTGTTTGACTGATGCACTGATAAAA